GGGTACCGAGCCTTGCTCCAGGGTTGCTGCGTACAGCTCTGAACGGCTTCCTCGAGTAACAGTTTGACGTACCGCTTGTGGGCCCAGCCTTCGAGCGAGACGGGATTGATGGGACTCGTCGACGCCTGGCCGACACCGTGGTAGAAGAGGCTTTTCATCCGAAACTCGGCGACGCCTTGTTCTTTGCACGTAGCTACACTCATCTCGAACAGGCCGTCAATGTCCCGGGGGCCATGAGGTGTATTCAGCGGTGAGTCACCGCATCGGAGCAGAATCGACGCTGGGGTCTTTGCCAGCACGACGAAGTGGTTGGTGATTTCGGTGCCCACGTCGTAATGGGATTCGAGAAGCTCGGATCGTCTCCACAACTGGTGTGCAGTCGTCGGCGAGCCGTATCTCTGTTGTAGAAATCTGCGTTGAATCGTGTAGGCTGAGGATGGGATTGGTTAGGTAAGTATCCTTGACCGATGAAAGGATGCAAAGAAGATGAGGGTCATGTTATCCCGTTGGCTGCCTGTTGGAGGGGATATAATGCGGACATACCACGACTTGCCCAGACAGCGGCACAATAAGCCTCGATCAACTTCGTGCCACCTTGTTCATGGTCTCTCAACAGACCGGGATCCAGCTTGCTTAAGGATACCTTCCGCACACAGAGATCGTGGAACGTAGGATTCAGATTCGGGTTAAACCGCCGGAAGAACGCGCTGCCATATAAAGTGTCGTGAGACGGATCGTATGGAACAAACTGGCAATCCTGTGTCCACCATTGGAAGACACCAATTGTTCCTGCGCCGCCTAGAGTCAGCATGTACAAGGGCCGGGAAGGCCAGAGTTTCAGTCGAGGCATCGCGCACCCTGGGGTGTTCTCTAAGAATCAAGATAACAAAGACAAAAAAATAGCAGAATAGAGCTCCCTGCAAGCGTTCTGGACAGACCAGGCTCTATGAGTACATACCGATCCTGAAACCCGGGACGAAAATGGTGCACTGCGTTCTAGGTAGCGTTGGCTTAAACCGAGTTCGATGCCCCACCACTTCCATCGGATCCTTCACTTCTGTCCGATGCCATCGAAGCCATATTCCGTATGAGCCAGCATCCACTAAAGTGGGAGGAAGAGGTCGCACTTTGCACATTAGATTCTTTCCAGCCCCAAACCATTTCTCATGAAGAGGCCCAGTTCAAAGGAAGTACTTTGTTTGAGAAAAGGCATGCTTAGGCACAGGTGTATAAGCTAAGTCGAAGGTATGTTAAAAGGCGCAGCGGAGCCTTGCCATGCTTGGTAACTACATGCCCCACATGATGCTGTGTCTCTCTCAAGTGTGAATAGCCTGGTTGTTGCAATGATGATGCCCATAACTACCTTGAAGACGTAGACTACCGATTCCGCGTCTATGTGGACCCAGGAATGGACAGAGATTCAGTCTGAGTTTCTAACACGCTGATGACGGCAGTTATTTGGGCCCCTTCTATATCCTCCTGCTCAAGGTTAGAAGGACTTCCGGAGGAAGTGTTGACGAGAATCATTTCTTTCGTCCCGTTGTCGAAGAAAAATTGGCTCAGCATCAACTTGACATCTCGCCGTGTGAGAGATGCAGCCTCAAGCTCGGTCACAGGCATTGCGAAGCAACAGACTCCACTGCTCTTTTCGCTTTTCTACAGACCATATCTTGACGCTGAATCGGTTGAGCACATGGTGGAAACCCATGAGGCACTGAGTTGCTTCGCCGAGTACGCCACTGTGGGACTAAGTTCACACGATGAAGGACGTTATCTGTGCATCCTCACCGGCGCAGCCATCATTACGAGGATATTGCATACGAACCGGCTGCTACGAATGACCGACGGCAACCACGCCGCGGAAGCATTTCTAAACCGAGCAATAGCATCCTGCTTGAAGGAATCTATGTTGTTGCTGATCAGATACACTACACTATGCTGTTTTCGCTGCTTCATGCATGACAGATCCAGTGAAAAGAACAAGTACAACGAAGCGATCATAGGCACTGCAGCGCTATTCGATCAGGATGCATTTCACCGATTCGAAGCGTCTCTAATGATGATCGGTCTCGGATTTGGGGAACACGTCTTTGAGCATGCACACGAATGGAAGAACCTCATGATATACAGCGGGACGCCTCCCGTCAGAGCATTTACTGTGGGGCGACGGAAGCACAGTCGGCGCAGCAATGCACTCGAAGAGGTAGTGCAGGCCTGGTGGCGAGACGCACGCAGCCACCAAGAAGCGAAGATTCCGACCGACCTCATTTCTCGACAAGACAAGCAGACAAACTCTGCTCACGCAAATGAAGCAATCTGGACGCTATTCCACGGCTCATGTCATCCGCCAGTGGCTCTTCCAACAACAGCAGACTTGCGGGAAATAGGAAGAAAATTGAGTCTTGAGTCGGGGCAGGAGGCACTCCAGGAATCTGTACAACTGCCACGCAATCCTGCCATATAGAGTTTAGATAACTTGGATGCTATATCTTCCCCTTGAGGTTCCAGCTCCAGATCTATTCTCGCTGCCGTCTGTTCAGCTTACAGTCGTGCCTTGGCATCGCCCGTTTGCTCAGCTGTTGGGACGGTAATGATGGGGATTCTCAACTCTAGGGTTGCTGTCTGAGGGACGGACTGGCCAAAGACGCCGCCGTCTTTGTGGTGATTCTCACTCAGCTCCCCTTTCGTAACCGCCTTCCCTGCACGCCATCCATGTACAAAGCCGCCTCCGAGATGCGTACCGCCCATTTCCGCTGTTGGTACGAAGCCGCCGGCGGTGTCGCCAACGGCGAAGAGCCCTGGAATTGGCTTGCCGAAGACATCAACCACCTGCATCGAGGCCGTGGTCCGGAAGCCACCGCAGGTCAAGCTTATGCCGAAGACCAATTTTGCCGCGTAGAATGGAGCTTCCACGATTCGGTGGCGCGTAAAGTCAACCCGCTTCGTTAGTGGCTCGACTTTGTCGCCTGATACGATGAATGAGTTCCACTGCTGCACTGATGTCCGCAGCGCATCGGCCGGAACGTTGATCAGAGATGCCAGCTCTTCCAGTGTATCGGCCTTGAATACATTCGACATCTGGTCGACATAACGCTTTTGCCTGACGGCGGTGCCGTTGTCGAAAATGTAGTGTGCTAGATGATCTGGCTGCTGCTTCAACTTCTCCACTCGGTATTGATATGGCCCGGCCTCGTCGTGGAATCGATGCCCTCTTGCATTGACGGCAATAGCTTCGTCGGTCAGAGCAGACGCAACCGCCACCAGACCTGGTATCATTGACATATTGATCAAATCTCCGCCGATTGCTTGTCCCATCAGGTGTCCGTCCCCTCTGCACGTGGGTACCCCAGGATACCATGCATTTTGCACAGTCGGTTGGTAGCGTCGACGGAGGGCTGGATTTGCTTGATAGCCACCAGTCGCAAGAATGACACCCTTTTTGGCGAATACATTGAATGACGGCCTGCCGTTGTTCGGCTGCGCGCGGACTCCAGTGACACGTCCGCCCTCGGTGATGAGCCGCACGGCGGTTGTATTGACATACGTGCGCACCTGTGGTCCGGCAAAGTCTCGCTCAAACGCTCGAGCGAACTGTTCTGTATTCTCCACGGCTGCCAGTCGAGGAACACTGGTCTGCAGCGGCCGCTTGATCAGACGAGGAAATTTCACCCCTCTTTCGACGAGGATTTTGTACAGCTGAGGGCTTTCCTCGGCGTAGAGCTTCCCAAGGACAGGATCCCACTCCAAGCCGAAGTGTTGGCCTGATTGTTCGATCAGCTTTTCGCAGTCTTTCATGAAGAGGTCGACCGAGTCGTGGATCCCTTGCTCTCGTTGCAAGTCGCTGTCAACAAACGCCACCCAACCAGTTGACCATGTGGCGTTGCCTCCCACGTCCTTCCATGCCTCAATGGCAATGACATCTGCGCCAGATTGAACGGCAGATCCCACGGCAGCAAGACCACCAGGGCCGGTCCCGACGACGACCACGTCTGTGGTTTGATCTTGCCCATTCGATTGGAGATACATGATGGTCTGTTCAAGTGATTTTTGTGCCGGGTCAGCAGAGTTTCTGGGCTCGCGTGTCCCGCAACAGATGTAGATGATATTTATACTTTGCGCCTGATAACCTCTGATAGCTACTAGCAGCTCCCAATTAATGAAACCGACGCTATATCGAGGCCTTCACCCGTATTACAACCTTCGGGAGGGGTGGAATCCGGGGTCACCTCAGATATTTCGAAGGCGGAGTGCAATCCCACTGGAAAAGAGACCGCCCATTGGGGGAAAGGAAGATGCCCAGATCCAAGACCTGGGGTTTCAAGGCGTCCCAACGACTCCGTTCTGCTTCTCGGATGACCCGAAAATGGGAATATTACCGATGTGTGAGCCGACCAAACCTTGCTGAGGAGAATTCCCGGATCCCAACTCGAATCAGACATTCCGGGGAGAAACAAGGTGCAAGGGGAGAGCATTTGGGAGTGCATGCAATCACGACGCTGTCCGTAGCTGTGGTCACCTGCTTATACTTTTATGAGCTCCAAATTTGAATCAGAGCCACGTCTGGATGACCTTCTTGGTCAGCATGGCGGACGGACGCAACTTTGCCAACGGATACCGAGCTGCTGCTCACCATATCTATTCCTGCATGGCTGACAGAAAAAGCCCCCGTGTTATAGGCGCGAGTGCAGATGTGCATTTGAGATCAGTAAAGGGGCTCCTTCCCTGTGAAGCATGCCCCGCCTCGAGTGGTACAGAATACTTCTACTACATTTTGTGAATGATCTATCCCTCCAGCTCGGTGCCATGTCCACAAATAATGGATGTAGATTCAAGTCACGGTGTCCTGACTGGATACCGCAGGGGTAATGAGATATCGTAAGCTTTGCGTGGTAAAGATAGACATGCCTCCCATCCCAAGAGGCCCAAGTATGGCGCAGGTGAGGGCACCTCCGACTCAGAAGTAGCGGGTGTATGGCTCATTTTGACTACAGTCACTTGGATCTGAGAACTGGAGGTAGGGCACAGAAAAAGCCGTTTCTCCCATTGTTACATATCACTATAACATGCGACGTGCATACTAGAATTTCGACACCATCTCACGGACAATTCCATATCAGCTTTTTCAGTTCCGCACACCAGAGATTGAGGTTCCCACAGGTCGACCTAGGAAAGGCTTTTTTTTTCACAATGTGTAGCGGAATCCCTCCCTTCCTTCAATGACAATCTCCCCACGATCAGCCTTGCGATTGGTGCGGCTGAAGACAAAGAAGTTCTTGCAAATAATCACAACAGTGAGAGCTTGCACAGCAATGACAGTGTTCAAGCCCGGTCGATAGCCAGGGGCGTCTTTCTGCTGAAAGGCGTTGCTGGCAATAATGCCACCAATGCCACCGCCTGCAATCATGACCGCGGCTCCAATGGCACGCTTCGTCTGTCCAACGATATTATTGTGCTGGTAGCTGAAGATGGCCGGAATACTGGCATTGTATGGCGGGAGGCCCAGAAAGACTCCGGCGTATCGAACAGAAGCGGTATTTGCGTAGCCCATCCTAGAATCTTGTAAGTAAAGGCACGTAAATGATGGGAATGGTAGACAAATACATCACTACTCCCGCGATTGTGCAGCACGCGTTGAAAACGATGATTGGTCCGCGAATCATAAAGCGGTCGCCAATGTAAGCGGCGATAAACATCCACTGTGTATTTATCAGCATGGTTCACCACCACGCGATGGAGAACGTACGATGGCGGCAAGAACGTATGGCGGAAATATGAGGATGTAAGTTGTCAAGATGGAGTAGCCCATGGCCCCGTGAAGGATGAGAGGAAGGAAGTAGGCGAATGCGTATGCTACCGTGTTCTATATGTCACAGTTAGTATTTTTGGTCGAATGAAAATGAAGAATGTGCTTACATTGCAGAGAAGAAGCAAACAGCATTCCCATATCTTCCAGTCTTTCAGCTCGGCGAGAATTTTCTTGAAGGAGAACTTTTCGGGGGTCGCATCTCCACGGTCTCGCTCGATACGGTTGAGGATGACGGTTGCCTCCTCGGGGGTCAGAAAGGACCTTATTGCTAGCTTTCTGGGCCTAGCCGCCTTATCCGGAAAGTCCAATAAAAAGACGAGGACAACGACTGCAATCACACAAGTAGCAATTCCCTCTATTACAAGGTCAAGTTAGCTTCGCAAAGGGATCGGTCGAAGAAGAAGAAGAAGAGAATGCGTCGACCATGGCAGGACAGAAAGAACGGGCTGCAGGTCGAACTCACCGAAGATGAAAATCCACGACCAACCACCCAGGCCACCTAGTCCATCCGCCTTGGACAAGCCATATGCAATCAAATTGGAAAGTCCAGATATAAGCATGCCGGCGCCGTAGAAGCCACTGAACCGCACTTGAACCTCGTGTCGAACGTACCAGCAAGACAGGAGGAAGATGATCCCAGGGAACAGCCCTCCTTCCAGGGCGCCAAAGATGATCCGACAAACCAGGAGTGAGACCCAACTCTTCGTGAAGCCCATGCCAATCGTCAAGATCCCCCAGCCGAAGCCAATGGCGCCCAAGAACGTGGCGGGACCGACTTTCCTCATGACAAAGTTCGCAGGGAAGTCACAGAGGATGTAGCCGATGAAGAATACCATGGTGATGACTGAGTATCGATTGCCAATGGAGATGCCCAATGCCTCGTCCATACCGGCGAGGCGGGCATTCGGGAGGTTGAGCCGGTCGACCAGTGAGACAGCATAGAGGGCGCCGCACAATGGCAGGAGTCGCCAGTCTACTTTGCGTCTTATCTTCTTCTCCAGGACCGGATCGACTACAAGGCTGCCGCCTTCGAGATGCATTTTCTCTTTGGGGTCTCTCGCCTCGCTGCTTTCCGAGAACTCTGAGACGTCGAGGTGTTGTGAACGGACATCCTTTTCCAGGTCCAGGTTGTTGGCAGCCATGACGACCGTACAGGGTGGTTGTAAGATGCTAGTAGGCAGTGATACAGACTTTTGAGAGAAAGAATTAATGGCCTCTGAAGATGATTTTTTGTTTCACCAATGTCATGCCTGAGTGTAAGTGTTAGCTGAGAGCTCTTATATCTCCTCAACGAGAACGGAGCATACTTATTCTCTTCCCCACGGGGCACTTCCAGCCCGCTCTCGACCACACCTGGAAGAGCAGCCCAGCTCGTAGGAAGAAGCGCCAGAGTCAAAGGGGCGTGAGAGGGCGCTGTGCTAGAACTCCAAGGAAGTCTTCGCCACCAACCAAAGTCAAGCCCAAGACGCCACGAGTGCACTTTACCTAATATGGAAATTTCCCCTCGGTACTCTTTGTAAAGACCCACTTGGGAGGAATAACACCTATGCCTCCGATTGGTCAGCACCGCCTCGGTCTCGACCTGTCGAAATCTGTTAGACATCGGCCTGGGCAAAACTAAAGGAACTCTCTGGTTTTGTGCGCTCTGATACAATAATGCAGGCCGTTGTAAAGGTCATACTTTTGACCATTACCTGGAAGACTTTCCGCTGTTAGTCTTCCTGGAATCTCAGACTGTTGTTCATCCTCCTGTTTTCAATCAAGATTTGTATCATAACACCCTGCGCCTCTACAGCTGAGCTTGCCAGGGCATCTTATCAGATCTACATTAGTACACACTCTCTGTCCTTATCCATCCCAGCATCTGATCTTACACCATGGCTCCCTCTGAAGTCCACAACGATGGACCAAGCGAAGGATCGAACGCCCTGAGCTGCGGAAAATCCACTCAAGGGAAATGTGATAGTGCTTCACTTACAAACGGCCATGCCACAACGCAGCCGATCCCGCGAACCGTGGAAACAATGGGCTACCACGAAGCATTTCGTTTCGGAGGAGACCACTTGGCAAACAACGTCGCCCGAGTCGTTGAACAGAACCCTGGTCTAGGAAGAGGCGTCCTCGATGCATTCGGCGTCAACATGGCTCAGACGGCCCTTGGCTATCGCGAATGGGCTCTGCTGTCTCTCGCTAGTTTGACGGCCATGGGCGACACGAGTGACCAGCTGAGAGTCTACGTGGAAGGCGCAGCAAGACACGGAGCGACGAGAGAAGAGGTCCAAGATGTGTTCAGGCACGCACAGGCATTCGTGGGTGCTCCTCGAGCAGTGAACGCCGTGCGGAGCACGTGGTCGCTGTGGTCGACGCTTTGGCCCGAGAGTGCCCATGGATACACGGAGAACATTGTCCGCCTGGGCGATCATGAAACGCTCGTTCGAGACAGCCAGGGGCCTGGAGTCCCCGTCGTTCTGATCCACGCTCTCAGTATGGACCACAGGATGTGGAGAGAGGTGTTCCCCCAGCTGGCAGCGACCGGTGCTCGCGTCATCGCGTACGACCTCCGTGGCCACGGATACGCCCGTGGTGCATCGTTGACTCGCAGCCTGGAACATCTCTGCGCTGACCTGGAGCTCCTCCTCGATACCTTGGGAATCGAGTCCGCGGACATCTACGGCGCTTCATACGGCGGGGCTGTCGCACAGTATTTTGCCTTGGACTATCCTCAACGCACGCGGTCGCTGGCTGTTCTGGCGACTGCTGCCAAAGCACCAGAAGTCCTCGCCTCCCGCGCGACCCGCGCGGAACAGAACGGCATGGAATCGCTGGTGCCCGAGTCTATTATCCGGTGGTTCCTCCCAGAGACCATCGCACAGGACACCTGGTGTGTACGGTACGCTCGAGCATGCGTCCGTCGGGCCCGTGTTGAGGATTGGGCCGCGGCGTGGAGAGCAATGGCTCAACTGGACTGCGTAGACAGGCTCCAGGAACTGAAAGTCCCGGTGCTGGTGCTCTCTGGGAAGCAGGATGCGTCCTCCACGACGGCCATGATGAAAGAAATCGCCGAAGCATGCAAAGGCACCACCGCTGATTTTGTGGAAGTAGATCCAGGAACACATATGATGGTGATGGAGATGTCAAAGCCCGTGGCAGAAGCGCTCATCAGGTTCCGTGAAAGCGTCGAGCCCAAGTCGACCTGATAAAATACACACAGAGTGAGGCGGACATGAGCTCAGTTGGCATTCGACCTCAAACAAATTCTGCTGTATCATGTAAGAAACAAGCTTCATAATACAGCTACGGACGCCTTGTTTGGCAATGCAGAGCTGTGAGTGCTCTCGAAGATGAAGTCTTGCGTCCTGGCTGAGTCTAGAGGATAACACGCTCAAGCATCGGCACACACCGTAGCGGGTTCGAATGTATCGCGAGCTATGCAGTTAATAAACACCTTTCGGCATCTCAGGGTTGTAACTCTTCCGCACAATCGAGACCTGCTTGGTTGCAAGGAGTCCTCGAGGACCTTGTCGTGAGGCGGACTCGTATGCCCAGTCCTGTGTTCACGGCTCGGGATTGATTGCTTTCATCCGAGAGCAGCCCCTCTTTCGGTATTATATCCTTGTGAGGAAGTATTTCCTCGGCAAGCTTCCACTCTTCTTGTCGGCAATTGGACCACTTTTCCGGGCGAGACACACCCCCTGTTGCCGGTTTCCGTTGCCCCCTTCTTCTGGAGCACATTCTCTGGCTAAAGCAGTTCCACTCCATCTAGCGGAGAATGAGATGGACTGCGGCACCCAATTCTCAATATCACGCAGCCTTGCCACTCGCAGAGTGTTGCCTGACCTCTCGGCGCGGCGGACAAGTTCTATCAGCGTGTCCATAGGCAATAAGCTACACGACAAACATCCGATGGAATTAGGGCACAGTGAGCCATACCACGTAGGTGTGATTAGATCTAGCTACGGTTATAAAAGAGTAACCAGCTCATGAGCGAGTAATTTTGCTACACATCAAACCCTTTTTGACCAGGAGCCGTGTAAGGAACTAGCAATATATCAAATACGGACATGTCACTGCACGATCCCATCATCAACGAGCCGCCTGCTCTGTCTCTGAAGCCTCGATCTACCGTCAATGGCGAACATATATCGAAGCCCACCCAAGAACACGAAAATGAGTGGTATCGCTCCGTCTTCTCTTCCAACGGTTATACCATCCAAGAACAGCCATTGCACACCCGGCGACCGATACGGATGCTAATCATCGGAGCTGGCGCCGGCGGATTGCAGGTCGCTTACAAGGCACTGAGACAGCTGTCGGACGTGACCTTCACCATCTACGAGAAGAACGCAGACGTTGGCGGCACCTGGCTAGAGAACCGGTACCCTGGCTGCACCTGCGACATCCCGAGCCATTCGTACCAGTTCACCTTCTGGCGAAAGCCAGACTGGAAGAGCTATTACGCGGGGGCGGAGGAGATCAGACAGTACCTCAAAGACTTCGCAGTGCAGAACGAACTGGAGCAATTTGTCAAATTCCGTCACAAGATCGAGGAGGCTCGATGGAACCAGGATAAAGGCGTATGGCAATTGAAGGGCCAAAGAGCTGACGGTTCCGAGTTTACCGACGAAGGAGAGATCCTAGCCTCGTGCCACGGTATTTTGAAGTACAGAAGAACCCCGAACTTCCACCACTTTGTCTTCTCGCGTGCTAATTCAGCTGATGTAGTTCCTGGAAGTTTCCAGATATTCCCGGAATCCAAACCTTCGAGGGCCAAGTTCTTCACAGTGCAGCTTGGGATGACTCTGTTGTCTTGGAGGGCAAGAAGGTCGCGGTTGTGGGCGGTGGATCCTCTGCAGTTCAAATCATACCGTCGATTCAGCCTCAGGTGGGCAGGCTTTATGCGTTCCTGAGGTCGCCAGTATGGATTACAGCAGGGTTTGGTGCCAAACACGCCGCTCCAGGGGGCGTCAATTTTGACTGTGAGTGCTTTCCCCTCAGAAGCCTCCTCGATTGGGTGTGGACTCGTTGACCTTACTTTTCCAGATTCTGAAGAACAAAAGAAGGAGTTTGAAAGAGACCCTGCCGCCTTAGACAAGTACTGCCGAGACGTCGAAGGAGAGTTGAACAAGCGGTTCACCCTGGTAATTTTGAATGCTCTCGATTTATCGACTGCCTCGGAGTTCCCGATACTAATTCCACACCCAGATGCACCTTGACAGCGAGGATCAGAAGGCGTCCCGAGAATATGTTGCCGACAGCATGTTCAAGAAGCTAGCTGGAGACCCTCGCTTGACCAGCCATCTCATTCCAAAATATGCGCTGGGATGTCGAAGGATGACTCCCGGGTCCGATTATCTTCAGTCGCTGCTGAAAGACAATGTCGAGGTCATAAGCCAATCTGCCGTCGAGGTAACCCCGACAGGCCTGATCGATTCCTCAGGCACCCATACCGAGGTCGACGTTATTGTCTTTGCGACAGGTTTCGACACAAGCTTCAGCCCATCCTATACAGTTGTCGGCCAGGATGGCAGAACTTTGCGAGGAGAATGGGGTGACTTTCCCAAGTCATATTTGAGTATCATGGCCGAGGGCTTTCCAAATATGTTCCGTAAGTACTTACTCCGACCATCTGTTCATGCTCAGCTATCGCCTCAAGGCAATACAGAACTAACAATGCGCTTCCAAAGACTTTCCCGGGCCCAACGGTCCTGCTTCCCATGGATCAGTTCTGCCCATTCTGGAGTGGCATACTCGCTATGTGTTCAAGGTCATCTCATACATGCAAGCAAAATCCATCAAGTCAGTTGTGCCGACAGCTCAAGCTGTGACCGACTTCTTTGTTCACACCCAGGAGCTGCTCAAGCGCACTGCGTGGTCCTCGTACGTCGCAAAGTTCATTTTCTCCCTCCCTGAAACGAACTGAAGCTGATTGCCATACAGAGCGTGTCGGTCGTGGTTCAAGAATGGCAAAACACATGGTCCAGTCACGGCGATATGGCCTGGTAGTCGTCTACATTATTTTGAGACTCTTAAAGAACCCCGCTTTGAGGATTTCGAAATTCAATACCTCGGAGACGGAAACAGATTCACGTACCTTGGGAATGGATACACCAACACTGAGCTGGACGAGGACGGTAACCCCGTGTGGTACTTTGATATATTGGAGAAAGAGCTGAACTCAAAGATCGGAGCATTTGATTTGATCGAGTCGTGAACTCTCTAGGGCTTCCAGATACTCTGGAGACGGCCTCATGGCGCATTCATGTTAAACGGCAAGTCGAACATGTTTTGAAATTCTTCCAGACTCCACGGGTCAACAATGGCGGGGTCTGGTATCTCATATCTGTCTCGAGTGTGAGCGTTAAACACGGAGAAGTTTGAGAACTGCGGAACTCACAGGGGATCACTGTAAATTTGATCGAAAGATATGTTAGAGCCGTCCATCAAATAGAAAGGATTGGATTGAAGACGATTGTCGATGTCGACGGCCGTCTCTCCTTGGTCGTTTGGCCCATTTGCATTGCTGTTGTCCGGGTTTCTGTCGAAGCCGTTACTTTGTCTTGCGGACTGATCTCCGGAGCCTTTCAGAATAGCCTGCGCAGTTTCAAAAAGCTTGAAGGTGAAGTCTGCACCCCAATAGGTATTGCGCAATTCTGATATAACCATCATGCACTCCCCAAGCTTCGACCACGCAAGGCTTCGAGCCAGAGGACGGTTTGATCTGCACTCAAGCAAATGCATTTGCATTGCTGGTACTATGGCAGTAACACTGGAAAGCGAGTCAGTGTCGCGCTTGATTTCGATGCTGGGGGCATCCTTCGTCACCTCATGGGCCTTAAATGATGTACCATATCGAAAGAAATCAATTTCTCGATGATATGGTTCATCCGACCAGCTGCTCCCATGGCTTTCCGTAGTGGCTCTGACGCTTCAGGACTTTTCGGGCTGTCGGGGGGGTCTTGGAAGTTGATCGCAGGTCGGTGAAGAACAACTACTGTGGCTCTGCAAGTTCACGTAAGCTACCTGTAGAAAATCTCTGGTATACGGGTGTAACCAACTCAAGAAGCATCTCAAACTGCAACCTGTTCAGGGAGACGAGGAATGAACTCTTTCCAAGTGGGGGATCCGGGGCAAATCGACAACTTTCCAGCTCAATTTCATGGGCTTCGATAGTGCCGCTGTCCGGGTCGCCTGGCGATAGCTGGTAGTTCGTCCGCAGAATCTTTCCAAGAATGTGGCTCAATCTAATGAGCCTGACCCAGATAACTGCGAGTTCACTCATTGAGCTGGGTAAGTATTTGTTGGTAACCTCGGGAGGCAATTGTTCAACCTCTGCAGTCAGGTCTTGGGCGTCCGGCATCTGAACATCACAGTCGTCGATATTGATTCGCATAGGTCGCCCCAATCCCAGCGATAACCAGCGATCTCTCATGAAGCAAGACCACCATATTCGCCGAAGCAATCGCTGCCGAAGTCTTGTGGATGCACTCTCCGACGCCAAATGTGGTTCACGATGCAGTCCCATTACCTGACAAAGGCCAGTGGCAATTCCCAGCCAATGCCAAGGTCCGTTTCTGTCCTCGGCATCCGAGTACCAGAAGCCCAAGAGGCTCGCCGACTGAACCACACAGATTTTGTCATCCTCGTAGTCGCTGTCGTATAGAGCCTGTTGAAATGATTAAGTAACGGCTTCGAGTTTATCTGCAGGGAAGTACCTTAGCCTTGGTGTACATCGCACGCTTCATTGCCTTTCTAGAGGCATATCCAGCTGCTTGCAGAGTTTCTGGTTCAGCGAACTAGACATCGTCAGTTGTGACCATCTCTCTACACGAAAAGGGGCCTACATTTGCAGCGGCGAAAAGAACGCTCCACAGCAATAGAAGGTTCATGCTTGAAACACCCTTCAACGACAATTGTAATAGGAAGTGGCCGGCGTCGAGGACTGGTAGTAATGGATGGACGTGCTCAAAATAGCCGCGGATGAGCGAGTCACAGATCTCGGGGCTAGGCAAATCAAATGCTCCTTTACTTTGCAGGTAAACCCAATCATGGTGTTCCCATACTTTTTTGGGCTCCTGTGGGCGCATCTGAAGCCATAGCGCTGAGCCCACAGTCGGTCGCTGGCCGGAGCAAATTTCCATCACGGAGTGAACGAGGCCCTGACGGTCGCCTGAGATTGTCAGATTGGTCGCGACGAGACCTAGCCTGGCACACGATACCTGAATAGAACTGCCGTTCGTTATGGAAAGCACTGTTTGCTTGCACAGCTTCGGCAAATGAGGCTGGGTGTCTCCCTTCATCAGGAGTGTCGGAGCTCAATACGCTATGCCGAGAGCCCATATCATTCAGTCCTTGGAGATTGGCAGATATAGACATGGATGGTAAGGCATCATTCAACTGGTGGCTTGAATCCAATCGAGTCACTGCGTCTGGCGACCCAGGAGAGTTTGATGCAATCTGAACAGGGCTTCTCGAATTCGGCACCAGGGCTCGATGCTTTCCCCTTGTAGTTCTCTGCCTAGGGGCGCTTGTTAGAAGAGAATTGGTGGAGGCAGGTATGAATGATACGCACACATGCTTCTTCCTGGGCTGAACTTCACACTCTGTCCCGTCGTGACGGCAATTTGCGCATGGATGGCCGGTCGCCGTGACACTACAGCGTACCTTTCTCGCCTTGCACCGTTGACAGGCGACTGCGGACCGTCGCTTGCCTTCCACCTGCACAAACGAGAGTCTGCCATCCCCGGCCATGGTCACTCGTACGCCTGTTATGATATGAAGAATCGCCACTCATAGGCTAGCCGCCTTGGGGGCTTCAAGCTCTTAAGTAGGGAGTGTGAAGGGTCTGCCGAGGCTAGAGGACCCTATGCGGACGTTGAAATCGGAAGCAGCAGGTGAGCCGACGAGGGGCAAAGCGGCGAGCAGCTAATCACAACTACGAAGACAAGACCAGCAGCTAGTATTTTCCTTTCTCGCCTGTTCATCATTCCCAATATAACATGAATTCTGGCCTCCCTTTCAAAGGGTATAGATGAAATCAGGCCTATTATCACCTGCAACCCATATCTCGTCCACCGTTTTCCCTTCATGCATCCGATCTCTCTTACCCGAGAGTCTCTTCCTGTTCTCCATTCTCAGTAACACATGCATGAGAACGCTACCGCCAAATAAGAAGAGCGTCAATGCTGCCAGCACTGTTCCGTGGCCCGTCCAATACCGGGGTTTTTGGCTGGATAAGTATATATTTGCGCTGACGATACCGTTGATGTTGCCACAGCCCACGACAATACCAATGACGACGCCTCGCTTGTAGACCCCTTCGATGTTGTTTGCGACCCATGCGGTGATATTAGGAATTGTCGGGTATATGCCCATAGCTGCCAGAAATGTGCCGGCGTATTGAACGTGAGGATTTTCTGTGGATAGCAGCATCACAAACCCTGTGATCCCGAGGGTTGCGACAGCCATATTGCAGTATCCACGACACTTGGTTTTGTCGGCGACCCAACCAGTGAAAATGGTAATTGCCGCAGCACAGGCATAGGGTGGCACTGAGAGTAACTGAGCATGCGTCCCAGCGTACCCAAGCCCAGCGAGGATGGTTGGGAGGAACAAGGAAAACGCATAAAGTGCAATCTCAGATCCTACCAGTGTGAGCCCAAAGCCCCAGGTTTTCCAGTCCCGAAAGGCTGCAAAGATATGGCGCTTATCGTATGCTTCTGCGGTTGAAGACTGTTTATCCTTAGCCAAACGGCGACGGAGACGAAGTCGGTCGTCTTCTGTGAGGAACCGAGCGGTATCCGGCCAATCAGATATCATCCACCAAGTGATCTGTAGATTGTCAGAAGCTGTCACATGAGAGAAGGGCAAAGAATCGAATCTCTAGAACCACAACACTGTAAGAGGGGAGAGTACATACGAAGCCGACAATCATAGTCCCGATACCTTCGAGGATGAAGATCCATGCCCAGCCTGGTTTACCACCCACCCCGTCCATCTTTGAGATGGCAGCGGCCAGAAGTCCACCAAACGATCCAGCTAGGGCCGCCATTGAGAAGAATATGGCTGCTCGGATTCCGATCTCGTCTCGCCGGTACCAGCAAGACAGATAATAGGCAGCACCTATCTCGCATTAGATTAGCTTCGAAAGAAAAAACTTTTTATAGAGTGCCACATACCTGGAAATAGACCAGCCTCCGCAAGACCAAGGAAAAATCTGGCAGCGAGTAGCCCCCCATAGCTTGTCACAAGACCCATCATTGTCATAATGAATCCTGGATATCTTCGTAAGCATGTAGGGAGAGAGTGATGGGAGAAGTAGACGGGCAGAATCAAGAATGAACCGACCCGTCTATTTAAGGATTAGGGCGCTTACCCCAGAGTACCATAATTCCCATAAAGAAGATTCGCGGCGTCAATCGCTTCAGAAGAACATTTGTCATAGCCTCTGCTATAGCATAGCTCACCTGGGCGAGTGATTAGCATGACAACCATTCTAAGATTTGTGGAGCCATACAAAGAAGACTGTCAATGCATTGTTATAGTCGTGTCCCTTCATGCCGAGATCATCCTCCAAGCCCGCCAGCCGCGCATTCCCAATGTTAGTCCTGTCGAGGAAAGACAGCAGGTACAGGAAGGAAAGCCATGGGATAATCCACATGTCGACTTTCCACATCAATTTGCGGTCCTTTTGCCGGGGAATGTCAGAAATTATAGAACTCCATGAGGAGCAAAAGTTGAAGCGCGACATACGATGGCTCTTCTCTCTTCGTCCGTCTTGCCTTCGTCCGGGTCGGACAAGGCGTTAATGTCTTCGGCCCGTTCAGCATGTATCTCGACGCCCTTCTCAACCGAAGGGTCGTAAGTGATTGGAAGTTCTCGAGGGGCAGTCATTGTGAAATTGAAAGAGCGCAACTTCGACCCAGAAAGCAGGAGTAATTGTCACTCGACTTTGGGTTTTGTAGGAGGAGATATATCAGCGCATTTAGGTCTTAAATAGATTGTACACCTTCCATGTCGAGGCTGCATTCATTTCTTCTGCTAAGGTGTAGTTGTCCCCACATTTTGAGTCGCGATGGCCGCCACCTTTCCCACAGTACAGTAAGCCAATCAGTTGGTCCGGGGAAGTCTGGGGAAGCTAATCTTTCTCGATGAATAACATGAAAATATAGAAATCTGTTGGAGATGAATAGAGTGATGCCCCCACCTGTAATCACGTCGCAAGGTAGTACGCCTCGTTTGAACAATCAACATTTCTCCGCATAGGAAACCGACGTACTCAGCATTGGTATGATGATTTACCGAGAAGTGCAAGGATCAAGTGGCGGCAAGACATCCCCAAGTCTCCTGCTGACGATCAATCAAATGGGATTGAGGTTGAATGGCCCAAAATTGTGCGTTTCTAGATGAGGAGAGAACTCCAAGAATCAGTGCGCGGAGAGAACTGCTCTTTGATTTCCTCTCCCATTTGACTTATAAACAGGTCTTTCGTGAGAATCTTAGAGCCGTCTTCTCAACAGTACTTGGTCGAGTTCCAGGAAACACCTGAAATCATGGATTCCAAATTACGTGTCCTGCAAGTGCCGGCAGTCGTCCGGGCCTCGCCTACAGACTTGATCGTAACACTCGCAATTGCTTTACCGGTTCTGTTGGGCACATACCTGGTAGTCAGCGAAATCCGCAGAAGAAGCGCCAGGCTACCCATCAAAGGCCCAACAGGTCTCCCAATCGTTGGCAATCTTCTTCAAGTCTATCCAGACCCTCCTGAGCAACTTCGAAAATGGGGTAAAGAGTACGGCGGGGTCTACCAGATCATGTTTGGCAACATGCCGATCGTCGTCTTCACCTCTATGCAGGCAGCCAAAGACGTTTTTGTTGGCCAGGGCGGTGCTTTGTTGGATCGGCCTCGATTCTACACTTTCCACAGTGTACTCTCAAGCGTAGCTTCCACGATTGGGACAACGACATGGTATGTATCCCCCCAGCCCTGACAAGCATTTTACTCAGCGAGCTCCACAGGAGTGAATCCACCAAGAGACGCCGTAAAGCCGCAGCAAGTGCCATGAACAGGACCGCGGTGGTATCATATACGCCTCTCATTGAAGAGACCTCGCGAGACTGGATCTCGGAACTCTTGAACCAAGGCAAATCTGGACAAGTGGCGATCAACCCCAAGCCTTTGATTCTCCACACCATTCTCGATCTGACAATGACAGTCAACTACGGCAGCAGACTTCCCAAAGAAGCCGGGTTGTTTGAGGAGATACTGTATGTTGAGGAACAAGTGTCCGGCTTCCGGTCCGTCGTTGGTGCTATGCAGGACTACGTTCCCCTTTTGAGATGGAACCCAATTAATCTCAAGTCAGCTCACGCGAAGAACACCAATGCAAGACGGTTGGCGTATCTGTATCGCTTTAGCGAAGAGCATAAGCAGCAGATGAAATTGGGCACGGACAAACCCTGCATTCAGGGAAACGTCCTACGAGACCCGGATCACAAATTCACCGAAGTTGAGCTAATGTCGATCAATATGTCCATGGTCTCGGGTGGTATCGATACACTTGCAAACACTCTGACATGGACAATTGGCACTCTGGCCCGCCGCCCGGACATACAAGAGACAGCTTATCAGGCCATCAGGGACGTCTATGAGGCGGAGAACTGGGGAGACGTGCAAGAGGAAAAGGTTCAGTACCTTTCAGCTCTTGTCAAAGAGAGCTTACGCTTCTTCTCTGTCCTCCGACTGTCTTTGCCGCGAAATGCTATACGAGATATCGAGTACAAGGGCATATTCATCCCCCAGGGGACCACCGTCTTCTTGAATGCTTGGGGTTGCAACCGAGGTATGGTGAACTAATAAATAAGAAATTTGCTTGGGCAGCCAAATGCTGAAATGGCCTCAGATGAGTCTTTCTTCGGACCCGATGTCAACGAATATCGCCCGGAACGCTGGTTCGAGGATGAAAACACACGCCTTGATCACGCTGCATTTGGAATGGGTGGGTAGAAGGCTCTAAAGCCTGGAAGCTTTCTCATGCTAACCTCCTTTCAACGGATAGGCACACGTATGTGCGCCGGTAACCAGCTGGCTAGTCGTCAACTGTACACGATGCTCCTCCGCCTGATATGGGCATTCAAAATCGAACTCAGCAGAGATCCGTCCGATAACAACTGGGGAATTGATCCACTGCGGGTAAGCCTTTGCCGCAAGATACACTCTGCCCCTGATTCCCATGCTAACTACGACAATCTTTCATCCAGGATTCGACGGAACCAGATGCATTCGCAGCGCGGCCTCCGGAGTACAAGGTCAGATTTGTACCACGCAACCGCCCTGCTCTGGACAAGATGTTGACCGTCTGATTGATGGATAAACTTATCGAATGTGCCGAATGTGAGATGGAGCGAAGGGAGAAAGTAGAGGAATAAAGCTAGGAGACTCAAAGGGGCAAATTTCATTTCACAGATAGTAACAACGGATTTCATGCATCGACTATAGTTTTCAAAATGAAGGATTCGATTTGTCCCTACTTTGCTCTTGGATCCCTCTCAATAACCTATCACTATTGAAACACCTACCTCGTGTTGCTCAATCATGGACGAGTTGATCACTGCGGCACTGTTTCTGCAACACAAACTGCAGTTGCTCGAGGTAGCGCCAGTAGATAGATCAATTGAGCAAGTTGTTCCCACACCTCCGCTCTACTTGAGATTCCAAACGTCATGAACAGCTCTACCAAAATCACCCTTCAACTTGCGGGCAATATTTGGGGTAATCAAAGTGGCGACTTGCAGGTCACTCTGGTGACTCTGTATTTGGAGATGGGGTGGAGGTTTGCCCCCGCAAGGCTGAGGCCGAGTGTCCCCGCACCTTCAAATGCAGAACTAAGTTATGTCTATATAAAACCCCCAACTCCCCTGGGCAGATGCCGCCACCTTAATGCCGCCACCCATCACGCCGGCTTAGTACATTTTGCTTTACTTGCTTAGCTGGGAGTGCGTAAGCACATCTACCCCCTCTTCGAGTCGCCGGATGCTCAAATCCGATAACCATTCATGTCTACGAAGAATGGATCAGAATCTCAACAGCAGGTGCAGGGGAAGGGTAAAGTACGTCGCCGGGTACCTCCAGCATGCCAATTCTGCCAGCGGTCGTTCTCCCGCCTCGAGCACCTGCAGCGGCACCTGCGAAGGCATACAAATGAGAAACCATACCAGTGTCAAACGTGTTCGAAATCCTTTGGCAGAAGCGACCTTTTGGTACGCCACAATCGACTGATTCACTCATCCGCTCAGGACGCTGCGACGCAAGACAATGGAGTGGGAACTTCACTTCAATCGTCGCCTCCAAGGACAATGACTTCCAGTGCAACAACGCCAGCACAAGACACCATGGTGACCCGGAGGACACCCGCGGCTGCTGCTTCTGCGATACCTGAGAATCTTGCGGACCCAATGCAGTTGCCGAACGAAGTCACTCAGTGGCATCCAGAAACACAGCCTCGAGACGATTCCCGCATTGAAATCAGGGATGATGCATTTGAAGATAGCAGTATGCTTCCATTTGCCCTGTCTGCACCATTACAGGACCCGATGCAAGATTTTAACTTGTTCCTGGAAAGCATCGGGCTGAGCCAAAGCTGGGAACCCGAGGTGGTCTCAACCATCGAATCACCTTGCCTTACGACGGATTTCTCGATAATCTCAACGTCAAACTTTCAACAGCAAGGCCAGGTGGAGCCTTATCCCAATCCGCGGTTTCAGAATGAAGATGCTCCATACTCGACTTTCGGCTCACGTTTGCCATCTCTGCAACCCGAGTCTCGCGACCCCGATGGCAGGAGAAAACCTCCCGCGGATGAACCAGCAGCCAACGTGACATCCATCCGCAACGTCGGAAAGCCAGAATACCACGCCTTTGTTAAGAGACTCGAGGGTCTGAAAGATATACTTCCTACAGACTTCGCTTTACCGTCCAGATGGGCACTCTCGCGCTCGTTTGATGGCTTCATTGACGGACTGAACGAACACCATCCATTCATCCACACCTCCACGGTCTCGATAGAGAGCTGTAGTCCCGCACTTACACTTGCACTAGCAGCATGTGGTTCTCAATATCGTTTCGAAGAAGACCGGGGGTTTGATTTCTTCTACGCTTCGCGAGCCCTTCTGATCCATAGTCTGAACCGCCAAGGAGGCTTCAGTCTCGCCATTTCCGCCACCCAGAGGGGCTCTCGGGAGTGGAACAATATCGAAAGCGCCCAGCCTGGTAGGTGTGAACCGAAACAGGCAGATCTACTGGAGAACATCCAGGCTCTCTTCCTGCTTACCATCTTCGCGACATGGGGAAAGGATAGAGCGATACTCCAGGAGATGCTTTCCTTTCAAGAGATACTGGCATCCATGATCCGGGAAGATGGCTTGAGCGAGGATGATGAGACAACCTTCAATCTGACGACCCAATCAGACGACATAAATTGGCGTCAATGGGTGAAGCAAGAGTGTAGTCGACGGACCAAACTTGCGGCCTTCACCTTTTTCAACCTGCACTCGATCATGTATAATAGAGCTCCTCTGATTCTGAACGCAGACCTCAGGCTGAACCTGCCATGTTCTTCCGCCTTGTGGAAAGCCACCAGCGCCGATGAATGGAGGATCACGTATGAAATGTGTTGCCGATCGGGGACCGCCACAGGAATGCCGTTTCAGACTTCTTTTGCCCTTCTTTTCGAGCGGCCACCCTCTCTTCCGAATAATCTCCCACTGTCAACTCCTATGGGGAACCACGTCCTCTTGCACGGCATCTTCCAACACATCTTCTTTGCTCGTCAGTTGTGCACATCCTCACCGTCACGACGAAGTCCAAGCCAAAGCCTACGTGCTGAGGATTTGGCCATAATCGAGGACGCGCTTCGAGCTTGGAAACTCCGCTGGAAACAGACCCCCGAATCAAGCACCAATCCTCGCAACCCGGCGGGGCCGATCGCTTTCACCTCAACCGCACTCCTGGGCCAGGCTTATGTGCGATCATACCTCGACCTTGGACCCTCAAGGGCTCTCATTTCGCAAGACCCGGCATTGATTGCTCAATCATTGATCCAAGCGCCTCCGGTCGAACGTACCTCTGGACTTGTGATGGCTCTGCTCCATGCGGCACACGCTCTGTCCATGCCAGTGCGCCTGGGCATCGACTTCGTTGCGCGGAGCCACTCGTTCTACTGGAGCGTCCAGCACTCTCTGGTCAGCCTGGAATACGCGTTTCTGCTGAGTCGATGGCTCCTTGCGCTCCCAGGGTCGGGCAGCCCGACTTCGATGTCGGCCCGCGAACAACTGCTCTTCCTATGGATCAAGAGGATGGTGGACGAGACCAAAGTCACCAGATATCTGTGTTCACCAGGGAACGGACAAGCACAGGAGCAAGGAGGCCGCTGGGCAACGTTGCATCTGGTGGAGGATGAGGCGAGAATGAGACAATTGGGCGGTGCCATTGTTCGAATCTGGGCGAGGACTTTTAAAGGCAACACGTGTTGGGGCGTTGTTGACATAGTCAGTCAGAGTTTAGAGTCATATGCCGCACTCTTGGAGCAAACCTAACATGGATGCCGAGGACGGTGTATAACAAGAAACGATCCGTCTGTGATCCTAACCCGTTGGGTTTAATTCCTTGCCGTTCAGCGACCCCCGACACAGTCGCTAATCTCGAGATATCCTTACAGGCGTTGGCCGGCTCTCGAAAGTCATGAGAATCGAAACATCTATCCACCATATCAATGATGGACCATCTGTAGCAGCTACCTACCCTCAAAGGGACGACAAGCGGGATAGCTTCAGAGCTGAGAGGTCGAAAAGTACTAAACCCCCCTGGCACTTTTCTATCTAAGCCTACCTAGGTAGCTACACTCGGTATATCTGAACCACCTAATTTTGTTCAACTAAACACGGGGATGATCAGCGAGGAGGATAGCCAGCCTCAGAGCCTCATAGGTAAATTAAGGCCCGCTGAAGTCGAACCAGACTCTTGCCACATCACACTCTGGGGTCGCTGGCTCGGCAGCCTGAGACTAATAGGTATACCTGAAACCCACTAGGTTCTCGATCAAGATCCTGTTCTGATCGGCCTTGCCATTGCAGATGCGGAAATGGATTGATAGAAGGATGACGAGCAAAATTATCATGCCGTTGGCAGCGATACAGGTGATCATGCCCGGGTGGTACTCGGGGGCATCCTGGGAGCGGAAGACAGTAGAACCAGTGATACCACCAGTGCCGCCTAACATGACGAACACGGCGCTACAGAAGGCCCGCTTCCACTGTCCGCGGATGTTGTTTGCCTGTAGAAAACCTTCAGTATGTCGATCAATGGGGGTCTGGAGGCAGGATCACTTCCTTACCATGTATGCCATTGCCGCAGGGACATTCGCATTGGTGCCTGAGACCGCCAAAAAGACACCAACCAATCTGCTGGCATTGTTCTCCGTGAATGCCTATTTCAAGAGGTTTCGAGTCAGCTCTCGACGTTCTGGAATAGGTAAATGTGGTCCGGATCTCACCATCAGAGGCAGTCCAACAAGGCACAAGCACGCGTTGAAGACCAGGATGGGGCCCCGGACATGATACTTGTCGCCGGCCCATGCAGTTCCCAACATCACGATGCCTGCCAAGACGTACGGCGGTGAGTTGAGGCAGAGAGAGACGCTGGTCGAGAACCCCATCCCCTCTTGGAAGATGATGGGTAAGAAGTAGGCGTAAGAGTAAGCCGCAGTGGTGCAGGCGTAGAAAATCAACCCAAAGGCATAGATCTTGAGATCGGTGGCCGCGCTGAGATATTTCTTGAGGCTGAATTTGTCGGCCTGGGAGTCCGCACGGTCCTTGTCGATGCGGCGAAGGATGAAGTCGTACTCGGCGGGGGACAAAAATCGACGTTTCGACGATTTCATCTTGTCCGGAAAGTCCACAAGGACAAAATACGAGACAATGCCGACGACGATTGTTATCAGCCCCTCCATAATGAAGATCCACCGCCATCCCTCAATGCCAGCGGTACCTCCCTGCCCAGGCGTTAGCATAAAAGTTGTAGGCCAGGGGGACACCACGTGCCATTTCCATGAATCCGTACGACAGGATGCCGGCAAAGGCCGAAGCCACATTGCCTACGAGATAGAAGACGGCGAATCGCTTGTGTATGTCGTATCGGGAATACCATGTGGAGATCAGATACACGCAGCCAGGAAACATGCCAGCTTCGAGGATCCCGATGAGTAACCGGATCCCAATCAGCTGGGTCCAATCATTCACAAAGCCTCCACACATCTTCCGAGACAAGTTTGGTCAGACGCTGCGTTATGTGATTGGGGATAGCACGCGTAACGTACCATAACAACCCCCCAGAGGAATGTCACGCCGGACAAGAAGTAAATGGTGCCGATCTTGCGAAAAACCACCGTGGCAATCGGTTGAAATGCAACGTAGGTGGGGAAGAACATGAGTGCTATGATGCTCTGTCACCGTCGAGTGAGCAACAAGAGTAGCAGTAGTAGGGAGGATAAGCTTGTCTTACATATTGGCTGCCAACCAGCTTCAAATCTTTTTGCATGCCAGCAATGGATGCGGCTCCAAGGTTGCCCCTGTCCACAAGGGAGACGATATGGATAAGTCCCAGCATGCTGATGAGGCGTCGATCGACGCGATGGATGATTTTGCGCTGCTCCCTCAAGCTGTAGACAGGGTCATCGTCCACGTTGTCCGACTCAGACTTGACATCACCATCGATGGCTCGGTCTTCAGTGTGCTGTGGGACGATGATTTCTTTCTCCAAAGCCATGTTGCCGTGTTTTCTTTCCCCTAATCAAGTTACCGGCGTTCACCTTTGCTCGACTTGGAGAATAGGAACCCATCTGTGCGGCGACTCAGCCGTCTTTTATAGCATTCTTGACTGAAAGCGCATACGATGGCTCATAGAACGGGGAAGAAAGGATTTGTGGGGTAAAATCTGGGGTCAAACAGCTTCCACACGAATAAAATGAAGCCTGCTCGCCGAACGATATGCTCGGAGCCGAGAAGCATTCTTTCCATTGTGGCAACGGCTCGGCTTCCTGTCCCAGCCTTCCATATGACCATGGTACAAAAGCCTTCGCACGTCTTCATTCGTCTCCGTAGCACTGCGGAGTCCACACAGAGTTTGGCTGCCAAAGATGTGGAGGGCTAAGTCGGCTCAAAAGTCGGCAGCTTGGTAAAGATACCCCGCGTATACCAGTAGGTAGAGGGGAGAGTCTCCAATTGTCTCAGAACCCCAGCCCAGGGGAAGCCATATATCAGAAACATAGCCGGTCTTGTCCATCTTGGCTGTTCTGTGCTAGAGCAGAATCTCACCGCACCAAGACGACCGCAACAATGGGCGACGCAAGTGGACTTCCCGCGGACCTCGATGCGTCTTGCATCAAGTATTCGGTTCCAGAGCAGGCTTGCCAAACCCTTCGGGCTGCAGTTTTGGATAACGAGTGGCTCCGTCAGTATCTCCCCCAAGAAGCGGCTACCTTTGCCTCTCACATCAAGTTCGAAGGAGATCCAGAACCTAGCATACCGGTGCCGTGGCGCTTTGCCGAGTCTGCCTCAGTGTTGAGCGCACTCGAGGCCGCTCTCGTTGCAGCATTGGTGCAGAAGAAATACCACGTCCCCGTTTCCGACGCCATCATCAACACGGATCATGCTCAATTGTCTATCATGTCGTGCTACCTGTGGACACTTACCCCGGACTCCGGCGATTCTACGATGCCTGAGCAAAGCTCTGAGAACCTTCAGATCATCCCAGATACCAATTTTGGCCGCCGTGATTCGTCGTTGTATCGGAAGATGATCACGAGCATTTACAAGACCCGCGACGGCCGTTTCTTCAACCTGCACGCCAACTTCACGCCTGATCGAACTCTGGACATGCTTGGTCTCCCTCATGAGATGGATGTGAAGACGGTCGAAGCTGCCGCTGCCCCATTTGTGGAGAGGTGTTCGCATCTGTCGAGCCAAGAGCTCCAGACCCTCTGCGCTGATGTTTACAAACACGCTGGAGTCATTTGCGAGTCTCCCGAGTCTTTTCGAGGGACAGACCACGGCAAAGCCATTGAACACATCTCTTTGTTCGAAGTTCACAACCAGCCAAACCCGGCGCAGAAGCCCAGCTGGTGGCCGGATTGCCCCCAAACGTCATCCCGACGGCCTCTAGCTGGCTTGAAAGTTGTCGACATATCGCGCGTCATTGCAGCCCCAGTGATTTCACGAGGGCTGGCGGAGCTGGGAGCCTCGGTCATTCGAGTGGGAAACAAAGGTCTCCCCGATCTGAGCAAATTGCAAATTGACGTCAACTGGGGCAAGTGGACGACCGACATCGATCTCGGCACGGTCGATGGTCAGCAAAGCCTCCGTGATTTGATCTCGGACGCGGATGTGGTAGTCAATGGATATCGTCCTGGAGCGCTGAAAAAATATGGGTTTGACCCTGAGGACATCATTGAGATGGTCAAAAATCGACCGAGGGGTATCATTTCCGTGCGTGAAAATTGCTACGGGTGGCATGGTCCTTGGAGCGGCCGTCCCGGCTGGCAGCAGATCAGCGACTCTTGCACTGGTGTGTCTCACGAGTTTGGCAAAGCTATGGGCTTGGAAGAAGGGGAATGCGTGACACCACTATTCCCAAATAGCGACTATATGGGTGGACTTTCCGGCACGTGTGGCGTGCTAGTCGCCCTGATGCGGCGAGGTGAGATCGGCGGTAGCTATCTGGTGGACACGGCACTCAACTACTACAATCAATGGCTGGTTAAGTCAGTCGGACAATATCCTGCGTCGGTTTGGCAGAGACTGTGGTCCAGACATGGCAAGCCAGTCTACAGGTACGTTTTTGCACGGGTTCTCCAGTCCTCATTCTGATATTCCCAAAGGTCGTATCTCAGTCCAGCATTTACAGCCACGCCCACTCTATCAAAGATGCGCGAACTCGGTGGAGATGTGCAGTTCAGCCCAGACTTCTTCCACGTGATCCCAAGCAAGGCTCTTAAAAGCAAGATTAGGATGGTGAAGCCGGTCATTAGATACTCTGACGGGGATGTGGACCTGTGCTACAATGTCGGGACCAGAGGATCAGGACACGATGCTCCTCGGTGGCCCGAAGATTTGCTGGCCGAGGAGATTTTGTGATCATAGAAGGACAAGGATATGATCTTTAGGTTTTGGTTCTTGCTTTAGACATACTCGATGCCCTAGACGTATTCGACGTTTACTTCCCCATGTGACGGGCTATCCAAGCCTCGGCTGTCCGGCCATTAAGGGGACTGGTAGTTAGGCATGTAACTTGGCCTGGACGGCCTGAGTGTAGACCTTGTTCCTTAACACGGGTACAGCGGGGAAACAGCGCACTAAGAGGGGCATAACTGGAGAAGGAGGCCGAGGATAGGTGTCAATATTCGGTAATCTTCGACCTATTTGCCCAACCACGCCAATTGATGTTTATCTTGGGGCTCCCTCTTGTCCTTTGAAACCTCCTGGCACGCAAATTACGACATCATCAGCTTCACCAATGCTTGTGGATATCGCGACTGTATCGAGCACACCAGCGGCATGCCTCAGAGCGAAATCTTCTCTGCCACGTCGGTGCCTACAAGAGCTCGTGCCTGTATACCTTGCCACGAGCGGAAAGTTCGCTGCAACGCCGCTCAGGTCGGAACACCGTGCACAAGATGTATCAGAAGTAACGCGGTGTCGAGGTGTCACATGTTCAAGACTCCTCCCAGGTACGTTGACGAGTACAATATCACGAATACCTTGTTTCCATTCGGCTAACAGCAGATTGAAAGACTCGCCAGAAAACGTGCCAAGGTGACACCCAGCTCGACATGCTCTTCAGTACTTGGGCCTGAACCAGTTGTCCCATCCTCACCTTCGGACGGAGATCACTCTGTCAATGGTGCCCATAACTACTCACAGCTACTACCTCGGCCTGATCAAGTGGCCGCCACCTCTTCTACAAGCCTCCAAGCCCAGGAGCAAACTCCCTGCACGGCTGTGAGCCGTTCGGATGAGGTTGGGAGCCCGTTGCAAGACGACGCCCTCGACTATCGTCGCAATGATGTCAATCCAACGGCCATCTTAGGTGATGTTCTGGATGCGTCTCCGCAGCGATTCATGGGAATGCTGTATCCGAAAAAGACTACTCACGAATGGCGCCGGAGCGAACTGGATGCGGTAGATGCTGAATACCTGCAGCGAAAGCAGGCATTTGTGATCCCTGCTCGCCCGATCTGGTTTGTACTTGACCGGCTCCCGAGACGATTCTGTTTTTCTTGATCCCTTTGTTCCTCATGGCTTAGGCACTGCTTGAAGGGCCGAGTGACTTATAGTATTCTCAATTGCACCGTTCTCGAGTTCTCACTAACTTCTTGTCGCCAACAGCGACCAGTTACTACGGATCTTTTTCGAATGCACGTATCCGCTAATGCCTATCTTGGACAGGGCTCAGTTTGCCCAGAGCTATACGAGTGGTGACTGCTCAATATTTCTCCTCCAGGCAATACTTACACATGCGGTACATTACGGCCCATTGCCCCTCCTCATCGAGGCAGGCTACTCTGATCGGTTGGTGGCTGCCAAAACTCTATATGAGAGAGCACGAGTACTCTACGACTTCGGCATGGAAAAGTCGCCGCTGGTCGTCCTCCAGGGCTGCATTCTTCTCCACGGTTCCTATCTTGCCGTGAAGACGGAACGCGACTTTCGATTTTGGCTGGAAACTGCAACCCGAGTGGCCACTCAGATGGGCATGCACAAGGAGGCGACCCATCAGAGTGTCGACATTGCATTCCGTAAGGTGTTTCGGCGGATATGGTCCTTCCTGAGCTACAGAGACGTGCTGGTGTCGTGCGCGGGCCTCAAACATAGCAGATCTATTCCTGATAGCTGCAATGTTCACGACGTCACAGAGTCCGACTGGGAGGACGAATCGACCCTGGTACAGTACAGCAACATCATTCCCACCGTCTCTCGACTGCAGAAGCTCTACTTTATAGAACTTGTCAGATTGTCGAAAATTGGTGAGCATTCTCACGTACTCCCCAGACCCATCCTTCTTATTGATATCTGTGCAGCTGCACTGTTCCTACGGCTGCTCAACGTCCCGCCAGATATGCGTACAGACGAAGCCTTTCAAGACCTTGAAACGTCGCTGCTCCGATGGCGGAATTGCTTGCCCGTGGAACTACGCCTCGAGACGATAGCGGAGTGGTCGGTCGACAACGTCTGGATCTTGTTCCTCCGCATGGACAGTTATCGCTACGAGGGGGGATTCTATCGCGCCTGGAGAGAGTTTGGTCGACTCTCAGGGGATGATTCCGCGTTCAAAACTGCCTTGCGGAGACAACAAAACGCCATGCTGGAGGTAGACTCGGTGATTGATCGCCTGACACTCCACGAGCTCGTTCATTACTGTCCTGTGACTGCGTATGTGGCCAGTCCCTCCACACATCAAATACTGACGTTACCACAACTGACAGGTTTACCAATGCTGCAGTCAACCTTGCAATGCACATTGAGATCTCATGCAATCCAGCTACGACGGACCACCAGAGACAGATTGTGCACGGCCATATGCGATGCGACCTTTGGTTCTTGAGTCGCGGTACAGAGCGTTGGCCGTATCTCCAGAAGATGTTTGGACTTTTGCGCAAGGTACTCTCTCAGACTAAGTTCTCTCTCGATCCTCTGCCGCACATATTGGGTCAAGACCCTGCGATGGTGTCTGACAGCGAACGCCACCAATATAATACCTCTCCGGCGCAGACGGATGGTCAAGTGGCTATGTTTGGGAACCATTCCAACGACAGTCCCGCGGACGCCCTTTTCAATACATTCTCTGGTATAGCGCTGTGGGACGCCGCTGGCGACAGCATCTTCGAAGACCAGGTGCTATTCTTTCCCGATCTTGACTGACTTCGACGCATCGCCTTTGAGAGAGCCAGGACAGGCCACACACTGCTTGGTCGGTCCCAAGATCAGCCTTTCTCGAGAGCCGATTGGAGCCTCGGCGCCGCAGTGGATGCTCGGCCTTCCTGTAGACCTACGCCGCAGATTGGAATTTTGGACCTGGCTTCCTGCCTCAGTAACAGAGAAGGCGGCTCCTGGTTTCTCGGGCAAATTCAAGGCTGAGTCGGATACGCTACCATTGACGCCCGGTCGGATTAGCGAAGACAGACGTTTGCATGTCGTTAGCCACGAGACACCTAGGATTGAAAAGACTGAAGCAACGGGCGCTTCGTAGAGATATAATGGTCGACTTAATTGTGACAAGATTTCTAATTCTGCTATACACACGGCCCATGTAAGTTCAAAGCTTCGGACTCGGGTTTGAAACGGACTGCAGCGCTGTTTCTGCTTGTTGGTAGTACTTGGGAACACGTCCTGGATCCCGGGGTATTCTGACCATGCCATCCTGGATCGTGCTCGCCACGACCCTGCCCGACTTGTAATTCCACAGCCTGCTCTCGTGACACCCACGGCCGGCGCCCGAATTGCTCGTCCAGGCTTCCTGCACGAACCATATAGGGTTTCCTTGTTCATCAAGCATTTTCAGACGGGCAGGATCTCCATGGAAAATGACAGTGTGGGACAGAGATGCCAGGACGGCTATCCGGTCTGCCAGGCCATGTGCTCGTGGGATGAGAAATAAAGAGTTTCGATCCGACGCATACAAGTGGGCCGCGGCATGGAGATTCAGAATCTCGCTCGTCGTCTTGTTCAGGAGTTCTCTCGACTCTGCGTCGACGATGAGGCGGTAGAAGCACAGTTGTCTTCGACCTGCCGCTGGATGTCGAGTCGGGTGCCTGGAGGTCTCGTTGTGCCCTGACATGTCAACCTTCCGAATATCAACCCCGGGAAACATGTCATTCGTGACGCGCCACGCATCGTTATTGGCGTTGTACCACCAGGGAGCGTCTGCGCCTGGGGCAAGCGGGGTCTCCTCCGGCTTTGTCCGATCCAGAATCGATGAGTACGTCTTCGTAAAGTCTTCGAACGTCTCTGCCTGGTGCTCGAGGGGGATCCATGACTTCGACTCCTCGTAGCGCTTGAAAGATATCGTGGCCACGAAACAAGGCCTGGCCGACGGCTGGGACCCTTGAAACACTTCAACCGTCCTCCAACTGAACGACCTCCCATCTCCGATTCGTCGAACATGGTAGACGAAGGGTGCGAGAACAGAGCCCCCAAGGATGAAATGACCTGTGATGTTGTGGATCACGAGTCCATCCTCCACAGTCTTGCTGGCCGCGATGGCACTCTGCGCGTAGACATGGCCACCGAAGGCTCGATTTCCCCCACTGGACGGCCATGCTCGATGGACAGATTCGTAGACATCTTTGTCGGTCTGCTTCAACGCCATCAGGCGGAGCCATGGGAGTCTTTTGGCGTCAGTCATGGGCGTATTCTGGCCGCTCACCTGGCCCCCTCGGTGACTGCTTCTCAAGGCAGAATGCTCCGCCACAGCGTCGTCAAGATCAGCACATATTCCCTTGCTCACCAAATGATGTCCTATAACCTCGCTGTCGAAGTGAGAAGGCTTCAACAAAGATACGCCATTGCGAGTCGCTCTCGGCTGGAAAGACGAGACTCGGCGTTTTAAAGGCGCTCAGTCACAGTCCTTGACGATGGAGTTTACGGTGTGCCACCACCATGAGGGGAGCCTCGGCAAAGACGCCGTGCTCCACCAGCCTTTATCAAACCCTTGCCGAATCGAACGCGTCGAGGCTCGGTTGAATCGGCTTCCACCCCACGGAAGAATCGCTCTGACATCGAAATTAAAACCTGAGCTTGTGTTTGACGTCGACGCCTCAGGATTGACCCGAAAATTCACGACACGCTTTAATTTCTACTCAGGGCTGAGCCGGTGTCGTTCCGCCAAATCGCCATGGCTGCATCTCATGGCACACCGGATGTGGTGTGGCGTCCCACGAATCCTGACGAGACGCCCATGGCTAGATACAGATCGCGCGTCAATGAACGTTTCAATCAAGATCTGAAGGACACGAAAGAACTCCAAAAATGGAGCACCGAGCAGCCACAACAATTCTGGATCGATCTATACCGATTCTTGAACTTTGTGCCGCCCTTGCCTCCCAACATCACCAAAGCTTACGACGACACGGTTCCCATGAGTACGAACCCGCCATTTTTCTCGGGACATGAGTTGAACTATGCGGAGAATGTGCTCTTCGCCAACCCAGACCCTGAGGCTCCTGCCTTGATAGGGATCAGAGAGGACCAGGACATCTACGCAGACCAGGCCGAGGTCATCAGCTGGAGAGGATTTCGCGAGAGAGTCCGGCAGACTGCGAGCGCACTGAGACGGAGCGGCATCAAGAAGGGCGACCGAGTCGGCGCTTTGGTGGCGGCATCCAACTGGGCAGTGATCCTTTTCCATGCCACCGCGTCGTTAGGGGCCATCTTCACCTGCATCAGTCCGGAACTGGGCGTCGAAGGCTGCGTGGCGAGGCTTCAGCAGGTCACGCCGAGCATTCTCTTTGTCGACAGCGACGTCGTGTACAAAGGCAAGGCGGTGGCCACGGCCCAGAAACTCGACGAGATTCTGAAGCAGCTTCGACGGCGCCCGCAGGTCTTCGTGATCCCGATTTCGACCAAGCCGACCAACGTCCCAGACATCAGTGCATTTCTCCGCAGATCGACTCCGTCTGACGACCTGACCTTTACGCGGGTACCCTTCAACTATCCGCTGATGATATGCTATTCTTCCGGCACTACGGGAGCGCCAAAATGTATTGTCCACCAGCATGGTCTCGTCATGCAGGTGAAGAAGATCTCCACCCTGCACAACGGCCTCGGGCCGGGGGATGTGGTGATGCAGTTCTCGAGTACCTCCTGGGTCGTGTTCTACGTCATGTGTGGTCATCTTTCGGCCGGTGCAACCCTGGTGGTGTACAACGGCAGCCCTCTGTTTCCCGACGCCAAACAGTTGATACGAATCTGCGACAAGTACCGGGTGACATTCCTCGGAGCGTCCCCACGCCTTCTGTTTGAGATGGAAATGACGAAAACCGTGCTGAAGGACCATTTCGACCTCACTCCTCTGCGCGCACTATACACAACCGGCGCTCCCTTATTGGTCGAGCAATATCGATGGATTTACCGAGCATTTCCTTCTAAAATGCAGATTTGCAATGTAGGTTCTATTTTTTTGGGCACCTATTCCAGTGCCCAAATTCACCTGGAGTTTCCCTTGTTCCGTCTGAAATGCTAATCTGATAATGACTGGTAGACCGCTGGCGGGACCGACACGGCGACCTCGATCATTGCGATGGACCCCTGCGCACCAGTCTACGCGGGTGAAATGCAAGTCGCCGGTCTCGGGATGGATGTGGACATCCTGGATCCCCACACGGGCGAGTCCATCGCGCATACCGGTCAGCCCGGCGAGCTGGTGATGCGGAAGCCGTTCCCCAGCATGCCATGCTTCTTCTGGGGGGACACGGATGGCAAGATCTACAGATCTGCCTACTTTGAGCGTTTTGACAATGTCGACGTCTGGGCTCAACATGACTGGCTGAGCAAAAACCCCGCGACAGGCGGCTATGTCATGCACGGAAGGAGTGACGGTGTCCTAAGTAAGTATATGTCTCTCAGGTGGTTGTCGTTGAGGATGTGTTGTTGACCGACTCCGCGCAGATCCCTCAGGTATCCGTTTCGGCAGTGGCGAGATTTATGCGATCGTCGAGGTCAAGCCGTTCACCGACTACATCAGCAACACTCTCTGTGTCGGCCGGCGAAGACCAGGCGACCCCGACGAGCAAGTCTTCCTCTTCCTGGTCATGAAGCCCGGCGTCGAGTTCACGGAACAGCTGCGGTCGGAGATCAAGACCAAGATCCGCAACGCACTGTCCCCGCGACATGTCCCCAAGTTCGTGTTAGCGGTGCCGGATATTCCAATCACGATCAACGGCAAGAAGATCGAGATTGCAGTCAAGGACATCCTGAGTGGGAAAGAGGTCAAGCCGAGTGCCACGGTACAAAATCCCGAAGTCCTGGCGTGGTTCAAGCGATTTCGAGATCTGGAGGTCGAGCCGAGAAGTGCGAAGCTATAGACAATACCGAGCCAGCGCTATTAGATTCAGATTTCTGTTGGAAGATGATTCATCCATCTATCGTGTCGTGATGTAGTCCCGTTAAGCGATTATTGGAGCGGCTGCGAAGGGTAATACACACACAGTATTCGTGCGAGCGTGGGGACAAGCTTTTGCCTTAGCCCGTGCTCGTAGATGGCGTGAATCAATGTGTCCTTTGTATCTTCCTATGAGGGGGAACAAACCAAATTTAATTGTGCACCCCCATGGATCCTCATTGGCAAGAGTGAGTGACTCGCTAAACCAAACATGAGGCGAGGCACATCTCCTATCATGGTCAAGTCAAGCCACAGCGCCCTCGTTCGACTTGGCGCGGCCGGTGAATCTGGCGAGCTGGATGCCCAGTCGGCCCCAACCGAGTCTGCCTGGTGAGCCTCATCGGGCAGACGCGCCTTTCGCTTCTCTTGATGGAATGTAGGCTGTCTGTCCAATGTTCTCATAGAAAGAAAGTCACTCATTCAACATAGATGTTGTTAAACGGTTCATGAATTGTAAACTGCTCGCAGATGCGGAGCCTCGCAGGAGTGTCATGCCTATCATTATTTGACTATCTGATCGAGGCGGCTCGGCGGCAGGGCAATGGATCCGCTCAGCGCCTCTGCGAGCGTCATAGCCGTCCTCCAATTATCAGGCGAAGTGGTCAAGTATGTCAATGAGGCGATAGGAGCAACGACAGAAAGGAAGCGGCTCCGCGACGAGGTGCGCGCATGTGAAGACGTCCTCCAACAGCTCAAAGACGAGGCCGCCGAATCGCGCGAGGACGAAGACTGGCGGAAGAGAATCAAGGCGCTCGAGGGCCCCGACGGACCATTGACCCGGCTATCTGCGACATTCAAAATCCTCAAGGTCGAGCTGCAGCCGAAGCAGGGTCTGAGAAGGATTTCTACCGCCTTGAAATGGCCACTGACGCGGGAAAAGGTCGACAAGCTCGTTCAAGCGATCGAGCGTGAGAAGAGCCTTCTGACTTTTGCTCTGACCAACGATTGCAGGAAGTTGATGCAAAACATCAAGAAGAGCGCCATCGAGAACCACGACCGGCTTGCAGATTTGATCGCCACCCTTGAAATACACAGCACAAGCCGATTCGAGGAGCTGAAGGGTGACATCGAAGTTGCCTTTGGTCATCTCAAAGGCTCCCAGGAAAGAAAAGAAGCAGCAGGAACACGCGAGGCAATTCTCCGCTGGCTCACTCAGATCGACTATGCCCCCCAACAGAACGATTTCGTGAGCCTGCATCAACCGGGGACATGCGAATGGCTTCTTCTCTCCCCGCAGTACACGTCGTGGCTGCAAGCCCACAAGCAGACGTTGTTCTGTCCTGGCATCCCGGGGTCGGGGAAGACAATCATGACGTCCGTTGTGGTTCAGGACCTCTTGGAAAAGAGGCGTTGTCAGGAGATCCCATGTGCTACCGCTGAAAACGAGAGCTGTCAGTGCGCCCGCGTTGGCATTGCGTACCTGTACTGCAACTTCCGTCGCCAGCACGAGCAGCAGTCTCAGGACTTGCTCACAAACCTACTGAAACAGCTGGCGGCTCAGACCTCTCTACCGGGGGCGGTGAAGGACCTCTATGATCGACACCACAGTGAAAAAACCCAACCTACCCTCCTTGAGATTTCCGACACCCTTCGCACCGTGGCTGCCGGCTATTCCAGAGTTTTCCTCATTGTCGACGCCCTGGATGAGTGCCATGTGTCGGACGGAAACCGATCGAGATTTCTGTCCGAGCTATTCGAGTTGCAGGACAAAACTGGCGCGAACCTATTCGTGACTTCGCGACCCCTTCCCGCCATCGAGCAGAGTTTCGAGGGCTGCATTTCTCGCGAGATCCTCGCGACGGAGGAAGACATTGGCATGTACATCGACGGCCACATGTCGCAGGTAAAGCTGCCGGACTTTGTTTTGAGAAGGGCAGACCTACAGGACGACATCAAGGCGGGGATTGTTAAATCCGTGCGAGGAATGTGCGTGGACGCCGCCCTCTCGTCACTTCTCATATCCGTGCTGACTCTGCTAGGTTCTTGCTGGCAAAGCTCCATCTGGATTCACTGGCGGGCAAGAAGTCCCCCAAGGCGGTCCGAAACGCTCTGCAGAATTTGGCCGCCGGGTCCGACGCCTACGACCAAGCGTACGAGGACGCGATGGAGCGGATCGGAAGCCAGCTCAAAGACCAGAAGGAGCTCGCCATGCAGGTCCTGTCGTGGATCACCTGTGCGAAACGACCACTGACCACGCTGGCGCTGCAACACGCGCTGGCCGTCGAACCCGACGAACCCGATATCGACCAGGACAATCTCACAGAGGTCCACGATATGGTTTCCGTTTGCGCGGGACTCATCATCGTCGACAAAAAGAGTGATATCATCCGACTGGTCCATTACACCACCCAAGAGTACTTTGAGCGTACCAAAACTCGCTGGTTCATGTCCGCGGATGACACTATTGCCCAAACCTGCCTCGCCTATCTCTCATTTCAATGCTTTGCATCCGGGCCCTGTCTTACCGATGAAGAGCTCGAGAAAAGGCTACTGTCATATCCTCTCTACGGCTATGCGGCTACGAATTGGGGGTTTCACGCACGCACACAATCTCTCAAAATTAGAGAGCTTGTCCTTAGTTTTCTGGAGAGTGATCCCATAATGAGCGCCTCTAACCAGGCGGCGTTGGCTTCAAAGGGATCTCCCGGGTACAGTCAGAGGGTGCCACGTTTCAGGACGGGACTACATATTGCAGCATGTTTTGGACTGACCGACGTGGTCATGTCTCTGCTCATGAAAGGATGTGAGACGAGTCCGAAAGACAGCTATCTCCAAACTCCACTCATGCTGGCGGCGGCAAATGGTCACGACGTTGTTGTCTCACTCTTGCTGAACAGCGAAGACGTTAATTCTAGGGACATGCACGGTCGAACAGCCCTGTCTTTGGCCGCAGAAATGGGCCGCGACAAAGCCGTGATGAAGCTTCTTACAAAGAATGGGATTGATACCACCTTGAAAGACAGATATGATCAAACCCCATTGGCGTGGGCCGCCGCAGGTGGGCACAATGGAGTCGTTGACCTCCTCTCCGGCAAGGGCCCGGACGACTTGAAGCCTGAATATGTGTCTTTTGGAGCAGAGCATTTGGTGCGCGCGGCAGAGGACGGGAACGAAGCTGCTTGTGAAATCTTCCTCCGGCAAGTCCACCCCAACTCGGTGAACAAGGCCGGTCACACGCCCCTTCACGCTGCGGCAGCATCTGGCAATGAGGCGATAGTGAATATGATGATGGCCATCGACGGGGTCGACGTGAACATCAAAAGCCGCAGTGGAATGACACCTTTCGCATGTGCGGTCGCAAAAGGACACGAAGGAGTGTGTCGAATACTCCTTGGCACCGCGAGAGTCAATCCAGACGAAAGATATTGCAATGGAGAACCGCCTCTGTCGATTGCAGCCAGAAACCAAAGAGAGTCTATTGTCGAGCTACTGTTGGAAACTGGGGCGAACCCCCGTCTCCAGGACGACTACAGACGTACGCCGCTATGGTATGCTGCCAGGAATGGTAGCACGTCAATCATTGAGCTTCTGTTAAAGAAAGGAGCCGACGTCGATAGCGAGGACGATGGCAAACGAACGCCTCTGTCGTTGGCCGCTGAGAACAACTACCAGTCTGTCGCCGGCCTGCTTTTAGCACATGGAGCAAATCCTAACGCTGAAGACGGCCACAGTCGAACACCGGCATCTTTTGCAGCCGAAAATGGCCATATGGCTGTCATCGAGACACTACTCGAGGAGGAAAAACTTGATTTAAACGTGTCGGACATGTTTGGTCGGACGGCCCTTGTGTGGGCTGCTGAACTTGGTCACCCTTCAATTGTGAAGCTGATTTTGAAGAGGATGTGTGAGAACGACTCTCAGCATACCCAGAAGATACAATGGCTGTTCACGTCTGAAGAATTAAGGACCATCATTGACCTACTGGCTTCAGAAAGGGTTGGCCGCCTTAAGAAGAGTGGTTTCAACCTCGTCCTTTATGCCGCCAAGAATGGTCACACCCTTCTGGTAAAATTCTTGCTCGAAATCGGCTGCAGTCCTGACCACAGAGATCATGATGGTCGCACTCCATTTTATTGGGCTGCAGATGGCGGACACGAGGACGTGTTGCGCCTACTCCTGGTGACGGGCAGGGTTGAGCCTGATATGAAGCAGGGCCGCTTAAGCCAGACGCCACTGTCGAGGGCCGCGGGGAAAGGACACAAGGAGGTCGTACAGTGGCTTCTCACGATTAGCGAGGTCGACCCGGACTCGGCAGATAAGTACAAACGGACACCTTTGTCGTGGGCTGCAGAAGGTGGACATCAAGAAGTGGTAAGACTACTGCTCGCCACGGGACGAGTCAATCCAGATTCGGTGGATGAGAAAGAGCGGACACCTCTATCACTAGCTGCAGAAGGTGGACATCAGGAAGTGGCACAGCTTCTGCTTGCTACAGGCCGCGTCAATCCCAATTCGCGTGACTGGTTGGGACGGACGCCGCTGTCACGGGCCTCGGGCAGCAGGGGAGAGGGTGTGACGCGGTGGCTCCTGCAGACAGAGGATATCATGCCTGACTCGAAGGACGACGACGATCGCACACCTCTATCTTGGGCTGCGGAGAGCGGACAGCAGGAGACGGTGCGGCTGCTGTTGGCGACCGGGAGGGTAGAACTCGACTCGAAGGATAAGTGCGGCCAGACGCCGCTCTCCAGGGCGGCGGCTCGCGGGCATGAAGGAATCGTCCAATGGTTCTTGGGCACCGGACAGGTCAATCCCGAAACACGAGATGAACACGGTCAGTCGCCGCTCTCGTGGGCCGCCGAGGGAGGGCACGAGGGGGTGGTTCGACTCTTACTAGCTGCCGAAGGAGTCGAGCCGGACTCGCAGGACAAGTGTCTTCGGACGCCCTTGTGGTGGGCTGCCGAAGGCGGTCATGCTCAGGTTGTAAAACTACTCCTGGAGACGGGCAAGGTCAACCCTGGCCAGAAGAGCATCTATAACCAGACGGCGATGGACAGAGCTGTGAGGGAGAGTCGTAGAGACGTGGTTCAGCTCCTGAGGTCGGCTTGACGCAGATTAATGTTACCATGACAGTTTAATAGTGGACGGCTGATAAAATGCAGACGAAGAAGTGTAGGTTATTCGTTTGATGATACCCGAGAATACACCCAATTGAAACAGTCTCAGGATCTATCTGTCCCAGTCATAGAGAGTCTAGAACACATTGAACGACCGAGAGGGGGCGATATGCGTTCAGCCGAATCGACACAATCCTCCAGATACGATGATCCCAGATTCACATCGCCACAAATTCGCCATAGGCTCTTCGGCCACCTCCTCCGACCCGGCTCGACAGGCATCGCCGTCGGTTCGAACGACCAGCAGCTGATGTTCCACGAGAGACAGGAGATCCCCCTAGAGCGGTGTTCTCGCGACATCGAAGATTTTCCTTTTTCATGAACTGAATGGTCTTCGTGACCGTCGGATGGACGATCTTTGGGAGTGGAGCGGAGTCGTTGTGGCTGATGGGAGCCTCCCAGAAGGGTCCACTGAACCCGCCGTGGAAGATGAGGAGGCCCTCTTCATGTCCCCAGAGGAGCCACACTAGGAGCTCTAGGACGATGCAGCCCATTGCCCACATGTCGTGCGCTCGGCTCACCTGTGAAAAATAAACAGCGGGGTAGGTATGGGGGATGGTTTGGGGCCGAGAGTGGCACATTTTCGAGCCTCAACTTGTTTTCCGCCTCCTTTAAAGCACGTGGCATGCGCCTGAGGCCTGCAGCATCATTGTTCTCTGCGATATGATTGCTTCAAACTGCGCCGCTGTCGATGCAGTGGCTCAATCATCACTAATTGAGTATCCAAATGCTTCAGGCCATCGACTGTAGGCGACCCGCCCAGCCTTGTCCCTCTGCCCGCTAAGCCTCATCTGGACTAGTATCAGCTGACACTTCCATCAGGCCCTCCTTCGCAGGAATCGCAACTTGTCTTCCTTGCTTCCTTCAGAGAGCACGGCGACGAGAAATTCGATCGCCAATGTGTTCCCTCGCTCGAGTCCATTGACTGAGTGATACATCCATGCTTAGTCCCCGATTCGAACGGCTCATACATCATCCATCAGACCAACCCTCATCACGGGACATCATGTTGAAGATTGCTCTGCTATGTGCCGTTGCCACTGCTTTCGTGCTATATCTGCTCATATCCTCGATTGCCACAAGGCGTCGCCATGCTGCAGCGGCAAAGCAGCTCGGCTGTAGGCCAGCGCCCACAGAATACCACCCGGATGTAGTGGGACTGGTGAACTTGATCAAGATGCTACGGGCAAACAGCAAGAATCAAGTCCTCGAGTACCTCCAAGGCGTGTTCGACGATGTGTCGCGACGCACGAACAAGACAGTCTATTCTTATGACACGTGCATCCTCGGCGACAGGGTTTTTATTACGTGCGACCCAAGGAATATCCAGGCTATTCTAGCTACTCAATTCAAGGATTTCGAGCTGGGGAAAATCCGCACAGGCGCCTTTGCTCCATTGTGAGTTGGCTTGAGGCCGTAACACTCCGAGGAGGTTGACCTGCTGACCGCTGGAGACAGACTTGGTCATGGAATCTTTTCCGCGGATGGGAAGCAATGGGAGCACTCTCGTGCTCTTCTACGGCCCCAGTTCTCTCGTGATCAGGTCAAGGACTTGGATCTAGAAGAGAAGCATGTACAAAACCTGCTCAGAGCACTTCCTGTGGAGGCAGACCGTTGGACGAGCACCATCGATATTCAACCTCTGATATCCCGGTTCACCATGGACTCGGCTAGCGAATTCCTCTTTGGAGAGAGTACAAACATTCAACTCTCTGCGCTCTCCGAGGTGGCCGCCGCGAAAAACGCTGAAGACCGCGCCTTCGTGGAAGCTTTCGAGGCCTGCCAAGACCGCATGGCCAAGGCGCTGCTGGTGAATGAATTCTACTCCGTGATGCTGACGAAGAAGCATAGGGACGATTGTCGACTGTGCCATGAATACATCGACCGGTTTGTGCACAAAGCCCTGGGCCGCGACAGAAAGCAAGATCCCGTCGAGAGCGGCAAAAAGGAAAAGTACGTCTTCCTTGAGAGCCTTGTCCACGAGACTCGAGATCCTATCGAGATTCGGAATCAACTTTTGTCGATTCTCCTGGCAGGTCGGGATACCACCGCTTCGTTGCTGAGCTTCTTGTTCCTCATGCTGGTCCAAAATCCCGAAATATTCGACAAGCTGCGGTCAGCCATTCTGGACGACTTTGGAACTTTCAAATCGCCTAAAAACCTCACATTTACGGACTTGAAGGCTTGTTCATATCTGCAATGGTGTATCAATGAGACCTTGAGGCTTTACCCTAGTGTGCCTCTCAATGGACGGCGGTGCACAAGGGACACCAGCCTGCCCTTCGGGGGTGGCGAGGATGGCCTGTCGCCTGTTTTTGTACCGGCTGGCACCGAGATCGCCTATTTGGTGTATGTCATGCAACGGCATCCCGACTTCTGGGGGTCAGACGCGGATACCTTCAGACCGGAGCGGTGGCAAAATCACAAGTATGGCTTCGAGTATTTGCCGTTTAACGGTGGGCCAAGGTAAGTGATTCGACTCGAGGCCCAATTCGTACTGACAGCGACCAGGATTTGTCTCGGACAACAGTTTGCTTTGACCAAGGCCGCATACGTGACTGTTCGCCTTCTACAGCGCTTCGACAAGCTCGATGGATCAAGCGTTCCTCCAGGGCCGATCAAATGGGCCGTGACCTTGACCGGCAAGCCCAAAGACGGTGTCAAGTTGCGGCTGCATGCTGCAGCTGAAGACTAGCACGTCTTCGTTGGTGTCGGTTGGGTGGTAAAGCGTTGCATCAAAAGCGGAAGTGGACAAGTGAGAGTGGCCTCTTCAAGACGGCTTCAAGAGAACAATTCCAACCGAGGTGCTATATCGAAGCTGTCGACCGTCATAGCATTGGATACTGAAGCCCAAGATCTCTTCTCCCAGCTTAGAGCTCGAAAAATGTGAAGCTGGGAAATGCCAGAACCTGTTGGAGAGCTGATCGATATCTGGGCATTGAGGTTAGAGTGTTTCGAGGCATGTCAGATGTCCATGTGCAGGTATCGCCTGGACCACTATTTTGCTTAATCAGATTCTTTTTGACCTCAGTCCGATATACGATTGAACCTCGCACCCCCTGTTGCCACCCCAAGCCCAAAGTTACCACTGTACGAGGAAATTCAGGCAGCAGGATACGCGTAGGGAGTCAGCCAGGTTTTCTCGCACTCCATCTGGAGCAGATGCATAGGCGAAAGCAAAGACCACTGTAATTTAGCTTTTCGGCTGCAATGGCACTGGGCGGTGTTTGGCTATATAGCTGTCTGTGTAGTAGGGCTGTCTCTTGGGAGGTGAAGTGAAGAAGAAAGGGGAAGAGTGGCGCACAAGGCTGAGCATTCGTGCCATGCCAAGCCCAGCCTCGTTGCGTCTTCCCGTCTAACCACCTCCGTGGCAGAACCTCTGGTCGCTCGGTGACTCACAGACTCATACTTGTAGAGCTGGCGTAGTTCTGACAAGACAGCTCCAGATTCGGTCGCGATTGGTTATTCTCCTCACCTGAGTCGCCAGGTGCGCTGGCCAGACACGAACGCCCGATAACCAAGAACCTCGAACAGTGCGCTTGAACGGAGTACCATTGGTCTGTTGTATTCCGACCGACCTTCGAGATTGCTGTTGACCAGGCCCAGTTTACGCGGGACTCTGCAACATGCTCTCCCGAATCCAGATCCCAGAGTCCGAGTCCTCATCAAAAGTCAACGTCTCGATCATCGACAATGGCTCTTTTATTACTGGCATGAAAGGGTCGGACTACATGTCGCCCGCCCTCCCGGGTTACGAGACATTTGATGGGTAAGTGACCATGCTCCCCCAGAATCGACAGCGATCAGACCCGGTGCTTGTTTGTTTCTCCACACGTCCGCACTCTGGGTGGCCCGAGACCGATCTTGACGACCCGTCCAGCCCGGTCTATGTCTTCCTCCTTCATCACGAATCGACCGACACTCGGCTCCTCTTCGACCTGGGGATCCGCGTCGATTGGCAGACCGCCTACCCGCCCGCATGGCTCAAGATGATGCAAGAAATGGGGATGCGATACCACGTTGAGCGAGAGCTCTCCGACGTCCTCCGCGAGCACGGGGGCATCTCTCCGTCCGACATCGACGCCATCATCTTCAGCCACCACCACGACGATCACACAGGCGACACCAGCAAATTTCCTTCGGCCAGGATCGTCGTCGGGCCCGGTTACAAAGAGGCCTATCTGCCAGGCTATCCCGCGGATCCCGAGTCGATAGATACGACCACGGACTTGTACGAAGGCCGCGAAGTCATCGAGCTGGACTTTTCTCGGGTGGAGGATCCGAGAATCTGCACGGTCGGGGGCTTTCGAGCCTACGACTATTTCTCGGACGGCAGTTTCTATCTGCTCTCGACGCCGGGCCACACGGTCGGGCATCTCTCTGCTCTCGTGCGCACGACGGGGTCGAACGATCAAGAGAGCGGCACGTTCATGTTCCTGGGCGGCGACATCGTGTCCTCGAACGGCGTGTTCCGGCCGAGCGCAGGCCGTCCGCTTCCCGACCAGGTCCCTACCGAGCACGGGTCGTGTCCGGGCGAACTGCTCGCCACGCTACACCGGCACTACGCGGCAGATCGGGGCAAAACTCGCATCACGCCCTTCTGCGACGTGGCCGGCGAGGAGGACCGGGCCGAGTCGCAGCGGAACACAGACAAACTCACCGCGTTCGACGAGGAAGAGGACGTCTTCGTTGTCTGGGCCCATGATCTGCATCTCAGGGACGTGGTCGACTTCTTTCCCGCCCGTGCCAATGACTGGAAGAAGAAGGGGTGGAAACAAAAGGCCCATTGGAGATGGTTGGGTCCATGTGTGAAAGCCGTGAAGGCCAATCTGTCAGAAGAACATTAAAATACTTGATTAAGACCTCCTGCAGAGAAAACGCACAGACAAGAGTATTTGCAGACCTGGATCAAGTTACATCGCCGCCTGTCGCCCTTGCCTGGGAGGAAAGCGGCAGTCCGAGAGCATCGGCGGATTCTTATGATTGGATCCTAAAAGGAATCTGTCAAAATCCACGAGGATGTAAGGGGACGTGCACGGTTCGACACTAAGATTGGTGTTGCTGCACCTTGAAGTAACGAGCCAATATGATGTCTCTGTTGATCGTAGCTCCGATGGCATGAACTATAGAATATAAAGAACCCCTGAGCCCACGCCGAAAACACCTTTCGCCTCAAGAAACATCCCTCTATCCCACCAATTCTTTCCTACGCTTTGAGCATGGCGTTACTGGCGTAAGGGCACGTCTGTTACGCCAGTAACGCCATGCTCAAAGCGCAGGAAAGAACCACCAAGGGTTCCAGTCAAGCGACGCATGATTCATCATCCGCGTCTTTCGGACACACGCCATCCTCGACGCCTTGCAGCCAGGCGAAGACCTTGTCGTCTCGACGTCTTCCTTTCTGCATCCGACTTGCCTCGTGCCCTTTGAATTTGACAGACGCGGCCAGTAATCGTTGCAGGATAGACCTCCACGGTGGTTCACTCCAACGGCAACGACACATTTCGCATCCTATAAAGAACCTTTCCCAAGGGCAGTCGGGCAGCATTCCCAGAACACAGTCATCGCTGTCGTTGTCGATCCAGGGCGGGAAAATGTCGTGCAACTCTTTGTCGTGGAACAGCCGTGCCGAGGATCTTGCTGCGAAAGATGATGTGCTGGCTGTTCCTTCGCATGAGTAATCTGTACTCTTGCAGCGATCCACTTGTCGCCTGAAGTGAGAGGGGCCTATATCAGCAAGCTTGACTACCTCTTCAGCCACAAGAATGTTGGCCGGTTTGATGTCACGATGGCTGTCTTCATATTGACTGGACGATGGACTCAACAATTGTATCATTCTCAACGTCTGTGCGAGGCTAACGAATGCCGACAGTAGATGGTGGTGAGGACATCTGGAGAAGGACTCGGCTTTTCGGGCAGAGTGCGTACTGGCACTTGGTGTCGTGACAGTTGAGGTATCAAGGCTAGCGGCAGTGATGCTATCGTCGGAACATATTGTCGAGGTAGCAAATGGTCGCCATCTGCATGTCCACGGACCCTCCTCGCAGTCTCGGCGATCCTGGTCCCAGCCAGAACTTTCGCGACTGGGTTGTATCGGCTCGGTACTCAGTGAAGGCTTCGAAGGAGGCTGCATTTCCGACGTCTGGGGGCCAGTCAATAAGAGACTCTTGGTGAAGTCCTGGAAGACGGTGCCCATTCGCGAAGAACCAGAAAACGGAAAGACGGCCCAAGACGGTGACTGGCCGATCGAAGCTGCGCTTTGAAGGACTCCCATATATCGCCCTTCTACATCTGCAATGGTGGCCTGCAGCATACCGAGAGCACCATCCGCTTCCGACAGCCAGGATGGTTCCGAGTAAATAATAGAGCCGAAATCTTTCTCAATCTCGAAATCAAGGTCAACAGCAACGCCTCCCCTGGGCCGCGCCTCATAGCTAAACCTCGGAAGGAAAGCTCCTAGGTTGTGGTTGATTTGACCTTCAAGGATGACTTCGAAGGTTTCAGGGGGTCTCGTGTTCGAGGAAGGGACAGTGGCGATTCCCCGTGGCCGGGTTGATACAGTGAGTTCCAGGGAACCCAGTTCCACAAGTTGTGCCTCCTGGGCGCCAGAAAGTCGGACAGGTAATCCGCAAACGGCCTCCATCTCCTTCAGCTCCGCCTCGATGGGCACCATGTAGGCCCACGGCACCTCCTCTGAGACGGCCAGGATTGTCCCGCAGAGCTCGTCTCGATGTGCGACTGCTGCACCAGAACAACCCGATCTGAGAGGGCGTTCAAGTGTCACTCGTCGCAGATCATAGGTCCTTGATCCATATCGGAGGCAGACCGAGCCAGGCTGAATGACACCATGGACGACCGCTTCATGGTCGGCAACGGCAACGGCCACTCTGGCATCAGGGTCTTCGTGATGGAACTTTGTAATCTGGTGACCGGCGACTTCATTTCTCACAAGGTCGCTGAGTGGAATCTCTGGAGCAGCTGATTGAGCATCGTAGAGAACCCAGTCTGTTTGTGGACCGTGATAGAGGGGCAAGACTCTGTTGGGCCCACAGCGCGTGGATTTGACGCTCGCCTGTACAATCTGTGGTGTTTCGGTGGCATTGTTCGCAAGCTGGCGTGTCTGAGGAAAATGGATAAAGCCATCTCGGCCGCAGTGCATGAACAACGCACTGCTATCGTCTGATTCATCTGAGAAGCCTGGGTTGTCAGGGACCAAAGACAACGCAAGACCGTCGTCCGTTTCATCGTCTTCCTCATCGCTCCCACTCGATTCTGAGTCGACTTCGGACACAGCATCATCGATGTCTTCCCAAGGATGCAGTGCTGTCTTCCCGCACGCCCGGCCACCGACGTTAAACGTGAGACCACTGGTGCAGCATGACAGTTCTCCTCGATCTAACTTGGGTATAACAATCCTGGATCCACACAGCGCATTCGAGTCCACACGGGGCACGGCGTATGCAAGCATCCCAACGTCGCCAAGGGAAGCGGTTTCTCCGCCGGCGGTGCGAAATCGGTGAACAACGACATGCAGGGCAAGATTGTGCTCTTTGAGAGCGAGCCCCAGGTCTTCAAGACGGGCTAGGTGAGCAAAGATTTTCTTCTTCGCCTTCGGCGTGCGGGTGGATATCAGAATCGCGGGGGCAAAGGCCGACGTTTGGAATCCGACCGAACACAGCGCAATGCTATATCTTTCGGCATACGCGGAGTGGACTAGCTCTTGATTGATCAACGGCACCAGGATCGACTCGTACGCCGCTCGGATACTGGGCTCCATGCTCGCGTCTCTCCGAATGTATAGGTTCTGGATCACATCGTAGTCGTCATCATCGACCACAGTCGTTGCTGCGGTGCTCGCGGCAGAAGAGGGACTGCTGAACACGCTTGAGCCCGGCCCCGATATGGATGAGTTTAAGCTGCTAGATGACTCAGACCGCATGACGCGAGAAAAAGACGAAGATAGGAGATTCATGTTATGACTCCCTTCGAAGCTCCCGTCAAGAGAATTATGGGGGAAAGACGCTGCCTGGCGGGATCGATGAGGCTGGCAAATCAAACCGAGACTTCGAGAGATTACCAGCGTCGATTGACAACAACTTCTTGGGCGACACGCTTTATCGAGACAATGAAGTTGAGGCTGTTGGCTCGAGAAAGGAGTTTTCAGAGGCGGTGATAGAACATGGTTGAGGGATCGCATTCACACAGCTTCCATGGAGGTAGTCGCAGGAGATATGAAAGGGGGCGCGCAGACATTGCACTGCCCCTTTCTTCTGCGCGCTAACATCCAGAATACGGGGTAATTCATGGAAGCAGGCGTGGTAAGGCAAAGGACTTTGGTAAGGCTCAGTCGTCCCCCAGGATGTGGGCGCAACACTGCCACCGGTGGCGTCCACAAAACAGGTCATGGATGATGTGACACGCAGCCAAAAGCAAGCCGCTAATGCAACCGGTGAGCTTCCCTGTTCACCTCCACCAACAAATTGGACAGCGGGCACCACAAGGCTAACACGAAGGGATAGAAGACGTGAATGGTAAAACCAATCTTTCAAGAAGGTTATTAGGTAGACCTAGAACCGCCTATGCAGAAGCATTGCGTAAAACACGCCCAATGACTCTTCAAGACACACCCATATGTGATGATCCCCAGCCGCAGGAGAGTGACAGCATCATCGAGACGTACTTCTCCCTCGTGTGCGGTCGGGATGGGGTCAAACCCTCGGATTTCGACGAGTACTTTACCTCTTACAAGGACGAAACCGCGCTTCTTCTGTTGAAAGGAGGGGAATACCGGGCCAATCGCTGGAAATTTCCGATCCACACGCACCGCCATGCCATTGAAGTCGTGGAAATCCTGCAGATGAATGCCTCGACGGCACATCGCGACGAGGTCAGAAAGCAGGTACGCCAGAGGCTGTCACTGCCCCCGACCAGCAGTTTCGAGGCAGAAGACGAGGCCATTGACTTCACCTTGCGCCTCTGGCTGATGATCAACTTTCGGGATCCGCAACATGTTGGGCTTGGGCAAGGGCGGCCTCCTATCGTATGGCGGAACAATCGTACTTTGTCAGCGCAGGTCGAGTCTCTTTTTGCGAAGTCGACGACTGAATTGTCGCCCCTTCAAAGGAGACTGCACCCCAATTTCAAGGCCGTGAACCTGGTGAATATATGTCGCTTGAAGCTCAAATGGACTTCTAGTCTGGAAGATCATCTGCGGCTGGACCGAGATCACAACACGCTCTGGATTTTCCCCGGTCGCCGATTTCTGAAGTTTGCCGCGGGCTCCAGCACCCTACCGATTTGTGCCGAACTTCTGGATGAGACAAGCAGGACTCTGGACCTCCTCTTCCCCTCGTGGGATCAAGACATGAAGCGGATGATGAAGAAACTGAAGAGGGATTTCCACCGGGTCCATTGCAGAGACCGCTCCCTGGACCTGAGGCATTATCTTTTCTGGAGGGACAGGCTGCTGGAGCTGTATGAAGACGTGTATCTGGCGCCGCCGGGGGGTTGGGCCCAGCTATGGTACGACCAACGAGATCCTCAGAAGTTCTGGACATTCTGGGTCGCGCTGGTGGTATTGGTGTTGACGGTCCTTTCGACCGTTGCAACATTATTGCAGACAGTGCTAGCCCTGAGACAAAGTTGAGATGTTGGTCTTGAAGAGATTGCTTGAGAAGGAAAACCTAATGTTGTTTGACGCTAGAGGGCGTGCGAAGGCTGCTTTACCTGGAGCCTTGACAGAGCATCAGATAGCCGTTAGGGTTCTAATGCATTCCCTCCTCTCCTATATTTCCCAATGCTGCTGAAGCGCACTGCCTCAAGGGTATATTCTGGGTATCTGCCGCGAGGAGGGACCCTCGAGGGAACCCCAGCATCACAAAGCAGCGTAAAAGCTGACGAAAAAGTCGATGGTTTGGATGAGCGAGGTGACGAATCGGAGAGACTAAGGAAGCACTGGTGAAAGGTCCAATAGAGACGGTCGAGGCCTGAGCAAGTGCTGTGTCTACAAGTACATCAACAAAGCGAAATACGGCCGTAATCTCGAATATACTCCCGGAGCCTCTCCCAACGCCCACCTATTCAAACCACCTATGTTACGCACGCAGGAATAGACGGCTGCGGAAATTAGAATCGTTCCTCTTTGCGTTCCCCATTCACTCGTAACTCGCGTATCTCGATCTCGACAGTTTCGTGTCGTATTGAGGGAACAATACGAGTCTGTGCATACCGCTCTCCATGCGGGGAGTTCCGCCGCATGATGAATGGATGATGATCACTAGGCTGGCTATGTGCGTATAGGAATGCGACTAAGTTTATGTGCGAGCGTGCACTACGAGGACAGCCTTGAACTTTGCATGGCCGAGAAAAGTACTCGTGCGTTATATGAAGGAAATGGCACGCATAAACTCCGAATAGAGAGCCCCGACAAGGACAAACTGGACCCCGGTTCATAAAGTCTGAAAAGGTGGACTATATATCCCATACTCCCACAATATATGCCACGAAGTGACTTTCGATATAGAAAGGTGAATCCTGCTGAAGTAACAAATATAAGATAGTTACTCACAGCCACCTTCTTCGAAGAAATATATCTCGACCATCCTCCGCTTGAAACAGTTCTCAAGCATCCAAGCCTGATAGAACATTGAGCACCCGATACGACATGCCGTTCAAGCCTCAAGACATCCCCGACCTCTCGGGTCGCGTCTACTTCGTCACCGGCGGCACGGCCGGGCTGGGAGCGGGCACCATCTCCCTCCTCGCCGCCCACAAGCCAGCGCACATCTACTTCTCAGGCCGGAGCGGCGACAAGGCCAAGCGTGTGATTGAGAAAGTCAAGTCCCAGAATCCAGATGTGCCGCTCACATTCATTGCGTGCGACCTGGCGAATCTAGCATCGGTGCGCAAGGCCACCGACCAGGTTCTCGCGCAGGCTACGCGGCTGGACGTCCTCTTCGCCAACGCGGGCGTCATGGCTCTCCCTCCCGGCACGACGGCCGACGGGTACGAGGTCCAGTTCGGCACCAACCACCTGGGCCACGCGATGCTGATCAAGCTGCTGCTGCCGCTGATGCAGCGCACCTCGGAGAATGTCCCGGGGGCGGACGTGCGGATCGTCACGAGCTCGTCGGTCGCGTACAAGCAGGCGCCCCGGGAAGGGATCGCGTTCGCGACGCTCAAGACTACCCAGGACGGGCTCGGCGGCCTCGTCCCCGGCGGCAAGTGGTGCCGCTACGGCCAGAGCAAGTTGGCGAACCTGCTGTACGCGCGGGCGCTGGCGAAGCGGTACCCCAACATCACCTCCGTCGCCATCCATCCGGGGTACATCAAGACGGACCTCTTCGCAGGCGTCTCCTTCTTGACCGCGCTCCCCGTCCGCCTCATGGCCGCGGGCCACTGGACGTCCGTCGAGGAAGGGCCGTACAACCAGACTTGGGCGGCCACCACTGCGAAGCAGGGCCTCGAGGACGGCGCGTACTATGTCCCCATCGCGACGAAGGGCGTGTTGGAGACACCCGCTGCCAAGGACGATGCTTTGGCAGATAAGCTGTGGGAGTGGACCGAGAAGGAATTGGCTTTATTTTCGTGAGGGCCCGTGATTTGGATAGGTTAGGGTGCTCGCGCAGAATTTGGAGACATGGCAGTAATAGTGGGAGTCTGGGAAGGACGCAGATAGCCTGTGTACACCATAACAAACAAGCTGTGGAATCAAGGCCATCATTTGCTCTCCAATCTTGTATAGTACCTGATTAGTTTGAATAGAACATTGCCCGAGGCGGCATTCACCCGCTATCGAGTATTGCCTCTGCTCTTTCTTTGGCACTACACCAACGGCGTAGGTAAAGGTGCGGGCCTTGGAAATACGACTCACCTTTGAACGATGCCCAGCGAGAAGGTAGTGTTGGAGACGAGGCTGTACAAGACGAAAAAGGCTGAGGAAAGTGCCAAGCTCACCCACCACGGACCGCCCTGTGCCGCCTATACATACATCACAGGCCTGCCAGGAGCTCCTTCGAGCCGAGGCATGTGGACAAATTCCGGCCCATCTCCAGCCTTTCTCCACGCCCTTCGCTAGGTCGCCGTGCGCTCCAAAGCCAATGCGGAGATGTTCACCTTGCGTTAAAGATACAAAATCCCCCTCCCAATGGATCGATTCCTCGAGCTTCGGACTGAGCGAATGAACGCAGTCGCTTGTCGTCCATAGTCCACCACACATCATGTCGGCTTCGAACTCGACCTCAGACTCGGCGGCCTGGAAAGCCATCGCAGCCCGCAAGCAGGCCTCGCGCGCCGCACGGATCCCTTCGAAATGGCACATCCCATCCAGCGTCCTGCCCAAGGACCCCCCGAGCCTAGAGCACGGTCCGCAAAACGTGCTGGGCGTGCCTCGCCAGTTCCTCTCACGCTCGGAGATCGAGATCACTGAAGACTACACGGTCGAAAGCCTCCTCTCGGCGCTGGCAAGCAAGAAGCTGTCCTGCGAAGAAGTCGCTGCGGCGTTCTGTCACCGTGCGGCCATCGCCCACCAACTCACAAACTGCCTGACCGAGCCGCTCTTCGACTCGGCCATTCAGCGCGCCAAAGAGCTGGATGCATACCTAGCACAGAACGGGAGACCGTTTGGTCCGCTCCACGGGTTACCCGTGTCTGTCAAAGACACGTTCAACGTCAAGGGCGTGGATACGAGCATCGGCCTAGCTTATCTATGCGAAAAACCCGCGACGGAGAACGCCCCGTTGGTCAACCTGCTGTTGTCGCTGGGCTGCGTGATCGTGGCCAAGACGAACATCCCCCAGACGCTCGCATCGCTCGACAGCATCAACAACGTCTTTGGAAGAACGATGAATCCGATCAACCGACTGTGCACAGCCGGTGGCTCGAGTGGCGGCGAGGGTGTCCTTGTTGCCATGAAGGGAAGTATCCTTGGGATAGGAACGGATATTGGCGGCAGCATCCGTGTGCCGGCCATGTGCAACGGCGTGTATGGGTTCAAACCCTCCAACAACCGGATCCCCTACGGCGGCCAGGCACTGACGGGAAGAGAAGGAATGAGCCGCACGAGCGTGCAGGCTGTGGCGGGGCCCATAGCGCGGAGCGTGAGGGACATTGACGTCTTCTTGCGCGAGGTGATACCGAGAGCGACCATGTGGGCGGAGGATTGCATGCCGTGCCCATGGCCCCTCTCCGATCCTTCTCCTCGGTCGCTCCAGGGCAGCGGGCCCAATGGTGAAATCGTGATCGGCATCCTGCGGAGCGACGGGAACTGCACCCTCCTGCCCCCGATCACGACCATCCTCAACGAAGTCTCGGTCGGGCTCTCAGGCGCCAGCACGCGCGCGGGCGCCAAGATCCTGGTCAAGGAGCTGCTCACCCCGCGGGCGTGGACGCGCTCGCAGTCGGTCATGAGCAAGCTCATGGGCGTGGACGGCGGGGTGGTCATGAACCAGATGATCCAGGCGACGGGCGAGCCACTGGTGCCGTGGATGCAGACGCGGTTCCGGTCGGGCAAGCCGCAGGCGCTGGAGCGCGTGGCGGAGCTGCAGGCGCAGCGGGCGCAGCTGGAGCGCGAGATGCTCGGGCTGTGGAGCGAGGTCGACGCGCATGGCCGCCGCCGGCCGGTCCTGGACGCCATCGTCTGCCCCGTTGCGCCGCACCCGGTCCCGCCCATCGAAGGCTACAACGCCGTCGGCATGACCTCCTCCTGGGTCCTGTTCGACTACCCCGCCGGCACCGTCCCTGTGCGGCCCGTCGTCGAGGCCGACCTGGAACTCGGCCGGCCGCTGGCCGCCGGCAACGTGCTGGGCAGCTGGGACGAAAAGTGCCGCGAGCTGTGGGACGAACACGTCACGGACCGCAGGGTCTACCTCGACACGCCGCTGAGCGTGCAGGTCGTCGTGCAGAGAGGGCGCGACGACTGGCTGTGCAAGGTCATGGGCGTGATCGACGAGGTGATGAAGTCTCAATCTCAATCTGCTGCTGGGGGTGTCAAGGCGAGATTGTAAATCGACGACGACGACGACCAGTCTGCGGTCAGAAAATTTAAAAGAAGAATGCATTCCATCAATCCATCAATCATTCATCCAAGTAAAGAACCAAGCACTCGTTCGATCACTTAATACTGGATTTTGCACGGTGGCGGAGGAGAAAGCCAATGTTCCCATTACGAATTAACTCAGTTTGGTGACATACCAACTTATGCAATGTCTCGATGTAGCTGGACAGCTATGTTGGTATGTGATGAGTGGCCCTCCCGCCGCCGAACTGACCCTCGTCTCTGATTAGTATGCCGATGACCTTATGCCGTTCATCCCTGTTTCCTGTTTCCTGTTTCTCATTTCCCAATCTCCAGCGCTTGCAATGTAACCGATCGATGTTCATCTCGCTCACTCACCTACCCACTCACTCAATCAAGCAAACCCCTTGAGGTAAATACGAATATTCACTCCCATGCTCTTCTCACCGAATATCAAACGGGCAAGATGCTGTCTTTGCCGCTGTCCTCCGAGAACAAGCCGCCTTGCTTCCGTCGGAGCCAACCGTGGAATGAGGTAGGGGACTTAATCACCTAGGTAGTCTCACTCCTCCTCTTCCCAGTCTGCACGGTTAGTGGCTCTCCGTTTCTGCCTGCGCTGCTGCTGGAGGCACCCCGAACGTGGTCATGCCCGTCCAAGGGTACCGTATGTGCGCGGTCGACATTTTGCTGGTGCCTTCCGGGGACAATGGTGTCAAAGTCTTTCTTAATGTCGCCCACGGGCCACTCTTGCAGGATCTTCCGCTCAAAGGCGCCCAGCGGTTCCTCCTCTAGCTCGAGCCAGTGTGTCTTGCCCTTGCTCTCAAAGATCTCGACTTTGCCCTTTCTCTCCCCATTGAGGGACGGGGGTTCGATGAGCTTTTCTGGGTAGACCTGCTTTTTCCACACCACACTCTTCATCTTACCCACAGCCCCAGGGGCACTAATGGCAATGGGAGTGTCGGGATTGGTTTCAACCCCGTGCATGACCCACCCTTCTAGTGCCTGTGAGTCGTATGCCCCCTTGTCATTGTAGCCCAGACCGTGTTTGCCCATGCGGATGCGGACGCTGCTGTGGATTGTTTCATTGGTCCTCCTCAGTCGCGGGAGGGCGTGGTGCTTGTCCTCGAAGCGGCTGGTGAGCCGATGGAAGATCTTGTACAGCATCCAGAAAAGCACCCCATGCTGGGATGCAAGCTCTTGTTCGCGGTAATCTCCAGGAGTGCGAATACGCGAGCCGCCCAGCTTGAAGAAGAAGCTCATGCTGTCATGGATTTTGCCCAACCCCCAAGGCCGGGGGTGCGGTGTGGTGTTGCTGACTGTGGCCATGCGGCCTTCGTGGGTGAATGTCTGATGTCGTCCGGACAGGGTCAGGTCGTCCTTTTGGACTGGCGTAATGTAGCTCATGATGTAGTCGTGGTTGATTGTGAGAATTGGGTCCAGCTGGCTAATCATCCACGCGAGGGTAAGATTTGCGAGGGCGGTGTCGTCGTAGCTGCCGCCGATGTCGCTGTGCACGCCCGGGAACCAGCATTGCTTGAGGATCTTCAAATCGTAGGACTCGACATGTGGCCAATCCCAAATGGTCGGAGAGAAAGACCGCCGATGTTCGTCGAGAGCCAGTGCCTGGAATGCGTACTCGATATTCGACTCGACCCGAGTATCGACAAAGGCAAAGTCTGTACTGGGTGGCTGAGGCAAGAGTCCGATCATGGGGATGCCCAGTCCACCGACAGTATCCCAGACGGCGACACATTTGACCTTGATGTTCGGCCGGGTGAGTCCATTATCGATGAGCTGCCTCTGGTAGTCTGGATGGGTGACCGGGGGTTTGTGGCCCACAAAGGGCAGGTCTGGCCACCTGGTCTTGAAGTCCTTCTTCTGCTGAAACTCCCAGTCCTCAAAGACCTGAACGAAATACTCCAGGCCTTTCGAGGTGAGGAGACCAGCCGCATTGATCAGGCTGGAGATTGAGCGGGCGGTGAAAGCACCTCGCGAGAAACCCAACAGAAAAATCTCGTCTCCGGGGTTGTAGTTGAGACAGATGAAGCTGTATGCTTCTCGGATGTGCTCTGCAAGACCCTCGCCAGTGGCCCCTCCGATGAATCGGTCGTACAAGGACGGAGAGCCAGTGCCAACGCCATTCTGGTAGAAGACGATCTGGGTGATCGGCTGATGGGGCGTGGTGGACTTGTCGACGCCCACGGGAGGAACAGCTCTGGCAATTCGGGTGACGTTGCTGGGAGTCTGGTAGTCACCGTCACTGTCGAGCCACGTGCCATCACAGCACACAACGATGCGCTTCCTGGGGTGTGATGATGGTGCCATAATGTTTGAATATTCGGTGAGTGTGAGAGAAGTGAAAAAGGCGGTTCGGCTAGGTCAGTGATGGCTCAGATGTAAAATGACATTCGTCCGAACTACTAATACTCTGTCAATTGGCGGCCGTAGAGCTGCGATCAGTTCTGGCAGCTGGCCACGCAAGCCTCTTTTCATGTTTTACAGGGGAGAAAGCACTCGTTAGTGCGAGGGGGCTGAAAGGGTTGATATATGGTGGTCCAGCTGCACCCCGTGCCCTCCCCCAACCTTGCACAACCGGACACGACCAAGTCCCTTCTTTTTTTTTTCAGCTCACGGGCTTGTGCACCGTCAATCTTCAGCCTCCGGCATTGGCAACAGTCGCCAGAGGTGCGAGGAGGCGTGATGGAGGTGGTCCAGAAGGCAGCCGAAGGCCCAGAAGGGTGACTCTGCATGCAGGTTCACAGCACCCGGCAGCAGCTGAGCCAACGAGAATCGAGGCAGGCGACACACTGCATCCCATTCGGGGAGGTTTCTCGTCGCTAGTAGGACATGGACAATGGCTGCGCGGCAGAAGTTGATTGGGTGGAAGGGATGAGAGGAGACTCAGCTCCCCGATCAAGGCGAGCAGGATGATCAAACAGTTGCTAAAGGCGGTAAGGCGGTCAGTCACCAGGCGGTCAGGCGTCCCCGCGTTGGTGCCTCTGTACTCTGGACTTGTGGGAACGAGGAGTCCAACTGGGAGGGTGAGTGACTGCGCAGTTTTCCACACCAGCAGTTGCTCTCAGTTGCTCCCAGGTTGCTCCCTCGAGTCCTCGAGGCCACCACCACTACTACTGCAACAGCCCGAAGCGCAGCCTCACAGCCTCACCGCTAAGCTACTGTCTGCTGCAAAACCCTCTCCTCTTTATAATACTAACTGCGTCATTTCTCGGCTCTTGTTTTTTGAGGTCCTGAGACCCCTAAATCTCTTCTCTTCATTTGTGGGAGTTCACTGTCTGACTGCCTAGCTGTTGTGTTCTATGATATCAAACCACCCGGGATGACCTGCCATAAACTATGTACAAATGAGCAGATCTCGGTCTGTTGGCCTCGCCTTCACCCCCAGAGACCAATCTCTGCCGACCAATGTCGTCTCTTCGTGTGACTCCTGCAAACTCCAGTAACGCCACATTGGTGATCCGTGAATTTTGGTAGGAAAGAGACGCGCAAGAAACCTCCACCGTCCATGTCGAAATGCTTGCTCTCCATTCAGCCCAGCTCAGACAAATCCACTCTGCAAGGAACACGGGTGCTCTGATGCTATTTCGTGCTGTGCGTGGGTTAGTCTTATCACCAGGTCTGTGGTTACCTCAGATTGTACAATCTCACAGCGAAGCTGCGGATGGATTCATTTCTCTTTTTTTGCATTTTTCAGCATTTTCACCTTTTTTTTTGGAGTGGTGAGTGTTGACAGCAACCTCTGCTTCAAGGCAGAGAGAAGCCCTAGCGGGTTCAACGAGTCGGCGCGATCACATGGACATCATTTCAAAAGAATTCTACCGATGCTCTTGAAGATATCATGTACTGCACGTTGTCTTCTGCACGATCATGCAGGCGCAGCAGTGGGGGTTGGTGTCGGTGTAGATGTCATCAGTCTTGGTCGTTTCACGGCATCGCCATCAGTTTCAGCGTCCTACACAGGGTCAGTATGAAACCGGTAACGCCTTGTCGTGTGGACATACCTCGACCTCATTGATGCTCCGTCGCACCGGCTTAGCCTCTACTTTGGCATTCTTAACCACCTTCTTGACGGGTTTGCTCGGTCGGACTTCGCCGGCTTTTGTATCGAAGAGATCTTCGGGTAACTCCCAACTGTTCTTGTCAGCACTTCTCTAAAGGTGGATCGGTTAAAGGGACATACCTCTTCGACGAGGCGAGGTTAAGGAAATGAAGTTCCGCATTGTAACTGTTCCATCCCTCGCACACTTGCTTGAAGGCCTGGAACGCCTGAACTAGGTTCAAGCTGCCTTTAGCGACCGTGTCAATGCCAATGTAGAACGTGTAGGTGTAAACAGTATGGGCGTCCGTATCCTGTTCCTGGCTCGTATTGTCCGACAGTGGAACCGCAGCGCCGTTTCCATTGGCCGTCACCAATTCAGGAGCGGTCGTCTCAACAGTTTTTGTCTCTTCCACTTTATACTTCATGCTTCCTCTCTGCACTTCCCGGATCTGATCATCGTTCTGGCAACGATGCACACGTTTGAACCCCTTTGTAAACGGTCGAGCAAGTTCGATGCCCTTTGTGCCTTCCAACTGCATGACAAAAATCCGGACTTTGCTTTCAACGAGACCCGCCCATGCCTTGGCCGCATCGGCGTTCAACGCACTCGCAGTTACACTCAAGTAATACTTGTGGTCTGCAGTGAAGAAGGTGTGCTTCTGGAACAACTCGCTCCACGGAGCTTTGCCGGCAAAAATCTTGGTGACGATCTTGTCAGCTCTGTCCAGCTCACGCAGGATGACCGTCTTGCCCGACTTGGAGATGTTGTAAGTCGCGCACATGCTTGGAAACGCAGGTGTGATGATAGGCATGATGTTCTTCTCGTCCCCTTTGTAGAGAACCGGGTTCCATACTTTGAAGCCGTGGTTGGGACCCAGATTCTTGGGCTGCTCAATGTGCTTCAACATAACGGGGAGAGGCCAGGGCCACTCCTTCATGATGTAAAAGAATTTTGCCACAATTGTAGCACCGACCGCGTGGGGATAAAATTGACAGACGCGCGCCACGAGCATGGCCCAAGCGACGCCACCAGGGTAGCCAACAATATTGGCATAGATAGCTCTTCTCTGCGCCCACAGTTTGATCGCTCGCAGCGCCGCCCGGAAGGTTTTCTCAATGGGAACGAGAGCAATAATCTCATCAGTGACACGCTAGACCGGTTAGCTTGACACTCGAGGGAAGGGAATGGATCGTTTGCTCAGACTCACTGGTCCGGTAACTGCACGTATAGACGCCTGATCCAACCCCATCAAGAGACTGTTGTCATTCAGGCTGAGTTTTGGAGGAATTGTCTGCAGGGTGGCAATTGAGGCAAAAATGAGATCAATCTCAATGTCAGAGATTGCGAGTTTGATGATGGGGACGAAGGAATCAGGGACCGGAACGAGCGAGGAAAGTGTGTGTATTTGAAGGTGCTTTTCCGGGGGATTTTCCGCATTGTGCTTTTCCCTTTCCACATTTTCCCGTTCTATGGTACGTTTCAAGATCGCAGGGAAGAACTCGAAGAAGTCTTCGCGCTTCACATGCCTTGGAGCGATGGCGAGAGTGTCGATGTCAGAACCTGTTTGCTGTCAGCACAACGTTGGCACAGCGAAACCCAGACTTCCTACCGGGCCCAAAGACACCGAGGCGATAACTGCCATATGGATAGACCTTCCCACCGAACTGGTTGATTTGCGACGGAGGAAATCCCTGTTTTCGACTGACCTCACGGACAAATACCTGGGTGGCCTTGCTCAACAACTTCAGGATGTTCATCCGCACCTCCGTCTGTTTCTGCGACTCATAGTTGTTCTGCCTCTTCAACTCTTCGACTAGTTCCGCAGTCTTCTCGTTGTCTAAAGGTTCAGGGAAGGCCATCGACATCGGACCGGTGATGCCATGTTTCTTGTTTTCGTCAGAGTCAGGCATGGTGTGTACCGGTTGACCCGTGGGCTAATCTTGGATATGTCCGTCGGTTCTTGATCAGGCGGTCTGAACTGTCGATGCAGGAATCGATTATTAGGCAACTGAGAAGCGTGTCTGGGCGTGACAGACAAAGAAGGAATCAGTTGGGCAAAAAGAGGAAAAGAAGGCGTGAAAGAGGCAAAGACATCTTCACCATCCCCAAACTCCAAAAGAGAGATGAAAGTGAAAAAGGCAAGGACAGAACAACAGGGGTGTAGTGAAGTGAAGTGAATTCACAAACGAAACATTCAAGAGCCGTGACCGAGGGGCGCAAGTGACTAGATCGCCGTGTAAACTCTGCAAACGATGCAAACAGTCTAAACAAAGCCTCAGCCACCGTGCCAAGAGGTCTTGGCATCCTTTGACCTCCTTGCAACTCAAGTGGTATCCAACTGCCTTTCCCTCAGATACAGGCCAAGCTCAGGAGATGCTTTTGAGAGGTTTTGTATTATTATATGGTTTGTTCTATTGACTCGGCTCAAGGCTCTGAAGATCTCGAATCAGCCCTGCATCATTCTTCGTCTCCCTACAAGGTGACTTCCTTGAGATCTCCGCTGTCAAGGTGGAACACAAATCCCCTAATGCTGGATTTCAACGACTCTCGAACTAAAGGGGATTCTTTCAAAAATGTCATGCTCCTCTTCACATTTTCCTCAAGAGAACTATCAAGACAAAGTGAGCAAGGGGAACCAAGCGCATGCTTAAATCGATCTTACCCCTTGATCGCGTAAAACTCCGTACTGTTAATCTCCGCCTCCAGACCCGGGGCTCGCTTTAGCAATTCCTCCTTGACCGCGTCATCTTTATACATTGTTGCTCCGCAGTCTGCATCAGGCGAAGTTAGGACGACAACGACTATGTTTCGTTTTGGAGCAACCCACTGGTGTGTTGGACAATGATGACATCGGTGAAATTCAGGATTGTGTCAATCGCAAGGAGGGAATTGACGGCATGCTGGGCATTTCCGCCAGCAACTCGGCAGACAACCACTTCTGCAGCGCGTGGTCAATCAACATCTCCTACCCTCGGAACAGGGCATGGGTTTACCTCCAGTGTTCAACTTGAAGATGTTTTCCGGAATGCAGCGCGGATCAGCACAAGTGACTTCGAAACAAGTCAGCTCTAGCTCTCTCTTCTTCCCTCGGCCAGCTGAGACACTAGAGATGAACTTACTGATCAAGATGTGTGGGAGCTCAAGCCCTAGCTCTTGAATTTGAGCAAATGTAGGAATCGGTTTGTGTGAGCTGAGAGTTGACCTGTCCGCAGTCAGCCAGTATTCTGGGCAGAGAGAGGGCTGGCCTACGCATGGCGGTCAATGATGGCCTGGGCTGTCAATTTTTGGGCCATTGTGAATGATGATTCTTCTGGTAAGGGGGTTCTGGCCGAGCTTTTGTGATGCTACCTTTCTGGACGTGGGAAAATCACCAGGAGGTATTTGCGTTGTTGATGTCTTCTCAAAAATTTTGATTCTGAGGTGGTCTGCCCCTTCTTATAGACATGGAATTACTGTGTTGAGAGGAGGCCTCTTGAATGTTTTGAGCTGTTCCACCTTGCCGCGATATCGACATCATCCTCGTCAACCCTATGTTGCTCGATGCTGAATAAACTCCGAACGATGACACTCTAGATTCCCGATCAGACATTATCAGGCGGGAAGTCGTCGCCGTTCCTTAGCTTGTGTTCTGAAGCCGCAATGGGCTTCCAGGGAGCCTTGCTCTGCTTTGGAACACATATAGCTACGTATATACGCCCTTTAAAGCGGCATTGTGCTGCAACCAATTAAGTCTCGGCGTGGAGTAGATGACAAAAGCGTCCAACCCTTTTGGGGCACTTGAACCCTTGCCCGACTAAACCCTATCAAGGCCGTCGTACCCTTGTCACTCTCAAAAACCCACCTTCGTGCTCTCTTCCAGTTGCAGCCCGACCTCGCCGTCATACGACCGGTCTGTAAGTAATCGACGGCGTGCCCCAAACCGCTCGGTGTGTGTCGCTGACAAAGGGGTCTAGGAGAGATGGTGCAATTCATCCACCACAATCCCCAGAACCGCACCTTGAGCGACGCGGACCGTCGGATTGTGCGGAGGGTCTCCAACAAAGCGGCAGCAGCGACTCGGAAGGCCAAAGGAACAGCATCCAAGACCAACGCCTTGCAACTACCGGACTTTCTGGTCGCTGAGACGAGCAAGGACGAGGCTGAGTCGGACTCTCGCGCACGGGAGACCCAAGAGCACGCAGAAACCGTCATCCAGCCTCAGCGAGCCAGGCCTGCGCCAGATGATCAAGCCGTTGCGGCTCGCCGACGTTTATCTCCCGTAGAGCGCTCTGTTAAACGGAACTACACTCCTTCTGTCGTGCCGCCGTTGTCTCTGTGGCCCAACACGGCCAATTCTCCCGAGTATGTGTCGTTGCTAATGCAGCCGGGGCTATCGCAAAAGCTGCTCCTCGATGCTTCGAGTGTGGGCGTAAACTCGGATCCACGACGGTGGGTGAAGATATGTCGTTTGACGACAATCTTACAATTTCTCCCCCGAATGATTGGCCACAGCAAGTGCCTCGATTATGCTATCGACTGCCTTGCCGAACGGGTTCGCCAGTGCTGCGTCCAAAGCCCCGACAGGGAGCAGGCCCTAACTCAATTGGAGAGGCGCTACGGCCGTGCCCTCCAATGCCTGCAGAACGCCCTCAACTCCGCCAGGGACATCGATTGGACCGTGTGGTATACGACACTATTACTAACACTGTTCGAGGTAGGGATCCGCAGCAGCTTTATCTTGGAGCCTGGACATGGCTGACCATTGATGCGCTACAGCTGCTCGACAACTCGGGTCATCACGCTTGGATCTCGCACTCGCAGGGTGGCAAGCACATCTTGTTTTCGATAGGTCCTAACAACATCAGGACAGAGTTCGAGAAGATCCTCCTTGCAGCGCAATGCCAGATTATGGTAATCCAAGAAAGCCCATCTACGCGCTGGGACTGGTTCTAACTCTTGTGGGCAGACGGTGGAAGCTACTTTCCTCAACCAAGACTGCTTCTTGAGCAGCCCGGCTTGGCAGCGGACTCTTCGATCGACGATAACCTATGACAGCGTTCTACTAGATCGTTCCGAGCCGGTTCTGACCATGTGGATGATGACCACTCGTGCCCCTGGCTTGTTTAGGAGATCGACAGAAGCCGTCCTCCAATCCCACCCTCCAGAACAGAACGCAAGGATAGCAGACGAACTGAGTGCTCTGATTGAGGAATACTCAAAATGGCGAGAAAAATGGGAAGCGATCCTGATTGGGAGTGGGAATCTGGGCAACGACGGCAACCACAATGGCGAGGTGGCTTTAACGGGGCCTGTGCCTACCATCTATCCCATATTTCTGGCGTTCTGGGCTCTGACCAACCGGTTTCTCGTTGCCGTGCAGCCGCAGCGAGCTCCAGTTGCGGAGGCGAATGCAATCAACGCAGCCCTGCGCATCATCGAGCTCGACCGGCTTCAGGAGACGGACTCGGTCACGGACCTTTGCAGGACCTTTTCGGCAAGCATTGCTCGCGCGATCAAGCTCACGACCTTGGAATGGTCACTGCAGCAGGGCGTCCGTCGCACTTCTGAAACGATCGAGCCTCGAATATTTTTGCGCTGGTGTGCCCTGCTGAGACGGCTGACAGAGTAAATCCGCGCCGTACCACAGTCCAAGAAGCGAGCATACATCTGAGTAATTTCGTTTCTCCCCATAAATGCAAAGGGAATCAGGACCCCGGGTTTCAAATGGAATGCCCAAGCGTGTGGATGTTGGTTCCGGATACTTAGCAAACCAGGGATAGTGGAGAGGAAGGTGTCGTCCAGGCTGAATACAAAGGGTGTCGCGTTGCCAACAACTTCTTTATCCTTGTATACTTGAAGACTCTCAAGACTGATAGGCCGGATTAGGTTCTTCTCTCTCTGTTTTCCTTTTGCTCCTAATTTGTGATCTTGTTACTTTGTAAGAAATAGTAATCTTGAAAACTACAGGAGTGAGAGGCGGCAGATGACCCCGTCATGTTACCGTGTGGTTCTCGGAGGCATCGTCTAATCAGAAAATCAACAAGCCGCCCAGAAAGAGAATGGCCAAATCTGACACACACTGTGACGGCGGTGGGATAGGTAGTCAGCTACCCCGGATCCTGTCCCAAACTTGCATAATAAGTAATACGAGGGTTGCTGCTCGGTACAATTAAGGACCCCCCCCCCCAAGTGCAGCACAACGGACCGAATTAGTGATTCGAGGATCTCTCCTTCTCACTCCTGCAAAGAGGTTTAGTATTGTTCGAGGATTTCAGGCCGAGGAGTGTGCAGTCGGTGACACTGCATTCTATTCCCCCGGCGGGCTTTCGAGACCGAGATGGATTTGGCGCATGCCCACACAAGAAGGTACGACGTCGACAGCTTACCCAAATGTGCCAGTCTTCGTGCATTGTCATCGTCAAATCGATCCGCGCGTTCTCCCTTTGGATGTGAACCAGATCGAAGATCCCAGGTGTCGGGGTATTGTAGCAAAACAAGACAGGTCGAAACAAAGTAAGTGGCGCGGGCTGTGTAGGAATATATCCATACAAGTATATAAGGTCTATCATCTCTCGCCCCGCAGCAGCAGCTCCAGTCACGGAACTTGAAGTCCGACAGGCCACCCATTCCAGTTACTGGTACAATACTCGGTGGCAGGGCACAGCTGAAGAAGTAGGACAGACCGACTTTGACAAGAAGACAAGGCAACACAAGGTGGAAAGCAACATGGCATCGTCGCAGCGCAAGGAAATCCTGGTCATTGGCGGCACGGGCGCCCAAGGCATGCCTGTCGTGAAAAGTAAGTCGACGGTTCGGACCACAAGAGCACCCAGTTATCTCGTGTCGACATGGTTGCCTTGACATTAGCAGTTTGAACTGACATCTCACTCACGCTTTCTCTTCACCCTAGCCCTCGCCGCCTCCACGGAATACTCAGTCCGAGTCCTTACTCGAGACCCTTCCTCCACCCGCGCGAAATCCCTCGCCTCCCTGCCAAACGTTACGTTGATCCAAGGTACGCAGGAGTCGGAAGCGGACCTGCACCGTGCGTTCAAAGGCGCGTACGGTGCATGGGTGAACCTCGATGGCTTCATATTGGGGGAGATGAAGGAATTATACTTCGCATTCCGTTGCTATGAGATTGCCAGAGGCGAGGGGCTGAAGCATTACATCTGGGCGAATTGTGATTATGCCTTGAGGATTGCTGGATGGAGGGAGGAGTTTCACTGGGGGCATAATGACGCCAAGGGACGAGTTGGTGGTGAGTTCCGTTGTGTTTCTCTTGGTCCTTTAGGCACGGCATGTGCCTGAGAATGGTGCTCCCTGGTGCAACTCGCGCCACGCAACTGGCGCAATGTCAGGAGCGGAGTAACACTGCTGAGTTAGGCAAGACTTTCGGGGTGCTCATGGACTGAACGCGAAATAGATTTCATCCTTGCGCAGGATCAGAAGGGCATGGCTTCGACCCTCTTCACCGTTGGCCCTTACATGGTGAGGCTTGCCAGAGTCCGTCTGCGTCGGGATGCTGACCTCGTGCCGGGAAGGACATGCTGTTGGATGGCATGTTGATGCCAGCAGAAGAACTTGACGACGGGACCCTCGTATGGGAGAATCCGTCCGGTAAGCAAAGCAGCCACTCAGTCACCCTCCGCCATGATTTCCTACCGTGGACAGTGCTGATTTAACCATACGACACGCAATAGAGGATGGCAAAATCCCCCTCATGGCTCTCGAGGATGTCGGCGTCTTCGTGAAGTGGATCTTTGACCACCCAGAACGTTCCACGGGTATCAACCTCGAAATGGCCACCGATCAGGTCTCTTTCTCGGACATCACATCGGCATTTACGCGTGTGACAGGTCGCAAGGGAATCCACCGCAGGATTTCCTTCGAGGAGTATCTCCCCAAGAAGGAACCATATCCCAATGCTCCAGCCAATTGGGCGAATATTGATGGAACACCAGCCACGATGACCTGGCGGCAGAACTTTACAGCGTGGTGGAAATTTTGGGGTGGCGGTCTGGGAGCGACCCGGAATATGGAGTTGCTGGACGAGATTTATCCTGACAGGATCAAGACAGTAGAGGAATGGATGCGGAAAGTCAACTACCAAGGTGGAAAGAGGGGATCAGTGTTGAAAGACATAGGCGACTTCGTGGCAAGGCGGCAAGCTGCTGGCTGATAAGGATCGGAATGGGAAGCGGGTTAGCAGTCTGGAACAGCCGAGGTTTTCAAAGGTTCCAGCATCGAATAATATATTGCGTGCAGAAATCGAGGCAGGCAATGAGCTTTTGAACAAGGGAGAGCAAGTCGGAGGCTTTGCACCTTCCTGAGTGGCGTTCTATCTGTGTTAGCCTTCTTGTTGTCTTCGTGACGTCCAGAAGAATGGGGGTGATGGCAGAGGTAGTCGTTTGTGAGGTTGGAGAGATGGTTCACCACCTCGAGGCCCTCATCATGGGAACTCTATCCAAGTTCAGTAAGCTCGGTTAGTTTTGGAATCAATCATAGGTTTGTCCATCATGAGGAATGTTGCCGATCTCAGCGGAGACCCTCCGACTCCGGCACCAGTGAGCTGGCGAGCCAGGTAGCTGGGCGACAGAGTGCGCTGCTCGCGAGGAACATGGTAACGTGTGCATCACTCGCCCAGTAGTTCGCTTACCAGCTGTTCGTGCGGTGATGCTATATGAGCTCGCAAGTCCTGACGAGGGCACATTTCCTCTGTGGGGTTGTATCGATGGTTTGCTCGAGTAGCCGATGACTGTAGAGTGCCAACATGACTTAGAGACAAGGGCGAATGGGCCAGGTGGGAATCTATTTTGCAACACTACCCAAAACAGGTCCGGCACAGGTTGGACGAAACTGGCTGTTTACCTCATGGATTGGTTTCGTTGTCTTTTGCAGGTGGTCAGTCGCCCGTGGCACATGGCCACAGAGGCCTCGAGACGCAAGCGGTGGGTGTATTTTGTCGTCATGGCGCGTGGTGACACCTTGTGGTGGGTGGTGTTGGGGGTGCAATCATGATTCCCTGCAACCCCAGAAAGTCTCGCTAGCGGTGCTTTTAGCTGCAGCTGGCAGGTCACTGTCCAGCCAAGTCGAGCGGACTGGTGTCCGCACGGGCAAAGCAAGAGGAAGCGATAATTGAGCGGGATGATGTCGTAATGGTCGTGATGGATTCGAATCCCTCTCTTTTGAACCGGGTGCCCTCTCCGGGCGCTCGAGCAGAACGCACCCCTGCCGGGTTACTCATGTCGTGCGTATGTATTTGCCCGTGTTCCGGCCTTGCGTATTGCGTATTGCTTCAGCTTAGATAATGATCGAATTGCGTGTGCCACAGCCTCATTTGCCGCCGTCAGCCTTATGGCAAAAGGGGTTCTGACTGCATTGTCGCGATCTCGGTAGGCTTTAAATAGCTCGCTGACTGCTGGAACGTGGAGCACCGTTTGGGAGGCCGAGGCTGCTGAAACGCGGCCAAGGGAAATCATCGGGGGCAAAATCCGGACGCCTGTGACACAGGGCTGTTAAATTGCTGCGAGCTGAGAGAAATCAGGGGTGGGTGATTGGCCGACTTGCTCACTGCGTTGGCTGAGAAGCGGACAAACCATAGCTTCTCGCTATTGCAGCCATTGCAGCAGACGGGGCCAGTGATGTGATATTGATGAAATGGGTTGGAGCAGACGAGTAGGCGTGATGGAATGGGTTGATGTGTGATGGATGCTGATTTGTTTGTTCAGACATCAAGCAGAAGATCAGGAACCTAAATCACTTTCGCCGCGGCCCTGACCCTCGTATCGCTTCTGCTGCCCATTCCAGAAGCAAGGCCTGCGGGCATTAGCCTTTGGGGGGGTCACCGGGGGGCAATTAGGCGGTCGTGGTGGCTCGGGGGATGTTGATCTAGCCCAGAGGGGGGCAGCCGAGGGTTTCTTCAGCCAGTCACACACCCATTCGCAACCCACTTCCACAGGGAACGTTAGTTCCCACCAGACTTTGCGAGGTACACGTTCCCTTTCCCATCTCCCATTTCCACACCCTTGAGGAGGCTGTGCACCCGCGCAATCAACGTGTCCTTGCGCCTGGCTACTACTGGGATGCTCTCTGTGGCATCCGCACCGTTGGGTTCTGCGACAATTTGCCCACAGCTGAAAAGGGCCCTAACCCTCATCCTTCTCCTCTGGCTGGATCCTCTGACCGTTTCCCCCCCAAAAACGCGTTACCACTTTTTCTGTTTGCCGTCTGCCTGCGCCCTGAATATCCCACAGCCTCCCTTCATCTACACACTTCCTACATACCTTACACATGGCGTCACCTCCCTCTTAACGTCTATATTCTCCTTGAAGTCTTGACTGACTTCCAAGTCATATGGCGGCTTCCTCTCCTTTGCTACCGCGCCGACTTTTCGTTCTCCGCACTCCTTGTCCCCGCAAATCATGAATTCTCATTGTCTACAGTCGGATGAGTACGAGTTGTCGAGGACGAGTACGCGCACATCAGACGAAACAGACAACCCCTTACTTTACTTTGAGCACGATTCGGACCACGATGATTTCCACTCCCATTTACTTACAGGCCAGACTGTGTCTGGTGTCGCCCAACGGGGGGTTTCCTCCCAGTTCATCTCCCTAGCCCCTGCTTGGCTACGCAAGCAGTATCTTCCTCGACGACCTCGAACGAGATCAAAACGACTTCCTCGCCGATACGTGTGTACACCTAGATCATTCCTTCGAAAATTCGCTTTGTTTTGTTACATATTCTTCACCACCATCGCCGCCATCGTCATCGTGGGAGGCGTCTTTTTCCCCGGCTACACTCACCTTCCGCCCCATTATAGAGCGTTAAGACAAAGGGCACGAGCCTCTGAGACACCAGGGCGGGTGAATTTGCAAAATCAAAAAGTGTTTCTTGCAGCGAGCATCTACGATAAGGGGGGAAAACTCCTCAGTGGAGATTGGGCGGAAAACGTTCTAGAGCTGATACAGTTGCTGGGACCACAGAACGCATTTCTCTCGATATATGTCAACGACTCTGGTCCGGAGGCAAAAGAGGCGTTGGAGGAACTCGAGAAGCGGGTGCCGTGCGACCACGCTTTGGTGTTTCAGGATCACTTGAGCATCGACAACCTCCCCCACATCCGTATACATGGACAAGAGCGGGTGAAGCGCATCGAGTATCTGGCTGAGGTTCGAAACCGGGCGTTGAGGCCGCTGGAAGGTTCAAACACCACGTTCGACAAACTCCTCTACCTAAACGACGTCGTTTTTCATCCGATTGACGCTGCCCAATTACTTTTCTCAACACATACCGTCGCCGACGGCGTCACGGACTACAGAGCTGCCTGCGCGGTTGATTTTATCAATCCTTTCAAATTCTACGACACGTTTGCAACCAGGGATGCTGAGGGATACAGCATGGGGCTTCCCTTCTACCCGTGGTTTGCGGCCGGTGGTGACGAGACCAGCCACCAGGATGTCCTGGACGGCAAAGATGCAGTAAGAGTTAAGAGTTGTTGGGGCGGCATGGTTGCATTCGATGCACGATTTTTCCAGGCACGGCCTAGCAGACCCGAGTTGATAACCGCGGGCAACCAGAGCCCGAGCAATCTCTCCACACCTTATCGCTTTCGTGCGGAGAAGGATCTTTATTGGGACGCATCGGAATGTTGCCTCATCCATGCCGACATTCAGAATCCTGAGCCTGGAAATTCAGGAATTTACATGAACCCTTTTGTTCGAGTGGCCTACGACTCCAGGACCCTTTCGTGGCTGGGCTTTACCCGACGTTTTGAACGCCTGTATACACCAATTCATTGGTTGATTGACCTTTTCACCAACAAACCCAAGTTCAACCCGAGACGACACGAGGAACCATGGCAGCAGGTGCAGGAGACGGTTTGGGTTGCAGATGAGAGGTTGCCTCCCAACAATGGGTCATTCCACCAAGTGACGAGGATAGCCTCACATGCAGGCTTTTGCGGCCGCCGGGGGTTGGCGGTCATCAAGGAAAACATTATGGAAGGAGAAAGAAACTGGGAATTCGTGCCAGTGCCTTCATGAAATCTTTGAGCATAGCGATGGCGTTCGGAGCAAGATAAATCTCAAACGTGGGATATCATGAGCTTGTAAAAGCATTTTCCCGTCGACGTGAACGACGCGGCTGTGAGAATCAATTGTGAAAAGAGACCTCTTCATGGAAAAAAGGAGAAATATAAATGCTGAAGCTGTTTCGCAGCTTTTTCTGCCACCTAAGCGGGCATACCTTCCTCGTCACTTTTGCTCTTAACTTGACTTTCACTGATCTATAGATCGCCAAGGATGGGTGCGAGTCGATAGTGACCATGGTCGTCCATAAGTCTCATTCTTCCTGTGAGTGAATGGTGAGTGCGACTGTTGCTGACCGCGCCTGAGTCTTTCCTTTCATCAGATCAACAACAACCCACAACTTCTTTCTCTTCTCCTTAAATCACTGCTGTCTCCATTGCGCCTTCCTCGATCTGTCTCACGAAACCCCAGAACCGGTGCCGTTGCAATCATGGCCGCTTCATCGCTGTACGACGATCCTGCCCATATCGCCAGATTCTTAGAGGTGCTCAGAGGCACCTCGAAGTCTGCAGAGACTGAGACACAATTCAACGATCCCTGGTCGAAGCTCAATCCACAGAGTCCAGTAAGTGATATTTTTGACAGCCCATCTTCACGAAGCTAGCGCTGATTTTGTCAAGGACTTCTCTCCCAAGATCACCGTCGCCAATCGTCACGTTGAAAATGGCCTCCCTAAAACAAGCAATGATCCACAAGGTGTTCAATTGTCACATCAACGGGGACCTGATGCGAGCCCTCTGGCACCGTTCCAATCACCGTTCCCTCAAGTAACCTCGACGCAAAAATCTGCTCGGGTTGACTTAGTTCAAGATCAAAATGGCCTTGTCACTGAGCCGACAAACCCAGATGCTGAGCAAGTGCTCTTCGAGGAGCACCCTAACATCCCTAATAAACGGCCACTGACGCCGACCCAGCATAGACTCCTGGTCGGAAAAAAGCCTGGCATCGAGCACCTCACCGAGGACAAGTTGGCGGAATTAAGCAAACAGACTCAGGGTTACATGAACAATGTGGTTGACCGATTTCGAAAGTCAAAAGAGCAGAATTTGGCCCATAATTTCATCGCCAGTGATCATGTTCCTTCGGTCAACCTCCAGGCTGAGAATTCTTCTCACGCTTGCTCATCTTTGGCAACAGATGGGGACCAAGAATCAAACCCATGCACACCGGATGCTGCCTCGATCCACTATGCTGAACGAACGTCAGTCAACCGCCGAGCCAGCGCGAGCCAAAACGACGGGCCTAATAAGAGCTGTGAGTATATCTTGTGGTAGCCCTTCAAGTTGACTAACAAGTTCATCAGCTGACCAGCACGAAGCCTGGCAAGAGAAGAGTCCTGACAGTGTTTCGTGCCACACTCCTGTTGTGGACTATGTCTGCAAGAATGAGCAGCAGTACGGGAATGACTGTAAGCCCAGAGTCTATCCCATATCACAGACTTTCTGACGATGCACGCAGATTCAGAGCAAGTGAGGGACTCGACAGGGGTAGTTCCATTTCCCAGCTTCAACGAAGGCCCACCTATGCATGCGCTTGGCAACGTAAAGGAGGATGAAGAGGAACGGCAAGAACCAACAGCTGCGGCTGCTGTCAAAGACAAGCCTCTGTCAACATCTACTCCCAATCTGCATGGACACAGCACAGTCGCGGAGAACAGTGGGGAAGAGAGCGTCCCAGTAATTCATAAAGCAAGCGACAGTGTTACTCCCCTGCCACATACCCAGTCCCCCACCATTGTGGTGACCGCCAGCACGGACACAGACGACAGTGTCGAAGAGGATAATGACGACGATGATGAGCAAGAGGATAGAGAGAACCTCGTCCGCTTCAAGTCGTGGGGGGCACCAGCTGCCCGAAACAAATCCAGTAAGACTTTCTCAGTCTGTTGGATGCTTTGGTCACTAATTTTTGTTAGAATCTCGCCCACGTACTGTCATCCTCACTGGTCTACCACGTGGTACTGATTTCACCCTCGTTCAATCTCTGATTCATGGTGGTGCTATCGAAGGTATGAGGCTCATTGACTCCAACCCTGAGCGGATCACAATCTCGGCCCACGTCACCTTTACCTCTGCCGACGCCTGCGATCGCTACTACGCCGAGTATCCCAAAGGTTTAGAAATCCGCTATCAAGGCCGGAAGTGGTTTGTCCTCGTGCACAAGAAAGAGCAGGTGGATGTGGTCTCTGGAATGTTGCAGGGATATCTTGACTGTGGAGCGACACGTGTGGTCAAGGTGAGCGGCGCCGACGACGACTGGGGGATTGTGGCTTTGAACAAGCTTGCTGAAGGAAAGACTGGCACACGTCAAGTCGAGGCCGTTCAGGATACGTATCGCAACGGGGTGAGTTTGATAAGTTCTGGTTTTTCACGACTTCCAATACGAGCTCCAGCTGACTGCTGCAACAGATTCGCACCATCGTCTTCCGGTTCGCCAACATCAGCCACGCAGTCCAATTCAAAAGCCATCTTATTCGAAGCGACGATTGGTATGGATGTCATGTTGAGTTTGCAGAGGATCCGTGCGAAAAAGCGAGTGCAATTCGCAATGATTGAACGCTGCAAATGGGGTTTGGGTGCCTTGACCTGCCAGGAAAGATGCAGGCGGCGAACATGTTCGGACTCGAAACGACTTGAAAGAGATAACGGATCGAGTATTTGCGGAAGTGTGAAACGAAAATATGACTCCAGAGAGTGGGATTAACTGGTACGCGAATGAGCTGATATGGATATTGCTGAGTGTTGGTGTCCTTCTACACCGTGAGCAAAGTGCCAGCTGGAGCAGAGAGCACCGTGTCCAGTGGGCAGGTCGGAGGGCTTCTGAGCCGGTTAGCGAGGGTGCTATGGTCGCCATTGGCGGGATGGTGTGACTGGCGTCTTGTCATAACCCGAGGTTGAGCTGATGTCGCATGAGCTCATGCCCAAGACCACAAGAAAACCAAGTTGCCCCACGTCCGGATGAGCCTGCGAAGTTTTTTCCTTTTTCTTCTTCCGCCTCGACTGAGAGAGTACAAGAGCTCTGCACTCTGTACAGACACTCATAACCACGAAAGACCACAAAGTCGTCGTTAGTGATTGACACGGCAAAGTCCACAATGGGTCAACCATCTCAACAGGCGTCCAACGCCATCATCTACACTACTTACGCAGCTTTCCTGTGCGCACCTCATAACCCTGGCCTCATGTCGCGAAACAAGAGAAGGAGACTAACAAGGTGCCTGACTAGTGTCTTCGGTCTCTTCGTCGCATGGACGCTGCGGCACCAAACAAAGGGCGAGTATCTCGCCACTTTGCGAACACAGAAGGGTACAGAACATGACTCCATCCGACCAACCTTCGAGGACTCCGCCTTGGAAGAAAGACTCGGTGGCTGATACATTTCCCAGGCATACCTTTGGCCCTCAACTTCATCGCGTCGGGTGAGTGTGCTCGAAGAGCAGCAACAGCCTGAAGCGGCGGCAGCACGAGGGCTAGGCACCGTCGACAGCAACGGTGCAACCAGCAATGGGGCGATATATCCAGCTTTTTCGAGGTGATACAGGACCTCGTTTGATCGATACAATACTTTGACTCGTTGGCATACTGAGCAATGCTCTCCATCTGAGGTTCGTATGCTTGCATCAACGCCATTGGCTCTTGTTGCTTTTGGCCGACAGAAGAGATTCCGTGCTCTGCTCCTCTACTCTGATTGTCTACCTCGAACAGGTACAGGCGTTGAGTGGCTTCCTTCCAACGCCAAAGGCTCAAGGGCCAATGTGCAGCACTACGGGCGCTTGTGTCTGATCGTTTCCCTCGGCCTTCATCCACCTGGCTTCTTATTCAAGCAACCAGAGATGAAACGAGCTGCGAAATGCCGATCACACAATGCTGAGATTGTACCGTCAAAACTCGATCAAGTTAATGCTTGCGTGGGAAACGTGCTGCCAGCTTCTTCAACCCTGTCCCCCCTTCCCCTAATTCGTGAAGATCGTCCATACTGACAAATGTCCTACATTTTCGGCAAACAGCTTTGGGTTCAGGGATTTTATTCTCGTACCCGCAGATTTCCACCATCGCGGGTGTCCAGGGCCTTGTGGTCTACAGTCTCTCCTCGGCCTTGCCACTTCTTGTCTTTGCCTATCTTGGGCCCATCATCAGGAGAAAATGTCCCGAGGGCTTTGTACTTACCGAGTGGACCCGACAGCGATATGGAGCTATTACTGCACTGTATCTCTCGGCCTTGACGTACGGACCTCCTCCTCTTTCCTTTGGTCTTCACGCGTCTAATCCAATATCAGGCTTATCACCCTTTTCCTCTACATGGTTGCCGAGCTTTCTGCTCTCCAACAAATCATCAATGCCCTGACTGGGCTCAACGGCCTCCCTGTCGTAATAGTGGAGTGCGCCGTGACCACAATCTACACTTCCCTCGGCGGGTTCAAAGTCTCTTTCATCACCGACAACATCCAAGGCGCCATGGTCGTAGGGCTGATCATCATTGGGTGCATTACTGTGGGCGTGGAAACCCATGTACAACAAGACTTGATTGACAAGAGCGGATACCTGAATGCCAGCTTGCTAGGCTGGCAATTGGTTTACATCCTCCCAGTAGCGATCCTCACGAACGATTTCTTCATATCAGGGTTTTGGATGAGGACGTTTGCGGCGAAGACGGATAAAGATCTGTGGGTTGGTGTGAGCATTGCGACCGTGGCCGTCGCCATCATCCTGACGCTCTGTGGCGTGTCTGGGCTTTTGGCCGGGTGGTCCGGGGCCTTGGGCGACCCGCCACAGCAGTCTTCCATCGCCTTCTTCCTGTTACTGGAGCAGCTTCCCGCCTGGGTCGTGGGGATCGTGATCGTCATGACGGTTGCTCTGTCCACCGCCGCTTTCGACAGCTTTCAATCCGCCATGGTGAGCACCGGGTCGAACGACATCTTCCGCAACAAGTTGAACCTCTGGATTCTCCGAGCGACGGTTGTGTTGATCATTGTCCCCGTGGTAGTGGTGGCGTTGAAGTCACCGTCCGTGCTACAGATCTACCTCATCTCCGATCTCATCTCCGCGTCGTCCATCCCCGTTTTGGTCATCGGTCTCAACGATCGATGCTATGCCTGGCGCGGGTTTGAAGTGGTAGTGGGAGGACTGGGCGGTATATTTACTGTCTTCCTATTCGGTCTTGTTTTCTACAAGGGAGACGCCAGCTCCGCGGGGGCTCTTCTGTTGCTTGAAGCGGGCCTGTACGGGAACGATTGGTCCGCCTTCGGGGCGTTCGTGGCTGCACCCGTTGGTGGGCTTTTGTGGGCGCTCGGTGCGTTCGGATTAAGGCTCGCTGTTCAGTGGTCCCTCGCGAAGGTTCGCGGCACGAAGTTCGATGCGCTGGACAAGCCCGCGGCGCCGACCGCGAGCTTCTACACGGGAAGAGTTAGCCCCGTCACGGGCGACTCGGAGAGAGAAATGTACGCCGATGGAGAGGGAGTTGTGAGAAGCCACGTCGAAGTCAAGGGCAAGTTCTTTTAAATACGGACTTTACAAGTGGCAGAGCAAGGGAAGAGAAGGGGTGCCGTGAAACAAGGGGAGGCAATGCTGCCGGACAGACGAGGCCTTGCGGCGAGAGCTCTCGTTCGGCGTCCTCCATTGGTTTCCCAGAGTGGAAGGAAGATGATGATGAGCAGGGCGAACGAGAAGGCTCGTCTCGTTCGATCTCTGAAGACATGGTGCCCAGCCTTCACCACAACACACAGGCTTGTCTATTTGCCCAATCGACGGCGGACACGACCCGACATCCGTTCCAGCTCGGGGATTCAGTCCTGCAACTTGCTTGAAAACAGCTTTCAACGAAGACATGGATAGATGCAGACACCTGCCTTGCGGCCTGAAGGGTGGAGAGAGGGGGGATATGTCATATATGATGTTGTCGTTCATATGGCAGGTTGACCTGCCATATACATTCGTTTGGAAATATGAGGTTACATTCCATGCCATGCGAATATTTCTAGTTCGGCTATGTATCCAGCCTTTCCCATCTTCTCGTGAAATCCTCCCATCCATCTATTGAATATCCGTTGCGATCTATCTATCGCCATTAGTCCTCAGACTTGTCTTCTCGATCCCGTTTCTAAAAAAAAAAAAAAAGACCGCCAAAAACCACGCTCGAACATGAATCCGTCTATCTCACTGTCCTTCTACCTTTTCCTTGAGCAGCTCTTCGCCGAGCTTGCCCTGGGCCCTCTCGTCCTTCAAGACGGGCCTGGGAAGCTCAAACCCGTCCACGACTCTGGCATACGTGATGCCTCCCAGTCTAGCCACGGGCCTGAGCACGGCGGGGTCGATCAGCGTCCTGTCCTCGTTGATGGCATCTTCTCTGACCCAGAACCTGACTCCTTCGATGATGGCCAAGACCCCGGTCTTTTTGCCCGGTGTCTTCGGCGAGCGCGACTCGAACTCCTGCGTCGAGACCAGCTTGCCCTCGACGCTGAACACGCTCTCCTTGACCCGCGAGCACTGGACCACCTCGCAGTCGGCGGGATGCAGGCCGGAGACGCCCCACTCGGACAGGCCGTAGGGCAGATCGATGGCGCAGGCGTTGGCGGCCTCGACAAAGTCTTCGGAGATGATGTTGATGACGCACTCGCCGCTCTCGATCAAGTTGCGCAGCGAGTCCTTGGCGTTGTCGAAGCCGCCCGAGAACCCGACGCAGAAGATGGGCGGGTCGTGGTTGAAGAGCTGCGTGTACGAGAACGGCGCCAGGTTCGTCGACGCCCCGTCCGCCGACCGCGTCGACAGGAAGCCCACCGGCCGCGGGATGATGCCGCTGATGAGCAGCTTGTAGTTCTGCACCGGCTGCCGGCCCGGCGCGTAGGGGTCGATGCTGATGTGTTGCTTCTCAGACGTGGTATTCGAGATGGATGCTCCCGACCCCGATCCGTACGTCCACTCGGGATTCCGCGTCTTGGTGAATCGCCACGTGCGCGCCTCGTCCCAGTCCGGGCGCGAGGCCTGCACTTGGCCAAAGTCGCCGTGCGGATTGCGCTTCACGCTCGCCTCTGCGTCGTGCTTCTCCTGCGCCTCCTGTGGGTTTGACGGGGCTGCAGACATTCTGGGCGGAGGCAACTAACAGGGAAAGAAGGTGGGATCGAGATGGGGTATCCTTGATGGGTGTGAACGTTGGTTGAGTCTCGTAGACTTGGTTTGATGTTGTGTTGTTTCAACACGATGGTTCTCGGGGCCTGATGCTGGTTGTTCTCAGGGAGGTGTATCTGGGTATGTCACTGCCGGAGTTGACCTGGGCAGCACAAGTAAGCGATGTAAGCTGTGAGATTATGATTTTATCGGGCTTTCCGGGCAACGGTGTGGTGTACCTGACAAAAGGTCCCAGATAGCTTAGAAATCGTAGTTCTCTGCAACCCCAGGATAAATGGCTCGATTCAGACAGTGGGGATAGGGCATCAAGTCCGGACGCAAGTAGAGGAAGAGTTCAGTTTTTGCCCGATGATCTGCGACTGAGGGTACCGTAAATTGCACAAAGTGAGAGAGAGGTGGAAAACCGTGACTTGTGTTGTGTCTATCTACAAAATCTCGACAGTAGACCATGCTGCGGGTGCAAGTCGCAGTCACTGTCTTTATCAACTCTACGTCATGACTTTTCCGTACATCTACACCGATCAATGCCTGCGCTTCAACAACAGCTACTCAGCGCGCCCATTACCTGTCGAGCCAGTCGATGATAACAATTGATCGACACTTGACCTCTCATCCGTGCAGGAACGTTGGCCAAGCGCAGCAGTACCGAGTATAAAAGCAGGAGACGAACATGGGGAATGGAGGGGAACCTTAAACCACAACGCCCATCTTGGTCCCCGTCACTCTCTGGTTACAACCTCCCTCTCCCTCTCCCTCTCCCGGTTGGATCCCAATCTGCGTCTCACTCTTTCACTCTCGGACGGCGGGAGAAATCCGCCACCACCCATCACCGTCACCTCCTCCCTCACGGTATCAGAAGCAACCATTCCTCATGAGGCGTCGAGTGGAGATGAGCGACCTTGCGGGGTCAGAGTTTCACGGCATGTGCTGGTGATACGAGGGGACAGGTCTTGTGCTCGACTTGAGCACGGATTGAGAAGAGGAGGCATCACATATCCTTTGTTGCTCTTCTTGTTCACTCATCTGACCCTGCGTTGAGGGCAACAGGAGATCAAACCGAGACATCCATCGCCATTCTCCTCTCTGAGAAGTTGCAATGCCTGCAGACTACGAGACATACGAACTGGGCGACTTCGCTCTGCAAAGCGGCGCCACCATTCCCAAGGCGTGGATAGCATACAAGACCTTTGGCTCGTCCAGCAACCCCGCCGTCCTCTACCCATCCTGGTACTCGGGCCTCATCTCCGACAACGAGTGGCTGATTGGCGCCGACAAGACCCTCAACGCGGACAAATACTTCATCATTATCACCGCCCTCTTTGGCAACGGCCAGTCCATCAGCCCTTCCAACTCGGATGTCGTGCCGTTCCCGGATGTCACTTTCTACGACAATGTCAAAGCCCAACATCGCCTGCTCACAGAGAAGCTTGGGGTCCAGCATCTGAGGGCCGTGCTCGGCTGGAGCATGGGCGCCGCCCAGTCGTTCCAGTGGGCCACCCAGTATCCCGACTTCGTGGACATTGCCGTGCCCTTCTGCGGCAGCGCAAAGACCTCGATCCACAACCAGGTGTTTTTGGAAGGCGTCAAATCCGCCCTGCTGGCAGGCAAAGGGCTCAGTTCCGCGGGGAGTACCTTTGGCAGGGTCGAGAATGCTCAGGACACCGCCTCCGTGAAATCAAACCGCCAGTGGACCGATCACGAGAAGGCAACCGGTCTCAAGGCCTTCGGGAGAGGATACGCTGGCTGGGGCTTCTCGCAGGCCTTTTACCGCGCAAAGCTTCACGAATCGGCCTACGGTGCCAAAGACCTGGAGGATTTCATGGTAAACTTCTGGGAGACTTGGGCTCAGTCCAAGGATCCCGAGAATCTGTTGGTCATGCTGTACACCTGGCAGGCTGGAGACGTCAGCAAGCAAGAACCTTATAATGGAGACTTTGAGGCGGCCATGAGGGCGATCAAGGCGAAGACCTTGGTTCTGCCCAGCAAGACGGATCTGTACTTCCCGTAAGTGTTGCTGCCCTGACTATTTTGCCCTCTTGCCCTCTTGCCCGCTTGGCCATTCCGACCACTATCAAATTGTTCGGCCACTTACGCTCTTCTGCTTCCTAACAGACCCGATGATTCCGAGTATGAAGTCAAAAACATGGCTCCGGGTGTTGGTCAGCTGGATGTCTATCCAAGCATCTGGGGACATTGGGCCGGTGGACCACCAGGGAACATGGAGGACGTCAAGTGGCTGGATGAGCGCCTGGCTAAACTTTTCGCGGAGGCGCCCAAAAATGGGTGAGCGAGACTTGTACGGGAATGATGGGGAAAAGCTTCACACGTGAAATGTCGTTAACAGTTTGAGTCGGTCCGCCTGCACAGCAGCTTCAGCCTCCTGTGGAGAGATCCAGCGGTACAATCTTGAATCGAGAATAATTTCGAACATCGTTCGAGAGAGGTTTTTGAAGGGAGCCAACTGAGGAGTGATCCTTTGATCCTGTAACCCAGAGTAGCATTGAATGCGGTCCTTTTGTGTCTTCAATGGGTCGAGGACAGTTCGGGTTTTGTCTGAATAAAGTATGAAATCTGAGGACATACACTGGCTCGGTACCTCTCAACAATGAGTGAAGCAGCAGTTAAAGATCTCTCTCGATGTCCCTCTTTATTCGTCTTCGGAGGGATAGATCTGGCGGTGGTGTCTGTCGCAACTTCGTTCCTAGGTATCAATCCGGGGAAGTAACCTCCACAGAACTTCACGGAATTTCCGTCTGGATATTGCGAGAATGGCGGCCCGCTCCCAATTTGGCGCATTATCCTCTTGATTGGCGGCCTCGGTACCACATCAGGATCCCGATGAGCAACGTGGAGAACGGACAAATCCATCCTGCCAACTTCCACGTCGTATATAACTCTCGAAGAAGAGTGCTTGAGTGGTTGAGTCGCAGACAGAGGAGACATCAGCTTGACGGATTGAATACCTGTTCACCACCAGAATTGCCAGAGTCTTCTGGACCTTGTAGCGCACATTCGACAGCCCAGCAATTACACCATGGCATCCAATTTCAAGGCCGTTCATTTGAACCATGAGATCCCAGATCTTTCTGGTTCCTTTCAGATCACCTGTCCCCCGGGAACAGATATTTGGGACAAGCCCCCTGCAACGCACTCCTTCAATGCGCCAATAATATACAAAACCAGCACAGTCGGCTCGTTCAAATCCGCAAAGGTGACGGTTTCGGCCCCCTGGAAAGACAAGTACGATCAAGGTGGACTGTGCTTGGTCATAAAAACGAGTGACACTACTCGCTGGGTCAAGACAGGCATTGAATTCCTCGACAATGTGCCTTTGGTCGGCACCGTGGCAAAGGATCGGTGGGCGGATTGGAGCCTCAGGCCTCTGCTTGCCGAGGTTTTGAGTGTTGAGTACACTGCCATTGTTGAGATAGAGAATGCAGCCGACGGAAGCCTTTGGGTCTGGCTTGTCAGTGAGAGTGGAATGAGGTTACCGTTGAGAGAAGTGACTTGGTGGGGGGATTTGCCCAAGGAGACGGAGGTTTGGATTGGTGTCTACGCCGCGAAGCCGGCGCCACATGGCGAAAAGGACGATCTGGTGGTTACGTTTGAGGGACTCGATATTCAATAGAGAGGGAGGGCGAGTTGAAGGGCGTCGTTCTTAGCTCGGTCTCTCTGCTTGGATACGAGGGCAAGTCGATGCCTGCGATGGACGACAAGGCGAGTGAAAGGATCCAGACGTCGCAGCAAATGCAACAAACCATAGAATCGAGGACGAGTAAACTGTATCAGGGAAGCTGACTTCCAGTGGGCAATACCAGGTACAATGCGACGCAAAGGCTCCTTAGAACAGAGACCGAGTTCGACAGTGAATGGACGCGTCTCAGCTGCGGACGCGTTTTTTGGCGTCTCCAACATTTTCAAGCCGCTGCCATCATCATCCGCCGTGACCACTACTAACACCACCACCTCCTACTTCCTCAACCAGTGCAGTCTGCCCGCCTCAGATCAGATCACTCGGCCTATCAATCGAAATCCTCGTCGCCTACTACCGCTATTCTCTGCCTGTGAGCACTCTCCAATAAAACAGCCCTATCCTAGTCGCCCTCCCCCAAACATGACGATCGGCCCGTGACACCCCTCTTTGCAACATGCCCACTCGGCTTCGCAATGCCGCCGCCGCAGAGGCTGCGCAGACTCCCCATCGATACGATATACCGGGCCTTCAGTTCGACGACTCTCTGACATGGCGCGCCGGCAAACCGATTGCCGTGGGAGACCTTCTTACGCGACTCCAGAAACTCGCCGGTCAGCTGCGAAATTACGATCTTGACCAGGTCGACTCGCGTGCCTTTACCACTCTTGCGCAGGACCTGGCAAACCCAAATCTTCTCGGTCACAAGGACAAAGGTGTGAGAGCCTGGACTGTCTCCTGTGTTGTGGATGTTCTCAAGATCTGCGCCCCGGATGCGCCGTTCGTCGAGGCGCAGTTAAAGGTAGGCTCTCACTATGGCATACAACCCAAGACAATACAATTGACAAGAAGTCGTAGGACATTTTCACGGTTATTATCAATTCTATTCTACCTGCGCTTGCGGATCCAACCAATGCGTACAATGCGCAACATGTCTACATCCTCATCTCCCTGGCCGAGTCGCAAAGCATCTTGCTGGTGACTGACATTCCTAACCACGAAAACTTAATCACGTCGCTCTTCACCACGGCATTTGATATTGTCGCCAGCTCTGGAAATAATGCTTCGGGCGTGGAGGTTTCAAAGAGCGTGGAATACCACCTGAAGAATCTTCTGGCTGCAGTCGTCGACGAGGTAACTCTCCCTCAGGACGTCACGGACATTATCATTTCCCAGTTCATGCGCGTGGACGCCCGAAATGTCCAGGACCATGGAGCCAAAGGCAAGAAACGGGATCCTCAGGACACCAAGCAAGGGACGTTGCTCCTCAAAGACTACCCTCCAGCCTACAACATGGCCAAGTCGCTCTGCACTACCTGTCCTGAGAAAATGACTGCCCAGATCACCCAGTATTTCGGGACTGTGATTGTTGATGCCGCTAGTGCCAATGGCGTTCCTCTGCCTTCTCACGGACGTACTGCTTCAGATGCCGACGGCGACGATGAAGAGAGAGAAGGCCTGGCTGATTTGCGAAAAGCCCATCGTTTACTTCGAGAGCTGTGGCGCGCGTGCCCAGATGTCCTCCTGAATGTCATCCCTCATATTGAGGCAGAATTCTCCGCGGATTCCGCCTCCCTCCGTCGAATGGCAACCGAAACCGTTGGAGACATTACAGCTGGGATTGGCATTGCTGGACTTCCTCCGTCCGTACCCCTCGATCCCGCTGCTTATCCCTTACCCTCCGTCGATTCTCCAGGAGAGCTCATATCGCAAACGACAAATCCCCTGTTGACCCCGGCCTCTCCCAAACCATTCATGGCGGTCCACGCCTCGGCGTATCAGTCCTTCCTCGGCCGTCGGAATGATAAGTCATATGCTGTTCGCGAAGCATGGGCTAATGCAGCTGCTCGAATCTTGCGCACCTCGGCTGGAGGTATCGGATTGGATCCTCAAGAGCTTGGGGGTTTGCTTGCCGGCTTCGCTCAGATGCTTCGCGATCCGGAAGAGCATGTTCGCTTAGTGGCTATTCGCTCCATTGATGCCTTCCCCTATGGGAGTATGATCAATATTCTGGGTGCAGATGGCGGCTTAGCGAAGCAGCAGACCGTGTTTTCTTCGTTGGCTGAACGTGTTATTGATCGAAAGCATCACGTCAGAGAGGCAGCGATTGAATTGCTCGGTCGGATCTGGGGTGTCGCCTCCAGCGATATCGAGTCGGGCAATGAAGTCGTCAAAAGCAGCATTGGAGACATCCCCAACCGTATATTTGGCGCTTACTTCACCAACGAACCGCACGTCCACGCTGTGATTGACAGAGTTCTGTATGAAAGTTTGTTGCCGCTCTCCTTTCCACCGTCAAAAGTCACAGGGTCCCGCACAGAGGGTCAAAAACAGCGAGGCCGAGACAAAGAGGGTGGTCCTCAAGAAGAATCAGTGTTCGATCCTGATGCGGTCAGGGCCCGTCGCATCCTGACACTCGTCCACAGCTTGGACACCAGACCGCGCGCGGTTTTTTTCAGCCTTCAAAACCGACAGGTGCAAATGAGCAAAGGTATGAGGGTTTTCCTGGAGGCCTGTGAGGAATACAATGGAGGCGTTCTGGAAGACGACTCGTTAGAGGCAACACTTGAGGCCCGTCTCACCCGCATGATCGAGCAGCTCTCAAAAAGCTTCCCCGAACCCTCCGAGGTTTCCAATGACCTGTGGAAGTTTGCAAAGCAACACAACCGTCGTTGGTATCAGTTGATACGATTTGCCACTGGTGCTGAGCATGATTATCGCACAGTTACCAAGGCCATCAAAGAGCTCGCCAAACGCATACGCGAAAGTTCGGGGAGCGTGCAATCACTCATTGATACGATTCAACAGCTTTTATACCGGTGTGCACTGCTCGCCTATAATCGGAGTCATGTCCCAACGATCATGGCTATAACGCGAACCGACGAGGGTGGCTTGGGCGAGGTGGCTCACGAGGTCTTAAAGGAAATCTCTGCTCGAAACCCAGAAGTTCTCAAATACCACATCCAGGCGTTGTGCAAAGAGCTTGAGGAGGAGGCACCATCAGGTGCAAAATCCGAGCAAGATGGTGCCCCTGACACTCTCAAGGCATGTGCGGCATTCGCTCGAAAATATCCCTCAGAGATGCCCAAGGACCGCAAGTTCCTGACTGCGTTAGCACAATTTGCGTTGTTCTCGAAATCCCCACGGGCAGCGAAACACGCCGTGTCCATCATCATGATGGCGGCTGACAAGAAGGAAATGTATGCAAAAGACCTGCTGTCAAAGGCGCTGGCAGGTGTTGAGTCCAACGATCCTCATTTCCTCGCCCGCCTCGCCACGGTAGCGCAGGTCTGTCTCCTCGCACCCGCCGCGGCAAATGTCGACTCGGATGCCATTCAGAAGCTTGCCCTCTCGGATATCTTACTTAAAAACCAGTCGCCTAGCACGAAGAATGACCCGAGTGCTTGGGATGAGAGAGCAGATGACGAGACTAGGGCCAAAGAATTGGCGCTCAGGATTCTCGTCAATCGTTGCCGTGCCCAGGACGAATCCATGGATACCGACGAGTCTGCGGCACTGGCCAAGCAGATAGCCAGGCATCTTATCGCTTTGATCAAGAATGAAGGAGAAATAACGCCTTCGAAAGATACGCCCCCTGCACAGAAGAACAGGCTCAGGCTCACGGCTGCGCATCTAATATTGAAGCTCTGCAGCCACAAGAGAAAGTTCGAAGACTTGATTGACCCTCAGGCATTCATTTCGATCGTGATGATTATAATTCATCCGCCCAATCCGGTGCGTGCTGGGTTTGTCAACTCACTGAAGAAGTACCTAGGCCTCAACCACTTGGCTCATAGGTGGTTCACGGCCCTCTTCCTCCTAGCGTTTGAGCCAGACATGGAATTGCGGACATCGACCGTTACGTGGATTCGAGCGCGTGTACAATTCTTCGCTCGGCAGCAGCTTCAAGTAAGTTCGTCGGACAAGAAAATGCATCAAAATGTTATGGAGTCGACGTTTGCACGTCTGCTCAGTTTACTGGTTCATCATCCAGATTTTCCGACACAGGACAGCGACGACTTTGATGGAGATTTGCTGGATTTTGCCAAATATATCGTTTTCTATCTTTGGACTGTTGCCACGGAGGACAACCTCTCGTTGATATTCCACATTGCACAGCGTGTAAAGGGTGCCAGAGACGCTGTCGTTGGTACGGATGATGCAAGTGAGCGATTGTATATTCTTAGCGATCTGTCTCAAGCGGTCATTCGGAATTACGCAGACATTATGCCAGCGCATGCAAAGGGGGCCAACCTGCTACAGACTTGGCCCGGCAAAGTCAGCCTTCCCCGGAATTTGTTCAAAGCACTTCCCAGTCACGAAGCGGCGCAGGAAATCGCCGAGAGGAATTATCTGCCAGAGGATGTTGCTGTTGGACTGGAGAAGATGATTCGGACCTACATCAAGGAGTTGAAGAACGCCAGCCAACCAGCTAAACGGGCAGCCGTTGCCGAGAGGAAGCGCAAGAGCGACGCCGCGAGGCTCGACGAGGGAGCAGATGATGGAGAAGGGCGAAAGAAAGCGGTAAAGAAACCGAAGAAGAGCACTCTTGCCATTCGCAAGACACCCAAACCGAGGCGCAAGAGTTCCGAGCCCGGTAGCAGTCCAGCCTTGCCATCACGAAAGAGCAATCGGGCTTCCAACGTGGTGTCGTATGCAGAATCGGATACAGAGGAAGGCGATGTCGAAATGGAAGACACGCCATCCAACACAAATAACCCAACGGCTCGCAGAAAGAGCAAGACGAAGAAGCAAGAAGTCGACGAAGACCAGGAGCTGGAGGAGGACGATAAAGTCGACGAAACCGATGCCGATGAGGGGAAAGACCGAGCCGACGAGGAGCGAGACGACAGCGTTGAAATGGATGACGAGGAGACGAGTCCCGACGATGAAGTCCACGTCCACGAGGATGAGGATGCTGCCGCCGTCCGCGACGACGAGGATGAAGCGGCAGAAAAGGAGGGCACATCCCCACCACTCAAGGAAAAGAAGAACACCGCTGCGGGAAAGGAGCGGCAAGGCAAGACAACTGCGCCTAAGAAAAGCACGAAGCCCAAGCAACAGACAGAGCGGGTCGTACGGACGACCCGGCAGACGAGGAGTACGAAGACGTGAGTTACGGGAATGAGCTGATGGTATCTCATCAACGGGTAGATGTTTTGTTCGTGCATCCTGCAGCATTTCCTATGGGATGGCATGTGTGCATTGAGCATGGAAGATGGACTGAGCATACTACGATTACAGACGAACCCGGATGAGTGTATTAGTGCTATGAAAAGGTCTACAAGTACAAGTAATCTAGCAAATGATGATACCAGCGACAGCGGGATAGGCAGCGAGGTGTCCCAGGTCTGTCATGAGCATCGATAGCGACTGCGTGGTATCTGCATTAATATCAATCTCGGCTGCGTCGGACCAAACTTCGGTCGGCTGCCTTTATCTTGGCCGCAACTGGCCCTTGCATTGTGTTTCTCCTCTGCAAGAGCCTTCAGCCACTCCACATCTGAGCCAACAACCTCTCCTGGAATCCTTTCGTCAATGAGGCGTCTCCTGTATAACGGGGGGCCTACTTAAGATGTGCCTGCGTCCCGGTGCCGTCCCTCGTTCGCTTCAAATGGCCATCCTCCCAGTTGTTGAACTCCCCGACCCTACTAGGGTATACTCATCCTTTCAGCTGGAAACCCTTCCTGCGTGACCACCATGCCGGCATTGTCGTCCATCGTTATTGACGCCCCTCCTCAAGACGTCTGGAATGTCCTCATTGATTTCCCCGGCTGGCCAGAGTGGAACACATGGTTCTTATCCATCCGTGCCCACTCAACCCCCCTTGAACTAGGCACACTCGTCACATTTACAAATGCGATGTCTGAGACTGCGAAACCCGGGACTTACACAGCACGCATCACCACTTGGCACCCCGAGAAGACAGAGTTTGCGTGGAAGGGTGGCCCATTGCCTGAATGGCTGGGATGGACTCTGAGGGGTAGTCATTGGTTTAAGCTTGTGGCGCAGGATGGAGGGAAGAAGACGCTGTTCGATCATGGCGAAGACGTTGAAGGCCTACTCAGTGTCTTGGTGCCCAGCAGTATGGTGAAAGATTTGGTCAAGCAGCTGGACAAGTTCAATGGCGAATTGAAGAGACGGGTTGAACAAGGTCCAACTGCCACCCCGGCTTGAGAGAGGCAGAAGGGCAAGAGAAGGGAAGAGGGTGGCCCGGCAAGAAATGTCCACAGCATTGGTGAGGATGACAATCTCTCTCCATCGTTCGTTCGGAAGACTCTACAGTTTCCTACTGACCGAGATAGATTGCAAAGCATGTCCTCTGTTATATGGACATCCTGGTCCTTCTGGTTCGCTTCGTGCATTATGGTCTTTGGTGCTTGCAGTTTGCCTACTCAACGTTCTACCAACAAGCAACCTCATTATGACCGCTTTTCGGTACACCTCCATGCGCTCCAAGATTCTTCATAGGCCTCGTTGTTTACGTCCTCACACATTGGGCTCTTCATTTGCTTCATTCCGCGTCGCAAACAACACACAAGGATTGCCTTTGCAAACCCAACAAAAATCGTGTTAAATTGTGTTGCACAGACTCTTTGGGCTTTCACTAAGAGTTTATTTGGTGTTGTAACTACTGCCACAAACAGCCTGAAGCTGTTGGACTCAAACAACCGTCCTTGGTTTGTCTAACTGACGTGTTTTATCTCAGACCTTTTCACCGTGTTAAATGTCACTTTCACTTTCTTTTGATTAAGCCTTGGTCACTCACGCACGCACTCACTCACTCACTTACTCACTCGCTCGCTCAGTTCAGCATGATACCTCGATACAACCCAACCCGGGATCCTGCCAAACGCTCCTCCACTCCCAGTGACAATGCTGGCGGCGGGGAACTGCCGTACCGTTCAAACCCACTGTTCAGTCCTGGTGACAGCCGACCGAACAATTCCTTGTCGAATCCTCCTCCAAATGTGCCACCGGTGGCTAATTTTCAACCAAATCAGCAAGTGGCCCCTCTCAGCTCAGGCGTCAACCGGGCGCCAGCTCAACCAGGTGTTCTCACGACACATCATCAAGCCAATACCAACTGGCAAGCTCCTCAGGCAGGTGTTAGAGGCGGCCAGTCGCAGATACCTTACCGCTCGGGACCACCGCACACGGGCCCTGGTTCAGGAGGTGGTCGGTTAGATGGAGGTCCAAAAGTTCAAGGGACACCGAACGTCGACATTTCAGGGAAACAGCTGCTGGCCAACCATTTCGCCATCACGCTCGGGGACTACAGAGAAGTCTATTCTTATGAGCTGAAAATCAGTAGAATTCATCGAAAGGCACAAGACGACCAGAGCCAACCCCTTGAGCCTGAGCATGGCGACGCTCGTGACCAGAAGACACGCCCGATCGCAAGACAGAAGAAGAGACGACTTGTTTACCTGCTCATGGAGCAACTCAGGTCGGAAAAGAAGCTTCCAGATCCCGTCGCCACCGATTACCTGAAGCTTTTCATCACAGCGAAGCAACTAGGCCAGGACGTCACCAAACCACGCGACCTCGATTTCTATGACGAGTACTCAGCCAGTCCTGTCCCGGGTTGTGACCGCTACCGAGTGGTCTTTGAGAAGCCAAAACTGATCTCTCTGGCCAATCTCTTTGCGCACTATCGTCGACCTACACAATCACAGACAGCCGTGTCGCAGCTATCGATCGAAGCTCTCAATGATGCAACGAATGCACTGAACGTCATCTTTAGTTATCTACCTTACCAAAGATGCTTTTCTAACGATCAGAAAACGCCCTCGATGACCACGACAAAAGGGCAGACGTTCTATGGCATCGCTCCCCAACCTCCCCCTTCAAAGTCAGAAGACTGGACGACAGATACCGGCAAAGTGCTGGACAGAGAAGGTGGCCTCTACAGCATTCCAGGATTCTCGAGAAGTGTCCGAGGATCTTATAGCTCCTCGGGGCACGTCGACCTCAACATCTACGTCAAAACAGGCTGTTTTTGGCAGCATGGGAATGTGCAAGATATGATTGATGCCTGGAACATCTACAACGGATACTGCAATCTGGATGATCTCCAAGATTTCTTGCGCCGAGCCCCGGTAAGACTGACGTTCCAGGAACAAGGACTTGATCGGTTCTCCGCGATCAAAGGTCTTGCGCGCATCGATCGAGAGCCACGGGCCGATAATTGCCAGATGCAACATATCAACCAACAGCATTCTGGCAGCCTAGTGAGGGACTACTTCTCCATGAAGCACAATTGGCAGATGAATCCCCATGTCTACGTTGTCAAGATTGGCAAAGAGTCACAAAAAGGGTGCATGACGGTCCCAGCAAACCTGCTTCAAGTCCTTCCTGGGCGGATTAAACCAAGGGAGATACCCCGGTTGTCGACTCGGTACCCAAATGAAAACTACAACATGATTGTCACAGACGGCAGGCGCACATTTTATTCGAACAACCTCAGCGAAGGTGGAGCGGCAGCATTTCGCCTGCAGATTGACCCCAACATGGCCAAAGTGCCAGTCACGGTTTTGGCCCGGCCTGATCTCATGTACAAAGCTCAGGGAAACCCGAAACAGACCAAATTCATCAACGGAGCCTCCATCAATGCTGGCCAATGGAATGTCCGAGACGCAGCATTTGTCAAACCAGCTTCCGGGAAGAGGTGGTCCTGCGTCGAGCTCACCGCGAACACCAAGTCGCCGAAATGCCCAATACCAGGAAGCACCCATTTTGTGAACCACCTGAGTCAAGCGTTGCGGAAATATGGCATCGAGAGTTTCGAGTGGACGCCACTGAACCGCAACGACATGAGCCAACAGCAGTATGCCGACGAGAACTTGTTTCCAAGGTGGAAGACGGTCTCGAATTTCCAGAAGCGTTACGCCGCCATCGAAAAGCTACTCAAAAATCTCAAAGGAAAAGGGATCCAACTCGTTGTCCTGCTTCTCCCTTCCGAAGATCCGGAACTCTACGGCGCCATCAAACGAGTCGGAGAGCAAGCTGTCGGAATATTCACCGTTTGTCATGTGCTGAGACGAGGAGCTGGTGCGCTTTGGCCCAGAAGCCTTTTACATCCGGGCAATTTGAACGGTGGCATCAACCACGACTTTCTGGCCAATCTGTGCATGAAAATCAACTTGAAAGTGGATACGACCACCGTCAACCAAGCCTTGTATTGCAACCCGAAGATTCTGTCGCCCAAGACAATGATCATCGGCATTGACGTGGCACATGGAGGCGGACCAAGAAAGCACTGTCCCAGCGTTGCAGCCGTGGTTGGCAGTGTCAATGCAGAATTCTCCCAATGGCCGGCGAGTCTGCTGGCGAATCCGTGTTCTACGAAAGATTATGAAGAGAAAGAGGCCAACGAGAAGATATTGGATCTCGACATCCCCGTGTACGAGCGACTTCTGGACTATTACGAGCGGAACCATGGAAAAGATTCAGCAGGGCGAAAGGGCACCGGCGTTCCGGAGCAGATCATCGTCTACCGCGATGGAGTTTCAGAGTCACAGTTCGCCATGTGCAAGGGCTACGAGTACGGCAAGATCGGAGCAGCTCTGGGCAAGCTTTTCCAGCAAAAGGGTCTGCCGGTCGAGCTTCTGCCCAAAGTCACCCTTATCTGCGCCATCAAACGACACCACACTCGTCTCTTCCCGGATCCCAATGCACGCTCCCCAGACCGGAGTCTCACGCTGTATCAGTCGAATAAAAGTGGCGGCGTCAACAACAATCCCCTCCCGGGCTGCGTGGTCACGGAGCGGATCACCTACGGAGAGGGCAACGACTTCTTCCTTGTGGGCCAGAAGGCCATTCAGGGCACGGCCATCCCGGTGCATTACGTCGTTCTGCAAAACCCGCACAACTACGACATCAAAGATATCGGCGAGATGGTAAGTTGGACCCTCCCCTCTCTCCGATCGATCGAGCGGCTTCCTCTCTCTCTCTCTCTCTCTCTCTGCCGACCCTGACACTGACACTGTTTTTGGACCAGACATATCACTTGTGCTATCTCTTTGGCCGCTCGCGCACTTCCGTCGGACCATGCACGCCCGTCTACTACGCCGACCTGGTCGCCGACCGCGCGAGGTGCTTTGTCCGAAGATTCTACAACCCTCCGAGAGACGACGACAATCCAGTCACGCCGTTCGATGACAGCGAACTGCCCGCGTTCAAGTACTGCCTCCGGCTCCACCCCGACGTCGCAAAACACATGTTTTACATCTGAGCGCGTGAAGTGTGGGGATGTTGTCGCGCTATTTGTCGGCATAGCATACGGACGGGTCTTGGATGGTTGCGCGATGGCAATGATACCACAGCGTCCTTTTTCTTCTTCTTTTCTTTCATCAAGCGGCTTTCATGGGATCGAAAACCGACACAGGCTACAAAGGAATCTCGTGCTGGTGGTGGTTTTTCACCTTCTCGACTTTCCCTCTCTTCTCATCGAACCCCTTTTTGTCTCCGACGTCCTTGGGAAGGGAGGGTGCTAGAAAATGCATGGCTGGATAGCTGGATAGATAGATAGATAGAGAGATTCGTCTCTCTCTCTCTCATTGTATTCTTCTTTGTACACATTAGGCAACATGTTCTTTTCCTAGTGTGTCTCATTTGTCTATCTCTCTCGATCTCTCTCGATCTCTCTCACTGCCCGCACTCTCTGCTCATCCTTCATCTCTGCAAGGAACTTGACCACGTTTTGTAGTGACCTTTGTATTAATCCCCCTTTCCGCTGCAATTGAATTCCCGTCTTCCAGGCCCTTTCATTCATGATTTCATTGTATAACCCAACACTCCTCGTTCGCCGTCGCCATGCCAGCGAAGAACTTAAGTGTGAATGCGTCTTCGGTATCCATCAAACTACATACCCAGCTGACTGACTGGCTAGCTGTGCCGTGTACCTTAGTAGTCGCAAAGGCTACACCTCAAAAACATCCTCCCCGACCCGTTCCCTGACCATCCTGACCCAATCCCTCACGGTGTCCTCGACAACCTCGTCGTCGTCCTCGAGCATTTCGTTGACGTAGATCATGGTCTCGCCGGACCCGCCGACCGCGACGACGCCACCCCCACCGCCCTCTGCTGCTGCTGCTGCTGCCACGGCGCTCGACTGGCCCAGGACCACGTTCTGGAGCCACTCGTCGCCGATGTCGGGGGCCTCGGTCAGCGCGATCTGCGCGCGGATGCTGGCCAGGCGCACGCCCGCCGAGCCGCTGCGGCGGAGCTGGCAGAGCAGGTGGTTCAGCGTGTGGTGGTGCGGGGGCACGTCCTGGACGGCGGCCGCGAGGGCCACGATGCACGGGATCACCACGTCCAGCACCACGTCGCGCAGGACGGACGAGGAATTGAGTGTGCCGTTGTCCTTACCCTTACCCTTGGACTTGGATTTGGATTTCGGGGACGAAGCAAGGCCCAGCTGTCCGACAAGCAAATCGGCCAGGGGCTGGAAATGCGAGGGCGACGTGAAGAATCCATCCGCGTCGTGAGCAGCGATGGTCGTCAACATGGCCAGGGTCGATTTGTACAGTTCCAGGCCAGTGTCCGCCGACAGGTCAATCTTCAACGAAGGTTTCGCGTCAGGACTTTGGTATCGGGGTTTCAACTTCGTCCCGGGGGCGGTCAACGAGTCGCTGCTAGCGGTGGACTGGAAGATGTCGTTCACCGACGGAAGGAGGTAGCTCGCGTAGCTCGTCACGATGCTCTTCAGCGTCGCAAAGAAATGCGTGGCGAAGAGGTAGAAGCTGGTCTGTCTGGCCATCTGTGCCGCTCCGACAGAAGAGGAAGCGTCGGGATTTCTCTGCGTCGCCCAGTCGACCCATCCCTCGAAGATTGGGCGGAAGGTCGTGTCATTGAGCTTGTAGATGAAAACAATGCCCAACTCGTGCAGCCTCTTTTCCACGTCCTCAATGTCCGAGACAGCGTCGGCTTCGATACCGGCCTCTGGATTTGCACTGTCTCTCTCTCGGCTGAGCCGTCGCAGATCCATAACCTGCAACATAAAAGCCGATATCTCATCTGCGGCACCCACGACGGTAGATTTGGAGTTCCGCTCGATCGCTCGAGACAGCATATCCAGATACTCGGCAATCGCTTCTCCATCGATCTCCTCGCCTGAGACCACGGTCGTTTTCCAGGCTTGGTTCAAGCTGCTCACTACTGTCTTCAGCTCCAATCTCTGCGCCATGAGGCTCAGCGTCTCAAGCCGAGCCTCCTTGCGCGACGCCTCGTCTGATTCCGCGAGGCAAGAACGGTAGGACAAGCTGAGGATCTCAGCAACGTTGTCGTCACTGATCATGTAAGGGGTATGCGTGATGAACGAGGAAAGCAACGTGAAACAGGCGTCGTGAAGTTCCACGCGCCCATCGTTACTGCTGTTTTCGCCCTCTCGGGTCAAGAACGACTCCAGGAGACGCAACACTTTGGGGAGAGCCTGTACCACTATCGGGACGCTGCCTTCCTTGAGTACCTCCGTCGTACTCGCGAGACAGAGCAGAGACATGATCCTTGTCCTTTCATTGTGGGAATCCAGCCCGGAGTCGCCCTCAATCAAGGCAGAGGCAGCACCAATGACGTCTTCTGGTCTCTTTCGCCCATAAACCTCAATTATGCGATCGAGACATGCAATCGCCGCGTGCCTGAATGCCTCATCATTTGTGGTGTCGATAATATGCCGGAGGGTAGGGAGGAATGTAATTGCTTCGGTTTGCGTCCTGGTATCCCTCGAGCTTGGAGCGCTATGTTGCAATTGTGTGGCAAGAACTCTAAGCGCCAGAGGCTGAAGCTCCTGCTGGCCGGCTCCGGACTGGACCATGTCATGCAGGAGACTGGGCATGATCTTGAGAAGGTCTGCAAGGGAAGGTAGTTCAAGGAGCGAGCTCAAGCATTTCCTCGTCGATGGGGTCAGATTCCCGTGGCTGGCCTTTTGCGATTTGAGCATGCCCAGGATGCGGGCGATGCAGACTTTGAACTCGGCCCAGAAAGACTGGGTTTCGACTTCGTCGGATTTTGAAAGTCGTTTCACCTGCGTCTTCAGACTTTTTGGTCCCAGGAGCTTCGAAGCCACTTCAAGCAACATCAGTGCTTCTTGCTCTCTCTTCTCGTTCGAGCTGGTACTGCTGATGTCGAGTAGCGGAATAGCATCGTGAGGGTCCTCCAAGAAGATATAAATACTCAAATCAAGAAGTTTTCTGAAGGTCAGCAATTGAGTCGATGCCGACAGACCGCCCATCAAGCTGGCAAAGAACGAAGACATATCTTCTGGATGCCGCCTCGAGGCAAAAAGAGCAACTACTGCAAATGCAAAGTCATCAGCACCAAGTCTACCGAGTAGACGTTGGTAGAACGCGGCCCTCCGATATTGGGGGACGTGGTCGTATGCTGTGACGAAGCTGGAGAGCAAGCTTGACGTCGAATGAACAAGTTTGTAGGCATCTTGTTTCTTCAACGTGGCAACCAGAGGAGGGATTATTTCGTCGACAGCGCGATTCGTGACGTAAATTGACCGCTCATCGTCCTTTGACAATATACTTCTACCCATGAATGTGAAGATGGGCATAATGCTATGCAATATCCGATCTGGAGCTAAAGAGGCCAGAGAGGACGAGAGAAGCAAAGCAGTACTTTGGACCTGTGGGTTTTCTGACGATCGAACGCAATCAGTGACCAGGTCGGTACGAATGCTAGAGAAGTCAACGGCTGGCTTTCGTGAATTCTGTGCGTTGTCGACGATTGCCAGTATGCTGCTTAAGCAGAGATTGAGAAGGTAAGGAGATTCAGACGCGCCCTTGTCCTTGAGCCGCCTGAGAATGACCAACACATCGAACAAGCCTCCAAGCAGTTGTGGATGGTTTTGTGGTTTGGAATCTTCGACGAGCTCCAGCGCCAGAGTTAATCTTGCCTCGCTGACATCCAAGTCGAACGCCAGATCCTTTGGTATGCTTTCACGCCCATGGCTGACACGACGTCTCTTCCTGGGAGTGACGTCTGTTTGCATCTCAGCAAGACCGGAAAACGAGTGGTCCAGTATTGCAGCGAGAATCTCGGTAGAGAGGTTGACTGTGTTCAGAACGTGACGACTTCCAGCAGCTTGAGCGGGCTCTTTGGAGAAGGACATGTCAAATAAGCGTAGAGCAGCAGAGCTTTGTGACTCTTGGTGCATATCTTTCCAGATACCAGCAATTCTGTCGAAAAAGGCATTGACCAGGGCAGCGCGCGGCTGGACTTTATCTTCGGCAAGCATTGCGAGAATATGCTCAACCGCCTCCTTATCCCGCGCACTTACGAGGCGAACCATCACAGCATCGATTTGATCCAGAGAGATACTCTGTGCTGACGCGGCATCTTCGGCGTCGCCCTCTTTTACTGATGCCCAAGCCTCGAGAATGGGGGACAGAATTTTGCTGGTGCTTGAGGTGCTAACTTTGTGGACATCCACGAGCAACTCCAGTATGCCCACCCTAACTCGTAGCAAGGGGCATCCTAACGCACAGCCAGTCAACAGATCATAGAGTGCATGCTTCGTGCTCTTCTTCAGTTCAATATTGGCAGTCCTCGACGACGGCGTTCGGTCGTGGCCGTCAAACGCAACTTTAAGAACTCCGCGTATGTAGGAGGGATCCAAGATGCATTCTTCCAAATAAGGCAAGTAGACTTGATCCAGGATCCGCACTGCTTGCTTAGACAATAAGGGTTTGACGTTTCGCATGCCAAGCGCATCGTACACTGTTTGCACCGCGTGCTGTTTGCCGGTCTCGTCTCTTGAGGTAACCTTATGGATGGCCACCGTACAAGCAGCGGCTGCGCGTCGCACAAGTTGGCTATTGTCAGAAAGGAGGACGGTGATGAATGGGATCAACGGCTCCGAGTGGTTCAAAGACGCCTTTTCGATGACTTCCGAGAGACACTGAAGTGCAATATTGCGGTGGCCGACGGAAAAGGGGCCAAGGGCCACTCTCAACAGGAAACTGACATAGAAAATAAAAGGCTGTTCATTTTGATTGTGCCACAGTGGGAGTTGTTCAAATCGGTGCAGGAGCTGCCGGTTCTGGTGGCATAGCACGAAAGTTCGAGCAAGTTGGTCGAACAGCATGGAGCGATCTCCAGCAACGAGGAACGACGACTCGATCGTCTCGGATGGCATGGATGCAAGCATCGTTTCAGTGCCTTCTGCGTTTTGTATTGACTCGTCCTCAGGAATGTCAAGCTCCATAGCCGTATGTTCAAGGAGTGGTCGATCGGAGTTCTGGATGGTTTGCTGTAGAAGGCCTTCTATGTCCGACTGAGACCGGCCGGCTAGGGCCAGTGCCTCAGGCAAAGACGACGAGAACTCGGGAGAGTCAGCCAGCGTTTGGAGTAAACGTACGAGGCTTGTCCAGCAGTTCGACTCGCGGGAAAGTGTAGACTCTGTCGGAAATAGCTTTCGAAGCAAGATGGCCATGAGCCGACTTTTCGTTGGTAATCCGAAGTGGTCCTTAGCGGTGTCTAACAGACGTTCAATGAACTGGATTCTTCTGTCTATATTCTTTTCCTTCAACCCGGAGAGCGCCGAGCTTATGAGGGCTTCGAACAACGACGTCAACGGGACCAGTTTAAAGAGATCGGTCAGCCGTAGCCCTAAATCGTCGACGTGGATGAATATGTCAAGAACATCTCTTGGAAGTCTCATGTCGGTCTTCTTTGTGACCAGAATAGCCAAGCACGACAATGCTGACCTAGAATCGGGAGCTGGATTGGCAATGAACAGGGCAATCGACTTCATCAAAGAGTCAATGACATGGTCTTCGAGGTCTGCGCCGCTTGCCAACGCAAGGGTAATCGTGAAACAAATGACTGTAAATTCCGGGCTGTCTTTGATTTCAAACCCTTCATTGAGCAGCGGTAATATCTTCAACAACGCGTCTTCTGTCCGCTGTTTCTGCACTTCCTTTCTCCCACTTTTGACCTGACTCAATCTTCCGGCGATGGCTTCGACAACAACACTGCCCCAGAAGCGCAAGAGCAGGGAGTGGGCCGCGCCTTCCTGGCACGTACGCAATGTGTAGTCGTTGAAGAAGGGGAAAAAGACGTCGTTGTGAGTGGCGCTGTATACGATGGCATGTCGAGGAACTTTGGTCGTTTCATTGCGATAAGGCGCCAGGAATTTCCACCCACCGACAAACCTGTCGGTTGGCACGATGTTCAAGATAACCCGAAACACTGGTGCTTCATGGTACGGTAAAAATGTGGCAAGAAGAGCATCCGTGTTATAGACATGAACCCGAAATCTTCGCACGAGCCATTCCACTGCTTTCAAGCCAGGTCGAAGCATCAACTTGGATCCAAGAAGAGTGAGACATCGGTCTAACACGAGTCCTAGTGCTTCATTCTGTGTCTTGCTGAGTTGCTCCCTGTCCTGCGTCTTGGACTGGGCACTGTATAGATTTTGTTCGAATTCGCGCAGTCTTGCGTCCAGCAGGCAAAGCTCTTGAAACCCTTCCACGCATACTTGGTATATTGTCTCCCAATCTTGCTTGACGGCTACACTGCGGTCGAAAATGAGAGATTCTGCGTGGGCATCTCGTCGGGCACGGAGGTCGAGTTCGCTCGTAGACTTTGCGGCTATAGTGCGCAGCTGCGCAGCGAAGGTCGAGGTCATTGCGACGGCCTCAGAGGGACAGTAGTGAGATAAAGGGTCGTTTCCATGGGCGACAATGCAAAATCGACTGGCTGCAAAAGATATCCTCACGGTCGTTAGAATCGGCTTGTTGAAAACTTCGCTGTCAATCCAACTTGGTGGCATGCGACAAAAAAAAAAGTTGGAGACCTCGGATATTGCGGGGATAAGAATCACGCTAAGCGAATGCAGCCTTTTCAGCCTTGCAAGCGGCAGCCTTGTCCCAATCTCGTATTCTTGATTGTACCTAGGCATAACCAAAAGACTACGGCAACGTATCTGATATGTCAAGACGCACCCGCATACCTCTATCTAGCATGGTTTGATACACCTGCCTGAGTTTGGAATCGCCAATTGCGTTTCTCAGCATTGGCCGTGTAAACCCCAGCATGCATAGTTCTTTCGACCATGGGCATGCCCTAAGTGACGCATAAAAGGATTGAGAAGCGCTTGCTGCAGATCGGCGAGCTCTCGCTTCACGCCTTGTGGTTCCCTTGCCTTCTACACCCGCATCGTCACGGAGCTGAATCAATGCCGTTTCCCAAAGAACATATGTTTTCCATATTTCAGGATTGTCATGCCCAGGAGAACCCAGCTGAGTCACCCGTGCGAAAGCCGAGCGAATGCTGTGATCTGTGCTCCCGCTGTACGACGGTCGGTTGAGCTCTAGCAGCAAGTCAAACACGCAAGGAACGATACTTTGTTTGATTTGCACGTCTCGACGTTCATCTGCTTTGGAGTCGACCTGCCGCAACCGGTCGAAAAGCCCGGCTTTCTGAAGGAAATGATGATGGAGCAGTAAGAGGTTGAGATTGTTAGGAAACTTTTCTGTCGAGTCTTTCAGAATGGGGACGAGTTCGCTCGGTCTGAAACTCTTTCCAAACGTCACGGAATGAGAGTAAATGAAACGAGCTCGCTGCTCATGAACAGCTTCGAGCACTGCAGAAGACATTGTCGACAGTCCCGTGAGAGATCCGAGAGAGGCATGATATGTTTGTAGGGCTATTTCAAGGGACATATCAGCGTTGAGGTACCTATGAAATGCCAGGACGTCGATCAGCGCCGGTAACTGGTCTGCTCGTCTGTGGGTGCGGCCTTGCTCGATCTGCATTTTGATGTATTGTTCGACCTTGATCTGCATAGTAGCAGATGGTTCGTTAGTGGTTTCGATCTCTTTTCGCAGCCGAACCAAGTCCACCTCCTCTTCTGTCATATGACTTAGGAGAGCCCTAGCGTGTTGGAATTGCCTTCGGCACATGTAAAAGTATGCCCAGTCACGCCACAGAAGGAATGAATCGACTTGCACTTCATGTCCAAGCGAATATCGCATTGACAGCGCGGTTGACCAAACTCTTTCGGCACCTTCGAAGTTGTCCAATTGGCATTCGAGCAGTGCATAGGTATTATAGAGTTTGAGGCTGTCAGCCTTGCGCTTAAGATATGCCCTTGTCTGTTTTCTGGCGGATTTCAGATCTACTCCAGCTTCCAATGCAATCGCGTATTCCATATGCAGTTCGCTTGGTTCTTCGTCAGCAGCCAGTCCAGCAAGCTGATGTATGACTCGGCGAACAAAGCTAAGAGAAGAACCGATGAGTCTTGCTGTGGAAGAAAGTAGGACGCCAGGTTTCCCAGAGTACAATTGCCGAGCCGCTAGAAAGACTTGTAGAAAACGCATCTGCAAGCCACAATTATTCTCTCCAAGACCACCGGGTACCAAAGAGATGCCGGAGGAGGGCGACTGGCTATGAATGAAAGGATCTTGCTCCCAGACCTTGGACCCAGGGAGTGATGATAGCGGTGAGAGTCCCGCGAACAACAAAAACGCATCCTGCAGTAACCACGAGCCCTCTTCTGTAGTCGGGGAGAAGAGGAAGTCTTCAATATCCGAGAAGAGAAGAACACGGTAAGGGTCATCTTGGCTGACTTCATCTAGAGCTCTTGCAGGCAATCCAGCGGTCATTTCAAGATCATTTTCAGCGGCAGCCCAGGCCTCGAAATCCAGATGCTGCACTTGGAAGGGCTTGTCGCTTCTTGCCTCGATTTCATTGTTTGCATTCGATCGCCAACCTGCCGAGCCTTCCTCGCCAATTCGGGCAACCTCACTCGCCCAGAATTCCTGGAAGGATGGTATGAGCTCAGTGGGAGGGATGGTTCGGGGACGGAAGCAGTTGAATTCGAGCAGTGCTTGCCAAATCCCGACTGCGCGCTCCGTAAACCCAGATTGCCACAGGAATAAGGTCAAGCGCAAAAGGATGTATATGCAGCTAGTATCTCTCGTGCGGTCTGGTGGCGCAATTTCGGCCTTTTGAAGCCACTGCTTGTAAATCCCCAAACAACTTTCAAAGCTGAATTTGACGTGGTTGGTTTGGACGAAGTTCAGATAAAGCCGCCACAGGTCGAATGAGGCGTCCTCGTCGAGGAAGGTCCGCCATCTTGAGGCCTGTTTATCGGCATCCCAAACCACCTTTCCCACTTGCATGAGACGCAGGATCAAAGCATTTCGGCCTTCTCGGCCTTTCACGCGCGACAGTGCTTGTTCATACAGCGAGATTTTGAGATCCACAACAGTCCTTGACGAAGGAGAAGCGGAGCTGCGGGAACTGCGCTCCTCGCCGAAGAGCACGGGTTGATACTCTATCAACGCAAGCCATGCCGACACGTCCTCGGGTCGGGTTTCCGTAGCTCTCAAGAGTTCAATATGGCGCTGATGAACGGGGTTTCGTTTGAACTCGTCAAAGGCGTCCTTGGGCGGTGCAAGCGCTTGACTGTCTGGGTCTGACTCATCACTCTCGTCGTCGTCTTCCACAGTTGCATCCATTGATCCCGCCAATACCCGCCTCCTCTTCCTTGGATGCACATAGTCGAAGCTCAGAAAGTCCTCGCGCAGATCCGATTCGTTGCTGACTCCGGATTGAACATTTTCCGCGGCTTGATCGTCATCGGGAAGGTCCTCAAGCAAAGACTCTCGACGGGACCTTCGTGTGGAATCAGTCTCGACATTTTCCACATTGAGGTGAGACTCTGATCGTGAAACTATTCGATAGTTCGGACCCAACCCGAGTAAGCCACCATGACCGGCCGGTCGATAGCGCGGAATAGAATGTCGATCAAGTGCCCCATATGTCAAGTTTTGCCGATCCCCTCTGCGGTCTTGGACGAACAAAGAGGGCTCGCGGACTTCTCGAACATCAAAACGAGGTTCCACAGACTGCTCTGGAGCGGGAGGCCGGGCCAAAGGACGGGATATGCCGCGTGGAATGTTCCGGGCGTGGGAGGCGTGATGGTGTGAGGAAGCCATCATGCGCAGAAGGACAAGCTAAGAGGAGATACAACAACCGTCGCCTTTGGACTGTTGCGCAATGCCAAGGATTCAATGGTCGCGGCCATCTGAGGTCACGTGGAGTGCCTAGGACTCGAGGCCGAGAACGCAGGTACACAGTGAAAAAGAAGTGGCAGGTATTGGGAGGTATTCAGATAGTCTGTAACTCGTATGCTGACTTATTGCTCGACAGATGCGACATTCTGCCGAAAGAGGATTTGGAGAGGGTTTAAAGGGATTCCAAGCCTTCCGAGCAAGTGGGCTGCTGCAGGTCGAGGATTCGGTTATCGAGGGGCAGCTGGGGCAGCTGTGGGCAGCCAGTATGCCAACCACCCACCCAAGTTAAGCACCAAGGTTCATGCCTAAAGCCCGCCAATCCCGTAGGCAAGAGTTTCCCTGAGGGGCCCCTAGTGTACGTCACTGCGTCCTCTGAGAATGCTTCTGTTGGCCCGGATGGCTTCCCCCCGGGCTGCCTGGGTCCCTTTCGCGAGCAATTGCGCCCCTCGAACAACTTGGAGATGCCAATACTAGTCCGGATACAGTGAGTCTTGATATACCTCGCCCTGGACCTGATCAATATTACATCCTGCTTCAAGTCGCCTGCCATCCGGGACCTTGCGTTTGCGGCTCACGTCTTACAACTTATTAGGACACAGCTCCCCCCCTTTTACGGACCATGTCCCGCGGTACTTGCCACTAGCCCTGGGCCTTCGAAAAACCTGACACTTTTTCCCATTGAGCCTCACCCTCGCCACTACGGATTCCTTGCGCGCGACGCGAGACCTGTCCTCCCATGGACCTGGCAACTTCCAAGAGACCGGCGCCTTCGATCCTCGATGACCATGGCCCTCCTGCGAAGAAACTCAAGGCCCTCCCCGAAGAGCCTGCGCAGTACAGCGATGCGGTGCGCAAAAAGCTGGCGTCGACGTCTCGAACCGGACAGGCTTGCGACCGATGTAAAGAGAGGAAGATGAAATGTGACACAGACCCGGTGGCATGTCAGCCTTGTCGTCAGAAGGGTTTGCGGTGCTACACCACCGATCGTGTCACCGGGCAAGCACGAGAAAGAGGAGAGTCACATCGCGCCGAGAACGAGCTGCTGTTCTTGAGGGAGCAATTGGCCGCCTACCAGCGCAGATATGGCTCGTTGCAGCGATCAGAGTCTAGTGGTACCGTGCCGACAGCGACTCCCAGGAGTTCAATCTCTCAGACCACGCCGCATGCTACGTCTCCTACGTCATCAAGACTTGACCCAAAATACGTCGGCTGGCCTTCACCGGACCACTGCGAACCTCTCTATTCTGGTCCGGTCAAGGGTACTGTGGTGGACATCATGGATGGCGTCGTCGACATTGCGGACTGGGAATGTGAAATGATGGAAGATTACCCCCCGGACATGACGGGTAAATTCAACCTCTCAAGGACGTCGATTGTCAACACGATTTGTGGATATCAACATGTCGAGGATCCAAAGTTGCCGCCCAAGGAAGAAGCCCTCCGAGATGCCAACCATTTTCTAGTCATCATGTCACAATATGTTCCGATCGTCCACAGGCCCAGCTTTATGGGCCTCGTGAACAGATTCTATGACCAGCCGCACACGTTGACTGTTGCTGAGCGGGTCCAGGTGTTGATTGTCTTCACCATCATAGCTCACCAAACGGCCGTCAGGAACCATCTACATTCTGCAGAGAAGTTTGAAGACTCCCACCGCTATCTTCACTACGCCCTTGGTCACTACCGCGAACTCCTCCATGACGGGTCGCTTGCATCGATGCAGGCAATGGCGCTGATCATTGTTCACTTTCGGAATCTGCCCAAACCCGGTGTATCCTGGACCTATTGCCATCAGGTCCTAGTGCGAGCCATCGAATTGGAGTACCACCGCGACCCTGACAAGATCCAACTCCGCGAGGACGAGAACGATCCACTCTCAAAGGAGCTTCGCAAAAGAGTCTTTCACTCAATCCTGGGTGTCTGTGTGACGACGGGTTGCCGTGTTGGTTTACCAGCACCGTGGCAATTCCAACATATCGACATCCCCTTACCAAGGGCCATCAAAGACTCCGAGATATCCAAGGACGGATATACTTCGGAGTTGTCGGGTCAATGCGAGTTCTGGCCTTGTCTGCATCTGGCAAAATTACTACCCCTTCTTACCGAATTGCACAACCACATCATAGCCGTGAGGAAGCCCGCAGTGGAATATCTCCAAAGCGTGGAAGCGCTCAACGCGAAAATCATCGCCTGGCGGCAAGATTGGGACGAGTCAATCAAAAACGAGCCTAAACATGTCAATCTCAGTGTCGCGACCCTTCTATTTGAGACATGGGCTGCCGAGTATCAGCTAAACCTACATCACCCGACATGCTGTACGAGTGATGATCCTGAGGTGATAGAACGTCATCTGGACATCTGTCATAAGTCGGCCAAGCGCCTCTTACAAAGCTTTCACCGACTGTCAAGCAGATACAAAGGTGTGGATTTCACTTGGCATTCCACATTGGCATATGCCTCTGGATTTGGCATCACCCTGTATGTATACAAGAGGAAACGGGGACCGGTTACCCTTGAGCAATTTGAGGCAATGCGGAACGAACTAAAGGGTTGGACATCGCTGATGGCCTATGCAGACCTCGTGCTGAGTGAGTCGATGCCTTTGCTTACAAGACTCTCTCACTAACTTTGTTTAGAAACGGGCAACCATTTGCAGAGACAATTTCAGCCTCGTGTGCAAGCTCTCGAGGATGAGTGTCGGAGACTGTTGGTTGAACAGCCTCCCAAGAGCAGTAACGCCCAAAGTCCATTAACCCCAGTCAACCTTCCCAGCACCGGAGGGCCAGTGAAAGTCGAACAGTCGAATACGCTTCTGTTCCAAGAACACCCCAGCCCCAACGCAGCGATGCATCAAAGTAATCTTTCGCAATCAATGTTCATGCCTTCCCAAGGGATATCTCAAAGCCACCCAACTTCTCCCATAGCCCACCAACAGTCTCAGCGGCAATGGGCTGGCACATACTCGTTCCATCCCCAACCTCTACCACCAGGACAGGGATCCGGACAGGGATCAGGTGTCACATCACCCATATTTACGGCTTTTGCTCACTCTCCGATTAATGGACTCTCTACATCTGTGTCAATGCCGGCCATCCCCACATCCTTGGCTTCCCTGCTTAATGACTCGGGAAATCTGTACATGAATTATTCCACACCACCGCAGAATCACAACAGTCTCGGAGGAGTAGGTTTAGGAGGAGGCACCGATCCACAGATGACCTTCTCTCCGCACCATTACTTCGACGGCCCAGGGCCATTGGGCTGGCCGCTAATTAGTATGCCCCCAACTCAGGAGTCATAATGGAGATATTACCGAAATGATCGGCCTGCAGAAACGAATGAGGTATTGGGTTACGGCCGCTTGCGAGAAAGAAAACAGGATTTCTCGATGTGTCCCCGCGTGTATTTACCCGACGATGGACCCAAGATTTTACCTGATATCGGTGCGTCTCCCTCGCCTGATACCGTCGACCGAACAGGATGGTCACAGCAGAATCAATAAGTACGCGGTTGATTCAGTCTTCAGGAAAGAGTCGTCCGTCAATCCGAAAAGAAGTAGAGCACTTCGCGTACGGACAATAAGGCTATTCAATCCAGCGTTGCACTTATCTCGTGTCTACCAGTAGATCCAGAATCTGCAGAAATGGCTATGTTTTCAAGGCGACGTTGCTCCGTCATGTACGGAGTACGATCTCCTCAATTGGTCTTTCAGAGGACGCAGGAGGAGAGAGGACGCCGTCACATTCGCGCTGCTCTCAGATCATTGGATAGCAGCTGCTTTGAAAGGGCCAGTCAATGCTGATACGTCCTTCCCACTGGGGAACCCCTGGTGCGAGAACCGGCACAAGCCGAACCATTGGCCTGCAGCAAGCACCTTGCGGAACGCCTCTCATGGGCTGAAACAGCCTTACACCCCTAACCAGAGACAGCATATGTGGCTTATCTGAGATCTTTGTCAGCGCTTTGACCAGGGATATATATCCGATTCCAGACACTGGGGCGGCCTATTCGTGGAGGTTTCTAACAGTGTGACGACACTCCAAGCACAACTAACGATTTCGCTGGGGAGCGCCAGAGTGATTGAAGGGAGATACACCATCGGCCAACGCTTGCCTGTGCTCCCCTTCATCGGCACGTCCTATACAGGCGAGTTCACAACCCCTGAAGCAACGACCAACCAGACCACCGGAAGCTCACCTCAGCTGGCAAACGCCAACCAAACATCACACCATTTCGCGAAGTGCAGATCACTGACTAACGGCTGCTCCGAAGCCGAGCTGAGCTGCATACGGCTCGTGCACAGCCTTATATACAGCGGCTATCCCTGGAAAATGTGAATGTCTCCAAAGATGAGAATACATTTACACCTTATATCCGACTTGCGCATCACCGTTTTTGAGGCCTGCCGTCTCTCAGCGACTTCTGGTCCCATGACTCTCCCACCGCTGCCAGCATGGTGCTCTTTCTCCATTCCAACATCAAATTTCTGCCTCCATCGAAACGAGACAGACCCATTCGGGAACAAGAACTCGAGGGAGCAGAGATAAAGGCACACGCGGCCAGAATTTCCCATCAAAAAAGGAAATGGGCAAAATTGCAACAGCAGCTGCTGCAAAAAGAAGAGCGGCATGAGTATAGCGGACCACGAGTTCATGACGGGCAACAACCCAACCATCGAGCCCAACCACAGTATCGCGAAATCATCCTCCTCCTGCATGGATCATCCGACCCGTTCAATGCATGCCCCATCAAAATCACGCCGGAAGTCCATCGTATCATCACATACACAAGAGATGTCATGCTTCCTAATATCTTCAGTCCGCCCTTTTTCCGACGACTTACCGTAGGAGGACCCAAGGTAGTCAACTATGAGAATTCTAACAAAGTCATCGGAGGGTCTAGCTTTCGTCTCAGTCTCAAGGGGTTTGGAGACATGAATGAGGGTGCTGCTCTTGCATGGTTGTGCGGCCATATTCCCAACATAGTACGGCTTAATTCAACCCAAAACACGCAACAGCTTTCGACAGCGAGGCTCAAAATGCGAGCCAAAAGCCTCAAATTGCTTCGTGAACAGCTCGCCGGACATGCCCAAACAAAACCCGAGTCGTTGGCTGCGCTCAGGTTACATATTCGCTGTCTGTTCGAGACGGAGTGCATGGCGGGAGACACGATGGCAGCCAAAGCTCATGCGGACATCCTTCTCCATCTCCCCGATCCTCTGACTGACGATATGGAGCGTGTTCAACACACATTGGTCATGATGTTCGATGCTACCGAATTAGCGTGTAAGAAGCTAGAAAGGACGGTTATGCCTTTCGGTGACTGGACTGCGAAGGCGCACGCAAGGCTATGGGCACTTACTGGTCCTTATCTACCGATCCCTCCCATTTATATCCACAATGCTCATCCCTGTGTGGAAATTCCTGAGCATCGGGAGGCAATGGTCAGATTGAGATATTGCTTGTGGGTCGCCGAAACGCCGTTGCCGTTCGGAACAGCTCAAGAGAGGCTCAAGGCCGATATGATATTTGCCTGGATCGCGACCAAGACGTTTCACGACCTGGGAGTTCTGATCAATTTGTACGTGGACATAACGGAAGGGAAATTTCTCTTCAATTCGGAGGGCCATCGACTGACGCAGGCATGCATGATTCTCACGCTAATTTATGAAAGCCGCAAACGTGTGCATGAGGCGATCATAGAGGATGGTGCCGACATACGAGAAGCTTCTCACGTCATCATGCCTCGATTGGCGCAGGACATGGTGGCGGCCATGGAGATGCTGAGTCCAGATGAATGTGACCATTATCAAGAAGCATACCTATGGATGTTGTATGCTGGTGCACAGTACGAACAACGCCAGAAACGCCAGACGAGGGGAACCCATGTCGGCATCAAAGTCGAGCCATCCGAGGACCCGTGGTTCACAACGACGCTGGCTAAACACGCCGTGGAAATGAGCGTCACCGCTTGGGAGCAAGCCAGAAGCATCCTACGGCGATTCGTGTACGATGAGCATTTGGAGCCAGACGGCCAGCTATGGTTCGAGGAAGCTCTACATATAAAAGAGCCTATAAAGAGTGAGGATGAAAACCAGCAACGAACACGGATGCCTATACGCTGAAGACGTTCTGCGGTTAGGGGGTATCTGTTGCTCCTCATTATACCCATTGGGAGGTGTGCACAAGCGCATGTAAGAGTGGCGTGGGTCATCCCATGCCATACGAGACGGATGGAGATGTAACTGACTTCTGGGAGGACCATCCCGAATCTGGGAAGGGATTGTTTACGGCGAGGCTAAGGCTTCGCCGCTGTCTCTTCCGCGCCACTGCCTGCAGACCAAAGGTGCAAACGCCGAAGTCCAGGGCAGTGAAAAAGGGTACAGTCGCATCTGGTGTGGAAGAAAGCATATAATATAATCATATAATTTCGCAGACCACGGGCTGCCAATTGCCCTCCAAGGAAAATGGTTACACCTTAGAAAACAAGATCTCGCCCAGTGCCTGCAAAGGTGAAGGGTGAAAGCTCTCTGTGCTCCAATGCGAGTCCACCATTTCCGCCTGGACGATATCTCCCCTCATCCGCCACCATCCCGGCCTTCCATCCTCCTCTCCTACCGGTCCCGTGAAAAGAAAAACCAAAAAAAAGTAACATGCGGTTGATGAGGGTGGGACTCGAACCCACGAGGGATTTAACCCACAAGTACTCCGATATGTACCATTCGAAGCGTGAGCTCCAGGTGTACCTGAAACCTTTTGGCAGGGTTAGCAGAGTTGAGGTGATGGTGAGAGACTCATAGTTGCTTACTTGCGCCATAACCACTCGGCCTGAGAGAGCATTGTTAGCTCCCAAGTTCCAACTATGAGACGGGTGATAGATTTTTCACATACCACCTCACCAGTGTATTTTGAGGCATTTTTGGCCTGTACGGCTATATGATTGTCGAATTTTTATGTGGGGAGGAGGGGTAACTGCAGTGAGTGAGTGGATGGCGGGGTGATTCTGTCAGGCCTCGGTCCAAGGGATGCAGATAGCAATACCTGAGGTATCTGTGCTCACCTGCCCAGACAAATATGTCTCGGGCTTGTCGTCACTACTGGGGTTTATTCCGCGGCGTTGTATCATAAATCTTGGATCCAAATCCTAGCATGAGGCATGTTGTATCTGTATAAGCACTAACCAACAGGATACTTAGCAGTTTGACGCGGTGGTGACACCGTCGGCGACGTGATCATCAGTGCCGTGGGTGGTTGTTTGGATTCAAGTCGAGCAGCCATAGTCACGACCATCTCCAAGTAAAGCATTCTCGAGATCATCTGATAATGGAGATCGGGATCTTTGCTTGCAATCTGCAAGGGACAATACTTGGACCTGTACTGCCAGGCCTCGTAAACCATCCTGTTCTGGGCTGTTGGCCCCCTAACCGATCCCGCTCTGGCGGGGCCCAAGGGTCCAAGGGGCCAAGGGCAGCTTCCAGGCACCACTCAGGGATTCTCGTGGGTTGCATAGGCGGTGGTCCGTGCTTCGGGCTGCCTGAAGGCCCCCATTGCAGGGGAGTCTGGTAGGGCAGACGTCGCCCAATCACCCTTCCAGCATTATGACCTGCTTCCGTTGCTCCCCTATTGCCAGTAAAGTATTGATCTGAGAATTGCAAGTTGCTCAGTCAGCGGATCTCTTTCTATTTCAATTTCTTTCAAAAGGACCCCATATCACTGGGCAAGCCTCTGTCCTTCTGCATTCGCCGGATCCAACGGCTTGTCGCAGGCTGGGGCCGTTTCAGAGCTCGAACAAAGTCGCTGGACATTTCTCAGTCTTGGTAACACCACGAAAGTCATTGACTTCACGGCACCCAGCTCTCGACCAGAACCGCGAGGAGAATAGCTTCCGAGAATGGCCCAACCCATCTCCGGCCTCCTCGACACCAGGCGCCTCCCTTCCCTGCTGTTGGCGCTCATCGGACTCTACCTCACTGTCAAAGTCATCCGGATCATCCAGCGCACAATCACTGCCCGCCGTCGTTATAAAGAAATCCCCCAGTTGCCCCGTCATCCGGTATGGGGCCACTTGGTCAACATGGGCGAGAAGCTCAACCCCGCTCTTCTAAGACACCCAGACTATGCATTCGAAGAGATCTGGGAATCTCTAGGTCGACCCCCAGCGTTCCTGATGGATCTGAATCCCGTTGACTCGGTATTCCTCATCGTCGCGGATCCAGAGGTCGCGGAGCAGATCACCCAGCCCAACTCGGTATTCAAATATTCTCTCCCAAAGAGCGACACGTTGATGTCCATGTACCGTCTCATTGGCCTCGAATCCTTGATCATTGCCGAGGGAGAAGAATGGAAGATCTTGCGAAGGCGGTTCAACAAGGGGTTCTCGCCCCAGCACCTGCACACTCTGGATGGTCTGATTATTTCCAAGACTCGCGATTTCGTGGACCGTTTGAAGCGCGCCGCGGCAAGTGGTCAGGTGTTCAGTCTCAAGGACTACTCACAGGATTTAACCACAGACATCATCACCACTGTCGCAATCGAGAAGGACTATCATGCCCAGACAACTCCAGACGGGGTGGGATCAAAAGGTGCCTATGGGATGCTGACGGCGTCGAGGCTGCTTTCGAAGTTTGTATACCCCGTCGGTAGGGGTTTCAACCCACTGGTCTATTTTGATCCTATCAGACCCACAAAGTCCTGGTTCTACGAGCAGGTTTTCAACCGCGACTTGGCCAAGGTCATCCGCGACCAGCTCGCGGCTGAGCAGAAACAATTGCAAGACGCGGTCAAATCTGGCGCAAATGACAATGGCCAAACCGGATCGCAGAGGTCAATTACGCGGCTCGCATTGTCAGGGCTAACGCCAGACGAGGCGCTAATCCGCAACACGGTATCGCAGATCAAGAGCTTTCTGTTTGCTGGCCAGGACACAACTGCCACGCTTATTCAATGGCTCTGCTTCGAGCTCTCTAAAGCTTCATGGTCGCCATCTTCAGCGGCCATCCACGAGAAATTAATACAAGAACATGATTCAGTCTTTGGCAAAGAGGGAGGCCCGTTCAATGCCCTTGACGTCCTGGGCCGCACGGATGAAGAATCTCGTAAAGAGACTGAAGCCATCCTTGGCAGCCGCCTACCTTACACAACCGCGTTCATCAAGGAGACGTTACGCATTCATCCCCCTGCGTCTACAGCACGACGGATCCCCGAGATCTCCCCGGAAAATCCAACCCCGGTAACTCTGAAGCTGCGCACAACGAGCGGCGAGGAGAAAGATGTCCAAGTCAATGGCGTTAGGATCTACGTCTGCGGATACCTGGTTCACATGAACAAGGCTGTGTGGGGACCTGACGCCGCCGTCTTTCGACCCGACAGGTGGTTGGATGAGAAGTATGTGGCGTCCTTGCCAACGGGTGCGTGGCGGCCCTTCGAGCGCGGGCCGAGGAATTGCATCGGGCAGGAATTGGCCATGGTGGAGGCCAAAGTGGTGCTTTGCGCCGTGGCCAGAGGTTTCCAGTGGGAGAAAGTGGGATATTCAGGCAAAGGGCAGAAGGTGGACATGGAGAGACCGCGAGGAGATGGGAAGGATGACGCAGAGCGCGAGGTCTGGAGCGTCAACCAGGTCACATCTGTGCCAGTTGATGGCATGACGATGAAGGTTCAGTTGCGGAGGTAGATATTGTGCGTGACGGCTGGGCATTGGACGAATCTACATAGAACTAGAGGGAGTCATTTTTGGCTGGTCACTTCGAAGCTCGAGTCATTGACACAGAAAGACCGACCCAGACTTGCATGATCCACCGGTTTCTGCATGCGAGTATTGTGTGTTGATGGACCACGTACCGGGCACTCCTAACGGTGCGGTACCTGCAGCGGCCGCGAAGGAGCAGCAAGGCTGACAAGGCTGAAATGGACTCGGGTCCGAGGCCATGGGTCGGACCGAGCGGAAAGGATTTACTTTGATCCGGACCGCACACGACGCTGTGACGCGTCACTCCATCGGCGCGGACTCGTATCTCAGAAGCCGATGGAGCATCAAGGACTTGCACCAAGATCATCCCAAGAAATTTGCCCCCCTGCGAGCCCTTCGTCCATCCGCCAGTCGAAATGCACGGCCATCTAGGCACCCAGCAAAACGACAGCCCAGAACCTCTATCACCCTCGATCGCCTATCCAGACACTCGCCCGTGCTCACACCATCCGTGCCACATGGCGTGGGCATCCAATCCCAAGGCGGCCTCTGCCACACTCGAGGCCTGTGGCGTCCAACGGCTTCTCGCAGCTTCGAGCTGCGTCGCCGCCATCATCGCATAAGCTTTTCCCTGGGCGTGCGTAGGGAATGTGTTTGCCTAGGCGGCGGGGTAATTACACCGTGGTGGTAATGTGCTATAAAGCATCGCCTAGTCTTTGCTGTGGCTTGCCCTCTCATCTATCTCTGTTAGTTATCATTCCTTACATTAGTGACTGAAGCAAGCAAGATGCCTCCCATCTACTACCTGAATCAACCACCCCATCCCTTCTGGGACTTTGTCGCCGGGATCGAAGATCATCCTTTCTTCGCCCAACACCGACGACCTGTCCCGCCCACTCCACCGCCGCAGCCTCCTCGTCCGGGGGCCGAGCAATCTCAAGCGCGGGCACAAGCTACCACCGCTGCTCCCGCCCAAGCCAGCGAGAAAGCCAAGGGCAAGCAGCCCGAGACCAACGTCGAGGACCCTCCTGAGATCGACCCTTCCACCCTTGCGTCTGAAGGTAAGGACGTGCCCTTCCGCGGTCGTGGCCGCTTCGCCAAAAGCTTCGAAGACAAGGGCAACAAGGACAACGCCGAGGAGAACAACAGCGGCCGTCGAGGTGGACGAGGCTGTCATGGCTCCCACCACCACGGTCACAATCCCTGGGCGGGACCACCTCCATTTGCGCAACCTCCTTTTGGACCACCGCCGTTTGGACCCCCTCCGTTCTTCTTTGGCCCTCATGGACCCTTCGGTCACCACGGGCCTCCAGGATATGGGCCCCCAGGACACGAAGGTCCTGAAGGCCACGGTCCACGTGCTGGATTTCGTGGCCGTGGAGGCTTTCATAGAGGCCGTGGAGGACCGCACCATCATCATGGGCCTCACTCACGCTCCCCACCACGTGGTGGACCCTTCGCCGGCGGTCGGACGGGCCCAGCATCCGGCTTCGATCTGGGCAATTTTCTTAGTAACCTCGGCGAGCGTCTGGGAGTCGACTTGACCTCTGCCGCCGAAGGCCTGGGACTTCGACCTCCGCGCTCGACCGAGACCGACTTTGAACCAAGAACCGACATCTTCGACACCTCCTCGGCCTACATCATCCACCTATCGCTCCCCGGTGCCAAGAAATCCGACGTTGGCGTCGACTGGGATGGTGAGCACTCTGTGGTGCGCGTTGCTGGCGTCGTCCACCGGCCCGGTGTCGACGAAGAGATGATGTCGCACTTGATTGTGGATGGACGCAAGCGCGAAACCGGCGTCTTTGAGAAGACCATTCGCTTGGGCACCTCCAAGGACCCCGCCAGCGTTGACGTCGAGGGCATCACCGCCAAGATGGTCGACGGCGTCCTGGTCATCCGCGTGCCCAAGGTCGAGAAGACGTTTGAGAAGAAAGAAGTCCACGTGGGCGGTAGCTCGTCTCCCTCCCCTGCACGATCCGACGAGAGACCTGAGGACGCATACATGAACGAGAAAGACCTGCTTTTTGATGCCGCCGACGATGAGGACAGGGACATGTACGACGCCGACCCTGTGCCGGAACCTCAACGGCAAGCCCCCACAGCCCAACAGCCTGTTCCGGCGGACTCCACCATGAGCGAGACAGCAGAGGCGAAGGAGAAGCAACGCGAAACCAAGGAAGAAGAGGCCGAGCGAGACAGAGACGACCGCTCCGAGACCGTCGGGTTCGAGGCCCCACACAACGAAACGACAGAGACCCTGCCGAGATACGAGGTCGAGGACACCACCCACCAGAACAAGGCTCAGGATCACCACCAGCAGCAGCATGCAAGCGTCGACGAGGAGGACAATATGAGCGACTGGGAGAAATACGGCTCCGAGGATGAGGGCGAGTACGTCAAGATCAACGTCGACTAAAACCGCCAGAGCTTGCAAAGAAAGGGCATCTTCATTCCCAGTTTGTCTTATGAGCAGAGTCTGGGATATGACAGGTTAGGTTAGGTTAGGTTAGGATGCGCTGGAGTTATGGTACGGATAATTAAGTCGTGCAATGATTAATTCATAGGCCAAGGGGGGAAAAAAACAATGACGCCTTCTACGTACGGGACATATGTAGAGATGTCGTCAATCAGATACCAAAAAAAGAGGGGGCAAGACTGCTAGATAGGTAGGGAGGTAGGGAGGTAGATCCCATCTATCCATCTATCTGGCATCTCGCTTTTTATCACCCGTCCATCCATCCATCCATCCACTCATCGACCGTTCATCGTTCATCGTTCATCGTTCATTATGCTCTGTGTATCGTGACTTTGATTTCTTTGCGCATTCACCATCCCTCTCTATCTCCCCCTCTCTTCCGTGTTGAACCCCTTAAAAAAGCCACTCGTAGATAATAAACTTTGATCTCGTGCTCGTATCGTTGGCCCTCCTCAGTCTCGAAGTTCGCGCGCGCGCAAAGGAAGAGGGACTATGGGATGGTTGCTTCGCTGGTTTCTGTGTTGTTTTGTGTGTGGAGGAACGCATGAAATGCAGAGTTCTCCTCCTCCTCCTCCTCCTCCTCCTCCTCCTCCTCCTCCTCCTCCCAAGCAAGGCCCTTTGTCGGTTGCTCTTCCACGTGCTTTCCCTTCCAGGATTTCAATACCATGAATCCAGTACCGTACTTAACCCGTGACCCTCTCCATCTCCCCCCCCTCGCAATCCACTCTTTCCGTCTCACGTCCCCAGAACCTCCCTGACCACTTCCGCAAAGGTCACGTTCTGGCTTCCACCGCCGCCGTCGGTGACCACCTGCGCGCTGACCTCCTGGTACGCGCCGTCCCAGAACATCGCGCCCGCGAGGTTCGGCAGCGCCATGGCCCGGACCTGCGCGAGGATGGCCTTGTACCGCGCCACGTCGATGTAGCCGGTGCCCGCGCCGGGGAAGGCGGGCGTGCCGAGCAGCAGGCGCGGGGAGGTGATGCCGTTGTTGATGTTGTGGAATGGATTGTCGTCCGCGACCGCGGTCGTCGGGGGGTTTTGCTGTCGAGCGCGTAGGAGGGCACCGCCGCCACTCCTGCCGTGTGAGGATCGCTTGTTCATGCGCTGCGTGCTCGGAGTGTCGTCGCTGACGCCCTGCAGGTCCTCGGACCACGCGCGGAGGGAGTCGATGAAGCCCTGCCCCGCATCCAGCTGGCAGGACGGGTTGTTGTAGAATTGCACGCTGAAAAAGTCGATGTCGTTGCGCAGACTGGCGACGGGGATCGAGGCGTCGGGACGCGGGCATTGCGGTGCCGCGGACAAGTAGTAGGCCTTGGAAGTGTCGGCGGCCATGAGTTGGCGCAGCGTCGACACCAATGCCGGGATATACGTCGCGGCAGAGGGTAGCTCGTTGTCTACGATACGAAAACGCGTCAGTTTTTGAGATCCCTCACACAGGAGAACCGTGGTAGAAAGTCCCGGGGTTGGGGGGCCACCACACAGGCGAGAAGGAAAGCTTACCAATATCCATCCCATCGAGGACTACATCGCCATAAGGTCTCAGAGCGGTCAGGCTGGCGTTGGAGCCGCCCAAGAACAGACTCCAGAGTGTATGGGCGACCTCGACCGCTTTGTCCTGGCTCGGCATCGTCAGGTCCCCCACCGACCCACCGAGACTGAGCAGGACCTTCTTGCCCTGCTGCTGGCACGCGGCAATCTTGCTCGCGAAGCCGTCGCCAACGCAGTCCAGCAGCCTCGTGGCTCCGGCGGCCTGTTGAGCGGCGTTGGGCGCCCAGCAGTTCGAGGCCATGTTCATGGACGGGTATCCCCCGTCGGAGAGCAGGGTGGTGACGAACGCGAGGATGACGACGTCGACGGCAGGGTCGTTGCACACCTGGGTCAGCGATATGATAGGCGTCAGGTCCGTTTGCGAGTAGTACACCACGTTGAGGTCAGGGGCCTGTGGATTGAATGTGGACGTGGCGGTGGGCGACGAGGACGAGGGGGTGGATGGTGCGGGATTGATTGTGCTGGAAGATGCATAGCTTGTCAGAATTGTCGTCGACAGCGGAGGCGGAGTGTTGATGTTCGTGATGGGGAATATGGTGGTCTGTGGTGGTGTTGGCGGTGTTGGCGGCGGCGTGGCAAGCGTGGGTGACAGCGTTCCAATGTTGAACTGCGACGCCAGCAACTCGATCAGCTGTTCGATCGCGCTCCCAATCTCTCCAACCAGCTCGTTCAACTGGTCCGAGAAATCCTCCGATGGATCTGGCCGCTGGCTCGGAGCCAAAGGCCTCCAGTAACCCGCGGGGCCTGCTCGAAATATCGCATCTCTCCGCGAACGTGACGCTCCTGAGCGGTGGGTGACATGCTGCGCGTGAGACAGTTCGATCGCGTCCAAGGTGCTGCGCAGGCTCGCCGCGATATCTGCCCAGTCACCGATAGGAGCTGACGCAAGAATGGAATCGATACACGAAGTGAAACAGAAGAAGAAGAGGAGAACAAATTTGGAATACAAAGCCATTATTGTGATACAACGGCGCCTACCGAAATGAAGGATGGGCAGGCTGAAAAAAAGTATGACCTGGACTTATACCTTGGAGACAAACATGGGCTGGTCTATTCCGAAACACTACCATACCACGAGAGCGCTGGAGGAGGGCATGTCAAATTCAAGAATGATGTTCAGCATTCGAGGGAAGGAATGTGTCGGCCTGGACGCTGGTGGTTCGGCGGTCCGTGCTCGATGGCATTCCAGACAACGCGCCTGTCTGATCAAGACAAGGAGTGCATATTTGGCCAGGGTGTATGTACATTGTGAGATTCCCAGATCACGGACGGCAACGTTGAAAAGATCAAGTCACAACCTGCCTGAGAGACGTGGAGATGCTGTCCATCATTGTGGGCAAGATATTGACGGGCGGTTGATAGTCGGTCCCCGCGATTTTCAGACAACACCGAGGTTAGTACCGCGAGATTCCTGTGTTCACACTCAAAAGAAAGATCACGGTATCATGAAAGCGCCTTGCCAGTTGACGCTCACTCTCTTCCTGGACCGTGACAAGTGAGGCTGTGGGGAGGAGGCAACAAGCTCCCTTGCAGTTGCTGTCAGACGGTCCACGAATTCTCCCTTCTGGCGGCATTTTGAGGAACAGCACCTTTCAGTCAAATGGAGATCGATCCCAGCCCTCCTTTTGTGAAGCCAGTCGCCTGTGGCATGAATGCTCAATGTGCCGAAAAGGCAAGGAGACGGGCTGTGTTTTGTCCCCTTCTCAGTGGTCTTCGCCAATAACCGACCTTCTCCTCTGCTGAAGCAAAGCAAATGCATGTACCCTGCAGTTTGCTGCTTCCGCCGAGGGCAACTGCATCGATCATTCGGTTTGCTGCTCCCCGAGACTGGCATTCGCCGCGGAGGTCATGGCACTTTAAGCATCTGCCTTTCTGGCCCGATGCGCTAGAGCATCTTGACGCCGACCTTCTCCGTCGATCAGAGTCCCGACTTGTCCCGGCCCAAAGCTTCATCGACTGATCAGATGCAGATGGGATGGACCAAGACCACCGAGCGAGCTTGTTGCTGCGTCTTTAACTTTCCGGCGCTCTCCGTCCCAGCAATTGTGGAGTCAAAGCAGGTATACTCCGTGCAAGCACTCTTGTTGTATGCCCGGATTCCCTTTCGGTGCTAGCAAACAAAGTCAAGGAACTGTATGTTCGAGCTAACACCACATCTGTCGTTGGGCATTCCACCGGACACCACGGGTTACGTCCTGTCAGCAGCTTGAACGCAAGAAATAGCCATGACCGAGGCCGGGGTATAAGCTGAGAAGAGACGATAGCTGCCGTCTCCTCACCACACTGATGTAGACTAGGCGGTCACCTTCAAGCGATAGCTATTGAAATTGATTAGTACATGATCATCTCTGAAGACTCGCAGGTCTTGATGCAGGTGCAAATCCTTCTCGAAGCAGGTACCCACCCACCTCTGTCGCGTGTCTCCATCAACATTGGGGGCGCTGATTATTGCCCAGGGTCAGCCTCCATTGAGGCCTGGGACAGACGGGATGGAGGTCGGTGGTGGTGTGGTAATTGTTCTCAAGTGACATTTCCTCATAATTTCAGTCAGTCAGACTTTTCTTCGGCCCTGGATTGTGTCAGTTTAACAAGATTACCGCGTTGAAGCATCCAGCCAGTGGTCAGCCTCGCACGTGACAGTGTCCCAGCGCAGCAGCCTTGTCGCTCGCAGTCGTCTTATGGTTGGTGATGTGAGGCTACGCCAGCGGCAGCAGAGAGTCCCCGAATTCCTCGCGAGCGAGATCAGACCTCCTGTTGGGCACCGGCGAGCGAGGCAAGGGACCAATTGCGGCCCAAGGCCGGTCGGAGAATTCCACAGCACGTCCAGGTTACACAATCTGGATCCCAAGTTGGCGCCCTACTTTTGGGAAGTGCCGAGAATCCTGCTCCCCTATGGCCTGGCAGAAAACCCAAGGACATGAATACTGCCGACATTGGGCAGCCGCTGGTGGTGTTGCTGGACATGGTGCAGGAAGGCAGTAGCCCCGAGCCGTGCCGAATTCTGCTGCGACGCGAGGACGCGGCAGAGCCATTCCATCGTGCTTGGTTTAGCAAGGATGCTGGGAGTGGCCTGGACCACGACCGCCCTCGCAATGGCTCCGTCACTCCTCACAAGCCCACAGGCCATCGACGAGCAGCAGCTCGCCAATTGAGCCAGAACAAATCAGAGAGAAGGAAAGACTGGCTTCATGCGAGAGCTGCAGGATCGGAAGTACCTAGATACTTAGGTACATAAGTGGTGTTGGCGGGATCAGATGTACTCGCAAGTGAGAGTCGGGACCATGGAAGTACATGAATGAGTGGCGCCCTGTTTTGCATCCGGCCGCAACATCAACGAAAGGCTTCCCTGTACCGAGTAGAGTTGAAGCAGGCCGAGAGGGATCTGTGGTTGGAAGATGGTGGTGCAATTGGGCGGCAGCATCGGCGGCGGCATTGGAATTCCCTCTCGGTATTCGTCCTCGAAAGAAAGGCCTTCCCATCCTTGCCATCCTTGCCCACCATGAGGATGGACCCCGTCTCCAGCGACTCTCAGGTGTCATTTTTGCCGTGAACATCTTCCACGGGAGTCTATTGTCCATCACCGTGTCAGCGTGTGGGAGTTGTCCAACTGCCTGTTACCCTCTCAACGCCATTTTCATGTGGTCTAGAACCCTCGGTGACCATGGGTCCAATGGTACTCGGTACATACCTACGTCCTGGTGAATCTTCAGACGGACCTCACGACAGGGGTTTAGAAGCGCTCGCAGTCTGATACCCAGGTACCCGCTGACAGGAAGCGCAGGCATCCCTCCATCCCTCTCCATGCAAGCCACACCGCTAGTCGTCACATATGAGCACGCTCATTCTGACCCAATCAACCTTGTCCAGCTGTTTCCCCATTCATGCCACGAAACCACTGGGACTGCAACTCCACAAGCCCACAAGAAGCCTCACTCAGTGAAAGGCGGGACTACTGCAGAGAGCCAATTCCGGGCATACTAGCAAGCCTCGTCGCGAACCTGCAGCCTTGGAGAGGAATTCGCACAAGGTGTACACTTGGCAGCACGCACAACAGGGTGCCAGTGCCAGGCCGAACCTCTCTCTGCACTCTCGTCCCGCCGTCGAAGCGCTCCGAGAACCTATCCTGTGGCCGATCCACCAATTACAACCTTACGACGTGCACGCCGACGCTAAGTCGTGTAAAGTGCAGATATCCTCGCCTCAACAAGAGAAGATGGTGTGTAGCCCGCAGGACGGCGCATGAACTATGTCGTCCTAACAGCCTCAGGGAGGGCAAAGGAAACGAGAATGGGTGCTCGATGGCGAGAGAACACGAACCAGAGGGAAGGGATTCTGTGGGAAACCCTTGCATTATGCTGTCCTACCCCAGCCGGCATAGCACGAGCTCGAACATGTGGTTGGTAAGTTGGCCATCCATCCCCCATCGGTATCCGGAACCCATAATTAACGAGGCCGTAGACTTGTCACGTCTCCGTGACACAAGCAGCCAAGCCATCCACGCCTTGACCCGGTCAGAGAGATAGCCACGCTCGAACGCCACCGAACCACAATGTTACACAGCATGAACACCGCCCTTTCGCATGGGACGTCGTGCAACAATTCAAGCTATCGACGCCTCTGTTACACAGCAGCTGCAGCTCCTGCATGAACGCAAGAGAATACGAGTCTTGGGGGATGCAGCCTTGGAAATGGTTTCCATGTCAAGAAGATCGGCAGACGACAATAAACGAGTCATCATTGGGATAATGGGCAAGTGTATACGGTTTCTGCTGCTTGTGGACCTCCAGTCGATGAGTGACACTGAAGAGGAATTGGGCTGGCTGTCGGCAGGAGCAGGAACAGAGCAGGGAAAGAAACCACGACTGTCTGCCTGAAGAAAGCCTTGCAGATCCAGTCTCTGCCGGTGTCACACGACCTTGGATGCACAAGCCAAGAGGCAGACGAGCGGAGAGGAACACAACAGAAAAGTTGGTAAAGAAAAGGTACGTCCGGCGTGTCGATGGTGAAGTGACTTTTTTATGCTGCTCAGTCCCAAGCGTCCGCTCCTTCACGATCCAGCGCCGTCGCCACGGCCGCCAGTTCAGATCGTCAGTGCGTGGAACCCACTGGCAAACGCGGGTGGAAGACTGATCCCCTAGGGCTGGGTATTTCACCCAACCCCACATTAGAGAAGTGGACGAGAACAAGCCAACGCGACACAAGAACACAGCAGGAAGAGGAGGAACAACACCACACCAACCAAGACCAGAAAGCAAGGGGCTCCAAATGAATCCAACACCGACAAAAGGGCTTCGGGAGGAAATCGATCAGGGCCAAGTGGTCTTCGGTCCACGGCGGTATTGCCGTCCGGATAGACTTTCGGGGGTCCCTGGGTCTGGATTCCGAGCCCACGGGATCGTTTGAGAGATTGAGCCGTGACGGCACCAACGGGGTGTGGGACTGACTGAGAAAAAGGCCGGGGCCACCAGAGAGCAACGACAGCAATGCCCTCCGCCGCCTCCTCCTCCTCCTCCTCCTCCTTGGGCCACGAAATCCTCAAACAGTTCTACCGTCACCTGTTATTACTCACGGCAGGGAATAGAGCGGAAAACGAAAAGTCAAGCCGCAAAAAAGGAGCAGGCAGGCTGTCAGTCACTCGGTGCAGGAAACAAATTCAATTTCAGTATTAGCCGCCCAGTCTGAGAGAAAACTTGAGAGATCTGTCTGTCATTCGTCACGCTGTCCGTCATGTCATGTCCGTCGCTCAACCCACAAATTTCCAGCTCGCTGTGTGCAGAAAAAAAGAATGGGGAAAGGAAAACGAGTGATTAGAAGCCCCTTCCATGCCCACCACAATCCACAGTTGCCTTTGCATTTCCGTCCCGTCGTTCCAGGCCATAACAAGAAGGCACTCACAGATTAAAATAAGAGTCCATCCGCCCATCCATTTGTTTCGCTTCATGCGCTTCCAGGCCCATGCTTCGTTTCCCGTACCCATCGTGTCCCATCATGAAAGTAAAAACCCGCTATTTACAATATCAAGTCATGAAGCAAGCCCCAAGCTCCCCTCGGGAATGCAGGTGCAAGAGAAAAGGAGCTTGGAAAACCGCCTTCCAAGTCCTTGGTGATCGAATTGAACGTGAAAGTGATCAAGAAAGTGTTTTGACCCCCCCCCCCCTCCCCCGGGTAAAAGAGCGTCCAAGTTCCCCCCCGTTATTTTGTTTTTTGATGTGAAATCCGGCTCCTGTTCCGGGGTAATACAAGACACAAAGTGTGAAAACTTTGCTGAGCTTTTGTGGATCGAAGAGAATGCCTCCCACCTTCCCATCTGCCGTCCTTTTTAGTCTCAATTTTGACATATCTCCCATTTTGAACTTTTCGAAAGAATGTGCTTGTTTTTTTTTATAGAAAGAACGCATCAACAATTCGACCGACCGTAAAAATCTGGGGTTCGTAAGAAAAATGTATTGCCTCACTTGGCAACCTGTCAATAGTAGGCTCGGTCACGAAGTAATTCGAGTTTATTCATCAGGAATACGAGGAGAGGAGAGTTATGCGGAGGGAGGTTGGTAGTGTTTCTGGTCGTTGGCGTAGGTCATCATCTCGTCGACAGGTAGAAGCTTTTCGTGCAACTTTTCGTCTCCCGATTCGTAGCAATGTGCTTTCTTTTGGCGGATCATTCTTCCAGAGTCGCTGGCGTCGGCGTTAGGTCGACTGCCCCAGGTGGTCTGATGCCATGTGTTAGCTGCAGTCAGTGCGTCCGGAATCTCGTCAGCAAAACTCACCACGCCCAACGTCACTACAGCGTAGACCTTGATGGCGCCATGAAACCATCCGAAGAGGATAGAGACCGGCCACAGGAATATGTCGACGGGATAGCGGACAAAGTGAGTGACCAGCTTAATGAACTTGGAGAATATCATCCAAGCTGCAAAAGCACAGATGGCACTCTTGGCTTGGTCGGCTGGCCAGTCACGAACGCCCTTGCATAAATAGAGCCAGAGAAGTCCGTCTCCGATTATGGCAGGCGGCATCAACGTCGTGACGTGAACTGCGTACGTGCTATAAGGTTGTCGACTAGCAAGGGGGGCCAAAAGGGTCAGTTGCCAAGATCTCTCGAAAGAACCGAGGGGGGGAATCTCCCACAAAGGGGGCCCGCTGGGGTTAGGAACCAAACTTACAGCCAAATATGACGTTCAGCAAACATGCTGGTGAGGTTGCTGCGCCAATTACTGCGCGCCCACCTCAAACATTGTTTGAGAAATTTTGGGTTGTTTTCGAGTGTGGTCAGCACTTCACATTCGGGGTGGTACTGCATGTAGGTTTCGTGCCGATGCGAGACCATCCAGCGCGTAAGGAAATTATCGTCGTCAGCATTGAGCTGGAATTGGCCAAACCACCACTTCTCATTTGTGAATCCATTGGTGAAATTGATGTCCTGGAGGATGCTTGTCCGATAGGCACAGGTCCGGCCGGACAAGCATGGAACGCCTCCGTCGACGTGAGTGGTGGCCGCACAGTCAAAATTTCGACGCTCCAGGTAGAGTGCTCCTAGGAAACCGTAGATACGCTGAGAGAAGGTGGGATTCTCGGCCCGTCGCAGCCGCTGACAGGTGACCACTCCTCCGTATCTCTTGTCCTCGAATGGGGCCAGCATCCACTGGAGAGTCCGAGGGGGCCACGTGACGTCGTCGTCGGCAAAGACGATGATCTCAGTGGTGACCTCGGGGATGGCTCGAGCCATTTGCCGTCTCTTGTTGGCATGCTTGACCGACATGCAACGGATGCGGTGGTACTTGGCGGCCGGCATCTTCTCCATGGTCCGCTCTGCCTTGGTCAAGTTCTCATCGATTGTGACCAGAATCAACTCCTTGGGCTCGTTCTCCATGATTGAGGCGATGGTTTTCTCCAGCTCCTCTCCCTCGCCGTCCAGGGTAGGCAAGATGACCGTGACATCTGATGGCCAAAGAGTGGGATTTTCTGGGATGGGGATCGGCTTGAAAGTCCAGAAGGCCCACAGGTTGACAATGAGGCGGACATAGCGCCAGAGGCTACATTCGGTTAGCTGGGCTGGCTTTTCTCGGGTTTGGCTGGTCTTCCCCTCGACCCTGCTGCCGAGGGTGCCAAGATGGGTTGCAGGTCTGGAGGCAGCTGGGGGGTCAGGCAATCACTCACAAGTAGATGACGAAGAATTTGAACCACGTCGTTGAGTCCATGGCTGGAGTGACGATGTGTGTTGGGTCTCGTGTCACTTGGACAAGTTAATGACAAGCGGACAATAACGACAGTAAGAGTGGTGGAACCACTCAAGGATGGGCCCCGGCAAGAAACAGGACGAGCAAGCAAAGACGAGAGCAGATTATTGCGAGGACATGAAGGATGTGAGGGTAATGAAAGACAAGGAGGGAGAGGGATCAGACCGAAGTGATCGAGGCAGGTGAACGATAGAAATAAAAAAAAATATGGGGAAGGGCACGGAGCCTAAGATTTCAGGTCGACAGGTCTCGAAGGGTAATGGCGAATGCAGTAATGCATCAAGACCTGTCTGGCTAGTGACGGTGGGCAAGTGAAGAGGGAAAAGCGAGAGTGAAAGACACAGGGCAGTTGGCTGATGGCTGTTTGCACTGACGCCCTGCAATTCCGCCAGCCTGCACCCTCAGAACCACAAACGTGAGCTTGCAGACGAGTTCGCAGTTCGCATGAGGTGAGGATTTGTTTTCGGCTTAAACACCCCAGAATAAGAAGGGCAGCTTGTGATGAGCGTCAATTGTTAGCTCGTTAGCCGCATAAGTGGGAGTGGATGTCGCCGGCCGGGGTGATGATTGGGTCTCAGCCATGGCGGCTGCAGGCTTGCGTGGTTTGAGCCTTGAGCAACTGCACCTGCACCTGCAGCAACAGTTGAGATGGGGGGGGGGGCTTTGGTGCGAGGGAGGGGGGAGAGGGGGGGGTTGTTTTCGATGTCGATGATGGAGGGGAGGGGCAGTCAAGCGACGAGGGGGTGTCAATGGTTTAGCCTGGCCGAGGATTCGATGGGGGGTGGAGGGCATGGGAATGGATGGGGTGCTGGGTGGCTTGACCAGGGTGTGGGTACTAGGTACGAACAAGGGTTCATTTACGAAAATCAAAAAAGGACTTTGGGGGGAGGCACCGAGGGCATCAAGACCACCGGAGCACGAGCACGAGCACGAGCACAAGCACAGGCATCAGAGGGATGTCAGCATGGGTGCATGGCCGCTGGATGGTGGTGATGGTGGTGGTGGGTGGGTTGCCCGCTGCAGGTCAACCGTCAACCTTGGCCGCCCAAAGCAATGTTAGGTAGTCAGTAGGCCCTAGGTGGCTAGTAATAGTCGTAGCAGTGTTAATCGCTTCAGGGTAGTTGGTCTCCAGCACGCAAGCAACCAGTTCCCCCCCAAAAGCAAAGCAGCAACTACTCGCCGTCGTCCACCAAGTACATCTTCTGCAAAGTCTCGACTCTCTAGCCTCAAGTCACCCCGTCCTGTTGTGATGCCTCCACGTTGGCCAGTCGATCCTGTCTCTCGAGTCTCCATCCGCCTTGCCATGCCTGATCTGACCCCGGAAACCCAAAATCTCCCATTTCCCACCAAAAACTCACCGGTCACTCACCCAGCGCAGCCCAGAGCTCAAAAAAGGTACCTAGGTAATCTCTCTCAGCTCGACCTGACCAGGATGCCTGACAAGATGCGGGAAGGCCTAGCAAATATTTTGCCTTCCTCGCTACAATGGTCCAAGTCGATGTTGACCATTGCCTCTAGTCAGACCGTGATCATCTGCAGCAAGCCCCCGGGCGCCTGCTCGCCTAGGCATCATTTAACCAGAGCGGCTACTATCAAGCAATGAGCTTCTCCAAGACCTCTGCCGCCGATGACGGCGGCCTGTGCGCGGGCGCATCCCCCTCCCAAGCTTCCTCATCCTCTCGTCCTCATTATCCTCGCCCATCAATCTCCTCTCACACCCCGGGTCGCAAGCGAGGACATGCGAGCACATGCTGGTGGATCAAACCCTCTGGATCACCTTCCCATGAGACTCCGCCTCAGCCAGTGATCGGAGGGCGACCACCTGTCCGGAACGTCAGAGGGCGAGGGAAAGGGAGCATTAGAAAAAAAAATTCAATGCAGCGTCACGGGCAGACTGGATTACGGAGTCACAGCGAACAAGTTCCTCAATGGCGGGAGGTCATGCATGTGGTACAAGGGCCTGAAGCCCGAAAATGTCCTTCGAGGGCCAAAAAACGCCTCTTGACGCAGGTGCTCCCGTCTTTAGAATTCCCGACCAAGGCCAAAACCGTCCTCTGACCTTTGCCAACCACAGATCTCGACAAGCAACAAAGTTTGTTTTGTGTCAAGTGCTCAGCACCAGCCTCACAATCTGAGTCAAACCTTTCATGTGAGACGACCATGCCCACCGGCCACCTGACCGTCAAGTGTGAAAGAGGAGGGGTGGGTGATGTTGAACAGACTTTACAGTACACCACGAACATATCCGTTGTCACAGATGTCTCTCTTACACGAACACGCTCTGCTTGTCATGCTGATTCCTCCCAGCGGCAGTTTCCATCTCGTTGGCGCCCTCACGAAAAACGACAGTCTCCACCTTCTTATCCACCCTCTCTTTCCTTAGAAGTTCGATTCGCCGCTAGCTCCGCATCCCACTGACAAGCCCGCCACCAAGTCTCCTCCAATCCTCAAACCAATTTGATCGAAAGCAGCAATCAGAGGTCGCTGCAAGGTGCAGAGGTTGCTAGACTGGAACTGCCATAGAGGAGGATACAAGTGGCCACAACAGCAGGACTACTCGTACTCTGCAGTCCACACACTTGAACGATGCCTCCAGCGTAGGGCGCCATGCATTTAATCGAACCGACTACGATAGTCAAATAATGCTGTCATCTGCAATGCGGCCCTCGGACCTCGACCTGCCTTTTCGCCATGCTTTGCCCCACACCATCGACAGTTCTCCTCGATTTCGCTCATCGTCCTTCGCCCGCCAGCAGGAGCCACTCCACGGCCGCAACTCCACCAATAGATGGCCGTGGTTCGTTCTGCCGCTCTCCAAGCTCCAAAAGCTCAGCGAGTGCATGTTAGCTTTAAGAAAATGGCAGCGTTGTTATTACAACATACCCTGAAGCGGCAAATCTACGATGGTCAGCGACAGAAAAACCTGCTTGACTTTCACCATTGTCATTAGGGCGTCTTCCTTTCCCTGGCCCTCCCTAAAACAGGCATCGCCAGATCAGATCGGCGACAGAAACGCAGCATGGAGGAGACTTTATCTTGAAACCCAATCAGCATGACGTGCGGCCTCCCATGGGTCCCTCATCCATCCTCATCTTCTTTCGCTCTTGTGCTCACAGTTGCATTCATCCAGCAAGGGTCCAGACAAGAATGGATCTTTGCATGGACAGGACGCCAGAAGGTCTGTGCCCTCTTGGTAGCCCACTGCCCCCAGATGGCGCAATGCGTGATGCGACTCAGCACGGAATCACCCGCAGGCCTATCTGGGCCTCCCTCCTAACCCAAGTAGTCAATCTCTTACCCTCCCCTGTGAATCGTCCGGCCGTCGCCTCTGGCTGCAGCCGCAGAGATAGTCTTCTAACTGTGCGAGGAACGGAAGACTTCTGTTTTGCTCGAGTATCTCGGTTCAGCTAAGAGGGCGGAACAGCCAATTCGAGACTCCATCCCGCCGGCCTCGAATGTACGTACCTGTACGCGAAGGACCTCCCTTCCTCTCCAGCCGAACCGTCCCTAGCCCGAGATGGGCCATCCCATTTCCTTGTCTGACTTCATCAGACCATCACATCCCGATCCTTCAATTCAAAAACACACGTCTCACGCGACGCAATTTTGGTTGATCGGCACTAGGGTCCCCTTGGATTAGAATGCCGCATGGATGGACCCCCATCGACTCTTAGAGCATCCTGGGGCAAACGCACTAACACGACAAACGGTCTTTGTTGAAATCATAATTTTACAGAGTTTTTGTCCTTCTGAGTTCAACGTGCCGTCCCAAAAACAGCAGTGGAGAACGGAGACTCCTTTCAGAGACCCTGTCTCAACGCCACACTCGCCTCGAAGGCCGGTCCAAGCCTCCAATTGCCGCCAACACGGCCGGTTGGCGAAAACTGGATAAACCTTGGGTCACTTGCTGCATGGTTCTAGTCCAGGCATGCCGGCAGACCTCAATCGAAGATCACACCACCAAAGCGTCGAGAATGAAGTGTCTGGTCTCCGCGAACTGGGCCAGATGATAGTCGACTTGACCTTTGGGGCTCAATGAGAGATTGACAACCATGGAGCTTGAAAATGTGACTCTTCTCGCATTGGTCCGCGAGCTAACTGGGCTCATCCTTGCTGAGCAAGGGAAAAAGATGGAGGAACTGCCTGCATAAGTGCTTCGGTGGCGTCTGCATTAGGCTCCCCTTGGCATCATCCAACCCCACAGCGAGCGTTGTCCGTCGCGCAAATGGCCGGCGAGCCAGATGCTGATGCATCGCGTCCATTTTCGCAGCAGAGGCTTGCATATCCCCCAGTGGCAGCTTATCGCGCAGCTTCTTTCAGCTTCCTATTCTTGCCATGCCATTATTGAGCACATGTGTCCTCGGCTGCCGAATCCCATTCGAACCGGCCGGCCTATTAGCCAGGTATGCATACGAGTGGGGAAAGTGGTGCTGCTCGGCTTTGCTGCGAACAGCCTGTCTTCATACGTGGGCACTCTGTAGAGGCAGTTGACATCTGTCTCAAAGCCAATCCCCATCCTCAAGCAGCCATCATGCAGGTCCGGAATAATAAAGCCGATGGAATGTGCTTTTGTTTGACAGCGAGGATGAACTGGCTCGCACATGGTTGCATTTGTGTCGAACAATTTTCCAGCCCCCTCCAGCTTATAGCATATGGAACGGTTTGACAAAAGTGGGATAGCAGGTCAGAACTGCCGGAGATATTGCTCCGTATCAACTCCTTCCATGTCCCTTCATGGAAGTAACTCTGCGCGGTGCAGCAGCCGGAGGAATCGCTCGGCGACTCGCACTTTTTGTGGGTGGTTTGGAGCTTCGTACTCGGAGCACATCATTCGTCGCCGATATTGCTCAACCAAAAACACCTTGCATATGAGCATCAGAAGCTACAGACCCTGTCCTGGAAAGCTGACGCTATATGTCTTCGCTTAACGGGCGCTCTCCTTTCAGGTCAACCTGCTGTAATCGTGTCAGCGGCAGAACAAAGCGTTCTGGGACCATGACAGCGTGCATAGACATGCGCAGGACTCCTGTCACATCCGGGCATGTTTTCCCAGTGGTAATCTGACAAGTCATCGGCAGGGCGGGGACACCGAAAGAGTTGCAAGAGTCTTGTCCAACCTACGTTCTCAACATCTGCCTGCAAAGAGGGATAACCCATCTCGCCAGTGACACAGATATACTTGACCTTGGCGGCCATCGCCCGCGCCAATTGCACGAGGAAATACAGTGCAATTGATCGGCGACTTTTTCGATCAGTCTTGATTCTTTCCTGTGCTAACAGATGGCCACCTTTGATCACGTCGGGATCTGCTGGTTGGATAACTGCTTTGAGACCGGAGACAAGTGAGGAGCAACACCGTAGCGTCTTCTTTCCTGATAGAGTGGCAGAAATCCTGCGTGTTTGGGTGGAGGTCGGGGATTTTTCTCATCGACAGCCGGCACTTGGACTTCTCCATTAACCTCACGAACTATGACAATGTAAGGTGGTGTGTTTGGGAACGTAGCGGTTTGTCCCTACGGATACTCTGGCAACGTTCAGGTCTCAAGACGTCGGGAGGCTGCGAATAACGATTCAGAGATATTATGTTGACCGGAAGCCAGGGCTGTACTTCCCCCCGAAGCCAGCGCGGTTGAACTGCATAGGGATGCAGATTGCTACCCAACCACCCTAAACAAGTCAGAGCGCGGGGCTTGGACTTCGTCCCTGGGCGATCTTCGACGCTGACAAAGGAGAGTGGTCGTGGCCCTGGAACCCCTTCGTCCCCAGGTTGGGCGAGGGCGACGACGGCAGTAGAAGGGGGCAACGACAAGGTCTCGGACCAACAGACAGTCGGGCCCCGGCGATGACATGGTCTTGGCAATGACGTTGACGGGCTGCGCCCACTTTTGCAGGGAATGTGCCTTTTCCCGTCTCACTTCGATCCTCTTTTCCCTTCCTACTCTCCCACACTGGCCTTTTCCCTTGAGGGCATCCTCCTTCTGTACCGGATGATTGGTCACCCCCCTCGAGGCTGTCACAACACACATGTCTGTCTCTCACCACTGGTGTTGGCATAGGCCAGCCTCGTCCCTGCCACTCCCCCCCCGGATGATCTGCAATCTCCTGTTCGTGCCAGACCAAACGGCGTTCATGCGAAGCCTTTCCCGAAACCACCCCAAAAGTGAATCTTCACCGCCATTGTGGCTCCCAAAAGCCTTTCCTCGTGGTCTGACGCAAGACTGGCGGTGAAGAAATCGACCCTAGACGCTCTGATCTTGAAGAAAAAAGGGGGGCCGCCAGAAAGATCGATTACGTGCATTTTCTTACGGGCCGAAGCGGGATCGCCTGCCACCGAACGTCAAATATCCCGGAGGGTTGATTGTGCCCAGAGTCGTCACCGCCATCTGATATTCATCCATTTTTATCCGGATCTCTGTTCGCACCAGTTCTAATAAACTCTTCAATCCAGTTCGAGCAATCGCCTGTCACTGAATATCGGTACATTCCTTTTTCAGGCAATGAGCGCCAAGTCGACCTACGCTGATGCCGACAGTGGCTGGTGAATCGCCGTAGGTGCAACCCGTACGCATGACCTTGCACATCTGCACCCCGCCATTAGGCAATGGCGAATACGAGATTCGCGTTGCACAAAGGACATGCTGAAGTGCGCTCAGAGATTGGCAATCCTGACCGTCTTTCCCCTCTCAGTTTTCCAAGTTTGGCGCTTCGACCAAATCCAGGCACGCCGCCCAAAACCCCCACTGATTTCACTGGTCACATGGACAATTCCGTGTGGGCGGGCGTGACCTGACGCCATCTCTGGGACCGGACAACTTCTCGTTCCTGCGTCATGCTGTGCGTCGTCGCTCGGGTCGCCTCAGCTGCAAGAATCATGCCATGCAAGTCATTGGGGAAAGTTTGGTGATCACGAAGTCTGGGCCACCCGGCGGGATGGTTGCAGCAGGCTTAGACTTTGTCGAGGAAGTTCTCTGCCCATCGGGATTCCGACTGGTCAGCCCAAAACTACATGCCTCTGATCTGCCAACAAATGGTAACCCTGAATCCTGTGGCGTCGGGGGGCTTCGTCGAATCTTGGCTACTCTCCTGCTGCTGGAAGGCCACCCCCGAATGGCTTTCTCGCCACCTGGCCTCATTCAGGTTTGATCTTCAGCAACGGCTCCCGACAAGTTGAAAATTTCGCCCTAGCGGAACTGAACTTGTTGGCCGTTTTCCCCTGCAGGACGAGGGTCTAAAATGGTGGGGAGACGAGCAGTTGCGACTCACCCGACCCTAAATCCTAGTCAACAGACAGCAGTAGCGAGCCACATGGCCTGTACCAGCGCTGCTTGGGGTCGCCCTCTCACGTACCCCTTGTGTGAATCCCGCCAACGCCCAAACTGCTGGTGGCGATTACGTGGTGTTGTTGTATTTCCCTTGCCGTTGCTCGTCCCGCCTACACATACGGGGCGTTTCACGGCACAATCAAATGGGCGTCGTCAATTTACCCCCCTTATTCGCTGCGCAAGATATGGAATTAGGCTGCGCCGAGGACTGTCCAGGGATCTAATTTCAGTCTGGCTCTCGATCTAACGCGCCACAGGATGCTATACAAATCACCTCGTCTTCCACACAGAGAACTCGATTCCATTCCTCAAGCAGAGTAGAGTGAGGCCCGGTGCTCCAGACGCCTTTGGACATCCCCATGTCGGTGAAAAACATCGTCACGCTTATTCACTTTGTTTACTCCCTAGGGAGAGTAGAAGACAACTTCTTCCGCAAGGGAATCTTCTCAGAAGACTTGGCAATTAGGACCCCCTTACTCGAGTCGAAAATTAGCTGAGATTGTACTTTTGGCTTCTTGGGTTGTCCAAAGAGAAGTATCGCTATATCGACTTCATTACTGACAGGCTCGACAGCTAATCCATTCCATATCAACCTGCAACACGAGCTCTACACGCCCATCTCCTGCTTTCTTCGTCCCTCAGTGCACAACTCCTCCTCCTCATTTCGACGTTGTCAGACATCTTCATCGGAGACAACCAGATAAAACCCTCCTCTCGTCCCATATAAGTCACATGCTGTCAGGTTTCAATACGGGCTGACTGATGGAACGGCGTTGGATTCTGGAAGAGAAGGAACACATCGCACAATCGCACATAGCGGGGCTTTGGTATCGAGACTGAGCGCCTGCAAGGTACTATGCCACGATGTCATCCTCCTATCCATGCTCGAAACCTTCTGCAACTGCCAGTCGGCTGAAGCCGCTCATCCCGAGCCGCGACCACGCCACATGGACACATTTCATTTGGACTGGCGGACCGGCGGACATTGACATACTTTTTTGGTCGTCACCCGCATCAAAGCTGACTCTCTAAGGCCTCAGCGTTGGCAACTATCGAAAGTTAGCTCATCGAACACGGTCAATTCACAGGTAGCAGTATATTGGCACAATTTGCCCCAGGATGCTTCGACAGGCACAAGGAGACTGAAAATCCCACGACTGAGCCGCCCAGCTGGACCAGAACTGCTATCTAGGTTCCTCCCGCTACCAGCCGCGCCGCCGCCAATCCGCTTGCAAGCGCCCCCTTTTGAGACTAAGGGAACTCTATAAGCAGCGACGGCAACACGCAGAGCAATCTCACTATGAAGATCTTAGAATGTGAGAGACTGACCCTGAAGAGCGGAGGCACAATGCAACTGGCACTGATCAGTGACGGAAACAATTCTCACCACTATGAAGGAATCAGTTGACTACTCCTGGGAACCACTTTCGCCATGCAGCCTGCGGTTAAGGCAGCACCGCAAGGCAGCTGAGCTATTCGGACGACTGAAGATAATCCCCGCGAGAGACGGCGCCTGGCAGCACTGACCCCATATTCTCACACTGCGTGATCACAGTGTAACGAGGGTGATAGATGTCGCGGTCTCGAGCGGCATGGCTAGCAACGGGCCTCGACTCAGTTGCGGCCTTGAACTATTTCCCAAACCCCGAGTTCGTTGTTGGCGCGCTCCTGTTGGCCAACGCGAATCATGTTGGCCTTATGCCTGCCATTGGCCAACGCGCCGCAGGTGAGATCTGGCCGCGACATTGGCAAACTGTCAAGGCCAGCGTGGACTTGGACGATCAGTGGCTACGCCCAAGAATGGGCCTGCCTGCCTCCTATGTGATCCAGGGGCCCCCAAGACGGTACAGACAGACAGACAGACAACCAAGCCCCTGGTCTAGGTGTCAAGGGCTCCGCGACGGTCTCTATTGCCAAGTTTATCATACATAGATGAGGTTCGATGCGGAAAACGGATGACTTAGTTTCTCGGTGCACGGGCTGGCTGTTTGGCTAGTTAGTGACCGTACATAAAACCATGTCGCTTCTGAATATAATACATGTGTTCCCATTTGGTGCATCGTCGATCCCTTGGCTCATTATTGCATCAGGTTACAGTATAGGCAGTCCAAGATTCCCTCACGCCGCATAACGCCTCGCCTCGCCTCACTTGATTTTGCCTCCAATCTATCTCCCCCTCCAATTCACGCTGTCTCCAAACCTGACGTCGAACTCGACGGCGCCAAACACTCCGATGGCGGGGTACAGGTCGCCCTCGCCCATGAGGCCGTCGACGCCTTCATCGCGCAGGTCGCGTTCTTCGTCCATGTCCCAGCCCCACCGCTCGTCGGCCTTGCCGTCTCTGGTGACGAAGGCGCGCGTCTTGACCTTGCCCATCCCGGGCCCGCCTCCATGAGCACCCGTCGCGGCCTGCGTGGAGAAACGCATGCCCACTCCGACAACTTCGCCCTCCTTGAACGCCTGGACAAAGTCCCGCCCGCCCCACGGGTCGTTCACGAATCTCCGCCCGTCGTCCCCGTGCACGCCGATGCTCGCGCGGTGCCACCCGGGCAAGCGCCACGGCGGATAGGGCTTCGCGGCGAACCCGATCGCGATACCCGAGTTCGCGTTGAGGATGCGGCGGACGGCGATCTCAAAGTAGATCGTCTTCGGCTCCGAGGTGGACAGCGGGTTGTCCACACAGGCGAAATACAAGGGGATCGAGGCCACAATGATCGCGTCTTGCTGGTGTTTGCTCGTCGCCACGTGCCACGTCGTGGGGCTCGTCTGCCGGAACGCCGTCAAGTGCTTCCGCAGCTGTAACGGCGGAGGTTCCAGGGTAATGTGGCCTGCATTTGCCAGGAGGTGGATCTCGTGGCTAGGCGTGCTGGGCGTGTACACAGGGTGTTTTGCACACCATTCGTGGGCACGCGCCGCGGAGTCGTACGACGCGTTGTTCGTTGGCGAGTAGTCTTGTGGTAGCGGCGGAGGTGGCGGGAGGAGTGCCGTATCGGGAATCACAGTCCAGTCATGGTAGGGTGGAGGGTTGTCAGGCTTTGAGCTTGAGAGGTGGGAGGGCGGCGGACCGGGCGGAGGGGAGAAGTCTTCATTGTGAGTGCCATCGTGGCCGCGGCGGTGTGATGGTGGTGGACCGGAAGGAGGCTGAACGGTCTCCTCTGTCCCGTAGTTCCGTTGATGATGCGACGGAGGCGGCCCTGGTGGAGGGGCGTAGTGATCTTCCTGCCGACCTTGTGTCCGGCTCCATCCTCCTTCGTGACCTAGATTGTTGTTTGCCGAAGGGTTCTCCGTCCCGACGTCAACTTTGCCCTTGAGAGACTTGAAGAGGCCCATGATGGTCCCCGGGGAGCGGAGGGGACAGCGATGATCGTTGGTACGCAGATGCCCAGACCAGGAATAGGTGTTGAGGATTAAGCGAAGAGTCCACGCCACACAGGTGTAGGATCTTATCCCCTGCTCACACTTTCCCGATGCCAGTGACCGCCCCTCAGACTCAGGTTCTCTGCAAAGCCTCGGACCCAGTAACAGTTCGATCGTTTGGTGTTAGTCCCTCATACGAGATAAAAGCCACTAGGGGTCCGGTAGAGTGTAACGTAAGGGTATAGTAATAGTGTTCGATGGTAGATGCCGCTCTAGGTCTGGTTCTTTGGTGTTTGTAACACACCATGCAGTGCAAGACTTGCCGAAGGTGTAGTAGGATCCAGCCCACCGCAGTCCAAGGGCCACTCGATCTACCCTGTTCGAACGGAATGGCACTCTGGAGTTGGTGCAAACAACACCAACTCAATCCGGTAGTGAGAGGCTGGCAACGCTGGTCGAAACGAACGAACCAGTACCGATGCAGGCTTTTGCGCCGTGCCGGTCTTTTCCCACCCTCCCACTCCGCAAAGACGGTGGCGCCCAAGGAGTTCGGCTGACTCTAGGAGGGGTGGTCAAGACTGAGTCGGGTCGACGGGATGATATGGGGACGACGATAGGTACAGGTTTGAGGAATTGGAGACTTGATTAGTTTGGTTGATAGATTGATTGGTGGGCAGGTAGGTAGCAAGTAGGTAGGTAGGCACGGTTCTGAAGCCTCGTTCGCAGAAAGCGTGTGGTGATCACATGGACCTAAACTTGACGTTCGGAGGGAGTTGATGGACGAGGGAGGAGGGCCGTAGTTGGCTGAGGGACCTAGCTAGAGTGACTAACTTTCTCGTTGTTGCTTTGGTGCTGCGGTGGTGTCGTTGGTGTCGTTGGTGTCGTTGTCTCGCTTCGCAATCGGAGACGTTGGACAAAGAAGGGATGGAGGGAGGATGAGAAGACGGGTCCAAGCGCCGTGGACGCACAATGCAAGGATTGCGCTGATGGAGGCTAAGTGACCAGGTCAAGGTCAATTCAGGGATGGGAGGTGGGAAGTCGAAAGCTTGATGAGGGTGGTGGTGGTGGGTTGAATCAATCCTTGATCCTGGACGGAGGGACTTTTCGGAGAGGATTCATGTGGCGGTGGTGGTGGTGGTGCATGCGTCGACCGACTGAACGCGGGGTAATGAGAGGAGAGAGGCACTGGCATGTGACGTGATGCCCCTCTCCCAAGACCTGCGAGAAGGCACCTAAACAATGTTACTCAAATAGGCTGCCTATGCCTGCTCCGTGCCTAGAACTATCGAGTCACTTAGACTCCTGGCCACCTATAACTTACCTATAAGTAAGCTACTTATTGTCCCTTAGGTACCTAGGCAGGCATAAGCCACAGCCCCGTCTATTTAGCGAAGCCCAAAGCCATCCCAAATGCTAGTGCCCTCAAGCATGTGCAATCCTATGCCACCCACATTGGTAGCTATCATCTATCAATCACGCATATGCATCTTCCAAGTCTCCCTCGCTCCGTCCCTTCCGGCATCCTTTTCATCCTTCACCCACTGGCGGGTCTCTGCGGCCACTGATCCAGTGTCACTGGACTCCCTGTCAGGGTGAAGTTCACCATCGCCTGCGTCGGCACATCCAACAGCAATCCATAGTCTCCAGGGTATAGGATTTGATTTCCATTCTCATCTCGCCGCGCGAGACTGCCCAGCGTCAAATCCAGCGCCGCCGTCTTCGACGACCCACGGGTGATGTTGAACAGTCTTTGGTACGCAACCAGTTCCTTGATGGGATGGGGGGCAGGCCCATTCTGGCCACTGATAAACCCTAACGTTACAAAGTCGGACGCCACTCTGCCCGTGTTGGTGACATTGACCTCGAACGTGCTGAAGGGGCACAGGTCGAGGTACTTGTACGTCGAGCGGTCGCAGCTAGACACCAGCTTGGAGATGTTGAAGCTTGACTGCTTGGGCTGGACCGCCGTGAGACTAAAGTTGGTGTAGTGCAAGCCATATCCGAACGGGAGAACAGCATTGTCGTACCATTTGTATGTTCTGCCAGGGTTTCCGGACGAGGCGTTGGGCCTCAGGTTCATGTCTGTCATGGCGACCTGTTCAACGTAGTTGGCAGGGTACTGCGTGACAGGGAGTCTTCCTGCCGGCGCCACCTTGCCCGTAATGATGTTGACAAGAGCATCGCCTCCAGCCATGCCTGGATAGCCGGCCCATACGATGGCCGAGATGTTGGGGTTGTTCAAGAAGGGAGTGTCGTCGAGCTGATCACCCATCTGAAGCAAGATGACCGGCTTGCCCATCGCCGTGACCTGGTTGATCAGATCGATCTTTCCTGGGGCCCAGCTGATGTCGTACCGGTCCAAGCTCTCGCTTTCGTCGTCATCGTTGATGCCGTCTGCAACGATCACGATGTCGCCCTCTTCCGCAGCCGAGATCAGGTCATCCCAGTTATCTGTGGTAGGGAAGTTGATGCTGCTCTGGCTGCTGGTGTATTTGATGTTGACGTGAGGCAATTGCTGCAAGGCGTAGAGTGGCCCATGAAGGAACCGCGCCTGGCCATAGTAGTTGCCTTGCATCTGCGTCGTCACATTTGCCCATTCACCAAACAGAGCGATGGTGGTGTTCCTGTCTGATGGCAAAGACAACGGCAGCGTGCCGTCATTCTTGAGGAGCACAATGCCTTCCTCGGCCGCCTTCAATGCAAGGGCTTCGGAGGCTGGGGTCGACACATTCTGCCAGCCGAGGGAGCGATACGGAGTGGCAGATGCCGGATCAAAATATCCCAGGCGTATCAGAGAAGAGTAAAGACGGGTCAGTGTCTGGTCGAGCACGCTTTCATTGAACAGCCCCCTTTCATACGCTCCAGGAAGGTGTGTCTGATAGTATGTACCCTTGGACAAGGTCAGCATTACGCAGCGGCATGTATCTGGACAGAGGGACCTACGCAGTTGAGATCAGTCCCTGCTTTCAAGGCGTCGGCGACGGCTTGCTCTCGAGACGTTGTATAGTCGTGCGGCATGTAGATATTTTGAATTGCGTCGCAATCAGAGGTCACATACTGGCCCTCGCCTGTCCAATTCCAATGTTCTCTCAAAATAGTTTGCAGGATGTACGGGTCGGCGCAGGTGGGCACGCCATTCAAGGCGTTGTAGGAGCACATGATCGAGCTTATGGTTGTAAGTGAGTCGACCAATAAAGATCATGCTATATCTCACTCACCCGACATTGGCGTCTCTCGCACAGGTTTGGAACGGCTGCATGTAGTACTCGGCAAGATCCTGAGTGGTAACTTGGGCGTCGAAGTTGTATCGATCTGTGGTCTCCCAGTTCTCCAGGTCATACGCGACGAAATGCTTGCAAGTGGCAACCACTTTCTTGATCGCTGGGTCATGGCCACCTTGGAGACCATTGATCAGGGAAGCAACATAAGACTTGAGATGGAAAGGATCTTCTCCCGGAGTCTCTTGCCCGCGGCCCCAGCGTGGATCTCTACCACATCATAGGTTAGAACAGAGCTCGGGACACTTCGGGCTTATGGACTTGAACGACAATCTTACTCACTTGTACGGGTTGATATTGGGTGTCCAGTAGTCCAGTCCACTCCTGTTGGCATTGTTGAATGCGCGTGCTTCGGTGCTGACAACAGTCGCGACAGCGTGAATCAACGCATCATCAAACGCTGCCGACATCAGGATTGGTTGTGGGAAGGACGTCGCATAAGACCACTCTCCATTTTGGTTGAAGGTCACGCCTGGAGAGCTGGCCACGCCGTGCAATGCTTCCTCTGATATCTGATAAGTATGACAAGCAAAACTCGGAGGCCTTGGGTAAACTCACGCCACCATTGATAGCTGTGGATTCCCAGACGTGGCACTCCTGGGGAAGTGTTGCCTGTCAAATTGAATTTCTCATCGAGAGTCATGGCTCCAATGAGCGCCCTGGCTCTGTCTGCCACCGATGCAGACGTATCACACACAGTATTGTTTGCAAGAGGTCCATGGACACAATCGGGGAACAAATCTGCCACCGCCGGCACGGCCAGCAGCGCGAGGAGACCAAGCACAGTGGCTGCCATGGTTTCAATACTCTTTGCGCTGGGAAGTTTGCAAGAGACGCCTTCACAGCGGATAAAAAGAAAACGGCCCTCACGGTCTCCATCCTGGGTTATAAGGGCCTTCAATTTCACCAACCTTGTACCTACTGTGCCCCTCCCATTCTCCGCAAGGTCTGTCAAGCAAGTCAATGTTGGGAATTAGCCATCATTGAGAATTCATCCTTTAGCAAGCCAGGTCTTGCAGCGACGATCATTCCAGTATGCAATTACCGGCAGGAAGTAACCGGGGGACGAAAGTCGTTGCCGATGCCTATGACTGCACAGACAAAGTATCTCTGTCAATCCTTCTGGTGCCGTTGCGTTTGATGAACCAGGGACAATGCACACCGCTAAGCCTTTGAGATGCAAAGGGTTGAAGGCCGGTGGCTGGTGTCCGGCATCACGGGCATGTCTCCTAGCTCCAGCATCGACGGGTATATCGTCACCAGGTTCTGCACCTCGGTGTTTTCCTTGGGCTGTTCTTCTCTCAGTCGCTTTCGAGCTGGATTGATTTTGGATAAAAGGGCAAAGGCAGACAAAACAGACGAGAGGGGAAGGGCACAGTTGCCTGTGCGTCAATCACCGGCCCTGGGCCACTCAGCTGCACCGACTCATCACAGCGGGCAATTAGGCTAAATGCCAGCTGTGACTGTGGAGGCGGAGGGCGAACATTCTGTGGAGAACTGGGGGCTTTCGACCTCTCGTGATCCTTGCCGCCTTTTGTGCAGCCAGGACGAGTGCCGTCTTCTCAAGGTTTGACCTCATCATTCCATGGAACATTCGACGGCCGAGAGGATGGTTTTATCCTGATATCGGTACGAGCGTCCCGCCAATGGCGACAGGCTGGATTCGTCTGCCCAGGCCACCGGACGAGAAAACGGGTGGTCTGACCATGAGCCTAGGTGCCATGTTCCGCTCCCCAATGGTGCCCAATGCCCTCTGTTCGTCGGGTCCAAGTTGCAGATGGCATTTGTCAGACAGATCCCGGAGCCTGGTGGCTGCGATGGCGTTTTTGAAACGGATGCTAGCTGCCGATCCCTAAAGGATATTCCTTGATCTGGCCTTGTTGGTGCTTAGCCCAGCCGTGCAATGCTTCGCTGGGCTTTCTCCCGATTGCATGTCCGCTAGCCAGGATATCTGTCCCCTCTCCAATGAAAACGCCATCAGTGCGCATGATCGAGGTGGATGTGACATGGTCCATGTGCGCCATGTTGTATTCTCCAGGATTTGAATTAGCCTGAAGACGGAAGACGGCACGCGGAGGTGATCAGCTGTCGATGAGATACAAGATCCCAAGAGACACCCATCTTGCGGTCCGTCTCCAGTCTCCAGTCTCCAGTTCCCAGTCACTAGTTGCTCCAAGATATCTGCTGCTGTTGTCGTTGTACAGTCGCAACCATGGTTCACACGGCGGGCAAGACCTCCCAATTCACCGATGCCGCTCTCCAGCAGCGTCTGCAGCTGTCCGGCAAGGCTGGCCCGCAGGCGCTGGTCAGGAACATCCGTGTCTTTCTGATCGCATGCTTTGCTTGCATTGGTGGTCTCCTTTACGGTTACAACCAAGGTGTTTTCAGCGGTGTCTTGTAAGTCTCACCACTGAACTCCTTTGAAATGAATGTGCACGCCTTTTTGGTCGCGAGGAGAGTCTCACGGCTGGACTCTTTCTTCGGTGGTAATGTCCGGTGCTGGGGGCAGATTGTTGACCGAATGCCAGGACCATGAATTCCTTCAATCGACACATGGGAGACTACACCACCGACCAGTCGAAGAAAGGCTGGCTCACCTCCATCCTTGAGTTGGGCGCCTGGACAGGCACTCTGTACTCCGGCTTCCTCGCCGAGATCATCTCCAGGAAATATGCCATCTTGGTCAACACCTGCATTTTCATCATCGGTGTTATAGTGCAATGCACAGCTGTCCAGGCTGGCCACTCAGCCATCCTTGGAGGCCGGTTTGTCGTCGGTATGGGTGTCGGCTCGCTATCCATGATCGTGCCCATGTACGTCGCCGAATGCTCGCCTCCTGAGCTTCGAGGTCTGCTCATTGGAGTCCAACAATTCGCTATCGAGTTTGGCATCATGGTCAGCTTCTGGATCGTAAGTGTACCTCTGTGACTCCAGTGGTGCTCCCACTGACCTCTTGCTAGGACTATGGCACCAACTACATCGGCGGCACAGGCGACAGTCAATCTGAGGCAGCCTGGCTCGTCCCTCTTGCCCTTCAACTCTTCCCTGCCCTTATCCTGCTCGTCGGAATGGTTTGGATGCCATTTACTCCTCGATGGTTGGTCCACCATGGACGCGAAGAGGAAGCCCGCCGGACATTGGCAACTTTGAGATCTCTGCCCGTGGATCATCAACTCATTGACTTGGAGTTCCTCGAGATCAAGGCCCAGTCCATGTTCGAGAAGCGGACTGTTGAGGCAAACTTCCCTCATCTGGCCGAAATGACAGCAACCAACACCATCAAGCTACAATTTGTTGCGATTGGCTCTCTGTTCAAGACAATGCCCATGTTCCGCCGAGTTATTGTCGCGACAGTGACCATGTTCTTCCAGCAATGGACCGGAATCAATGCCGTGCTTTACTATGCTCCTCAGGTGGGTGACATTGACTGCTGAAATTGATGTCTGGAAGACACTGACAGCGCCCTAGATCTTCGGCTCTCTTGGGCTGTCATCGAACACTACATCCCTTCTCGCGACAGGCGTGGTCGGTATTGCCATGTTGTTGGCAACCATTCCATCCATCCTTTACATTGACAGAATTGGAAGGAGACCTGCCCTGGCTCTTGGTGCCCTCGGAATGGGTCTTTGTCACTTCATCATCGCGGTCATTTTTGCGAAGAACCAACATCAATGGCCCACTCACCATGCTGCCGGCTGGGCTGCGATTGTCATGGTGTGGCTCTTCGTCATCCACTTCGGTTGGTCCTGGGGTCCATGGTAAGTCGAACCAGAATTTCTATTGTTTTTGTGGCACACAAATTGACATGTAACGCAGTGCTTGGATCGTCGTCGCTGAGGTCTGGCCTCTGTCTGCACGCCCATATGGTATCGCCCTTGGTGCTTCCTCGAACTGGATGAACAATTTCATTGTTGGTCAAGTCACTCCAGACATGATTACCGGCATCACATATGGAACTTTCATTATTTTTGGCATATTGATCACCATGGGAGCTGGCTTTATCTGGTTCTTTGGTAAGACGAATCCACAAGCTAGCCTTTCCAGACACGTTACTGACGCATCTGCCAGTTCCTGAAACCAAGCAGCTCAGTCTGGAGGAGATGGACCTCGTCTTCGGATCCAGCGGTGTGGCCACTGCCGACCAGGAGCGCATGGCCCAGATCAACGCTGAGATCGGTCTCAATCGTCGCCTTAGTGCACTCCAAGGAATCGATCACAGCAGTGACGAGAAGGTCTCCGAGGTCAGGGAGAAGACAGCTGAGACAAAGGTTGTGTGAGCACCTGCACCTGGGAACTGATAGTCACATCTGCTACTGAGAGAGTCGAGGGTCAGCAGACCATTGGTTGACAGACTTCATGATTTCCATAGACGAGTCTCGTAGGGTGACAAACGCAGTTGAAATTTATCCTTCCGACTTACTTCACAGTGGAGGGCCCAACGTAAAGAGATAAGTAGTTGTGTCTCCAACGTCGGTGAACTTCCGAGTTAACCAATCATCCGTGAGCAACCAGCAGCTTGTTTGGGTTTGTGATCGAAATCGCTCCAAAGGCTGGTTTTGTAGTCACATGGCGTCAAGATCTCGCGGTCGGTGCTGTAAAACTTGAATTCTGACCAGCTCTGGAATTTGCGTCGACGAAGGAAGCTTGATCTGTCTTCTATCGTTGCTGTACACACCTTGCATTCGTCTTAGAGCTTCGTGTTCTTCTTCCATAACTAGCTTTTCCGCAAACGCTGCCAACATGTCACTGTCACAAATCCCTTCCCGTCTTTTGATAGTCTTCAGCAAACATAAAGACCTCTGGCGAATATCTGGGTCCCGGGATCTCGTTGCTGCCATATAGAGATGCGAGACGATTCCGAGGTTCATGGAAATGACAGGCTCCGTATGATGATCTGGAGTTGAGGGAGAAGCGTCGTGAGTGCCATCTTTCCAAGTGGTTTCCAGATGTTTAGATGATCTTTTCGGTCTGGAATCTTGTAGCATCCTTTGCACTATCTCCTCTGCAACGAGGACCAACTCCTGAAATTTGTCTGTAAGTAGATCGAAGATCATCTCATTGCGTTCAAGGCATGAGCTTAGAATGATATCAAGAGCAACGCTCGAAGCTTTGAGAATCAATGCCGCAAGGTCGTGGCTGCGTTTTCTCTGCAACAAGCGTCGAAAAGCTATTTCCCACTCGTTAAAGTGCTGTCGAAGCACTTGATGCCTTCCATCGAGGTCCTTAGGATATGGGCGAGGCGTACCACAATTCCTTCTCGTAGCCTGGACATCGCGCGCAAAGTGCAATACCTGGTAGCGACACATTTCGAAGGATGACCGAGCTTCATCCGCATCACTGAAAGTGGCGGGGACAGGATCGACTGAGGTTATCGCAAAGGCAGGAGGCGCTTGGAACCCGTCCTTCCCAAATTCCATGACCTGAGTGTCTAGCCTCAGGTACATCTGGACTAGCAGATGTCTCGGCAGGTAGTGTTCTGGGGTGTCTTCAGAGCGACGAGCCAGTTCCGCTAGGATCCTCATGCCAGAGTATATGTGACTCAGTGAAGAGGCAAAGTGTTTTCGAAGAATCTCAATGCAGGCAAAGAGGACTGACACAGTCAACGCAACGTCAACCGCTCGAGGTGATCTGCTTGTATCGAGCTTAACCACATGGTGCATGGCTCTGCCGTAGTGCTGCATGGCAAATGCAAGCAGAGAGGGATCTGTGGATGGCGCAGGACACAGGAAAAGTTCGTGTAGGCCGCCGATGGATATCACCGCGTGCTTGATAGCATCCTCATGATGCGCCGTGGTCAGTATGAACCGAGACCACAGCTCGGGACGAAAATATCCAGCTAACTCGCCAGCTGTTCGATTCCGAAAGAAGTTGAAAGACCGCTTCTCTCTCCAATCCATGTCTGGAAGAGAAGTCATCATGTAGAGAGGGTCTGGCACATAGACAACGAAGGCCTGGCCCTTTCTATTCGGCTTTGTGCTCTTGACTGGATCGACATAGCCCTTGCATTCTCTTTTGCTTCGTATACATCTCTGGCAGCTGGGCCTCTGCTCGTCGCATTTTATATGACGGGCCCTTTTCGACGTTAACTTTCGTCCTCGATGTAGAGAGCTAGATGTATTGACATACTTGCATGTAACACAACCGCTGCGAACTTTGCTGCCTCCAATTCGAGCCAGTTTTGGGGGAGCCATGGAAAACACTGATTCGACACCCCTGACGACGCCGAGGCTTGAGCGCGAGGCTGACTGGATGTAAGGGCGGACGAGTACGTGGTGGTTGCGCGCCAAATATGAGGATAGAAAGCCCCCTGCTGTGACTTCCGCCGGAACAACGAAGTCTTTCTTATACTGTCAGATGATAGCAACCTGCATCGTCCCTCGAGGCTCGATTCCTTCCAGGGCATGCGGTGTGCCCTAGGCCGCATGTCCTCTGGCTGTATACCAGCCATCCTCAGCCTCACCATCACGGCGTGTCGACCGACGTTCCACGTGTTGTCGATGTAGATCAACTGTCCACACTATGGGCAGAGGGCGGAATTGATCGAGGAGGGTGTGTAATAGGCGGTTTCCCAGTATTAACTCGATTCGGTTGGTCTCTTACGAGTCAACCTTCAGGTTTGGACGGTGGAGTCGGCGCTCGCAAATGGACAGCACGCCCAAGGCTTGACAAAGGCTATCGCGCTGTTAGCAGATATCCCAGAAAGGGAATATTTGGTCGAGGTCTCACACATGTTCCACTCAACATACGCGTCCCGCTTCAAAAGTCGCTTCTCCCGTCTCCACGGTGCCGCCATTGAGACCACGGGGCGAGTCGTTTCGAGTCATGTCTTGCTCTGAGGTGCCTTTAGCGAGCGCGATGCAGCAATAGGGCCGGAAGTGCGTTTTTCTGAGGGGCCGGATGGCGGGTTCCTTGTACAGAGATGGTCCTGTAGCAGGTGGTTGAAAGATAAAGCGAGTCTCTCGAAGCGAAACCCCAAAATCGGGCGGATGTGGGGGACGAATTTTGGCTGTGAAAGGCCAAAAGCTGATGATGGCAACCAGCGCTTTATTTTAGAATCAGCGGGACTCGTGTTTCTGCATCGTATTTTGCGTTTGCCCATGATTCTTATGGAGCTCGCTCTCTGCTAACTTTCTTGGAGCGTCCTGCGACTCGATTGCTTAGACCCTCCCTGTACGAAGAGGGTGGAAGTGTTCAGGGGTCTGTTATCAGGCACAAAGGGGGTTGCCATATTCTTCTTATCCAACTTACACCACCTTTGAAGTGGATGCCCATCAACTATACTGCTGTCAGCAAGCAAGCAAGACACGGCCGTAAGCTGGGGAGGTCCCTCGAACAGAAAAATGTCAAAACCTTGAAGGTTCCATTCAACTGAAATATATCGTTTTGACTCTCGAGGCGACGTCTCTCAGCGCAACGACTGTGATAGCAACGTTGTCGACGATGGGGCCGATGCTCTTCCCAGCGTTGCGGATGTTTCAGCCCGTGCTATAATCAGGTTTGAGGGAGGAGAAAGGTTCACCTCCGTACATAAATGATCTCGTGCTAATATCTCTCAGTCTCAAGCTCGAAGATTATCGCTATCAACAAGTCACCTCCTTCGAGAACCCTTATCATAAGAAGTCTTCGAGGGCTGTGTCCCGACTGGCAAAACTTGGGATCACCCATTCGTCAGTCGAATTGAGAGATTATGAGTGATATGGTGCCAGACCGGCGCTTGTTCATGGCAAAGTAAGATATTGTTGCTCATGGATTGAGCGTGGCCTTCATGGACAGTGGGTTTTCGTCTGCCTCTATAAATAGCGACATCTGCCCTTCACCTACACTGCTCCAAAGGTTTTGCCAAAGCAGCCACATCGTTGATCGAGGCCTCTTTGACTCCGCTGGCTGGGTCGTGGATTCTGTATCAGACTATTCGGCTCTTCCTGACGGTTGGCTCGGCCTGTCACTTCTTTCACTGGATACAAAATGTGGCTTCAGGAATGACATATGGGGAATGGCGAGAAGAATGAACAAATGAATGATCAGGACAGATGAAATAGGTAACTCGCCCCCTCGATCCCATAGCAGAGCACTTTGACAAGGTCGCCGAGCCACTTGATTGCGGCCGCCGACCCATTCCTGACTCGCAAAGAAGCCCAAGAATGTGTCTCGCTTCGCACGTGCCCGTGTCCGGGTCGACGGAGAGGAACACAGACCATCGAGCGCTCCCAGAGGAGGGTTCCAAAGCATTACCGACACTCGGTTGTTCCCTTGGCGTGGTCGAACGAAGAAAGACTTGGATGGCCCAGAGTCCAGGGTTCCTGGTCTCCATGCACGGTGCACCGACTCGATCTGGCCAACCTGCGCAGACCTCGACCTTTCGAGGCCGATCCAGGCGCATGGGACTACCATTTTCAGCGACATAGAGACACACCAGGGGTCTTCCATCTGATGCCCCCGCCGTGAAAGACACACAACACTCTGAGATGTACAGAGCTCGGACCGTGTGGGCACTATCGTCTGCGTGAGTGTGCAAGGACGACAACCGGATTCCATTTTCCACTTGCCGTCGAGGCAACGATCCGGAGATGTCATGCTGAAAAGAGGAGTCACGGAGATCGAGGGAGGATACAGCCTCCTAAGCACGCACCAAGGCCGACTCTGCAGTGCGGATCCTACCTCCAAACTCTTGACTAGGCGACGTTGGCTGAGCGAAACCGATAGTAAATGACGCGGAGTGAAAGGTCGAACTGTACAAATTGTGAGCCATTATTCACAGCGATGGAGGTAAAGGGAGTGGAGTCTTGACCTCAGAGTAAGAGCGAAGACTATGAACATAGAGCCGCAGGTCGCAGTGGCCATGCAAGTTCGTGTCTTCCAGAATGGAAAATAGCATAGAGCGGTATAGGATCTCATTTTACAAAGAAGGGGGATGGGAGGGGATGGGACTGGAACGACAAGAGCAGTCATATGGTGAAGTTGGTATGGATGGGAAATTGAAATGGGACAGAAAAAGATCGAGCGCCTCCTCTGATGCAAACTCCTTATAGACTTGTTGGAAAGATGGAGATGCTAACGTTGAGTGCATCCATCATGGCGATATGCGGCGTTCGAAGCTTCAAGAATCACGAGCAGGAATCAAGTCACTAAATCGCTGAATGCAAAGCCAGAGATGGTCGAGATAGAGACAAAAGTAGAAGATAGTGCAATTGATCCATTCTGCACTCGAAATATGCCAACGCCATGGCTGAAGGGCAACCTCTGCCTCGACCAGATGTAGCATCATGCCGCCAACGTCCTGTCCATTCACCTTTTTGCTGTCTGAAAAGGCTATGACAATGCTGAGTGACTGAATCACCCAGATTTATCCGGTCCAATTACCTGCACAATTCCTACCAGCATCGGTAGGATAAACGAGTGAACTCCAAAGCCTTGCGCCAATGAACGCCGTAGAGCCTAGCCAGTAGAAGTTGTTGTACAAGAATGGCGAAGGCACCTGCTGCTAATGATCAAGAGGGATGTGGAGATTTGTTCCTGCTCCCCTGCTGCTGCTGTTGATAATGATGATGGTGGTGATGGTGACGATAATCAATTCTACTCTTCTTGCGTCTGGAACTTGACCAGCTTGGTAAAATGGGCGTGGGTATCATAAAAGGACATGTGGAGTGACTGACAAAACCAGAACCCGTCCACCCACAAGTCTCTCCGCATCTCTTGCATGTACTGAGAAGGTTGAGACCGAGTGATTCTTCCGTTTCTTTTTCTTTCATCCGATTGCCATGCTTGCGATGGAAAAGATCAGACATGCTTCGTTGGCCAACAAGGTCAAGGGAAAAAAAAAACAGATATGGGTGTCGTAACGGTCGTTGTTCATCGTTTGCCCTTCTTCTTGCTGCTGGTGCTTGCACTTCGGCCGAGATTGTCTCTCGACATGGTTCTCGTCAAGCCACCAATGTAATCTTGCAGGAAGCGGTTCTCAGTCTCGAGCTTGTCGTGGTCGTTCTTGACCTCATCGATCTTTTCGGCCAGAGCGGCGAGCGAAGATTGCAGGTTTCGCGCTTGCCTGTAATCTTAGTTAGTACGTGAAACACGATATGAGAGCTTTGTGTCCTACTCTTTCAGAGTTTCGCGGAGCCCACGCTCTATGCGCTCAATGTCCTCACTGTTGCGTCGTGGACTCATTGCTCTGGCGTCGTCCGGGGGGTACTGGGGCCTCTCTCGCTGCACGACGTCTCGACCTTTTGGTACAATGATGGTGTTGGATCTCTGTCTGTCTCCCAGTCGAGGTCTTTCCATCCGCGTCCTTCGCGAGACTGGCCGAGGTGAGGTGGATTGCGGGAAGTCCGACTCGGAGGAAGATGAGGAACCACTCGATATCGGAGGAGATACAGATGGGCGGTGTGCTATATCTGATGGTTCGTGCCCAGTCATAGAGACTGGGTAAGGGAACGGTGCCGTAGCCTTGGACGATGATGATGGGGAACCTTGCATCTGGCGGCGGCCAGTCTTGAAGTATGTGTTGCCGAGTTGCTACTCGTCCCGCTTCTTGTTTTCCCAATCTTGCTTGACCGACGTTCTGGAGTTGCCGAATGACGCATTGGCCTTGTGTGCAATTCAAGACGAGCGCACTGACCTAGGTCCAGCGCCTGTCCTAAGGTGTTTTGAGCATCCAAAGCAGTAGCACCCGCCCAGGTGGTATGAACCAGAGATGCAGTGGTATGGCTGGAAGGGGAAGGCTGTGTAGACGAGTTTGGGGCAGCAGACACACACCCCGAGGCTGCACGGGTGGGTTGACGAAGTATTTGGGCCCTTGGGAGGGAGGGAGGGCACGGGTTGCCGCAGAGGGACGGACGATGGCAGGGTTACCGGGTCGCAACCAGGGTCAGCGAAGTGAGCGAAGCGGAAGGTAGACTGGAGAGGACGATGATTGTCGTGAATGGTTGGAGGGTGGATAAGGTGATCGTCAAAGGGCAAAGTTAACTGCTGGGGAGGAGAATGGGCTCCCTGTTGCCCAAGAGCGGAACCTGAAAAGTCAAACGTGAAGGGCCTGAGCGGCGGGTTTGAGTGTCGTGGGCGAGCTGGGTACAGAGCTGCGGTCAGTCCTCAGCCAGACAGGAATCTGCTCCTACGAGCAACGCGGCTGAGTGGTGAGGAGCTTGTGGTTTTGTGGATCTGGGCAAGTTGTCCCACGGATCGCTGGGCAAGTTACGTCGTTGACTCGAGCCTTTGGTGGACCAGGGCGGGCTGATCAACAACAGCGTTGCCTCCTGGGAGTCAGAGATTGCTAGCCTTCGAGTGGGCTGGTTGGGATTGGATGAGACGCTGGCTGCTTGGATTTCTTTTTGTTCGGGGGGAGGGTTTCACGAAAGAGGGCGAGGATCAGAATCGCTGCGTGTTTCAGTCGCTACTCCTTAGTGGCAGGAGTGTCCTTTTTCTATATCAAGAACCCATCGCTGCTGAGGGTTTGGGGGAGGGGGTATGTTACGGCATGCGTCGAGATGGGAGCAAGCGATGGCGGCCACGAGGTGGTGGCGAGCAGAGCGTCCCGATTGAAGGCAAATAATGATGGATGGACGATGGCAACCCTTTGGCGCGTGGGAAATGAAATGGCGCAAGGCTGTTTGTCCAAAGAAACCAACCGTGGTGAAAAGAAGGCAGCGGGCAATGGGTAGGGGTCACAGGCACCACCACTCAGATGATGCCCCAAAGCCGGGATTCATTCCAGGTAAAGAAGAGAGACCCTTGGGGGCAGCAGCCACGAAAATTGACGACGGATAGCCGGGAATCGCACCGCCTAAGGCAAGCGAAAAGATGGAGAGTGGCCAAGAGGAATGGGACGGAAGGCGGGCCCAGGCAGCCGCTTGTGTAAGGGGGAGCCTCTTAAATGAATGTCAAGGTGGTTAAGGACGAGCCGCTATGCCCCCTGGGGTTTAACTGGGCCACTTAGCTGCTGCGGCGGCGTGCAAAATGTCCTGCGGCTTGACGTCGTTGATCACTCAGTCTCACCTTTCGATCGACATCATATCTCCCAACCGAAGTCGCCATCGGTCGACAATCATGCCGATGCCCAAGTTTCACTTACTCCATTGCAACTCCCAAGCAGGCCATCAGGCTTATCGCAGTCAACTCTGTCACGGAACCTTCGACAGGCGGCAGATGAGGAGCGCACCCAGTCAATCCAAAGAGCCTCTTGGGCATTGACTTGATGGCTATCCCCAACCCTGGCCTTCCCGACCAATCCTCAATCTCGAGTTGACCTCCCAAGAATCTTCCTCTTCCACCTCCTCACCGTGTGCTGAATCCCAGACTTCCGGCGACTCACCGAGTGGGTCGGAGTTGCGGAATGGTAGCATATCAACACATACGAGAAAGATCGACGTTCTTAGTCCGCTCGCCGGTTGAATAACCGCTGGAGATTCGGATATTTTCAAGCCCCAGCTACGCTGACCTGGCCTGAACACGACCTATAGCGTCGCCTGAAGAATGGACTACAAGCACACTATAACAAATGTAGAGACGCGATTCTAATTACCCGAAGGACTTACGTGGTGTCAGTCCGCCAATGATCTTCTGCGAGTGCTCATACTGTCCTTAAGAGAAAGGGAGAATGGGCGCGTTGGATGGCTTGGACAAGGACAGCGACATCGTTACAAGGGAGAAACGAGCGCTAACGACCCGGATATCTTTCGCGCCCCGTAATCCCTCGACGCACGATAGCCCTTGTCTCGCTGGGTGTGCCGTTCTGTCAACACGAGCTTCCTCTGACGCAGGGTCTGCTTGACTCTGGGGCATCGAGTCCCTGCATCGACCAGATATATGAAAGGGTTCTTCCTCGGCGCCTCAAGAGCTTGTCACAGAATGACGGTCGGTCGCAACGCCATAGCCGACCACAATTGAAAAACAGTAGGAATTGATGGCATCACATGGACCTGTTTGCTGAGGTTGTCTGAGGCAGCGAGGATCCAGACATTGTTCGTCATAACGAATTCTTGTGGGGGCAAACGCCAACAAGCCTGACGGAGCACAACGACGTCATCCATCACGGGGGCGGATTGCTTTTTCGGTCAAAGGATCACCCTCTAACAATCCGCGATGTTTCACCAGGGTCACCGAGCCTCACTTCTGATTGATCCTCCGTATGAGAACAGACCACATCTCATGAGTTTAAGTGGGAAGATCTTCACCTTCAGGAATTGAGGATGCTCCCGCGCGGCAGCATCTGGTGGCTTCCACCATCTCCAACGGTATCATGCAACGGCAAGGGGCTCCTGTACGGAGATGGCGAACACGCAACACGATCCCTGACATGCACTCTACACAGTACTCTCAATGGATTTTGGATGGCCTCCCGATTTTGGTGATGCCCCGGCGGTCCTGTAAATCGTCAGCTTTTGCAATTTGCGGGTTTGGCCGGGAAGATGAAGATCATCTACCAAGCTACAGGTGACCCTGATTTGTTCCGGAAGACTTCCATCCACATCCAACGTCCTGTTGGTAGTTGCTGGCATGTTGGTCTTGTCACTCTGAAAAGCTAGACCGGCCCCTGCCCAAACCTTCAGGATGTTATCTCTGGTGTTTGATGTCCGGTACCCCACAAAATTGGAATGCGGTATGGAGCAGAAGCCGTGCTAAGCCTGCGAAGATATCCTGTTTGACATAAACTAGACCAGGTCAGACCTGATCTCCTGTGCCCAAGCAGAGGCATTTGCTTTGAGCCCAAAATGGTGGTCAGCGTGTCAGTCTCAGTTTCAAAGTGATGCGTGAAGACTCTATGTACCACCCGTCCGCTGGAGGTTGGCTGTCCGTGTGTCGAACTCTGTAGGCTGTCTGTGGGCTGTCCACTCCGCTATTGCTGTGTCATAAATTATAACATCTTGCACCAACAGATGACGACCTACAGTCATGTCCACTGCGAGATGTCGAGGCGTCGGCATATCGACGTAATGTCTCAGTCTCGCGAAGAGCAGAATTCGCCAATGGTACTGTATCACCAAGAGCATGGAGTTGGCACTGCCACTATGACGGCTTCTTCGTTTGCTCCACATCTGCCGGATGTTCTCGAGCTCATTGTCAGGTGGACGGGGAAATGTCGAATGAGGTACTGTTCAACCTTTGATTGGTATAGCACCTGCTAGCAAGAAGAAGCGGTCAGTGTGCACGAATAACGTCCAGGTCCAACTCACCTATAGAAAACCAAGGTCAACTGCTCCCTTCTGTCGTGGCCTCATGGTCTGTCGCTCACAATCCAAATCGCGCGATCGTTCATCTCGGACTGGCCCAAAGGGCTCTTGTTCACCTCTTTTGAAGGCGACCGCAAGATCCTGTGTGAATATCTCCCCGCAGATTTGACCCTTTCTATCCAAGCAATTTGCCACAGTCGCTGTACCTTTGAGGTCTCAAATCTTGGGTGATGGAAGACTTCGCCAGGAACGCCACCACTATCTCCAGGGTCTTGGTACTTATGGTCGCTGAAGCGTGTGTGCCCAAAAGGCTCTCTTGATATCGAGAAGGTCAGTAGGTGGAAAATAGGTCATGACCTTGTTCGTAAGTGTTTTCACGGCTGTTGAGCAGAGCCGACGGTCCTTTGGTTCTCTCGCTTCACTTCAAGGCCTATATTGATATCCAGAAATGCATCTGCCCATGCTTCGTGCTCGCTAGGTCAAAGCGTGTGCCATGTCTTAGTATCCCATGGTAAGGTTGGAGACGGCATGGACTGCAGAGGAGCAGGTTACAATTGATGGCTGCTGGTTCAAAATGAACAGTCCTGATGGTAGGTGGTGAGGATGCGGGAACTGAGCAGAGCCAGTAATATCGCACTGTGATTGAGCTCTACGCTATCCTGGACCTCGCCTAGAGTGAGACCTGCATTCCCTTGATGCATGAGCAGTCTCGAATCTCTGGATAGTCTTCTCCAGAAATGCCCATTCCAGAGCGTTCAGAAGTGTTGCAGCAGGTGGCATGATCGGTAGAGTTTCCGGGCTGTTTGTTCTGGTTTAAGCGAGTCTCATGTGTCGGTATTTGAGCGGAGGCCGACGAAGACAAAGTCCCGTCGTCTGACAAGATGCAATTCTGTCGCGCAATTATGAGAGACTCTCGCAATGAGATTGGCTCTGGGACGGTCTGACATGGTGCTGACCGCAGAATGCGCCGGTCAGACGAAATCTCACCTCGTCGTGGCAGAAGCCGGAGCAAAGACCGACAATTCGCACCCCCTCCCTCGGCGTCTTTTACCGTCTTCAATCCCAACGTCAGGCCAAAGACCTTCCTCAATCCATCAAATTGGAAAGCGTGCGCCGAGCCAAGGAAAACGAGAAGGAAGAGAAAAGAGACAGTAGAAAAAGAGAAGTTGAGCTGAACATTCTCCTTTCCTTCCCCTTCCACGCAGCCATCAACCCCGGTAAAGCCTGCAAGAAATGGGATCTCTCGACTCGTCGTCGCTCATAACGGGCATCGCCCACGTCAATCTTACTGTTCCGGTCGGCACACTCGACCAAGCTAACGAGTTCTATGGGACAACTATGGGCCTCACGCCTCGTGCGGTCCCGCACTTACAAAAAGGCACCTTAGCATGGTTCGACATTGGATCCTGGGGACAGCAGGTGCACATCGCTTTTGGGGCTCCCTCGGATTTTGAGAAGCAGTCATCGAGACATCCCTGCTTTAAGTTGGCCTCTCCCCAGGCGCTCTTGCAGTTGAGGCAGAGGATCTGGGAGCATTTCGTGAGAGGAGGCCAGGCGGCACCGACCGAGGCGGATAAGCCCGGAGAGGCCAATTCTGGTGAGTCTTTCTCGCCCTACCCTTGAGATTCTTTCTCCCTGGCGTCAGCTCGGCGACGCTTCAAGCCCTTGTGCAGGGAAAGCTGTGGACTAATACCGCGGGGCCGTACAAAGGAGCCCAAGGCGTGGAATATCCGCAACGATTCTTCGCGAGAGACTACGCCGGGAACAGGCTGGAGTTCAGTGTGTAGGCCGTTTGCATCCACCATTGCAGGGACGGCCATACAAGCAGGGCTCGTTGTGGCGGATCGAAGCAAACCAACAACGACCCTTCAGCGACAAAAACTCGACAGAGTACCGAGGGCTGTGAACCATTTGTTGGTGGGATTGACGACGGCAGGCCTGGACCAGGAGACTGGGATGTTGTGACAATGTCTTCTTGTGCTGTTTCTCTTGGCCTTGGAGATATGATGTTGGAGATATGATCGTGACGACTGTTGTATGTAGGTTCAGCATCAGAAGCAGGGGGATTCCGTGGGCGCTGGTCGCATATACCGAACCGCATTTCTCCCACACTCTCTTTACAATCAGTGTTTTATCATCTCAACGTCAATTGGGACTTGCCCTTTGGATTAGGCAATCTTGGTCGATGCGATGTACATGGTTTGGGCTGCTCAACTGGCCGATTTGTTCGTTCCCGTCCTCTGGCTATTGATCGCCCATGATGTCCCCTATCGACCCCAGGATTGATCTTTTCTCGCGAAGCATATGCACGCGTTAAAATGCAAAAACCTGCCCGTGAACCTGCAGAACGCGGATCGAATATCTTTTCTCCCGCACCCATCTCAGCCATCTCACCAAGACATTTGTCGTTCCAGCAGAATCCAGCACCGGGCGGGCACCCCTTTGATCTTTTATGTTTCGCCGCCCACGCCCATCACGGCAGGGACGAAAGCCAGGTACCCGCCGAGCCGGGTGACAAAAAAAGTGGCACAGCGAAAGACTAAGACTGAATGACCCTTTCTTTCTCCTCCCTCCATCCAAACTATAAGGTGGTAACTATATAATCTACTCACTAGAAATAGAGTAGCTTATGGGCTATCTAGAGATATTAATATTATCCATTATTTCTTAGAAAAAAGTACGTTAAAAGTACTTTGCAAATAATAGAGGTAGGAAAGTAGTTTTGTCTGACGGCTAGAGTGTGCCACTTATTTTGTCACCCGGCTCGCCGCATTTTTCCTGTGAAGCCCAAGAAAGAGATCTCCCGGCCCCGGAAAAAAAAAACAAGGTTCGTTTAATAACTGAAGATCCCCCGCCTATCACCTGTCGGTGGTTTCCCCGGTAGCTGGGTAGAAGGTCAGGTGTGTTGGACTGGCAAGCGAGGTGTGTGTGGTGCCACGGGGTGCTACGAGTATGTATCGCGAAAAGACGCGCGACTTGGACTATTGAGAAAGAAAGCCTTGAGCACGGGAGGGATATGTAAACAACACGCGCTCCTTGCGTGCGGGTGGAACTGGCTTTTTTGATTTCTGTCCATTGAACGAGAATTCAAGCTCCTCTTCTTTTTGGGAGTGTATGCCTCGTAATCATGTGGTGGGAGTCGGTCCTCCCCTACTAACCTCAGGGAAGGATATTCTTGTCAGCGTCCCTGTCGTTGGAAGGAAATGGACGTTGTTGCACAGCGCTCGTTGGTTCTTCGCCTGCTTGCTAGCACGCAGGCATAAGCCCAGATAACTGTCTGTCTGTCTCTCGTTCCATCTCGCCCCCCTGATGAAAAGCAATCCCCCTAGCCAGACTCGGCTCTCGATGTGAAGAACTCATTACACCCCCCCACCCCCCTATCGCAGCCCAGTGAACACGGACTCGTCGCCTGCATCTCTCTTGAACCACCTTCACGCCCTCCACTCCCTCGTCGTGGGCACGCTCGTAAGTATTGTCGCCGCAGCCGATGTCGCCGCCGTGGTGGTCAGGAACGACGGGTCCGGCCCGCTGCCGACGCCGGGCCACTTGCGGTGCCACAGGTCGCAGTTGGGGTCGAGCCAGTTGCCGGAGCAGTTGGCGACCTGGACGCTGTACATGGTGCAGCCCGTCATCCAGAAGTTGACGCCCCCAAAGTAGTGGCTGTTCCACTGGCACTTGTCGATGACGCGCCGCAGCCCCGCGTGGCACTGGTCCTGCTGCACGTCCTGGTCGCACTCCGCCTGCGTGCCCGACATGTACGTCAAGTTGTCGATGACGGTGGGTTTCCAGCGCACCAGCCGCAGGGCCATGATGATCCCCGACAGTTCCGTGAGCGTGTAGTTTGGTGTCGTTGTCGCGAGGGCGTCGGTGAGGTTCGCGTTGTTGGACGCCAAGAGCGGGCCTCTTTTTGCCATGTCGGCATCGGTATCGGTGGTGGTGTCGTTCGTAGTGAGCGCGATGAGGTCGGTTGGGTATTCGTTCAAGTCGAATTCTTGACCTGTGATAGTCTCTGAGTTAAGGACGGGCTGATGAATGAGAGACAAAGACACCATTTGGTGAATTCGTGGAGCGCAACAAGGTATGGGAGCCTCTCAACACCAGGAAAAAGGTGATGTGAGAGACAGCAATACCAAAGTAAGAAATAATCGAGGTATAGCGGACAACAGATGACAGGAATCGGAATCACTATACCTTGGGCAGGAAGATTCCCTGGCTTGTATGCTTGATCACAGAACAAGTCCGCCAACCGAGTTGCCGTGGGCGGGTCGATGTACCAATCGCCGCCTCCTGTGGCGCAGACCGCAAAGGGGGTGTATACCTCCGTCGTCGTGGATGGAGTCGGGGGCGTATCCAGTGGATTCGTAGGTGACGATGGGGCTGGCGAGACGGGCACCGGCGAGGTAGACGCAGAGGTCAGGGTCGTGGAGACTGCCATCTGGGCCTGGACAGGGGAAGCGACCACGAAGAAGAGGACGAGAAGGATGAGCGGTGGAACGCGGTACATGGCCATGGTGAGGGTTGAATAGCGATCGCAAGGTCAGAGTGAAGCAGGATTGAGGGAGCAAGTGAGAAGTCTGAGAAGAAGTTAACACGGATTGGGTGTGATGTGCCTTGAGATGGGTCTCGCAAGTCAATAGCGATGAGTTCGAAGAAGACAAGAGAAGAACAGACTCAGAGGAGAAGGTGAACGAGGAACAATCAACGAGTCCTTGAGTCCTTTTGGGTCGGCGCGTTCACTCTCAGCCAAGGCAACAAAAGGCTTTTGCGAAAAGAAAAACCCCCCCGAAGATGAAGGGTGGCTGAGATGGAACGGGCGCCCTTACCAGGGTACAATGCATCCAACGAAGTAATTGTCAATGGCGAGTTCCTTTTCCCTCTTCATGTTGGAGAAACACAGTGTCGTGAGACATGGACTCGATGGTGACACAGTATAGGACGCCGGTACCCAATGCAGAAGGAAGCAAACAATCACTGAACGTCGAGAAGGAGGAGAAACAGATGGGGAACCTCCGCCATGAAACATCCCGAGATAAGTTCGATGATGCATCTGGTCATCTTCGCCGTCAATGGTAATGCTAACGGGTTCGAGCCTGAGCCTCGTTCCAGATGTGGCATCTGGAGAAAGCGATGTCCAGGTGAATAACAGCTTCCGTCCCCCGAGTCTCTCATGGCTGTGATTGTTCGACAGTCTCGTATGCGAGAAGCAAACAATTGCCGTAACTGGTTGCACAAGCATCCAGCATCATGCACCAGTGTACAGCCGACCCTCAGCATTCCTGTTTTATCTCCTCTCAGAGTTTAGAAGGGATATGAGCCTCCCGCGTCTGGCTCAGCAGCCACTCGACGCCCTTCATCAGATTTTGAATCCATTTCCTGTTGATTGACAGTTGCGGGTACATGGACCACCATAGATGCGGCACGCCAGGATATATTTCCACCTTGACTTGACCGCCGGCCTCTTTGATTTTGTTGCAGTAGAAGAGTGCGCTGTCCCGCCAGATGTCCATCTCGGCGACCTGATAGAACACCGGGCCCAGTCCGGAGTAGTCTGTCCGGGTCAAGGGAGTCACATAGGGATCATGTGCGTCGAAATTGGATATTTCTGGTGGACCTTGAAGTGAGCTTTGGCTTCTAGTTAATATAGCAAGTGTGGACGTTGCTTACTGCCATAGAGGTCGTTCATCTCCCGAGTCGCGACTGGCCCGTTCTTGTACCTTTCCCAACTCCCATGCAACAACTGTTCTGGGAAGAGGACCACCTTGGTCCCTTTTCTGTCCGTGTAGTCGTGGGGGAAGCCGGTACAGATGAAGAGATGTCCTGTGAGAGGGGGATCTAACTTGTCGTCTCTTGCCATGATGGTAGCCATGCACGTCAAATTCCCACCGCCTGACGCGCCGCCAGTGAGAAAGCCTCTGGACAGATCTCCGCCGATCGTTTTCGCATTGACTGATAGCTACCACGGTTCAGCCCATGCGCGAACAGACATGGGGTCAACGTACCCATTTGATGACGTCGTACACATCATAGACGCCAGTGGGATATGACCATTCAGGGGCGAGGCGGTATGCGACACTGACGATGATGATCCCCAGCCTCATGGACAGGAGCCGACAGAGGAACTCCTCGGTGTCGAGTCCACCCATGCACCAGCCTCCGCTGTGCGCATACACCATGACAGGCCGGGGCCCGGGATGTGATTTGGGGCGATAGATCCGAATAGTGACCGAATGCCCGTCGCGGGCGACGACCGACCTGTCTTCTTCTGTCCAGAGGACTTGATCGCCCAAGGTCTGTCGGACGAAAGCGCTCTTCATGAACCGGACGTTGCCTTGGGCGAGGATACGACGCGTTTGAGGCATCTTGTCAATCCGGGGAAGGAAGAATTTCGGCATCCCCTTCTCCCTCCATATCTACCCCAACAACCGCATTAGACAGACATCGCCATGTAGCTGTTTGCGCGGATATACGCACCGCAGCGAGTTCAGGATCTGTCTCCGGAAATGTGGTGTTGCCGTTGTCGGCCATCGCTGTCGGATCCCTGTTCGGTCTTGAGAAGGGGAGAAATATCTGTTGACAGCAGTGTTCCTCAATGGGACTATATATTCAGCTGAGATGGAACGGTGATGGATCTACCGCATGTATAAGCTGACCAGTGGGCGCAACGCCTTACTGGTAAGAACCAAAGAACAGGTACCAGGGCCTCCTTGTAGAGCAATATCGCTGGCGCAGCTTGCGACAATCTTGGGCAAGATATAAGACGACGTGGCCTATAAGCGGCCGCCAGCCCCGAATCCGTAGTTGAATCTGCCATTCTAGGTACCTGAACCTGAGAAAAGCGAGCATAGCAACCAGTAAGACGTCGCTTTGCCCACTCTGGGGCTCATCTTAAAGCCGGTGAGACAGTAATATGGTGGATGGAGACGCCTTACCCCCGAGTCTGAGACCTACCGAGGACGCCATCATAATAAGGGCGCTGCCAACACCGTTGACTCTGGAATACAGTACATGATGTACTGTACTGGCAAAGATACATATTATATTCACACTACAGCTAGCTATCACAAATGCAAGCTAGAGTGTGTTGTCTATCTAGCCACCGATGCAGAATCGGGCCCAGGCCAGGCGATCAAGACTCGGTGCACCGAGGCACCTGCGTGGCTTCAACGGCGCCCAATCGGCCTGATCAACAAATCCTCCATTTTCCGCCACCCCCAGCGACGCTCGCCCAGCTCCTTGCACTCTCATCGTCCCATCCAACGCGGAAACTCAGCTCCAGCCTCCAGATGCTCGAGCCTCGGCTGTTTCGACGGCGTTGCGCCCAATCCGTCCTGTGCCTGAATCCACCGGAAGTGCGCACCCTTCTAATCAACGGATTTGGATGACAGCATCTCGTCAATAGTTCGGCTAATTCTAGATTTCTGCTCTGTATAACAACATCTCCCTCGACCAGTTCCCCGGACAGAGACTGCAATGAGAATTATACCCCGGATTTCGACATTTTGAACGAGTGATTGGGTTGCTGGGTGACGCCTGAGCACAGACAAGAGACAGACACAACACAAGACAGACCAACAGACAAGATGGGCAGTGCTGAACAAGATGTCGAGCTCCAAGACTTCGGGAGCATCTTCAGTCTCGAGGGCAAGGTCGCTGTCGTGAGCGGCGGTTCACGAGGACTGGGCCTGAACGTCGCCTCTGGGTAAGCTACACAAATCCAGCCCTGATTGATTTCAAGTGCACTGATTCCCTGTGTCGATAGATTCATGCAAGCTGGCTGCTCCAAGGTCTACATCACCTCCCGCAAGGCCAAAGCATGTGAAGAAGCCGTCGCGGCCCTCAACGCCCTCCCCAACAAACGACCCGGCGCCGTCGCCATCTCCGTCCCCGCCGACTCGTCCAAAATCTCAGAGATTGAACGTTTGGCCGCCGAGGTCGCAAAGACGACCGACCACGTCGACATCCTGTTCGCAAACGCCGGCGCAAGTTGGGGGGCACCCTTTGAAACACACCCGGAAAACGCTTTCAGCAAGGTCATGGATCTTAATGTCAAGAGCGTCTTCTACACCGTCCAGAAATTCGCCCCGCTCCTCCAGAAGCGGGCGAGCACAGAGAACCCCAGCAGAGTCATTGTGACTGCCAGCGTCGCTGGTATCGGCGTTGGTTCACTCGGCGAAAATGCGACTTTCTCATACTCCGCGTCGAAGGCCGCGGTGATTCATTTGGCCAAGAACCTCGCCGTCGAGCTTGGCCCGCGAGGAATCATCACCAACGCTGTGGCTCCGGGTTTTTACCCGACCAAGATGGCTTCGGGGTTGATGGAATTGCAAGGTGGGCAGGCCGCGTTGGCTGCCGAAGTCCCAAACAAGAGGCTTGGGCGTCCTGAGGATATTGCAGGGTTGGTGGTCTTTTTGAGCAGCCGAGCATCCTCACACATCAACGGTGCCGTCATCACGACCGACGGTGGCGCTGTACTCTCACGGGGCAAGCTATAGAGGGAAAACAACAACGAGTGTATAGAACAGGTTCTTTGCGCATTTCTTTTTTGATGCCAATTTTTGCAGGCGCCAGTGCACAATCATCGCTTCACGGGCGTCAGTCTGATCTTAAGCGGCTGAAGCATCCAAAGAACCTGTTCTGGTGATCAGCAGAAAGAAACAACACTGACCCCAAAACAGACAACTCACGTAGAACCTGGCATCTTCCACCCATGTAGGATGATCCCCATCCAGCTCCATATCAAAATGCCACAGCAACTTTGCAATGACGAGCCGTGCTTCCGTGAGAGCCACCCTGGATGGGCAAAAATCAGCAATGGAACGTTATTGACTGATATAAAGGCAAAACAAAAGGGGAATACTTGCTGCTTGCCAATGCAGTTTCGAGGCCCGAGGCTGAACGGCTTCAGGATCTCGTCGGCCTGTAACCCGGACGGGCCCTTGTCTCCCAGTTCATCCAGCCACCGCTCCGGCCGGAATTCCTTGGGGTTGTCGAAGAAGCGGCCCGATCGGCCCATGTGCCACTGGCCCATTGACACGTAGGTCTGGGAGACGTAAGTGTAAGTCTTTCTTCAGTGAACGGCGGCAGTGACAGTGGCAGGTTGAGGAGGTCTAGGGATGGGTCTTTGGGTCTCGACAACTTACTGCTCCTGGGACCATCTCCCCGGCGATCAGGTGTCCCCCCTTCGGCGTGGTTCGCGGCGTGATGTAGCTGGCGACGGGGAAGATCCTCAGCGACTCGTCGACGGTCGCCCTCAGGTAGGGCAGGGTCGAGGTGGCTCTGATGGTGATGTCCGCGCTGCTCGCGAAGGTCCGCCGAATCTCGCCCTGGAGCTTCTTCATGACGCGCGGCGTCTTGCAGAGGTGGTAGAAGGTCGCGCTCAGGCACGTGCTCGTCGTCTCGGCGCCGCCGCCGACAATGAGCACCGAGTTCGAGGTGACCTCCTCGTGGGTCAGGCGGTTGCCGTCCTTCATCTCGCGCAGCATCAAGCCGACGATGTCGGGCTTCTTCTTGCGCTCCCCGCCGCCTTGGGTGTGGTCGTCGCCCGCCTTTCCTTCTTCCCCCTCCCGATCGAGTCGTTGCTTGACCGCCGCGGTCGCCGCGTGGAAGAAATTGTCCCGCTCCGCCAGCTGCTTCTTGGTCAGCAGCGGCATCAGCATCGCCTGGGTGATGCCGAAGCGGCGGAACTGGTTGAAGATGGTGGCGTTCTTGAGCCCCAGCAGGAGGAAGCTCGGCCAGGGGTGCAGGCGCCGGTTCTTCAGGCAGTCGAACTCCTGGTCCAGGGCCAGCTGGCCGATCACGTCGTTGAGCGTCCAGAGGAACCAGTCGACCATGTTCTGCGAGGACCCCTCGGCGCCGGCGCCGCACACCTGCGTCAGTTGCGTGCAGAGCAGGTCGACGTAGTGCTGCATGACGGGCTCGACCTCCAGGATCCCCGCGGTCGTGAAGGCCGGGTTGGCGAGGCGGCGCAGGCGCGTGTGCTCGGCGTCGCCGGCCATGATCATGCTCTCGGGCATCTTGCGCTCGTCGGCCGGCGGGAAGTGGAAGCGCGTCTTCTGCAGCTGGGGCCGCGTGTTGTAGATCTGGGCCCAGGCTTCTGGGCTCGTGAACGAGAGCTCGTCCGGCGCGATGCGCACGATCGCCCCGTACTGCGTGTGGATGGCGTCGATGCACTGGTACAGGTCGCCGCGAGCCTGGCGCCAGGAAGCCGGGAGGCGCGAGGCTCTCCAGAGCAGCGGCCCTGGGTATTTGGCCAGCGGGTGGAAAGGTGAGACATTGTAGACGAGCCGCAGCAGTGAGTAGCCGATCAGCTAGGGGGAGTGAAAAGATCAGCCCCGACTGTTTTAGTACCCATCTTTGAGATATTCTTCTTTTTCTCAGACCGACTTACCGCACAGACCGTGTATATCCCACACCATAGACCGAGCAGCGCATAGCGCTGGATAGCCTCGGCGGTGACAGTCATCACCACCCGTTGGATCGTGTCAAGAAAGAGATCAATGAAGCCTTTCCAACGCGATCGAGAATATGAACATCGCCCACATGTTCTGAGGATATGTATCACCTGGGATCCCAGCAGGTCGCCAATTACTCGTCACTCCTTAGTGCTTATGATCTGTTGGCCGCCATCGCGGGATGCCTCACGACAAGAGGCACGTTTGTGGGGGCGAAGGATGTGAGCAGTGTGCTGTAGATGCGCACAAGGCCGCAATATACAAGGCTGAATTTTTAGCATTTGCTAGATATTCTCATACTGCCCGTCCTTGTCTTGGTCTTTGCGGTTTTCCTATCTATACAGCCGAAGAAATTCAACCAAAGCCATCATCGCCATTGCCTGGCCGTACGGCATACTGGTCCTTTCGATATCCAGATAATGCTTGAGATCGCTCCCCATGCCCGTTCCGAAGCTGACATCCGATAATTCGCCGTCACTGCTGATTCTCTGGATGACTGCCCTGATGGCCCTCATTGCGACGTCCGTATACTCCTTTGAGATGTACCGTTTGCGGATCGATTTCAGAAGGCCGTACGCGAATCCCGCCGTGGCCGACGCCTCCTGATAACTCCCATCCTGTTCCGCCACGTCGAGCAATGTCCGCCACGTGCCGTTGTCCTCCTGCAAGGCCCTCAGAGCTCTGCACTGTGCCTGCAGCACACCGACTAGATATAGTCTCAAGCCGTCGTCCGGGGCCAAGTCCAAGAGCTCAATGAAGTCCGGGATGGCGATCGTCACCCAACTATTCCCCCGAGCCCATCTCGCCCGCGCAAAGTTATGGCCCAACTCACCGGGCGTCTTGTCGGTGAATTGCCAACCGTGGAAGAAGAGCCCTGTCCGAGGGTCGAAGAGGTACTGGATGTGTAGAAGAAACTGCCGCTTGGCTTCCTCCACATAGGGAGGCCGGCTAAGCAGCTTCCCGATTTTCGCCAGAGGCAGGACGGTCATCATGAGCGTGTCATCCCAGAGCTGGTTGTGGTTCTCTTCAAGGTACGTGATATGCTGCATCCCCCCAAAGGTGGTCCGAGGCAAGTCATGCATTGCCCATTCCGCCCAAGAGTCCAGCCAGGGCTGATAGCTTCGCTCTCTTGTCTCTTCATATAGATATGCGAGAGTAAGAAAGCTTGCCATGGTGTTGATGTTCTTGGTGGTGCCTTCAGCCAGTCGTGCAGCAAACCAGTCTTGCATGGTCCTGAGCGCCAACGGGGAGGATGTGAGGGCGTGATATTGATACAGTCCGTAGAGAGCGACGCCATGGGTCCATTCCCAGTCATTCCACCCTTTGGTGTCAATGATTCGTCCATCGGGCAGCTTCAACAAGAAATGCCCTGTCTCGTCTTTGATATTGACGAGATTGTGGATCAGCAGTTCTATTTTGTCTGAGATGTCTTTGGCACTGAGCCCGTCAACGGTCAGAGGCGACGGCATGCTTTCTCTCCGCTCTGCGTTTATCGAGCAATCCAATGTCCTTCTCCCACGCTTTTTCTATCCTTACCCTGGCTCGTCGAACATCCTTCCTCTGCCGGCCTGAATTGTCCCGAGACGGCTCAACGATAATGATGGTTTCTGCAGCCAAGAATTCAGCGTGAAGTCTTTTCTGGGCTTGCGGGGGATCTTGTAGCCGATGGGGGGGCTGATCGACCTAGCAAGACTGTGGAGATGTCGAGCTTCTCACGAGGTACGCATTGGGGCAATTTCCGGGGGGAGTTCAACGGAACAATCAGCTTTGTCGTAGAACATCCTCCCCCGTCAAGAGATGCCACTGTGCCTTTCGGTTTGATCATCCCCCGAGGCTTTCGTTGGCTTCTGTCCCGAATAGCATCGAGGGCAACATCATATAGAGATATGGTCCACTTCTGGAGGCCTCTGGGGAACGGAGACCATATACCAACCCAGCTGTGGATTTCAAGTCGTTTGCTTGTACAACATTGCCCTCTGCCAACGCACAATGCCCGGCTCAGATCATATTGCTGCCGATGCCACCCTCTCTCCGGAGGCCACCCAGAAAGGTGGATTGGAGAAGCAGGACATCTCTGAGATCGAGAGAGTCGTGTCCGGGGGCAGCGAGCTGCAGAAGGATTTCATCGACTACGACCGTATCGACAAAGACGTCGCCAAGTATGCGAATGCGACGCGCGTCGAGATATCAGAAGAAGAAAACAGGCGCCTGAGACGGATGATTGACAGACGCATTCTTGCTGTCATGGTTCCGACATACTTCCTCCAGGCTCTCGACAAAGGAACCATGTCTTTTGCATCCATCATGGGCATCAGAGAGGACCTCAATCTCCATGCGCAACAGGTGGGTACCCGTCTCAATCTGAGGTGCAGCGATTGACCGCCACTTCCAGTACTCCTGGCTCACGACCTGTATCTACATCGCCGTGCTCATCGTGGAATATCCCACAAACTGGACCATCCAGCGAGTGCCGATAGCGAAGTATCTTGCCTTGAACATTTGTCTCTGGGGCGCCGTCCTTGCTCTCCACTCGGTCGCAAAGAACTTTGCCACGATCGTGGCCTTGAGGACGTTGCTCGGCATTTTCGAGGCCGTCTGTCAACCCAGTTTTCTCATCCTCAGCAGCATGTGGTACAAGCGAGAAGAACAGGCCGAAACCGTGACCTATTGGTATATGATGAAGTAAGTCTCTTCCAACCTGGTATCGGTGATGGCAGGGGTCGAGATGATCATCTGCAATGCTAATGAGATCCCAGTGGTGGCCAACAAATCGTGGGCGGCCTACTGGCGTATTGCTTTACCCAAATTCAGTCTGGGCCTCTGAAATCGTGGCAAGCAATCTTCATCACCTACGGCTGTTTTTCTGTGCTTTGGGGTCTCTTTGTTGCCTGGTGGATGCCTGATTCTCCGATGAAGGCCAAGTGCTTCTCAGAGGAGGACAAGAAGTTGATGGTTGAGCGAGTGAGGAGCAACCAAACAGGACTGCAGAACAAGAAATTCCGTCCAGAGCAGGTCAAGGAAGCATTCCTGGATCCGCAGACGTACTGCTATTGCCTGATCCAGATTTGCACAACGCTCCCCACCTCTGGCCTAGGTGCTTTTGCGAACATCATCATTACAGGTAAGGATGGGGCCGCACATTTGAGGGCTAGAAATACTGACTCCCCGGCAGGGTTCAACTTCACGGTCCTTCAGACACAATTACTTGCCATGGTCCTGGGCGCGGTGATAATCATCATCTTGCTTACTTCGACCTGGCTCGTGAAGAAATTCCATCAGAATTGCTTGGTCATGGGGATTTTTGTCATACCGTGGGACCGACCTACCGATTTTGTCTGTGCGTGGCTAACAAGTTGTTAGATCTTTCGTAGGGACCATTGTTTTGATGAGCGTACAGAACACCGACACTGCGACCAAAGTGGGACTCCTTATCAGCTACTATATCGTGCTCTCATTCTGGGCGGCTCAGACGCTAGCAATGAGCATGATTTCCCGAAATGTCGGCGGGCAGACGAAGAAGTCGATTGTCGTCACCATGAATTTCGTATCCTGGTGTACAGGAAATGCCGTGGGTATGCAAATCTCCTTCACCATTAACATTGACGATAGGGAATAGCTGATTCGGCGAGACCAGGCCCGCAAGTATTCCTATCATACGATGCCCCGCGTTATTTCATTGCCTTCAGCACTCACCTCGGCTGCTACGTTCTTCTTGTCTTGGTGATTGTGTTTCTTTGGTTCCATCTCAAGCGGCAGAATCGGAAGAAGGACGAGCTGGCGTCTGCCGGGATTCGAGAGGCCAAGGATGAGAACTATGTGCATGCTTTCGATGATTTGACGGACCGCGAGAACCCCAACTTCAGATACATTTATTGATGAGAGTGATGGGGGTGAAGGGGAGGAGAGGCTGTGGTTGAAGTTTATAGGCGGCGATCCAATCGACGAATGACCGATAATGCTTTTTGTCTGACCATTAATTGTACCCGAAGTGTGCTGGAGCTACTGTGGAAAGCCGGCCGAATGACGACCAGCAGTGGGGTATACGCAGCGTCAGACGCTAGTATTTAGTGTTGCCCTGTGCAACCCCGTCAATAAAAACATCCAAGTGCTCTGAGCCGCGCACAGGCAACATTGGCATGCAATGAACTCAATCAACCTGATTGTCATCGCATGATGGCGAGCTGCTCGTCTCCAGCATCACCTTCTCTGGACGATGCAGCAGAAATATGCGTTTTCCAACAGTCCTCTCCGCTGTCTCTGCGGCAGCATTCGACTTCTTCTCCATCTCCACATACTCCACCGACAGACACCTCCCAAACTCACGACTATAATTTCTCCGGCGCAGTCTACGATGAAAGCACATCAAACTCGGAGTCAGAAACCATTTCGCAACCAGATCACGGGTATGAGGACAGCATTGAGGATGCCAACCACCGCGTCTTTTCAGGGTGCTCATCGATTTCTTCCTTGCCCACAACAATATCACAGCCGCTGCATTCGAGCGAAGAACAGTATGGCCCTCGAACACCTTCCCAACGCGACTCGCACGGCTTCTATCCCTTTGAACGATCTGGCGGGCCCCGGCCTGCGACGACTTCCCCTAGAAACCTCCGCGAATACCACTCGGCGTTCCGCCATGCCAGCAGTGTCAAAGCGCTGCAGATGAGAGACGAAGTAATGAGTGACACACAGAGTGTCGTAAGACATCATAGACGGACCGGCTCGCAAATGTCATCATACAGTCAGAGAAGTTTGTTTTCGGTTCGGACCTCTCCAACCAAAAGATCAAGCCAGTCTCACCACACATCCCCCTTGAAGGGTGGCACCAATCTCAAGAAGGAATTCCCTCTTATCCTCCTACACTGTACACTACTGCCACCTAACCAACGGTTTCAACCCTCGGCTCAAGAAAGTGCAAACATAGGCGAACTGTTGCCCGAGGAGTACAAAAAGCGTTGGATAGCTCTACGAGATAGACTGGCAGACGTCGAGATCAGTAGCAGAGGTATACTGATTCCCCACCCAAGGGACGACTATGGATTGCTTGAAGAACGACTCCTAGAGAGCTTGGAACTCGAGAAGCCCCGCATCAGACACAATCACTACTTCAACGCCGGTGACAGTAGCGTCGACAGTGGCTTTGAGAGTGGCAGCCTTACCGAAGATGAGGCTGAACTTGATGGGTTGGGTTATCTCAGGTGCCCAGATTGTGGAGGACATCTGCAAGCAGAAGAGGCGAGTCGCAGGTGGGATGTCAAAGTTTTCGCGGCCAATGGCTTGATGCGGGCTGGGGCATGGGCCGCAGCATGGCAAGAGATGGAGAAGGTCGACGTGGAAATTAACATTTGCCTGCCAAAAGAGATCTGTCAGGAACTCGAGGCAAAACTTGCATTCGGTGACGACGCGCACATGCCAACAAGCCAGCTGGAACCCAATGACACATTTATGGACCATGACATGGCGAGTTCTCGCGAACGAGAAGTATACGGCGACTTGGGAAGACTTGAGAGTGAGACAGATACGAGCAGCTTCGAAAAGCAACCCCCTGTGGAATTCGAGCCTGTGTATCCACCGCCTCGCCCACCTTCTTTTGAGCAGGATGCACAGGCCCCGCCGGCAGTTTATGGCGGACGATTCAGCACAGAGAGTAGAAATGTCCTGGTGGGCGTGCTGAGCTTCTTGGTATTGCTGTTTGCTCTGGCAGGCAGGCAAGGAGCTCAGAAACCGAACCCTGTCCCGACCTCGCAGGTTACTACGCAATTGACAGAATTCCTCACCACTACAGTCACGACAACGAGCATTGCCATCTCAACAGCGACTGTGACTGCAGCCTCTGTCAATACACAGCTTGGTCAAGCGTGCCCTGTGTCAGAAGATGCGCATAGTTTGATGGTGGTGTCAACCGAAACCCTGACAGAACTACCCACCGCAACGAATTTGTCTAGTCCGCCGGCGGAACGTACGCAGGGAGACACAAGCGATACAGACATGCAGCAGAGCGCGGAGCTAGAAGACAGCGAGACTGGTTCCCACTTGGCAGCCGAACAAGAGGGCCCAGAAACGAGCCCTTGGCTAGGTCTAGACTCTGCTGATACGGTCAGATAGGGAGGCAGGCACCGCAGGCTATGTAAGGGACTCCAGACGATGATATCTTTTGGGGACATATCAACCGAGACCTGTGTTTGAAGAGGCTCCCATTGGCCAGGTCCGGGATTTTCGTCGCAGCACAGAATGCGACTGTGGCCGGAGATACCGAATGGGTTAGGGATGATTACGTACGGTTTGAGCCGGGGCTGTCTGTCTGCCAACAGTGCCAACAATGGCGGCTGACCATGATGATGTGAATGTCGAAAGCGTTTTGGAAGCAAGCGTCTGGCGTGATTTGATGACAGGTGGGATTGGCAAAACATGTGTGTGGCATTGTTTGATTCTTCTTTTTTTTTTGGGTGGGCGGCAGCTCAGCTTGGCGTCCTCGCATGGCCCGTTCTCGCCCGACGCACAGACTCTGTAATATAGCCAGCGAGCCAGATGGAAGGATGACTTCTGATCCCCTAATCAGTCATCCCGGCGCCTTGACCGTATCCCCACCAGGGCATTAAAGGCTGCTGCCGCGGAAGTGAGCGATTGAATACGTGATTTAGACAACCCAACTGGAATACTACGTACTACAAGTAGGGTAATCAGACGAGCTGAAGAGCAACACCCAGTTGCCCGAACGAGGCTGTGTCCAGCTCCAGCTCCAGCTCCAGAATGCAGAATCGGGGTCAGCTGGAAGGGACAAATGAGCCTGCCCTTTTCCCTTTCGTGTCCTCTCTTCTCAGCTCGCGCACACACGCCGCGCTCTGACTGCAGTAATAATCATTATCAGCATCACCGTGGCTTTTTTGCTTTTTTCGGCAACATAAGGCTGAGCGGGACAGCAACAGGCGTTGAGCCCCCAGTCAAAATTGGCGCAATTTTCCGGGTAATCTAAACGCTTGCCGAATCGGTCCGGGAATGGAACTCGTTGGCCAGAAACGTTCAAAGGGCCCCCCCTGAATACCAACGGTCAGTCGGCAGGCTGAAAAAAAATATATATATATAATATCATTGTTATCTTGCATCTCGTCACCCTCCCAAGATAAAGGATTTTCTCAGTCTCAGGTCTCTGCTCTCGTGTTGGCTCATCTATATCCGCCACAACATTCCTGCGGAGCAACGCGACATCTCAACTTACCACTCGTCGAGGTCCAACTCGCAGCATCGTGGTATCGACCAGATGGCGGCGCCAAGGCTTTTTGACCTTCCCCTGGAGATCCGTCTGGAGATCTACCGTTTGGTATTTGGTCATGCAAAAGTGGTTGTTGAGGCAAAGAGCGAAGATGAGAGTGGCGCTCTCCTGCCCCAGCTGGCAGAGTTCGGGAACCACTCGCCAAGGTCGTCCCAGCTCTTGAGAGTCAACAAGACGATCCTCCTCGAAGCCCGGCCCATCCTCTATGCCAACACGGTCTTCCATATCATCCACCATGCCTTTGCCGGAAAGTTGCCAACTCGGATCACCGACGGTCATCCATGTGCGCCGCATATCAAGCACCTGGTTTGGCAGCTGGATTGTGACATGCTGAAACACTTTTACCCTGAAGATCTTCAACTTGACCTTGGCGAAGTGGCTCGATGGAGCAGCCTCGAAATACGATGTCGAGCCGAGACGTGGCGGAATTCATTTCTGGGCGAATGGTGTGATCGCGAGGCTTTTGTGAGAGGCAGAGCTCAGGTCTTGGAGTATGCCCAAGTATTTCACCATGCCATGCGCCACCGTAGTGGAGGGAGGCTTACCTTTGCTGAGGACCGGAGTCAACTGGGAAGGGGACGTATCATCCTGAGACTGAGCAGCGGCCGGGTGAATTCAGTACAGCAGCAGTCTGTGGATGAACTCTTGATCATCGCCACCCCTTGATCCAACCGCTTGGCCGATTACAATCCAATGCACCAGCGTGCTGGGCTACAGAGAATCAGCATGCTTGTCGAGGCGACAACGAAGTGTTTCACTTTTGGTCGATGGTTCTGGTCAAAGTATGCCTTCTCCATCGAAGCGAGACTGCAACCTGCAAAGCAAAAAAAGAGGTCAGGCGAGTCGCCGCCGACACATACCACTGCGGGATTGAACCGCGTCCGTCATCTTTTTGGCCTTACTTGCCCGCTGAATCTAGGGACTTAGGGTACGCCGACGTCTCTCTCGCACCCAGATCTCGATCGGACGGCTTGCTGAAGTGTTTGGACAACTTCGCAGCTGGGGTGGGCAAGCAAGGCCAGTCAGGGCCGTGTGATGGTATGATTGATTAGAGGGCTCTTGGGGCCTGCCTAGTCAAGGAAGGACTAGCGATTGATGCAGTGGTCAGAAGCCCCTGGGAACATGGTTGACTGCAAGACTTGGAAGGTTTGGAGCCCAGTTCCAGGTGTGCAGATTGGCTCGAGGCGTCCAAGCGATGGCATCGATCTCCGAAGTTTGGTCTGAGGGCAGACCCCGACGGTGGGCTGGGGCGTTAGCTGCTGGGCATTGTTAGACGGTGGGACCATCTCTACAGCCAATGTCTGGTACCTCTGTGGAAGTATCTGCACCGTTCACCTACAAGGGAATGGTGCAGCCCACGGCACCAGAGGTACGAGGAGAGAAGTACCTCGGACAGCGGGCAACGGGCAAAGGAGAGACTGACGTGGTGCGGCAGTCGCCGATCGCACACAAAGCTGAGCACCAGTCCGCAGAAGCCATTGGCAGGAAATGGCGGGTTGACAGTGACGCAAGAGAATCCGGATCGGCCAGGCGCCTGTTGGTCAGAGGAGCGTCTGCCTAGCGTGCCCAGCCCGTGCTAGTCCCTGTACGGACTCGCTAGGAACTGTTGAGTCCCAGTACGTCAGACCCACCTCCACGTTTCTCTCCTGGTGGCCCCCCCCCCAGCTGCTGGTTCTCTCCCATCTCCCATCTCCCATCTCCCATCGTGCCATCTCCCAACCATCGGCCACCTTCCATTTTCCCGCCATGCATTCGTCTATCAAAGTCGCGGTGAAAAAGCTCACTTGCAATCTCGAGTGACCCTCTTCTAGAGCTGCCCTTTCGGGCTCTGGTCCTGAGCCCTGGCGAGAGGGGCGCCTGTGGATTTCTTCAACCCCCAAAGCCCTTTCTCACCTGGTCCGAGCTTTGGTCAGTGCCGTCATAGATGCCCCCTTTCAGCCATGGTCACTTATCAAAGTTTTTTCTGGCTGTTCCATTTACCACCTGTAACCATGTCACATCTCATCAGTCCATTGCCCTTGACTCTCGCTTTTGGACTCGCTTTGATGATGTTTCCGTGACATTTCTCTGGGAGACCTGAGAGATCGACCCAACAGGGGCGGGGGAATGGGCCCCCATCTGGAGTTTGAAGCTCATCAAAGAGGAGAAAAGGGTGTGCCAATCATCGTACCACCCGTAAATCACCACAGTGACTAGTACCCAATACCCAATAATATGGTAGTCGGCAGTAGTGCGATTGATTACGAGTCACAAGTACGGAGTACTCCATACTCTGGGGGGACTTGCTTGTTCGTATCGCATGGGTATGTCTGCATGTACCGACAGTGGTAGTGGTAATTTCAGCCTTGGTGGTGATGGGGGTGAGGGCGGAGGCGGAGGCGTCGGTGTTGGTGTTGGTGTTTTGGTTGTTGCAGTGCGTCCATTCTTAGCTCTTGCTCATCACCAATGAAGTGATTCTCAATCCTTGCAAGACCAACAAACTTGTGGCTTTTTTCCATCCTCCCCCCTCGTTTTGTTTCTCTCTCTGCGTTTGGCTCATGTTTGTTTCCGTTCCCTCTGGTATCCCGGCGGACAACCCTGTTCCCTACGGCCGCCGTCAATGGTGAATTGCACACCCTCCAATTTAAAGGGCTTGCATGGCTCGCGCTGCAACAGATCAGCTACTAACTGTTGTCGGTTACCCTGTGTAACCGGCCATCCAATCCCTCTGGTCCCTTTGGGTCCCTTTGGTCACTTTGTTCACTTTGGTCACTTTTGGCTCGACTTCTGGTCAGCTCGTCCTGGCTCTACCCCGCAATAACGGCGACTCTCTCGTCATGTCAGTGTGTCTCCTTCGCCCGCCGTGCTCGTTACTTCGGTCCTAGGTCTTGCAAAGTACCTCGTCTCTTCCATTCCCCTCCTTCCCACGCCCACCGTCACCCACGGCAGTACATGGTCACCAGGTATCGAGCCGTCGAGTCTCCTCTCCTAGTCACCGAACCTACCTCAGACCTGCCCCGTACTTTCTGTCGTTGCGCGGACTACTTGGAATAGACCACATGCGCACCAGTAGTGACGGGAGGAGTCTGCAAGGAAACTTGTTCACCATCATCTGACCCACTGCAGGGTGCAACGCACCCAGTCAGCCTCATCAACACGAGTCGCTAAGTATCTCGACCTGCTTTGTTTGCACACTGCAACCTGTTACCCCGTATCGCACCCCCTTCTGCCACCCTTTGATTCCCTCCGCGCACCCTGACACGCCCCCTCTTTTTTTTTTCTTCTCTCTCTCTCTCTTGCTTTCTTTCTTTGGTTCCTCTTGGTCCCCTCCGCTCGTTGATCCCTCCGGCACATCGAACAAGCCTCGTGTCTCCACCTCCACCTCGTTCACCACCATCACCAACCCCGGTCATGCAAGCGCTGCCGCTACGGTCATGGCATGTGCCTTGACCCTTCCTCATTTGATGCTTCCCAACGCCTCACGAGACCGTTGACAACATTGAGTATCTACAGACGCCCACTCGATCGAGAAGGCAAAAGCTAACAACGACGTAAAAACAAAAAGTGACTCGTCTACTTTTCTTCTGGTCCATCCATTGCCTCCTCCCTGGCTCTCCCTTGCAGGAACCCCCCCGCCCTCCCTTTACCTCTTCCGCTCTAATGGACTTGTACTGCTCGTGCAGTCCATGTCAATCCTGCCTTTCTGCTTGCTTCATCTAGTCGCTTTTTGCTGTCCGGTGTACATGAACGACTCCCTGCTACTTCCGGCCATTGCTCCCCAGTGTCTGGCCCATCTCTGATCCAACCCTCCCTCCCCCCTAGGCTCTGAACGCCAGACACGTCTTGTCACCGCTCCTCTAGTGGCGGAACACCACCAAGGACCTGGACAAAGTGGTACATATGATCGACGACCCTTCCAGTCTCCTCCTTTCCTGGTCCCTCTGCTCAGGCCCGATGCAAGCAAAACTGGAACCAGAAACTAAAAGTCTAATCTCTCCCAGACGACGTGCAGAGGCGAGACAAATCAGATAAAGGAGCAGGAGCCCTCTCTCAAAACCTGCACCGTTGTCGCACCGCCTCTTCGCTACTGTCCCGCTCTTTCCTCCCTCTTGCGTGGGATTTGCCCGAGCTGATTGGCCTCATTTGGCCTTGTTGCACTTCCTCCCCGACCGCTGGTCACACCTCCTTCCCGCTCGCTCACTCACTCTATTCCCAGTCTCAGCCACGCTGGCGCCTGTCTGAAAGCACCGTGCAAGCTTAGCTCCTGCATCCTCGCAGCTCCCGCTGCTGTGTGACGTTTGCTGTCTTTGATCCAAATACACTTGCCTACCTCTCCTAGCAGCTGGTGCCTCGCGTGGCTGGCCTTGACTTCAAGGGGACATTCCTAGCCCAGAACAAGACTCGACCATGCCGACGGCAACTTCGATTCAAATTCATTTCTACTAAGCAGATACACCTCCGTCACCATGTCGTAAGTTCTCTTGTCCCGAGTGGTACATTGGAAATTGCACCAAAGGGCTTTGCTTGGTGCTCCAGCCTGGACGGCTACTCTTCCGGACTTCATTTCTATGTCTTGACCTCACCGGCCCGAGTCTGACCTCCCCATCGTATCAGATCACCCCCTCCAGCCAAAAAGCAAAAGCAGTTCGCTTCCACCACGTCTTCTCACACTAACAAAGAGGTACCAGCGCCTCAGGCGCCGCTGGCACCCAGACCCAATGCCGACCTGCTTCACCCGCCAGCTTCTCCCCCAAATCCACGCAAGCGACGGGCATCACACAGTCCGAAGCTAAACACACTTCCTCCAGGTACGGCTTTGCCCCTGGAGCCCATACCATCAAATGCCCATCTGCCCGCGTCGCTAGCGGACGAGGCGGGCAAGAAGCGCGGGCGGACCAACACGCCGTGGACTGCCCAGGAGGAACAGCGGTTGAAGCGAATGCGTGATGCCGGGCACAGCTGGAGTGAGATTGCAAAGGTAGTTCTCTGGCTGGCCTCCACTTGGGCTTCTCTTTTGCTAATCCACGACAGGCTTTCCCTGCACGAACTGAAGGCAGCGTGAAAAAACACTGGTACAAGGTAAAGCGTGGGTCAACACGAGCTGGGTTGTTTCTGACGGAGTCCTTCAGGATATGCACTATGCCGAATTTGCCGAAGATGAGGTACGTATGCGGGACAGTGCTTCAACTTTCTTGATCTAAACCGAATGCCTACAGTCGGCAGCACTTCGCGAAGCTATTAAAGAATACGAAGCGAACAAGTGGAAAGCGATCGGGCAGAAGCTCGGCAAGCCAGCCAAGGTCAGTATCTGGTCGTGGTCCAACTCAGACCCGAGCTCAATCTAGTTTACTCTAGGCATGCGAACAATACGCCAAGGAGCACTTCAAGAATGGCTGATACCCGTCCACGCCGTTTACATCGAGCTGAAGCGCCGGCGTTGGAAGGTATTCGGACAATCTTAATCTCACTGGCTTTGCTGGGTTGCCGGGCTGTGTTGGGTCGAGGGTATCAGTTGGAAGGGGTGTTTTCTTGCTGCTGGAAGGACAGACACAGACTGCATGGCCACATTGATAGCAAAATCGCGATTCTGTTGGGATAGAGCCTCGAGGGACAGAGACGACTAGGACGTAATACCACTTGAGCAATGAAAGCTGAAAGCGACGTCTACCGTGTTGCAGCGTGCCTCCACCCGTGGTTGCGACCCAAAAGTGGCCTCGAGGGTTGGGGTGCCTCATGCGTCTAGGAAATCTGTCAACCATGCGGATGCCAATCACGAGGCCGTTTCCGAGCTTTGTGTCGCGTGGGGTTTCTAACCACCCTGACCGCCAGATAAGTATAGTCAGGAAAGGAGTTGAGATGTCTCCTAGCTGAACCTGGGACAAATGTCCTGAATTCGATGTCTTCAGCGGGCTGAGGAGAGATCAGAGGCTAGGGAGCTGCGTAGGAGGAGCACGAGGACGACACAGCAGAGGGACCAAATGAGGTTCGGAAGACGGAGTGAGTCGGAAGATTGTTTCTCCGATGCCCGCTCTGCAACGAGTCTCCTGCAGTGCAAAACAGCATTGTCTCTTGCTCTCTTACTCCTGCTTCGCCCTCAGCTGCTCTACCAAAGTATCTCTAGTTTTCACTTGCCCTATCCCCATCACGATGAAACCCTGACTTCACCAGTGGACCCTAGGTTCTATCTTCCACTGCTGTGCTGCTCGTTTACGGCCTCCCGTCACTGCTCCCCCGTTACACAGCATGACGGCTGTCGTTGCGACAAGGACTGGACTTGCCGACTCCACCGCCTGTTCTCACCATCTGCCCAAGGCGCAACAAGACCGGTCCACGTCTTCCGGTCTCATTTATGACGGTTCTCGACCCCTGAGTTGCCAATGAGGGCCTCCGCATGGCCCGTGGCTGGGCTCACTCCCGAAGAGGGACCGTCCTGTGCATGAACACCTGTTCGTCCGCCTTCCCCCATTCGCCCCACGGGCCATGGTTGGGCATTCGCAGCATTTCTGCGTCCATCATTGCCGAATCACGACCCGCTCGGCATCAGCATCTCCAAGCCGACTTGGCTTTTGTCCTTACTCACGAAACTCGGTTTCCTGCATCCCGGTGTTTGTTGACTGTGGATGTTGCGGCCTCTGCCTCTGCGGCTCCTCCTACTCTTCCCCTATGGCTTCCCTGTGGGTACAGCAACTGCGACACAGCGCTGACTGCCTCGACATCGAAAAGTCACGAGCTCGACATACCGTCATGGCGAATGTGTTCCCCTGCGCTGACCACGACAGCAAACCCTCATTTTGACTTCCTCACCGCTCATGATCTCTTTGTAACTCCTTCTCACACTTCGTCGGCTCTCGTTCGATATTGTTGAAGTACAGCATCAAGACTCAAGGAATGCGATAATTTGACCATTGTCGAGAGCAATGGAGCGACTAGGGTATGCAGCTTTTCCCGCCGTCTGTGCTGAAGGTCCAGTCTAGTCTAGCTAGTCCTACTGCCGCATGCCATCCGGTAGGCTGCTCTGTTTGTGAGTCGAATGTTGGGTGCATCAGTTCGCCCTATCGTCGGCTTGGTTGTCGGCGGTCCTAAGTAGCCTAAAACTCGATCTGCGTATAGGCTCGGATCTGTCGATCTGGTCCCGAATACAGCTCGTGCTTTGGTGATCCCGGCAAGAACCTGACGATCCTGCTGGACTTTTGTCGTACACTCAGATTCATCTTGAGGTGCCGCCAACAGAAACTGCAGAGGCCCTGATTCCTCCTCCAATGGTCCTGGTTTATCACTCTCTTTGCAAATTCAGCGAGGGCTCACCAGAGGCCAGCAACGGTGATCGCTTTGGCCTCTTCTTCCCATGGGATCATCCTTGAGATTTTCGAACTCGGATGCATTTCGGTCACGTATCACGACCTCATCCTCAAGGCGGTTTTGCCACTTTGCTTACTAGGCTGTGTCCGCATCCCAACAGCATGCTCTACAGGCCTCGACCCACCACTCTCGGGTCACAATATTATCTCTTGGAGATGAATCTGTGGTGAAGCAATCTCTCGAAAACCAGGACCGCAGCTGTCGACGACTTTGACATCCTATGGTCCGGGCGCGGGCCAGCTGCGATACCCGATCAGCACGCCTTGGGCTCCTGGTTTGTCGAATCGGAGAGTTGGTGGTTACTGACACCGGGCTCCTTTCGACATTCTCTTCGTTTTCTGCTGCGCCTAGGTCAAGGCTGCTACGTAAACAAGGACCATACTTGCCCGAGGCTCAGATCAATTTGTCTATTAGTAAGGTCTTGTTATCCTTCCATTTTCGTCTCGAAGCGGGTCTGATGCATGTCAGACCCGCTTTGCCTACAATACAGTCGTGATGACTGATCAGGACAACGTGGAAACGCACTAATTAGTGTCTTCGGCCTTCTCCCGTCTTGGATCTCAAAAGCATTCCAGTTCAATGCCATCTTGTGTATGGTTTGCGGAGCCACTCGGTGTCCTCGCACAAAGAGCCTTTACAACGATGTCTTGGGTTACGACCTTTCCACACAGATAACGGGTGGCGCCTGATGAAGCCGCCAACAATCAAGCGGAAAGATTTGAGGAATTGATGGATCTATTCTTTGTCTCAGATCGTCTACCGTGAATCGGGGGCTCTTTTTCCAGCGGTGTCGAATCTGCTACTGCGGTAGCAATAGCACCAAACAGCTCATAATTTACTTCGCGGGTTTTCCTTATGGATGCGGCGATGATAAGCGTCTCTCATCTCTCTCCGCAACATCTTCCCCGATGGTGTTCTTGGAATCTAGAGGATTGATGGTCAGCAATAAACCAAGCATTCTGCGTTTTAGCCTTACCAAGTCAACTATTTCGATTCCGCCGGCGAGATGCTTGTGCTTACTCAGGCGCTGTCCGACATGCTCATTTAACTTCTTGATCACTGCTTCCGCGCCCTGCTTCTTGCCTTCGGAACTTAGCACTACCCACGCTCTTGGGAAAAGGCTTCCGTCTCCTCTGCCGTTGTTGACTCCCGCAACACATGCATCCGTCACAAGCTTCTCTGGATGATCAAGCAGGGTATCTTCCACCTCGGTTGCTGCTACCTGTAAGCCTTTGACCTTGATCATCTCCTTCAGACGATCAAGGTAATGAATTCGATCTTCAGCGTCACGCATGACAAGGTCTCCTGTCCTCAACCAGCCGGGCTCCGCGAACAGCTCGGCAGTGGCATCCGGATCTCGAAAGTATCCCATACACACGACATTCCCCCTTGCCCACAACTCGCCCTTGGTGCCCTTCGGCACATCTTCTAGAGTGTCCGGGTCAACAACTCGGCCTTCCATCCCTGGGAGGAGGTAGCCGATTGTACCCGGCTCGGAAGCCTTCAAACCGAAGATCCCTGCTATAGGGGGTGATGCGATGGACGCGGCTTCGGACAGACCATATCCAGAGGGAATGGGGGTCTTAACGGGCAGTTTCTGAGCAAGCTGATATGCGACGTCAGGTGGAAGATACGCCGCGCCACTGGAGCAACTGACAACGGACGATAGGTCGTACTTTTCAGTCAGTGGAGACTGAGCAAGCTGCCTCACAATCGGAGGGACTAGGGGCAAGACGGTGATCCTGTACTTCTCAATGGATTTCAGGGCGAGTTCGACGTTCCATTTTGACATCATGATGTTGGTAGCCGGTGCAAGGTTGACCCGCAAAATCCACATGATCATGCCGTAGGAATGGTATGCTGGCACAATCCCGAGGAGAGTTTGGTGTGTGAGTGGTTCGACTCGGTTGAACAATGCTGTCAGCGTGGCGGCTGTGGTCCCTTGTAAACCGCTGTGGACCGCATTTTTGTGGGAGATCATCATCGCCTTGGGCAGACCGGATGTGCCCGACGACTGAAACAGATAACACAATTTGTCGCCGCCAACGAGTTTTCTTTTGCGCTCTTGCATCTGCAAGCCGCGGCGTACGAAAGACTCTACTGTTGGACAGCCTCCCACGCAATCCAAGGAGTCATCGTCCGCCAGCACGACAATCTTCCTTTGGTCAAGCACCAGTCGGAGCTTCTCGTTGTCCGGACCGACTCCCAGCTTGAGAGCTTCACGCAACACAGGGAGAAGCGTCTCATGGCATACGATAGATGTGATTTGCATCTTTCGCAAGACATGCCACAGTTCGTACGGCGTGGATGCCGGGCTGATTCCGCCAAATACCAGCTCAGCACGGAAACACGCATGAGCCAGCATCGAATAGTGGATGTGGTTGCGGGAAAAGAGACCCAGGATCTCACCATTGTCTCGGTCGTCCACGGGCGACCTGGTCAGTCCCAAAGGATTGGGACCGTCATAACGAAGTGCTCGTGCTAACGCGCAGACTCTTTCGTAAAATTGGTGGAGTGTGACCCTCTGATCGGTCACAGCGTCGATGAAAAGGTCATAGTCTGGAGGCAATGGTTGACCTGGGGGAAAACACAGTTCGTGAACATTCAGATCCTGCGGCGTAGGAGGAAATGGGCCGAATGGAGATCTGAAGATCTTGTCGTTTGTCGGTTGGTATTTGCCATGCACATCTGGTGCCTCTGGATGCACGAATCTGGCCCAATGTGGCGCCATTTCCCAACCAACAGCTCTTCTGGTCAGTCGACTTGGACGGAAATGCAAGCATTGACACGAGACCGGCTTCTCTTATCATCTACTGTTGTCCGCCACAAATGAGGGGAGCCGTCGGTTACCATTTCGAGGATACCGGGACTACCTCGGTTTCTCCCTCGACAGCCCGTTGACTGCCAGTCGAAGGGACCGAGCCTCAGATTCAGAGGCTTCCTGACAGCTGAGAGCAGACTTTTCATGGTTGGACTTTGTCAACAAAACTGCAGACGCAGGAAGCAAAACGAACAACCAATACGACCCGCGAATGCGGCCGCGGCATCCACCATTTGAATCCATCATTGATATATGCTTTCTAACGCTCGACGCATACGCCAAAGCCATACATATGCAAGCCGTTGTTTGAGTAGAAAAAGCAGACTCGATTGATATGTTGGTGCAAAGCAATCGCGGCGTTCTGAGGTTCATCCAGTTTCTGACTGCCATCAATCACAGCATGCTCAGAAGTTGATATACCATGTGGATATGTGGTTGTCGCGTCTCCAGGTAATGTACCTTATTTAAGCCTATTTAACTCGCACATTTCCGCCAATTAGGCCATGTGTAGCATGGTGTCTGGTCCCCTCGCTCTTCGCGCTCCTCGCTCTCCGAAGCGCAGGGAGATACAGACCCAGATCTCGGATGTTTACGCTTCCCGCACATTGACGAGGCTTAGCCCATCCTTCCCGACGGTTGGAACCACCCAGGATTCGATGAGGTCCAGGGCAGCTCTGTCATTCGAATCCAGCGGGACAGACTGCACAGTCACGATGAGGTTTTGCGATACCAACTGGAACACTGTAACGTACGTTGCCTGGGGTCGAGACTGTGGATACCCGAGATACAGAGAGCTAGCTGCTTGCGTCTATGAGAAACGAAGCCACTTTAACACTCCTAGGGCCGACGCCTCCACGGGCATTCGCCAGCGAATTTGGTTGCCTGAGATGAGTGGCCCGTTCCGAAACCCCTTTTACCAATGATTACTGATCTCGAATACCGCAAGTACAGTGTTTCAATTCTCACGCGTTATGCTGCGGAGCCGCCTTCTGGCCAAGCAGCAGCGCATTTCAATGGCAAGGCGTCTTCAACCAGAGAAGAGTAGCCTCTTAATTTGTTTGTGGCTGCTTCGATGACTGCTCAAACAGCGATTGACACCAGTAAGCCTGGCAACCCCAGTCAGCAGTTGTGTCCAACAGACGTTACCGCTAGAATCGAAGGCTCACCAAGTCTCTAGCCACTTTTGCCGGACAGCAATGCCGTCAGCAGATTGCTACCTGCCTCCAGAGACCCCTGAAGATATGGTTGATTCAAAGGATTGCCTGCTCCTCAGCATTCCACATCAACTCGGGTCGACATAGTAACCTCTACGCCTAGATTGCAAAGCATCATGTCAGGACTCACGCAGAGACCGGCACAGTCTTCGAAGCATTCACAGTTCTCAACGTCGACCGCTCCTGGGCTTGATCCAAGTTCCTCTCAAGATCATGGCCTGAGTCAAGAAAGCATAGATGGTCTCTTCACTTTTGATTCGTTCCACAACCAAAACTTCGATGAGTGGTTCGGTCATGCCTCGACAGAGAATATGTGGCAGCCAGACCACGGGCTATTTGATGGGCTCTGGAGCTCGGGTGCGGTGACCGATCATCAATTTGGCTCTCCAATGTCAGTATCTGAGCGCATCAGCCAACATCCTCCGAGCAAAGGATCAACTCCCACCTACCCTATCGACGAGCTGTCATCTGGTCTGCCGCTTGACTATGACGACGATGGACTCCAAGCCGGCGTAAATGAGGTCACACACCGTCAGGACCGCCAGCGAAGCGAACCAGCCGACAACAATAGCACTGGCGCCAACTCGACAAAGGGAGATTCCCCGAATGAGGAAAAGCGCAAAATGCAGAACCGGCAAGCGCAACGTGCGTTCCGGGAACGCAAGGTGAAATATGTGCAGGACCTAGAGAAACAAGTCAAGGACCTCCTCCTCTATGCCGAGTCGCTGAAGCATGAAAACCAGATGCTGAGAGCACGGGGGCAGTGGTTGAGCAACCAGCTGAAGAGTTTTCACCGACAGGCTTCCACGCGAGGTACGTCATGAAGAGAATTTGGATGGATTTTGCGTTTTGTGGTTGGTGATCAGTGTTTGTGCAGGTGTTCGAGACAGCATGGTGTTTGGAAAACGTGGTCGTGCAGCGATGGATGCGTGTGAGCTTGTGGTTCTTTTCCTGGTGGAAATTGAAGTATTCGTTGGCCAGCTGTCACAGTATGCTGTATAGATTTGTATCTTGCGGAACTATTCAGGGATGCTTTTGAGTGCAAGGAAAATCCGCAAAAGCTACTCTACCGGCGTTGCAGGTCGCCGGCATGTTGTTGTCCTATGGGCTATTGATCTACCACAACTGAAGTAGTCCACTGAATCGCACAGCTGGTCGGTTAGTCTTCTGGAGTGGGCGTCAAATTCTGCCGCAACCAGACGACAGCAGCTTAGTGAGTGCCCATTCCCATTTGGCGCCTCTGCTGATTTTGTAATATGTTGTAATAGTTGTCATCGCCGTTAATCCGCGAGCCTCAACCCTTTTCTCTCCGCCAAACTACTCCCGCCGATACTTTGCCCCGAATACAACGACGAGGAAGGGTGTCTCCCGGCCGGCAATTTACAATTCATGGGTCAATGTTCGTCGGAATTTTCCAAGCAGCCGGCATAGGCACGGTGGCTCGAATGATCCGGGCGACTTCCTGGGATTGACAACCATGACAACCATGACAACCATGACTATCTCTCGATAATATGTCCGTCATCTTTTCAAATACCATGTCAACGACTTGGGCCTGAGGGGCATAAAGATGAAGATTGTCGCAGCTGGCAAATCTAGCGCCTTTCCCTTGGTAGCCCCAAAAAGGGGGGAAATTACAAGTTGAGTGCACCCGACGATGTGCTTGCAAACGGTGGACGCGCTGGAGATCCACGCTTCTAGTCACTGAGCAGGAACTTTTCCGTTTCTTTGGAGTGGTCGATGCCCTCTCCTCCTGGCTTCTCGGGACCAGGGACATCCAGAAAGCCGTCTTACAGTCGTGTCAATCCCCAAGGGCCATGGTCTAGTCCACCACCACCACCACCACCACCACCACCACCACCATCACGATCAACACCACAACAACGACGCCACAACTCTGGAAAGGGATGAAAGGATTCTGGGGGGGCCCACCCATGAGTGACACCTCAGACAATTTCACTGGCAAGGGAGACGAAAGAGCGTCGCACCAGGGTGCTCACATTGACCCAAGAACTAAGAAAATACAAAGCCACGATCCATCCTCGCACAGTATTTCATTGGCTTCGGAGCCCACCACTTCGAAGGATCGGAGAACATGTTACTGTTGTGTGTGTGTCGCCCGGGAAGAAACCGAATCGTAATGATCTGTTTTGCTTGGAGCGAATCAAGTAGTCTCCCTCAGCTGAGCGGAGTGGCTTCTTCGACGACTAGGTTTGTCCTGTTCCGCTTGAGAACGTTCCCCTGTCTACCCGCCACCTGTTTACAGTTCTTGAGTCATGATTATCTTGAAAGGCACACGATGGGAGACAGACCATCTGAGTTGCTCTTGGACTCTCTCGACTGTTCCATGTCAGCGCTACTTTTTTTTTGTCTCCTCTCTCGTATCTTATGACTTCGTCCCTATCTCTGAATCCTTTCTACGTCTAGCACAATCACCGGTAGGGGTGAACCATCCAGAACACCCAGGGTACCCTCTTCACTTCCTTGTCATGTTCCACCTTTTTCATCGTTTCGAACTCGGACTCATTCCAGAGCGATCCTTCTCGACAGCATCAAGCTGATGCTTCGTAGGCGGAGCCGCAGGCAGAAGCGTGGTAAAGCCCTGCGTGTAGCGCCGCGCCTTAGACCTCTTTCAAGGATTTTAGCCAGCCGGAAAACGACTCTGCTCGCTCCACATCCATGATCACCTACGAGTTCACCAAGAGGTGGACAAATCCCGAAAACAAAACTAACCCAACGTCGACAATCTCCACGGATCCTCCCAGCAGTTCACATCCATGTCACTGTCTCCCAAATGTAGACGTTGCAACGAGAACGATTGCTCCTCTCCCTGGAGATACTTGATCCGACATGGTCCCCTGTGGATATTGGACGGCGGCCCTGTGGGAATCTATGGCGCCTCTGCCTGTCATGGAAATATGTCCGTATTATTGAAAGCGATCCTCTGGCGGTTTTACTGTTCGTCTCGCTCCTTTACCATTTCTAGTCAACACCCCCCCCCCCTTTCTTGCCGGAAGGAGTGTTGGGACTTCCTCTCCGCTAATTTCCTGGCTATAATTCATCCCCTGGCACATTTCCGAGGGAAAGGGATAGTACCTTGAGGTCTAGCTCACAATACTCCCAACAACCCCTGTTCAGGTTCATTATACAGGATTGCCAAACAGAGTTTTACAGTTTTACTCAACTGGAGGTCTCCGTGTGATGCTTCAGCCTTCAGTTGATCGCCAGGCAAGAATGTTCTCCCAACAAGGTAGCGAGCAGAAGAGATGCGGAACCAATAAAGCAGGCTGACGATATAATACATAGGTCCGCAGACAAAGCTCTTTACGGTCGGATAGCTGTCCACTCCTCGCGTCACCATAACTCCCTCACACGGCACGTCCTTGTCTTGATCGGAATTACTATCAGCGGGGTATACCCCGAATTCGATAGAGATAGCAAGCACAAGAGGAGCACTGTCCTCATCAGGAGACCAATTCCTACTCGTGGCGGGACTAATCAAAAAATTCCTGAAGATTGGTGGCTTGCTATGCTCTAATACCGAAACACGGTGGACACTCGTCGGACACTCATGGAGGGCTGTGAACCAGCTTGACCCTCACAGATGCTGAGCTAAAGGGAATAAAAGGGGTCGTGAAGGTGGCTCTGTGCTCATACATACTTGTCTAGCTGCCACAATGGGCCATACCGTTAACGCAGTAACCTCCAAAAGACTTCGGACATTATCAGTTCAACAAAGTACGAGAAACTCGCGGCCTGATCCTCCCCGCCTCATAATATCCCCATGGCCCTTCCCGGAACGGATGCGAGGACGTCGACTACTGCTGGCACGGACACTGTCACTGAGCAGCACCTTGTCGCGACCTTGGATCACAATGCTGAAGACAAAAGCTGAGAGTTATAGCACCGACAACGGATACATGTCAATTTCATGAAAGGGGAGAGAGCAGACGCTGCTCTGTGAGAAAGTGGAAACTAGTTGGGCTGGCAGTTTTAGCGACACAGAATGCGGCTTCTAATTCGCTCAAGGGGAATCACAGGCGCATTCTGATTGGCTGGGAGAATACCTGTGGCATTGAAGTCTGCCATGGAAGAGACAGCAAGAATTGAACGAGGCCGGACATAGAGGCAGTCACGTCAATCGCCCATGAGGTCACAGCTAGTGTCGAGGCAAGGCGTATCAAAACGTACAGACAATGGCCACCTAACAGCGGTCACTGCGGTCGGACTTGATGGACAAGAGTTCAAAGGAATTCTACATTTGGTGGCACTCTGAACGGAGGAAGAGCGGCGTTAGAAGATTCCTGGAGGAGGAGGAGGAGTAGCAAGCGAATGGGTCTCTCGCAGTTTCAATGGTTCCCAGGGTCATATGGATAGTTGATCGTCTACCCAAACAAAAGGCATGAGTTCCTGCACCTGTCCGCAGACCCGTCAGACAAGCCACGTGAACACGTTGAGGGAGCTATAGCACAGTGACCAAGTCGTGAACTGACCCATATGTAGTCGGTGGGATACCAGAGCCATCCGTCTGCTCTGTCGTTTGATAATAAAAGGTATCGAGACGGTAAGAATCGCTGTAGGCGTCACTTCCTGCTTTGTTTCTTTCGATAAGTGTGCCGCTGCCGTCCCGTGTGTGGCGCCGTCCTGGAAAGCGTACTGACGAAGCGCTCCGTCCCTCCCAGAGGTCCGATCCTCCGGCAGACAGACGTGCCAGAAAGCTTCTCGAATATCTGATCTGCCCTTCTATGGCTCTCTGGCCCCGCGAGGCTGCCGGAGTTCAGGGGTTGCGTGGTTCCAAAACAGCAGTTCCTGAGTGAGTGAGCTGTGTGTCACATCTACCGGATTCCCCGGGTCTGCCCGCAGTCTCAGTCGAGCTGCTGTTATGTGAGATGTGATTACCGGTTTAGAGTCGATCGTCTGCTTTTGGAAATGGTGGTTGAAACCTCCTTGCCTCGCAAATCCATCCACAAATCATCTTATCCGAAGCCTGCCGCCGCTTTTCGATCCTCCACTCAAAGGACGGCTGGGTACCCCACTCCACTCTTCAATCTACCGACGCGCAAATGTTGCTGCTTTCAGAATGTCCGTCTTCGGTAAAGAGTCTCCGCTTTTCCTCTCAGCCTCGACGGACACTGATTGGCCTTTAAGGTCCTCACTTTGACAATCTGCACGACACTGGCTGGGAGACGAGACACCCAACCAAGTCCGCATGGGCGCCGAAGGAAAAGAAACCCCCAGAGTCTGTCTGCTGCATGCATTACAGGAGCTGGAGATTGTGGAAGTCCTTACTACCTGTGTATGTACCGTGCGCAGCTCTGTCTCTGTCTCAGGCAGGGGCAGAGGCTAACATGGGACAAGGCGAGGCTGGGAACGCGGCGTCCTACACATCTTATTTAGCGATAAGGTACGGAACGATGGCGAAGAAGGACCTTACTTGGGCCGTGATCATCTTCGTAAATATGTGACAGGTGCTATGAAGATATTCTCTCAAGAGGATGAACAACGCCTTAACATGAGAACGACATGACCTCCAACCAGAGTGAATCCATCGTCTCTTGTATCTTTTCATTGTGTCCGTTGTAAGAGCATATCCCAGGCTCTTCTGGAAGGTAGTCCATCTTGGCCAGTACCCGAATATGTCCTGTGAATCGATCCGCAACCCAACGCGCACACACTGGTACCGTGTCCATTTCCTCGCATCCTAGATCGAAAATGAGATTCCGTTGTGGACTAACCACGCGCGGTTGGATGCAATTCGAGAAATTCGAATGCTGGACAGTACCGGGGTACCTTAAGGTCCTCACTTTTTGATCCCCTGGCCGTTTCCCTTCTCAGGAATGCTCGCGTCGGTCGCACCCTCCGAGCCATATGTACAGGGCATCCTGCACCTGGGTGGCATTGTAGCCCTTGTTGTTTCTCCCTCCTCTGTCCGTCTCACTCTTTGTATTCTAATCTTCTTCTTTCCTTCTCTGGGAGACATGGCAGCGAGACATATCGCAATGCCGTCCACTGCGCAGGCCAATGCATTCGACATATCTGTAAAGACAACAGTGTCAATGAGCTTTGCAACGTAGGGAGCGTGAATATCCCAAGCTGCCATCCCTCCTACATTCGATGTCCGAGTGACCCTACTCCTCTGCCAGCCGCCAATATCTCTGCTTACCCCAAGACAAAGGAGTCGCTCCCTCCGAAAGGCCCAGCAACGACATCGTCGGGTTGTCGTTGTAGTAGTTGTTGTTGTTTCTATAACAACTGCGGCTACGGTCAGAAGAGAAGGACAGCCCAGAGCATCTTCAGAACTGAATGTCGACCTCATCAGCTATGCCAGCACAAAGAGGGACAACGTGGCCCACGAAACCACCGGCTTGCTGCAACATAATAGGCACAGCAGCCTGTTCGATGGCGAGAGTGACGCTGGTCAAAGATGGGCGTAGTGCTAGTCGGACTCTGTGGCACAAGGAAGAACTCCAGCTGACTGCGTCATATACCAGAGGATTGGCCGCACATGCCGCTCGTCTCTTGAATGATGAGAGTGTCACGAACATAGTGGCCAGCTTTTAAAAGAGCGACACCAGAAAGAAGGACGGCATTCCACAACATATGCACGGTCTCCACTCGGAAGACATCGATAGCAAACAATCATCCTGCCACTTCAACCACCTCATCTTGAGACATTCGACGCCGTGGCTTCCTGCGACTGGCTGGAGTGCTGCACGAGATCCACCGCGTACGTGAGCTGGTAGCATAAGGCACTTCAGACCATGAACAATGTCTCATGTATTGTCTGCGTGGGCTTCACTACCAACGCAACAATGCATAATAAACCCCAGTCTAAAGGAGTTGGTCGACGGCGGTCTGTCTCAAAGAACGCGGGATGTCACTTTCAGTGATATGAATGGACTCCTACTACGGAGGTACGGCTTCAAGTCCACCAGGAGATACCAAGGAACACCCCCCTTGGACGGCACTTCCGTGCCGAGTGGGAGAATCGTGCAGGTACTGTGCATGCTTGTCGGAAAGCTTCAGGGGGGTGGAAGCGAGCGAAAGCTGCCACCAGGTGAGTCAGACAATCGTCGATGTGGTAAGTCAGGAGCAAGCAGGGAGCCGATAAAGACCATGTGGGCTTGTGAAAGAGATCTCATGACTACGAGGGAATCTCCGAGACTCAAGGGTTGTTGTCTACAGGTACGTGGGATGCAGTTATTTTTTAAGGCCCTAAACAGTGTATTTCTGACGGTTGCTATCTAGGGCTGCTATTTCCCATTACTCGGACGTGACATCCCAGAACCCTTCGACATTGCGCTGATCTCTGCCCACTGCTCGAGAGATGACCTTGACATTTGCAGCGACCCGAACCCCATGAAAACCCCTCCACGAAATCAAGAGCTTGGGATGTTTTGAGGGAAAGATGTTTAATGCTTGAGAGCATATCAGCAAAACAATTTCTTTTTGAAAGAGTGCAAAGAATGAACAGAAAGAGACATACAGTGCAACAGGTGCAACCCTTGCATTCGCCCGAGCCGTGTTGGCAGGTGCTGCAGTGTGGTTCCATTGCGGGGGATGGTTCGAAGTCTTTGACTTGTTGATGTGGTTTGATGAGATGTTTTGCTATTGCGCTTGTCTTTCAGTCGAAGTGATGTTTGCGGAGTGGTAAGGAAGGAAAGATCAAAAGCCCAGAGGTAGGGAAAAGAGAGCTGCTCTTATACCTTTCAGCTGGCCACATTTCTCCGCCAGATTCGAGGAAAGGAGATTCCCACCGTAGACCACCCTATCCCACGCCATAAGCAAAGTGACACAGATGATGCTCGAGAGCATGTCAAGTGCTTTGGGTGCGTGATTGGTGCCTTCAGCTTATCGGTTACGTACTTTCATGGTGTGAGAAAGGGTCCCGCGGGCCTGCCGCCTGGCGAGTCCCGCGTGATCAAATAAAGGACGCTCTGCATTGGGGGCCACTCTCTACTGGCTCAGCGGCCCGTCTGTTTGGCCCAAAGAGGGACGGGACGAAGTGGCTCGTGGCAGATTGGTGGGCACAGGAGCGGTCAAGAAGATCTCCGCAGCTGGGACTCTCGCCTTGAGGTTTTGCTTGGTCCAAAGTTGGTTGAAATCGTGCCCTGTTCCTGCACGGTTCCCGCTCGATGTAGTGAAAAAGAGGAAAGATCAGACAAGCGGAGTACTTTTCTTGCGTGGGATGCGAGCCGGGGCTCTCCAGGGGGGGGGGCGTGGGAGTGGCCATCAGTTTTTCGGGCCAGTTTGGGAGTAGCTCGTTGGCCATCTGCACGGAAGCACACTCGCAACTGGGGTCACATGTGATCAGAACAGCTTCAACGACTCTCTTGGAAATTCTGTCCGACAATCCGGGCCAGCTGGCTGGTTGAGGGATTGGAGCCTGTCTCTGACTGTTTGGAAGGACGACATTGTGGCAGCCAGCCGCACAAATCATAGACTGCAAGGTTGACAGCCACCGCCAGTAACAATCGGGTGGTATTCCAGGCCGCCTTCATCTGCAAGAGCTCAATGTACTCATCTATGTAGAGTAATGGAGATAGAAGGGACGTTGCGATAAAAGCAGCGTCACCTACTCGTCCTTAAAGGCCCCCAGAATCGTCCTGGAAAGTGGTCCAAGTCTAGCCCGTTTGGGAATAGACAAAGACCTGGTTCAAAGCGGCGGTAATTGGTTGCGCTACTGAGCGCGGCTCTCCATAGCAAGTACCATAGAACTGCGATCTGGACAACAAGATTCTCTTCATTTTTCTGACCGGGATATTAGTATGATGCGCCTCAGTCCTCAATCCGTCGCCAGGCACTCTCCAATACTTGTCGATACTTGCATAAGGCCTGGAACCATTCCGAAATCCGATGCCCAAGTATATCGAATCCACCACCAACGAAGTTGATCTGGCGTCAATCACCGCCTTAGCGGATCTGGTGGTTTCAGGAAGAGCGTGATTTCGGCGCCAAGATTAGCCCTCGCCCTCATTATCTTCGGCCTCTTCGTAAAGATAGCCAGTTATCAAATCAGCTTGTCCGAGTGTGTCGCCCGCCGTCGTAATCGATTTATCTCCGAGCACATCTCTTTCGTCTACCCCACTCCGTTGTAGGGCCTCTTATGCAGATATGCTGCAAATCGAACGACGTGCCATTCAAGAACACACCGTCCGCTCGTTCATGGTGAGGAGAGTCCTAGGGTGTTGTCATATCCCCGTCTGTGGCTCTGCAAAGTAGTTCAATACATCCTGCGGGAGGTATTCCAACCATGGTATCATATCGCTGCCGGGAAAATCAAAATTGAATTGCTGGCCTGCGCTCATGTCGATATCTTGTGATTCAATTAGCATATCGCTGTAGGCTTGGGTTTGCGCGTCAGAGAATGATTGCTGGGGACTCAAGGAGCCGTTAAAGCGTTGCCCTTGCTGCGGATATCCAAAGGCATTCGGGGGTTGACTGAGCTGTATGGGTCCAGCAGCAACACCGGACGGCGGAGCTGAGTTAGCTGTATATGGAGAGTGAAGTCCGAGCAAAAGATCTGCATCAGCCGTTGATACTGGATCGTAAGGCACCGATGACACTCTATCAGTAGAAGCTGAGTTTTCCCCATGATAGGCTTGTCCCAATCGTTCAGCTATGGTGGCATCACTCTGAAGAGTAGACATATTCCGGTTGTCCCACTGCGATTCAAACCTTCTCATCCCTGTTGGACCTTGAGGCGTCTCATCTTGCTCCTTTCCTGGGGAAGCGGAAGCCGCCGGTGGTGCCTTTGCAGTTTCGGCACCTGTCGGATACAGGAAGCTAAGGTTGGGGGCTAGAGAGTTGGCCGTTCCTGTCAAGGACCACCCAATTGCATTACTGAGATCCATCGAAGGAGACATCGACCCGCTCCCTGACAAAGCCTTAAGCGAGCGTAGTCTGCCATATGCTCCTAGTGAAGCAGCGAGCGAGGTGCTTCGTCGCCAGCCGGGAGTGGTAAAAGATGGTTCTGTTGATGGCATTTCTCCATCAACGTCATCTGCAGTGAACAGTAAGGGATCCATCAGACCTTTTGACTTCTGGTCGAGAGCGGTCAAGATATAGCGACAGCCCGCCCAATAAGAATCTAAAGTCTTGAGGGCTTTGTAACACCGCTGATAATTTTGATTGGCAGCAGTAGCAAGAAGAGTATGGCGTGCAGAGGCTGCTTTTTGCGTCCTTTCCATTATCACGTCTTGTTTCGGCCGATGGCTATGTCCATTTGATGGCGGAGATGTCGCTCGGGACGACGGCTGGGAGGTATGAGCGGCAGCTTCCGCCAAAAAAGCGCACGCCGCAACGTACATTGGCTGGCTGGTGAAAGGATTACCGATGAAGCTCTTGACATCTATCAGCTCGGCGAACGCCAGGATATCCGCGATCGTCTTTGCCGACGACATGGACAGTTCTCTGCTGTCGGGGAACAGCTGTTGGATTCGTCCTTCGAATGAGTGTAGCAAAGTCGGCTGGTGAAGTAGGACAATCAAGGTATGAAACCAGAAGTGTAGTAGAATGAAGTTCGTGCCGTGGCCTGCTTTGACATAATGCTGGAAATTGGTGGCATTGAAATGCAATCTAGGTGACAGGCGTTGATATATGCCTGTACTGGTCAGCTTCCAGTATCCAACAAGAGAATGAATTTCCCACCTGTCAGATCTCTCTCCATGCTTGCCAACCGCTTCAACACGTCTGGCGTGACCTGGCTGACATCCTTGATGTTGTTGAGCACATCCGCAACTCGCCCATACATGTGAACGATCTTAATCATGGCAGGAAACGGGTCAGGGTATCCATTGATCATCTTCTCATCAGCTCGAAACGGGAAGGAGATTTCGATGTCCTTGTCTCGCAGAGTGACAGGACGACCAACGCCCGACGAGACTGCTCTGTCGAGAAAGAAGATAGCCCAGAAGGTATCAATTCGTTCCTGTTCACTTGCCCTTCGATCGTCCAGTTGAGAATTACCCTGGTTGTAAAGATTGCGAGACAGCTTTTGTTGCTGTTCGGCTCTCCTCCGCTCCTCGGCCTTGCCGTCCTGACTATGTTTGGCCGTCTTGGGGGTTGGTCCAATCCGCCCTTCCAGTTGCAAGCCCTCGAGCTTTTGAATCCCCAAGTCCTGCGCCATGCGTATGGCCGTGCCAAGGTACATCCATAAGCCGCTATCGTGATCTACGCCAAACTCCTCATAAGCGAGAAGGAGACAGGCTTGAGCGACAGCCATGGTGGGACAGGAAAATGTGTCTATCACTGCTGACATGGCCCTTTGAGCGAAGGGTTGGCCTCGAAAAGCCCGTCTGACATTTCCTTCTGCATCCAGAGGAATGGAAGGGTCATTGGATCCGCAAAGGAGCGGGTTTCCTGAGAATCGCGCCGCAACCGCGCAGACAGCATCGACCAAGATCGCATCCACTTTCTTCTCTTCCAAATCCCTCAGAAATCTGTCGCGTTGAAGAAAAGGGTAGTTGCAGCCAAGGTGGGTGAAGAATGTTTCGCAAAGATGAGTGATCAGGGGAGCATTTTGGTCTGGATCAGTCGCATCGTAGAATGGTATCTCGACGGGCACTCGATCCTGGCCACCAGCAAAGTTCCCATCTAGCTGTTGTCCTGCAGCTGGAGAATCTCCAGAGGCCGAAGGCAAGCTCGATCTGTGGTCCTTGACTTGCACCACCATCTGTTTGAAACCAGGTACGATTGCAGTCGGCCCGAAATACCGAAAGTAGGGGACCCGGTTTCGAGAAGAGGCGACGCTGCTCCCAGTGTGATTGCTTGAAGGACTTATCATTTCCCCAACATCTTCCCTGGCGGTGTTGTCCATCTCTTTTCCTGGTCCAGCTCGCAGTTTCATCGCGACCTCCGCATCTCTGCTTTGCTTTTGAGGCGTTGAGGATCCAGAGTCGGCCTCCTCTTCACCATCCTCATCGAGTCTCTCACCATCTTTGCGAATTGGGCGGTCGGCATAGCCTGAACACACATGGTTGTTGTCCGTGCAGGTTTTGCACTCAGGCCGCTCACCAGAGCAGCGCGTCTTCCTCTTGCGACAAGTCAGACAAGCAGCATTTATCCGCCTCCTCTTTGTATGCGGCTGACCATCGGTCGAGACGAAGCGGATTTGGCGAGGCGGCGGGAGAAAACTCGTAGGGGCGTTGGAGGATGCGGACTGGCCAGGGTGGACGCCACTTAGGCTCATACTTTCAAGAGAAGAGACTCGCGCTCGTGGCCCGGGACGATGGCATTTTAAGTGGACGGTGTCAATCGTCGAGTTTCTTGGTCATTCCAGCATGGGATTGAGAGCAACGCAGCTGAGCCCAAGCACATATTCTGACCACTGCAGTGAAAGCCTGCGACTCGCTTCTCCAGATACAAGTCAAGTGCTGCCAAATGGTCGTTGGAAAAACTAAGAGCAAGAGAGGGGTTCATCTGAAAACAAGCGCAGGCAATAATGGCCCAAGAAGCTGCACCCAGCCATTCGCACTTCAACCTACCAGAGAGGCGGACTTGCCGTGATCGTCCAGGCCTCGAACACAGCACTACCCGCTCGCCTAAGAAGCTCCTCTCGTCCTGTGCTAATCGTAGAGAGTTGCGGGGGGGGGGGGCATCTCCACTGTCGGCTGATACTGTGTATAATAATATTCCACACAGACCACTCCCCTTCTGGCACTGATTGGTTCTGAGAAATTGTAACCAGACGCAGACAATGCTCACTTATCCCTTTTGTATTGAGTCCCGTGAATCAGTGTGCTATGGGGATTCGTAGAATACAGGGTGACTTGTTCAGTCTTCATAACATTATGCTAGGCACTCCCTGCCAACCTCTTTTTTTTGCATTCCAAAGGAGTTCTTCCCTCTATTTATGCAAAATACTTCATTCAGCCTCATGTCTGCGACCTCGACCTCTCCATCCTCCCGTTACTCCATAGCAGCACACGCCGTTTTGTTCGCACCACACCCGGACATCCATCGGGCTTACTTCGCGGTCTTCGCCTATTGCTTTGAAGCCTTCCGTATTTAACCAGACCGTAAGCTCCTCCAGGACGATCGGGTCGTACATGAGAATTTTTTCGCGCCAGGTTGGCGATACTTGGTGGTTGCAGGATTCCCCGTTCACAGATTGCGCTTCTGGAAGGCGATAGATAGCAGCATGAATCTGTGACAAGATATCCGGTATAGGAGTCTGCTGGGGCGTGAGACCAGGACCTCCAACCGCGGGACTGTCCAGTCTCGAAACCAGGGCCGCACTCTGGGCACGGGAAGATTCACGTGCTTGCGAAGGTGTGCATTCCAGTCGCGGCACCGTCGATGGTGGTGTAACGAGTCTCTGGGCTGCATGTCCAGGCTGGGGTCCCATAGATTTCGCGTTATTTTGCACAGTGGAACGTTCCAGGTTCTGGCTCTCTTCAATATTTCGATTAGAAGAACCGCCCAGATCATCAACATCCACAATTTTCTCGTCCGAGAGCGCCTTTGAAGTGCGCTTCCGGGAGCCTTTCCCTTTTTTTGGTGCAGGGTCGTTCGATGTAGTCGCCGCCTTTTTCCTCTTCTTCGGCTCCTTGGCAATATTTGTGTCCCCAGATTCGGATTTTCGTTTGGCGCGAGGCTTCTTGACTTTTGGAACTGGTCTCATGGAGACATCATGAATTTTACTTAGTAAATCGGCGTGTGTCATTGCATGGCTCGTGGCACTTTCATCGTCATGTCCTTGCTGCAAACCGTGTTTGCTCTCCCAGCATCGCTCGAGAAGCTCAATCATCGCCTCTCGCTTCTTAACAGCCTTGAAGCCGAACGACGATATTTGTTTCTTAAGTTCGTGATCGGAAAACCCCCCGTACGACGGCATCGTTGGCTTTGGATCCGGCGCCACGCTCTTTGATTCAGATTGCTGCTCGTCGTCTCGGTCAGGGGCATCGGCTCCCTGATGCGGCTGGTTAAGCGTCCGAGACGTATGATATAGCCTGGGTCGTGCTTTTATAGGTGTCTTGACAGATTTGCGAAGTCTAGGCGTAACAATATCATCGATATCGACCAGCGGTGCGGGTTCTGTAGCATAGGGAATTGGCGGTCGCACAGGCCTCGAAGGGCCATTATTCGAAGTGGTTGTTTCTTGATAGTTCCGGTCGATAGGCTGCACAAGGACGTCTTTCCCTGCAAGGGCTAGGCGCACAGCAGGGGAATCAGTAAGGTCAACCGTGTCGACTTGCAGCAATGCATTATCTTCGTCTCGGCCAGCCGCACCCCACAAGTTCCTTCTTTTGACAAACCGACTCGTACCGCGACAGACGTTGGGTGACGTGGGCTCGGTCGAAACGGGCTGCGTCGAAGGTGGTGAGATGGGATCAGAAGAAAAGCATTCAGAGCGCCTCAGTGCTTCCAGGGTATCCCGGGTCAGCGTAGGCGATTCATCGCGAGCTAATTGACTTGCTGGACCAAAGAGAAACGGCTGCTCCAGAGTGGTCTTTATTGCGGATGTTGGAGATTTCAATCGACTCTTGGCTGGTGCTTTCTTGGGCACCCGTGCTTTCTTGCTTGAAGTTTTTGATTTCAAAGCCTTCGTACTCACGTCGACGACCGGGTCTAATTCAATCCCTGCACCCATTTGTGTCGCGGTAAGATATTCCAGCATGGGTGGAAGCTTTGTTTTTTTCTGGCGGCCATCGCTGTAATTCGACGTTGCCAATCCTGTGATCGTGAGAGGCTTTTTGGGGGCAGGTTTTGCCTTTCCGTCGATCCCATCTTTCACAAGATTTCCACATGATCTCGGTTGGCATGTGGATGATGAAGGTTTTGCCTCAGCCGTCATGACAAGCTCAATCCTTCTTCTACTTAGCGGCGCTTCGTTGGTGTCATTTGCCGCGGTTGTCTCAATAGCCGTTGTCGCAAAAGGGTCAAAGGCATAAAAATCCATTAGATCATTGATAAACCCATCGGTTCGATCCTCAGAATACGGTGCCTCCAAACCATTTGCGCTCGGCTTGACAGGTGTCCAATCCAAACGCCTTGGTATGGCCTTCTCCAGTGAGAGGGGGCTCGAATGCCGGCTGGTGTTGAAGGAGTGCTCTTCTCCGGGATGCTTCAATTCTGTCTCTGAAGCTTCCAAATTGCCTGATTTGATCGCCTGACGGTCTCTTTTGCGTGGATTTGGCACTGGATCAAGCGACTCTAAGAACTTGAAGTGCTTAGATCGCTCCTCCACCGATGCTTCTTCGTTCTTTGGCCCACCCCTTGCCTCCTTAAGGGTGTTTCCGGCAAGCTCTTCGGGTCGCTGTAGGGATTTCGGCTTGAATCCATCTTTTCGAAGAGACGGAAGAGGGATATTCTCCGCGCCGACCTTTGCGGCGAGCAGGGCACGTGCGCTGCTGAAGCCGCGAGAGAATCCATCTCTAACCTGTCTCGAGTCCTTGAACTTTTTCGAGGTGATTCCTTCAGTTATCGACAAGCCACATGGCGACCTCAATGGAGATAGAGCGTCGGCAGGAGTGGGAGAACGGGCGAATGTTCGCGGAGGAGAGGACGAAAGAATTACGACGGCGCCGGACATGGTGGGAAGGCACTTGACGGCCCATTGACGCAGGTTAGTGACTGCCAATGCGGTTGCAGGATGTTATTGAGGAAGGAAAGTCAGGATAACAAGGACGGGAGGCTGATTGAAAATACACCGACATGTGTTTATTCAGGTTGAAGCTGGTTGGAGATGTCTGCCCTTACCAAAACAAAGTGAAGCCGGTGTGGAGGGGGGCAATGGACCCTGGACTAGCGGGTTGAGACGCGACTGGTTCACGATCCCACGTGAGCGGTGCCTTGGGCCTATTGTCCTAATGGCATTCAATGCTTAGATGGAATTGCTTTACACTTTGGGTGAATACCGACTGTTAGCATACACCTTTTAACTAGATGCAATGTGATAACCTTTTCTACACCGAGAGGAAGTCTTCCGTCTGAGTCCTCTGATCAATCAACAAACTACACTAAATCTCAGTCCTGCAAGGTATCCTTCACAACGCCAACCGTTCTCAAGTCCACCTCAAGACCCATGGCAAAAGCGCTACCAGTTCCCCATTCCCAGGAAGTCTTGCTCGTCCGGGACAATTGGCAGCGGCGGTGGTTCAGGAAGCGGAGTGTATGGCGGGCCTCCCTCGGACAGGTTGACGGTCAGGCTCGACCCTGACGACGCAGGCGGCGGGCATTCGCCTTCAAGGACGGGAAGCTCGTGGTCAGCTCCATTTGTTTCGGTGACTAACTCGGTCAGTGCCCACAGCCTCCTCCCCCTGCACCTTCAAGAGCCCTATGTTATACTCACAGCCTGGAATTGAATTCAGCATGAACTTGAAGATAGTATCGCCAATCTGCCAGATCAAGGACACAGCGTACGTCCAGGTGGCAGTGAGAAGCCAGCCAATGGCCCTGAAGCTCGCCATCAGTGTCAAGTATAATCTAGTTGGCAAAAGCCTGGCCGCTGCAAAAGGCATTGTTTGGTTCGAGTCTTTGGACAGACACAGTGCCGGCTGTGGCGAATTTATAGACACAACGGTAGAGGGAAGGTCGCATGCATCATTCAAGTGTTGCGGCCAAATCACCTGGAATAAATCACGCACTCTGTCTCAAAGGAATCCCATTCTCTTTCATGAAGGGTAGATGCCCAAACATTCATTGCAGGTCTTGGGGCCAGGGCAATGCGGATTTGGGCAGCTCGAGCAAGGTCGAAATCAGAGGATATATGGAAAATTGACAGGACCAGCCGAAGACTGCCAACGCCTTGGTCGGCGGTCGGACGTCATGGCAAGAGCTGGAGTGTGAGTCAACAGATCAATCGGGCAAAAGCTGCCTTGTTGGCTGCTCATTGAACAGAGGTTGGATGAGAGTGAGGTGCAAGGCGATGTTGGCATGGATTTTGTCAGTAGCAGCAAGCGAGGAAAGTGGACAGCGAGGAAAGCTCAATGCTTCACCGTAAAGACTGCCAGCAGCATGATACGGAGAGCTACACTACTCCAAGACGCATCTATCGATCGAGATTCGAGGCTTACCAGCCACATCCTCCATCAACTCACCCCGCCGCAGGCTAAATCCGCATCCCCCTCGACAGCGACCGCTGTCACCACCAGTCACTACCCCTCTGGGTGAGGTCAGCAGTGCCCGCCAGGTGTCCGCTGAGTGCCCACCGCCCCACGCCTTGGTTGGTCAGGCGCAGTCCAAGTCCTGGATCGTGCCGGCGACTTCGAACCTGCACCAAACATTTCAGCCGCAGGGGGCCTCTAGCCGGGGGCCAAAGCAACAGCCGTGAAGGGCGAGCTGGCGCTCAACAATGGTGCCTCCGAGACAATCCACTAAGCCCTTGGCCCTGGCTACCGACAAGCATCAGCTGCTAGTCGGCGCTTTTCTGCCGTTGAACAGCGATGGAAATGTTGTCGCTATGTCGCGCAAGATATATTGGACCTTCTTCTCGGCTTCAGTGACACGAACATCTACCTCTTGAAGTTGTCTTTGCTGCGATTGTCGGGCTCAGTGGACGAAGGGCCTCGAGTGGCAAGCGCCGCGCAATCAGGCTGAGAAGCGCTCTTATCAGCATCGACACGCACTTCACTTTGCTCTTTCTTGCTCTCCAAACATGGCTTCTGACGATGATTCGCAGGCTGTGGACACCCATCATGATGAGAAGGATTGGGAGTCGCAGAAGGAAAACTTCCGCGTCTTTTACATTGACCAAAACATGACTCGCAAAGAAGCCGCGGAGTGCATGAAAGAACACTTCAACTTCAGCGCCACCCCACGCCAATGGGAGCGCAAAATCAAGCAGTGGGGATTTTCAAAGTACACGAATCGAGAGGAAAGACTTCATCAGATTGCGCAAACCGGCAAAACCGTCTACGACGTGAGTCGTCCCGGTCGAAGACCTCGTTCTCATGTAGACGAGCACGGCAATCTCCAACCACATGAAGATCGTAACCTGCGTCGCTTTGCCCGTCGAGAACTCAGTCGTTCGAGATCGAGGTCACGGTCGGCCTCCTTCACCGACACGCCGCGCCCACAGTTCAAACAAGAATTTTCGGATCCCTCTGCAAATGCATCCATGGATTCTCCATTTGACTTCAACCAACTCGACTCGGAAATGCGACGGAGTTCCAGCAACGACGGGTTCCATCTGCCCCCAGCGCAAGCCGGTGGTGGCCCGTTACAATCATATCCACCGCACCTCTTTCAGGAGCACGAAGCCGGCGCGTATGGGACAGCTGCTCACCGGAGCCTTCCTCTATCTGTCGGCCATGATCAGTGGGGCCCCGCACAGGTTGATGGGACACAGCAATTCAACACCGCTGCAGCGCAAACGCAGTACACGGTGTTTCCGAACGATCCGACATCATCGCATGTCCCACAAACAAGCGGTATCCCAAATGGTACACAGCGCTTTTCGGTTGATGCAAGGGACCCATCATTTGGTTTCCCCATCACCGAACCCTCGATGACCTCGTTGCCAGCAGACTTCAATCAGTTTGACATGGCAGGCGCCGACATAGGGATGACTTCAGGAATGATGCCAGAGGACATGATGACAGAGCAGTCAATGTTCGGCGACACGATGCAACTGCCACTTGGCTCGGAGACGCTGAACCAGACAGGTTTCGAGAACAATCCCGGGATCAAGTTTGCTGTGGTGGATGTGGACTCAGCGCCGATGCTTCCTGTCGCTGAAAATGCTCCTTTGCAACCTTCGGTGGGCATGGACGTGTTCTTTCCAGAGCAAGGCTCGGGCAATGATGGGCCTCTCCAAAATGATGTGTTGCCCCTGGTCGAAGAGTACACTCGGGCTGTTCAAGCTGCGGCCCTGGGCTTCATCAATAGATCTTCACACAACAACGGCCATGCCATAGACCTGGCTGCTGATCTTGTTCAACCAAGTAAGTGCTGCAGGGTACCCTTTCTCTTCTTGAATCCCGGCTAACCCGCCACTCCGCTAGGCCGGGCATTTATGACGAGCATGGCCGTCATTCTTGACAACTTTGCGAAATCACAGCAAAGGTCCCTGCAGAGCATGAAGGATACCTGCAGGAACCTCCGACAAAAGAATACGCGATTGATGCAGATCCTCAACAGCAGTAGGTGTTGACTGGCGAATCCCGGGTCTCTTTTGGGGACTTGTGCTAACGTCTTGATAGACGATGACATGCAGCCAATTCCTTCGATAGAGCCTCAACAGAATCGATCCTCTCTCCCTCCACAAGGAGCGATATATGGTCATATGTATGCGCCGAACTTTTGAAAGGATGGAGCACATGTCTTGGTATATTGAATGTTGATCACGTGGGCGACCTCGGCAGATGTCGTTTGACCGAAGCGCGTTAGTGACGGCAAGGCCCATTATCATCCGCACAATCATCCTTCAACCTAAAATCTCAGACTCAGCTTATCTCGACGACTTCACATATTGCGCTCGAGGCAGCGGCGAGGTCTTATTCGACAAGGTCGTCGGTGGGAATATTATCGATATCTGCCATGCTTTTCACCCGAAACCCGATAACAGACATCGTTCAAGATGTTGGTGATCCTGTGGGACCCTGACACGCTCCTCCACAAAACCGTTGAGCTGTTGGGCTCAAATCTCATTCCTGCCTTGGAATCACCAGAACGGTTGGAAGCAATCCTCCAAGCTTTACACGATTCTGAGTATGGGGCCGCCACAAAGCAAGTCAGCTCGCTGCGGGAAGGCCCGAAGCCGCGACTTCTCGAACTCACCTCGAAAACACATGGGCACGAATATTTGCAACACCTACGAAACGTGTACGAGGAGTGGCTATCGGCCGGCCTGATCGAGAAGGACGGGCATGTTCTGCCAGAGTGTTTTGTGTTGCCGACTTCGACGGGGAAACCACTACGTCCGCCCAAGGACCTTTTCGCAAGAGCAGGATATTATGCCTTTGACATGAGCAGTGGCATCATGTCAGAGAGTTATCGAGCCATGGTGGCTTCCGCAAACCTCGCATGTGAGGGGACGGACATGCTATTAGGCTTTGATAGTGGCCAACCCAACGACGTCGACACCGTCGTAGCTCTGTGTCGGCCACCAGGACACCACTGCGACGGTCAGCGAGCAGGTGGCTACTGCTACATCAACAATGCTGCTTTAGCAGTGAGTACGTGGCGGTCATATCAGCCTGATGCACAGATCGGAATCCTGGATATCGACTTCCACCATGGCAATGGCACTCAGGAGATTTTCTATGCCGATGGCAAGGTTCTGTACGTCAGCATTCACGGGAAAGACGAGTTTCCGTATTACACCGGCGAGGAAGATGAGATAGGCCTTGGCGAGGGGCAGGATATGAACATCAACCTTCCACTCAAAGTTGGCAGCTCAATCGAAGAGTACCTGGAAAAACTCGACCATGGCCTGAAGAAACTTGTGGAGTTCAAGACCGAGTTCTTGATTGTGAGTCTGGGGTTCGACACCTTTCATGCGGATCCGTTAGGTCATTTCCAGATTCACACAGAAGACTATGAGACTATTGCGAGGACAACAAGACAGGCACTCAAGACAATGCCAGCACTTATTCTTCTTGAGGGCGGATATGTGATTGAGCACCTTGGTGCGAATATGTTGTCATTCCTCAAAGGGTGGAACTCTACCTGACATCCAGCCCGCATGCCCACCAATTCCTTGCGCCATACATACCCGCCCAGCTTTCAACGTGATGATGGATGACCTCGACCCATGATATTTGTGTATCAATCTTTGCGGAGGCCCAGTGACGGGAAGGGAAGCATGGTCAGACCTGGTCCAAGGCGTCAGTCTGCTGCCTGCGGAGGTGGATGACAGCTTCTGTACATCGTATCAGTGACCATATGGACGCGTGAAAGATGAAACATCGGAGGGGGTTACCTGGATGTTGACGGTTTGCTCGGTGGGTCTGCCAAAGGGCATACAAGGCAATGAAGAACATGACCACACCAAAGAGGATGTTGCTTAGAAGCTCGGGGGAGATGTGGTGCGGCGTCTGGGCAGGCATTATGTATCTTTCAGAGACTTTGACTCGCGACAAGGCTGGGAATGTATGCTTTGACCTGACGTTGTTAAATCGAGAATCGAGCGCAGTTTAGGCACGAGAGGAATTGAGAACAGGATCGAGTTCAAGGAACCCATGGAATTGGGAGAGGGAGTGAGGTCTAAATTATATACCCAGGTAGGTTGATGGTCACAGCAACAAATGTATTTGGTGACCATTTGTGTCTTTTTTTCATCCGTGTCGAATTGTGGATCGGCGGACCCATCAGCCGCCACGGCAGTGGTGGAAGCTCAATAGAGCAGGCCAATGATTGGCGGGAGGCGGGGAGGCCAACCTGGCGGAGTGATGTTCTCACTGCGTCGAGAGGGAGAGGGCAGGCACATACAGGATCCTGCAGCGATGATTCTCATTGGAGGGAGAGGGGAAGTCCCACACCCGTGCCTCTCATCTACCGTCCGCCCTCCCCTAAACCCTCCCTCCCGAGCTCTTGCACTAGAACTCAGCCTCACCGGCCTCGCCAAAGTTCCTGCAAAGGCAACCGCCAGCCCATGTGTCACTGGGGTGGGATGCATGCCATTTGTCCCAATCCAGATAGTGCGTGAGGTGCCGGGCTGTCACGAAAAGCAGGAAAGGAGCTGGCCACCACTGCCATTCACAGTCTTCCTAGACAGTACCGGATGTGAGGGTCCCGGAGGGTAGCAGGCAGGACGAGGAAGAGGGGGCCTTACTACGGGCCATTACCTGACAAGGGACTGGCACTGGCAGCTCGAACCCCCTCGTCCATTATTCTAACTGGAGGGCGATGCCAGGTCTGCAGCTTCTGGTTCAGTCAACAGGGCAAGAGCTAACTGACTACGAGTAAGTCCACAACCACTTGCTGGATCCTAGCTGGCTCACTGTTCGCTGTAAGGGAGGAGGGAGAGAAAAAAAGTCGCCGCCCATAGACTTGTCCCGATGGGCTGAAATTCGAGACTTGCTGTATCCGAACGAGATGCGCCATCTTGAAAGCCACAGAACTTTCTTGCCCACGCCTCACTCAGCCTGCTTAGCGAGTGGGGGACCGAGGGATAGTCGGCGGGCGCTGCGTGACAGAACGCCACAAGCAGAAGCAGCAGGGGCTCCTCAAATCTTAATAACCCCTTGCTGATACCTGGCAATATGCTGGACAAGGAGATTACGCTAATTCGATAATGGGCTTTGGTTTAAACAGAACGGTGGCTTTGCCGTCACGAACCTCGACGGGGGCTTGAAGAGGACATTAAATCTGCCAGAGGAAGGGGGACGATCTGGTCCAAACATGCTATCCCGTCCCCGGTATCTACCCTAAGCCAATCATTGGTGCCCCCATCCTCCAAACCCTACTAGGGTACTGTACCTCTGATGCCTTCCAAGTGCATTACGTGCAAGTGTCGAGTACACGACTGGGGCTTTGCTCTCTGGATGATGCACCGGGGACACCATTTCTGTCGTCCAGGCAGGGTGTTTGGCTTCCTGTGGCATGTTACCCCCTCAAACTTCCCAGCCTTACGCTTCTGGACATGTTTACAATGGGCTTGCAATATGTTTGAAGGAGGGACAAGGAGGGCAGCGACTTGTATGCTTAGCGAAATGGATTGGAGAGGAGAAATTCATCTTCATTTTCTGGCTTTTCTCTTTCCCTTCGTCTTCTTCAGCCTTGTCCTTTGGGCAGTGATAGAATGAATGCTTGGGTTGACTGCGCCGCAATCCACAGAGTTGCGCCGTGCTGCAAAGTCAACACCTCCCTCCTCTCCATCACCGGAGCTAGATAATGCCAGACCCTCACATAGTTTTTGATGTAATTGCTTCGGTCCAAAAGGTTCTCGCCGCCTGATGCAATGCCAATTCCACCCCCCTTACCCCTCCACTATCATCTCCTGCTATTCTGCCTCATACTCAGAATCTGCGCCATCCGGATAAAGATGTTCAAAAAGTCCAGCTCGAGCGAAATGCTCTCGTTGACCACGTCCTTCCTCACCAATCCCCGCTCGCTCATTCTGGCGTGGTGCAAAATCTTCTGCACGTCATACAGTGTAAACCCACCAAAGACTGCGAGGCCGCCATAGAGCCAAATATTCTCGGTCCAGGCGAGCGTGCGAACGGCCGTGGCAGGGAGAACCAATGGCGCGAACCCGGAGATGGCGACAACGGCGACACCTGCAAGCAACGGGCCTCCCAAGTATAGGTACTTCTCTTGCTTGGCGGTGGCCCCAATGAAAGCGATGGATCCCATCATGCCAACAGTGTAAAGGCCGGCACGAGCCAGGATCGCGGGAGAGAGAAACATCAGTGGAGAGAGAATGGCGGCCTGGGTGACATTGAAAGCCGTCCAGAGGGCATATTTTTGGATATAGCTGTTTCACCTTGTCAGTACCATATCCTTGAGTCTGTCGGAGCGAGGTAGATGCGACTTACTTGTCTGGGTGTGTATACATCGTGCCGTACATCGTGCCAATACTCGCAGCGAGACCCAAGCCGACCACCAACCACGGGTTCGTAGCCATCAATCTGTAACTCCAGCCGCTGGTGTGCAGTGTCCGGGCCGCAAGACCGATGATCCCGACGCCCAAACCGGTGTGCAAAAATGTCTGGTTCAAGTATTCCCGCTCAAAGGGAGGCATGCCGCCATCTTCGCGTGTTTCGCGGTTAAAGATCAGGTTCGTGGCGACAATGGTTCCGCCGACCAGCGCAGCGCCGTACAGAAGCCGTTGCGTGAGGTTGCCACTCGCGGTGGGGTTCGCGGGTTGGTACGAGGGCGTTTGATAGCCGCGCTTGAAGCCATTCCGTAAAGCTGATGATTTCAAGAGCGATTGTGCGTTCGAGGTCGAGGCAAACGGCCGAGGGTTGAAGAAGGAGTTGGATGATTTGGGAGACGAGTGGAACGCTCGGACAAGCGTCGAAGGTTTGCTGAGAGGTTTGAGGGTGTTCGAGGAGACCGCAAAGGGCCTCCTGAGAATGAAGGACATGATCAAGGCGCTCTTCAGAATGGAATCGGAGATGGTCGACAAGTGAGAAAGAACAGAAAGAAAGTCGTTGACGGGATGGGCGTGTGGAAGAAGTACGCAGGCACAAAGAGCTTCGCCATACAAATACATCCGAGGCGCCGCCACAGCTCCAATGACGCACGGGCGACGCTAGGCTGCTGATTGGTCAGCTGGATGGAATCCTCATCACGTGGACCCGGATATTCTTATCCGACGCCACTTTGAAGACTTCTCGATGTTTCCAGCAAGGCTTCAACTCCCTACTTGTACTTGTACATATGTAGAAGTTACTCAATACGTTAGTACGGAGTGACCCAATACTCGTATGCTTGGTTCACGTCCTCCTCCTGTGACACCATACGCAACACCATGCCCCCATGTTCAATCCCCTTGCCACAAGCCAGCCGACTCAGCCTCACGGAATATACCTAAAGTCCGGATGCTTGTGCCCGAGGTCCCTCTTCTCAGCCTCATCCAACCCCTCAAGTCGATGCGTCCTCTTTCCTTGCTCCCGTAGTCGATTCTCGCGCATGTTATATGCAATGCCAAAGCTAGCTACAAAGAGGACAATGATCTGGGCAGACAGGTTGATGGTGTGACCAATGGGGTAGCGAGGCGCGTCGCGAACAAGATAGGTCCATCTGTACAAGGTCAGTCTATTCATATCTCAGGAATGATTCAGTCTGTGATCCCTCACGTGGCAAGGACGCCTCCTAGAGTGCCAACCGAGACAATCCACGCAGTCGCCACAGCACGCACTGCCGGCCCGGCAGAATCTGTCAGGCGTTAGCAGTGATTCGTTTTCGTATCAAAGCACTCTTCATACTGTTGATCCCCCAAGAAAGGAACCCAGGTCCTCCTGGAAAAGCTCCTGTGGTAATAAAATAAACAGCCATATAACGAATCGAGGCATTTGTGCTCCATCTCAGTATAGAAAACCCGGCGATTGGCAAGAAAGTGGCTCCTGCGAGATAAATACCACGCCTGCGCGTTTTGTCGCTGACGTACGCGATCAAAATAGCCACGAGACACGCAGCCACGTACGGGGGCACCGAGTACAGTTGTGCCTTGGTTGCGGTCCAGCCGAGATCCGCCAGGATAGTGGGCATGAAGATGGAGAGACCTTGGACAGTGATGTTGATCAAGAAGAAGCCAGCCGCACAAAGGTTATTGTTGATGTTGAAGATGGCGGCGCGAATATGATGCCATTGGACCTTCTCCATCGGATCCTGTTTCTGTCAGTACTTGCTTGTCGAAAGACATCATTGAGTGCTCACAGCGCGATGCTCTCGGATCAACCGTTCATGGGCGATATGCCGTTCTCGTTCGGTGAGGAACCGACAAGTCTGCGGATTCGATGGCATCAAGGTTGGAGCAGCCGCTGCAACGATGATGGTGATCTAGAACTCATTAGTCCGGATTGCAGCAGCCTATGTCTAAAACACACCAAGCCCTCAAAGAAGAAGATATTTCTCCAGCTAGAAAAGGGAGTCAGATGCATAATCGAACGCACTCATCTGGCAACAGCACTCACGTGTGGATCGGTGTAGACTCTGTCCCCCAACGAGGGATGCGACTGAGATCCGTCAGCAGCTTGAACAATTGCCCAGTAGTGAACCTACTTACGACAAGGCTGTCGCGAACAAGCCTCCAAAAGCCCCTGCGATGGAAGCAGCTGAGATGAATATTCCGATCCGGAAATACAGCTCTCGCCGTTTGTAGAACGTGCTCAGGAAGAATGAGATCCCAGGCATGGTGCCGCCTTCAAAGACACCCAGGAACGCCCGCGCGACGCACAGTTCGTCAAAGTTCTTGACAAAGGCGGTGCAGAGAGACACCAACCCGAAGCCAAAGACCAGTCCCGGGATGTAGAATCGAGGGCCGATGTGCTTCAGGAGGATGTTGCTCGGAACTTCCACCAAGAGGTAGACAATGTAGAAGACGCTCAGCGCCCAATTGAAGCGGTACCCAACCAGATCCAGGTCCTTGGCCATTCCTTGAATCCGAGCATTTCCAATATTGGCGCGGTCGAGGAAGCAAAAGAGGTACAGCAGGGTGACCAGGGGGACAATTCGCCGGTCAATCTTTCTCCTGATGGCCGTCTCTTCTTGCTCCGTCCAGTCTATTTCCTCGGCCGATGACTCGCTTTTGGTGGGATCCAGATCAAGCTGGTCAAAAGCCGAAGCTTTCAGAGTCCCTCCTGTAATTCCCGTCATGTTCGGTGCGGAGCGTCTTTGTGGATAGTCAACCTAAGGTATCGAGACTGTGATGAACAGGTAGAAATGGGATCCAGGTCTGGCGACGAGAGGTTTCAAAGCCGTGTATTTAAGCGAAGAGGTCGAGGTGACTCCAGAGCTCACGACCGCCCCACATACACATAGAGCTTGCGGATGGCTATCAGAGAGGACTCCCATGCTGCTGCTAAGGTATGCGGCATGCATGGTGTCCCATCCGGTGGGGAGGATGCCCTGCGCGCAACGAGACATATCGGCTGTCGTCACCGGGAGTCATGACGCTCTGCTCGATCCCACAGTGTCCAGGATACAGCACATGGCCAAGGCAAATGAAATATCCCCCGCTGGTTGATAGGTCTCTTCAAGGTGGCGGGAAGAAGCCAAGTAATAAGTCTGTCTTGGAATCTGGGGAGGGGGGAAAAGCTGGGCTTTTAAAGCGAATTGAAAGCAGGAGAAGACAAGCCTTGGAAGCGATCGCCTCTTGGCCGTCAGGGGTTGCGGTGGGAGTGGCGGAGTGACGGTCTGGCGGAAGACGATGATGTTGGCACGCGGTGTCGATCTCCTCTGGTCAGCTAACAGACCATTTGCGGTGCACCACGTACAGTACGGTCACAATGGTCTTGTGCTCCTTAGTGTCGAATTCCTCAGGAGATGGCCCAGCTGGCCGAATGATAGTGTGGCAGGCATCTAGCGATAGCAAGGCTGTCCCCTTTGAGCTCGGAGCATGGGCCCAGAGTGGGAATGGACGTTCTCGTGGGGAGCAGTCAACGCGACAGCCATTGGGTGGAACATGGCCCAGGGTCAAGAGGATACGAGGACAAAAGACCGCCGCTTGTTTTGCTCTCCTCGACAAGAATGTTCCATTGTCCCCTTGGCAGAGGTGCCCAGACTTCGGCAGTTGGGTTGAGGGACATACCACCTTATCCGCTGTGCCCTCCACTTCAAACCGAATCTGAATCAGTAGTAACAGGGCGTGGAAGATGTGGATGGATGTCAGCTGGCTCTTCTGTACGAGGTATGTCTATAGCAATGTGTGCAATTAGTCCCGTGGGGAAAGGAAGAGACATAGCCGCTGTCGAGACGGACGGGAAATGAACACTTGCATCATCCTGAAAGAGTCTAGTTGCAACGGTCTAACTCTGGCCGTCTATTAGAGTGACCCCCCTAGCAACCTCGTTCTAAGAGTTCATCCCATCCCTAAAGAACTGCATAGCCCAGCTACCCTCCTCTTCCTGTCCAGCCTTGCCCACGACATCCCCGCCATAGCTAAAATACCCAGCCAAATTACCCTCTATAGGCATCGCATTCTCGGCGATTTCCTCTGGAGTCCCGAAGATCCACACCGTCTGCTGCCCCATGACGATATGCTGCAGGATATGGCAGTGCATCATCCAAACTCCGACGTTCCTCTCGGTGACACGGATTCGCCAGACTCGCCAGCCATTCACTTCTCCAGGCTCGAGAGACTGCAACGTGTACTTGTATAACATGGTCGTGTCACGCCGCGAACCAGGGTAAGGGACATCGTCGGTGGCGTAAGATTCCAGCAGCGCCGCGTGTGCTTCAGGCGAGTATTCCCCCGGGCCCGAACCCAGGTCCCAATACCGCCCGCCGTGAGCATGCATAGGATGCGGACCGTAGATCCCCGCTGGGTACGAAGCAGCATTCTGCCACACAATCTCAATGACCTCGCCGATTTGGGCGGGATAGGTCTGTGAGAGAGGATCAAAGCCTCCATTGTCGATTGCACGGCCGTAGTCTGGGGTGACACCATTGATGCTCGCATTTTGAAGGATTTCAACGAGGTACGGTGTATCTGTCGTTGGTCCCAGGGGAGCACTGTCACTCCAGTATTCATTGTTCGATATCATCACTGTGTTGCCGGAGGTGTTTCTGAGGAACTGCGAGGTCGAAATAATAATGCGGCGAGTTACTTCTGTTGCGCTGGGAGGGGTTTCGTAGCCAGCCAAGGGAGGATTCTGAAAAGCATACTCGAGCCAATTTGTTACATTGGTGGGGAGATCAAGGATCGGTCCCGTGGGAAGGGAATCTGGACATGAGGAGTTCGAGGTCGGATAACAGCAGCTCTGTGCCTCGCTATACACCCGTCCATGCGATTTTGAAAGCCCCACGTCGGTGTAATTGAGAATGGCCCATCCAGAAACCGTACTTTGGCCTTCTCGAGTCTCGAACTGGATCCAGAATTTTGTCTGCCCGTCCAAGCACTGCAACTCACTTGGCGATTTCGCTTGCAACAGGAAACTGAATCTTTGACCTGTGTCGACCTGCATGTACGGTGTCTGCAAGGGGTAGACGTACGAGTTGTCCGTTTCGATAATAGTCAGATTGTCGTGATGTTCAATGCCAAACAGCACCAGAGACAATGCGGTACTGCCAATGAGGCGTACTCGATATGTCTTGCCCGCCTCGACATTCATGACCCAAGGCTGACATGACTGATCCGACTCTGCAGGGTCAGCAGAGTTAGGGGCCGTTCCACTCTGTCCGTTGATCAGCAACGATGTGGGATCTCCCGTCCACCTCCAAGGAACGCCCGTCAACTGTGATTCTATTGTGAGATCGTCCTCGGGATAAAAGTCTCCAATCTTCAAAATGATCTCTTCATCGTACCCATATGGCGGAGGTACGGCATCCTTTACAATCAAGGCCCCGGTAGCCGTCATGGCTTGGAAGCCCACGTGCGAATGGTAGAAGGATGTTCCAGCTTCACTTGCACCAGGATGGAGCTCGTAGTCATAAAAACATCCAGGAGGAATTGGCCACTGTGAAGCCTGCGGGGCGCCGTCAGCATAAGGCGCCGCAGAAAGCGTAAGGCCATGCCAGTGCTGTGCATTTATCGGTCAGCAAGCAAAGTTCCCCTTGCAACATGTCGGGGATTTGCCCCTACCATTGTCGTATTGACGTCTGCGTCGTTATACACACGAATCCATGTTGTTCGCTCCGGCTCGAGATATATCGGAGGTGCCGGATATGTACCATTGATCAGCGTTGAGAGGCGAGGCTGACAATTGAGCTGGATAGTATCGACACTAACTCGTAGGACAATATCTGGGCTGAAGCTAGCATCTTGTGTCATAGGCTTCTTCGCGGCACAGACGGGAAAAACAAGCGAGCAAATGCAACTGCAAGCGTGCAGCCAGTATGAAAAAGCAGACAGCATTTCAAAGATGATATATCTGCAGTGATGAAGGGAGACTTTGAACTTAACACAGGGGGGTGGAATCCATTTAAAACCTCATCTTAGAAGCGTTGAAGTCTAGACCCGGGGCAGCGAGCCATCTTCTTTGAGTCTCGCAACAAAGTCCTCTTTCCGGACCACGCGGCGCAGGTACGTCAGCGCTGGTTGAGAATTTGAATTGGCCTGGTCTTGTAACTGATATATCCTGTCGTTATCCGGTGTGGTGAACAGATAGAGCACTGCATCCAGGGGCTCACCAGGCTCAACCGCGAGGATCGGCACAGGCTGCGTAACTTTGTCAAAGACATTGCGGAAGTCCGAGGCCAAGATGGCACGACAACCGTGTTACAGAGATGCTTGTGACACCTGAGTTCATGGCTGTGCGAGGTTTATTGAAGGATCTAATGAGCTCTTCCGGATAATATTGGGGAGTTGAGTTGACGTGTGCCATTGGGAAGAGAGGGAGCCTATTTAAGAGGTGTCTGACAACGTGATTTTCTCCACCTTTTCCTAATACTGATGCCGCAATAAGCGCGGCGGAGTCTTTTGTCAGACAAAATGCCCGGGTCAGGATCAGGCTGTCACTGTTCAGGCAGCCTTGCCAAACCAATGTGGTAACCCATCGACTCTAATGCGTTTCTAGCATTCTATATCTATAAGATCTCCCCCCGCTAGACCGGCCATGTCGGCTTACAGCTTCGGAAACCTCACTCTCAGGAATTGGCTGGGCCAGGCAACGTCAACACCCAACTTCCAACCCACCTTCAACACCCACTCTGGCTCTCGCATAAACTGCCTGGCCACGAGAATAACATCCGCCATAGGCTCCTTACCGCCTTTTGCATCTGTCATCTCCTTTGCGGCGTTGGCTTCCTCCCCAATGCTCTTGTCCGATGCTTTATCGTCAACAATATCCCGCGCCTGCTCGGCTTCCGTGATGAGGCCCACAGCACCGATGAGCAACTTCAGGTGGTCTGCCTTCATCGTCTGCCGGATCTGGTGGGCAATCTTGGTCTGGTAGTCCTTGGAGGAAAACATGTTGATGCGCTGCTGAGGATGATTCCCGCCGCTGCTGACGTCGAGGAGATCCACTCCTAGCCCAGGCAGCAGACGAGCCAGCTTCATCGTGCTGTCCACATCCCAGCTTCCCAGCTGCTTGCCCAGGTCTGTCTCCTCCATCCACTCCGTCGAGCTGACCCGTAGGAATAGAGGCATGTCCTGTGGTATCTGTGCCCGGACCGCGTTGATGACTTCAACCAGGAGACGTGTGCGATTCTCAAAGCTGCCACCGTACTGGTCGGTGCGCCTGTTCGTGATGGGGCTGAGGAACTGATGGATCAGGTAGCCGTGCGCAGCGTGAATTTCAATCACGTCGATGCCAGCTTCCACGCTCCTCCGCGCGCTGTCTGCAAATGCTTTGACCACACCTTGAATCTCCTCCACGGTCAGCTGCCTCGGAGGCCAGAAGCCGCCGTCTTGGGCCAATCCTTTGCCATCCCAGCTCTCCTCGGGTCCGCCCATCGGCCCGACTACATCGTCCGGCCATCCATCAGCACTCTTGTCCGCGCGCACCGACGGTCTCTTGATTGATGACGCTATCCACGGCGGCAGGGTGCTCGACTTTCGCCCAGCGTGAGCAAGCTGGATCCCGGACAGAGCACCCTGTGACTTGACAAAGTCCGACACACGCTTGACGCCTTCTGTCTGCGCGTCGCTCCATAGTCCAGGGCAGTTGGGGCTGATTCGCCCGTTTGGCTGCACACCCGTAGCTTCAATGAAGACCAACGCGGCTCCCTTCAGGGCGTAATGGCCTAGCGTTGCAATGTGGTAGTCGGTGAGTTTCCCAATGTCAGGCCCCGAGGACGCGGTGGAGTACTGGCACATCGGCGCCACTATTATGCGGTTGCGCAGGGTTTTGGAGCGGATTTTTAGAGGCGTGAACAGTGTTGGAGTATCGGCAGATGGGGTAAACGGCGCCCCTGGATCTGAAGCATGTGCCGGGGTGAAATATGGTATATTTGGCACCCCTTTGTTGACGAGGATGGGAGAGCTTGATGAACCCATGGTGAAAGACTCTATACCACGGCAATCCCCAGTATCGTGGTATTCGTGTATCTGAGATATTCCGGGTGTCCACTTGCGGCTTTGCCTTGGTCGTGTCGGTTAAGGAGAGAGAAAGAAACGGCTGGGGGTCAGAAGGTCGGTCTAGAAAGGGGAATCTGACAAAAATCTACACGGAGATCTTCGACTTTATACTGATGCAAAACATCGAGGCAGCATAGATTGGTGAGCAGACACTGAGATAGGCCGGCTGTTGATTTCTAAGACGCTCGAAGATGTTGGAGAATTGATAGTGCATGATCCGGGTCAAACACCGACTTAGCCGAGGCAACATGCTGCCTCCATCGTCCCATTACCTGAAAATGGGTCTCCAACTACTCCTTATGGAAGATGTGCCGGTCAATACGGAGAGGTCGGTGGTATAGTAAGAGCGGAAGACGCTGTATTCGGTCACTCATCCACAGGAAAGACTAGGAGATGAGGTGGATCACCTAGAATTCTGGCTACGGATAAGGTATTACTTGTTGTAAATGAGAGCTTTATCCAATAAAATTACTCTTTTGATTGCCGGTCATGACGAAGATCACTCACTATTCTCGGTTGACTGTTTGGACGAAGCATAGGCATCCAGTGGTCCAGGCGTGAGACATGTCCCAAATGCATCATCACCATGGCAGCTCGAATCCCTCACGATGCCAGAACTTGCCCGTGTCCTCGATGGTCTTCTGGCTGACAATATTTTCCCACAGCTTTCTTGCCGCCTCGTCTGGCTCGACTGTCTCGGGCGGCATCTTTGCATTCGGCAACAGGTTAGTCCTCACGTAGCCAGGATGCAAGAGCATGACCGTGACGCCCTTGTCTTTCAAGTCCATCGCCATGCTTTTGCCAATGGAGTTGACGGCAGCCTTGGAAGAGCGGTAGGCGTAATGCCCGCCAGAGCTGTTGTCGCCCACCGAGCCGACGCGACTCGAAACAATCCCAATCTTGGGCTTGGAGGCTTTCAAGACGTTGGGCAACAGGGCCTGTGTGAGAAGGAAAACCCCAAACGTGTTAACTGCAAACGTCATTTGGAAGACTTGCAGATTGCTCGTTGTGAGGCTGTCGTCTTCATTGGAGGCGGCAACACCTGTTCGAACCTGTTGGTTATTTGCTGTCTTATGCCCCCTGTCTCACGATGCAAGGACGGGTTGTCACACCTGCAATGTTGAGCAACAGATCCACCGTCGTATCGCCGAGACTGTCTTTGAACTGTTGGATTGACTCGGATGAAGTCACGTCAACTTCAGCAATGTGAGCCTTCTTCGCTTTCAAAGCCTGGAGTCCGTCGCCCGCATTCCGGTCGATGGCGTAAACCGTGTAGCCCTACCTGGAGGGTTATCTCCATTGGTTTCTGCACAGTGACCGAGCTAACCTCATCACAGAGTATTTTGGCAAACGCGTGGGCGATGCCGGAGTTTGCCCCAGTCACGATTGCGGTAGGCATCTTGGTAACTGCAGAGGGGGCCAACAGAGGATTCTTGGCCGACAAGAAGATAGAGGTCAGGATGAAACACCAGATCCTCAGTGCCTATACTTTCTCTTCTGGGTTGCAATAAGATCTTGTGAATGTTTTGTAATTCTGGAGACGAATGACGTGATTTGTTAACTTTGGTCAACCATGCCTCCGAGAGCCAGGCAAAGGGAAATTGGGGTGGCGGCGATGCCAATACTCGGCACTGGTGAGTAAGGGGGAGTATAAGGAGTGATTGGTCTCCTCTGGGCTGGTGCCGGGAATTGTTGGGCTCACGCAAGCTTCCCTCTGCCAAGCCGCTAACGAGGCTACGAGCCCAGCGAGCGGGATTCCTCCCCTCCTGGCCACCCTGGAGGGTGCTCTCGGCCTCAGTCCAAGGGGTGTCTCCGGCATGTAGGCGTGGCAAGCCTCGTAAGGCCCCGTAATTTAGGCGGAGCAAGGCCCTTTTAGCAGGTCTTGGGGGTCGCTTGTCTTTGCTGCTCAAAGCCTGTTCTGGTGGTCCTCTCTAGCTGCCACCCGCTAGCAGATAGAGATTGCAGTAGATCGCAAAGGATGGGCGGGCCAGACGGCCCTTTATCTTATACGATTCGTGTCCTTCCTCCTCCTTGTCCCCTCGCTGTTTTTGACATCGCATGGCGCAGTGGCTATCTCTTACCTGTCGTGCAGACTATGCGCCGAATATACGACTGTCTGGTAATGCCTGGAGCTCAACATTGCCTACAGCTGGCCAATAGCTAATGCTTTGCTTCCCCACCGCCGGGACCGGAGTCAGCAATAGGCGAGACCACCGCCCGCGTCTGTCAGACGTTGGGCCACTGGGGGAATGATTGACCTGCTACCCAAGTCACTGTCGAACAAATTCAACGATTCAGCGGCGATATCAATCCACAAGCGTGACTGGAGCACCGATTCCTCGGGCAGCAGTCTGCTTAGCCCTGCCGAATCACCAAGACGACGACGGGCCCGACGACGACAGTGGAAGCTCTCGAGATGCCTGCCCAGCAAAGCAATATGCTACGCAGCGGCACTTGCTCTCTTGACCGTTATTTCGCTCTGGTGGTTCCTGCGCCCTACGTCCACCGATGGTCTCTTTGAAATCTTGAGACCCGATGTAGACGATAGTGTTGCAGAAGATGGTCCTATTCCAATCGGCAAGTCCGTGGATCGAGCTGGGAGAGAAGTCTTCTGGTGGGAGGAGTTTCCCAGGTGAGAACGGCTCCCTGCACATGCTAGTTGCAGTGGTAAGGTTAACCTGCGTCGCAGACTCCACGGCTTGTATCGAGGCCGCAAGAACATCGTACCATTCTCCGACTATGTCCCCGAACAACAGGCCAACACTTTCAATCCTTTCGATCCTGGCGAGCACGATGACCCCGAGTTGATTCCGCTCTCACTGCCCGTCCCCACAGACGTCGAACAATGCTATGTGGATGAAGAGAGGGGAATCCTGCCGCCGACAATAGCCGCATACGACGGGCTCCCGCAGGGTATGACCGCACCCCTGTTTGGTTCTCAAAATGTGCTTGGCATCAATGATCAGGTCTGTTATGACCGCATAAATCGACTGGCGCCATATGGCTTGGGACTTGCAGAAGAGCAAGGGGGACTCGGTAAACACCTAGAGGGCGACAACGAGGGACTAGAGCGCGTGGATGCGGTCGACTGGAGGGGTATCAAATGGCGCGACGCGCAGCAGAGCTGTCTGTTGAAGAATTCGCACCGGCGTCGATCTCGGACTGCGTTTGTGTTACGCACATGGAGCACCTTCCACTACACGGAATCTCACATTGCCATGCTCCGCGCGATAATCAGCGAACTCGCGATTGCGTCCGGGGGCCAGTACACGGTTCATTTCCTGATACACGTGCAGGACGACACCATTCCAATCTGGGCTTCAAGAGAACTGTACAACCAGGTGCTGAGGGACAGCTTACCAGAAGAATTCCGAGGGATGGGCACACTTTGGTCTGTGGCGCAAATGAAGTTGATCTACCCTCCACCATTTCCCGACAGCATTGTGAACTTCTCCGGCGGCGAGATCTACGAGGCATATCGATCCTTACATTTTCCGCTACAATACTTTGCATCTCAAAATTCCAAGTACGATTATTTTTGGCAGTGGGAAATGGACATCAGGGTTACGGGCAACTATTACGAATTGCTGAGCCAGATCGAGTCCTGGGCCGAAAAACAACCGCGAGACTATGCTTGGGAGCGATCTTCAACGTTCTATATTCCATCATTGCACGACCATTCTTTTGAGAAGTACGCTCAGTCTGTCGTTGAAGAGGTCCAGGCTCGCAACGACACCCCAATATCCGGCCCGCAAATACCGCGCGAGCGACTCTTCAGCATCCCAGAACAGAAAATCCCCGACGGTAGCGACGAAGTTACAGATCTAATCACGTTGAACCCTCTCTTTGATCCCGAACACACTCGTTGGGCCTTTCACGACGACATAACTGGCTACAACGTGACCCGAGACGGACGGCCCCCTACTCGCGCCGCCCTGATCACCGCGTCTCGAATGTCACGTCGCCTCCTTCTGCTTATGCACGAGGAAACCTACCGGAACAAACACACCATGTTCCCAGAGATGTTCCCCGCCTCGATTGCTCTCCACTACGGCCTCAAGGCGATCTACGCCCCTCTTCCAGTGTATTTCGACCGCGACTGGCCCAGCGCGCATGCCGACGAGGTCTTCAACAACGCCCCTATCAGCCTGGAGCACAAGAAGGCCGGCATGGACCACGGACACGGGCATTTCCACGGTGAAGGGGGCAGCGTGTTTGGGCCCGGCGAACACGTTTTCCGAGGTGCGACGTTTTATTCAAATGCGGGATTTGCCGGCTATCTCTGGAGGAGATGGCTTGGTAGAGAAAATGGGAACGACGAATTGGCCTGGGAGTCGGAAGGCGGCCCAGGAGGCGGGCGAATGTGTTTGCCCATGATGGTTCTGCATCCGATCAAGTATGAATGATGACCTAAGTTTCATGAGCTCTGACGGGTTTCTTTGAGCGTCGAGTCCTCACCGTTACTGGGAGGAGAAAACGAACTAGGCCGCATGGACCGTGTCAATGATCTCAGCTTTGATGGGTTATGCGGCGTCCGTTTTGAGAAGGCATTTACCCCAAAGGCGCTGGTTATGGATCTTCTGCATATATCCAAGACATTTTGCTGAGGAAAGACGGCACATAGAGTACGAGATAATGCTAATCTTTGGACTTTGACATCGCCCAACTGTGATCCTTGGTATCCTGGACGGGCACCTGGGGCTCGACATGTGTCGCTCTACCCATATTCGGTACAGCCTGATCTACCCATGCCCATTTCGTACTGGAGGAGAGTTTCCCTTGCAGCTTTCTAGACCGCATTAGGCAGGTTTTGATTGACCAGCAATTGGCGAGGAGACGCTTCCTTGGAGCAACCTCGGGTTTACTACGCACCTCGACTCTCCTTTTGTCGGGACCGTGCAAACCATCGAGTGTTCCAGCTGAGAATCTGAGCGTCACTCGGCGATCCAGATGAAGAATTCCAAACGTACGTAAGGACTGTTCGTTGAGTCAGGCCCGGACTATCCGAGCAATGGAATGCAGGAGGGCGCCGTTGACATATAATATATATCCTCGACCCCTTTCAAATGCTTGGAGGTGAGTTTCGATCGAATTTCAAACCACCTGATTCTGGAAGTGCTGCTGGGCGAAATTTCTCTGCCGTGTACTTTTGTCAACACGCTCCTGTCAAATCGATAAGCCCATCGTCAACTCCCGGTGTCAAACCGTCACGCCAAAATGCCTCTGCCACGCCGAGCCATCATCGCCGTGACATCCGCCACGGCCCCTCTCCACCATGGACAACCGACCGGGCTCTTCATCAGTGAGGCTCTCCACCCCTTCCTGGTCTTCCAGCGGCACGGCTTTGAAGTCGACATCGTGTCCGAAAAGGGCACCTACGTCCCTGATTGGTTGAGCCTGCAAGAGAGTTTCCTGAGCGGTGAGGTCAAGAAGGAGTGGGAGGACGTGAACAGTGAGTTTAGGCAAAAGCTGGACCATATGCCGAGTGTGGGGACGGTGGATGGGAAGAAGGCAAGTTTCATCCAGGATTCCTCCAGCTTGTAACCGATGTGTTTAGGTGAGGTGGGTATGCATGCTGACTGATTGACGGGCATGCGATAGTATGGCATCTTCTTCGCTAGTGCCGGCCATGCAGCTCTGATCGACTATCCTCACGCGAAAGGCCTGCAGAAGATCGCGACGGATGTTTGGACGCAGGGTGGCGTTGTCTCGGCTGTGTATTATCTTCTTCCCTTTTCCCCCTTTCGTCCAGCTCGTCCAGCACATACCCTTCTGGGAATCTGTCCGCCACAGAAATGGGGAGGCTCGATAGGCTGATTTGCGTCGTCCCAGTTGTCACGGAGAGGCAATTTATGCCGGCATCACCGACCCGACCACGGGCGAGTCCATCATCAAGGGCAAAACCATCACCGGCTTCACCACTCAGGCAGAGTACGACATGCACATCATGGACCCCATTCGGAGCTGGGGCGAGCCCTTGATCGATGAGTGGGCGGCCAAGCTGGGTGCCAAATGTACGTTCCGTCTCCCTCCACGAGGGTTGCATATTAGTAAACTCCAGCTATCCTCGAGCTCAAGGGATGGATCTGCTGACAGATTCTGCGCCTAAGACGTCAGGGCGGATGGAGTCTGGGACGACTTCCACGTTACTGATGGGAGGGTGGTGACTGGCATGAACCCTCAAAGCGCCCAGTCGACGGCAGAGGCAACCGTTGCCGTGTTCGAGAAGCTCTGAACGGGCGAGACATCGAGCCGAAGTGAGAAAATGGGTGACACGGTTTGACGAGAAAGGACTCATTTCCTCAAAGGTTATGGCATTTATTGTGCCCTCAGGCAGAGTAATATCCCAACGGACTTCTAATATGTGATTCAGCGGCCTCCTCGTCGTTATTGAGTGACGGGCCGTATTCTGAGATTACATTCCATTCTATGTCACTGACGGAGGCCTGCATTGTAGCTTGTGTTCCACGTTCCCTTATCCTGGGTCAGGTTGCGACCCAATGGCCGGAACCCACGCAATGGGCCTCCAGAGATTCGAAGCAGTGATGACCCTGACTTCCATGACTCGTCTGGATTGATAGTGTTGCAGCCACAACTTGCTCACTCTGCGCCCAAGAAGTATGCTTGCATTGTTCAGCGTGTCTCATTCGCTCCTTTTGACGTCGTTTCATCTATGGCATCACCCTGCAGCTCGTTCTGGATTGACACAGACCCGCCATGAGGGAGCGGGATGGAATGTCGACTAGGCTTTGGCATAGAGTTCGACCGTGCTAGTGTTCGCAATCAAAAGTACAGCAGATATTCGCTCCTTCGCATACGAATAGAGAGACGCTGTTCAGGTGGCTGCGGTTGAAGTGGTCACTAGGCAGCCTTGTCGAGAGTACGTTATAGCCTGAGGGGCGTTCGCGTGCACCGGCACCTCAAGATCGTGTTCTTGGGGAGATTTTCAGGTGCGCGCTTCAACCGAACCCACTTCGAGTCGCAATGCCTCTTTATGGTGTCATCTCATTCCCCCAAGCCCTACGAGTATGTCCACTTGTCACAGCCAAGCACCACGCTGGCTAGAATCCCGAGGCACCGACTATACCCCGATCTGTGGCGCATGGTTTACGACCTTTGGCCTAGTCTGGCCCAGGCATGGCTCTAAACCGCTGGAAAGAGCAGGAAGAGCACAAAAACTCCGAGTGTGAAAAAGGCCAGGGAGGATTGCCCTCATTAGGAAACCGGCACAGCCAATCCTATTGCACAGACTCGATACGACATGAGAACGTTCTGCTGGTCTGCTCGCCCAGAACCCAGCGCCTCCCCATGCATTGGGCCCTTGGCTATTGTTCTGGAATCCAGCCCAGTGGGCGCTGCTTTGTCACTCGGATGGTAAGCTGCAGTGCCGTGCATACTGCCCTTGCACTCCTACGTCTCTTGACCTGCTGAGCTGAGTTGCAGCCTGTGCGCATAGACTAGGCTGTGACAGCGCCGATCCCTAGCAGGCTTGCATCAGGTGGCTTGCTGAGTACCTGAATTGATACATTGTACAGTCATTATCAACAACCTACTTGAATCTTACCATCTCCAGTCGGTTCTGCAATGACCCGCGCTCGGACGATCACGAAGTAATGCTGACTCCTCGCGAACCTGGGTCGCCCAGCTCCACCCAGATGCCGAGTAATGCCATATTGAGGTTTCGACTTGGTGCCTATTCAAGGAAATCGAGGGCCATTCCTCGCCGGAAACCAGTTGCTTCCCAACTGGACCTGCCGAAACATGTTAGACCTCACGTCAACACCTATGATCCCTATCACACTCCCTCTCACAACAACGCCCAACAACCTACTCCAAGCCAGCAGAATGAGAAGAACGTCGTCACATTTGATGAGCCGAAGATCCTGTATGAGCCATTCTGGATCTTTCCCTCAAAGGACAGTGTGAATACAAGATCTGGGGTGCAATTTTGTAAGTCTGGCTTCGTCACATCCCGGATGACGTGTTGACAATGGTGGAGATCTCTACAGCTGGGCGCCATTTTCTGTATACCGTCGAGGGAATAGAACAGCCGCGAAGGTGATTTTTGAGATCATTACCAAAAACATCTTCCAAGATGATATGCTCTTTGAGGCAACAGTCGCAAATGCTCGTGCGATACAGTTGGCTACCACCCCATACAAACCAGAACATGGGCAGATTCTAGCCCATTATACGAACACACTCATTTCAAAACTTCGCTCCAGAATCTCCACAAAGCACGCTACCTCCGACTATACTTTGTTGAGTATCCTGTGCTTACTCACGATATACGTGAGAAGATCATTCGCTGGCGGCTTGTGCCAGACGTTGGCTAACTGGCTCCCAGCTCTTTTCCCGACGCGATTCGGACTGGCAAGCGGAAATGGAACTGCACCTCACAGCAATGAGGCGGTTAATGGAGAAGAGAACTCATGCCGGCGAAGTTTCAGAGCTGGATGGCTATATCAATTTTCGGGTGATGATGCATGTTCATCGGCACAAAAGCACTGCATGTCTCTCTGTGCTGACTATGTTTGTTGTACAGGTTTGAAGAATTGCTTCAGTACTGGAGACGGGTAGAAAGGTTCAAACATCCTCTGGATCTTGAGTCTTTCCGGCCAGTCTTGTACATGCCCTGTTCTGACCCAGGGAGCGTGATCGACCGCTTCTCCAGAATTCCTCATGGTCTCGCTGCCCTGGCAATGAGCAGACCTATTTGTAGGCAGTTACACTTGTTGATAGGGGAGATAGCTGAAACAAGTAAAGGTACGTTACACTCTCAGCCCGCGTCAAATTATATTTACCCAAGCATAGAAGTCCGCGCCCTTGATCACCCACATACCTGCCTCAAAGAAGCCGCAAGAGATACAACGTTTCGTTGCACAGACCTTCTCATGCATCGCCAGTCCCTTAGCACGCTTGATGAAATACTTCTTGTTGGCCTTTTTACTTACTCGGAGCACATATGTCAAGTACTTCGCGCACCTGTTGCTATGGTGGCCGACGCCCTCCACCGTACCAGCTGTCTGGCACTCGCATGTCGGAGCGATTTGATGCACATGCTTTTCCCCCAGTCCTCACTCAGCGCTTGTCCGATTGTGCAGCAGGCCCTGATATGGGTGGCGACAGTTCTAACAGCCACTCGCCTCTCAGACTCTCCCGGGGGTGGCCTTGCTCAGCGGCTGTGGAGACTATCGAACAATGAAGTAAAGGATACGAATCGAGCGGTATACATTAGCCAGCACTTATTCTTTTGGGACGATGACTTGACAAGACGACTGGCGGAAAACATGGCTCTGAACAATTGGAGCCTAGATACCATGATGATACCCTCTGAAGGCTAGTCTTGTCATCAGCCATAGTTCATGGCTGTGAGATTGAATATCGGCATCTTCCCTCCAGACTCAACAAGTCGTTCCTCAAGGAGGAATGCCCATGAAGGAGTGGTACAATGCTGGTCTAAATAAAGCTCATCACAGATTTCGGAGGACAGCGGACACGGATGCCTCCCACTCCAGCCCTTCCCAAAAAATGGTCACAATTGGGATCCTCATAATCGTCTCTGGGTGTGCGCGAACCACGGCGAGGACGCTGATGTGAAAGACAAAAGTGGTCACTACGGTGGCGAGAGTGACAGTCGCAGAAAATAGGATTTGATGATCAGATTGGCCCAAGACAGCTTCCCTGGGACACGCCTTTTGAATGGGGGAAAGGAGTCAACATTACAGTTATAACTTATTGTTGTACAGAATCTCTCGCAATCGACCATAGGATGTGGAAAACAGGGCTTCCCGTTCGCTCAGCCGTACTTAAGCCACATGCCGGTTAGTTAGTACTACCGTGGGTGACCAGGTGGGAATCCTGACTGTTGATTGTTTTTGTTTTTTTAACGCTCTGCCATACATCTTTCTTGATTTTTTTTGATCACAAATTGGCTCTCTTGGGGTTGATGGGTGTAATTCAAGGTATGGAGGAGCGTTTGTTCGGTTTGTGGTGAGGGCGCGAGGCTGTGGCGGAAAGGCTGAAGATGCTTATGTCAGCGCCAAGAGAAAATGTGGGATTCGTTTGACTTCAAAGTTAGTTGGCGTCTTGCCTCCTCGAGGAGTTCAAGAGTGACCACCTTCCATAGGCATCAAGAGAGCTTTCTTGGAGTCGCTCAAACATGGTCGAAATCATCCAGCTGGCTCATATGCCACCGGAATTGGCCCTCTATGTTGCCATGTACACGGATGTGCAAAATGCGCCTTTCCTCAAGGAACAGCTGCTGGCAGGCAACTCGGACTTCGAATATGCTTTCATTGATGCGAGAATGGTAAGTCCACGATCCAGTCTCTACGGCTTCCGACTGTTGACCTCGTTCTTCTCCTTGCAGGTTGTCTCTGCCAGCCATGTGCTTGCTGCGGCCTTCCGCGCCATGAACGACTACCTAAATGAAAGACTGAGGTCACGGAACATTCACTCAGAGATTGTGTTCTCGCTCAGCCCGAACAACAATGTAAGTTCAGGCTAGACCTTCAAGTAAAGCAACACTAAAAGGCAAATGCAGATTGGCGAAGCCTTTCGTAGATTCGGAGTCAGCGAATCGACTAGCGATCTACTCGTTCTGAAGGTCGCCACGACTCCGGAAGTGACCATTGACAGTGTCACTCAACATCTATCAACGCACATCCAAGGCCAAGCGACCGCCTTCGATGATGCCATCTTTCGCAAGGTCGCGGACATTGACAGAATCAGAAAGATTTATAAACTCAACTCTGCCACCTCAGGTGGTCGCTCAGCCAAGTCCGTTAATGGCATCTCCGGGGCGAGCAGCAGCGAGGTCGTCGATGAAACCAAAAACCTCGAGGTCCAGATTCTTGGACTCATGGCTCTTCGGGGTGCAACGTGAATGTCTATGAGATGATTGCTCCATCGGACCCTCAGAATGTCCTTTAGCCGCTCGACTTCGTCGCACCTTGGTTCTGGCAGGCAACATTCGATGCCAGCGTCGCAGTTTTGCAGTGCCTTCACCTGCTTCGGGTCCTGGCGCCATCACCGTCACCACACAAGAACAATACCACAACCATCTCTTCATTGAGAACCCATAGTCGAATCTTCAAAACAACATCCAGATCTCACATGCTGCGCATATGAGAAACCCTCGGTTGAGAGATCTCCGGAGGCTGGGCAATCCGCCTCGAACCTTGAAGTTACTCGATGTTTCTGCACAGGTTCTCCGGCGTCTTGATGCTTTTCCCAGCCATGGAACCCTTTGCACGTCAGAGCCGGGCTGACCGTACCACTGAGGCTCGCCTGGGCTATCTCGTCATGACTGCCCGATTACCACTCAATATATTCAGGACAATCGCCATTACTCCATAACGCTGCGGCGAGCCGATGTGCGTCTTGCTTCCTTGGACGCATCAACTCCTCCCAACTTCACGTGTCACGTAGAGGAGTCCATGCAGACACCCGTCTCTCCCGCTCCTCACAAAATCAAATATGCGACACATTGATCTTACTGTAACCAGGTCCCTCTCTACGAAGGCGCACGAGTGTATACCCAAAGATTGCCAAGCTTGCGATTTCAAAAGCGGCGACCACAATCGAAGCGTAAAAGGTGTATTTCTGTACAAGCCGAAATGCGTCAGCGCCGTTCTGCTCCATTCCTCTGCCGGATGCATCTCCCGGCACCAATTAGGGACTTTGTAGGCTTACCATTTCAACGCACATGGTCTCAAAGGACATCTTTCCATTTTTGAGAGACTTGTGGGTGCACGACCAGGACCACAAGTCCCAGCTCTTCTTGCCCTCGTTATCCTGCCATTTGAAGTACACAGCTGCAGCAACCCACGCCGCGATTCCAAGCAAGGACGTGAAGAAGACGGCCCAGGTGTGCAGGTGGGTCTCACGCAGCCGACGGACCTAAGCAGTGTTGGTCAATAACTGTGTGCGGTTTTGGACCATGTTGTGCCAAAAGATGTGATCAACAGCAACTCACCCCTCCACAGAATGTAAGCAGCGAAAGGATCTGCACAATCACCGCGATGACAGCAGCGCCGAGCATCACCCAGGTTGGCCAGACGTCGATATGATTCGGCCACGCGCGCTGGCGCATGCCGCTCGGTTGCTGCTGCACCACATTTCGGGTTGTGAACCATACCGCCGCGGCATGGGCGAGCACGCCGATAATGGACGCCGCGACTGCCAGCGCTATGATTCTGACAAGCACGCGACAAACATTCGGAACAGCTCTTGCCTGTCGTTGGGCCTTGCGGACCTGTTCGTGCGTGGGCGTATGTTGCGTGAACGTGTGTTGCTCTACACTGTGTCGGCTTGGCAGGACCAGGTGCCGGAGCGGTTCCATGATGATGCTGGGGACAGTGAATCACTCGAAGGTCTGGAGGGAAGAGATGCTGTCGACGATGCTGGTCAGGATAACCTGAAGATCTAGGGAGATTGATGCCGAGGTAGCCTCGTGGGATTGTTCTTTGCCACCCAGCAATGGAAAGAAGACGCGCCGGCTGAAGTGGGAGCTCATGCAACGAGAACAACAAACAAACTGGCGGTCCCGTCGATATCTTCAACGTAATGTGCCTTTTCCCCGAGGGGCAAATGGCCACCTCCCCGACTGTCAGGATTTGACTGTTTGAATCTTTGGTAGTTAAAGGGGTTCATCTCTCAGCCGTAAGGAAGAGTTATTATCCACATGCAGTAAACTTGCTCGCACAACTCTATTCCTCGTAGGATCCTCAAGGGAGGCGGGAACGGGAAGTACTCGGTAGATACGCTGCTGTAATCAGGGACCTCTGGAGCCACCTAACCCAGCGTAGTAGTACTCGGTACCGAGTACGACTACGGCCACCATTAGCCTCGTAGGTATGCAGACGCCAAGATTAAAAATCCTCCTACGTACAAATACTACAGCATGCACCTAATGCCCAATGGTCAGAGAGGCGAGGCTGGAAGGAGTTGAAGCATATTGCTAAGCACTACTTAAGGCCCCCAAGGCTCTTCCAGCTGTGGCGCCTTATCGCCCCCATGGGGACTGGGATGTCGTATAATAGACGATGTAACAGAGTGAGCATTTCCAAAGGGTCGGGCTGTGGGCTTATGGGAATTGTTCGTGTAAGATCCTTTCGGCTACGTGGTGGTTAGAGAGAAAATTGAGCACTTCTTTTGTTTTGCCGCAAATCCCACTCGTCGTTGTAATCAAAATGAGCCCCGAGATGTGAGTATAATCTGGTGCTCAGAGGAGGACAGCCTCGGTGCCACCGTCAGCACCAGAGTCTAGAGCTCTCGCTTGTGGTCTGTTATGTAAGGAACTCCACTCCCTCCTCTATGCCGGTCTGCTCGCATTGTGTCTCTTTGCCGGGTGCATTAAGTCCGTGAGGCTGAGAGATTTGAGGGGGCAAACTCAAATCCCACCCGGATGCCCCAAAGGATCCCAAGAAAGCAGTTGCTGTTACCGGGTTGAGGAAATGCACAAGAGAGAGAGAGACAGAGATGCAAATGGGGACGTACCATACATGATGCGAGGACCCAGGCCAGTATCTCTCATATACCTACCTACCTACTCCTGATCACATCCCACCCCCGTCCCATTCCGTTCCGTCCCAGATGGTGAACTTGCCTGGCCCCCCGAAACACCGAGCCAGACTGTGTGGTGCATAAACCCTCCAGCCATGCTCGCGTCAGTGGCGGTGGCCTCAGTGGCTGCTGCAGCCGTCGCCGTCGTTGGCGCCCAAGCAACCGACAATGGAACAGCGAGAATCTTTCTGGCCGAGCGAGATACGACTCCGTGCTTCGTCTCGACCACCCCAGTCACGGCCTGCGGCGCCGGCGACCTCACCAAAGCCAACTGGGACGCGTTTGGCATCGACAACTTCCTGGCCGGGACCATCAACCAGTTCGGCACGGCGGACAACTTCCCCAAGTTCTTCGTGTCGCAGAACACGCCGACGCAGAACCCGTTTGACGACTTCGACTGCTCGACGTTTGGGAGCACCACGTGCACGGTGCCGACGCTGAACAACCCGGACGCGGCGACCGACTGCGTCTTCGACGGGCTGCAGGGGAGCTTCTGCGCCAACTTCGTGGGGCCCGAGGCCGGGTTCGTGGTGCAGAACTACGTCAACCTGTGGCAGGGGCTGCAGAACCACCACGACGCCATCCAGGACGCGGCGACGGCCATCACCAATGCCAACTTCATCAACACCATGGTCGGCGCGCTGGCGCCCAAAAAGCAGCCCATCGGCCCGGCCATCTTCTCGCTGATCGCCGACCTGGTGACGGACATCCTGCCGATCGGGGGCGAGATCAAGGCGGCGACGACCTTCATGAAGAAGATCCGGCTGGTCATCAAGGCCACCAAGTCGGACCTGGAGGACGACTCCGAGGACATTGCCAGCATCGCGCAGGACAACGCGGCCATCGACCAGGAGGTGACGGCCACCGAGGCCCAGCTGACCCAGCAGCTGGCCAACGTCGTCACGGGCACGCAGACCCGGCTGCAGAACATCCTGGCCCAGGTCTTCGGCGCCAACCAGGACCCACAGCTGATTGCGGACGCGTCGGCCGTCGAGAGCACTTTCGCCTTCCTCAACGCGTACCACGGCGTGTTCCTGGACGACGTGCCGCAGCGCGCCGACCTGGCGGCGCAGATGCAGACGCAGCTGCAGAACTGGATCGTCAGCGCCGTGCTCAGCACCATGGGCTACGACGTGACCGTCGACACGGCGGCGCTCGAGGACCCGCCGGGCCAGCCGGGCGTCGTGTGCCGGGCCGAGAACGGCTTCACGGTCGCGGGAGGCTGCGCCCTGTTCCGCATCAACGGCATCGACCACAGCAACGGCGACGTCATCGACAGCGCCCAGCAGGGCAACGACATCTTCGCCCTGCAGGACACCGCCGGCATGGACATCAACGCCATGGTCGCCAACGCCCAGGCCTGCAACGGCGGCGGCGGCGGCGGGACCGTCGATTTCGACTCCTTCCTCGCCATGGACAACACCGATGCCCTGCCCAGCTGCATGTTCAACTTCCGAGTCGTCGTGACAAAGCTTTGAAACAGGGCGTGATGGCTTGTTTTGTTCGTGTTTGTTTTCTTCACAGACGACCATTCGGTCGTGCATGCATCAAGGAGTAGAGTGTTTGGGTCGAGGAAAGCTGTGGCGTTTGTTGGTGGGTGGTTCTGGCGCTGGGAGAGAGTGTGAGCGAGGGAGGGTCCAGCCTTGTCAGCCTCAGCCTCGTCAGGTGGTTTTATATCTCTTTATGACGCGCAAGACTGCATATGAGCGGCGATGGTGCCGACAATAGATATAAGACTTGGATAGATAGATAAATATGAAAATCCACGTACTCGATGACTAAACAATGAAGACACACCCATGAACCATAGTCATTGTCATTATTTCTACCTCTCAAGTGTCTCGACCCGTAAAGGGAGGGACATTCTCACAAAGCACGTAACCGTTGCTTTCTCCCAAGCCCAGTCTCGTCAGCCGCAAGCACTGCTAATTACAAAAACGATTGGAACGCGCCAGTTGCAAACGTGTGGACTGTTTCAGCTGCAAGCATATTTGTCTGTGCGAATCAATCTCCCCTGCTGCCTTGTTGGCCGTCCATCACCATGTCTCCACCCTGCGAATAACATTCTATGTTTATCTTAGAGTACAATTGCAAACTTTTCCTCAAACCAGCCATCGGTGGTTCATCCCCTCTCGACTGTCACGCCCGTCTCCCATCAGGGTTTGAAGCATCGACAAAGCTGCTCCTCACGCTCTTCAGTGGCCAGTCCCGCATCATACTGTGGCCTCCACCAGGTCATATTCTCTTCTCCCCTGTCCCATGCCACCCCCTAAGCACATTCATTTTCGGAAGGAAAAGAGTCTTCATTCGTCGAAAAATGTGTCTAACCATCCCATTTCATGTGAAAGAGCAAATCGATCCGATAAAGAAACAAGTCAAAAACCATCCAACGCCGTCGCTAATGTTGACGTGTTTGTGCCTTGTGAAACACATTGTGGCCGGAGAGAATAATGCGGAGAGCACTCAAACAGTGAGCCTCCTCTTTTCCCGCAGGTGACAATTTAGTGGCCGTAAGAAAGTTGCATTAAGAAGATATCACCGCCGTGTCAGAATGGGAGTCGAAGACAGAAGGTCAACTTAATGGATCCGTCACTCGCCCAGTGTCTGAAGTTTTTTTTATTTCGGGATAACATCCGAGTCATATGATAGTACAAAGAGGACTCAGTCCTCCTTTGGAGAAGTTGGAGAATACTGTGGGCTGTTCGGAGAGTATTGTGGACTGGTAGCCGACGTCGACCGAGCCGGTGGGCTTCTGGGGGAAGCATTGTACATCGGACTCGTGGGAGAATACGATGGACTGGTCGGAGACGTTGGGCTGGTCGGACTGTAGGTAGGCGAAGTGGGAGAGTAGCTTGGTGACGTCGGAGACTGCTTATTGCCACTACCACCATACATGGGACTTGTCGGGCTATACATCGGTGACGTCGGACTGTACACAGGTGACGTAGGCGACGTAGGCGATGTGGGACTGAAAGCCGGAGAAGTTGGTGAGTAGCTTGGAGAGGTTGGTGATCCATAAGCTGGAGATGTAGGCGAGTAGTTGGGTGACGTCGGTGAGTAGCTCGGCGAAGTAGGCGACGCTTGGTAGCCAGGAGAGGTTGGCGAGTATGCAGGCGACGTCGGAGTAAAAGCAGGGCTTGCCGGCGAGAAGGATGGTGACGTTGGCCCGAAGCCAGGGCTCGTTGCGCCAAACATCGGAGATGTTGGCGAATAGCCAGCAGTGGGCGAGAAGCCAGGGGAACTTGGGCTGGTACCACCAAACGGACTGGCAGGCGAGTACCCACCAGGGCTGCGCGAACCGTAGGGACTGAATCCTCCAGCTCCGCCGAACCCAGGCTGGTAGTCTGTGAATCCTCCTGGAGTTTCCGAACCAGAAGCTGCGATAGGAGAGAAGGACGCTCCGTAATCTGGAGAGCCAAGATATCCACCGTCTTGCATTGGTGAGCCGGTATCGTAAGGAGTAGCAGCACCGTCGAGGAGTTGCTGCGAGCCTTTGACGCCGATGGCACCACCAAGTCCAAGGTTGGCATTGTCCGTGACAACGGTAGACAGCATGCTCTGATCGAGAAGGATCTCCATCGTTCCTGTACCAACGGGTGCAGGTTGACCCAGAATCAGGTTTTCAGAGACACCTTTGCAATCGTCCAGTTCGCCAGCTGCGGCCGCCTCGAGCAAGATCTCGACAGTCTGTTCGAAGGAACATCTCATCAGTGCGCCAGTATCGGACTTGTTGATGCCGTGACGAGTGACAGCCATGACATAGCCGCGTGCGGTCATCACGTCACACAGAATACCCAAGTGGCGGGCGTTGACATAAGAACCATCAAACGACAACACCTGGGTCAACTCACGCAGAATAGCAGCACGAGTAGCCTCGATCCCGAGAACTTCGAAGATTTCCGTGAACCGGTTGGTATACGTGCGAGCGGTGTCGACTCCTTCAATGGCAAGAACCTTTGCGAAAGAACTGCCAGTAGTTTCTAGCACGTATTCATTGCACCGAGGATCGCTCTTTGCCATGTACACAGAGCCGTCATCGCTAATGATTGCACGACTCTTCTGATCGATGAAGGCTCTTGACACGCCGGGAACACCGTGGAAGGTCAGGTGGTCAAGCATTTCGTTCAAGAAGCGTCGGAGAACTTCATCATCCTCTTTGCGCTCGTCATCCTCGTCCTTTCCGTAATTCTGGACAAGACGGATACGGATGATCTGCTCGTCGGCATTGATATCGCTGAAGATGACCGAGAGATCCTTGCCGTAGGTCGCTTTAATCCTTGATGCGACGTCTGTAATGTTGAGCCCCTTGTCCAGAAGTCTCGCGCGGCTGAGAGTGATACGAAGCAGCCACTTGGAGTGTAGCGCCAGATCTTGATCGGTATCTTCAGGAATGATGAAGTACGATTCGACCATGTCTAGATCTTCGGGAATGATAGTGCTCTGAATATCGGGATCATACCACAGTTCGCAGGTCTCGGCCACGGAGCGCAAATTGGTATGCTGCACACGACTTCGCAGTAGCTTGGCCGCTTCCTTGTCACCAGTATTTTCTGGAAGCTGATAGACAGTCATCGACGGGGTGCGTATGTTCTGAGAGACGTTCAAAATTTCCTTGAGACGGGGCACACCCAGAGTGACGTTCTTCGCCGACACACCAGTAAAGTGGAAAGTATTCAAAGTCATCTGGGTTGCAGGTTCACCAATGGACTGGGCGGCCAAGACTCCAACCATCTCGCCTGGATTTGCATGTGCGGCAATGAATCGACTCTCAACAGCTCCGACAATATTGTCGAAAGCCAATCTGTTGACGCCATGTTCAAGAACAAGCCGCTTGTAGGCAAGCCGTGAGCGGAGTTGTGCCTTCAGCAAGAGCGTTGCATTGTCCTGGGCCTCTTTCGAGATCGGATCTTCTCCACGCACGACAACAAGTCTCTCCAGTAACTGCTTCACAGCAGTAAGCGCATGACGGGGGTCGAGGTCAGTTTTGTCGCCACGGCGGATCTTGAAATTTTTCTGAGCTTGGTCGATGATACGCCCGATGTTGAGAGGCAGCTGCATCGAGTCTTCGGTGCCTTTACCCATCTTTCGCAAGAAATCTTGAGACTTTCGCAGAGCTTCGTACTCCTCATCAAACATCTCTTGCAGTTCGGTGTCACCTTGGAGTTCTCTTGCCTGAAGCAATCTGCCCTTCCACATGGAGATGTCTCCGCTCATGATGTCTACCATGTAGCGGTCGTTGAAGGCCTTGTCAGACATCGTGATGATATCGACCTTTTGGTTCTCGATATGAGCACCATCTAGGCCATCCTCGCCATAGATGAATTGAACCACGTTCCCTCGCGAGTCACGGACAGTGGAGTCATACTTGACAGTGACCTCCTCGAGAGCTTTGACAAGCCGACGTTGGATGTAGCCAGTTTCGGCGGTCTTGACAGCAGTATCAATAAGACCCTCACGACCAGCCATGGCGTGGAAGAAGAACTCTGTGGGAGTCAATCCACGAAGATACGAGTTTTCAACGAAGCCTCTCGAAGGAGCAGAGTAATCGTCCTTCGCGAAATGAGGCAGCGTGCGGTACTTGAAGCCGAAAGGAATACGTTTGCCCTCCACCGCCTGCTGACCGACGATGGCCGTCATCTGAGCAATGTTGATAGTAGAACCTTTCGAACCGGCACGAGCCATGGTGATGGCGTTGTTCAGATCCTTCAAACTGTTTTCAGTTGCAGCACCGGCTTGATCACGAGCCTGATTCAGAGAATTCATCACTTTACTTTCGAAGGTTTGACGAACGTTCATACCAGGAGAAGGCTCAAGCTCTTCGTTGTACGCCTTCTTTGTGATGTCGTCGACCTCTGCCTTCTTGGTATCAACAGCATCTTGGATCTTTTGGACAGTGTCAGGGTCGGGTACTGTGTCACCAATACCGATACTGAACCCGTTATGGAGAAGCCAGTAATTGACCACGGTCTGCGCGCCATTGAAGAACGCCCGTGCGGTGTCGTGTCCGAATTCGTTGCAAATTGTATGAATGACGCCGCCAGCACTAGTGCCGACAAATTTCTTGCTGAATAAGCCGAACATGAGATTGCCCTCAAGCACCATGAGCCCAGTATCGTTGGTTGGTACATACGGGTCTTCGCCTTTAGCATCAAGCCTCTCGAGGTTGAGCGCAGGTGGGAGCACCATGCTGATCATCTGCTTGCCCGTCCAGCGAGGCGTAGGCTTGATGATAGCTGGTTGAGGAATCACCCCATCCCAGTCAGGAACCCATAGCATGACGTTCATGACTTGATCTTTTGTCAAGAAGACATCACGACGGCAAATCTTGTAAATACCGCAGAGGGTGTCTTGAATGATACCCATGAGAGGAGCATTACGTTGTGGTGACACAATGTTGAGAGGTACCATGCAAAGATTGGCGAGCTCAGCTCGAGATTCTTCGCTCTGAGGAACGTGCAAGTTCATTTCGTCACCATCGAAATCAGCATTGTAAGGCGTAGTGACAGAAAGGTTGAGTCGGAAGGTCGAGTAAGGCATGACTCTGACACGATGGCCCATCATAGACTCCTTGTGGAGAGACGGTTGACGGTTGAAGAGAATGACATCGCCGTCTTGGATGTGGCGCTCGACGATCCAGCCATACTGAAGAGTCATCTCTCCAGCACGTTTGTGGTGTCGGAGATCAATTCGTTCTCCAGTATCTCGAATGACGTAGCGCGCACCAGGATGGTCATTAGGCCCGTTCTTGACGAGGCGTCTCAGCCGGTCAATTGTGAAGGGCGTGACTCTTTCCGGGTAGGTCAAGGTGCGAGCAATGCTTCGCGGAACACCAACTTCGTCAAGAGACAGATTGGGGTCACCAGTGATGACAGTACGAGCAGAGAAGTCGACACGCTTTCCCATCAAGTTCTGGCGCAGTCTGCCTTCCTTCCCCTTGAGCCGAGCACGAATTGACTTGATGGGTCGACCACTCTTGTGCTGCGCTTTGTCTAGACCAGCAATCTCATTGTCCATATAGGTGGCAATGTGGTATTGCAGGAGATCACAAAGATCGACCTTGATGTGGTCAGGTGTGCCGTCAACTTCAGTCCGCAATACAGCTTGATTTGCACGAATAATGTCACCCAACTTGAAGGTGAGGTCGTCTTCACCGCGTTGGCCTTGGCCGCTACCATCGACGCTGATACTGGGCCGGACAGGCGGAGGAGGGACGGGGAGCGCAGACAAGATCATCCACTCAGGGCGGGCATAATCAAGACTGAGGCCCATCATGTCCAAGGTCTCGTCGGTCAGGGTACGGAAAGTGTTGAGAGCGTCCTGCGGAAAGATCCGCTTCTTGTCGGGTGTCACATCTTCATCATCCTCGCCTTTTCGTGGTTTCCAGGTCGCCCACAACTGTAATCCAGTTCTTCGGATGTCAGGTTGTGCATTGCCACAACCGCCATGCTTAGGCTGGGGGGGTCCTTTCAAAGGCTGATCGGGGTCTTCAATGGGATCGGCTTCGCAAACGTTTCGAGGCTTACTAAGTCGCCACACTGCTTCGAAGCGGCGCTTTCGGTCTCGGATCGAGATTGCATGTCGAAATTCTTCGGTCTGCATTTTCATCCAGATTAGCAGTGAGAAAGAGGAGAAAAGGCGCTGGGGAGACTAACATCAAGCGCTTTGATCTTGCCACAGTTGTGGCAGACCGTCTCCAGGATCTTCTTGACTTTGTTCATAAAGCCATAGTGATAGACTGGAGTTGCGAGCTTGATGACACCAAAGTGACCAGGGCATTCGGCCATGTTTTCTTCACAAGTACTGCATTTGAAGTTGCGATCGATCGTTCCGAGATGAGGATCGTTCGGACCTTTCTCGCGAGGTCTGAGGCGTTGCTCATCCCTGGTCAAACACGGGTTAGACATCAATGATCAGAGGAAGTGATTGTTTTGTCTTTTATTTTCTACATACATCGTCTCAGGATATTCGATGTCGATGACGGCGAGGCGCTCGGTCTCTTTGGCGGAGAAGAGGCCAAACTGAATCTCCTCGACTGTGCGCAGAGGCGCGCTCGAGTAAGGGAAATTGAGGCTCGCCATGGTCGCTGTTGGTTATCCCGATGATCTCGCGTATCCTTGTGAGACGATTCTTTACTCTTTTGTCCCGATCTGGGATGACCGCAGTGCAGTGCTTGCACGGGTGGCTGCGCGGTGCTGGTCAGGGATGACCTTTGCCCTGTCGGGCCGCCCAAAACAATGCCGTGTCCTTCTCCAGCTGCGCTCTTGACCAATTCTCTTGATTTTGATCCAAAACTTCCTGGAAAGCGATCGGCTCGCCTGCTGGAACGCGTAGATTCGGGGGCGCGATCGTTTTACGATGGTTTGGGTGGGGTTGTTGATGAGGAAGAGGATGAGGAAGGGGTGAGAAGGCCAGCGCAAAATTTGAGAGTTGAAAGGGCCAGCGGCTGCCTGCGCCGCGCCAAGACAGTCAGCCCAGAGGCGAAGGCGGCGTTTGGCGGCAGAATTCGCCCCCTTTCAGCCTCACCTTATTCATCCAGTGTTCACGGCACGAGTGAGTCCTTTACAAGTTTGCAGGGGGGAGCAGCAAGCAACAAGTGAGTCTTCGTTCTAGATTCGCTCAGTCACTTCTGTGAGAGAATATCGATGATACGATGGTATGATAAGTGGTAGACGGTCTTCGTGAAAGCTTGAGAGAGAGAAGAACGCGCCGCCTTCAGTCTCTTAGTCTTAGATTAGGCAACTGTCTTGGTGTAGCGCAGAGGATTCACTTCACCTGCCCAGTGACAGACGCCGTAGAAGCTGTGACTAACAACAAAATATCTCCTCGCCGTCGCCCTTTCCTTTCTTTCTATCCTCGCCTTACCTTCTCCTTTCAGTCCATCATTCATTCACGTGACAACGCTAATCATGGCGCTAGTACCGGATGTGGAAATCGACGCATTTCGTCAAGAGGCCTTGAACCCTCCACGCTTTCGTGAGACTCCATCAGATCAACAGAAACATCATGAATTTGGCACTGATAGATCCGTTTCAATTAGCCCAGGACTCCCCGGATGCGCTCACCAATGATCTCAGTATGTTCACCTCAAATCCACCAGGAAATGGAAGAGTGGCAAATTTGTCAAATCCGTACTGATTCAAATCCAGGATCTGGCCATGCGACCACCCTGAGATTCAGTCGCAAGGGCGACTATCTCGCCTCTGGGAGGGTGGATGGGAAGGTAATCATTTGGTCAGTGAGCCCTGATCAGAAAAAGCTGTTTGTGCAGAGTTTGGCATCTTGAAAGGGAATTCGCGAGTTCCTTGGTCACAACTAACATTTTCACTGAAGGGATATGGAGACATATGGTGTTGCTATGAAACTACATGGTCACTGGAAGCAGATTCAAAGTTTGAGGTACTCCTCCTTCACTACGATTCACCGGTGCGCTGCTAAGGTTGTCCAGCTGGTCGAGAGAAGGTCGCTACCTGTTGTCAGCGTCCCAAGACTGTAGAGCCTGTCTTTGGGACTTGCAGACTCAAGAACGTATCCGAAGCGTCAAATTCGAAGCGCCAATCTACACAGCGGAACTCCATCCATACAACCACAAGCTCTTCGTCGCATCCCTCTTCGAAGACCGACCTTACTTGGTTGACATCACCGATGCCATCCCTGTCAAGCGTGTCCTTCCGACGACCCCTTTGAGCGACAGCATCCCTCGCTCCGAGAACAAACAAGCCACGACCTCGGCCATTTTCTCCGTGCTGGGAAACCACATCATCACCGGCACCTCCAAGGGGTACATCAACATTCTCGAGACCGAGTCCCGCAAAATCATTCACTCCACCAAGATCTCGGCTGGGCTTATCTCTCTGCTGCGCATGACCACCAACGGCCGCCAGCTCCTCGCAAACAGCACCGATCGCATCATCCGCACTATCAATCTGCCTGATCTCAGCCTGATAACTCCCTCCACCGCGCCGGACACAGACCCCAGCAGCAGCGATGAGCATCATGACCGCGACCCAGCCACGCTGGCCGAGAACATCGTCCTCACGGTCGAACACAAATTCCAGGACCTCGTCAACCGCCTCCGCTGGAATCATTGCGCGTTCAGCCACAGCTCCTCCACGGGCATCGCCGACTACGTGACCGCCTCCACATACATGAAGAAGGACATCTACATCTGGGAACTCCGCACCAACTCTCTGCTCCGCATCCTCGAAAACCGCGAGGAGCCCGCGATCATCGAATGGCACCCCTCTCGTCCTCTCCTGGCCTGCACGAGCATCGAAACGGGTAGTATCCAGATCTGGGGCATCGAGCCACAGCAAAAGTGGTCCGCATTGGCACCTGACTTCACCGAAGTGACGGAAAATGTCGAGTACATCGAGCGCGAGGACGAGTTCGACGAGTACCCACAAGAGGAACACCAGAAGCGCCGCTTGGACAGAGAAGACGAAGATGTCGATATCTTGACCGTGGAGAGAAAGATGGGTGAAGAAGACAGCTTCGTCTTGCCGGTGCTGTACGACATTGAGGACTCGGACGGGGATGACCAGGAACTGGTGAGGCATGGTGTTGGGACGCTTAGGAAGAAGGACGTCAACGAGGGGAAGGAGTATGAGAACGATGGAGATGAGGTGCCGAAGACAGTGCGGCGACGGAAATATTAACGAATGTTGATGTGTTCACGACGACGGCGCTACGGCTTGGGATCCCGGAAGGCTTCGAAGGGGGGGTTTGGTCCATCAGCCAGGCGTTGTGTTACGGAAGGGCCTGGCGCAGTTGGGAGAACAGCTCAAGGTGTGGTTCAGGGCAGGCTTGGTGATTGACATGCTGGCGATTAAGATCAGTCACCTCATGCGGACGGCGAAAAAGGCACGACGGTCGCGCGCAGCAGCGTCAATGTAGAATGTACTATCCACAGTTCAGGGCGATTGCGAGTTGATACGTACAAGCATCAGACTAATTCATCCGAATGAGAATCGCATGAGAACCCCTCTCCTATCTTTCCAGAGGCCTCGCCCACTCCTTGATACTCAAACAAAGATCATCCGATAATTATATCTCGGGTACAGCTTCCGCTGAGGATGGATGTCGTGAATGCTGCCCAGCGACCCGACCGAAACCTATGGCCGCGGTTCACGCTCCCATATTCTGCCGGTTGACCCGGCCTTCTCAAAAAAGAACCGGCGTCTCTGAACCCCTTGGAATCTGCGGATGGATCGCTGGAAAGGTCAGTTGACGGTTCGGGCTGGAATACGACAGGATACGACCGATCCGTTCCGCCGTGGCCGTGCAGGGTTCTTTCTGCTCGCGCTGCTGTTGGCCCTTGGACGACTCGACGAGGCTAGATCGCTCAGCAGGATTTCCTGATTAGACGATTTTATCTTGGTCACAACTTTCGAGGAATGCCATGGATGAAAGCTTGGTTGCACTGCAGCGACACATGAGATACAACGGCAATGAATGAGAGGGATATCTTTCCCAGATGAACGGCGGCGGCATTCTCTAAAATCCCTACACGAGGACGTTGAAGGCGCTACTTTGGAGACAACTCTAGACACAGGCGAAAAGCCCCAGACCATGTCCCTTTCAATCCAGCTTCCTACTAAGATCGGACCATATCATCCAGGCTCGCACCTCAGCGGCACGATTCACCTCACATCGGTCGAGTCCGTGCCCATTGGCTCTCTTGTTGTCACCTTCACCGGCGTGTCTCGTGTCACACTGACCCAGAACTACGGCGACCTCAATGTCTCAAGCACCGATTATCACTCACGCGAGGTCCTCTTTCGGCGCGAGAACGTCTTGTATACCGGAGGGAAATGGACACACAGAGCGGGAGTATATAGTTGGCCATTTGAGTTCAGAGTGCCTGAATACACCGATGACAGAGTGGCATGGAGGTGCCCGGCAGTTCAAAGGACCATCCAAGGTGCTCACAGACATGCCTTGCCGCCGACCATGCTTTATACTTGCCGGGGATTTGCTTGTCTGGTGGACTATATCCTCGAAGCGGCGTTGAAGCCGCCGTCAAGCTCTCCAACGGCCACGATGGGCAAAAGAATCACCACAAAGCATGCCATCAGCGTCCTGCCCCGGACAGTCACAGGAACAATTGCGAGTCAGAATCCCAACAGCAGGGTGGATGGCCAATTTTATGTCCATCGTCACCAATCTTTCCAAATCCCGCGGCGGAAGATCGCCATCTCTCAAGAAAACCCAATGGCCCGAATCCTGAAGTTCTCAAAGTTCCAACGTGAGGACCCCAACGAAGCGGCCACTGCATCCTCGCTCAGTATCTCTGTCCGCTTACCACGCAGGATTGAGGTCAGAGAAGACTATTCGAGGATGAGCATATTATTCCGCGGACGATCTGCGAGCAACACGGGAATGCGTGCAACAACCAGCGCACATCCCCCGTCTACTGCGACCGCCCTTACAATCAAGACTTTAAAAATCGCGGTCATTCAACACACGCACGTTCAAGCCGGACGTCACCCGTCAACCTCTACCCGCAAGACGTATTCGCGGAAGACAACATGTTCGCTGCCACTCCCAGTCTACCCGTGCGAGACACTACCCCTTAGCGCCAACGGGGCTGGTGCAGTGGAAATAGCTGCACAAACAGAGGTCGACCTCGCCGAGTTGACTCAATTGCGCATACCAAGAGAGAGTCTGGTTCCGGATTTCGCGACATACAATGCTGCCGTTGAACATACACTGGAGCTGGAGATTGGCTTCGAATGCGAAGGTAGAAACTTGAAGTTTGCATGCCAGGATGTAGCCATTGCAGTGATACCTGCTAGTGGCACACAAGAATACAGTCCTGTGCAGGCAGAGGGATCAAGAATCGAGATGCCGGGTGAGTCTGAATCGTCAAGGGCCGGAATGGACGGCATTATAGCTCAAACTTCCAACCAGGAAGCCCGAAACAACGAAAGTGAGGCTAGAACCCGCGGCAGAGGGAACGCAAGTTGGATCGTCCCGCCACCGGAGCTGAGCTCGACAGGCGTTCACTCCAGCAGCGAAAGGGACGCGTTCTTTTCGCAGCCCCCACCAAGGTATACGCCGCGGAGTTAAGGAATGTGGCATTTCTCGAGATCACTCTGAATCGAGCTGGAATCTTAATATTCCTCTTTTGACGTGTACTTGATGGGTTCATTTTGCTGGGAGCTCTAAGGGGGTGGTCCTCTTTTCCCGCGAATCGACTTCAGCGGGTTGCTGTGCGGTATAGGGCCATTGGTCATTGGTGCTGCCAGTTGCGACTTGATAATGTCCCGCCGCTAGTATTGGTTGAGGGGAGACAAGAGGATAGCCGTCATTGCTGGACAGAGACTCAAGAGTCGCCCGGTGGCGCTTCTTCTCTCGAAAGAGGAGAAACGAAAGGACGGCGATGACCGCAAGGAAAGGAACACCAACCCCGAGTCCGGTACCCAGTCCGGTCTTCAAGCCCGTGTTGGAATTAGAGACTGCCCCAATAGCAACAGGGCTGGGGTCACCGGTCGTTGTCGCTGTGATGGTGAGCAGTGAACCAGATATGTCTGTCGTGAAGGTTACTGTCTGCAGAGCGGTGGTTGATGGGAGCGCTCCGTTGCTAATAATGCTAGCAATGGGTGCAATGCTGTAGCCATGCAGAAACGCCGAGCCATTTTCCACGGCTGCGTGCGCAATGATTGGGAATAGCTTGACGCCTGCGTCCTGACAACAGGATGTGGAATTGGAGGCGCCATCCGAACAACACCATTTACTGTTGTTGCAGCGATAGAGCGAACTTGGGCCAGGTTTGCGTTGGGATGTCAGGCATCGTGGAAAGCATGCATCATCCTGCCACGTACTGTCCGTGCATAGCCCAGTGTTCAGGGTAGTGTCATTCTGGCAGCGACATGGTAAGCAACTTCCGTTAACTGTCTAGGTGATTTTGGCAACTCACCTTCATCAGACACAGGCCGTTCTTTAGACAAGTTGAGCCATCCGGGCAGCAATGTGTCACATTGGTGTTGGGAAAACATGGGGAATAAGTATCTCTCGCCGTCTGAGTTCCGTCTGGGTTATAACACACATTGGTTGCCGCGAGTCCTAGAGGAAATAGGGTAAAGAATACGAGATATGCTGGGCAACAGTACTGCATTTTCACTCAAAGACAGCCAAAGAAACCCTAGAAATTGCAGAAAGGCACGCTTGTCAAGATACAGGCGGTCAAGAGCATCAATAAAATTAACGACACTTAACTTAGAAGCCAGATATATTTCGACTTTCAGCAACACAACCCGCGTCGATCAGAGGGGCCGAATTGTCTAAATCGGCAGTGAATGTTTCATCCAGGAACGATAGAGGCTCTGAAGGTGGCCTTGTAGCCTTTGTGGAGCCGAGCTGAATAGGGGGGCAAAACGGCTTGATACTGAGCATTGTCCATGCGCGAAGCTTATAGGGTGATATTGGAGTGTGCCTGCTGTGTAATGTCGGCACGAGTTTGCCAATAATATTTCATTAGTGAGAAGGAAACTTGTCGATCGGTTGGCCTGCAGTGGCCGCCAGAGTGCGTTCCATTTGATGCCGGTGGCAGGGTTCTTCCTGCTTGGCTTGTGTAAGGCTGGACTCTATTGGAAGGAAGAGGATGACAGGAGGAGATAACTGCGCAGCGTTGATGTCTCCATCGAGTCTCCATCGACGGCTCCAGGGGCTTGTTCTTCTCGTCATCGCTCGTCCCATGATGTACCTCGTACCTAGGTACCTCTATGGTCTCTTTCCAAGGTTTTTTTCTTCTGACTCGTAGTGGATCTGCCCTGCCATCATACCAAGTGGGTTCTGGAATTGGGGTACGGAGCTCGTTCCGGTGGGAGCGGATGTTGCACAGCGCGAGAGTGGTAGCTGGCCTCGATGGGACGCCCTACGTGTTACGGGATAGTGATCGGAGAACCATTAGCCAGGTAACCAGCAAAAGAACCTTGGGACAATTCGCATGTGATCGTGATCGACGAGACGAGTAGAGAAAGAGAGGCGACGCGAAGCGAGAGGGTCCAGGATCCCAAATAGTCGCTAAAGCCTGAAAGTGTTGCTCGGGAAAATTGACTGCTTCTCACGGAAGATGTGGCAGGCGGTCAAAGGGAAACTTTGCCGAGTTTCAATTTGCGGTTGTCCGGATTTCCCTGGCATGAACGACTTTCCTATGTTTTCCGGTGGTGCAGTCCCTTTCCTCTTTTTTCTTCACATGAGATCAAAGATGACAATGAGGTCCTGAATAGACCTGCCCATCGAGCAGTCATGACCTCGATTGATGACCTTTTCCATAAACCCAATGCCGCTTCAAAGCGAAAACTCGAGGACCCGACGAAATCATTCTCCAATGCCCTCTCCAACAAATCCGCTAAATTGACCAACGGCTCCTCTCCACGCTCCTCCGCCAATGGTTCTTCTCATGGCGAGTCTACCTCCAACGGCTCGGGGAGCAAGGCTGCTTTTGTGCAGGATGAAGTCCTAGATGACCAAGACGACCTCGAGGCCGGACCTGCGCGGCCGCCGGAAGACGTGGAGGAGGAAGTTGGAGATGATGAGGAAGGGCGCTTCTTCGGCGGTGGCGTCACGAAACAAGAAAGAGAAGTGATTGATTACATTGACAAAAATGAGGCCGGGGAGGTGGAAGAGAAGATTGATTCCGCGTGGCTGCGCCGCACGGCCATCAACTTTGAACGCAAAATCAACAAGAACGCGGAATTGCGCGCCAAATACGAGAAGGAGCCCATGAAGTTTGTGAGTAGTGAGGCCGATTTAGATGCCGAGATCAAGGGCTTGAGTCTGTTGAGCGAACACGGTGAGCTGTACGCCGAATTCGTTAAAATGGGCTGCGTAGGCAGTTTGGTCGGGTTGCTTGCGCATGAAAATACCGACATCGCCATCGCCGTCTGCGAATTGCTCGCAGAGCTGACAGACGAGGACTCGACAACCACCGAAGAACAGTGGAAGATCTTGGTGAAGGCCATGATACAGGGCGACATCGTGGATCTTTTGACGAGCAACCTCAGTAGATTGGACGAGGACAACAATGAGAGTGATCGAGCAGGGGTCTATCACATCTTGAACGTTGTCGAGAACATCTTGTCCGACACTGGGAACGTGGAGGCCGTGGGCGCGAAAGACTCATTGATGGAATGGCTCCTCTCAAGAGTAAAGAAAGTCGATCCTTATGCGAGGGGAAAAGTTGGACAGAATCGGCAATACGCTGCAGAAATCCTAGCGATACTTCTCCAGAGCAACAAAACCAACCGAGACCGTCTAGCACGAAAAGACGGGGTTGACTCCCTTCTCGAACTCCTGAGCGCATATCGCAAGCGAGATCCTGAAAAGGACTCGGACGAGGAAGAGTTTGCAGAAAATCTCTTCGATTGCTTAGCTTGCATGGTGGAAGAACGCCTCGCTGGCGAGAAATTTGTCGAAGGGGAAGGGGTTGAATTGTGTCTCATCATGCTCCGAGAGGGCCGACTGGCCAAAGCACGGGCTCTGCGAGTTCTCGATCACGCGATGAGTGGAGGTAACGCAACAGCCGTCTCGATGAGGCTCGTGGACGCGGCTGGACTCAAGACAATCTTCGGCATGCTTATGAAGTCTCACAAAATGGAGCGAAGCCTTGTTGAGCATCTTATTGGGATCCTAGCGAGCATGCTAAGATATCTACCTGGAGGGTCTGCCGAAAGGATACGAACTCTTGCCAAGTTCGTTGAAAACGACTACGAAAAGATCACAAAGCTCGTCGATCTACGGCGTGAGTACAAGACGAGATTGAGCAAAGTGGATGCGCACATTCAAAGAGAGCGACAGGATCTTAACCAAGCACAACTGGAGGCACAGGCCGATGAGTGGTTCTCACGGCGACTGGACGCCGGCCTCTTCTCACTTCAAGCGATTGAGTTGATCCTCAGCTGGATGGTGGCCGAAGATAACGGAGCAAGACAGACCATCACCGTGCTTCTTGGTGAAGACGGGCTGAAGATTCTAGAGCGGAGCCTACGGGATCAGCTCAACGGGATGGATCCTGGTCAGGGTGATGAAGCAAAGGCTACGGAGGAGATGCTGGAGGCATTACTTTTGTGCGTGGAGCAATGAAGCTGGTGTTTTGTGAATGCGAAATCTAATCATGCCATTAGGGAGGACCGAATTGCTGATGGCTGACATGCATAGTCTTATGCATAATTATGATACCCTCTTCATTCATGAATCTCATTTCACCATTCTCGCCTTGTCTACCAATGTAGAACTCCTTGCCCTCTTGTGCATATACCCAAATGTGGTTAGTGTGAACGCCTCGTAAAGTGGCAAGACTTGCCACGGCGCCATCATTTTGATGCGCGCCAAAAAGATTCCAGAGCCATTCCTCTCCACAGCAACCACGATTTACGACTCTCCATCCTTCGTGCAGTCTCGACTATCCTTCTCTCGCTGCTCAGGTTTCTGGCTGTCTGTCGCGCTGTGAGATGCTCTCTAGAGGAAATCTGAAGTCTTGACTGATGATTCAGTGCCCTTTATCAGAGCGCATTCTGAAGACCTGAGTTGCGCCTGAGAAAGGGAGGTAGACTCGACTTCGCCTCCTCTCCCTCCTTCTCCTTCCCTTTCTTCGCTTTCGCCTCGTTCCCTCGTCACAGCTCGCCCACGAGTCCCCTCTCCTCCGTACCATCGATCGCCAGTCATGGCGGAATACGATGTAAAGTATGAACCGAACGGCTACTATGGGGATGGTGGTGCCTACGAGGAGGTGGAGACTGGAGAACAAGACATCACATCTGAAGACTGCTGGAAAGTCATCAGTTCATTCTTCGATATCAAAAAGTTGGCCTCTATGCAGATAGACTCATTCAACCACTTCATGCGCTCAGGCCTGCAAGACCTGGTCAACGAAAAGGGCGGCGTTACTTTGGATCATGCACAAAATGTCGATGAAAGCGACCCGAATCCAGTCGTCATCAAGAGACACGAGGTCAAGTTTGGCAAGGTCACGCTCAGCAAGCCGAACCAGGTTGAGCCGGACGGGACTACCACTGACTGTATGCCACACGAAGCACGAATGCGGAGTTTGACATACGCAAGCCCAGTATATGTCAAGATGACGCGAAGAACGTACTACGCAAGGGAACATCCTTGGGACGAAGACGGCAAAGATGCTGGCGTTATGAGAGAGGATGGCACTGAGCTATACTGGAGAGAGGGCTATGAGGAAGATGACTTCGACAATGACAAAGAGGTATACATAGGAAAGATACCTATCATGGTCAGAAGCATGACTTGCCACTTGGTGAGCGAGAAGTTCCAGAGCGAAAGAGACCTCTTCGCATGGGGAGAATGTCCATACGACCAGGGAGGCTATTTCATCATTAACGGCAGCGAGAAAGTTCTTATTGCCCAAGAACGAAGTGCCGGAAACATTGTCCAGGTCTTCCAAAAGGCAGCGCCTTCGCCATTCACCCATCTCGCCGAGATCAGATCCGTCATCGACCGTGGTGCTCGCATGATGTCGCAGTGCACGGTCAAACTCTTCCGCAGAGTCGACGGTCCTGATGGCACCAAGATCGACAACCCGATCCGAGTTCAATTACCATACGTCAAGCAGGACATTCCTCTTGTTATTGTCTTCCGAGCTCTGGATATAGTCTCCGACGCCGATATCTTGGAGAAAATTTGCTTCGATCAGAGTGATAAGGAGATGATGGATATGCTGATGGGCTCGCTCCAAGAAGGCCAGGCCATTCAGGGTGCAGATCTGGCTCGGGACTTCATTGCGCGCAGAGGCAATATTCCGACTTTGAAAAGCCACGAACGACAGAAACATGCCACAGACATCTTGCAAAAGGAGTTTTTGCCCCATATTGGACAAAGCCCCGATGCTACCGCTAGAAAAGCATTCTTTCTCGGTTACATGGTCAATCGACTACTGAAGTGCGCTCTCGGTCGTGCTGAGCCGGATGATCGAGATCATCTAGGAAAAAAGCGACTCGATCTTGCCGGACCTTTGATGACCAACCTCTTCCGATTACAGTTCGACAAAGCCACCAAAGATTTCTACAGATATATGCAGAAGCGCGTGGAAGCGGGCCACCCCATCAATATCATGGCAGGCTTCAAACATCCAATTATCACTAGCGGTTTGAAATATTCATTGGCTACTGGCAATTGGGGTGATCAGAAGAAACTGGACAAAGCGAAAGCTGGTGTTTCTCAAGTGCTCAGCCGATACACTTTTGCCTCCACTTTATCACATCTTCGTCGTACCAATGCCCCGATCGGTCGAGAAGGTAAAATCGCAAAGCCTCGCCAACTCCACAACACTCATTGGGGTTATGTTTGCCCGGCTGAGACACCGGAAGGTCAGGCTTGCGGCCTGGTCAAGAATTTGTCTCTCATGTCGATGGTTACAAATACTTACGAGACTGCTCCATTGGTGAATTATATCCTCACCAAAAACGTCGAAGCACTGGAAGATTGGGAACCTCGATTAAATCCTCAAGCGACCAAGGTCTTTGTCGATGGTGTGTGGTTTGCCGTGGTCCTACGAGACCCCAAACGCCTCGTTGATGACTTACGCAAGCTACGGAGAAAGGGCGTCTTTGACGCTCAAGTAAGTTTGGTCTGGGATATCCGAGAGAAAGAATTCAAAGTCAACGGTGACTCGGGCAGAATTGTCCGTCCGCTGTTTGTGGTGGAGACCGACCCGGCCTCAGAAAATCGTGGCAACTTAGTGCTGAATAAGGAGCACATCAACAAGCTTGATGAGACTGCCTATTTGAAGGAGAGTGGCATTCAGTGGACCGATGAAATCAGACCATACGGCTGGAACAATCTCCTAGAATCAGGCGTCGTCGAATACCTCGATGCTGAGGAAGAAGAGACCGCAATGATCATCATGACACCTGAGGCTCTGGCCGACTCCAAAGCAAGATGGATGGGCATGGAGATAGAGGCCGAAGACGACCCCTTGCGCAGAAACGATCCTCTGTTAAACCCATTCTCCCACACCTTCACTCATTGCGAAATTCATCCAAGTATGATCTTGGGTGTCTGCGCCAGCATCATCCCTTTCCCTGACCACAATCAATCACCTCGTAACACCTACCAATCTGCTATGGGTAAGCAGGCTATGGGCGTCTTCCTCACCAACTTCGACCAACGGATGGAGACCATGGCAAACATCCTCTACTATCCTCAAAAACCTCTTGCAAGAACGATGGCAATGGACTATCTGAAATTCCGAGAACTTCCTGCCGGACAGAACGCCATTGTTGCCATCGCGTGTTATTCAGGTTACAATCAAGAAGATTCGGTCATCATGAATCAAAGCTCGATCGACCGTGGTCTCTTCCGATCGTTGTTCTACCGTACCTACCAAGACTCGGAGAAGATCGTTGGCCACTCCGTGGTAGAGCAGTTCGAGAAGCCTACAAGAGCTGATACTCTCCGTCTCAAGCACGGCACCTATGACAAGATTGACGAAGATGGAATTGTCGCTCCTGGTGTCCGTGTGAGTGGTGAAGATATCATCATGGGCAAGACAGCTCCGATGGCGCCAGACGCCGAAGAGCTTGGTCAAAGACAGAAACAGCACATCAAGCGCGACGTGTCAACCCCATTGAGATCTACCGAGTCTGGCATTGTTGACCAGGTCCTGCTGACGACAACCAATGAAGGTCATCGGTTTGCAAAGGTCAGGGTCAGGACCACGAAAGTGCCTCAGATTGGCGATAAATTCGCATCTCGCCATGGTCAGAAAGGTACAATTGGTATCACGTACCGTCACGAGGATATGCCTTTCACTCGAGAAGGCATCGTGCCCGATCTGATCATCAACCCGCACGCCATTCCCTCTCGAATGACCATTGCACACTTGATCGAATGCCAACTCTCAAAGGTAGCGACACTTCGCGGTGATGAAGGCGACGCCACCCCGTTCACGAAAGTCACAGTGACGCAGATCTCTGAGCTGCTAAGACGAATGGGCTACCAGTCCCGCGGCTTCGAAGTCATGTACAATGGGCATACCGGACGCAAACTGGTCGCACAAGTCTTCCTCGGTCCTACCTATTACCAACGTCTCAGACATATGGTCGATGACAAAATCCATTCTCGTGCTCGAGGCCCCACTCAAATCCTGACCCGACAGCCTGTCGAAGGTCGTGCTCGCGACGGTGGCCTGCGTTTCGGCGAAATGGAACGCGACTGCATGATCGCGCACGGTGCCTCATCGTTCCTAAAAGAACGCCTTTTTGACGTCTCCGATCCTTTCCGCGTGCACATTTGTGATATCTGCGGATTGATGACCGTGATCGCGAAACTGAAAAAGAATACCTTTGAGTGCAAGAACTGCAACAATAAGAATCGCATCAGTCAGATTTACTTGCCGTATGCGGCCAAGTTATTGTTCCAAGAGCTGTGGAGCATGAACATTGCGGCAAGGTTGTACACGAAGAAAGGATAGGGGTTAAGGAGGTTGCTGCTAGGAAGCGACAAGACCGCAAAGGCAAGTGGGCTGGCCAAGGATTGAGGCGTTGACTGTCCCCAAGATCTTGGGACGTTGGCATACATTTTCAGCGATGATTTCTCCGTCTGAACAGACAAACGTCACGGCGCCTGTTTTGCGGGAGGCGTGAGACATTATTTTCACCGAGGCGAATCTCAGTGATTGATTGGGGGATGGGTCACGATCAATTGGAGGGCTCTAGGAACCAAAAACCAGTGTATTCCAATCCTCATCAAGCGTCTATGTTTTTCTATGGCCACTTCTGGTGTTCTGCATTTGCCCCCGCTCAGTCTCGGTCCTGACGCTTGGAGTCGGTCAACAAGGGCCGACCCAGTCAGTCCCTTGCACAACGTGAAGAGACGAGCGGAGAGCCAGAGAACGGACGGGATGGTTGAAGCTGGGTGGGGAGGAAATGTACCATATCACACATCATCATCATTGTTGCTATGTCATTCTTACACGAAGACGCAAGGAGAGCAATGGGAGAGAGCAGGAAATATCAGAGCAAAGGGGGAGGGTCGATTAGATGAGATGACCGTCTTTTCTCAGCCGAATCCCCCTAGTTGCCGTTACATTAGATATGATAACTCGAGTCAATTGTTTAATCAATTCCACACGGTCCGGGTATTATTATTTCCTTTTCAGTTGCAGAGGCCATCATCACATTGGCTTGTGAGGCGGACGGGAAAGCATAAAACGACGGGACCTTCGTAATCGACGGGATCGAGTGCACCCATGGTACACTGTGCACACACCCTGCTGGGCCACCTATTGCGCGGACCCAGGGGGGTGGCTGCTGCCCCCCGGATGGTGATACTGTTCCGTGTGATGTTGTAGCTTCTCCTTGTCGGGCAACGGCTTCAGCGCATCAATGATCCGATGTGCCAGGCCGGGCTTTTGTTCACCCTCGGTGTATGGATGATGCGCCGTGAGTCCACCGATTTGGTCAATGTGTCCGCCTTGTTCTGAGATGGATTTCCGGCTGGAGGGGTCGTGGACGGGGTCATAGGGGACATGGGTTGTGGCAGGGTCGATCGCATCGGGTCCTACGCTACTCTTTCTCGGGTGAGTGGCGGTTTCTGGTGCGGACTGGGCGCCTGTAGGTGCGGCGGTGCTGGACGCTTTGGCGGACTCGTGGGCTGGATCGTCCTTGGAGAAGGGATTGTATGATGGCTTCTGAAGGCCGCCACTTTGTGCCTCGTACGAGGTTGCGGCCGGCTCGTGAGATGCGGCAGCAGCAGTCCGAGCTACGGCGGCACCCGTGCCTCCAGCGACTCCAGCTTCGGCAACATGATGATCGCCATGCTCAGCCTCGGGCTCATGATGGTCGTAATCCTCGTATTCTTCTTCTTCACCTGTATCCTTGTTCTTGCGGCGCTTGAAGATCCGTTTCAGCAGGCCCGGCTTCTTCCCCTCTGGCTCCTTATGGAGCTTTGTGTGACCTGATTCATCGGTTGCCGTTGTGGGAGGCGGATGTTTGTCCTTGTCGTGCACCTCGTACGCACCAGCGCTGGCAGCTACGCCTGCACCGGCCCCGGCAGCGGCGGTGGCCGTAGCTTTTTCACGTTCCTTTTGCTCGCGCTCAAGTTCCTCGCGGCGATGTTTTTCTTCCTTCTCTGCAGCCTTCTCACGGGCCTGCTCTTCCTTTTCGAGCTCTTTTTGGTGATGCTTCTCTTCCTTCTCGAGCTCCTTCTGGTGTTGTTTCTGTTCCTTCTCGAGCTCCTTCTGGTGTTGTTTTTGTTCCTTCTCGAGCTCTTTCTGGTGTTGCTTTTCTTCTTTCTTGAGATCCTTCTGGTGCTGCTTCTCTTCCTTCTTGGCTTGTTTTTCTGCCGCCTTCTGGTCCTTTTCGAACTGCTTCTGGCGGGCAGCCTCTTGTTCCGCTAAATCCTTCTGTCTCTGAGCATCGTCCTCAAGCCTGTCTTGCCGCTGATTATATTCATACAACCCAGCCGCTCCCACTCCAGCACCTGCAACTCCAGCAAGCGCAGCTTCTTCCTCCTTTTTGTGCCTTCGCCGTTCCGTTTCCTCTGAGATTCTATCTTGTCGTTCAGAGTATTCGGGTGCGATGGATGCTCCGCCTGCGACGCTTGTGGCCCCAGAACGAGCGGCTTCACGTTTCGCTTGGTCATCCTGAGCTCGAGCCTCGAGCTGGTCTTGACGTTGATTGTATTCAGGGACGACAGACGCACCAGCTGTAGCGGGTGCAGCCTCGTGCGCGACGAGGGGTTGTTTGGCAGGTTGGCTTGTAGGGGCCGTCCTGGTAGCGCCCTCCGAAGTGGGAAGGGTCGCAGCAGCTGGTGTTGCAGTAGTGGCGTCCTCACGGAGAGGCCAATCGGACCTTGCTGTGTCTTTCTCTCGATCTTGCATGGCATAAGCACCAGCTGCGGCGGCGCCAGCTCCAACACCCGCGGCGCCAGCGGCTAATCCTGCATTACGGCCTGCATGATCTTTATGATCCTGGTCTGCAACGGCCGATGTACCACCGACTGGCGGATTGATCGGCGCGGGAGAATCTACACCTGCTGGATAGGCCGTTGTAGGAATACTCTCTTTCCTGTGATGCGACGGGGGAGGCCCTGAGCGACTCGGCGCGGTATAGGAGTCGACACCAGTGGTAGTGGTAGGTTGATTAGGGGTATCTGCAATGGCATGTGGTTGATCATCCTCTGCACGTGAAGTAGCAGCCACAGCACCGCTAGCAGCAGTTCCTAGGCCCACTGCACCGAGAATCTTACCAATTGTTCCAGATGTCTTGGGCTCTTCCGAAACTGGCTCTTGAGTTCCTGGAGCGGCTCTTGTTGCATACTGAGCTGCAGCAGCTGCGTCAGGCACTTTGGTCTTCTCAACTTCACTGTAGACCGCCGATCGTTCGGCTGGTGATGTTGTCGTCGTCAAGGTGGAAGGAGCCATTGTGGTAGCATCATGCGCTGTTACGTCTTGCGGGAATGCTCCTGGGATGTGAGAAGCTGGAAAAGTTAGCACATTGGTTCTACAGGTCGAGCATCGTCGGGACGACATACTGCTATAATCTTTGTCCTTGTGAAATGCGTGCGCTGCGGCGGCTAAGGGCCCACCCTCTGGGACGCCCTTGTTTGACCCGTATGAGTGTTCGGGAGTTCGATACGTGGTGGGATCCTCAGATCTGGAGTCAACAACATTTGGAATGGGATCGCCTTTACGCAGAGTATGGGAGCTATAGGTCGAGGTTTCGCCAATGGCAGCGGTACCAGGGTCAGGGCCTGACGACCCAGTGACCGGATGTGCTTCATGGGTCTGTTGTGCACCTACGCCTGTTGATGGGTTAGAAATGTCGATAGGGGCAATGCAGGGATGTGGTTCGGGCAAGGATGAGCGCACCTAGGGCGTCTCCAGCGGGTGTATTTTCCTGGGAGGCGGCTGAAGCATCCGCAGACTGTTCTTCGCTCTTGGGAAAATGAGAACCTTGTCCTGTCAACCGACCACTTGGTCCAGCCCTGTCTTCGGCGTCTCCTTTCTCCCTGCTTTGCATTGAGCACGTGTTAGGGGAAGAGCGAGTCTGTGCGGATGAGGATACATACATCATGGTCTTGAGCTTGTCCATTCCGCTCTGGAATTGCTAGATCTTGTCAACGTGGGTTTAGATGAGGCGCAGACAAGGCCATCAACTGCACAGAGGAGGAAGACTATCGATGTGGGAAGAAGTAACAGACGAGAATGTTGGATGAGGAGACGGGAGGTGAAGCTGGCTGCGCTCGTGAAGGCTGTGTGCGCCATGTTTCCTGGTTTGCGTCATAACCTGAGAAACTCGAACCACACCATGACACCAGATCGTCAGACTTCCAAGCTGTTGTCACGTATTCTAGGGGCCTGTTCAAGCCACAGACGGAAGAGATGCTGTTGTTCATTGGATGACGGCCACACTAGCCACTGCCATCTGCCCACCGACATGGGATATTTGGGGGTTGAAGCGGGGAGAGTGAAAGCACTAGGCACAGTCCTTTGGAGGTAGAGCAACTCAGCTGTGGCCAGTCTGTGCCAATCTAGACACCGATGAAGTCATACACAACAGCAACCCACAAACCACAAGGGCATCTTTGCGCAACCAAGATCTGGGGAGATCGACCAATCGTCCTGCAACCAAGAGACTGGCGATGGACGTGGGAGGGGCATTAATGCACATCGTCGGCCATTTTGAGGGCGACTACCCGAGACGACGACGCACAAAGATGTCCTGTGTCTCCGTAATGTGACAATTGGGCGATGGTGATGATGAGTTTCTCCCCCAAATAGCAGTGATGGCCGCCCTCGTCGACTTGCCACGCGTCACTGGGCAAGAGATGGAAGCGGTCACGTGAGAGGGAGAGAGAGTTGAGCGAGATATCGCCGCTGTGGTACACGCTGTGGTACACGTCGTGGCGAACATGACTCTGGACTCTGGCCAGAGCCTCGACGGGCAGGGCCAACGAGACATCTCTGGCCCGTGGAGTGATACGAACGAGAACTTATCTTCTCAGCGACGAGAGGCACCCGTCCCGAATCAGCCCTTATCAGCAGAAACAACTCCCCTTCATGCACGTCGGGTGAAGGACACGCTCACTAGAGCACTAACGGGAGCACGCTGTGGAAGGGAGCCACGCTACAGGTGCATGTCGCGGTCTTTGGGGGGCGTTGCGGGTGCAGAGGCGTAGGGGCTTGGGGGCGCTATGGGTAAATTGATAGGGCTAGTGAGGCCCCGAGGGCCCAGGCTGGGCAGCGGCCAATGCAAGGGGCAGCCAATCGCCACCCAACCACATCCAGCGAAAGCCGCCTGCGCCAGAGCAAGAGCCGGAAGAAGAATGTTTCTAGAAGGTGGCATTGCCTTCTTGGATCGTTCGCGCAGATTACGAGGTGCGAGGCACGACACAAACCACGTTGTATGCCTCGCTCTATTACCACACAAGGCCGATTTCATCATGGCCTATAGACTTCTAGGAGAGGCCAATACGTTGCATTGCAAGGGGGGCGGTAACTCCTGCCCGCTTCCTGGCTTTGCACTTGTACTTGTCTCTACAAGCACCGAGTAGTGAGGTAGGATTGGGACCACTTCTCACCACGGGCGATTCGCCCAGCCTACTTCTTCAACCGGCGTCAGTGGTCAGAATGGGATCCATACTGCATCCACATTCATGGTAGGCCTATCGGCGGAATCGTCGGATTCTGCCACGCTGGGCAGCCTGTTGCCCGCTCACTGCTCACCGTCCTCACAGTCACCCTGGTCCATACACACGCCTCGCCTCCGCCCGGGTTTCGCGATATGCTACTCGTACACTACCCTACGCACCCGCTGGCCATGCTCAGAACTGCGATAGAACCCGCCGGCGATGGCGCAGAGTGGATACTTCGCCCGCTGCATTGGGAAAGACAAGGGCACAGGGCACGTCTTATCCCAGCTTTCCACCATGGGTGACCAGGGCCCACGGCCATCTCCATACTCCTCCGGCTCCTCTCCACCACCTTGTGCCAGATTCCAGCATAACAATTGTGCCCGCCGTCTCGTCATTACTACCCATGGGCCCCATGCTCTCCTGATTGTCTCTGATATGCCTCTGGCCACCGCAGTTCCACTTCTCTCAGATCCAGCCTCGATGGCATTCATATGAGGCGTCCTGGTCCCTATCCCTCCCTCCCGTTCTTCCATCCATACCGTTACAATATCGACGACAGATTGGCTTGCGTCCTCCTGAACAGGGCTTATCTATCACCCATCAACCAAGCATCAGTATCAGATATACCGTCAGCACGCTCTCGGCCGGTCCTCCTTTCTGCCTCCATATCGCATATGCACAATGGGTCTACGAGTAAAACTGCGGAGGACTTTTACGTCCAAGAAGAATAGTGCGGGAAGCGAGACAGGGCCCAATGGTGAACCATATTACACAGACCGGAAGGACATTCAATACTATAAGCCCCACGAGATCCCAAAATCCAAGTATCGGGGGAAGGTCGATCCCGAACATCAGGCCTCTCTGCAAGCCTTCTCTCTCGCAGACGCCTTCTCAACAGCCCGGAGGCGAACCTCACTCGCCCTCTCCGGCACGTTTTCCCCAGGGGGTACCAAGTCACAGAGTGCCGCGGCCAGTAGAGTGCACAGTAGAGCTGCTAGTCGGCGACCGTCGGTGCAGGAACTCCCCGGCTCAACGCTGAGAAACGAGAGTGGTGTGGACTCGGAAGGGAGTAGTAGTTCTTCGAACAGTACGAGCAGGCAGAAGAGCACTGCTGCAAGTGTGGCATTCGATGCGGATACTGCGAGCAGTATGTCTCTCCTAGATCGTCTCGGTCGTCCGTCATATTTGTCACCTTTACTGACCTTTCACCAGCATCTCTGTCGGACCAAGCCACAGCAGTCCCCTCTGCACCCGGCGAACCCAACAATAAACTCGCCCAGCACGACAGTGGTATTCACATGCCTGAATTGGCAGCTCTGTCCAAGCAAACCACTGGTCACGACACTCCATTTACGGCCGAGGAGCTCGAACAAGCTATGACGAGAGCGACACTGAAGCCGAGAGATTTCGGCAACGGAGGGATTGGAGTCGCTTTATGAGAAAACCTTGGGACCATCTGGCAATGAGATGGACCAAATGATGATTTACGACGAGACTTGGACTTCATCCGACATTGGGAGGACACGAGACGAAAGTGACAATCTTCATGGATACAAACTCGAATGTACAATTACTGCTTGACCCCGGATCCCTCGTGGTTCCCCAACGAATGTGGGAAATCGCAATGAATGGCGACAATTGTTGGTTAAGGGCAACTGGCATCTAAGGACTTCTGGGCATGCGGCAACACACTGCTCTCCTCGCACGATTAGGGACATACACATGGCTATGGCATTTCTTGGTGTTTCGGTTGATAACTTCTGCATGGCACGGCGGGATGGGTTTCTCATTTAACACTTCTTTATTTCCTCAGGGTCTACTATTTTACTTGGAAACAACAAATTCCACGGAGAAAACTGGGTATAGACTGGGTCAGGCATGGACATTCTGGGGCTGGAGGTGTGATCCTCTGATCGTCCCCAAGGCTGGCTGGCTGGCTATGAAAGAGAGCGATCGGATCGGGCGGAAAGTCTGGATGCACCCTTCAGTTGCAGTGCAGGGAATCTCTGGAAGTCATCTTGGGTAACAGTAGCAGTGGCTCCCGCCCTGAATCACACCATTGGGCCTCACATCCGAATCAGTGGCCACTTTATTGTTCACTTCAGCACTCCTTTCTCTTTGTGATCATTTACTATTCAATGGTGACTCGAGATGACCCCCGACTACTAGTGGCACGTGAGCCGGTCAGATTTGTTCGATGAATGGCTGGCCGTGTGGATAAATGTTGGATAAATGCCGGCACTCCAAATGCCACAGGTCGATCTCTTTCTCATGCCACCAATCTCGTGACCTTTCCTAGTAAGTCCTCCGTGAAAGTCCCTCTCCAGGTCGGCAAAACTGTTCACCAGATGTGTTGGAGTGACGGATTCCGAGTTAAATGTCTCTCTCAATCTGGACACCGGGACCGCCTCTCTTCATCCATCCATGCTGAATCCGTGAGATGCGGCACCCGGAGACCCGCAGCATCCTGGGTGCGTAGCCTTGTGACGTATAAGGCCATCCTGACGCCTGTGCGCCCTCCTGCAGTGAAGATCCGAAGGGAACAATCGGGGGGATCGCACCCCCTGCTTCTGGCAAAGACGCACGGGCTTTCCAGACCGGTGATACGGGCAGTGGTCGGTAAGTCGGCATCTCGTTGGTGTCTACTGGGTTAATCCGCAAGCAACGGGCCAGCAGTCCGCGAGGAGTTTCCTGAGGGTGATGGTGTTGTAGCCAAAGCTGTCTGGATCTAGTGGTGATGGAGGCTTGGTGGACAGCGAGAGGCCACGTCGAGTCTGCGTGAAGCTCAGGCAAAGCACCAGGTACAAATGTACTGCAGCCTTTCCAAAACCCTGCTCGCAGCGACGCAGCTTAGAGCATCATCCTCCAGAGGGATGTCGTTTTCTTTCTGGCGTCAGCGGTTAGGCTGATCGACGTCCACATTGAAGTAGGATTCAGGACGGCACATCGACCAAAGTCGTGGTGTTTTCGTCTCTATCCGTCTTGTGCACACGGGATTGAAGTTGAGAACCAAGTCGCTCATTCTGCGGTTTCGCTGTGGCCCTTCTTCTCAGTCATCCGTATGTGTAACAGCCATGTCCAGCACTTCTAGCCTCCCTCTCCCTTTCATTTCCGCGGCAATAAACTCCCCTAGGGCTTTGAACGCGCCGGGCTCCACGAATCCAACGACTTCCCACTCCTCACCCAGCACCTCTTGGCTCTCTACCTGCTCAACGAAGGAAAGAATGCGATCCTTGATAGTGCCTTTGCCTTGCTCGGCCCCAGCGTCTTCGCCGACATCTGTGCTTGTGCTGGCGGCCTTTGATTTCGCGGCCTGCTTTGCGATGTTGGTGGGACAAGTGACCCGCAATCTCATACGCGCACGCATGACGGGAATGGGTTGCCAGGTGATCAAGGCACGGATCGCTTCAAGAGCCTGCTGCTTGACGGATTTATTGGTCACGACGCCAGTCCACGTTGGCATGTCGCTTTTCTTGCCCTTTGAGTTGCCTCCAGACGCAGACTCATTGTCGTCGTCGGTCATCGGCGTCGCTTGCCCGCTCGTCTCGCTCGACCCCTTCGGGGCGGCAGCGCCCTTCTTGATGCCTTCACCCAAGTTTAGCTTGCCGAGTTTATGACCCAAGGAGTCCTGCGAAGGAACATGACCACCCTGTTTGGAGAGAACGTCCAGCCCTTTCTTGATCATGCCGGTGGTGTAGACTCTCTTTGTCTGTGGGTCGACGAGTCTCTGGGCGACTTCTTCCACAATCTCCCTCTCCATCCTATCCAGTAGTTCCTTGCGCTCGTTGGCGTTCACTTGGATCTCGCCCTTTTTCAGGATTTCTTCAATGATGGCGTCTTTCCATGACTTCTCATCGTCCCCCTCATCCGTTGTAGATTTTCCCTTGCCCTTCTTTCCCCCTCTTCCACCGCCTTTCCCTCCCGATTCTTGCTTTTCATTTTGTGAGGGCATCGGCCATGCCTTGACGAGTTCAGCATTGGGGGCAGTCTCGCCTTTTGAAGCGTTGAGGAAGATGGTTGGCACTTGCAGGACGTTGTCGAGGTCGGTCTCGGTTCCTGATCGGTACTCGAGCAGTTTGTTCTTGTAGCACGCCAGCTCGAAGCGTTTCTTGCCCTTCTTGTATCGCACCAGCGACACATTGGTCAGTTTGATCTGGTTGGCGGGCTGTTGGATCGGCATGGCAGCGGTAGCAAGTCTGTCTGATTTCCGTCACAGCCAGTGTATGAGAGGAAGAGACACATCAAAAGGAAAAGTGACTGGCGTTGAGTCACAAGCGAACTCTCGCTGGTTGGTGGGCTGTAACACGCGGAGCCGTCCACAATTTTTTTTGGAGAACGCGATCTTTCTCCATCTCTGGCGTTGTCATGATTCAATAACTATTCGATTCTGCCAACCAGCTCTCTTTGCTATCCTACCTCCGGAGTAAATATGCTGGCATCGAGAAGCCATGCAGGAAATGTCACGAAGAAGAGACTACGATATATTTGCCCAGAATGTCAGACGAACGCTCTCCTTTCAACCTTCTTCAGACACAACCAAAGGAAGAGACTCCAAGCCTCTAAGCCTACCCGTCTGCAATTCAGACAGCATGGAAAGCGATTCAGCACATTGAGCTCTTCTCTGGCATCATTGGAGACTTCTCAGGCTCCAGCTCCCGTAGACACCTTTCGAGACATCACATTGGGCCCCTCTGCCACCCCACGATCCTCTTCCTCATCGTCCACGAATCCTGCCGTCACTTCTGATTCAGTAATCCGCAACCACCTAAGAGCATGGAGTGCCGAGAACAACAAGAAAAAGAGGAAAGAAGCGGATGCAAACAGCGACTCTCCAAAACTCAAAAGGCTGTCTGTATTGCCCAACTCTCTCTTCATCGAAGAAGCGAGCCTCGCCGATAATACATTGGGCGAGGATGAAGAATTGGGCGCAGGCGACCTTCCCGAGGTATGGGAAGATGTTGTAGAAGGCGGCAACGTCCCTCATCTCGACCCGGGCGACCTGATATGGTGGCAGCCCGGCAAATACACGGCTGGCGCTGGCCGCTTTGCGCGCTCACAGCTAGCCATCTTCCTGGGCACCCTGGGTTGGCAGCGTCAGTATCTACTATCCGACGGTCGCTGGGTCGTTGAGAAATCAGTGCAGCAGCCCAGCCCCCGGTTCAAACAATTTGCTTCCCAGCAAGAAATCGACCAGATCCGCAAGCATATGCCAGTCAAGCCACTTGAGATGCAGGCCACAGACTTTGAAGTCAAGATGGGCTACAGCTTTGCGGGCGATACTCCCTCTGTTGACTCCGAGACTCTAATAACCCGTCTTGCGCAGTTTATTGATGAGATGTCCACTTGGCGGCGAGAGAACCTTGCTCTTCTCGACTCGCTCTACGATCGCATCGCCGACGAAGAAAGGTACATCTCTCTCTCGTACGAGCAGGTCGTGAGCAAATTGCTGGCTGTCAAATACTCCGAAGTACCTCCTGCCGCACTCTTCACTATCTACCGGACACTGCGAAGGAAGCATGTCGCTCAGATTACTGTCCTGAAGAAGACCCACTATCCTTCCGCAACGGTAGCCATCATGCCTAAAAGATTGGCCAGGCGCTTTGATCAAGTCTGTACATGGGCTCGTGAATATCAAGAGGCTGCCGCCTCTGCCGCTATGGGGAAGGATGTGACAGGTGCTCTGGCGCGCAATCCCCTCTCCTCCTTCGTTGCAAAGGCAAGGAGGTTGATCCTAAAGAGCCGCACTCTGCGGTCCCCTACCACAATTGGCAGTCTTGGTCCCAGCTCCCTACAAGCTACAGACCTTGAAAACGGCAAGATTCCGGTCAAAGAGAATGATGAAGCATTCACGGAAGAAGACAAGATGTTTCTTGAATTCCTTTGGGACTGCTATGTTCGTTATCCTCCCCCGGATAACAATCGAAACCTTGCCATCGCTTCTTTGATTCTCCGGGCTATCGGTGCATACCCCAAGCTCCGTCTTGACCAAAACATGGGCTGTCTTTTGCTGCAAGAGTTAGGTACCCTGCCACCTTGGTTTCTTCGCTCCGACCACAATGTAACCCTCGAGATCCCAGGCGGCAGAGGCAGCCACGAGCTGACCCGCGTCTACGACGACGCGGACCGCTTCTGTCACAAAATAGGTCTCAGCAAGACACTCGATCATGGCTTGCTCGTTGACTCGATGGCGTCTCTGCGCCAGGATTTTGGGCATCTGCCGGTTTACTGCATTGACGCTGGGGAGACAAACATCAGAGAAGACGGCTTTTCTATTGAGCCGAGCAGTGAGATTCCCGGTGCATACTGGATCCATGGCCATGTATCGCACCCTACCGCATTCATTGACCCAGAGCACATCATAGCACAGCGAGCGCTGAAACTCACTGAGAGCGTCTTTCATAATACTTACGTTGCACGTATGGTCCCCGACAGCTTTACTCGAGCATTATCACTGCGGTCTGGTTCACCCGCCATTACCGTCAGCACCCTATTTACAGAGGCCGGAGACGTGAAAGACATCAAGATCAGGCCGACTACGCTTCGAAATGTGATCTACCTCTCCAATGCTGCGGTTGAATATGTCCTAGGGAAACCCGAATACGAAGCCGCTACTCTCTCGCTGGGGCCACAAGCTGGGTTACCTCCCAAGTCTTTGCAACAAGCGGCCCCTGCAGACATCGAAAAGGCTCGTACCCACCTTTCTGATCTTCAAAGACTGGAGAAGCTTCTTCTCGCTCGAGAGGAAAGTCGTCGGAGAAGTGTGGCCGTGGCGCCCGATTGGGAGGTACAGGGGAGCCTTTCGACTCAAAGTTATGTCCACATAACAGGCAGCCGATTTGACGAAGACAGCCTGTTCCGGAGCCAGCAATACCAGGGCGATCCTGCAATCAGAATCACCGTGTCCCGGTACATGCGACTGAATCGCGTGAAAGAGATGCCGCAGTACGTTACCTTGACCGCATTATGCGGGGACCTGGTTGCAGAGTCGGCCGGCAAGTGGTTCCAGGACCGCAAGCTACCTGCATGCTTCTTTGGATCCTCGTATGCTGCAGATTTCCCACCTGCCAAACTCAACAAACTGGCCCGCGGCGAACATGCAGAGTATCCGTTAGGCAAGCTCTCGTCCTCACCTATCCCACATGTCCACAAAAGCCATCAAGTCCATTTGTGGTTCAGCAACCCCCTTCGGCGTTATCCAGACTTGATGGCCCACTGGCAGGTCGATGCCTATCTCCGTGCCGAAGCGAGCGGAGCCATTCAGCCGGGCGATCCGGGGGACGAGCTGCAGCTGCCCATCTCCAAGGAAATGGTCGACAAATTCATCCTAGAACACTCGCCCAAAATGTATGAGTGGGCACGCGAGATATCGCGCAACGAGAGGAAGCATTGGATCACGCAAGCGTTGTTCCGGGCGTTCCACTTCAGGGAGGCAGACCTCCCAGAGGTATGGGATGTGAATGTGACCTCGGTCAATTCCACGCGGACTCGCCCTGATGACAGCGGGCTCAGGGGCGTCCTGCTCCCTTTCAACGTCTACGCCGTGATCCTGGCGTCGAACGAGGGCTGGGAGAAGGGGGTGAAGTACCGTTCCTTTCTGCCCGTGAAGCTGGAACTGGTCGACTTGGTCCGGAAAACGGTAGTGGTCCGTGCCGTTGGTCCTCCCAGCGAGACCTATACTCAATCCGGCCCCATCCACATCACCCCCAATGCTCGTTCCAGGACGTCGGATGACGCCGAGGCCTCGGACGCTGCATCCTCTGAATGAAGAGGCATGCATTTCCGAAAGACGCCGAATCCACCTGACGAACCAAGCTCTGCAAAGAAAGCAGGCATACGGGGAGGGGTTGTGGCTTGAAAGGAAAGGAGGCGATACTGTAATCGTCACGCTGCAGAGGATGGAGCTGGGTGCGCGACATAGTCCGCTCCGAAGATCAGCCTTGTGTAGTTCGTAGCGTGTATCCTTGTAGAGGACGAAGCGCCTCACTCGGAGAGATATACACACACGGACGGCGGTGGACTAAAAAGAGTGTGTCAAAAACACTTAACAGACCTATGTATATGTATAATTTCGAAACGAGGCGCCCGAGATGAACTGTTTCTGTGGCCCTCTGTTCTCGTCTCAGGCTACGTCCTCCATCTCGAGTACTTATATTTCGGCCTGCCGTAAAAAGAATGTGAGAAAACCATGGATGGCATCTCAAAGAACCCTGGCCTTGCGATATCATAATGAATTGGATTCTGGCTTGGCCTCTCTGTTGTCGCTGCGAAGTTGGCTGGTACATGCATGATTTAATATACCGCGGATAGGTTCTTCTCGAGAGCGGCCGCCTACTTGATCCATACGCACATGCGTACACACATATATATGCAGATCAATCATGTTCCTCTCTCTCTCCTCTCTCCTCAACCATCTCATTTCTCACTCGCTGGCCACCCGCTCGCAACTCTCAACACTTACCCGAGGGCGGCGCCGTACTACCAGATCTTCTTGGGGTCTACGGGGATCTTCTTGCTGCTTCCTTGCTCCAGCTCGTCAATCTCGGGGAGGTTGTCGACGTCCAAATGCTCGTACACTGTTCCGCTTTCTCTCAACGCATCCGTCACGACTTGCATGTACCCCAGGACCTTCTCCTCTGTCAGTCTCCGTCCCACGATCTGGACCGCAATCGGGAGGCCCGCCATCTTCGCGCTGTCATAGTACCTGTACGCGCCCTTCTCGATTCCATTCGCCGGTCGAAACCCCTTGGGCAGAGCATCCTTTTCCTTGTCCACCTTGGCAACAGGGAGGATACCAGCGGTGTAATCCAAAAGATTCCACAAGAATGTGTACCCACAGCTGCTCACGGCCTCCTTCATACACCCATGCGGCAGGGCCGGGGTAGCGTTGCCGGGACACAGAATAAAATCAAACTGTTGCGCGGGCTGGTTGAGCCAGTCGAACCACGTCGCCCTGAAAGCTTCGCGTTTGGCAACCCAACGCCACTGCTCGAACGCGCTCAGGGGATGGAAATAGCGGAGGATGGACGCCCACACCGAGTCACGCCGGATATAGCGCGTGAAGAGGTACCACAGGTATTTGAGAGGTCGAGGCAGGGCCATGTAGAAATTGATCTGCGCCGCGCCTGGGTCGTTGGTTTCACCTGTACGGAAGAAGGATCGGAAAGTCCTCCCACCGTCGGCACAGAGCAGCACGCTGGCGATCTGTAAGCCTTGGGCAGGTGTGGCAGCCGGGGGATACGAAGAGACGGGGATTTCAACCACTTGGTGACCAGCGGAGCGAAGCGCCGAGGCCGTGATATCCAGACCGCGAGAAATCGCCGGAGCGGGAGCGCAAACGCCGTCTGTGGACATCAGGCCGATACGTAGCGGTTTCTTTTCTAGCGCTTCATCGTAGAGCTCCTGTCGCCATGGAACAGGATGGACCGTGTAGTCCACTTCCCAGGGCTTCATGCCGATGAATGCCCGCGTGAAGTAGGTCAAGTCATCCAAGGTCCTGGCCATCGGGGAAAACACACTGGGAATGCCTTCTTGGCCTGGCATGGAGGTATTCATCCCGACTTTCGGCCATCGGCCAGTCGAGCAGCGCAGAGAATTGATCCCCGACCAAGCTGCAGGGGCGCGCACAGAGCCGGCGACGTCGGAACCGATGCCAATTCTCGATCCGTTTAATGCCAACAGAGCGCCTTCGCCGCCTGTACTCCCTCCAGGTGAGTACCTTGGGTTGTGCGGGTTCTTGCACACACCCCACAGATCATTGGTGCTCTCAAAGCTCAACAGCGTTATGGGCAGCGCAGTCTTGGCGTGAGGGATCGCTCCAGCTCTTTTGAGAAGCTTCACCATGACCCCATCCTCGCTGTAGGGTTTGAAGACGTTGCGCGAGTAGCCCACGCTGACGTCGAAGCCGCCCACGGCGATCGAGTCCTTGAGGGACACGGGAACGCCGGCGAGCGGACCCTTGAGATTCACGTCCTGCTCGTTCCTCGCCCACGACTCGGCCTCTGGCAAGAGGATCTCTGTGACGCAGTTGGTCCGCTGGTGCGCGACGGTTGTGGTCTTCCCGTAGGTGCGGAGGATGTCGATCGGCGAGAGGGTGCCATCGTGGACGTCGCGAACAAGCTGCGCGATTGGGGCGTTGAGAATGGAGCGCTGTTGGGAGGTGAGGGGGCCTCTGTAGGGATCGGGGAGAGAGTCGAAACGAGCGTCGCGATGGCGCTGCTTGATTACGCTGCAAAGAGGTCAGTATCCGAGAGTTTGCGGATAGCAACCAGATAGACGTTTCGGAACACCGTGGAAGAAGTTGAGATGGCTAACTGACCAGGCCCGGCGGTGCTCAAAGTAATCAAATGGCGGATACATCGCGACGGTTTACATGGTTACACGGGAGAGGGGGAAAAACAGTGCTGCGACGGGAATATGTAGGACGGCGGTTGGATGGCGAGGACGAGGTTAGGAGTTGAGCGGCTTTGCGTATGGAGATGAGGTCCAACGATGTTGCGATGGCTGCTCTCCATGTGCCGAGCTCTGATTGGCTCGGTCGCATGAACCTTCCTGATCGGGCCTGAAGCCCTCTTGAATCCATTGCATGCATCTCATAGGGAGACATGACCAGATGGAGGCATGGAGACATAGAATGCTATTGCAATATCCTAGACCAGTACCTACATACATAGCTAAACTCGCGGAATACATACGCTACATACCCATCAACGCTGCCCGTGTTCACATCATAACTCTTTCTTGACGTTAGCCTCTGTGTCTGCTATTGCCAGCATCTGTGTCTGCTTGGCTGATATATGGATCGCTCAACGACGACCAGGAGATGAAGAACCAACAAATACAGTGTCCTGATATCCATCTCCGAAGGGGGGCCCGTGGAACGGGCCCGGTCAGGCTGGGTCACTGTCCAAGCGATGTCTACCGCTTGCCCCTCTGCCCCGACCCTGAATCTTTTGGATTTATACGGCCTGCGTGGAGCACAGCGAGCGCACCATCGAGGTATTCATCACCATGCCGGGGTCGTGATGAACCGCCGCTTCTTGCTTAAGGTGAGCAAAGCCAGCGTGCTCACCGCCGCGCGGGGTGGACTCGAGATGGCGGGTTTGGTCCATGGGCAGACCCAGTGGCGACTCAAAGAACGCTTGTCGAGAATGGTCAGGGGTCATCGTATCATAAGGAGTGAATTGAGCTTGCCACCAATCATCGTACATGGGCGGATGGTACATCATGGGAGGATGCACCCAGTGATGGGCCGCCTGGAACTCGTGGAAGTGCTCAAGTGGAGCCGAACCAAATCCCACACTGGACATTGCTCGTTGATCAGGCGCTGCGAACGAGGTCGAAACAGCTAGTGGAGGACATTTGTCCTGAAAGCTCTGCGACTCAGGTCGGTTCTGGGCATTGCTGGCAGATGGATCATGGAAGGCTGCCATGGCTTGAGCGTAGTGATGCTCTGTACCGGGATGCCAACTTGCACGTCTTTGCTCCAAGTTGCACGGAGCTATGTCCTTAAACTCGAACATTTGTCGTTTGTTGGCACCCAACTTCCCCTCGAGACTTGGTCTTCTGCGACGCTTCAGGCCGGCGACATTCCTCCTTACCTTGGCCGACAGATCAGTCAGAGGTGCGGCCGGAGGTGTAACTTCTCCAGTGGGTGTTGTCGGGCAAGTCACAGTCGGCCCAATGGTCAGACCCGTCGCGCTGGTGGGAGGGTGTTCAAGCTCTCGGATTCTTTCGACAACCAGATCGAGGGACTTCTTGGCCAGTTCCGCAACTCCGGAGGCCTGTCCAGCTTTCGCCAGATCTTTGAAGATTCCTAGGGTTCGCTCTACCCGCTTTGATCCTATGCTCACACCCACCTCCTGGCGGATGGTAGCAATGCCCAACATAACAGCGGCGCAAAAGACACCAAAACACCGCGGCCAGGATGAAGCGGTCTCGGTCGGGTCGAGGCTATGGATCGAGTCGAACATCTCAGTAACCATTCGAGAACACTTCAACAACTCCCTATATTTAGCTCTTTTGGCTGAGGTGTGCTGATTGCGCATCGACCGCAACATCTGGCAATGCAGCACCATCAGCATCAGTTGGACGTCAATGTGGTGTTGGGTAATTGCAATGGATAGCGAAGTGTCAGAAGCGCCGTTTTGAGGAATGGGCGGCAGCTTCGACTGCAGTTGGTACAGTCGACTCAGGTCCGCTTCTAACATGCTCTCCCTCTCCTGGGAAGACATCATTTGCGGGTCATTCTTGCCACGGTTGAAGCGATCCAATACTTCAATCATGTACTGTGAGAAGTCATAGACGTTCTCCTGTAGGTCCTGTTCTTCTTGCCGCGAGGCGGTTGGGATTGGCCGGGGAATGCCATGAAAAGGGGCAATAAAAGGACAGCGACCCAAGAGAAAGCTCAGCTGAACATCGAGGTCGACGAGCAGCCAGCAGAGATAGCGCCCAGGTTGTGAATCCTTATCAGCCTCAGGTGTGGCAAGGCTCATATCTATGTCCACTTCCAAAGATTAGCTCAATATGCCCGTCGAAGACCGAAGACTTGCCAACACTTACAACCGAGAATTTCTGCATCACGGACGAGGCCCGGAAAAGCAGCCCAGGCCTGCGTTGCTTTTCCAGCAGAGAGTAAATCTCGCACAGACCTATACTTCTTATAGAGTGGCAGAAGACGAGGCGGCAACTCGACGTCGGGGTCGTCTTCTGGTCGGCTGGTGAGGGCCCGGTCCGTCGCCGGTTCAAGGTCAATGGCGTGACCTTCCAACTTGAAGACCTGGACAGGACGAATCGAGTCCAAGATCTCCCGGAATCGCCCGTTTGTAGGCAGAAGAGACTTGAACTGTACGGGGAGTTAGCCTTCTGACATCGGGAGACTCGAGGGCTCCAAGTACCTCATCTATGCTTCTGGACAACGAAAGAGTCCCACAGAAGTTCTGTTGCGGAGTTGCGAGCCCACGGGCTCCTTCGACCGCACCCAACTTGTCGGACCCTTGTTTGGCGCCACGGCAGCTGCCGAACGCCTCTCCATGGCTATGTTCCGAGTCATGGACTTGCCTAGGCTAATCTTTTCATCAGCAGTGTTCATATGTTCATGTGTTGCCGTCCGGTACTGACTTGATTCCTTGGGAAGGAAGTAAGGTAGAAGCATTCAGGCTTGTCACGCTTCTTTTGACACGTTGTACAGGGCATGCCTCCAGAGCACTGCAGCATAGATTAGCGGCAAGTCTGTCACACTTCGAGGGACTTCATCGTACTCTGGACTTGCTGTCACGGCAAGGCTTGCAGGAGTTGGCCCGCCGTTTGCTGAATACCGATGGCTGAGGGAGGCCAAGGGCCTGTACAAACACAGTTGGAGTGTTAGGAATGCCGGTCAACATCATGATTTATGCCACCAACGCCTTTTCATTGATCAGTCAAGCGGCCGTGAGAGAGTGTATGATGCTGCTGCCTTTGGTGTATCTGGCAGGCAGCACGGTTTTGCAAGCACACTGCGTGGTCTCTGAATATCAAAGGGTCCGATCACAGTGACCCGCAAGAGGTGGGCACTTTTCCCTGTGTTAATGTTTAAATATCGAGACGTTTGAAGGATATATCATGGCACTGGCGACAACACCGCCAACAGATGGTATCCGAACGTCGAGGTGATAATCAGAGAATCCGATCTTTGGCAACATCACAGGGTCCAGGAACAGAGGTATAATATGGAAATCAGGGACGTCGAGAGGGGACTGTAGATCCCACTTCGAACATCTTTGCAATAAACGCAAATGCAAAATGCTGAAGGAGGGTGGAATGGTGGAGAGGGCCAACCGGGGTTGGATACTACAGTTCGGAGTTCCCAGAATGTTTGCTCCAGACTTGTGTACCAATCAGTAGCAGCCTCCAAGTGCAGTAACTCCAGGGGTGGATGGGAGCAAGCACTTGTGAGGAGTCGAGAGAGGGACGACATGGGACTTGATCGTGTTGGAGGGTGTGTTAGGTTAGCCATTTCCCAATAGCGTGCAGCCGTCCACTATGCCAAATCGAAACCACTGCATGTATCAATTCCACATGCAGCTATAGTCCTCTCAGGGGTGCAGGCCTAGCGAGATGCGAGTTGACGAAAGGCAAAAAAAGCTTGCGTTGGGAAGACTTAGCGAGGGCCCAGAGACGGGGTGGCAGTCGTCCTCTTCGCCAACGCTGCTAGGCTGAGAGTCTGTCCATTTCCTGCATCTGTCCGGCCCAATGCTGCTCGCCAGGGGCGGCGAACAAGAAAAGCGAGCAGTGATTGGCCTCAGGCCCTCGGAAAGATGGTCCGGACACTGCTGGCCAGGACAGTAGTGCGCATGATGAGAAGAATTTGGAAGCGAAAAAGGCAAGATCCCTGTATCTCGTGGGATTGCTCGCCTACAAGTCTCGCGGCCTTTTTCTCCGAGCCTCGAGCACGCACCATGCGACGATTGCTCCTAGTCTTTTTTCACACCCTCCAAGGTGGCGGGACAGAACAACAGCATTTGACATGACGAAGATGGGCCGCCCCAAAAGAGGGTTGAGATATTCCGAGGACATGGTGGACAAACTCTGACAAACGCCTTCGGACGGCAACACAAGGATGAGAGCATAGATTCGGGCCGCGAATGGCTCCCCTGCACTTACCAGACTGGGGGATGTAGTGGTGGTGGATGAGAACCACAGTGGTCGCCTAGAGTAGACACGCAAAGACAGCGGTTGGGGGCCCCGATAGACGAGAGATGAGAAACCCAGATCTTGTCTCGCTGGAGCGAGAGGAGAGGTGGACTCTGGATCGATCCTTTCGAGTCGACGGGCCAGGATTTTGGTGGTAGCTAATGGCCGTGGTCGCCGAATAGCTCAAATATGTCGACTGATTGGTTCAAGGAGAGTTTGCACTCACCATCGGCCAGCTCCGCTCCTGTGCATAAGGGCCCCCTTCAAAGCTGAGGAGGAGAAATACATGGGAGGGAGGCCCTAAGTTGCCGTTTGCCGGCGGCTCGTGTGGCTTGCATAGGCTATACTAACCATGAAGATTTCGCTATCCTGGAGAAAGCGACAAGATGAACCGATCAGCAGGCCAGCTTAGCTCGATCGAGCTGTGGCAATGTCTCCAAAGTCCTCCGAGCCGTGCCGTATGCCCAGCAACTCCGTGCTTGGTGCTTGGGCCATTGTACCAGTAGGGAAGAGTCTATCTCAAAAGGTGTCTCAAATCCTTGATTTTGCTTTCGAGCCGCGACCCGCAACCCCCTTTGCGGCCAGCTGAGCTGGGGGAGTGTCCAGGAGAGGAGATGCTAGTGAGGCAGGACGACCAAGTAACTTTTTGCTGTGCTCCATCAAGACCGGAGTACCCCGCGTATGGCATAGTCAAGGAGGCCTTGTTTGCCACTTCTCCCGTGGGTTTTGGTGTGTTTCCTTTGGCGTACAGTCTGAGACCAACTCTGTGAGAAAAGCCCTGGCGCATCTGGCCGGAGACAGAGTCGACAGATCCAACATCCATCTGGGGGTGGACTGAAAACACAAACAAGCGCACGGGCCACCCTTGCCATCCATGCCATCCATGCCACCCGCCTGTAACTGGAGGACCTCGCTCGTATTAGGCGAGGACGATCCACACCGCTGATCAATAGTTTCAAGGCGAGGGCCATCCCTGGCAGTTTTGACACCGGCTTGCGGGCCCGGCTCCGCGGCCCTGAGCCACTATCGAGCAAGCCAATAACAAAATGGCTCGTCCCAAGACGCTGGGTGGATGTACGTAAATCACGAAGCATTGGTGGCGGTGGTTAGTGAGGACGAGGCTTTGCCCCGGCCGCCCAGCCAAGACATTGGAAACTCTTGTATACGGCCGACATGGAAATTGTGAAATGCCCTGGACAAGGATCTAGGCACGGTGATTGCTGAACAGAGCCCGTAGTCAGTGTAGATAGCCCGGCAAGGCTTTTCGGAGTGTACCGGTATGCGCAGACACAATGCCACCGTCTCCTATCATCGAGCCTGGGAAGGACGTGTTGTTCTCAGAGGAACTCCCTTGGGAGGATTTGGATCCCACACACCGACCTGTGGCCGAGCTTGGGATCCCGTGTTCGTTGCATTCTTGAGTTGAAGGTGGCGGCCTCTTCTGCCGAGCCTGCACACTATCGTGATGGTTGCAGCCATGCGGCATCCTTCCTCCCGACCAATCTGGGGCTGCTTCGACCATCCACATCGCAGGAATGTCGGCGGATTGGGTGTGCTTTGTTCGGCAGATCTAGCTTCGAACCGGCGGGGAATATCTGATCCTTAAAATCTAAGACTCCTAGACTTCACCTCATACAGAAGTCAGTTGTCCCTTTCTGGCTTCTGGGCTTGCGCATGGGGCAAGGCCCCCGTTTTGGTGATATGAAAAGCCCGCAAGACATGCATGTCATTCGTGAGTCGATCGAACCTTGTCCCAGGTAGGCCGTAGGTCCAGGGTGTCAGGGTAACAGGTTGCCTGAGGAGCTCGTGCACTTGTCGAGAGAGGAGGAGTAGCTTTCTGCCGATCGATCGTTATTTGTCAAACCCCTCGCTCTGATCTCAGTACGAGGGTAAGGACCACGCAGCTCGAGGGGTGCAGACGAAGTCGTGGACCTTGAAAGCTACCGGGTCATCTCATACCTAAGTGCCCACATTCGTAAGGTTCTGCTCGCCGCTCGATGGCCCATGCCCAGGACCTAACAAGTAGGATTCTGTGTCGCCCACACCTGTCCGTGTCAGGGTCGGTCGACACGCAATTGTGGTTGCTGTGCCATGTTGAGGTTGGCTTTGGTGTGCGCCAACTCCACGATCATGTGGTCATCACTCATGGTGGCGCTGAGCTATGTGTCCAACCCCTCCTCGACTTCCCTCCTTTGCGCAGGTAGCCGGAGGACATGAACGACAATGAAACAGGGGTTGAGTTCGTTTAGGCTGAGCTCTTACTCGAACGAGGGAAGCTACAAGGTTTTGTCGCAGGTTTTTGACTCTCCAAGGCTGGTGAAGACGAACTTTACAGCTCTGTTTTCTGTCGGATCTTGTGAGTCCAGGAACAAAGAGCGTTGGAGACGCATGGCTGGAGAGTAACTTACGAACGGGAGAGCTTTTCACTCCTTCGGTCGATCGAGATGCTGCGCTTGGTATGGCGCACCCTTTCTTGCCCGTCCATGTTGATTCTTTGGTAGAGAATCAGTAGTGGAAGGGTGCATACAATCTGACATGCAAGGTGCAGAGTGCAAGGCCACTCAAACTACTTGTGCAAGGGATTGACGGCTGGTTGAAAGACAACCACTGCCCATGTTTTATTGTCTTGGGCGCACCGTGCTTATTGCTAGCATCTCAACCCCAACGCTTCCAACTTCCACCGCTCGCGCATAAAGCCGCTGCGAAACAGTTACGTGTGGATGACATTAGGGACACTATTAATTACATATATGCCTCAAAGAATAGGCCTAGTCCATTATTCCCTTCTGCACAAGACCCAGACGCCGCGCTGATCAAACTGGCAAAAAAGGAGCCCAAAAAGTGTATTCCCCCTCGAGTCCAACGTTAAACTTTTCGACTTGCCTTGAGTCGGTGCTCTTCTTGAACACCATCCCGGCAATGAATGCAACAAAACTGCCATGATCATATTCCCTCAATGTATACCGGTAATGGATGACGGTCTTCAATCACCTTGGATCCTCCATACAATATATATTCTGCAAACAGGTCGTGAACTTCGTGATTCTCTGCAAGATCATGGGCGACTAGCAGCTTAATATGCCGGGCGGCCGTGAACTTCTGCGGTGCTCCCCTCAAACTCAGGAGAATCCGGACTATAGTGAATATGGTCACTCGCCCTGTGTTGTTGCACAAATCCCATGTTTGACGGCCGGTCATTGCGGAGATCAGCCCCATGGGTCCCAAGTGCGGATGTGGCCGACTGCCGCATCTGACTGGTATATGACGGGTGCACGGGGATGTTTTCGTCTCCGTCACGGATCACGCTCGACGTCGTCGATTCAGCCCCGGTCGAGTACCTCTTGTTGCGGGCAGTCGACGGCTGCGTGTTCGCAAAGGGAATGCGGCTAGTGCCTAGCGGCTGAGTCGGCGCCTTTCGGGATGTAAGGTTAGCTGGACGCGAGGCAGATAATGCAGATTCAGCCAGCCCTCTGTCGCCCGGGTCGCCACCTGATTGTCTTCGCGAACTTTTACGACGAATGGCGGGAACCGCGGGAATGTCTGTCTCATGTGTCCGTGGGGGTTTGCCGCGGGACTTCCTTGAAGCCTCAGACCCAATGCGACTGGGCAGTTCAATGCCACCCACAGATTCGATGAGGGGCAACGACGGCGGTCTTGCTGGAACGGGACTCTCGGCCTCCTCATCGTCGTCCGAGTCTGCAACAGAGACGTCGTCATAGACACTTTGATGATGGCTCTGTCTTTGGACCTTGGGCTGTGGCGCAGGAGACGAGACCCCTGCACTGTTTCGATCTGTCTGGCTCTCTTCTATGCTTTGGACGTCGTCGTGGTAAGGCTCAGCGATCTGGCTTTCTCGGACAGGAGTGTGTGGTGGAAATAATCCTGGAGGAGGAGCGCGTGCACTCCTGACCACCTCGAATCCCTTGTTCTTTTCTTTTGTCTTACCACCCAGAAGATTTTTGAACCATCCAGTAGCAGTGGAGACGGGTCCTGTTGGATCGGCAGGTCCAGTCTTGAGCTTCCTCGTTCCGCTGGAGAGAGCAGCACCACGGACACCGTAATAGAAGTCAACTTCTCTCACAGCATAGTCAGTCTTTGTCCTCGTCAAATCGTTGGTAATGTCTTCAAAGTCGTCATTCTCCAAGGGCATAGGAGTGGAGGGTCCTTCGCCAGCGTCGTCTTCGATGGCTCCTTCATTTGCCATAGCACCTTTCGATGGCACTTGAGCTAGATCTGGACGACTGTCCACTCCGGCAAGTGCATCCATTGTATTTCTGCGCGGCGGTCGATAGTAGGGGTCTTTTTGTTCCACCTGCTTCTGGATACCCACGATTCCCCCCAGGGATCCTGCGCCACTAAGCCGGACTGTGAGTCGCCTTGATCCCCTGCTGGATCTATCAGGCGTGGTTTGACCAACTACGCGGCCATCGAGGTTCTGACTGATCCGGTTGGAGTTCACGCCGCTTTCCAACAAAACGCCTGATGCAGCCGAGACACTGCGCGACCTGGTCTTGGCCATCTGTAGCTTCTGTTGGTCGTTTTCGATGGCGTTCAACATGGCCGCGTTCGATGACATGCTATGGCGCGGGTCTTGAGTAGCCCGCCGCGGCATCCGTCGAGATAGTTGTCGCATTCCAAACACCTTGTTCAATCCACCTCTAGTGGCACCCCCTGTTGCTTCGTCCCGTCCGCCTGCGCCAGCAAGCCGAGCAATGACTTCGACCAAAGTCTGGACAGCATTCAAGAAGAACCCGAAAACCATGGTGCAAGCATGGATTATGAGGATCGCATATCCGATCCAGCCTCTGGACGAATCTTCAACACTCAGTGCAGGCACAAAAGCTATAGAGAGAAGGATGGTGATAAGTCGGATGACTGAGAAGCAAGTGTGATAGATGTTCATGGATGTGGCGGACGGAAACGGCCGGAAAGCATTAATTGTAAGAATCATAACAATCTCGCAGATTGCCAGAAGCACAATCTGTGCGATGCCGGATGGCTGGACTGCGCCAATTGCAATGCCCCGTACAAGGTTGACAAGAAGAGGAATCAATGCAAAAATGGCGGCATCGTCGCAATAGGTGTTATATAGAGGTCCGTAGGCAAGGACCATCAGAAAGTCGTCGAAGAGGAACGAGCGTGGTCTCGTCCGAATGAACAATAACAGCACCCAGGTCAAAAATGCGACGACCAAAACCAGCGCCACTGCTGCAAGTGCAACGGAGTACGCGGGACCCTTTCCTGCAATGACCAGCTGATAGAATGACAACGATGCCAAAGGCAGGAGGAAGAAGTTCAGAACCAGTCGCACGACATTTCCGGCGGTGAACGGGCCGTTTTTCGAACGGAGATCCTCTGGCGGCTCCTTCTTGATTTTTCGGTAAATCCAGCGGACCGCAAATCCTACTTGGGTCAAGATTGAGACGGCAGCGACAATGACCACTAGCCAAACAATCATGTCGGCCCAAATGTCTTTGTCCGAGGTCATGCCGACTAGTTGGCTCATTCGATCGAGACCATATTTGGTATTCTGGCGATATTCATAGATACCGTCGACCACGCTCTGGGTCCCGTTTCCGCCAGTCACGAAACTCTCATTGAACATGAGGGAAGACCAGGCGACGCGGCTTACTGCCGGCTGATAGAAGCCAGGATAATTCAAGGACAAACTGCCGGTCAGGACGACAAATTGGATATATTGCAAACAGTCTCCAAATCCCGGGGTGACGAGGCGCAGCAAGTCCTCATCACGACCAAAATTGCTGCTCCAATGAAACAGGTCCACGGAGCCCCAAGGACTCAGGATGGCGGCGGCGATGGTAGCGACGGCGACCACGATCAGTACCACGAGCGGCACATATCTGAGTATAGCCTTGAGAGATCCTCCTAGGTCGGGAGTAATTGTGGCGGTGACACAGCTGTAGAATTGCCCGCTCGCATCGCCCGACTGAACTCTCAATGTGGCTTGAAATGAGGCAAAGGCGTAACTGGAGAGCAGATCGTGTGCGACAGAAAAGGCAGGCAAATGGTCCAGATCGCTTTCGTTGACGTAGAAGGCGGGAGCCAAGGGGCATTCTCCATGGATCACCGACTCACAGAATCGCGAAGGATCCGCATTCCATGGAGTATACCCTAGGAAATTGACACGGGTAAAGAGGGTAGTGTACTTGTTGTTTGACTCGCTCAAATCGGGGATCTTGCCAAAAGTATCGTTTGGATTCTCCCATGACGGGTCGTCAGGAGGAGGATAAGGCTGTTCAGTTGCCTTTCCAGTAACATTCCCATAAACGGTGATATTGAGATGATGTCGATCGGAGGTTGAAGAGCTGTTGAATACGGCGGACACGTTGAAGGGGTCAAACTGTAGGATGCGCGGATTCGAATTGACAATATTGCTATCCAGACAATTGCGAAAGTCGACATAGGCGCCGCGTACAGAGGGCACGCATAAGACAAGCAGGAAAATGGCCATGGCGAGCGGGCTTGAACAATTCCATCTCTGGTGCAGACGACGTCGATGCCGTTCCTCCTCGACCGTCAATGCACGGTCAACACCTCGATGTCCGTCTCGATCAGTCAACGCCATTTCTGCGCTATAGGCCTTTCTGCCCTCCTCTTCCTAGGCAATGATTCCGTTTAGCCCAACATCTGGGCCGATCGCGTGGTGGACACGCTTCGAAAAAGTGGAGGTTCGAGTCGTCCGGAATGCAGAGGGCAATTCAGGTCAGATCTCTCTTCCTAGCAATCAACCGCCAGCGACGAGGACGAGGACGATGTAGTGGCAAGGCACATGTAGAAGCTCGACAATGGCGACCGGCAAGAGTGAATGGCTGGAAACGATCGCCACCTGCTTGGCGAGAGTGTCTCAGGTTTGCGTGAGGAGTTTGAACTACTGTGTGGCTATGGTGTCGGTGTAGATGATCAACGAGAGAAATGGCTAGAATGAAGAAAATAGCGAAATGGATGGGGATGATAGGAGTTACAACAGCGAAGGAGAAAACAAAATCCAAGGAATAGTCGTGTAAAACCTGAAGCGAACGTTGAGAAAGGATGATGGAGTTGGTGAGAAGCGCAAAGCGCAGGCACTGCCGCTGCAGCAGGAGTCGAAACCCGACGAAGGGACGCTCTAGGGGCCAATGGGAAGGAGCGATTCCTCGGATGAAGACGTTTTTTTCTTCCTTGTTGGAGATGTTGTTTGGGCAGGTCTCACCTGGGAAGATGCCGCTATGAGCTCCCTGTGGCGTCCTCCTGCTTAACTGGGGGTTTCATTTCTCGGTCTATTTCTGGTGCACGGTTGCAGGCGCTGCACGTCACTAACCACCTAGATACTTGCTGGTGTCAGAGGGCAGCAAGAGACTATTCCCTTTTGTAGGTACTACTAGCACAAACCCCTTCCTTCCCCCCATGGCCCGGATTGTCCTCCTGAGCGCCCAGGACAGCCACAGGCTCCAGTCTCCGTGCTTGTTCCGAGACAGCCCTCAGTCTGGAAAGCACGTGCTCTCCTGCTTCAGGAGAGCTGTTAGTGAAGGGCAATCCCGGAGGAAGGGAATCAACTACTGCTCATCGGCGTCATCCTATGTACCTCGTATTTACCAGGTCTGCACAGGTGATACGAGCACAATCTACCCACTGCCTACAACACGCCCGAGCAGCCTTTCGCAATTCCTCCAGTCCATCTATCATGCCATCTATCGTCGGATACATGTAGAGGCGACGTGTACGGAGTGCTGTTCCTCCATATCGATTCCCATCTTATTCCGCCCGTGCGCGTTTCAGCCGCCGTGATATGTCCGTTTTCCGCCACCGTCATCACTGTCATTGACACGTGCCTCTGCACTTCCTCTCTCCTTTTGAGTTTCCAAATACCAGGTAACCAGACTGCGTTACCATCTTTCTCGGTGCATCCCAACGCTGAAAAGGGTCATGTCTTCATCAGACTCGATCACTTCGCAGAGCAGCTATGATGATTCTGACCGGGAGGCTCCCCGCCATCATCATGCTCGCCATGACTCTCACCGTTCCGGACGCTCTGAGATGACCACAGACACAAGGACTCAGCGGCCACTGCCCGATCTCCCAGCCTCGCGGCCCTCCGCATCGCGCTCTGCCTCTGCCTCTGGTTCCGGCTCTGGCTCAGGAGCCGGCCCCAGTGGTCCGCCGCTGGCGACCGCACTGCGAGACCGGCTCCTGCCCCTCCCCCTCCCCTCCGCCGAACAGACTACTGAAGAACGCAGGCGAAGCATTATCGCCCTTGACCGCAAGAGGAGGCTTACCAACCCAACAATGCATGAGGAAGGCAGGAGAAGGACGAACATTGGCACCATTCATGATCGGAGAATGAACTACGATGCTCCCCGCGCGGATGGCCCTTCTTCTCCTCCCACGCCCCGGCGTCATGCCTCATCCGATACCAACATCAACCGGCCCTTACCTGAGATTGTAGATCTGACAGGTTCATCTCCTCTGCCGCCGCTACCGCCGCCGCAACCCCAAACACCTCGAGGCAATAGGCCGAGCAGATCCTCATCGGGAAATTCACGACAATACGTGGTGCCGAGGTGGCAGCCTGATTCAGAGGTCAACGGGTGTCCTATCTGTAAACGGCCCTTCACATGGGTGTTCAGGCGTCATCATTGCAGAAAGTGCGGCAGAGTGGTCTGCAATGACTGCTCACCACATCGAATCACAATTCCCCGACAATTCATCGTCCATCCACCAGGCCCTGACGTGGTCAGTTCTCCTGTGAATTCTACATCCCGCCGGTCGGGATCACTGGATTACAATGGAGCTGATACTGAAGACAATCTATTCCGAAGCGCGTGGAACCCCTATTCCTATAACGCTCATCCTCAACTAGAGGGCGGAGAGAAAGTGCGACTTTGCAACCCCTGTGTGCCCGATCCTCAACCGGATCCCCTGTCGAACTATCCTCTGGTAGCCGATTTCACCTCTCGTGACGCTCCATGGAGTGCAGGAGGGCGGCAAGCTACAACTCTGAACCATGTATTTGGTCCCGATGATAGGCCGAGTGGTTATGCTTTGGGAATGGGAGATTATTCAAGGCATACTGCGGTGCTGGTAAGCCCGTCGTTGTACACGCCAAAGGCAGTTGCTAACTTCCGGTCTTTCAGGACAATCCCCCCTCGCAGCATTCCCCTCGAGCAACTGAAGCAGGTTATGGGAATCCAGAAAGCAGAACCGATCCTTTTGGATGGCTTGGCCCGTATCGAGGGCAACCATCACCCACTAGATATCGTTTCCAAGCATCGCCATTTTCTGGAGGCACCAATCAGTTCCCAGGGCCTTCCTCTAGGGTATGTGCCTCATTACCTGACCTTGGTGCAAGTATTCTAAGCTGTGCAGGACTATTCAGCTCATGACGGGCAATTGACCTCTAACCGTCCGCGCGCAAGCTATCCGGAGCCCCGACAGCCTCGTGATGAATTACTCGGCATCGCGTCACAGCTACGCCGACCTCTCCCTCGATCCTTGCATGTCCTTGCTGACAGCCCTTCGGCGCGACCACGACTGAACGAAAACGATATATGTCCAGTCTGTCGTCGCGCGTTACCCCCTCGCGGTCCGAATGGTGACGAAACAGCCCGCGAAACGCATATAATGGACTGCATCTACTCTCGCGATCCGTCCTATCATGCTGAATCTAGCAACACGGTAGTTGCCAGGACCGTTGATATAGGAGGTCCAATATCACAGTCGCACTCCCTAGTACCACCTCATCCACTGCAGATGCTTACCTTCACGGCCACCGAGAAAGATTGCGTCTCGCAAGAAGACGGCCAGGTACAAGAGTGCTCCATCTGCATGGTTGAGTATGATGTTGGCGATGAATTGGTCAGGCTGGAGTGCTTGTGTAAATTCCACAAGAGTTGTATTTTGGAGTGGCTGGGACGGAAGGCGGAATGCCCAGTGCATAAGCTTATAGGATGACCCACGCAGGCACTGTTTTCTTTTCGTTCTCTGATGTTTGAATGATGCATGACTGATGATGGGGAAACGAAAGATCTTTCGACGGCGCATCTTCGTTCGTGAAGCACTTCGCTTTGAGTTCCAGCGTAGAGAGAATAAATTGGAGGGGAGTTTTCTGCAGTGAAAGGACGACTCTTGAATAGATGCTCCAGTTAGCATGTCCAGGATTCGAAGGACTCGCATATCAATCCGTAGGGAGGGGGGCACCAGAATGTTGACCCTGCTAGTTTTTAGCGCGTAGACTGGAAACCTAATCTAGGCCATTGTAGGACTACTAGGTTTTCACCCCGCGGCCAATCTTCTATAGTGAAGAGAAGTCGCCTAGTATGTTGTCCTACACCTTTTCTCAACAATCACATCAATCACACTGCCTCCTATGCCTGCGTAATCGTCAACAGCGATATATCAGGTAGGGAGCAAGGTCCAGGAAGGTCTGTCTATGGTCAATCTCGTACGTTTAGCTATACCGTTAACTAATTTGTATGCAGAATAAGCCGTGAACGCGAATCTCTACGGCCGCGAAATCCTCAGAACCCGCGAGCGCAGAGACCTCTTGTCAGGAACTGACAGATATATTAGATCCGCGGAATTCCTCCTGGATTCTGCGAATCTCGTCCTTTTGGAGGTTTGAGCCTAGGGCTATTCCTGACACTAGTATACGCAATAAATCTATCAATTTCATCGAATTCCTCGTCTTCTGCATCATCCTAATTCACCTGACTTAAACACCTCAGAAAAGGCCTAACTATAGCTTAAAAAGGCCACGACATCTCGCGGTCCTCCGCCGTCGAAAAATGAACTGAAAAAGGCCTGGAAAGAGGGGTGGAATAGCCTTCCGTAAGAGCAGATTCAGCAGTGGATAGAGGGCATTCTACGTAATATTTAAGAGATTATACGACTCGAGGGTGGCAACGAGTATAAGGAAGGCCGAGACACTAGGCGTAGCTACAGAGGCTACCGCGCAAGGTAGGCCATTTACACAAGCACGCAAGCGCGTTTACCTCCAGGATTACAGGGCAGGCGACGGCGAGGTCGAACAAGTAATCCTACCTACCGTAGGCGTGGCCGAATGGCCAATCTACAGAACGCCTAGCGATCGAGATAATCAACAGGACAGTGAACAGGACAGTGAACAGGCAGCGATCAGGACAGTGACTAGGCCAGCGATCAATCACAGTTGTGGCCAGGACAGTGGCCAGGACAGCGATTAGGTCTAGTTATGTCTATACCAGCAATTCCTCACAAAATAGGTGACAGACTGTTTACTCGACCATGCCGAGGCCCTAACTGACTAGTCTATGCGCTAAAACTAGCGCAGGACCGACACTTTCGGTGCGCGCCTCTGTACAATACTCCGTACATGACACAGAAACATTATGAGCGACGATGATTTCCTATTCTGCACGGCATGATGTTGCAATATGCCGTTGTCTCACATGGATTGTAATGGGCATCCAAATCCCGTAGATTGGAAGACGGCGTCAGTCAGTCATCTCCTCCATATAGTGTCCTCTGCGCGGAACAGAAGAGGATCCTTCGAAAATGCTTGACTATTGCAAGTGAGACTTGTGCTGAGCGGCATCAGGAAGTTGGTTGATATTTGTAGCAAATGCGTCCTAAATTTACCATTTAGGAGAGTGAGATTTGCTATTATTAAAGCTTGGGGTTGAGCTACCAGAAGATTGATTATTGGGTGGCTGAGCACTAGGCACCACAAGGATAACTGCTACGGATCCCTAGCGAGCTCTACAGGTACCTAGACGAACAACCTAGGCGAGGACGAAGAGGGCAGGTTTACATAATGCATGGGCAATGCCACGGCCCGGCAAAGCCATTCGCGGCTCACTGCCTAATACTCTAGGTAAGCTAGGCCATGATGGTCGCTCCCACTGGTGCCACCACCTACCGAGCGCCCACCCTCGCTCTCGGCCTGCTCCTCCCTCCCTCCTCCTCCCTGCCCCCCCTGTCCCCCGAAGGTCGTCATGTCTGACGGAGGGCAGGAATCGCATCAGTCTCCCAACAGCCGGACCTGACTGACCACTACCTTCTACCCAGCCCACGAACCTCGTGCAAGGGAACCGGTCTCACGTCCCATTTGTCACTGAATGGCTATCTTCTCAAATCACCCCCTTCTTGACTGCTTGATGGCGACACAAACGCCTGCAGGGTGCTCTGGGAAATAAAGAGGAAGTTGTTTCCATCGGCGCTCCGGATCCTCTCGACGGCGAGTCGCCATCAACCACCGCCGACCCGACTCGATCAACAATCACAGGCTAGTACCGTAGTATCAAGACTCGATGGCCAGCATCGACACCTTCAATCACATCGATCCAGCCTTGCGAGGCTCGAACCTGAGCAGTCCTCCCAAACCTCGCGACTCCCAGCAACACTACCACAATCCTCCTCCTGGCGCCTACTCTCCTCTACAACCCTCTCTCCAGCCATCCCCCAATAACTCGTACCAATCCATCCAGACTCCCAACTACTACCCCACCAATTCACACACGCAGGAGAGTCCCGACGACCAAAGCCCGTCTGGCAATCCCAACGACCCCAATGATATAAAAAGGCCGCGCGCCTGCGAGGCATGTCGACAACTCAAGGTGAAGTGCGAGCCCGACGACAACCATCCTACGGGTTCCTGCAAGAGATGTGCAAAGGCAAATAGACAGTGTATCGTTACCGCTCCCAGCCGGAAGAGGCAAAAGAAGACAGACAGTCGTGTCGCCGAGTTGGAAAAGAAGATCGACGCCCTCACGGCGACTTTGGCGGCAAGAGGAGGAGCTGAACCTGATGTCGCCGTTGATCCAACGATATCGGTGTCGCATCCTGGCCCACAGGAAGCTCGTGTGCAAGGATACGGAGGTCAATGGCATCAACCTCCGCCGCCGCCACCACCACCACCAGCGTCGGGGGCCGCTCAGTCTCCGCAGCAAGGGGTCAAGAGGAAGATCACAAGCAACTATGACTACTTCGGCGGAGAGCTGCACAAATCTTCCGCTCCATCGTTCAAGCCTCCCATGCCTCCGTCCAATACCTATCAGCCCGTTCTGGAACATACAACCAAGGCGGAAGAACCAACGACTGTGGATCCCATCGAACGAGGTCTTATCGACATCGGCACAGCCAGAGAATGCTTCGATCGTTATATGGCAGAAATGTGCGAGCATCTGCCCATAGTTGTCTTCCCACCCGGTACCCACGCCGATGAAATTCGCAAAAATAAACCCATCTTGTTCCTTGCCGTCCTTGCAGTTGCTTCCGGCACCATCCGACCAGATCTTCAACCTGGGCTGATTTTGGAAATCACCAGGGTACTAGCCGATAAGGTCATCATCCGAGGAGAGAAGTCGCTGGAGCTGGTTCAAACCATACAAGTCACGACATGCTTCTACCAGCCTCCGGAAAAATACGAAGAGCTAAACTTTAACCAGCTGATTCACATCGCTGCCGTCATGGCTCTGGACCTAGGAATGGGGAAAAGATCAAAACGAGGTGGTGGAAGTATCTGGCGACCGTATCATGAGAATAAAAGACCACTTTCGGATCCCAATAGTGTGGAAGTGCGACGGTGCTGGCTGGGCTGTTACTACATGTGCTCCAAGTAAGTATATTTCCAGGCTGACATCGTACCGGACTGACCCGGCGCACCAGCTCATCCATGTCACTTCGACGACCGCTCCTTATTCGGTGGAGCCCCTACGCCGATGAATGTGTCGAGATCCTTATTTCTTCGCCGGACGCTCATCCTTCGGACAAGTACTTGTGTCATCTCGTTCGTGGACAACACATAGCCGAAGATATCGGCTTTCGGTTCTCCATGGATGACCCGGCTTCGCCGTTGTCGTTGACCGACCCCCAAATCCAATACCATCTCAAGACATTCGAGCATCAACTGGTCGAGTGGCAGCATGCAGCCACCAAAGAAATGGTCAAGAAGCCAATCGTCCAGCACACCGAAGGGATTCTCAATCTGTATATGCACGAAATCGCCATGCACCACAACCACAATATTGACGACTTCCGACCCCCTTATATCTCCACTCCCATCGATGGCCCTCCGGACCCAGATAATGTCACACCAGCTCATATAGAAGCCCTCACCACTTGCATTAATTCTGCTCATTCCGCGTTCGACGCCTTCCTGGCTATGGATATTCCGGCCCTACGGGCACTGCCCACCCTTTTCTTTGTTAGGAACTCTTACGCCGCTGTTGCGTTGATCAAAATGTACTCGGCCGTGTCTGCAAAGGGGTCTAAATTCAACAGCATCTTCAAAAACAAAGATCTGAGGGTGGAATATTATCTCGACCGAATGATAGAGGCGCTCAGCAAGGCTTGCGAAGGAGGGATGTCCCGCGTGGCTCACAAGTTCACGCTAATTTTTAATATGCTCAAGAGCTGGCACATGAAGAGAATAGACTCGGTGAATAATGGAAGTGGGCCAGTCTCAAGACAGCGTACGCCGGCGAATGGGAATATCAATGTCCGCACCGGCAACAACATGTCACAGCCGCAACAGCCGCCGAACACATACAAGGCTGTTCCACCGCAGCAAGACCCAACGAATTTGGCCTGGAATTCGCAACACCGCCCGTCGGTCGACGGGAATGTCCCACAGCCTCACCAACAACAGCCACGGAGCGGCTTACAGATGCTCTCCGAGGCAGCAATGGGTCCTGCACCTGGGACCGGCCCTGTAATGCCTCAACCTCAACCCACACCACAACAGCAGTGGTCCCATACCATCATGAACAATCCAGCTCAACCGAACATGCTACCTGGGATCAATCAAATGTCTGCTGGTTACGATCAAGCGGCACCCATGATGCCCTACATGATGCCCGGCCCTGGGGGAGACATGATCCCCATGGATTTCACGAATGATGAGCTTATGGCGTTCGGATTCGGGGACGAGTTCCTCGCGATGAACTTTGGGTTCGAGACGAGTGGATGGCCACTCTGAAAAGACAAAGATGGGGCCAGAAAGAGAGGGCGCGTGGCTTCACCTTGGGATGCGGCATGGCGTGACCATTGCGCCTCTACCCTCCTCCACGGTGGGCGATATAGCTACTCACGGCACACGAAAGACGATACGCAATGGATGGCTTACGGCACGGAAAATGGAAATAAAATCACGGTGGAGGGGTACTTACACTGCTCCTGTTCTGCGCTTATGGCTTTTATGTCTTCTTGTACAAAATCTCCTTCTTTTCGCCGCGCCTTTTCTTTTCTTTTACGAGCGTTTTGAAAATTGACGGCCGCAACACCACGCCAGCCACAGAAAATGATTTCCAGTGAAGACCACGGAGGGGTTTATTGTATGTAGGGATTCAAATGCACCGACGCCATGACGAACGTGATTTCGCACGCGCATTATCACCGTATATCGTTTTGTGACCCGCACACGGAACGCCGTGGGAGGCGCATTCTACTTCGGTGAATTGGCCAAGGTATGTCAGTTTGTACAGTGACGGTTGATCAAGTCGAAGAAAGCCTGGTCTCATTTTCACTCGTACATTGGATCAGGATGCAAACTCCTGCACATGGCATCTTGCCCTGAGATCAGGATGTGCGAGAGGATGCCTCAACGTGCCATGGCACAAGATGGCGCTCTCCCTCCCTCTATCTCTCTCTCTCTCTCTTTCGTCCCCGTCCCATACTCGTACAGTTTCCCAAGGGGCAGACGGCACCACGGGAGTCTCGCTGCCCTGAATGAAGACAACATGAGCAGATTGCATATGCACAGCAACAGGCCCTTCAAAGCGCAACGCCTTCGTCCAGCTCGGCCAGGCTCAACTCCTCCGCCAACCCCATCCGCAGCACCCTGACAATATCCTGTCCACGCACATCTTCACCTGAAAACTGGTCTCTCCAATCCCATCCCCTCTCCGTTTGTGCGTCCGTCTCCCTAGGTCTCGCCTTCTGCCCTTTTGTCCCGCCCACTAAAACTCCACTACCACTCGCACTCGTCATGTCGGTAATCATGCTCCTGCCCAGCATCTCGCTCCCCATAATTGAGTAAGAGAAACCACTCCCACTTCCGCTGCTCATGGACTTTTTCAGCACCGCCCTCGGACTTGGCGGCCTTGACCCGTGGTACTCTCGGAGTGAAGCGGAAAGGCACTCCTCTGTCGCGCCATACACCCGCTCGGATACGGTAGAGAGATCCTCGATTGCCCCTAGTAAAGCATAGATTTGTTCAGTCGTAAATATTCTCTTCTTTTCCCCGCCATTTCTCGTCCCTGCCTGGTGGGCGGACACGCTAACGCCATAGCTTTTCGTGAGAAGTGCGGTAGCCTCACCCAAAAGCGTCAACAGCCCGTCGACTTGGATAGCACTTTGTCTCTGGGGATCGTATAAGCCGCCATAAATAGAATCCGCAGCGGAATTGATCGCCGCCACGAGCGCTCTCGCAGCTGCCCTCCTGCGCGCGAGAGGCCGAGAAGTAGTCGCTCTTCCATCGCCAGATTCTTCGTCGCGTAAGGTATAAAACCTTCGTAAACAAGCGTACCCGACGAGGTAGAACTGCAGCATCTCAGCAGCCTCAGGATCGACATCGGCAATGTCGACGAGCGCAGTCTTGGGATTTCCCACTAGACTCCGTAGTCCATCATCTATTTCATTCCCAGGAGGATATGCCCTTGACTGCACCAGCGAATAGCTGACCAACACATCTATCAATTGCCTTATTTTGTGGCTTGCGTGACTTCTCGCATAGCATAGCAAGGCAGTACCATACTCCTCTGTGTTATTCACGAGGTAGTCTCCGAACCTATCAGAGACCTTTCTCGCTTCATCCTGCAATCCTAGATCCGAGCAAAGGTTCGTGAGTTTCTCCGTTCGATCTTGGGTAGTGACTTGGAGTTGCTCGAGGAAATTGCTCACGGCAGTGTGCATCGCCTCGCGATCGTCAAGGCGCGTAACAATAGATATGGAAACTTCCCAGCCTTCCACTGAGGAGCCGTCAGGAAGATGCAGGGTGGCTTTGTCGAAAAGTCGCTCGGCATATGATAATAACAAATCGTCTTTGGAGATACCTTGCTTGGGAGCGCCATAGCTGAGGACCATCAGATCTTCTTCGCTCAATCCTGTAGGTCGAGCGTGTGTCTCGTCTTCCAGCCAGCCCGCTTTGGCTCCGATTTCTGCCACGGATGAAGCAATGCACTGAGACAGAGTGCGGAGAACAGTCAAGGTGCCTTGAGTACTTCCCTGCAAGATGCATCCGAGGCCTACATCGACCGGGGACATTGCATTGATTTGGAAGGAATTTTTATCATTGGGATCCGTAACACTGAGGAACGCATCTCTTAGCCGTCCAAGGTAAGGATTGAAGTCTTCGTCTTGTTTAGTCAAGTTATTAGCCCGACTCACGTCGAAACTCCACTGCGCAACCGCAGCAGCATCTGCGGTGCCATCCCACCATATGGTCAGAGAGGTGGCAGCCTCGAGCCAGTCTTGTGATTGGGCGGCAATCTCTTCGGCACTGCCCAGAAGTATGCTATAGAGGATTTTGAGGTTCTGGAAAATGGTCCAAGGAAGAGTTGATGTTGACTTTTGGCCCACCCTTCCAAGCAGACTCATTTCGGGCCTGCGCAATCCAAAATTCTCAGCCTCGAAGGAAGGCTCGTCTTCATCCTGACCGGTGACCTCATCAGTCAAATTGTCCAGTGCAGCCTCGACAGCGGTGCGAAAGACATCCCAATCAGGACCGGCAACATTCCAGTCGCCTGACTGAATGGCTGGACAGGAATTGAGTAGAATCCGAGCTCGGTAGATGACGCTCTGTACTGTCTGGAGCTGGGCACCTTTATAACCAACGCTCTCTGCTCCGTCGTCGACAGCTGAAGCTGCATACTTGAAGTCCGCATCTGCGAAAAGTTGCATCACCTGCTGCAGTTTGCCTCGCAATGTCAGACTCTGAACCGCGTCCCAGAAGAGCTCGTGTGAAGTACAGTTGGGTCGCGCAGAGGCGACTGCTCTGTACATTTGGTCATACGAGACGTGGTAGTTGTCAAGCCAGTCAAGAAGGACCCGCGGCGTTGGGATGATTATGTTATCCGGAGATGGTGGGGGATGGCGAAGGACGAGGAGGAGAGAGGCGAGATAGTTGGCTTTAGCGAAAGCGGGAGCAGTAGGCTGAGGACCAATGTCGTTACTATCAAGCGAAGGTCGATCCGGCTCGACAAACCGCTGCCATTCCTTAATCAGACTGTAAACATATTCGGCGACGGCCTCGAGCATGTTTGCGCTGTCTTTGAGGTACTGAGATTGTTCATCCAGCTCTCGGAGGAGCTGCTCGGTCTCAAGGATCACTTCGTCTGGCTCGGTGATAGAAGCTGGTCGCGCCCTGGCTCCCATGTCTCTGGCGAGATTGAGCACCACTGTATCGTTTCCCTTGTGCGGGAGCGCAGAAAGCCTCGTTGAGTTGCGGAAAGATTTACGTGGTTGAGAAATCCTAGAGTCTCTTGTGCTCATGGTACTGAATTTCATGAGGGAGGCGGGCTGCCGTTTGTCGAGGGATCGAAAGCCACGGCTCCGCTGGAATTGGCTTGGTTCATCCTCATAGTCGTCTTCATCCATGTCTTGGTCGTCTTCTTCTTCCTCATTGTGATAGTCGGCCTGTCTGCCTCTTGACACATATTCTTGAGCGCCATTCTTCGGCCGCTGAAGATTGTTGGAGTTTGGGGACGATCGAGTAGGAGGAGACTGTGTGGGCTTGGAGAGCTGGAGTTTACTGACGCCAGTGCCAAAGGTAGAGCTGCCGAAGATCTGAGAGGGAGGAGGAGCGATGGGAGTGGTGCTCGCCAGTTGAGGAGGGTTGGAGGAGAGAAAATTCGAGCCTCGAGTCGCGGGAGTTCTGCCAGGCGTGGAATTGATGCTGGACGAATAGTCCGCAGAGAACTTGTTCATCTTGGTGTGGACGAGAATATCATGGTCTCATTATTGGAGAGATGTGTCAGGAATGTACCGAGTAGCGAAAGTTGCAATTGTGTTGATTATTGAATATTGAAAGTTGATTGATCGCGTCTGTCTGTCGACGCGCACAAGCGACAGGCAGCTTAGTCATCCGGTCTATAAAGCCTGTGCCTGCGCCGCCAGCGGGCACTGAGCACAACGCTGGCGATGCTGTAACTGCACTGTCTTCATCAACGTTGTTTATCTTCACCAGTTTCAAATCATTCCGCGTCAAGTCTCCGATTTCTGTATTCCTCCACGGTATACTAATTAGGTCCATTGCAACTGGCTCCGTAGCCCAAAGTGCCCGCCAAATCCTAGCAATCGCACACCTTTACAAGAATGAGTCACTACCATCAACGAAAGGCATGCGAGCCGCCAATAGAATCAACCCTAAGCAATACACCTGCCATTTGGGGGAATTGCCTACCACGGGATGAAGTTTGTCCAGATACGTACGGGAAGAGAAGGTAATGGAAGAGGGTTGAGCGGGCATTCTACCTCGGTCGAACTCGCGGAGGAAATAAACATTTTGATAACTCCATCTTGCGCTCTCCAAGAGATAGCGCCGCGAGCGAGGGGTGGAATGTTCCGAAACTGATATAAAAAGCTGGCCGTCGTCCTGAACATCAAGCTGCTTGCCCTGCTTCTCTCCAGGTCACTACAGCCAATTCATCTCCCTTCTTCCTTTCGGACAGCGCTACTGAAGCTATCCTCAATCCACGAGTAACCGCCGACAGGATGGCCACCAACTATACTTTCCAAGGCTGGATGGGCCTCGACAAGGACTCGGCAAAAGGCAATATGGTCTGGCAGAGTTACACCCCAAAGCCCTTTGAAGAAACTGACGTCGACATCAAAATCACGCACACTGGAATCTGCGGATCGGATTTACATACGCTCCGATCCGGATGGAGTCCGAGTCTCTACCCCGTCTGCGTGGGCCACGAGATTGTTGGAACTGCTGTGCGCGTTGGCTCAAAGGTGGAAAACGGGATTAAAGTAGGCGACCGCGTGGGAGTAGGGGCTCAAAGCGGTTCTTGCCTTCGCCCAGACTGCGAAGAATGCTCCCACGACCTGGAGAACTACTGCCAAACCAAACAGACGGGAACATACAATTCGAAATGGCCCGACGGGTCCAAATCCTATGGCGGGTATGGCGATTATTGGCGCGGCCACTCCCATTTTGTCTTTAAGATCCCGGACGCATTGCCCAGCGATGTCGCTGCACCGATGCTCTGTGGCGGAATCACTGCGTTCTCCCCATTGACACAGTACGGCGCTGGGCCGGGGAAACGCGTGGGTATCATTGGATTAGGCGGACTGGGTCACTTTGGAGTCATGGGTGCGAAAGCACTGAATGTGGACAAACTCGTCGTGATATCTCGCACTTCTTCGAAGAAGGATGACGCATTCAAGATGGGTGCCGACACCTTCATCGCCACAGACGAAGACAAGAACTGGGCACGCACGCACCGCAGGTCTCTGGACCTCATCGTCTCGACCGTCTCAAGCGCCAACATGCCTTTCCAGCAATACCTCCAACTTCTCCGCGTCGGCGGCACGTACGTGCAAATTGGCGCCCCCGAAGACAATATCCCCTCCTTCAACGGCTTCGCGCTCCTCTCCAGGAAGATTAAAATCACGGGCTCCGGCATCGGTTCTCCAAAGGAGATCCGGGAGATGCTGGATCTGTTTGCACGGAAAAAGGTGTGGACGTGGAACAACAACTACCCCTTGAAGGAGGCCAATCGCGCGATCGTGGATATGGATGCGGGCAAGGCACGGTATAGGATCGTGCTTGTCAACGAAGCACATGCCAATGAAAGCCGTCTATGACCATTTTGAGTAGCAGGGTCAGAGAAGCACATGGACACGGGCGGCGATGAAGGCGGGAGTGGATCGCCTTCTTGACTTAGCCGAGATGCCAGGTGTTGAGAACGCATCCACTGCCAGAGAAGGTCCAGGAAACGGAGGCCGAACTTTGCAATGTACCTGATGATATTGTTCACGAGCTGATCCATGGCTTCAACATTACGGCAAGGGATCAAGGCGCAGTCCCCCAAAGGATGCTAAGCCGTCAGAAGGGCTGTCGGTGTCCTAGTTATTCAATACCCATCAACTCAGCCAGCTCCTCCGGACTCAATGTGCTTCTCCTCCTCGATGCCTTCCTCGTCTTGGGGGCACCATCTCCATGTTTCCGTTTCCCCCTTTTGGCACCAACAGCTGATTTCAAGTCTTGCTGAGTTGCTAGAGCTTCTGCCTCTACCGCGGCGAGTTTTTCGTCTATACTTAACGTCGGCTCCTGCTTCTTAATCTGGATCAGAATCAGTACAACTTGTGCGCGTCCAAGGGTTGACAGAGTCGGATGATATAAACCCTTACCTGCCGTGGGATCCGGGATTCCAAGTCCCTCGTTCTTTTCCCGAGCTCGCGTTCATAGTGCTCATCGTCATTCTCTAAGTCATGCTTGCCATCCATTGCACCGTCCAGACTGCCAATACCGGAGTCTGCACTATCCCTCGATGTTGTCCACCTTTCGGAACCAATCCTAGGTGATCGGTGGAGATTGTTCGTGTCAATTGCATGTAATGGTCGCATCGGCTTGCCTATATTACCCGCTTTGCGCGCAATTGAAGCACGCCTTTTAGGTGACCGTTCCTGTGCCGAAGGAATGTCTAGGTCTAGGTCGAGTTCCGGTGGCTGCTTCTTGGGTTGGCCTTTTCTGATGGCGGCGTCGTTTTGAGCTGATATGGACTGTCCAATGTCTCGTTGTTCGGACTCTGAGGGAAATTCTGCTTGCTCTGCTTCTTCTTCGTCCAGCCTACTGCTTTCGTACAGTATGGACGACAATTCCTCGTTGGTCCCAAAAACAGGTTGGCCGTTAGGTAGCATAGCTACACTCTTCCCGAACTCCAGCCTTGAGAGGTCGTCCCTTGACAGACCTTCGCTATTCTCCACCATACGTCTTCGCCATGTATCCATCATCGTTACCGCTTCCTTCCACCGGTTTGCCATCTTTTCCCATCCTGCTCTCAGCTTAATGATTTCTTCGTCACGGATTTCGACTTCTTCAATCGGAACGAAAGACGGATCTCTGAGTATCGATTGGCAGTGTCCTAGAACGGCAGTCATTTGTTCAGCCAGCTCGTCGCAAGACGTGAGGTCTTCGGCTTGAGTTTGTTGCGGAGTTGGTATTCGATTGGCTTCGCGGTAGTGGTCCAGGATGCCTGTCTTGTCTTCTTCGTTTTCTTCATTCTGAGCGCCGGCTTCCCCAGCTTCCAGCCCGGTGATGTCTCGCATGATTTGCATGGTGTCCGTTATGATCCGTCTAAGTGACACATTTTCTGTACTCGTCTCATTGACCAATGCAGTCAGAAACTCGTTGGTCTCCTTTTCTAGGCTCCATTCGGAGCTGTGAACATCCTGTCCATTGCGCAGCTCTCTACCCCTGACTTCTGGCTCCCAGTTGATGGTATTAATTTTCATGCCACTCGAATCTTTCTTGCCGCGCTGCATCCCCGCCAAAAAGCCCTTCAGCTTGTCCATTTCGGCATCCCTCTTGCGGACGTCGCTCAGACATTTGGCGCGCACCTGATCCAAGGAGGATTTCATCTTCAACATCTGCTCCCTGAGGTCTTTTGCCTGAGTTTCGAGTTTGCGCACGTTTGCCTTCAGCGCTCGCTCCTGCGACTCGGCCGCAGCTGCAACTCGCGAGAGCTCGGCATTCTTGGCTTGTAGCCTTTGGAAATCGAGGACACGCTGGGCTTCGTCGGCGCGGGCTTGACGAATATGCATGGCGAGGTTTTCTCGTTGTTCAGCGTCCTGATCGCGTCGGAGAACCAGGTCGTGGACGAGATTGATGACTCGGGACATTGTTGGATTGGTGCTGGAGCCATGACGATCTGGCCGGGCAAAATCGATAGGTTTCCCATTTGAGAGGAGACCACGCGCAAGTAAAAGATTGTTTAGGTACTGCGACGCTCTTTCCAGGCTGTTTGACTCCATGTTGCCGGAGCTCAGATGGGCCAGATGCTTGGTGCGGTCTGTTGCAGCTCCCTTTCGCATGGATTGAGGCAGTTGTCAGATGAGGCTAGTGGTAAACAGAGACCTTACCCGGGCCGAGGTTTATCCAATAATCACGTGAGATTTCCAATAGCGGTTGACAGCCTCCGAGCGCGTCGCGTCCATTTGCTCCCCGCGACGACCTCGCATTCCAACGACCAAGGCTTTAGACAGGCTTCTATTGCTACTGAACTCATTTGTTCAGTCCTCCTCCGAAGCTCATTTCGACTGTCGTTCCTGCTCAAATGTCTTCCGAACATCCCAGCGAGCAGGTGAAACACCTGCTTCAGGATTGCCTTGGAGCCGCCAGAAGACAAGACTACGCTGCCGCCCTGGCCGCCGTGAATGATGCTCTCAAAGCCTGTAACACTGACAAGAGTATACCTGTCATCCATGTCCTGGAACACCGAGTCGCAGTCTATCTTCGAATGAATCTTCTGGATCAGGCTCTCAAAGACGCGAAAGCCATGATCAGACTTGATCCCACGGACGCACGAGGCTACATCCGAAGTGGGATCACCGAATGCCGCAAGAACAACAAAGCCGCCGCAATGAGATTTTTTGAATATGGCTTGAAGAAAGTTCCCAACTCCGACGCAAATCATGTTTTGCTCGTCAAGGAAATGAAGAAAACAGCCGAGCAGATAAGGACCGAAATCGTGCTCTCGCAAGCAAAAGACCCCCTAAGCGCCCTGCCGCTCGAGGTCGTCGAACTCGTTCTTTCATTTCTCGACTACCGATCGATTATACGTCTGCTCCGCGTCTCCAGGTCATGGAACAAAATCGTGAGCAACGCGGACCCAGTAATCAGTACCTTGTATTTTCCTAGTTCTGCAAAACAAATCAGCCCGAAATTGCTTAGCGCTGCCATCAAAAGGTGTCGTACACTCAAGACAGTCAAACTGCCACAACTTCCCGGCCCTACGGCGCAATATCTTGTCCGGGCTCTGGAACGGGACAAGCGCTTCTCAGAGTTGCAAGATTTCGAATGGCGAGATGTCCAGAACTACCCAGCTGTGTTGTCCGTGGGCCAATTCGACCTGAGGGTCATCATCGTTGAATCCAGCAGGACACTGATCCCTCACGAGTGGGCTTACGATGTTCTACGGAACTACAGATCCCTGGAGGTCGGCAAATTCCAATATATGTCTACGTCGTCCGGTGCGGAAGTATCTGTAAAAAGTAGCAGTCTGCGAGAATATGAGCTGCGTTGTGGTCGCTATTCGTCCTTGTGTTCTGTACGTAACAAGGCTTGAGGGTGTGATCGTCACGATTTGAGCTGACTGGATTTTTGTTAGGACCGCATCTCCTTTGAATTCCCGGAGCTGAGGACGCTGTCTTATAAGGGCATCCGCTACGCCAGCTTACCTCCGTTGAGCCGTACCCTAGACCTAAGTCAGATGACGAAACTTCGAAGTCTCGACCTTGTCGACGCCGAATTACACAGCATCAACCTCCCCCCGTCACTTAAGCAGTTAAAGCTCGCCTCATGCCGTTTCGTTGCCCAGCCTTGCGACCCTGCACTACCTTACCCTACGTTAAACGAGCTCGAGGAACTTCGAGTGGACGACTGTGACTTTTTCCCCACGTTCGTCCTATACTCTATCCAAAAGACCCAGCCAGGGAAGTTGTTGAAATTTTCGGTGACCGCCAACGAACAAGTGGCTCAACACTTAACCAGCATAATGAGCATGCCTTGGTTTCGAAGCTTGAAATCCCTTCGCATTGCCAATGCCAACTTCATCAGTCTCGACGACTTTTCATACATCAAGAGTTGTCCGGCTTTAGAAGAACTTTGCCTCGAGCAAGCTGAGAACATCGGGGCATTTGTGTCGGATCTGATCCGAGAGGCCGCTCAACTTCGCAAGGTTACACTCCGCGACTGCTTTAACGTGGCCAGAGACATCATTGCATGGGCCAAGGCACGTGGGGTGGAGGTTGAAATTACCCAGCAAGACTTCGCTACCGGCAGTGGGCGTCACGTCGTCGAGATTTATTGAGCTGTTGGAGCAGTAACCATCCAGCCGGAGACCAGCATCTCCCCCGCATCTTGGTGTTGGGAAACCATGCCTGACTGTCAAGTTGTGCGCCGCTGCTCAGCAGGAGGGGCAAGGCCTCACTTCTTCCTCAGTTGCCTATAGGAGGACACGCGGATGCCAGCAGCTGTGGTGGCCCTGTTGAGAATAGACAGCTTTGTTGATGTCAAATGTCGTACAAGGAAAAGGTGGAAGGGGACTTTATCCATTGTGCTTCATTCGCAAAAGCGCCTCCCCTGTCGGAAGCATATCAAACTCAACCGCTTCCAATTCGAAATAATGGTTGGCTTCTGTTCCGCGTCCCCGGTCCCAGCTTCGCTTGACCTGTTGTTGGATGGCCGTCTCCGACTTGTCCCACTGCCATCTTCCTGCTCTGCGACCTCTCTCATGGACTCGCTGCACCAGAACCTCAAGCTGCTGCGGCCACCGGAATTGCCAGCTCTGTGCTCTTCAGTGATTTACACGGGGCAGATAGGTGGAATTATATGTGGTCTTGGAAATCTGCTGGATATATTATGCGTCATCAATTACATGCGCTCGTGTCATAGGCACATAACTATCTAGAACCGGCCATGCTGTTGCTTCTGGGCAGATGAATCTAGCCAAATCTCTTCCATCCCAGTCTATCTTCGTCGCCCAACCCTATATCGGTCCCTGTAGAAAACCGACCTTTTCTGGTTGCCCAGTCCGTCCATCCTTTACCGCCGCAAGGCCGACATTCTCTGATAAAAGGAAACGAGATTTTCAATGACCAGGTCGAAAGGCTTCCTTGTCCTTCGACAGCATACTCCAAACTTCCTGAATTCATATCCTCGCCTCTTGTAGTCCGCCTCCTAACCTCTGCAGGGATCAAAAGCGCCCGGTTCGAAAACCTAAAGACATGCATTGGTATTGTCACCCCTTCTTGCCCAAGGTCCCCTGGCCATTCCTTTCCTATTCGTGCCCCATGCTGCGTTCGGTTACCATCGGTAGACGAAGCCCGGGAAGCTCTCAAATCATGGTTCTTCTTCTTTCTCCTCTGTGACTAGTGCACCAATCTGCTGCTGGTGCGATTATGGTGATCCTGTCTCGTGTCTCCTTGTCTCGTCTGCTGTCCAGTTGGCACAAATCAACCTGAATCATTGCGACGCCAAGATCCAAAAAGTCGACTTCTCAGATCTAGCCCAGTCCATAACCTCTGGGCATTCGAATCGCCGAGAATTGTCTGAATAGTCGCAATCCCAACTAGTCCATTTGTCCAACCCAATGAGTTGGAAATATAGCACACTAGATCATAGGATATCCAAGTCCTCAAACTCCGCAACCAACCCATCAACTGTCTCCCAGTTATGCCGGGGTTCGAATTCCATCGGTCTGCTTGCATAACATCCGACCCAGACCGTGGCCTTCTGGTGTTCCAGTCCGCCACCAAAGAAGCCCATGATCTCACGCATCTTCCTCCAGCCGGATGCAACGTCTTCAGGATTGCGTTCGCGCTGGTATCGCGGATCGAGTTCAGGATAAGGGTAACGCGGCTGCTCAAGGGAAGCAATATGATCCGGTAATTTGTACCAGATCCAGAGAGACTCCTCAACGCGCTCAAGTTTGATGCGTAGGGAGTGCGAAGTGAGTGAGTAAGAGCCATACGGTGTTGGTGGCGAGGGCAAGCGTGCTGAAGAAGCCCAGTCTGCACCACAAGGGGAAATCGCCACTACAGAGGCAGCGTGGAGCTCCCCTTCTATCAACTCAAGGCCGGCTTTGGCCCATTTTCCTGTTGCCAGAGCTTCATTTCCCGGTCTTTGGTATCGGGACATTCGACGAGCGGCAGCCGTTGATGGCCTTGAAGGATCAGGAAGCGAGCCAGCGAAAATGACGATACCGGCTTGATCAAATTCCCGGGCGAAGTCGGCGGACACAGTTACTTCCGCCAGAATAAAAGACTGGCGTAATCGTTTTAGGATCATCGGTGCACTTGTGTCATCGGACGCTGAAGGTTTGCGCCAGATGCTTGTATTCGGCGGCGCCCTCAGCGAGAAGTACTCATGCAGGTCTTCGGGTTGTTCAAAGTTCGCTGGAACGTTGACGGCCACGAAGTCCTCGCAAGACAGCTCCATTGTGTAGGACAAAGTCAGAATCTGAAGGCACCTGCTGGACGGAATGACTGGAGGTCTGGGCTGAAAATGCTGGTTCAAGGTCGGGACTGGGAAAGATGAAACGTCAGCTGAGTCGCGGTCTGGTGTCCAAGTCGAGTGGCCAGCTCAGCGGTCGCACAGCAGAAAGTTGTTCGCAGGCCGACGGACAATGACAGCTTCAAGCAAAACGTGGAGTATCTGTTTGGAAAGGTGGATTTCACCGACAGCCATGGACCATCTCACGAGGGAAGGAGAGTTGACAATAAGGTAAAGCACTGACAGTTGATCCGAGCATTTTCAAAAATGAAGGAGCAACATGTCGTGTTTTAAATTTGGGCAGCTGAATAGGAAGGCGAGGGTAGAGGTCTAGTGGCATCAGACTGCGAACACCTGTCTGTGAAAGGTCATTGCAAGGTTGCCAGTGGTGAGGAAGGGAACAGAGTTAGGAACGCTGGATGGATGTGGCCAAACCGCCAATATTGCTGGCGACCGGGACTCGTGTGCTAGGCTCAGCAGCTCTTGGACGAATCATGGGGCCCTTACGGATTTGACGGTCCAGTGGACCTGCAGAGGGGGTATTGCCTCAGGGGAGAGCCACGAGCTGAAGAAAATACCTTGCTTGCATGTTAGATGGAGGTTAGCCGTGTGCCGATACGTCGCCACGCCCCGGCCGGAATCATCCTGGCCAACCAATCAACCGCGATATCACCTTGGGCCAATATTAAGGGAACCGGGGAGTTGGGAACCCACGGGCGCAACAAGGTTTCCGGGAACCACACACCGCCCGTCTAACAAGGTGCGAAGCCGACAGCGGAGGATCGATCATAGACGGCGGAGGAGGTAAGGTGACTGCAGGTACTCCATCGAGGGCGTCGAGGTTGTGTCCTCATGACCGGGACCGACCTGCTCTGAAAGTGCCCGCCGGTCAGTCAGCATCAGCAATTGGGGGCACCCTCCGAGGCACCAAAGGGGGTTTCGATAAGGCACGCGGCATGCATTGGGCCTGGCTCTAGTCGTCATCCCACAATAAAGGGTGTGCCACAATTGGGGCCTAATGCTCTTTAGTCTTGGTATTGGTGACACGGCAGCTGACGGGGAGGGCCGTCTGAAGCGATGGGCTAGCGGCGCAGGCGGGCAGCTTCGAGAAGGAAATGATGGCTTCAACTTCCAGGGGGCATTTCCCGTCTGGGCACGAAAGCAAGACCGACATTTCGCAGATCCAGACGGTGTTGGGGGTCGGAGGAGATGAGGATGACGCCGAGGACGAGGACGAGGACGAAGGAGGATGGAGATGGCAGTGGTGATGATGGAGGAAGGATGGAAGGTTTCATGTGTGGAAGGTTGATGGTGGATGATGGATGATGGATGAGATGACGCTGAGGATTCGAGGGCGGCGCAGTTTCAACCACTTTTGGCCGCGGAGACTTCCACTTGGTCCCTCTCCACCACCAGATGATCTCGTCCTCCGCCACCACCACAACCATCAACACCACCATCGCATGATTTAAACTCGCAACTCCGTCGTTCTATAGCCAATGTCTGCCTCTTTTCCCTTTTCTCCCCCTTGGCCAGGCAATCTGCTCAGAGGTGGTGTTCGGGTAAAAGCCTGAGAAAAGTTTGTTGCTCTCGTTTCATTTGCCGCAACTGGTCTCAGGATGTCTCAGATTATCGCCCAGCTGAAATCTGCACCGAATGACCTCCCCCTCCCATCCGCTCTTGCAGCTGAAAGCCATGACGAAAGGGCATTCGACCCAATCCACAAGACCTTGGTAGATACAGATGTCAAGAGAGTGGGGATCTCTTCTCACAGATAAAAGAGGGTTCCAAATGCAAATCACCAAGCTCCTCGAGATGGACGGCGAGAAAATGTATTCTTGTTCACTGCACTGCTGTGGACAACTACTGTGTATGCACATTGAGAGTCCATGGGTCCTTTACTTCTTCCCCTTCCCCTTCTTCTTCTTGTTCGAACTCCCCGTGGAGGCTGTGACCACTGCGGCGGCGCTAGGCTTCGCATCGACATTCAAGGATTCATCCACTGCACCACCCTGCGTTCGGTCGTCACCACCACCGCCACCTCGCTTGCCTTTCTTTTTTCCCTTTGGAGGTCGATAGTAGCTTCTATCTCTCATGGGAAGCCACCGCTCGGGATCCGGCTTCTTGCTTTCATCATAGTCCTTCGGCAATCTCGATTTGCGAATCCGTTTAGGTTTGAGATTGCCACCCTCCGGAGCGCCCCGTTTTCTTGTCCGGCCCAGTTGTGCTATTGTGAGAGCATTCGACGACTGTGGAATGCCTGTGTTCTCTAACAGGTCGATGTCAATATTGCGAATGAGCTCAGACGTGGCAGTCAGCTTATCGGCATCCGCCCCAACCACAGCCTCGTCATCCCAGGCATGTGACGCCACGTAACCGGCAATTGTAGCCTTGTCGTTTGGTTGTTGCTCGCGAAGCTTTGTGAAGATGTCGGCTGCTATTTTCGCATCCTCTTCGCTCTGGGACTCCAATAACGATACCCCTGCAGCGGTGAGCAGACTCGTTGGTGCATTCGATTTGGTCCGCCAATACGATGCAGCTCTGGCAAGTTCCTGCTTGACATCGTCTTTCTGACCACGTTTCCTATACAAACTGATCATAAGACTCACAAGCATCGGGTTGAATCTGATGTCTTGCTCGCCCTCGACGACAGAGTTCTCCAGTCCCTTGAGCAACGACTCGACCAATTCGACTGCGGATGTAGTGTCTCCAGTCATCACGTACAGTTGAACCAGGGTGATTATTAGCCCAACGTCTTTTGGCCGTTTCTCAAGCACCGGCAATATCTTTCTGATGGCAGCTTTGCCTGTTTCGTTCTTGGCATAAGCAGCCGCGTTGAAAAAGGATGCAAGCAAGACATCCGGCGAGAGCGAGGGTGGAGAGCCTTCTTTGATCGTTTTCGACGTGTACGACACAGCGCCATCAAATTTGAAAGTCTGCAGATCGATGGTGATTCTGTTGGATTCCAGAGGGAGGCTTTGGTACGAGAAAAGTTTGTCATTCGGGGGAATTCTGGGAGTTGCGTGGAAAGCCTTGTGAGCGAGAAACGGGTTGAGAACAGATGAGGTTAATAGAACATTGTTCTGACCGATCTTACGGGTCGAAAGGTCAGAGGCGTCCGCCGCGTTGATTTCACCGGCTAGCTTCTCTGCTTCTGCTTTTTTGCCCAAAGATGATAGCACAAACAATTGCTGAACGGAAATAGGGAGGAGCTCGTCGGCTTTTTGCTGGTCTGTCAGATCGTCCGAGTGCTTGCAGAGTTCCTTTGCCCGCTTGAGGAGAACTTCGGCTTGAGCATATTCTCCTCTCGCAATGCTGCCACAAGCGGCGTTATACGCGGTTTCAAAGGCCTCAAGATCTTCTCTCCCGACTTTTCGTATTGACTGAGGGTCAACAAGACCAAGCCATTGCGCCTGTGCATCGATAGCGCCCTGATTCACCTTTAGATCATATTGCTCCGAATCGACTTGGTGACTTCGTAGCTGCTTGTATAGTTCCGACGGAATGCTCGTGTCTTCAAGACGATATCGGGCTTGTGCCTCGATGTGCTGTGCCCCTCTCCCCTTTATCGTAGCCGCCAACTCTGCGGCCTCTTTTAAGCGGCCAGTCTTGTACAATGCATAGGCATATTCCAGCTCAACCTGCTTCTTCAACCCAGCAGTTTCTTCAATGAGTTTCACGGCATCCTCATAACGATCGAGTTTAAGGAGGGCGACAAATTTGACATGTTGGGTTTCTGAGTCGGAGCCCTTTGAGGACTTCAGCGCTTTATTGCATTCCGAGAGAATCTGTTCGTGGTCTTCGAGGCTCGCTTTTTTGAGGAGGGAGGACAGAGTGGAGGGAAGTGAGGCGGACATGCCGCCGGTGAATGAGGACTGGTGTGACCAAGTTACTGTCGCATATCTCGCGGTGATCAAGAAGGGAACGGCTGGTTAAACAGAAGAACATACGTCCTCCGTTCGCGGGAAGTCAGTCGTATCTGCTGATATTGAGCAAATGGACTTTGTCGTGGGGCAGATTGACAGTATTGCACTGAAGGGTGTAAAATGCAACCGAATTTTCCCCCACACAATCTTTCCCCGAGTTTCTTAATCAGAGAATCAATGATGTCGATGCGGCAATCTTCCGAGAAATAGGCACACGACTCTCTTCACGATGAGGGATGGAGTACGTCCTGACAGACAAGCGGTTTGGAATCGCCAACGAAGTAAGATATCTTGACGGGCAGAGTGCGCGGTGCCACTACAGCAGACGATCAAGTTGAGAGCCGCGTTTCTCTATTTCGTCAATGGGCTCTCGTTTGCCTTTCTATGACTCGCACAAGTTCATCAACCCTCTTCTGGGGATTCTCTTGACCTTCACTCTCACAGCAAACAAGCAGCCCTTGTCGCTCATATTCTCTGATTTTCCAGTGAATGTCCACTTTCTTCCGCAGTCTGTTTGGTCTCTACAACAAATTTTCATGTCTGCCGATCAAGCTACGACGGTTCCCTGTCTCGCCGCTTCGTCCATTATCGCGAAACTTGCCATGCGCAATGGATATCAACAGCAGTAACTTCCCAGAAGAAATCATCAAAATACTTCAGCATGTCGCTAGCAGCCGTTTCATTGCCCTTGATCTGGAGTTCTCAGGCGTCGCTGGAAGGAGGGCCAGGGGTGGTTCAGGCAAGCTTGATTTACACGAGTATTACGGGGATCTCAGGTCGGCGGCACAAATCTATCAGATCTTACAGGTTGGTTTGACTGTTGTCACCGAGGATATCGAGGAAGGTACGCATTTGTCTGTGATTCGGCGTCTACATACCTGGCCTTCCTCCTGTGAAGGCAGATCTGCACCGTACAAGTCGTGCGTGAAGTACGCTCAGAGATCTGCCTCTTCCACCAACTCATTTCCTACAAGGATAGCAAAATTTGCAATGTCTGCAGGGGCTCTCGGACTGACAATTTCAGGACGATATGAGGTTCGACCTTATAACTTCCATCTCAGTCCGTTGCCTGCAACAAAAGAATCAGTCTTTACTCGAGTATGGTCGTATAACAGTGGTGGTACGATGTTTGACAGCCTCCGCTAATTCTCGTCGATGGCTGACTTGGCTAGCAATCTCTTTCCTACTACGCAATGGATTCAGCATCGATAAACCAATTCTAGAGGGTATCCACTACCTTTCTCGGCAAGAGGAGGATCAAGTGCGCAAGAAACTGGTCGAAGACGAGCAGATGAGATCGAATATGCCCGACATGAACCTCAAGGAAGACGACTCATTCCTCGTAGAACATATCAAGCAATCGATTGACGAGTGGCAGACATTGCCCAAGGGCAAGCAGGAAGCCTATCTCATCATCCCCGCAGCAGATGCCCGGGAACCCATACCTTCGGTACTGAATCGCTACCAGGTTCGATTGACCCATCAGATCGTTAGAAACGAATATCCGAACCTCAAGACGCAAGGAATGGGTCATTTTGTTCAAGTCACCAATCCCACTAGCAAACAGCAAGCCAGTGAGAAAAAAGAGCGTGAGCGAAAATGCGAGGTGGAGATAGCGAACGCCATCGGCTTCCGCTGGATCTTGGAGGCCATTACCGGCGGCGACATCTCTAAGCTCCCACATTACTATGTGATTTCTGGATTTCCACCGGAAGATCAACCTAAGGACGTCCAGGCTTTCCTTAATCAACTCCAGAAGTCATTGCGAAGCCAGACCCGAGCTCTTGTCGGCCACAACTGCTTGACAGACGTGATGAATTTGTATCGATGTTTCATTGGCGACCTCCCCGAGAAGGTGGAAGACTTCAGCGCAAGGCTGCGGAAGCTGTTCCCCGTGATCATCGATACCAAGTATGTCGCTGGTCTGGGCAACAAGCGATGGGCCGACACATCTCTAAGGGCTGTCGAGAGCGACTTGGCTTCCTCGGCACTCCCTGAGATACATTTACCGCCCAGTTTCGACCGATATGTTTATGCTGCCAACTACCATGAGGCTGGCTTTGATAGCTTTGTGACCGCCAAAATTGGTTTGAAGCTACCCACCAAGTTAAGAAGAGAGCAAAAGGATGTCGGATCTTTGGTCAAGAGGTCTGCTGAGAGGACGAAAGAGAAGGCAGGCGCTACATCACCAGAAAATGCCGGTCAGATAACAATTGAAGCCCAGGCAGGAGAAGATGGCCAGAAGCAGGGAGTGACACAAACACTCGTCGACATGATCAAAACCCCAGTAAGCGCAGTTAAGTCTATTCTGACAGGAGCACCAAGCGCAGTCGACCAAGGTTCCACCATACCTGTTGAGCGCGGGTCATCATACATGAAAACTGATGAGAACGCGGTTACCGACAGAGTTATTGCAGCAAAGGAGACATCGAAGGTACTTCCAGCATCCAAGGGCGAACTCCAGAAACTGAGGGTCATATCAACGAAAGTCAACATCTTCGATATGCTTGAAGATGACCCCACAGAAACCTCGGATGAGCAACTAAAGCTCAATGAACAGCAGAGGACTGCGGACTTGGTCAGGGAAGGCCGACTGTTGCCGCGATGGGAGGAAGATGCAGAGTTCTGGCAGCTGATCAGCAACAAGTTGCAGGCAAATGCCACTCAAGAAGGGATTTTGGATCTTACGAAGCACTGAAGTCTACCAATGACTGCCCTAGGAGGGCTGTTTGTACTCGAAACTCGATGTTCCTCACTGCGTAGAGATGAACTCAATTCTGATGCCGAGGTTCAAGCGACCCGAACTTGTAAACTCCAAGGTTCGTGACGAAACTCTCCTGCGTTAATTGTTTCTCCTCAACGCCGACCGCCGACTTGACTTGCTCATTCCTCGAGAGATTTGCCCATCCAGTTCTCTTAGTACATTCTTGAGCCTTCTTTCGCTGTGGGTTCATATAGCCTCCATCATGTCAATAGGCACGGACTCTCAGTCAAGCTCCCGCGACCTCTCGTCGTCAATCTCGTCACTCAACCAGTCGAGCAAGCGGACGTCATCCGAAATCTCCAAAATCTACAAACATGCCTCTCAACTATTCCTGACCCGCCGGCTATTAGAAGCATACGAAGCCCTGCAGCCTGTTATTACTCCTCCAAGCCAGAAGAGACCCGACGAAAGCCCAGCTCTGGCACCCATTGCAACCGCGACCACCAGTCAGCGCATCAAGATCTGGAGCTTATACGTTACAGTCTTAAACTCCATTGTTGATCTTGGCTACGAAGAAGGGAAACAGATCTTTGGGTCTAGAGAATACAAAGAAATTGTCAGGCGCGTGCAACATGGCGAAGTTTGGGAGCAGGTCGTCAAAGATGGATATCAGGGTAGAGAGGGCTCGGTTGATGCGGAGGTTGTCTACAACTTGTATGGCAGCTCTTTCTCCCTACTCCATGTCGCCTGCAACATCGCTAACACTACCACAGGTCAAATCTTCTCCTTGGGCAAGCTCCAGACCAGAAGCTCAACCAATCTCGTCTGGAGACTTACTTCTCGTCCTCCTCGCAACCGGACCTCGATCTTTCAGCCCACCTCGATCACGCCCTGAGCAATGGCCATCAACACTCAACGGGGTTGAACGGCGCCAACACCCCTAAAGACCTAACCTCGCGCATCAAAGTCCTCGAAATCTTCACGTTGCACATTCTGCCCAGAAACGGTGAATGGGATTACGCGAAGAGTTTTATTTCGAATAGTGACATTTTGGACGAGGAAAGACGGGAAGCGTTTATGCAGACACTTCAAGAACTCCAAGATGTTACGGAAAAGGATTCCAGTCTTGAAGTTGCGGATGAGGACGTCTTTGAGGATACTGAGGAAGTGTTCTCAAAGCAAGAAGGGACTGCTGCCGCTGGTACCACTGAGGAAGTGGTTTCTCCGTCCCAGAATGGCACCTCCAAACACCAACGGACCAGCAGTGAGGTCGACTACGGGATCGAGCGGGCACATCCAAACGGCGGTACCCATGCAACTGCAAGCAAGGATCAGACATCAACAATCGCATCGTCGCCAATGACCAGCCTACCTCCTCAACCAGTCCCAACATCACGGTCTCCTCCACCGCCCGGTCCCTCGAGCTCCTCAATACACGGCCGCACTCACTTCTCGCCTCCTGCGCAAACTCCCCGTCGTCCAGCCGCACGAAAGAATTCCAAAAGCTCATCACAAAACACACTAACAGCACAAGCCCGGCAGCTGTTCCTGGCTCTGTCCAATCTAGTCCGTAATCTCGCCACCACCCTTCAGAAGAATCCTACGGCCATGTTACGATTCCTGCTTTTTGTTCTAGCGTTTGTGGTTGCATTTTCTCAGAAGCAGATTCGCGAGAAGACGCGAGAAGCGGCGAGGAGGGCATGGGAGAAGCTGCGGAGGACTCTTGGGATGGGGGTTAAGGTCAGTTATATCTGACGAGTGGAGCCCAAGAGCTGGAAGACTGGGAAGACTCGGGGATATATGTAATGGGAAATGAAAGGAGAGAAACGCCGCAGGTCAAGGCCATGAGACTTCAGCGGATGGTGAGATTGGGATTTTGGGACATTCTTCAAGGACGAATCACCACAGTGGGTGGCGCATCCTCCTCCTTTTCGTCGGTGGGCATATAGTTCATTCCTCATCGTGGGCATAGGGTGTACAATGCATATACATGTGGCGGATTCAAGGACGAACCGCCTGTTGAGCGCCTCTGTGGATCGCTTGACCGGAATCTGAATGTGTTGAAAAGGAGAGGGAGAGGGACAAGGCTGAATATCGCCCTGCGACGGACCCTCATTCTCCCCGTGCGGCTTTGCGATGAGTGCGGGATGTCACGAGGGAAAAATAGACATATTCTCTTCCTCTCTCTCCGTTTTGTGCAGCATCTTATATTGGACGGGGATCTTCTAAACTTACAGGTTTAACAATCAAAAAAGCATTACCCCCCCAAAGCCAGCAACCGGATCCCAAATGAGTTGTCTTCATCATCATCCACCTGACTCCTTTTGCATTCCACCCACCCTGTCCCGCACGTGTCAACAGCTCTCTCCTCTGACGGACTTCTTCCTTGTTGCGACCCCTGGTTTCACTCTCCTCCGTATCCATGGCTAGCATCATCCTCGGCACCGAATTGAACTCTCAGCTTCTAGATGCGTCGTTAGACACAAGACACGCAGCAGCAGCAGCAGCCCACAAAGTCATGCGAATTGCGTGCCCTGGCAGTCCTTGGCCAGGCCTACTTGCTGCCCACATCGCCAATTTGCTGCACTCCGATCTTGACGCCCGCGTTCTCCAGCCGCGCAAGATAATTATCGCCTAGGCAACTCGGAGTCAAGAATCCCGCGCCGTGGTTCTTCTTGATCTCTTCTTCCTTTGTCAGAATCACCATGGCAGCCTCGCTCATCAGCAGGGCAGTTAGAGCATACATCCCGCCCTCGAACCGAAAATGTGCCAGAGCCTTGCGGGGGTTCTTGGCGAGCTGCTCGGCGACGGCGACGGCGCGGAGTTCCAGAACATCGCCTTTGGTGGATTCCTTTGTCGGGCCAGAGCCGGGCTTGTAGGAGGAGAAGAGTTTCAGGATAGCCCGCGTGGGGGGGAATGCGAGCAACAGGGCTAAGATGACGACGGCGACATGGATCAACACGCCGGCCACGGGGCTCGCCACCGCCATGTACTCCTCGTACGTGAAGTTGAATCCGTAGAAGTAAGGCGTCAACCCGGCGGAGCGGTGGACTATGGCCACATTGGGCTTGGCGGTGATGGAAGTGGTCAAGTGGCCGAGGCGTGGATACTTCCAGACGCCCATGAGTTTCTGGAGACCTGTGCGTTCATACGTGTTTGGTTCGGGGTTGCGTGGGTAGATGGTATCCTTGGTGAAGGGCCGTAGGTGGGATGGAGACAGCACAAAGGGGTCGCTCATGCACTGCTTCATCACCTTTGCCGGGTAGTAGTCGGCCAGGCCCAGCCCTGTAGCCAAGGTGCCGCCGCTAGGTCCCGAGGATTTCAGCTCGTGCACTGAGGCAACCATGTCCATGACACCGCAATCCCAGACTTTGCGGACCAAACGAGTGGCAATGTAGGCGACCAGGTCCGAGGGCGCGGACTCCACGCCCACCTCGGGGATCATGATAGCCCCAGTTCGCTTGGCAGTGTCTTCGTACTTGACAATGATATCGCGAACCCATGGGGTTTCGCCGGTCACGTCGAGGTAGTGAGTTCCCTGTTGCGCACATGCTTCGACCACGGGAGTCGAGTAGAGATGGTAAGGGCCCACGGCGTTCAAGAGCACTTTGGTCTTCTTGACCACAGGGGTCAATTCAGGGGTAGTCAGACTGGCGACGGTGATGATGTCGGGCGAGCTGCGCGTCGAGTTCAGCGACTTCAGCTCACCGACCAAGGATTGGAGTTTGGATTGATTGCGTCCAGCCACGGCCCATTTGATGTTGGTGGGAAGATTGGCCGTGATGTACTCGGCGGTGAGTTTGCCAGTGTAGCCCGTGGCCCCCAGGAGGACAATATCGTATTGACGACTGGCTGCCATAGTGAAGCAAGGTGAGCTGTCTGCTTTGAATTGGGAAAAAAGGAGGTAGAGACAGACACGCCGTCGTTGTCGTCACGGGAAGAAAGAGAGAAAGAAAGAAGAGCAGAGCAGATACTCTAAAGAACGTGGAGAAGAAGAGACTACAAGAAGCGGAATCGAAATAAAACAGAATCTCGACAGCGCCAGCAGCAACGGGTCAGCAATTGAAGTCTCGCTGGATGGATACGGTGTAGAAATGGAGGCCAAGGTGTCGTCTTTTTGGGGGGGAAGTTTGACAATGGACCAGGACGCGGACCCACGAGTCCACGACGCTAAAGACGCGAATGGGCTGAACCAACGTGCGAATAAAGACCAAAACGAACAGGTCGTTTAAACACAGAGACAGCACCAAGGCCAGCTGTTGGCCCTGAGACGTGCAGGGCGTTAGTGGTGGGCGCCACCTGCATTGGCTGCCCAGCCGAACACTAGCGGGAATGAACGTGGCTGGAGCTGGGCGTTGGGTACGATACTCCGGACCCCAATTGTCAGGGGGGGGAAGATACTTGTAGAGGTGTCTAGGCACCGCTAGGTTACTTAGGCGTCTACGAGATACCTGCGTGTAAGGTGATCTAGAGCATGGGCAGGTACCGACTTAGGGAATCTCCTACTCCGGGAGGGGCGCCGCTGCCGGGAGCCTCTCACTCGAGGCGGGCGCGAGTCGGAGTATCTCGTAGTGCCCCCCAATGAAGGATATTTTTGGCACCTCCTCATAGGCTTGTCAGGAGTCAGAATGTCCGGGACCAATGCACATGCTTCAAACTTGATACAAACTCGCTTGTCGGGATTCCTAAACGTCCACACACACCACAGGCAGACGGGCTCACACAAAAGGGTCATTATTAAAGATCCCCGTATTACTTATCAGGCACACAGAGCCCCCACCATCCACGCAAGTGGAATGATGGGTGGCATGAACATTTGTTCCAGATATGGGCCGTGAATCCCAGAGGACCCTGTCCGCCCCTTATGGGTGCCACACGGGCATCGGGCTGACTCAGCGGGGTAAATATCACGTGCTGATTCCACATCGCGCCAAGCCGCTAAACCGCACCGTGAAATCGCACTCGAACTTTTGTCTCGGTGCAAATTGCGAACCAGCAACGACATCCCCAGTTTACCACACCAGTTCAATCCTTCGTCTACAACCGCCAACATGACGAAGCGCACAAAGAGTGAGTTTCTCATCACCTTCCGAACCCCACAGAGGACGTGTGATTGACCATCTGCAGAGGTCGGCGTGACCGGTAAATACGGCACTCGCTATGGTGCATCGCTCCGCAAACAAGTCAAGAAGATGGAAATCACCCAACACGCCCGATACATCTGCACCTTCTGCGGCAAGAACACCGTCAAGAGAGAGGCGGTCGGAATCTGGAAATGCAAGGGCTGCAAGAAGACAGTGGCTGGAGGCGCCTGGACAGTGTCGTAAGTCAAAGAGGAGGGCCACATTCAACCACAAAATGAAATCTTCTGACATTTCCCGCCTCCCCAGAACTCCTGCTGCGGCTGCCACCAGATCGACCATTCGACGACTGAGGGAAATTGCGGAGGTTTAAAGCAGTGTTTGGCATGGGCTCGGAGTTCTCAATCCCACGGATACGGAATTTTTCCACAAATTCTCAAGTAGCATCTCAGGCTTCGCCTGAAGAGAACGGTCTCGGTCGAGCAGGACATGCGGCTTCCGCGTCGATGAAAGCAAACGCTGCCTATCATGACCCCAATCCGAATCGTTAGACCTCCAATCGAATGACCGAATGCAAAGACCAACGGGCTCATATTCTACTCTTACCCTTCGTTCTGTTTCTGAGCCACTGGCTTCGAGCAGCTAACTTCGCAGCCTTGGGCGGCTTTGCTCGAAGCCTCATGTTTATGACTGATGCTACGGAGTACACGGACCGCAAACGTTCACCCAGTGCAGGCGACGGCGCAATATATTTCTCCATGTTGCGCGCCGGGTGAATACCGAAGGCTGATTTGAGAGGATACTATGGGGTGGCCCCTAATCTCACGCCTTGGCCCATCTTATCCTGGCTTCGATTTCACCGCCACTTGGAAAGCTTGAAACGAGAGGTGCTGCTTCTTACCTTTGCACATTATTTCCGAGTCTGTGACCCCGCCTCTGCGTTGACGACATTCTTTTCCAGACGAAGTCGGAAAGACCAAGGTGGGAACGCAGTTCCTCTTGTTGCCTGGATCTTTTTAATGCTCCCTTTCTTTTATTTGCAGGGTTTAGGCAACGAGCAGGCGTCATCTGCCATTATTGCAAATGATCCCCCCCAGCCTCTAAGCTTACCCCATTTTGACAAGAGTTCAACCGAGGGACGTGCTGAGGCAGCCACCAAACCTGTACCTGCTGAGCCAAAAGCCCCAGAAGCCAGTCACAAGTCATCATCCAGCTCCAAGCCGCCTCTTCTGATTGGTGCGCCAGAGCTGCCCCTTTCAGCCGGGCCCTTAAGTCGGATCTACTCGCTCCACCTGCACCGTCGCTTCTTTCCTCTCTTGACACTCCAAATGCCACCACCAAACACCCGTCCTGTGCCCATGACCTTGCTGCTGCTTGAGTTCCCTCGAAAATCTCCCGGCACCCTCTCTGGATGTCAGACACTTGTATTGTCTGCTTAGGAGACTTGAGCAGCGGCGATGGCGAAGTTGCAGCTCCCCTTGCCAGCCCTGCTGCCAAGTCTCCACCCAGTGTCGATGCCGCTTCCTCGAGGACAACCGAAGCCGAACATGAGCCAAGTACCACCACATCGACCAACAAAGACTCGACCGAGTTGATCGCCCATTTAAGACCGTGTGGGCATTACCTGCACAATGAATGTCTTACTCCTTGGGTGGAAAGAGCTAACAGTTGCCCGATCTGTCGTGCCAGTTTCCACCTCGTCGAACTGATGCGTACAACCAACGGTATGCTCCGACAGTCCAGTCGCTGTCCGAATTGCACAGCATGCTAACATTGGTATAGGCGATGTCATTTCTTCATACTCTGTCGAAGACCGAACGCAGGTTGCTGACTTGGATCCTTCCATGTTTCTCGAGATCCCAGAAGAGGAGGATGAAGACCAGCCCTGTCAAGCCTGCGGCGAAGATGATAATGAAGACGTCCTGATGTACTGCGATGGCTGTCAGAAATTGTGGCATACTTACTGTGTCGATTTGCAAGAGGTGCCCTACGGCCACTGGTTTTGTGACAACTGCCGAGCACAACGAGATCTTGACCCGCGTGCAATTGCCCGGTCGGGGCGAGCGAACCGAAGACGCACGCGAGGCCAACAGCGCAGGCAGCGAGGTCAGGAGTCGAGCTGGAACCAGGTTTGGCAGTCTGTTTGGTCACGCATCAATCTTGACCTTGACTTTCCTTATGAGGATGATGAATCATCCGCAAGATATCTCAGGCGTCACCGTCAACGCACCCAGGCCGACAGGCAGGCCCATGACGCTTGGTTGCGCCGGATGCAAGTTGCAGAACTTCACGGGGCTGGCAATCGCTTTAGGGAGACGGAACCAGCACTTCCCAGCAGCCCCGGGGGGGAATCGACACCGAGAAACCGACGGGCAAGAGCGTCTCCGCGTCCTCAAGCCGAGACCGCAGACGAACTCCTGGCGTGGCATGCCTTTGACCAAGCTCGAGCCTCGTCGAATGAGCCCAGTTCGACACGCAAAAGAAAGCGGAAATCCCCTACATCATCTCCAGCAGAGCCCGAAAACGAGCCATCATCCGCGAATAAGCGCAGACGGCCCAGCGCATCCAGCCGCACAGTTTCTGATGGTAATGCCACTACCATTACCAACATTCGGCGACGCCAACCCTCACGCATCGCCAGTCCCATTCCGAGACGACAGCCTAATGCAGAGCCAGCGGGCCCCAGCTTTCTACAATCCTTGTTACAAGAAGTTGAGGATGCGGGTTCTAGTACGCATAGCATCAATCTCCACCGTCCTTCTCCTCGTCCTGCAGCGAGTCCACCAGCAGACCAAAATTCTCCGCGGCCTTCGTCACCAGCTTTGTCTCCTCTTCCCTCGAATCATTCTTCGCCTAGGGCAATGTCGGCCACCCCACCTCCGCTTCCTGGAGGGCTCAGGCCTGGCTCGCCTACTGGCTTGTCTTCGAGCATACAACCTGTCTTCCCATCCACTGAATACTCTCCTCAACGATCTACCTCGCCGGAGCCGAAACAAGCGGAGACGAATGGGCCCCGGTTTAATGGGCCCCGAGTCCCTCCACCTCCTTCGACATCTACACCGTTGGCACAGCCAAGACCTCGAAGTCGAGTACCGCGCATTCTCGAAAACGGGCAGGATTCTACTGTGAAGTCGCGCTCAACTGAGGCTTCGCCTAACCGGGCAACCATGTCGCTAACTGCAAAAGCCGACGTGCAAAAACTTGTTGCAAGCGCTCTCAAACCACATTATAATGACCAAACCATTACGAAAGACGAATATACGACGATCAACCGCGACATTTCCCGGATGCTGTACGATAAGATTGGCGATTTTGAGGCTCTCGATGTGGACGATAAGGCAAGGTGGGAGAAGATCGCCGGCGATGAGGTCAACAAGGCTGTGGGCGCGCTCCGAGCTCAAGGTTGAAAAGGAATACTTAGTCGGTTATTTATGATTGTTCTCTTGCACGAAAGCGAGTTTGAATTTAGGGTTCAAAGCAACGAGTTTCACGATGTTATGACCTAGGGTGGGCGGGCATTTGGAAAGGGCGACAAACACCACGATATTCGGGTTCCATGGGCCCGTTTGATGGGCGTGGCGGATTTGTGTTTTCCAATAAGTTTGAGCGATGGCGATGGTGGTTTCCTGTCGATGCATTGTGGAAGAGGATACACCTTGAAGAGACTACAAGCATTCGGGGCGGCGGGCATCAAGGAAGAAGGACTGTACAAAATACCCAGGTGCAAGAGAGATTGCGAGTGTGCTAACATCCATGACTGCCTGGGATGTTTCCACGACCATAGGGAGTTGCAGTGGTCGAGATCGGAGGTTGGGGGGGAAAGAGATGTACAATACAACGACAAGGGGCATTGGCATTGATGCAAGCATCACGGCTACTCTTCAGGGAGGCAGATTCCAAAGTGAAGACGGGAAGACCAGGCATGTTCTGCTCACCTGTGCCCTCTATTTGACTCAATATGCATAGTGGTCTCAGTCTTTCTTCCTGTCTTTTCCCTCCCTTGACCACTTCCAACTTCTCCCAGGCTACACGCTATGGCGGTCAGACTGTTGCAAGTCCGAGAGTACAGGCTCCAATTCGACGCACCAGTATATGATTTCTTCAGAGCAACCGTCCCTAGGTAGTGAAGACGATCCAACGAGGCTGCGCAACAATCTCAAGGCGGCCCGAACCAGGCTCGCCTACTCGTACGTGGCTGCTTGTTGCCTTGCTTTGGCGCCGGCTACTCGACATCTCGATTCGCGTTCGCCAATCGAGCCCTTGGGGGGGAAGGTGCTGGACATGTGCAAAGGAGGTCCAATCTCTGTGCCTGGCGCCTAAGGTATCCTCTCATAGCGCGGGGGTACACAAGGACGGCGTGCACGAGGACGAGTAGATGCAGGCTTTTGGGACGGAATGGGGAATGATTTCGCAACGAGAGCGGTTCCAACCAATCCAACTGTACACAGTACGAGTGCTTGTATCTGGGGCGTTTGAACAAGGCGCCCTCATCAGATACATAGATGGGTGCCACGCCTCTCCCCAGCCTACGAGGACGCCTGGACAACATGTGGTCGTACACGTAGAAAGGTGTCTTCGGGCGAGACTCGCCCCCCTCCCTCTCGTGGATCCAGTTTCATCAGTGCGGTCTCAGCACGGCTACAACTGGAAAGGCAGGACACCCCCGTCCACCACTCCACTGGTGTTTCTGTTATCTGATTCGATGTAGGCGGGTGGTTCATTCATCAGAGGGAAATTGCTCCACTCGGGCGCTGGAGCAGGAGTCGAGAAGTGATTGGGGGCAATCGGCAGGCCAATGGAATACTCGTATCTCCAAGTCTGTTCATGACTGTCCCGGGAGACGAATGTGCCTGGTTTCGTGGGAAACAGAAGAAGCTACGAGAATGGACAAAAAGGCATTCGTAACTGATAGATGGGAGGTCGGCCGTCACGGTCAGATTTGCCTCTCGCTGGGCCATCATGGTCAATTTGCCGCAGCGCTGCCATTCGCACGTCCGGCGCAATCGAAGGGCGGCTTCAAAGAGCAGAGCCTATCCAGTGCTAACCCAGGAGGACGCCAAAATAGCCTGCGAGGCTCTCTTTATTGAGAGCGGGCATCAGAGGACGGCAACCGTTCGTGTGATTGCTGTCGATCTTGTGTATCAACAGTTGTTACATGAGCCTTTATATCTGATCGTCATAATCGTTGCCGAAAACCAGGTGACGTGCAACCAGTACGTAGTCTGACAGAGGGTGAACCGCCACGCCTTTGCTTTGCCTAGGTCCTGCTGCAGTATATTCCACCCCAGAGCCAAATGGTACAAGAAAGACAGAGCATGCAAGGACACAATAGAAAATAGAAAATCGACGGGCGGCCGAGAGCAGGAAATTACGTGAAAGCAAGGCGGATATAGTCCATGCATCCTGCAGTTAACAGCATATGGCAGAGAAGAGGAAGGAGACAATGTTCTGTCGAGACTGTGTAAGCAAGCCAGTTCAGGGCCGGCGCAAGGGCGAGGGCGAGTCGGTAAGTGACGGAGAACTAGCGTTAGACAAATGCGAAGATGATATACCTTGCGCCTGGATCGCCTGGTCTATGATGTCTTGTACGGTCGTCGAAGGCCCCATCCTCAGCAACCTTGAAGACGTCGTGCGGATGACAATGGCCGAAAGGCTTCGCTGCGCCAAATCTGCCGACTCTGCGAGGTTTGCTTGCATTGATTGTTGGTCCGCAAACGTACGATGCTTCGCAAAATCGGCTGCCGATGAGTCGTTAAACCACTTCTCCAGAAACAGATGCTCCAGATCATCATCTTCGACGTCGTCGTATTGTGTCTCAATGAGTGAAATGTACTCGCCGAGCAGTCGAGGCAGAGATTGTAATCGGTGCAGGAGCCACGCATTGATGAAGTCGCCATGGTCCACTGGTATTACATCTGGACCACGGAGGTGATCTACCAATCTGATTTTGCGGTGCAGAATCCCTTGATAGAGCGGACTTTGCAGCAATCTTCGGGGAGGCGGGGAAATGGCCTGGCTCGACGGCCTGGCCATCTCAAGATACCTCATTGCGGCTTCATCCTCGTCTGGCTCACGCTCGGAAGCTTCTTTTGAGATTGCTAGAGCTTCATCGTCTGCCTGGAGCTGTCTCAAGGCCTCCAAGCCTAGTTCCGCATACTCTAGTTCGTCAAGGAGTGCCTGCTCTTGTACTCCAAAGGATTTTAGAAAATGCAACGAGTCCTCGTCCAGGCTGAGGCCGAAATGAGCTCTCCAGTTCTGCTCTTCGACGAGTTGCGTATGCTCGTTTCGAAGATCCAAGAGCTGTTCAAGTATCATGTCTCGGTCGCCGATCATGGTCAAGTATTGAATATGTTCTGGGGACTGCTCGGCGGGTGCCTCGCCCAGGTCGTCTGGTTCGCTTACTAAACTCGCAATGGTATCATAGTCTGCCAAAGCAGCTGAGCCGACAGAGTTCGCCTGGAGGAAAGCATCTAGACGCCTGCCAGAGTAAAACAGAGACTGAATGATCTCGTTTTCCAAATGAGCACATTGAGCCTCGTCTGCTCGAAAAGAGGCGAATGGGCCTTTGCGGAACAGATCAAATTTGCGTCGGATATCACCAAGCTGTGCAGTGAGGTCGTCAGGCAAATCCTCCGATTTCGTGAGATCAGTCACTCGGAGTATAAAGTCTTGCAAGAGGTCGACAACATACTCCGTCTGCTGGAACATGGGAGCCCTTATGGCGTTCAACTCAAAGAGGTTCGCTAGAACTTTTGCATTGATATTTCGGTGCTTTCGTAACGTTGCTATGCAATTGGTCACCGAGAATGCTTCTTGCTGGCCGCTACTGTCTTGTGTTGCTTCCTGCTCTTGCATTTGCTCTATCGCATCACGAGACGAGGCTTTGAAGTTGAATGGCAGACCTCCCAGGTCTCCGCCAGCCTCGTCCTCAATAGGCTTTGAGGGATAGGCCCATTTCTCCCTGCCAATGTCGTGGCTGTGCTTCCATAGGCGCGACAGGTGGTTGGGAGAAGATTCTTTGGGAACGAAGCCATCTCTATCAATCGAATTATCAGCGATCCAGGCCCGGGTAGACACGAGATAGATAGAATTGGAGACTGACGTTTTAGGAGCAGGTTTGGACCATTGAAAAAGCCGACCCTTCAAGTGCCGGCCACCAGTCAGGAAATTCAGAGCTGAATGCATTCATGCTCGTCAAGCTCGGTGCAAAATGAGGACTCGGGCACGGACAAGACGCTGAAGCACGGTGCCATCGATCGAGGAGGGAGCCAGCCCATACTTGTATCGCCGGAGAAGGGGGGGGGGAAGAACGCAGCACTACATGGATGGGAAATTCCAGCCGCAAACACTGTGCTGTTCGTGCAGGTATGACTGGTTGTCAGGCAGAACGTCGCTCTCGTTTTGCTACTGGACACGGATGCCAGGGGGGGTGTTGCGCAGCATGTTGCTGCAGTCTACTGTGTAGGGTGAGAATACAGGAGAGCGAGGGAGCTCGGTAGTTGGTGGCGCAGTAAAGGATGCTCAAAGCGTCACCGCCTGCAAGCCGCCTGGGGCCACCATGCCCGCGCTGACTCGTGGAGGTGCCAAAGTATCTGCTCTAGGCGTCAAGCTAGGCATCGAGCCACGGGACGAGGGCGGGAGGAAGGAAAGACAGGGGTACGGCAGGGGCCGGTGGGCTTGCTGTCATTCCATCGAGCACCCACAAATTCCTCTCGTCCTTACAACTCTCGTTACAGACACAATACCACACCACCAAGCTGCGCAAGCGAACTCCCTGGCATCAGTGCCATCACGATCCTCCCACCCTCCCTGCCGACGTGCCTCAGGCTTCCTCCCTCTCGCACTAGCTCTTCAAGCTTGTCCAGCCCGCCAAATGAGAAGGCCGACAACGCACAGGCATGGCCGAACTACCTGCATTCTTCAGCCCATTCAACTCTAGTCCTCCAGGTGCAATATGCAGCTTTTGCTTCTGGGGATATGCCACCACTCGTTCAAAATATGCTCCTTACCGGACTGGCCTGGCCTGGACCAGCATCCCAGCCCTTCCAGGTCTCAAGAATAGCACCTGTCCTGATGACCCGATATATGATGGAGTTGGAGCCCCTCCTCGCCCAGGACGCCTGCTTGACCTGAAGGTGGCTTGGTTGTAAACCGCCCTACCTCTCGGGTTGGTGATGCGATCCATGATGCCTGAGCAGTCCAAGTCCTTCCCCACACGGGGCGACAGACGCAGTAATGGTCGAGGTGCTGGTAAGGTCCTGCGTTTCTACAAGAAGATCATCGACTCACTTGAGCAAAGGACGAAATAATGATGACCCAGGGAATGATAGACAAAACCCTGCACGGAGACGCCCGTAAGTTCTCCTCGCATCAAATGATCCGAGCCTCCAAGTCTCATGTTTTCAGCGATGCTCCTCGATCTATGGTGCAAGTCGATCCTCAGCCGCCCACAGCAAGGCTCCCCGTTACCAGCCGCCATCAGCCCCCATCAATTGTGACCAATCCAATATTCCCTCAGGAAAGGTGAGTTCTACGACGATTTCCTCAGCTTTTCGTTTCTGACCCCGAGTACAGAAGTCAGAGCTATCAACTTGCTCCTGGGGCACAACCGAAACCTAGGGTTTCCGTTTCAAACGCCTCAGGGGCGTTGGGCCTTAACAGCACTCTAGACTCAACTCTTCAAGGTTTCGCAAACATCCCGAGTGGCAGATACGCGGATGCTGCAACATATCTTGGGGCAAATCCCTCGATTCTTACACAAGGTCCACAAGCTCTTCTGACAGAAGCCATTCGGACGTATCGTCATGCGAGCCGTGGACCTGAGATGCAATATACGGGCAAAATGACATACGGTGATAATTGCCTTCAAAAATACGTGATTCTCAGGCAATTACACCGTTTGCAGCAGAGACTCGAAGCACGACGGCCGGGGAAAGGGACAACCGAAGAGATGGCCGAAGTTACCAAGCGCTACTTCGACCAGTTGCTTGACAATGCGTCCCCTTCGAGGAAGCAGCTCGATGATGAATTGATCGAAGTTCGTGCACATGCTATGAGACAGTCGCAGAGTGCCGGCCCTGGCCCTCAAACGACCGCCACCACACCCCAGCAACTCCAGACGCAGACGAGGACATCGTCTATGAGCAGCCAAGCTCAGCAAGGCTCACTTTTGGCCCAATCATCTCAAGAAATCTCAGATCCGAACCTTGCGTCCTTGAATCTGTATGGCCCCGGCCCGAAATCCGAAATTTCGCGCAGCGAGAATATTGCCGGGTTAGACTCCAGGTACGTGGCCAGAAATTCGAGCTACTACCAGCCAGGCCGGGTGTTTGCCATTCTTTGGCATGAACCGTACAACGACTCGCAGGGACACTCTGGCAACAGCTCGCGCCACACCTACTTGAGCGACAACATAAGCATTGGACGCTTCGGGGAGCGTATTTACAGCTCAATCCGTAGGATGGTTGTCGTCCGACAGGACCACGGTTGCTGTGTTTGTATTCAAATCAATACCTACGGCAAGAGGGGATTGGGGAAATTCACAGCATCCCCAAAGGATGTTGAGGCCCATACAATAATCCATATGGACGACACAAACCCTCAGTCGCAACCGGGTGAACCTAGATCAAGCAAAAGACCCATCGCAGTCAAGAAAGCAAGTCCAGATCAGAGACTGAATCCGTGGAGCCGTCTCTGCTTCTCCCAACCGCACACTGTGCAACACACGGTGAAAGCCCTGGACGTTGGGTGGGTGACCAAAGAGAGTCTACCCTACCTGCTGTCCTATTTCCAGCTGGTCAACGCGCTCCCTAAAGAGACTTGAGACGCCTCCGAAGCACAGTCTTCGCAGCTATCTACATTGCCAAATACGTTACTGAACCTACCTCAGACCGATCCATCCTGGATTCGAGGCATCTTACGTTCCCGACCCCTGTCCTTGACGTTGACCGAGATGTTATGATTTTCGTGGAGCTTAGCCTTTGAGAATTTCTTTACCGAACGAGTTTGATTCATCCTGCAAAGCATCTCGCGTCTTGTTGCCCTGGAATTTGTCTACCCGTGAAAGCCAGATGCCACCTTTTTGATGGTCTACCACAGATAAGATTGTTCCGACACGCCTTTGAGAGTGGACTTCAACGATGGGTCGCACTTCATCTTTCTACAATTGACGACGCCGTTTTGTTAATTATTCTACTTCGTGCATGTTGGAACCACAGAATGGAATTCCTTCTTCTCTGCTTTTGGGGGGAATTGGATCCCCTCCGCTCTGCACATTGCAGGCTGTTATGAATTCACGATATACATATCTTATAGCGCTATTGAAGTTACCCTCCACAAAGGACGATCCAGACTCGAGGCCATCCGTTTGAAGCGGTTGATTCTGTGCGTCAACTTCTCCTCGACCTCGACCTGCTCTCGAGGTCTCTCGCTCCAATGCCTCGGTTGAGCTCGGTGACCCCTTTATCCGCAGAGCCTCACTGCGGGGCCGGTAGATTTCCTATCTGCCGATAGACCGTCATCAGAGAGGGAGAGACGAAGGATCAGGTAGATCTGACGAAATCACAGAACAGACTAATCGGCCAGCAATGCACGCACCACATGCAATGCGCATCGACTTCCAAACTGTTCCAGTTGATGGGTCACCTGGGAAAGTCGCGATGATCTGGGCTCCAGCTGATCATGAGCGCTTCAGTGCCTGGTGACTTGGACCTCGAAACGGCAAAATGGCTTCGGTATGTTGGCAAGTGCCACGAACTTCAGTTCGCAGTCTGCATTCCTCCTTGCCAGCTCCTCCTGTCCTTTGTGCACCGCTGCCAGCGAGGCCATTGGCGCAAGCCCAACGAATATTGCGCTAGCTGGAAGCCCCTTGTTCAGAACGGCTAGACACGGGCTCGGCCTAGGTCTTAATTGCAGAAGGTCTCACAGCCATTTCCACCAGAAGGGTCATTCAGGGGGTCTAACTGGTGCGACAAGATGCCTGGCAAGGACTACATCTGCACGTCCCAGAACTCGACCAGGGATACGGGTCACTATCTTGTTGCAGATACAGGCCACCATCTTTCGAGAGGATGTCGAGCCCTTTACGAGGTACTAGACTATTACTGGTGCCGTTCGTCGGTCCATCTTTCCCACTTCTCCTCGGTACCGATCATGGGTTTGCCACACCCATCCATGCGAAACTGCGACTTTAGGCAAATTCCCCCGAGAACTCCCAAGGAATTGCAGTTCCTTTCGTTCGTTGGTGTGCTTTGTGAAGCATCGGCGTTTTGGCCATCATCTTCAGCCGCATGGCTATGACGAAGGGGGAAAGAGACAGAGCCACTTGAGCATCGACACCTACTTCAGGAGAGGTAGTGTTCCTATCAGCTTCTCTACACACTCACGACCGAAGTATTTGTCAGACTACTCCCTAGTGTTCCGTCCTCCTCGAATGCGATTCTTCTCGGACAAGTGGTCGTGGCTCATCGATGTTGTCGTTCCCAGAGTGGATCGCTCTCCACCCGTACACTTGACTAGCTAACTAGGTACTCGTTAGGCACAGAACTGCGTTTCGAGCCATCGGACAGATGCCGGGCGGCCTGGTGATCCTTCGATGGAGCCAGGCGCATCCCGCTTCACCGGCACCGAGCGGAGCCTAAACTGGGGCCTAGAGTGAGCCTGGTTACTGGTGGCCCAAGCAGAGTCTGGGAACCTGACGATCGGCTGGCCAGAGGAACCTTCGTCGGAGAGAGAACCTTGCTTGTAAAGGATGCCTGGGCTAGGTGTTTGGAGTCGATTCCCTCTCGACCTTGAGAGGGACAACCATTGAGCAGGAAACATTGCGGACGTTCGGCACTTTTGTTTCCTTTGTCGCATCCCCTGTCAAGTGGCTTCTTCGTTTGTGTGTAACTCGGAAAATCCCAGTAATGACCACCGTATTTTTCGGATGCTGAGTTTCGTTCTTCCGGATGCTTGCATGGAAAAGAAGGAAGAGCACACGAAAGACACGTTCAACCCCACGCTAAAACATTTGATGAGGATTGCTTCCAGCCAATGCGACAAGAGATGGATGCTCGACTCTTGTGACTCTCTTCTCGGGTCTCTCGTTGCGAGGCACGTCTGGCCAATTCATTGGTCAGCCGCACCAGGAGAGTTCGAGAAGAAAGGAGGCTGAGCATCCAGGCTGTCAGTCTCGAAGGCCTGGATTGTGCCTCGACGTGATTCGCCGCGGCCAGCCTGCATGGGTTTCGGTAATCCGTCTTTGGAACTTGGCTAGGACTCATCGCATACTGCCTTATGCTCGTATGCTGTGTATCATCGAATGTGGATGCTGGTCGCCTATGTTGTCAAGGCCCGGGCCGTCATCTGCTACAGTTCCAGGAAGGTCGCACAGCATCCAGCCGACCCAGTTTGGTGTTTACCAGCCAACTACAAGTACATCCATCACGGAGCGGCCCGAGAATCCCTTATTTGCATGACAACAGTGACAGCATTCTGAAACAGTCCAGAATCCGACATATTCGTGGCGAAGATCGAAAGGGCAACCAGTCACACCTGTGTCACCTGAGTGGTCATGCGCCGTCAGACGTGTTGCCTTCGGCTGAACAGACCACCCGGATCTCGATGTTCGATACCTCCCCTTTCAGCCCTGAAGATGCAAACTGTCTTGTTGTGGCCTCGGTTGATATGGTCCCCATGGGAGAGTCTTGGCTGGGAATGCCCCTTGACCGGGACTTTTTGATCCCTTCTCATCAAATTATCCGTCGAGGTGAAGATTGTTCGAATCCTTTTCCTGAGCTTGACCACCTTCTTGCTCAGCAACTTCATCTGCCTCGGAGAGGCTTTGCTGCTCCCGGGGAGACTGCTGCAACTGATAGTTGAGATATGCATTGACGAGGGCCGTCGATCGAATCGAGTTGTCATTTGTCGTGCTTTCTAGGATCTGGGACAGGCTGATCCCTTGAATCCCCGATTGAGGCGGAGACCCTAATCCGCTGCCCGTTTCCTCGTGATCGATATCGCTCTGGCTAGCGATTTTCTGCTCCATTTCTGAAGGCGGACAAAGTTGGTCTTTGGAAATGCTCCCATTCCTCTCTGGCAGTTCGGCGTAAAGCGTGGCCAACTCCTCTTCAGCTCGCCTCAGTTCTGCCAACACTTCCTTGTGCCTCGTCTCCAGTTCTTCAATAACATCCGGCTGTTCGTTCGCTTCTGACAACATGATCCGCTCCGCGTGCAGGTTTACCAGTATATCCCGCAGCGCATCCACGTCGCCCTTTTTAGAGAGATAACGTCGGGCCTCGGAGGTTTGGTCGAGTCGAATGTCGTCCGTAGAAAGGATTGAATCCTCTGTAGAACTTTCACGGGATTGCACAACGACTCCTTGGTCATTCAGAACTTGGAACGAAGTCTCCGCTGTTCGGCCAAAGATCCTTTCAGCCTGGTGGCCAATCTGATCGCCTTGCTGAATCAATTTTTGATCCACCTCTTGCAGTTTCGTCTGGACTTGGTTGAATCCAAGTAGAGTGTCTCTGAGTCTCCGCAGGGCATCACCCTCTGTAGAAGCTAGTATATCCTCGACCTCACCAATGACAATGCCCCCCCTTCGAACTGCTTCCCGCCTGAGATCGTCAGCTGTTATGAGACGACCAGTGAAGGAATCCAAATTATGATCAAGTTGCCTCCATTCACTAAGCAAAGCCTGAAACCGAGCGGTGGCTTCCGATGCTCCGACATGAGGTTCATGTTCACTGTCTGATGGTGGAATTCGAGTTGTCGAGCCTTGGGGTTCACTGAGCTGTCCGGGGGCGTCATCGCTGTGCAGCAGAGACACTTGCCCCGGAACTTCAGCTGGGTTTCCTAAGGATTCACTCCTTTCCAGCGTTGCATCTTTTGCAAGTTCTAAATTTTCCATGCTCTTGTCCACAGCTCTAGAGGATTCCTTTGGCTCTGCGTCGTCGACGGTTGTCCCAACGAGAGGAAGGGCCCCGTGTGCTCTTGAGACATTTTGAGGTCCAGCCTCAGATTGTGGGAGATAAGATGATGCTGGCGGGTTAGACCCCAAACTGTCACAATTGTCAATGCTATGCAACGAAGGGTCGGGACTGTGCAACTTCACCTACCCGACCTGCGGTTTGCTTCCTTGCCTCCACCACCTGAGCCAGGGAGGGATCCAGGTCATTCCCAAGGATGCTTGAATGTGAAGTCATATTGGCAAGAGTCACCCAGCATCAGAGGACTATGCCTCCTATATGAAAGGAATGGACGGGAATGAGGCGCCTCTCATTGCAAGGGTGGGCGCATGGTCGAATAGCAGAAGACGTATTTCCTGGAGGAGCAGGACCCGATTTCGAACTAGGTACTATCAGGTAAGGTAATGACCAGTAATTAGGAGGTAATCCAAATTTACAAACTTACTAGGTTGCTCAATCAGGCAAATAACATTACGGTTAGTTTCCACGGTCATTAACATGTGTAATATTACCAGTGATCACTGGCGAGCAGAACACCAAGCGGCGCGCAACATTTACCCATTCGGTCCACATCCACGGCCACCTACAACCCCCTGCGAACCCCCTGGTACCTCCCCCTCCCCTCCTTGGGTCGGTGATTCTCTCGCCCTATCTCAATCTGCTGCTTGGTCGGGTACGAGAGACGCATATGCCACTCGAGTCGCTCTTCCTCGACCAGATACCTCTTAGCACAACACGTAACCCCGCCTGGTTTCCACGCCCCCTCCAATGACTCTACCTCAAGCATGCAAGCACCTGGAGAGGCGAGTGGAAGAGATGCCCTCCCTCACACTGCCCCAGAGACGCTTTGTAGCGGGAAACTAGTCTAAGAGCCTCACAGAGACAAATGAAGAGCGACGGTGGTCCTCTGATGGCCCCCCTCATCGTGTATAAGACGATCCGTCATGACATCTCAGCTCCCTACATAACATGTCTTCTCTAATTGTGGACTTATGTAAATACTCTGGGGATTTTCGATTAGGGTTAGCCACTCATCTAGCCGACCAAGGCCGCCTTTGCCCTTCAAGACACTCAAGTCAACGTACCCATTGGAAGGGACAAATCAGATTTGGAACTCCCGCACCCTTGCTCGCTGGCCCTTGCCTGAAGACATCTGGGCCTCAATCTGCCTCGAGTCCCAAATACATCTCATACTCTTTATCTATTCGGCGAAGCTGATGTCTCCTACGCAGCAATTACAGCCAAAGGGACGTCGTTCTGGACGTCAACAGGTAGCCCCAGAATCGAAAGAGAAAGGTGCAGACGCTATCGCCGCCATTCCTGGACCCCAATCGCCTCAAGAAGTTGAAGAGAAAGAACCCAAGACACCATTGAGAACCGAAGGTCGTGCAAATGATAGCAGCCCAACTCATGGCTACCATGGCAATAGTGAAAGCCTTGGAGACGATGATGAAGAAGCTGTTCGTTCTGGGAGCACTACGAATGTTACGTCAACGCCAGCCAACAATCTGGAGGAAGGCATAGCCATTCCTTGTTTTCACTTGGATGACAATGACATATGGCAGGCCGTCCAGGCCTCAACATCGAATCAACGTGGAGGCAAGCAAAGCCTTGCCGAAAAGATTCGTCGAAAGTTGTCCATGGTCCAAGATTATCAATTCCTTCTGGAAGCAGTGAGGTGCGAAGCTCTAGGGAAACGCGAGCTTCGAGACACATGCATCCGACTTTACCTGCTGATCAGGAGCTACGACTCTCTTCCACTAGGGTCCGACGTCGAAGGTCCCAAAGTACCTTTTGAAAGGCATTTTGGAGAGTATCTTAGCAAGAGCCGGGAGGAAGTCGACCAGCTCATCAACCAGCTTCAACGAATTACCATGCCTCAGACATCGGGGGATGGCGGTGACGAAATAGCGCTGTCTGTATCATTGACTTCTTACCCATTACACCCAGTCCAGACTCCCGGAAAGGGGAAGAGCAAACTGATCCGAAGACAATCTTCTACCCAAGCCAGCAAACATCCACCGCCAAGTCAAGCCTCAAAGGATGAAATGGAATCCGGCTATCACGAAAAGAGTAGCAAATGGTTCAGCGTCGGCAGAGTTTTCACTATGCTATGGCATGAAAATGCCACTGCGGCTACAAGACCTACCTATGACTCAGGTACCATGACCGAGGGTCCATACGGCCAGAAGATCTATAGCCAGATCCGTCGTTTTGCTGTCGTGAAGCAAGGCCATGGGTGCTCTTGGGCGATCCCCATCAACACATATCACGAGCGGGGGACTACCAGGAGGAGCTTTAATAATGACGATAAGCAGGCCCATGCCATCATTTACATGAGGGGCTCGAAGCCAAAACGTCTTCCCGAGGAGCCGATCCTGATCAAAACGCCCATCATGGTGGACGGGGCAAGCGAAGATAAGAAATTGCATTACACAAGTCGCATCCGCTTCGACAAAGTCTTCACCATTGAACATAATGTTAAAGTCAAAAATGTCGGCAAAATATCTAAAGAATCGATACCTCATTTCATTCACTACTGGCGAGAGCAGGCTCTGGGGGCCGAGGACCCGGAAGCAGCGCCTCGAATACCTTTGAGCTAAGGGCTATGTCTATCAACATGTATACGTTTCTGCTGCTTAAGGTGTTGCCATCTTCAGCAGCAGGCTATCCGTCCCACTCGGAAAGAACTTTCACACCTGGTTGCCGTTCACCACGCTACAGAGGCAGATTCACCGATGAAGCGCCTTGCGTGAACTTACTGAATATGCACCAGTTGAGCATTGGTCATGCGGTTGTGCACACTCTTCCTCTCTATTTCAACTATCGACGATTGTTCAAGATGGAAATCGACACTATCCGTCTACCCCCTTTTCCCGAGAGCCTTGTGCTTTGTATGTATACTCTTTGAGGAATGGTGGCTGCCTTTTTTATTCTTCTTTTGCTCCCACTAGTCAGAGTGTAATTGCTGTGACGAGTCGGCTGTACCTGTCATGACATTACGATATAATTTAGCAGTAACGATAATCCACTATGAGTATTACCACGGGTTTCCCGCCTTTCCCCTCCGCCCTTCGATCACCCCGTGGGTCTGCAAATATTGAACACCGCATCTCCACATTGGGCCGTGGACTCCACATTCTCACAGCCTTCTCAAAGTTGACACGTCAAGTCTCAGCCTTGCAGCATCTCCTTTACATCTTGTCCGGCCAATATTTCAGTCAAGCCAGTTGCCTCGGATAAGCCTCAAATAGAGCAGATCCCCGCCTCATTTTTGATCTGCTTGTTCGGATGTCCTTCAAGTGAGGGAATAATGAGACAAGAGATGTGGCTGGACTAATCAGAAGCAACGAGACCGATGTCGTGGGGGACGCCACAGCCCTTCTGGTAAGTGGCAATTTCCCTCGAGAAGAAACCAATCTTGACCTTGTCATTCGCTTCACTCCCTAACCATTGTTTCCAGCCCAGATGCAACCTCGTCCGCCTGGCATGGAACTTATTGGCCCGGGACGATAAGGACCACGACACGAAACGAAATCCGGTTGTGGCAGTGACTTTGCACTTATTTGTACGAGGTACGAGTGAACCGATCCATTTCCGGACTCCGGCTGACATGACTTTGTGCGATCAAAGGAATGATCTCGCACGGCAGTTAGTGTGCCCTTGTCCTGCGAGGCAGATATGGAGAACACCAAATAGGGTGACTGTCAAATTCCGCTTCCGCGCCGTGGTAACGGTGCCAAGTGCAGAGTTGGGGGAAGCAATCTCACCATAGCAAGGCTAGGTCTCTCCTACCAGTACCAGGTATTGAAGCAATACTCAGGTATGGTGGCTTCCAAACGGCGAATGATGAAACGGGCCTAACCATCGCCCACGCCACGGTCGAACAAGCCGGGACGAAGTCATTTCAACAACGCGGCATCGTCAAACGCTGCTCGACGGGAGCCAGGTAAAACCCACCAGTGCTTGTTGTACTCAGTGACGGAGAGTACCAGCTCGTTGTGGCTCTGCCTAGAGCGAAGGCAGCGTCAACGGGGCGCCTTTCGGGGCAAAGTCCCGGCATGTCGCCATTGTCTCTAGGTTGGACTGGCGCTGTTGATCTGTTCAGCTGAACAGGTCACTTACTCGAATGCTTTCCGAAGTCACCGACCAGCAGCGCCACGAGCAGGGAAATGAGGCATGTCCCGTGACAGCAATTCATCGTACCAGCAAATCATAGGCGAAGATCTCCGGAATTCCAATTGCGCCTCCCCAGTTCGGAGGTCCAGACTCCAGCACCAATCTCGAGCGACAGACTGGTTATCTCACGATTGGCTCTCATCAATCTTACCCTCTGCAAAGTTTAGAGTGTAGTGCATCTCTGGGCGAAGCTGGGAATGTTGTGCTGCAGGAAGTGCATTGAAGTCTGATTGCTGGAAGTCAAATCCTATGGAAGCTTGGCCAGGGAGAGAAACAAAACAGGGCACATGCGTCGAGTCAGTGGCTCATGACTGGATGGAAGTTGGCGGTGAGCAGAGCTGCAAAGCGGCCCAATGTGAAGCGAAAATATCAACCGCGAACTTTTGAGAACAGCCAATATGCTAACAATCTAGACGGATCTTGCTCAAAACGAACAACGGTGGCTTCTTGAGATACGGGGCGTGATCGTGCGTTAGGTTGCCACGTACGCAACGTTCAAGAGTGAGAACATCCACCGGCATCTTCGCGTGCTCGACTATATTTCCTACAAGCAGCTTTGAGTGAGGACTTACACCGCGCTGTACAATTCGGTGTAACTTCATGCAAGGCAATCCTGTGTCTTGATTGAAAGGCAACAATCAAATAGCACACCAATGCGGCCGGGATAATCTCTGAGAAGGTCAGAGCAGGAGCGCCAAAGCACCGGCGCCTCACCGCCAGGAACGCGAAGAGATGGAGAATCTGCCCTCTCGCAGCGGCTTCCGGGCGAGCAAGTGTCGACCAAGACAACTGGCGGTGTGATCGGCATTGGGACACGGGGAGAGTTGCTCAGTTCTTCAATTCTTGGTTGGTTTCTCAGCCTCTGCGCCGAGTCGTCTCCCTGGCTGAAGATGAGAGCAAGCTCGCTGACGCTGACTGTGTCCGATCCGGCCAGAATCCCATGGCTGTCCACTGAGCGTATTTCAATTTTGCACCTCATGATCTTTCTTCAATCGGCAAGGCTGCAAGAGTGCACTTCTATCAGGATGTCACCACTTGATCATACAGAGTCCGAGAAGGCCTCGTTCTTGTCAAAGAAAATGTCCTGACGCAGTACCAGAGCATTACGGGAATTCCAAGTCCCGCGGTAAGCATGCTGTGTCCTTCCTCTAACTTGAACCACTCGAAGTATTGGAGGCGATCCTGGAGCAAGTACATGTCTCTCGACGAGGCTTCGAATAGGGGCAGTGAAAGGTCCCAAAAACAGTGTGGAAGAACTCTCACGAGACCGAGGCCAAGACAAGAGCGCGAACTTTGCGAAACAGGTAAATAACAAGTCTTCATCAGCCATTACGTGGTTATTCGAGTATGCTGAACTCTGGGCCGAGTATTCAGACTGGTTAAATACGGCCCGTCAACAAGCCCTCCGAAGACTGCAGCCAACCACAGGATGGCCGCCAACATCGAGTAGAGGACGAGCAAGGACATCCTTGGATGTCTGGTAGCCTGATCCCTCTGGCTCCTTCTGCTGGGACGCTTGTGAAACATCTACTTCTTGGATTCACCCCGGCCTTTTCAAGCCAGCTCAGCCACACGACGCATCAGCTACGCAGAGACTAGCGACCGCCGACGGGACACGAGGTCGACCATCACACGGGACACACTCTATCCATTCTGCAGTAGCTGTGACTTGCCTCGAGAGCAAGCACCGTGCCTCTAAGATTTGTTGTGATGTCGTCCCCGTGTAACAACGCTAGGCTCGAAGGAGCACGTTTGTTTGCCTTGCGGTCCTATTCGCGATCCCCTCCCGGTGATTCACCCAGGATGGGCGCATGGAGGTGGGGTGCGTTGGGATCATGTTTCTTTGGAAGAGGCTTTGTGAACGAGGGGGGGCAAGTGTGAAATTCGTAGACCGCGACGAGGCGACGACGAGTGGTGATAGTGCGAATCAACTCCTCGAATACTTCCCCTGAGGTCTGGACGACTGGATGCCCACCCGTGGATGCAGTCTTCCGGCCGCACGTAGTCCACCACACTAGTAATAGCGGACCGTTTACTATAGGCCCCGTTTGTTGATGCCGGACTGGACTGGGCTGGGCTAGGCAAAAGTTCAGCCTGGATTCCCGATTTTGTAGAACCGCCCATTAATATTGTGAGGCTGAGTTCTGTCCAGATACGGCCGTTGCAGCCTGATGGAGCATTTTCATCAATGTCCTAGTATCCGTCTTCTATGCAAGGGCATACTAAATAAAACAGCAAATACGATCCTGTTATACATTTCGGAATCCGGTCTAGGAAACTCGCAAGGAGAGCCGCGACGGACTCAGCACAGTCAGCCTTCACACTTTGTATATCCCCGGACCCCATCATCTCAGCCGCAAGACGCCTTCTAGATCCAGAAATCGATACGAGTGTCTCAGATACATACGGCTCCTTCAAATTTGCTGGGCTCTGTCTGACAGATTAGAAGGTCGAGAGCCTCGTCTGCCTGGTAAACTTACGTAGGCTTGTAACAAACTCCGCTTGTCGACGATGGTCTGCGAGCACGGTGAGTGTCCAATCTGGGAGCCGTTGTAGCTGAGATGGAAGCATGACAGTAGTGTGGCTCGAAGACTCCTTCACAGTTCTTTCATCTTCAATGGCCCCGATATTCAGCTTGTCTTCGGATAAGTATGGTTGGATGGCCTTCTGTGGACCGCCGCCGCCGAGTATCCTGAGCTATGCCTTCGGGTTAAAGGGCGACTCTCCCACTGGATGACTTCTTGGTCGTCGGTAGCATCAGACAAAGGCGTAAGGACCGCGTCCCCTAAAAACCCAGAACATTCTGGATCCTCGCTGCAATAAGTTTCAGGGGCATGGTCCGGGTCGCTTTGAAACCAGGTTGGCTTGATATAGTCTTCCACCGTCTTGCTCGACGTTATCCCGTCGAGATCACTCATGAAGATGAAGCGAATCAGGGACCACCACGAGGACCGTACACACCCAAGAATCCACATGGAGACAAAGACTGAAATGGACTCCGCGTCCCGGCCAAGCAGATCCCACGCGAAAGACGAGTATTGAGCAGGGGGAGGAACAGCGAGTTGTTCTTCTAGACTCGAGACATGGGACATGGTGTCCAGAATAGGCTGGGCCAGAAAAGGAAGAATGTCCTTATTTCGTTCCTCATGGTCGCGGGGGCGGAGATGCAGAGCTTCATCACTCTCAATCAGAGATTCCTGGTTCATCGCTTCGTCGGTTGGCAGGTCGTCAAATTGATCGTGGCCAAAAAGTGCATCTGACTCCTTTGACATCAGATCCGGCCCTTCAGTAACCATGTCATTCAAGGTATTGATGCCCATGGTCAGGTCAGCCAACTCTCTCATCAACTGCGCCCGGCGCTTCGGAAAAGCTCCTAGAGCCTCTTGTGAGAATTTGTCCACAGGTAGACCAACCGCTGTTCTCATCTGCACGTCTTCCTGGAGCGCAGTGTGCTCTTTTGTGAGATCCAGCAGCCTATCCTTGACTTCCTCTCTTTTCCGGGCTAGTGAAGATAGTCGTTCTTGACTAGTTAGCTCATGCTTCGGCGACTGCACATTAACGTAATTCTGGTTTGGTCCATCATGGAGAGTCTCTGGAATCCTTTTGATCGCTTGAACGCTGATCTCGGAGTCATTCCCATCAGAAGCTGACGGCCCTAATATGTCCTCGTAAAGTTGTTGCTCGGAATCTTTCAATTCCCATTCTGCTGGAACGAGAGTCGATTCCACCATATCAAGGTCAATATCCTGGGCTTCCAGCTCTTTGAAAGTCGCATTCATCTCTCGCAAGCTGGCCGTCGCACTGTCATGACTATTTTCTTGGGGAGGAATTGTTCCGCCTGCGTCAAGGAAGTTGCGAAAGGCTTCTTGTAGTCGATTTCGCGTATCTTTCATCCTGCTCCGTTCATCTCTTGCCTGAATCCGGAGAGTTTGGACTTTCTGACGCTGCCGCCTAATCTTCTGGACCTTGGTGACGAAGCGAATTGGATTGTCTACCCGGTTTACGTGATTGAATGTATCATTATGATTTGTTAAATCCTCCTTCAGAAGTTCAGGCAAGTCGAAAGTGTCGTGTGATTCTGCGACAAGAACGGGTTCTCCATCCCAAACTACGTGTGGAATGGGCGAGGCACCTCTGCTCACAGCGGTATTCTCTGGTGATGGTACGATATTCACAAAATTCGTTTTCACATCTTCAAGTGTTGTCGCATGCGACTCCAGTACTGCCCCTCCATTCGCCGTATAGTGGTAATGCTCGGAGGATGAACAACCGGCATCGCGGTTAGAGGAGTGAGTTGAAGATTGTGTAGGACATCCAGCGCTACATGCCAAGGTAAGTCTTGGGCTGTCTCATGTCAAGCTATCATAGACATACCTGGCAACGTGATCGCATAGTTCCAATCCTCCATATCCTTCATTCCATGACGATTCAGTCGGCAACAATGCCATAAGACGGAGGATGCCATGTGCGACTGGCTGCCGTCTTCCCAGTTGTATGGGCAACTCAATTTGACTCGTGCCGACAGTGTGAACGTCAAGACGAATCAAGGGAAGCAGACGGATCACATAGCATGACAATACGTCAGGGAATGAGCTATGGGAACATATAAAAGGCAGGCAAGATATATGGAATTGGGAGGTTTGCGAATAACTGGAAATGCGACGGCTTAACTACTCGCGTAGTTGGATCGACAGCAGTCAAGATCAAAGGACCAATGGCCATGACTCCAGGTCAATGAACAAGGCCCTAAATCAGCGGTAAGAAAAGTATCCCCCTGTCGAGGGTGGAAACGAGTATTTAATAACATGACTGTGGAGAGATCAGGTATGCAGACGGCTGGTGGCAGTGCCAGAAGGAGGACGGGGAGATGGGTGAAAGGGGTGTCCAGGTGGGAAGGAGGAGGCAGAAAGGACAGTGCCGATACGGGATACGGGGGCCGTGTCGGCGGCTCCAGGCCTTGTTGTTCAGGGATGCATGAGCAGAAGCCCCCCTGCAAGACTCCCTACAAGACTCTCTGCAACACCCCACGTCCGCCCAGAAACTGACACGAGCCGCCTAACCAGTTTATTGGCCCCGGCACCACCCTCTCCAGCAAGCTTCGCACTTTGTAATCCTTCGGTCTGCCAGCTCGTATTTCAGACTGCGCTGTTGGTGCTCTTCGGTTGGGCTACCTCCAGCCACTGCGTCGTCTCTACCACTGGTTCTTCTTCTTCTGCATGATCCTGCTCGAGTTGATTGGCACAGAGACCACCGCTGCAATCACCGTCACATGTGCCAATCACGCGGCATGGCCTCAGGCTCGTGCTCCCCTCCCGCATACTGGAACCAAGCCGCAAGTAACTCATTCACGCGCAGAATCTACGAGTATCCTCACAAGCGGCCTATCACCTCGAACGATTACGAATGCTTGCTGCATACACTAGCACTCTCGCAGACAGTTGGATCAATATGCAGTCCCTTCTTCTCGCTTCAGGGCATGCGGCTCTTCCCTCGAGAGGGGTAGATAAGGGGCTGCCTCGATTCAATCGCCTCGGCTTCCACTCAGCCTGATTGTGAACCCGTCCCGACCGCACATTGGCCTTGTATGGCCTTATATGACCCCGTTGAAAGGTATGGTATTGCGTGGAGGAAGTTTCAGGATGGCTCTGAGCGGAGAGTGGTCATCCATGGAGGTGAGGCGTACACTCGTGAAGATTCGGGATGGTATTGAAACTTCTCCAGGGCGATATTGTTTCCAAGACAAACTTACTGGGGAGGTGATCCCAATCCCAGATGCGATATCCCCCCAACAACGAAGGTATGTCCGTCAGCTTTCCTTTCCATTCGGTTCAGGAGGTTGTTTATGTTGGCCGTTTGCAGAAACACACCCCGAACAGCACCTAATGAATCGCTCGAACCACAGAGCGGTGACAATCAACGTCGCCCCGATGATCGGTTTAACTTGCAGAGAAGTGGAAGAGAGTCTCGAACAACCCCTAATAGAGGGGATGCAAATCCTAATCCTGTCAAGAGCACTGTTCCAATCCGCACCAGACAACCATCGCTGTCGCAGCAAGAGACATCGACCGTCGGGGCAGCATCTCGTTCATCTTCCATTGTCCTTGAGTTTATTAAAATCCCATTCAACAACTTTCTGGAATGCAGTCGCTTTATCGACCATAATCACGACATCCTCCTGCTTACCGATTTGGAGAGCTTTCTCGATGCTGCAGTCCAGGCGAACAGCAACCAGGATGAGATGCTGTTAGTGCGATGCATCCAACGCTACGTGATTCTCAAAGCGTGCAGAGACTCGCCGCCTGAAGATTGCCGCAACTACCTTACTTTGCTGGGGCGTAAAGACCCTAAGGAATCAAAATTGCAAGAATATTTCAACGAGTTCAACAGGGTTGCCGATGAAGTGCGCCGGCGAACTCGGGAAGTCTCGGGACCTCTTCAGCAGCATGAAGCGAAGGTTCCTGAGACACAAGATCGAAGTCATGGTCTTGCGGATGTCCATACTTATAGTCAAGCATTGTCTGCTGGTCGTGGAGCTTCCTACGTATCGCATGCAAATCCGTTGGGTTCGCATGTTGGTCGTGGTCCCAACCCTGCACCATTGGCGTATTCAAAGCCAGCATTACTCTCAGCAGCAGCACCAAGAACAGGACTGCCGACCAATGATAGCGTCCGCCAAACAAGTGCTTCTGGAATTCCAACGCAAGCGCCACCCGCGATTAAGAAGGATACACAACCAGCTGCTCTTCCGGTGCCGCTCTCACGGATAGGTACTGGTCCTCAACAAGACACAAGGATACTCGATCAGCAGCATGATGCAAGAAGACATCGGGAGCATACGAGATCTTCCAAATCCTATGAGAGCCATGACTACAAACACAAGCAACCAACTGCTAACGGTATCGAAAACGTTGAATTTAGAGGGACAAACGAAAACCAGCGGATGGCGGATTCTGAACGACTTGACGCCCGTTACATTCTGCGCCATGACGGTGCGGCCTTCTTCTCCGCAGGCAGAGTGTTTTCTTTGATGTTCCACGAGCCCTTAGGCCTCAAGCGTGGCGAGCAACTTCCTCGAGGTTTAGACCCTCGAAGGGTGAGTGTGGGACCTATGGGGACACTCATCTACAGCAAGATCAGATGGATGGTTGTCATCAGCAAACGGCAAGGGTACTCGGTCTGCGTGCCTATCAATACCTATGGAGGGCGAGGCGTTGGGCAGAAGAAGATGGGCCCCGAGGCGCAGGCTCACGCGATTGCATATCCCAGCAAACAAGCCAAACCACCTGGGCTCCTGCCGGGGGAGCCTCAATTCAAAAAGAAAGCAATCGCCGTCGATCTCAACGACGGGCACTACTTGGATGATGCCAGCCGAATCCACTTCGGAAAGCTGCAATCCATTGAGTGGAATGTCAAAGTCATGGATATTGGCCGTATCGCTCTGCGGTCCATAGCGGACTTTGAGGAGTACTGGAGAGACGAGTTCTCTCCGCGAGAGAAGCCGCGAGAGAAGCCACGAGAGAAACCACTTCTTGACGCTACTTCTTGACGCCAACACATCACGTTAAGGGTCCGGACAGGCGCACATCGCAGAAGGAAATTTGCGGTGCTGGATCGGTGCTCACACAGTTCGACATTCATACGTATGAGAGCCTCGAAATATCAGATTGCCGCACCACGATTGTGGTTGTTTTTGCATTCGGGTTCTGTGTTTTGGTGGTCAAGGACGATAACTGTTTGCTTGCGTCAGTTTCTACTGTTCCCAGAGGCCTCGCACTCCTTTTCCGGAGAGCCTTGTTGAACTCAATTGGCAGGAAAATGGAGGGGCCAGTCAGTGAGAAGCTCAGAGGAAATCCTCCGTGTGGAGGCCCTCTGACCCGCTGCTTTTGGTGGACGCCAGGGACAAGTGCCACAGATGGATCGACGGAAGGTGTTTGACTCATCTGACCTGTCAGTTGTATTGGATCTTTCATTCGGCCAGCAACAGTCAGACCATGCGCCTTGTGTATGGCTACGATAATCTAACGACGGCTTTTCATCTCTTGTCTGAAATACAAGGCAAATCCCCCATTTTTCCTACCTGTTCCGTCTTTTTTTCTTCTTCTGTCAGCGAAGACAATGCCGCTTTCCGCGCAACCTCTTCTGGAACCCGTCATTCCCCAATCGCGTGAGCCATTCTACAGAGCCAATGGCAGTGTGAGATAGAGAATGGGCCCGCTGTATCTGGCCAAAGTCGCCGCCTTTCTGCCCCAGCGTGGAATTTTTGAAGCATGTCACAAGACGCATAGCTGCAGGCTCGGATTCGGCAAAGGAGCCTTGTCAACAAGAACTGGGCGTCAATACTCCTGGCTGGGTCGGGCCTTGTCAGGCGACTTGAGATACTCGGCTAGGCTGGAGCCTTACCCATGTTTCGTAGATGCAACAACCTGATGATGCAGCATTGTGGAAATTCCCCACAAGGCCGCAGAGGTCGCAAGCGTCCACATCTGTTGCTCTGGCCGACGTCGACACAGCACATCGTCCACAGCGCAAGGCGACCTGCAGACGCGCCCGGGCGCCAACGGCAGGCTGCAGCCACCCTTTCATCCACTGGAATCAAGCACACTCATATCCAACACAGCGTGGGCTGCCAACACCTTGCTTGACCGCGCCACGATAGATATGGAAGCACACCGCGGGCACAGGGTACATACAGGGTGAGAATGTGATTCGTCTCGTGGGCCGTTTTATTGGTAGAACTTGTCCTCAAGAAAGGTGGACACAGGTAAATAGACACCTCGGGACTCTGTGCACAAGGACACCAGGACCTAGTCGAAACTCCACCAGCCCGCCCAACTGTGTAATACGTGGACACTGTGGTGGTTGTTCTGGTGCTGGTGGTGTGTTATCATTCCAAGTCATTAATTATCTATCACTACCCATCATTGTAAAGTCAATAGAAAAGAAAAGGCAACAAAAAGGGCCGTTTGTCTTCGTGTCTCGTTTTCAGTGGCTTTGCCTCCCCTAGCAATATTCCGAAAAGAAAGGGGAGGGGGGAAGGGGAAAGATCCATGATTACTTTTCTGGTGTGCTGCGTGTCCTTGTAGCATGTTTTTGTGATGATGTTGCGCGCACGGAGGCTGGGCTGCGTTGCAGCATCTGCGACGGCCCGCTTCAAAACAGGGCGAGGGCGCGGGAGAGGGGCGCGGGCGCGCCCAAGACTGACAGAGGACCCCCCAGAAGGCCTTGTCGGTTGTTTGTCGATGATCGGTGGTTGATCGTTCAGATCACACACACGTACTGTCTCTCTCTCTCTCCCTCACACACCGGCTACAACATCTCATCCTTCAAGTCCCCGTCAACGCTCTCCTCTGGGCCATCACCGCCGCCCCCACCGCCGCCGCCAAGTTCTCTAACCTCGGCGGTCTCCCAGCAGAGACTGGTCAGGTCGAGCATCCAGCGTCCGTACTGCTCCTCGAGGAACTCAATCGTCAAAGGCTTGGGCCAGGACTTGAAGGTCGCGTCCGACGAGGGGTCCTTGAGCATCTTGTCGTACTTCTTGAACGAGACACGGTGGTGCGAGATGTTCTGCCAGCTGTCGTCCATGTCGATGTGGAGCTGGGAACCCGAGAAGAGCTCAAACCTAGGCATTGAGACACGGTCAGATCGGGGTTGTTGTCGAATGCGATATAGATAGTAGTCTGGCTCGAATCCCATCGCGCAATAGCCAGTCAAAAGTGTGGTGACTGAGTTTCGGCTCTCCTCGCGATGGAATTTAACACTTACCCGATGTAGACGCCGTTGGCACTGCCAAGACTGATGATCTTCGCGCCGGGCGAAGTCTTGACCAAGTGATAGATTTCACAGTAAGGAATCAGATCCTGGTGATTCGGGTATTGTGGGAAGAAGGGGAACTTGAGCTGTTGGGTTAGGGCCCCCCCAGAATGGACACCGTCAGTTGACCGTCACTTTCTCGCCTGGATCGATTGGTCAGGGGAGTCAATCTCGACTTACGAAATGGAGGTCCCGAGCCTTGTTCTCGTCGTACTTGACATCCCAGAAGTGTCGCAGCACAATCTGATCGGTGCGTGAGAGGTTGCCGATAGCGCTGTGCGGCAGGGCGGTGATTTGGTAGTTGGTGGGAGGGCGATTGGCAAAGTCGAAGCTCGAGCTGGTCTTTGCCGACACGGGTCTCGAGTCGTGGAGAGATCCCGCCGTGCCATTTGGCATCATGGGCGCGTGTGACAGGGGCGGCGTGTAGGAGGTGGGGGGTGCTGGTTGATGTGAGGCGGAGGCGGAGGGCTGCGAGTTGTGGACGGACCCAGATCGAGAAAAGCGCCGCATGCTGATGAACGGGGACATAGTAGTATTCACCCCAAGAAAGATGAAGAAGAAGGGAAGGGGGGGGAGTAAAGTTTTATTGCTCGCTGTGGCCGTTTAGGCCTAACAAATACGAGAGCAGGAGACGAAGAATAAATCGGGGTGGCGCGTTGTAGAGCAACAGATGTTGGATGGATTGGATGGGATGGGAAAAAGATGGTGGCAGGCCCTTCACCGTTTTGCCCATTTGGAGGTGGAGCCCGAGATATCGCGCTAGTCTCTATTTATATGGAGAAGCCTAGACCCGACTAGGCAAGGCGTCGGATAAGGTCCGACCTTAAAACTTGGAAGTCCGATGCGCGACACGTTGGACACCAACCTCCTCTCCCCGCTGGGAGACGGTATGCCCATATCAAAGTCCTCGACTGAAGCCAGGCTGGTTCCTTGGTTCGACTTCCCCCTTGATCTTTATTGACGTAAATCTGGCGAGCCCGGACTCCAGGGAGACCGAACAGCGGCGGCAGCTACGGCGGCTCCCCCAGAACTCCGGAGCCTTGGCCACAGCTCTGACTCGCCAAGAAGGATGGCAATCGTCTTTGTGGCGAGCTGCGCGGCCTTCAAGATAGACGGCAAACCGCGACGTGGGTTAACTACCGAGTGCTTATAACTGGATGACCGTCGCCGGCGAATTTCCAAGGCGGAGGGAGCTTCATGGGACGGAACAGCCGTTCGGGCCGGAATAACATCCTCCCGCGGGACTCCTTTTCCCCACTGACCGAATCAGGATACTTTCCGCATACAGCGCAGTCCACCTCGTCCATCCACGAGGCATCGGCCGCACTCTGCTCCGTTTGACTGTGGGATCGCCAATCACAGTATTCGAACTTTCAACAGTCTCAGTCTTGTCATGTCCACTTGACCAATAACAAATCTGTTGCAGCCAAGTTTGACGCTAACAAAATGCTGGAGCCTGGCCACTCAGGGCTCCTCAAAACACCCCCTACATAGACGCCATTTGGCAAATAGCACCACGAACTCACCTAGGCTTGCTCACTTTCCCGAAGAACGACTATGAAAAGCGGAGCGGTGTATATTTTATTTGGCTCTTTGGGAGCCTCAGGCACCAATGTTCTGGCATCTAGACTCTGCGTTATGGCGAGTAGGTATTTATACCTCGAGCACCACCCATCATGAGGTCGAACTTTCTGGCTCCCCTAAGCGCGACAGTCTCTATCAGTGCCGCAATAAGCTCGACGAAGACGACGATCCAGATCGGAAATACCTTTCTTTGCCAACAAAATGACTTCTACCACGCCAAAAGCGACCTCTCTTCGCATCGGAATCCTTCTGATCCCACCGGTCCAACTCCTCGATGCCTCGGCCATTGATCTCTTCGGTATGCTCACCCCGGAGTACCTCGAAGCATGCGGCCTCCCCAAACCACTCCGTGACCTGGCTGTCCCGGTCGAGATCCACTACATCGCCGCGACAGGGTCCGGCACTCACGCCTCGATGACGTCCTCGGCCACGCTTCCCGTGACGGACTCGCTGTCATCGCCGGCCGTACAACCAGGCCACCTCGACGCGCTTCTCATCCCGGGCCCGGATCCGAATCTGATCCCCGAGGAAGACGTCTTGGCTTTCCTCCGCGCGCACAAGGAAGCCGACCAGACCGACTTTTTGGTCATCTGCACCGGCAGCTTTCCCGCCGGTTTTGCGGGGCTTTTGGACGGCAAGAGGATCACCGGACCCAGAGGTCTATTGGGAAAGCTGAAGGAGAAGTTCCCTGCGGCAAACTTTGTGGATCGGAGATGGGAGAGAGATGGAAGAATGTGGTCGTCCGGTGGGTAGTACTTTTGCTCTCCACTGCTGGTCCTTTTCTCTTTCCCTCTTAACCTTCGATGGTAACGTCGCCCACCGCGCACCTGCTAACTGCTATCTTTCCAGGTGGAATTACAAACGGTCTAGACCTCACAGCAGCGTATCTCCACTATAAAGTCCAGAAGGAACTGGCAGATCTGGTCTGCGCCATGGCAGAAGTGGGTGATCGCGCGCAAGACTACGGTAGCGGCAAAGCGAGCAACACCCTCTGGTGGATGTGGTTGATTCTCCGGTCCCTCGTGAAGGGTAAGAGCAAAGGAGGCGACGGAGACAGAAAGAAAGTTGATTGAATGCGCGTCAATACCGGTGCTATTAACAGTCAAATTGTGAATTTGTTTCTGTGGTTACCTCCTGAGATACATCACGGGTTCGCGGTAGTCTGGTTAGTTGAATCGACAATGCACCCGTCGTGGTCGTGCTGGCAAGTGATGCTTGGAAGAGTGGCTTATGGTGTTTGCTTGGAGTCGCCGGTATTTTCGTGTATGCTAAGCAGCGCATAGCATGTGAGTTTCGGTAGTGCTGTCGCAATCCTCCTGTTTGATATGCAGGTTATCAATTCTCGCCTCAACTTCTCAGCCCTTGCGTGCCGTTTTGTCCGCCCCTACACCGCCTATGATCGTTTGAACATCCTCTGTGACTACCACAGCATCTGCACGCCTGAAGCCTCAATCCTGGCTCTGTCCACCAGGACCCTCTCCAAGCCGTGCTGCTTGGCCATGTGGTTCACAACGCACCCGACTTTCTGAGATACGTGGTGGCACATGTAACAGCTGTATCGGTGTCGTGCTTTTGCCTGACTGTCTGGCGCGGCACGAGGAGTTGCTGTCACTTGCTGCACATTTGACAAAGCCGACGTTGAGTTGCCGTGCGCAAGTGGTGCAGAAGGGACAATGGGTGGCCCAGCGACAGGTTGAAGTTGACGGCTTTTGCCCATGGCTGGGTTTGCTGCAGCAGGATCGGGCGCGGGCGCGTTGGCTGGCGGTGGCACCTGACTCTCTGCTGGTTAGAAGACGACTTCCACATCTCGCACCGTTTCCACAGCCGTCAGGCGGAAGGTGGCCAGGGTCTGTGCTGCCTCGAGATCAAGACGCGTATACTCTCTGGGTTGTCGGCTTTCCATCTTCCTTTGATGTCTGTGCGGGATGCCAGGCGCTCTTGTCAACCTCGCACCTCTTCGGTGAGAACGAGAGGAGAAGAAGAGAGCTTGTCAGATGGGCAGGTTGAAGTTGACTACGCGACAGGCTTTTTTTGTGACGGACAAGGAGTGAATGGATTCAACCATTTGAGAGGATCTCTGCCCGACTTGTGCCCCGGTCTACATCCTTCACCTCTGACATTCACAACTTTCACGCGCCATTCCCAGGGCTGCTCAGCTTAAAGTCAGCAAAGACATAGGCCGCGCCGACAAGGTCTGACCGAGCGAGCTACCTGAATTGATCACCGGTGGAACACTCTCTAAGAGGCAACAGTTCAAGGTGTTGGACCCAACAAACGGAGTATTGTCCTCGACGTCTGTCTTTGGAGTAATCAGCAGGGAGCTTCAACTGGGGTGAAGGGATGTATACTTACAGAAACCCACACTTGAACCGCCCAACCCGGGCCGGGGATATAAAGAGGCAACAATTCAAGGTTGTGAGACTGGCCGGCGGAGTATGGTATACTCTACGCCAACCCTACAGCACGGTCAGTACCATCCTCACCTTAAGCAAGAGGTATATGCTTACAGAGCTAAACACTTGAATCGTCCACCTCGGGCCGGAGAATATAAAGAGGTAACAATTCAAAGCGTTGAGACCAGCGGGCGGAGTAAGGTATACTCGACGCCCGGCTCTATCGAACAATTAGTAAGGTCCTCAGTATGCATTTATGGAGACACTTACAGTCTCACACGCTATGAACTGTCCACCCCAGCCGCAATATAAAGAGGCAACAATTCACAGTGTTGCGACTAATAGACGGAGTGTGGTGCACTCGACGTCGTATCTGTGGAACGGTCAATGAGCCCCTTAACCCTGGCAGTAAGGCACAACTTACAGCCACAGACACTTGAATTGGCCACCTTTATGTATATATATATACCAACAACCACATCTGAAGTGAAGTGCCGGGTCGTCAATTGTCGTCATTGACTCGAATATCGGAACCTCTGGATGTGGAAGTGGTTGAACGGTGACTGGGTCCGGAGCATGCCTTGAAAGTTTCCATCCTGGCAGGTGAGGACGTTCTGGCTTGTGGAGGAGAGATGAGCTTCTGTGCTGTTGGATCAGTTCCATTTCCAGGCCGGTGTCGAGAGTGATTCCATGTGCAGACACCGTTTGACAGTCGGTTGGCACCACAGAACGGTTGCCAGGGTGGGTTCATGTGCTGGAAAGCTGCCCGGAAAACCCCAGTTGGACAATCTCGGAGTGAAGACTTCGGCGGCCCTCCCGGACAGGACTGTGTCGAAGGTCTGATGACAGGCACTCCAAGGTGGATATTCGTGCTTGCCTTGCTTTGCCAATGGCTAGAAAGAATTAAAACGGGCAGGGGGGTCTATTGGTTTTGTCGGACTGCTCACCTTGCCACGAAGCTCGGAGCAGGGAATGTCCACCGGTGAAAAATACATATATACAGGCCCCGCATCTGGACGGGCCATATTTGCGTTATTTGCAGACACGCAAAGCTGGAACCAGATACGCCAGACATGTGCTCTTTCCTTCCACATTCTTGGGCGGCATACTTCAATAAGCACTCTGATCTTAAGTCGAATGCAGCAAATGGTTCACGTCGAGTTGGAGGATGTTGTGTCTGTGCGGCTGTGTCCCGGCATGGTAGGACAAAGACCGTGGATTGTTTGTCGGACACACGATGCAGATGCTATCGGTGTTCAAACGCTGTCGTAGTCCCTCAAGAAGCCTCAGTGGAGATCGGAGGAAGGGCTGGACCGGCGTGGTGCTATGAGGGAGAACAGTGCTGTTGTGCATCTTAGGACAGACATGGGTCAAGGAGGCTCAGGACTGAAGAGGCACCAAGTTTCATAACACCCTTTCCATACTTATCGTTTTCGTGGTGATGATGGCTTGGAAAGAATACCAACAGTCAGGGGCCTCGCAGGGGGTTATTTATACCTTGGAGAAGCGGGAGCAGGATCCAACCCTCCACGATCAGTGTCACTGAGGTTTGTGACGAGGCTGTGACAGATAGGACCCTCCGCCACCCAGGGTTGTCAACGGCGGGGCGGGACTGGGCGGAGTGAGCCGGGCGGAAAATCTCGGCGCCGATGTCGCCGAGACAAGCGATCCACGGAACAATTCACTATTGGCGGGGGGCCTTTTTGTACGGCGTTTGCTTGATATTGACCGTTCATTGATGAGCACGATATCATTGTCCGCCGCCGTCATCGTCACTCACAGGGTCCTGGGTTGGCAGACTCAAGGGTGCCCTGCTAGAATCCGCACCTTTGTCAGAGGTTGCCTCCCTGGAGCTCAGCTCACGCACCCCGTTCCGCACAATACTTCTTAACCTCCTTGTCCAGCTTGTCCCTCTGGTTCGACACGTTCTGCATCATCTCCCTGACCGCCCTTGTCTCGGCCGTTTCTCCCGTTCCCTGTTCCACTGCCTTTTTCAAACCGCTCTCGCCGTACACGTCCTCCATCAAATCCATGACCGCAAATAGCTGGTTCGGCAACCACGTCACGATGGGCGACCCGCCCGTGGCTGTCGGGTGCGAGGAGCGCTTGATGATGTATTCCCTCGCAAACAGCCAGTGACGCCAGCGGAAACTGCGCACGTGGTCAAGCAATTTGAGGTAGAGTGTCGGCAGCAGCAAGGCCCTGTTGGCCTCGTCCTCGCCAGCAGAGCGGCCGGCTTCCACACCCTGCAATGAAGAAGCGTGATGAGTACAGTACTGCCTCACGCCGACCTCTGCGCTTTTACTCATGACCCACGCCAGAAACTCCCGGTGAGTCTTTGGCCGGTAGCTCCTAAAGTCCCTCAGAATCTCCGTGAGCGGGTTGCTCGGCATGGGAATCTCCATCAGATGATCCAATAGGGGAATGATGCTGTCGTTGGCGCCGGATTCGCCGCGGAAGTACAGCGGCTTGGAATCGCCGTAGCGGGTGCCTTGGTAGATCACCCCGTTGGGAAACATGGATTGTGAGGTGATGCCAAAGATGAACGTGCGGTAGGAGAGATAGTCCTTGGGGAGGGAGTGAGTCCACATTTGTTCCATGTGGGATTCGATGCGGCTCATGGCGGAGAGCATGGTCTGGAACGCCGAGATTGCGGAAGATACATCACCGGGAGAATTTTCTATGGTCGAGAGCAGGTCGACCGCGCCCGAAATCAAGGGTCCGGTTTCCTGGACCATGTGGATGTGGGTCAGAATGAAGCCGGCTTCTGAGCTCGACGGATCAAGACCACGTTCAAACGCGCGGATGAGGCGGAGGTTGTCGTATACGCCTGCGCCGATGTTGGGATTGACGAGAGAGTAGTTGTATAGTGCATATGACGCAGCGTAGGACATGAACGGCGGAATATCGAGGCTAAGTGAGAAGGATTGATGAGCACACGTACCCAGACTAGAGCTCGTTGCTGGGAGAGATACTCACATGTCCGCGGCCTTCACTAGCGGCGACGCTATGCACTTTGGCAGGACAGCTCTGCCCAAACCATAGCCAGCTTCATGGTCCTTCGACCACGTCTCCCAACAGGGCTCCAGCAGATACGCACTGGCCAAAAAGCTATAGTCCCTGAACACGGCCGTGATGGCTTCCAGGTCGAGATCACCAGTGTCGGTCCGCAGGTCATCCACGCAAGAAGTCAAGTCTGGCAAAGCACCGGAGTCGATAAGAGGGCCGAGCTTGAACGTAGCGAGCAGGCCAGGCGACTTGTCAGCTTTGACGATTGGCATGTCGTTAAGAATGTCTGATAGCGCATTGAACTGCTCCGGCAGACGAAGCAAGGGTGAACGGCAAGGGAGGAAGCCGGTGCTGGTCGTAACCGTGAAAGGGTCTGCAGAGCGTGGGAGACTGCTGGCATCAGACCGTATGTAAGGAAAGAGAGTAGCAAGAGGGGGCAGAGGTGGTGAGTCGGTGAGGTAAGTCATTACGAATGACCTTCGGTGGGTTGAGTCTCAAAGGGATCAAACAGGTATGCAGCCTTGCCAGAACAGACCAAACAAAAGGTAGAATAGTTCCCTTGTGAAACAAAGCGCGAGATGAAAGCCTGTAGTCCAGATACACGCACGAAACGTCTTCTCGTTCCTGCGGGAAGGACAAGTTGCTTATATGCCCCTTGGCCGGAAGTTATTCCGGCCAATGGATAGGAGAAGAGCGACTGTTGCGGTGAGCAAAGTCCACTGCGATTCCATAAAAGCAGAGCTATATCAAGACAAGACAGAAGGACCCGAGCCAACTCGCGATCCTAGACATTTGTTGAAGGAGTGGGAGACATGGTCGGGGCTAGCAGCCTCGTCTTGGCATTGAATGCATCCAGTGTAAGTTCCAACCACGGGGTACTGAAGCGCTGTCAATTGCTCTGCAAGTTGTTCCAGCAATATCTGATGGCAAGGAGTGTTGCTTTGACACGGTGTGTTCTTCCTTGATATGTAGTCGCGCGAAGGCCCAGGCCACGCATGATGCTTCAGTGTTTGAGGTCGCAGAGGACCAAGGTCCCGCTGGCGGCAGAGGGCCAGATGATCATGCGCCCCATGGCATTTGCGAAGGAGAAGCCCACCTTTGACCCCTCCTCGAATCCATTGCTCTTAAGTAAGAAATTGCTGGAGGCCGGAATTCGATACGCTCTGGAGCTCAGAAATGGAACGCGATGATTCGCCTGGCCGGAACAGTTTCACGTTGCACGGCCAGGGCGTGTTATGATTGGTCCGTTGACCGGAATTGAGGCCTTGCATTGGCCGCTTTGGACGAACCGAATGCTGGGGCTGAACTGTCGTCGGTCCTCGTGACAACACCTCGAAGTTGTCTTGACTTCATGCGCATTCGAATTGTTCTGGCCTAGGGACTCACGGGTGATATTTGCCACCTCCCAACGGCCTGGAGCGAGCAGCTCTTCCCTGGCTAGGGCCAATGATTACCACATGCGCGGCTTAGGCTGTCAGGAGCATTTGGATGATTTCAGTGCCTAATTCATGTCAGCTCAAACTCGATCGTTTCATCTCGATAATCCAGGATCTCGCTTGGATTCAGGCCGTGCACTGCGCATTCACCAAGGAACAGGTATTTGGCGCGCTGTACGGCGCTGGCGACCGACGATGTTGGTGCTTTCGAATGGCGCAACGATCTCCCTCTCGTCACTGAGGTGGAGTTTGCTTGGTGAGCATTAAACTCGACAAGCGGACGAACAGCGTATAGCACACTCCCACCCCTGAAGGCGCAGAGCCAATCTCCAGGTTCCACCACGGCAGAAGTCCTTACGGAACGACATTGCGCGCCGCTTTTGAGTGATTTCTGCACCAAAGAAGCCGCGTAACTCTGGTTTGGCCCGTGATATGTGGCCTGGCCGGATTTCAGGAGTCTGTCAGAGAGTGATGGTGCCAGGGATGCAAGTGGCTGGGTGAATTGGCCTTCATCCACTCTACTGTTCAGTAAAGACTCAGCCTGTGAGTCGGCAACCAGGAAAACGCTGGGCCAAGATAGTTGACGCGTAACCAGACAGCCAAGTCGCACACCAAATACTGTCAGAGAGGTTCGGGCTGACATCGATGAAGTTGGCAAAGCGGGCAGGAGATTCAACTTGAAGATGGGCGATTTCGCAGCGTGTTGCACAGGGGTGGCATCTTTGGGGGCGTCTTCAGCAAAGGCGGAGTCTGCGTCAAGATCTGTAGAATCCGTGAGGATCAAGGGCCGGAGGGGCAGGGATTGCCTCCAGTCTGGTAACCAGGATGGCCAACTCGCTTGGGCACTGCTCCTGTACCTGCCAGCGGCGCTTAGGATAGCCAAGTCGTGCTCTTTCTCGATGCAGTATAGAAAGACCTTTAGGTAGAGGCAGAACAAGTCCTCCCCCGGAAAATATATCGTCTCGGAGGACTGTTGGATTTTCGACTTCGACTCCAAAGCCTCGAGCAAGTCGGGCATCAAGCCCAGCAGTGCATAAATCGCGTCTTCGGGTTTCGTGCTCGTCCTCGGCCGGGTCAGCATGAGCAACTTACTCAGCTTCAGTGTGCCCTTGTCCAGTTCGTTCCTTACTGTCAGGATATTCTCAAAGGAGCCATCGGAGTCGTACAAGAGACTCGAGCTGCGTAGTTTGGAGGCATAATGGAAATACCAAAGGGACAAGTCACTCCATGCCATTTCGAGGTCGCCGCAGCAGATGATTGCGGCCTTGGCCAGAATTATCTCTTGGAATGTCCACTTCCTCGTGAAGTACACGTGCTGGAAAATCGACAATGCGTGCTTCAAGGCGGGAGGAGTGTTGTGCCGTTTATTCTTCGGCCGGGGAGACGGCAAGCTAGTCAGGCTCGAAGTCGAGGAGGAGAGGCTGCTGAGGCTTTCACGCGAGCCCGAGGCACGGCTAGGATATCGCGACAGTCGCGGAGACCTGGACGTCCCCCGAGGCGTGAGCGATCTTGTTCGGGGTGTCGATGGTCCACTCGACGAGTTCAGGAAGTCAGATCGAACGAGGCTCAAACTCAGAGAGGTCTCGTGCAGCATTTCGAATGCCAGCGACATCTTTTGGTCATACTTGCCGAGCCAGACGATGACACGGCACGCAGAGGAATAAAGACTTCCTGGGTCGGCATGAGCACGCAGGGACGCCATTTAGAGAAGAAGTTGGCGGAGCATACCCATCAACCCGACTTGTTTCATCAACTCCTGACCCTGGGTTTGATTGATGCAGAGCTGGTCTACCCATAACCTTCTCCAGGCATCCGTATACCGCAGATGAAAAAGAGCTGTGTATAGAGAGTCGGTCACGGGAAAGTCAAAGCCGTTGCAAGAGATGAGCTTCGATGGCCTGGTTTCGCCCCAGACGTATGACAGGGCCTCGAATTGAGTGCTCCTGGGAGATGCTATCACCTGCATCTCACAGCTAATGGGCGTGCCTTTCTCGCCTGGAGCAAGCAACAAGGTGCGAATCTCGTCGCCATGGAGAGTGCTGTAGACATCGCGGGCGGTGGCATCGCTGTCCAGGATGAATCCACGGTCGTCCATGATCGGGGTCGTAATGTAGCTGGCGCAAGCTGCTGCATCGCTGGCTGCTTGGGCTGCCCTCAGACTTTCAACCTCGATGGAATGGGTACTGCCAACAACTCCAAGCAGAGCAGATGAGGAGATGTGTACACAGTTTGCAACAGAAGATGCATGCCGAGGAGGAATTTTCTGGCCCCCATTTGTTCGGACAGAGACCGTCTCGCCATTTGTTTAGCAACTGGGCGGGGCTGGAAACCCTCGAGAATGGGTTTCAATGAGACACTGAGCATTTATCCCAGTGCTTTTCTTGCTAGAGAATAATACACGCCGACAAGATGGTAGGCCACCCGTCGTTGGTGTATGGGCTTTGTAGCCAATCTAGATGGCATTCTTTTGCCGGGCAGTTTTTCAATGTATCTTCTCTTATTCTGATATATCTCTATAGACTGGGCTTCGACCATATCATCTTCCCATGGCCGACCACTCAATACACGACCTTGAGACTCCATCCAGCACCCACCACTCTTGCCGCCGTCAACATGGTCAGCGACGCCGCATAACTACAACTAGTAAATGCAATCAACCCCCAGTATTCTCCTTGGCACGCCGTCACCAACTGTCCCGCAATCGGAATGCCGGTCAGGGATCCAAACGACACGAGAGTATAGCACGTGGCGTAATATCGTCCATAGTTCTCGACTCTGCACAGCTGACCCACGCAGACCGGAGTCAGCGAGATGCCCGAACCGGAGGCGAAGCCAAAGATCAGGGCGTAGACGATGATCAACGCAATCGATCCGTTGGCCGGGAGCCAGAACGCCAACGTCGACACGAGGCACAAAAAGATGGTCACAACCATGGCATTGAAGCGGCCAAATTTGTCGGCCACAAATCCTGGAAAATATCGACCAAAGCAGGAGCCGACATTCAAGATAGCAATGATCTGGTACGCGAATGAGGTCGAGACGCCGTGGCTAAGGGCATAACTGCTCAGATAGGTAAGTGGGACGAACAGGCCCCATTCGACGAAGAAGACACCTGCTGTGGTCAACGCGAAGACCGGATCTCTGAAGATGCGGAAGTCCGGGAGAATGTTTTCCTTGGTGGCCTTGCGTGGCGGGAGGCGTGACCTGATGAACAGATTCGCAAAGATGAGGAGCACCAGATTGATCAAGGCGCAGACTCGAGTCGACCATGCCCAGCCAATCTTGGGAAACAATGCCTGGAGTGTCAGTGGGAACAGGATCCCACCCATCGATCCTCCAGCCGCAGCAAGTCCCGTGGTCTGGCCTCTTTTCCTCAGGAAGAAGTGGCCAATCGCGGCAATGGCGGGCGTGAAAACCAACGAAGTACCAAGGCCCCCGACGATGCCAATCACAATCAGGAAGTGCCAGTACTCGGTGCACACCCCCATCAGGAGGTGGGAGGCGAGCATGAAAACAGACCCGGCAAGGACCAACCACCGCGGCCCTTTGGCATCGAACACTGGGCCAATCTGGATGCCCAGGACGAAGGAGAGGAAAGCGTAGATGCCGAAAATCCAGCCAATGGTGCTCTCGCTCATGTTTTGAAGCTGATGTGTGGAAAGATAGGCCTGGTATGTTCCCAACGTATTCATCATCCCCAGAGCACTCATCAAACCACAGAACGATCCAAAAACACACAGCCACGCCTCTTTGCCGCCTTCAGGATAGCTATTGCCATAGGCATCGGTGGAAACCCGACTGGCGGTGGCTAATCCACTGGGCACCTCGTGGAGTGTTGGGGTTCTCGAGCTGGCTGACAGTGAAGAAGATGACCTGGGCCGTGGCTTTCCCGAGGCATCGTGACTATGCGATTTTTCGAGACCACAAGAATATGAGCATGCGAATGGTGCTGCAGCGATTGATGGTGCCGCAGATGTCGCCTGCCGTGACCCGATACCGGGACGTTGAAATTCAGAGATTTCGTGAACGTCTTTGGTCTCGCTGACGGCCATACAACCCGGCTGCTTCTCGGCTACCTCTGCATCTCCCCTAGAGGGAAAGGTGAAGGCCCCCAGCGTTTGGTCACTGTCCTTCCATGACTCTTTCTCGATGTTCTGGCCGAGTGAGAGTGAACCCGACCTGCTCCTATCGAGGGTTGAGCATGGTGAATGTGGTGCAGGCGGAAGCGGGTCGGGATCCCGGTTTGAACGGCTTGCGTCCTGAGCCAATCTCTGTTGGCCCAGGGGAGTTCCGTGGTAGATTTGCTGTTCGTTGGAGTGATCGAAGGTCATGGACTGTATTCCTCTGTGAGGAAAGGAAACTCTATGGTCAAGGATTAGAGCCGGAGATCAGCTGTTGAGTTTGATCCTGGCTTGTTGCGGAATTTGGTGAGGAGAGGAGAAGAGAAACTCAACAAGAGAGGCCCATATGTACTTGTCTAACCTGGTCTACGTCTTTGCAAATTTGTGAGATGGCAACCGGGTCGATTTTTGCGGCAAGACAGAGCAGATGACGAGCAAAGGAGAAAAGAAAAGAAAAATGGACCAGACGAAGAGGCGGTCATCGTACCAAACCCTGCAAAAGCCATTGTAGCGAAGCAAAGGCCTGAGCAGAGAGATCGGTCATATCCGCTGGCGATTTGGTGTGGAGATGGATCTTGGTGTTGACTGTGCTCTGTGTGTGGTGTTTGGTGGGCGTTGTGTGGGTACAAAAGGGAAAAAGAGGGAAACTGAATAATGAGGGGAAAAGGCGCCGCGCCGCGTGTGGAGATGCTGCTTCGTACATCCCGTTGTCCTGCGTCGTACATCAATCAAGCACCTGCGCTCAGTGCCGACACCACAGCAGACACGTACATGTCATTCCCTCAAGGCCCTCAAGGGTTCGGTGGATCTTGGAGCCTGGAACAGAACAGAAAGAGAGAGAGATTGAGTCAAAGAAGAAGAGGAAGAAGAAGAAGAAGAAGAAGAAGAAGCCGCCGCCGCCGCCAAAGCAAAAGGCGAACCAATTTCTGTGTCGTCATGTCACATTCATTTCTAGACCTGTTCATTAGGTTGCTAGTCATCCTTCTGCAGCCGTGCTGGTTCCAGTCCCATTCCCGATGCACAAAATCGACAAAGCAATAACTAAACGCTCGCTCACATTCCTTTTCTTGCACTCGCGGCCTGGTGAATCTTTGAGGGTGTTGAGGGGGAGGGTGTGTATGTGAAGAGTGTCCTTTGCTGCGTGAGGTCCCAACAACTTGTCTTCCAGCTTGTCCACATTATCTCACACTCAGCTCCTCTCTCAATTTAGAAGGCGCGTTCGGATTGTTGGCTGCCACCATCTTATTTCTCCTGCCCAGTAGTGTTGAGTTGTCCAGGCTCAACTCGAACGGCTGCTTATTTCGCCGTCCAACACTTTGCTTGGCAGCGGCCGCTACCGCTGCGCTATGTTGGCCATATCCTTTCTGCTCCTGCTGACTATTATGATGTTGGCTTCTCGCGGGCGCTGCTGCCGCTCGCGCTTGGGCTGCAGCAGAGGGCTGGGTCCCGAGGTTGGTTTGACGCATCTTTGCTTCCATGCTTGACACATCGGAGGGTTGCTGATTCTTAGGTACTTTGCTTGACACTTCTTCCTCGTAATCTTCATCATCATCGTCTTCGTCTTCATTCAGAGGATTTAATCCACCAGGCATACCTGCCCCTCGGTAACCTTGCTTGAAATTCTTTCTCCTCTTGGCTTCCTCTTCTTGTCGGTGGACGGCATAGCCCACGTCGAATACTTCACGGAGGTTGACAGCTCCGGGCGATCGGAAATCTGCTCGCTTGGCGCCTGGGGTGTTAGGAGTGGTGAGGAAGTCGGCAGGGAGGTTGCCCGCCTGGGCTATCTCTTTCTGGCGGACATGGAGAGGTGTGGCGAGAGGTGGAGCATCTGCTGCAGCATACGTGGGTTCAGTTGTGTTGCGAATCCAAGGATGATTCAGGAATTCTTCGATCGTGTATCGCCGGTCGGGATTGACGGTCAAAAGATGCGAGACTAGATCTTGTGCCGATTTCGAAATGTCATCCCACCAGGGTGATAGGAAGGTATATTGACCCCGAGCAACCTTTTCCGTCAGGACTTGGATCGACTCGTCATAAAATGGAGGAAATCCGCAAAGAAGGGTGTATAGCACACAGCCGAGAGCCCACATATCGACCGACTTGCTGTAGCGTTCATCCTTGACAATTTCAGGAGCGGTGTAACCCACTGTACCGCAGGGCGTCATGGTTTGAGAATCCCAGATCACTTTGGAAAGGCCAAAATCGGCGATCTTGATTTGGCCGATACCACCGGCACCGACGCCTGGAATAAATTCTCCCTCGTCCGCCTTGTCTTCATCGTCGGGGCCTCTGGGTCTGGGGTTCCGAGTCGGAACAAACGGTATCGGATAAAACAGAAGATTTTCCGGTTTGATGTCCCTGGGGCGAGGTTAGTTACTTGCATAGCAATCTACCATCACAATCCATACCGATGAACTACACCGGTCTCTTCGTGCAGATAAAGCAAGGCATTGGCGACCTGAGTAATGACGTGACGGCTTAGATCTTCGCTGAAGTATGTCAAGCGGACAATCTGATGGAACAATTCGCCACCCGGACACAGCTCGAGGACAATATAATAGTACTGCCGCGACTCGGAAAAATCAATGAGCTTCACAATATTGGGATGATCCAGTTGGCGCATAATTTGGACTTCTTTGAGAATATTGGCCCGCTATAGCAAGAAGTCAGTCTGCGTTCGGACGGAGGCAAGGAGTGGATCAAAGTGGAAGTGGTAAGTAGAGGGTTCGGATAGGATGGAAGTGCGCACCTCCACGCCCTTTGGTTGCTTTTTGAAGTTCGGATGAAGGTGAGCATCGCCCTAGGTTAGAGACGGTTGGTTTTGAAGCTGATTTGAACGAAAGAAAGGAGTGGTAGAAGGAGACAAAGAGGAAAGGAGCTGTGCAATGCTGGGGACGGCAAAGCCAGGGCGTGCGAAGGCAGGGGGCAGGAAAGGGAAAGAATCCAAGACATGACAGTGTCCCATGACTCCCGGCATACCTGATTCGAGTTCATTTCGAACTTGCGGACAACCTTGATGGCGACCTCGTCTCCGGTCTGGGTGTCTCTGGCCTTGTAGACGTTGCTGAAAGCGCCGTCGCCCATCTTTTCTACGAGGATGAAGCGCTCGAGACCAGGGTATCGCGGCATCTTGCTGGCCTTTTCCCTCTCCTCGGCAACAATAGCTTCGATGTCTGCTTGGATCTTCTGGTTCTTGCCCGCAGCGTGAGCTGCGGCAGCTCCGGCCTGAGCGGCGACATTTCGATTGTCACCGGCGGCGACGGAATATTCACCTGGTTGAGGTTGAACATGATGTTGTGGTTGTCTGTGATGGTTGCCTATAGGGTCGCTCACGCCGTGATGATACTTCTGTTGCTGGGCGTGAATGGGAGAGACATTCGTAGTGGGATGATCGCGGGGAGGGTCGGCAACGCGGGCTTGCTTCCCATGACGTATAAAGTTCTTGAGATTCTGAATGGTGCTCATTTTAGCCAACGGTCCAGGACAGGTCGACGGACGGACGGCAAGGCAATGAGAGGATGCAAGAGAGGAGGGGAGGAAGAGAAATCGAGAGATTGCAGTCGAGGCCAGCGGGTGACACACGAGGTTGCGAGGTGGAAGAAAAGTTCACAGCAGTAGGCAGGAGATAGTAGTAGGCAGGGTCTCAGGCCCAGAGTTTCGGTGGTTGCAGGAAACGGCGAGGTGGATGATTCAGCAGCAGGATAAGCGGAGCGCAGCTTTGACGGAAAAGGGTGAAGTGCCAATGACGAGTCTTGGTTTCGAGATGGCGGCTGCAAGGTGTGAGGCGGGGCCGGGGGAGAGGGAAGAGGAAGAGGGCGTAAACGAAGAAGCGGAAGCGAGATGTGGCCGCCGGGGAAGAGCAAGTGAAAGAGAAGCTGGTTGAAAATTGAGAGGACGAAAGGATGATGAGAGGATTGAATTGGAGTTTAGATGGGCTTGGACTGGTGGGAGGGAATTTGGGGACGAAAGGGAGCAGCGGCAGTGGCAGCGGCAGCAGCAAGACTCAGTGACGGATGGGTGACGGATGAGTGACGAAGGAGGGGGGTTTGTTGTTGGAGGGGCAAAGTGGCTGTAGCAAGGGTTTAGGTAAAGACATAGGCAGGTAGCTCCCCCAGCCAAGGTATCGACCCTCGAGTGGTACTTCCCAGTGGTGCCGGTTGCTGCGTAATAGGGGCCGCAAGGGGGGATAGTATGGGCGCGGGTGGGTGGCGTAGGTGCTGGGTAATGAGATCATAGGGACAGTCCAGTGTCCAAGGCCCAAGGGCCAAGGCACATCATGGGCCCGCCGCGGCGGGGGCAAATAATCATGTACTTACAAGTGGCTCCGCCTGCGGTGGATTCCCCAAGCCTCCTTTGAAATGCTCCTTGCGCTGCAGTGCCTGGTGTGGCCTTTTGCTGCTTGAGTTCTCCAGCCCATGGTCCGACCGGCGCCCATGCAGACGCAGGGTTCTCCTCGCAAAGGCGCCGTGGGACGCATGGCCAGATCTGCCTGTCTCCTCCTGCCTTGCCGCCAATGGCTGACGAGGCTGGGTCGTCCCCATCTTCGCCATCCAGCCAACGTCATCAGGCCCGGTAGCCATTGGTGAAGGTACTGTCACTGGGCGACGATCTCTTCGACTCTGGCGTTGACAGTATGCCGCTGCCGCAGCCCGTCGGTTTGAGACGCAAATCGCATGCCGTTTGTTGGCGGGATTGGCGTCGTTCAATCTCCCAAACACCTTGGGCGAGCACCTGTCCCGGTAGTCGTGGTGATACTCCTGGAAATCCCAGTCCAACTCCAAATCCAGAGCCCGGTCCAGGTTGATTTGGGCGTTCAGGAGGCTCTCCGGGTCGTATAGTTCGTCATCCACGATCACTGGCTCAATGATGGTGGGCGCAAGGGGTGGTGCCATGTCGGGCACGTCGCCGTCCTCCACCCTCCACGAGTCAAAGTACGACTCCCAGCTGTCTGTCGGCGTGGCTGTCTTGGTCGAAGATGCTATCGATGCATTCCTTTGGTGCTGCGCCATGGCTGCTGGGTTTGCTGACAAAAGCTGCGATGTAGAGGCGGAGTACTGGGTGAGGGTATCAGGTCGGTAAATACACCTATCAAATCATGCTGGAGGAATGTTATCCGGCCACAAAGCGGACTGAGAACGATTCAAAGCAAAGAAAGAGAGCATTGGGGGAAAAGCAGAGTCCATTTCTTATCCAACACGGCTGTTCCTATCCTTTTGATCTTTCCCGCTTACTTCCGTTCGGCCCAACAGCTATACAGACCGAATGGAGAGGAATCATCTTACCCAGCCGCGACAGCCTCTCCCAAGCATGTTACCCACTCAGACTATCGGTCAGTTCACATGGAGTGTCACCGGGGATTTGCAGAAACAGCGCTCGCATGATGGTGGTACCCCTGAGCGCGAGGGAGGTCATGCACACCTTGATTCGACCGGTTCAGGCATTCCAATGCAAGGGGGGACCAGGCTTAACGAGTCGATACCAACTTTTGGCCACGAGCTAGCACCAGCCGAGCTCTCCACCTTTGCCAGTGTCGAGGCTCTAACACGTCACCTCTGTATGATCGTCTTTTGTTCCGATTCGATAGTTCGCCCAGACATGGCAAAGAAACAAATTCAGAGTGCGCCGGCTGGGGGGGCCTTGTCAACGGTAGGAGAACCTTGACTTACCTTATCGATGGATTCTGAATCAATCGGACGGCGATCTTCGACTGCGAGCCCGCATTCCCCTTAGACGCCCATTGACATCATGCATATATATCTGTTATACCCAGTGTCCCGCCTCCGGGACAAAGCTAACCCGTGTTCAAACGCGTCAACAGAATCCCCCGTCTATCGAACCGCTCTTCAACGAAATTCTCGTTTGGGCAAAAAAAAGGGGTAATGATGAAAAGGCTGCTAGAATGTGAGCCCAGGCATACCAGTTGCCGGCCGGTCCAGCCCAAGCCACGTCGGCGAAAGAATCCCACGCTTTCTTGTCCCTCGTGACTCGGGGTTCGTGGTAAAATACAATTTCCTTCCAGTCTCATGACATTCTTCTCCCAGTCATCCAATCTCGAATCACTCCATGGCCTGTTGCGGCTTGCCCTTGCGATGGATCCCAAATTAGTTCACACGTGGTGCAAGTCGCATCTCGTCGCATGACAGATCCAAGACTTGTTCCTGAACTTGTCCCAACTCGTCCAACTCCATCTCGCCTTTGAAGTGGTTACGCCGGCAACGAGCACAGCGATGGGTTGTGGGCCCTGTGCCGAGTTGGCTCCCCCATTCTGGCACTTGTTCCTCGTACCTTGCATTTCCGCGCCTATTATCCAGAGTTAACCACAGCGGAAAGATTAAAATCTCCGGAAAACAATTCCTCAGATCGAGAAAAGTCCCCAATCTCCAAAAGGGGGGGTCGGCATGATAATTTGCGATTCCTGCCCTTCGAGGCGAGAACGGCTGAATTGCCCCAAGGCACGGACCCGACGCTCATCACTGGTATGCTTCGAGTAAGCTTCTGTCACAAATCAGGCTGAGATCTACAGTGTCGTACGGCGAGGACGGGCCCTGAAAATGTCGTCGATCAGCATTCCCCAACTCCTTGCAGGGGGTCGCTATAGGTCATTATTCCTCTCAGGGAACCCCCTAAAGCCGTCCGCCCACCGATGAGCATCTGCGGTATGCAACTCGCGTATACTCCGTACCTCGTAGGTGACCTCGGCGAAGCCGTCGTTCTCCAGCTGAACAACTTGCTCGGCGTCATGGTCCCCTTCCCTTGATCTCGAAACAATCCTGAACCTCCCCAAAACCCTTGATTCGGAAACGATAGCTGGTCCTGATTGGGCTGATTTGACGAGGTATTACAGAGGAACAGGTAGATTGGTCCAAGCAAAAGTTGGCTTTCAAAGCGCCAACACGGAAGTTTTCAATCGCAACGATTGTAGAAAAAGCGCCTTGCTGGGGTTTGTAAACCTCTTTCTCTGCGCCGGTACTGATCATCGCTTGGCCAACCCTATTATACCCTGTTGATACATCGACCGGACGCGGCAGCGGGTCTTCCTTGACTGTTTCCAGCATGATCACACGGCTCGACGTTTGAAGACCTCGCCTCAGCACCGAGTAGTGCAAATGACAGTTGGAGGCAGGTCAGGGTCCCATCGCCGGACGTGCGCAAAGTATACCCTCCCTTGGCCGCGTTGTGCCTGTCTGCCATGGTCATCACCACGAAGCATTGCTCCCTGGTGTAAGTGCTGATGGGCGTCGCAGTGTTTTCGTCACCTCTCTCCCACCTTTTTGGTCGGAAAACGAACGAGGCGGGCACATTCTCCTCCCCACACAGGTCCGCACTGACGATCTGTGCAATGTTCGCAGCACGGTTGTACTTTTGCCCGAACTTGCCAGCCGCCCTCAAGCACGGATTCAATCTGACCGAATCTTCCTCCCACGCTCAGATCGGATGCCCGGCTGTCTGCTCTGCGGGTCAACTGAAGCTACTGCCACATAGCTCAAGGAACCCCAGGGATACCGGCGCAAAAGGGGGGCGGAAGGGCAGACGTGGTTGTACAAGCGGCCGTGCCTCGGACGTTTTGTTCGCGCTTCGTCGTTCCCTCGCTCTAGCGATACGTACAATCTCTGTTACCTTGGGTCGTAGAGGGCGGGTTCCGCGGGATGAATCGGATTACACTGAGTGGCACTGGTCACAATGCATGACGAAGCGAGTGCATCTTTACGCGAGCCTTGGGCCGGAAAAGTGCACGAGTTGCGCCATTTGTTTCTGCCGGGTCGAGCATTTCAGATAAGGAGCTGCTTGGTAGGAGGCAGCCTTTATGTTCAGCTCCGAAGATAAAAGTGGAAAAGGGGTCTTCAAGAGTCTATTGATTCTCAGGACAGGCTTGGGCAGCCGATTACTGTGTTGAATAGCTTCTTCTTCTATGCTCATATGACTGCAAGATAGCCGCACGGGGTCACAACAAGGCTGTGGCACACTGACAAGGCTGAACCAAATTCTATTGCCTACAACAATATCAGTTACCACATATCACTGCTCTTGCGGCCCTTCACCACTTTCCAACAAGACCTCCATCAAGAAGCGCCCAATTCGACTCGCCCGGATTTGGTAGGAATGCATGCGCGTGCAATCATCACTCATTCATTATAAAACTTCTTCATAATCAGATGCAAGAACAAGTTGACATTGACCCGCAGAGCTCCTTCAAAGAACTCCATGAATTGCGTGTTGTTGAACTGCGCCTGTAAAAGGTCGTCGAGCGGCACCTGAGCGTTGGCTCCCGGGATCATCATGTTCCCCGAGCTGCCGTCAATGGTGAAAACACCGACTTCGTTCGAGGAGAAGGTCAAATCCACCCGGTCCCATTGCCGTTCACTGTAGCCGCGCCAGTGGACGAGCACACCCTTGTCCGCCAGAGTCCGGGCCGAGTACTTGTACGAACCAAATTTGAAGGACCGTCCAGATCGCTGCAGCTCGCGTTCGTGCTCCCACTGCTTGCTGAAGGGCATCACGAACTTTTTCTTGCTCTTCTTGTTCTGCAGAGTCACCATGGCTTGTTCAATGTAGTCATTGTAGGTCTTCAGCTGCTGCTCGAGATACAGTGCTTGCTCATTAAGTCGTGCAAGAGTGGTCTTCACGTTCTCGAGTTCACGCTGTCGTTGCAGTCGTCGCCGGTGTTTGGTTCGGATGTCAATAGCAATGGCGTTGAGCAGGTCCTGGTACTGGTTCGACCGCGTCAGGCGACCAATGGACTCTAGCTGCAAGATATTTTCCAAAGCAACGCGCTTGAGGTCCGGGTATGATAGGGTGCTGATGTCGAGATGGTTGTGGACGTCGGTATAAGCACCACGCCGTCCGTTGCCAGCGCGGAGTTCGTCGTTGACCAAAGTCTCCCATTTCTCTTCATCTTCTGGTGCGATTGGCTTGACCAATATCTCGAGGAGATTGGCACCCGACTGGATCCGGATAATATAGAGCACGCATCGTTTGGTCTCGGTCAATAGGGTCTTGACATCTGAATCTGGATCTTCCGAGTCTAATAATTTGGGGCTTAGTGTCAGACTGATCTCGCTGGAGCTCACACCCCTGAGTTCGCTTTCATTGCTTTGGACGCTACCCAATTCCCTCAGGATGTCGCGGAGAACATCGTCCTGATTTGGACAAATCGAACTAATCTCTTGAGACAACAGCTTGTGAATGGAGAAGATGTCGGCCATCTTGATGTACAAGGTCGGTTTCGTCTTCGCATAAAGGTCGTTGAACTCGTCAATGTCATAATGTTCCTCTGCTGGTGGAATTGATATTACTGCCCAAAATGTTAGCTTGAAGAACTTGAGACCTGCTCTAATCTACTTACCATGACTCCAGATGGCCGCGAATCGTCCGATAGACTCGCGCACGTAGTTGTTCAAGGGTTGGAGATAGACATTATCACCGCCAAACTCACGACCTGAGGCGGCTTGGTTCAAGACCTTTGCTATCTCCCCAAGGTTCCTTTTTTGTTCTTGCGTCATCGCTCGATCAGCGACACCAAACTTCTCTGGCTCCAGGAGAGCAGGTTGGAGGTAGAGACGCCATAGCCACTGGCCCACGAGCTGAAGCACAAAATCGGATTCTTCGCCAGGAAATCGTGCAACGAGATGCTCGTATGTCTGTTGGACAACGCACCGAACGCCAAAGGGCATCCGATGCAGACAGTCCTCTAGGCAAAGGAAGAATTGATCTGTTATATCTCGCAGATCCTGCATGTGTGCAATAAACGTTGCTCGGGTCTCCGGATCTCGAATGGCCACCTCTCTTGGTACGTTTGGATCTCTCTGGCTTCGTCGGCCTGTTCTCAGTTCTTCGTTGTTGATGGCAGAGACGTAGATTTGCAGAGGGTCACTTTCAAGATCGAGCGCAGCGTTGTCAATTATACTCTCTTTGACAAGGGGTCCGAGAATGTCTCTCAAGAACTTCCTGTCTCGGGGAGATTTGCTGTAGGCTCCAAACAACTTGTTGGAAAAAGAATTAGTTCGGAGATAGTCTTGAAGAGAAGCGGAGCAGTCGACTTCTTCTTTGATGGACCGAGCAATCAGTTTGACGAGATAATATTCTTCCCTTCGCTTTTGAGCGTAGCCGAAGATGCCCATGACTAGATGTTTGACCCGGTCACACTCCTTTTCGGCGGTAGCCTGCTCCCTAATGCGTCTCAACAGTCTAGAGAGATACTGAGGCTGAGTCTGAAGCAGGAAAAAGAGTTCCTGATAATGCTCCAATTTTCGGCGCGAGGTCTTGTTGAGCGCCTTTAGGTCGAATGGATCCTTCGACGCAATGTCTGAGTTGGGGAGGAGAGCACCGACATGACCGCCAAAATGTCGTTGGTGCTTGACAACTTCATCCAGCGTGATTTTGTTCTTGACCAGGAGAGCAATTTTGATGTCCAGCTGCGTGATGTACTGATCTGCAAGTTCGTTCTGCCGGACGTGCTGGACCACAGTCTTGCGAAGTCGTTCGAATTCCACCTCTTCTTCAAAGTCGAAATCACTGTCGTTCAGAAGATGTACGAAGCCTTTCAGGGTTCCAACAGGAGGGTTCTTTCCGGCAGTGAGGCTCTTATATGCCTTTCCCTGGATCTTGGCTCGAACAACACTCTGAATCTTGATGACTTTTTCCATGTTTTCCTTGAAGTAACGCTTCTTCTCTGCAAATTGGGATCGGATAGCAGCTGCTCTCATAAGGGCCTGCAATTCGGTGATAGATTCATCATGTGTTTCCAACTCACTTAGCAAGTCTCCAACCTGACCACGGCAGAGCATAGCACGAATCAGAGCTTGTAGTTGAACTACTTTGTCCTGAGTCTCACCAAGGTCTGTAAGCAATTCTCCGGTCTGGATACGCAGAAGTGCTCCCCGAGAAAGTGCTTGAAGTTGGATGAACTCGGGCGCATGTCGTTCCAGTTCTCGTTGCTGCTCTTGCAATTGATTCCGCACTGTGAAGCTGCGGATTGCAGCTTGCAGAGGTATAATTCTAGTTGATTGCTGTAGCAGAGAAAGCTTAAGCGAGCTGAAAGCTTCCCGTGCATTTGCGCCTCGGAGGATTGCCTGAAAATTGCTGATGGACGCTGATTGCGATCTCAAGGACTGCTTCAGGTTGGCGAGTTTGTTACGGACTCGACCCGCTCGGACCGTGGCTTGCAAGGAGGCCCATGCCGGAGACGAGTTGAATAGTACTTGCCGGATCTTGTTTTGATGTATCCTTGCAAGCAATGACCTTGCTCCGGCTTGGATCTGTGTGATCGCATAGCTTTCCTTTTCTAGCAATTCGTGATCGTCTTGAAGTCCAAGTCTTGCGAGCATTCCGCGAATAACGGCTTGCAGCAATATGACTTCTTTTTCGGCTGTCCTGGTGGCTTCGTACTGATCAAAAGCGTCTCGCCTAGAGAGTGCTCCTCGAATGGCGGCTTGCAGATTGCGAATACCAGTCTCATGAGTTTGCACTCGTGACTTGATGGCACGCGTTTGAGTCCGGATTTGGCCTGCCCTGAAGAGGCTTTGAAGCTTGAGCACATCCTTTTCTCTCGACCTCCACTGCTGAGCCTTCTTCTTCTGTCGCGATCTTACCAGAAACCCGCGAGTAGCAGCCTGGATATTTGTGGCGAAACGTTGCATATTGAGCCTGTAGTCGGCAATTTGTCTTGTCCAGTCACCACGAACGCGTGATTGAATGTCGACGATGAAATCTTCTGCGTCCCAAAGTCTTTGCATCACATCCCCCAGTCGCAATCTGACCAAAGCACCTCGGACTTGATTTTGAAAGTCTGAGATGACGTCTTCTTGCTCATGCAGTTCTCTGTCTATTCTTTCATCTTCGGTCTCTACTGGCTCAGGTTCCGGCTCAGGCTCACCAAAGCTAGCGCCCATTCCTGAAAAACTAGGCATGCTGACCCCAGCTTTGTCGAGGCCTCGTTGTGTCTGTTCCAGCTCATGGTGCTCGAATTCAAGCTGACCAACCAGGTTTCCGATTCGGAAGTCAACCATGCCTTTGCGGTAGAGGAGCCACGACAAGGCGTGAATGCAGTAGATCACTTTCGGTATGTTTTTCTTCTCGTAGAGATCAATCAACTCGAAGCGAAACAGGTCCGGTAGACCTACATCCTCCAGAAACCGGAAAAACAAGACAATATTGTCTGAGTGTTTGAACTGCAATTTCGGATTGCGGAAGATCCTTAGGACTTGGTCGGGATGGAATGCCTGAACTATTTCTGCTAGAGTAACTCCGTCGCGTAGAGCCTCTTCTAGTTGCACAATAGGCGGGATCGGTTTGTTGATGATGTCTTCGATCCATTCTTTGGCTTCACCAATATGACAGAGATATTCGTAAGCCTGCAGAAATTGTCGTTGTTTGTCCATCCAGTTTCTTTCACCCCAGCCGTAACTCTTAGCCACCGACCGAGCGCCTGCTGCAACAGAATCTGTGCGTTTCAACTGTCTCCGATTATGAAGCCCAGTGACGGACTGACTAGGAGCCGAGATCCCAAATTCTTCGGCATCACCGTTTTGGGCAAATTTTGACAAGGTTTTCAGATAGGTCGTAGACGATTTCTGCAGTTCCCGGAGGTCAGGGGCTTTGAAGGTGTTCGTATGTGGATTTACTAGGCTTTGGTGAGTGTGGGTCTTGGCTTGATGCATCTCTTGATGATGCTCATGTAGATGCTTGTCCACGAAAGGATCCTCGGAGGAAGTTTGAGGGAAGCGGTCGATGGTGTGTGCTCGCACGTGGTAGGGACTCGGACGGCGGGCATTGGGTGTCGAGGTCGGCGATGGAGCTTGAGGGAGTGGACGCAGGCTCTGGCGGATGTTGCGATATACATGATCAGGACTGTTTTCCACGCTACTGCTTCCACCATAATTCCTGGCCGGCGTCATCTCCTCTATGGTAGTGTTCGCTCGCTTGTGACCGGGAGAGCCTCTTGAATAGATACTAGAGTTGGTAGAAGTGACAGTGCTTGTACGACTTGGGAGAAAAGCACTAGATGCTCCAGAGTAGGCTGAAGAAGCAGTGGAAGCTGCTGAGGTCTGTCGTTGAGGAAACCCGAATTGGTTGTCTGTTTGTGTCCGGCGAAGGGCGTAGTGCGACATCCCGGAAAGAGTTCAGACACAGGGTCAACGTAGAGGAGCTGTGGATTTGATCGTTCCCGAGGCTTTCGTCGCATCCTCAACTGTCTGCGCAAGGTGTCATTCAGCTCGTCAATGGGCGCCGCATCAGATAATTTCAAAGTGAAGCCTTCAGATATCCAAAGCGTGTCAAGTAGTAGAGATAGGAGGATAGGCAGCAGCAATGGATTGGCAAGCGCTCTGATTACTTTGTACCGAATTCGGTGAGTTGAGGGCAGAAAATAAAGCCTACAGTTTCTCACTTATCGCTTTGTTTACATTCAGGCCCAAAGAGGATGGCGGGACACGGAGGTGCCAAGAACGTTGAGGAGCTGCAGCGGTGATTGGTCAGGGCCGCACACAAAGACTATTGGCTGTGCAGGGGCCACCGCTCTCCGCCTTTTCACTCAAAAATCCCTTTCCGATTCAAGACCTTCTGAAATTTTTCCCTTTCCTTGGAAAGGCCCTCCCTGACCCCAGCAGCCCAACTGTCTTACTCCTCTGCTGTAAAAGCTCCTCACAAACCTACTGACAACATGCCGATCGCGAACGGAGATATCGCCAACGGCGCCCCTGTTACGCGTAAAGGGGAGAAACTGGACTATCGGACAGCCCTCCAAGTTCTCGAGTCCGACTACGACACTCGCGATGGCCTCGACATCAAGACGCTTCTGGACTCGAACAAAAACGGTGCTCTGACCTATAATGACTTCCTCATTTTGCCTGGATATATTGGTATTGTACCCACCTGAATTTTCGTCGCTTAGATGTCATAGTTCTAACACCCCTGAACAGGCTTCCCTGCGTCAGAGGTCACCCTCGATTCCCCCATCACCAAACGAATCTCTTTGAAGACTCCGCTTCTTTCCTCACCTATGGACACTGTTACAGAAGATTCGATGGCTATCCATATGGCTTTGCTGGGCGGTCTCGGTATCATCCACCATAACTGCTCCGCTGAGGAGCAGGCGGATATGGTTCGCAAGGTCAAGAGATACGAAAACGGTTTTATCTCCGATCCCATTGTTCTCAGCCCCAAGACGACCGTTGGGGAAGCGAAAGAACTGAAAGAGAAGTGGGGGTTTGGCGGATTCCCAGTCACAGGTATGTCTTCCAGGACCATCAGTGGTCACCACACCCCTTTCTTTCGATGATGTCCAAAACTATTTACCCTTTTAAACTTTCGTTCATCCGCAGCATGAACTTGCAATGGGGAATTATGGAGATTTCTGTCTGAGAACTACGCTGCTTCTGCCATTTGTCTTGAAGATTTGGAGTGCACAGCAGCTGACAGCAAGAGTAGAAAATGGGCAGCTCAAGTCCAAGCTTATTGGCATCATTACCACTCGCGATATTCAGTTCCATCCCCGTCCCGACGACTTGGTCACAGAGGTCATGTCGAAAGATCTGATCACTGCACCAGCTGGTACTACCTTGGCCGAGGCGAATGATGTCCTCCGCCAGTCAAGGAAAGGCAAATTGCCCATCGTCGACGCAAGCGGTAACCTGGTGTCCCTCCTGTCCCGATCCGACCTTTTAAAGAACCTCAACTACCCTCTTGCCTCTAAACTACCCCATTCCAAGCAACTGATTGCCGCTGCGGCGATTGGCACTAGACCCGAGGATAAGATCCGATTGCAGAAGTTGGTTGAAGCTGGGCTGGATATCGTGATTCTGGATAGCAGTCAAGGCAACAGCATGTATCAAGTCGACATGGTTAAGTACATCAAGGAAAAGTACCCCCTACTTGACGTCATCGCCGGAAACGTGGTGACTCGGGAACAAGCCGCGAACCTCATCGCTGCTGGTGCCGATGGCCTGAGAATTGGCATGGGCAGTGGCAGTGCCTGCATTACACAAGAGGTTATGGCTGTGGGACGACCTCAGGCTACAGCTGTGCATGCCGTGTCGTCATTTGCGGCCAAATTCGGCGTGCCCTGCATTGCAGACGGAGGCATACAGAACGTTGGCCACATTGTCAAGGGAATTGCGATGGGTGCCTCAACCGTGATGATGGGTGGACTCCTTGCCGGCACCACTGAGTCTCCTGGCCAGTCTTACATTAACCGCGAAGGCAAGCTTGTCAAAGCATACCGGGGAATGGGCAGTATCGATGCCATGGAAGACAAAAAGGCCGGCGGAGGTGGTAAGAACTCCAAGGCCAGCAATGCCGGAACGGCGCGCTACTTCTCAGAAGGCGATCGACTTTTGGTCGCGCAGGGCGTCTCGGGAGCTGTACTGGACCGAGGCTCTGTCACCAAATTCGTGCCTTACCTGCTAGCTGGTCTACAACATTCTCTGCAAGACATTGGTTGCAAGAGCTTGGTCGAGTTTCGTGACGAGGTTGCTAGCGGCAATGTACGGTTTGAGCTCCGGACAGTCAGTGCCCAAGCCGAAGGAAACGTGCATGGGTTGGACAGCTTCGAGAAGAAGCTCTACTCCTGAGGAGGCCAACATCAAGCCGGAATACCAGCATGGCGGAGGCGAAGGGGGCGTTGGACGGGCTAGGGGGCAGTTTGATACCTACGCCATCTCAAATGTTTGACGTTTGCACATGATTTTCATGATTGGAATGACATACCCAGAGACAGTTGACGATACATACATAGATCAAAGTTGGCCCCAAGGCCGGCTCGAGGAGCGGTGTGTCATAGGGAGACAAAAGACATACGAGTAACTGTTTCGTCCTCTATACTCAGGTCCATGTATGTGCCCCATATTGACGTACAATTATTATACATTGTCCGCCCTGCCAGCATGGACCTCGGCGCGTTCTCGGCTCTGCAAGGCACCGTCTGATCCCACGAGTGACGCGGGTATCAAGCGTAAGCCGAGCAGCCAGCAGACCAAACACAAACAGATCCCCAACTTCACTCAAACCCCCCACGGGCCAGTACTCTTCATGTTCAGCCTCGGTCTAATATCTCACTCGTTTCCCATTTCCATCCAATCTTCCTCAAATGTTGGTGTTTCTCTCGGCCTCGACATGTAGATATCCGGGCAGCTCGTCTTCGTTCTCTTATATTCCACTTTTAGACTCTAGTCGTTCATATCTGTACCCGCAACGGTTCTCCTGCCCTCGGTCACCAAGACGTTTATCCTTCCGGTCTCTATACTCGAACACTAGACAGTACTGCCAGCCATCTTGCCCGAGATTAGACAGAGTCCATCATTTCAGCGCCTCCCGCCGCTACCAAACGATCAGTAGTCTTGTGAACCGGTTCAGAAACGTTACCCCCGCCATGTCCGCGAAACAGAAGCCCAAGTTCGAAGTCAGAGGCTACAGCGAGCACAAGGCTCCCAAGCCGGCTTCTCCCTCGGCCAGCACCATTCTCGTCTCCCCCAACAACGAGATTCTCCTCCTCCACCGTGTCCAGACCTCCAGCGCATTTCCCTCTGCGCATGTCTTTCCCGGCGGCAACCTAGAACCCAGCGACGGGGAACTCCCGAGCGATCCCAAAGATGTGAACCGGCATCTGGAAAACAGTGCCTACCGCACGGGCGCGATCCGGGAGCTGTTCGAGGAGACGGGGATATTGTTGGCTCGCGAGTCCAAAACCGCAGAGTCGCTCCTCTCCGTCAGCACGGCGGTACGGAAAGCTGGGCGCGAGGCGGTGCACAAGGGCAAGATCCCCTTCAAATCCTGGCTCTCGTCCATTTCGCCCAACGCGGTCCTAGACACCGACCGCCTTATCCCTTTCACCCACTGGGTCACACCACCCAACGTACCCAAACGGTTCACCACACAGATGTACATCTACTTTGTCGATCCCTCGGAGAAGGGCAACCCCAGCGTCCACGCCACAGCAGATCAAATCGAGACCATGGCGCCCGAATGGAGGACTGCGAGGGACTGGTTGAGCATGGCGCGGAGTGGAGACATCATCTTGTTCCCGCCGCAGTTCTTGCTCCTCTACCTGGCCTCCGAGATACTCGACGGGCCCGGTGAGAGCGAGGAAGACATTCTGAGAAAGAGGGAGATTCTGAAGAGACGGATCGACACGGAAGGGAAACCGGTGCCATGGAAGGACAAGTTTATTTCTCCCATTGGCATGAGCTTCGGCGAGGATGGCCGAAGTGTCCTTGCGCTGGATAAACCCGGTCCCGAGTTGAAAGGTTCGGAGTTGAAGGGAGACGACGAGTATGTTGTTCTCGTCAAATTCAACAAGGAGGGACCGAGGGACGTGGAGATTGGTCTGAGAAAGGACGTCTTGAGGCAAAGGAGGGAAAAGGGAATAGAAAAGGCGAGTAAGATATAGAATCATATACAGAGATGTTATTGCGTTCTGAATTCATGGCATTTTATCACGACCGGAAATCCTCCAGCGCCTCGCTAAGTGATCAAACACGATGGACCACCCTGGGTCAATATGTCATCCTGTGATCTGACTGACATCTCGTCTTTCTAGAACCACGAGAGAGTCCACAATGCCGGTAAATTCGGCCAGCGTTCCTGCCACCTAGCAAGAATCTCAGGAACCTTTTCGTCAAAGCTCATCCTCGCCGCCCCGGTCCCATTCTCCCATCCTTGGGTGCCGCTTATTTGTCTCTCCTGGATGGCAGCCTCGTTCAAGCTATCGGCCAGTTCAAGGATTGCTCCTCCACCAACCAGCGCTTCTTCATGGTTATCCTTAATATCGATGTTGAAGACATGAACCGGCCTATTCAAAGGGGCTCCTCGATCGAGTAGATTGTCCACCACGGCGTCCCAGCATCGCTCCTCGCAGGTGAAGATCACATCCACCACGCCCCCCTCCGTTCCCACCGCGCCTTTGTCACCGCGATTCAGGGCGTCAATTCTGGCTGCTCCCACAACCCAGTCGTGAAACCGTTCCGGTCCCCATTTAATCTTCCTATTCCGATCAAGCATGTTTAATATCCCGTTATTTCGATAAAGCCGCGGATCTTGCGCATTAAGCTCTTCATACATCTTTGTGTAGGAGGTGGTGTTGAAATTGTAGACCTGGGGTTGTGAAATGGAGGGGCCTGGTAGGCGGACGTAGCTGCCAGTCCCGAAGGAGATGACAGGGTATTGGTGCGTCGAGGTAGAGAGACGTAGATGTGCTTCCATCGAGCGGTTGTTGTTGGAGGCACAAACCGTGCAAAATTTCAGTTTAAAAGGAATTTCATCTTGTGAAGAAGTGGCAGGGGAAGGAGATGGCGCTGTAGCGGGAGCTAGGGCCGTTGACGTTACTGTGGCTGTGGCGGGTGGTATGGAAGGGTCGATGCTGCCGTCAAGGCCTGTCGGAGAGGTGATTTGTGAATGAATCTGTCCTGTCGGAGCAGTCGCCGTAGAAGTAGGAGCTGGAGGGGAAGAGGGTGGAGGAGGTGGTGTTGACTGAGCAGGTTGCGGTGTCTGTGTGCGCGCCTGAAGGCGAGCACGTCGAGGATCTGCAGACATGATGCGGGAGTGATAGAAGTTGTGTTATTGCTCTACAACAAGCATGGTATAACTACTTGTTCCAGGTCAGTGGCCCTGTTTAGACGTGGGGAAAGACAAGAAGTTCAACAAGGCTCCAAGGCGGCGCAGTCAGAAGTTTGAAATTGCGTATTATTTGTGGTTGTCCGCAGAAAGAGAATAGGACAGCTCCAATAAGATAATCATCACAGAACGGGTGCAATAGATGCGAAGGATTTGTTGGACTGGTCAAACTCACCTTGATGCACAGCTTGGATGAAGCCTGGTGCTGTGTATGTAGGTCCTGGCTACGTCGTATGTCGAAGTCACCGCCCAGGTCATTCAGATCGGAGAGTGTGCAGGGCAGAGAATTCCCGGCGCTGGATCAAAGATGCGGCTAAAGTTCTCCATGGAAGCGAGGAACTGAAGGAACGAAGCCTGGCGGAACCTGGGCGGCATCTGAAACGCCTAGTGGGCGACTGTGGGGAGGCTGCAGTGACTCTGGCCGCCTGTGGTTGGAGGCTGCCCTTGGCCTCTTCCCCCCGTTCAGGTGCCATTCCAGTTGGAGGCAGAGCCAGGGCTCGCGGCCCAGTTAAAGCAGTTACAGCAGTTAAGCCAGTCAAGCCAGTTAAACCCATTCTCCTCTCACGATCCAGGTCCACGATCTCGACAACTTGGTCTGTGTGAATACCTACCTGCCTACCGACCATTTGCCTACACCTGCCTCACTCCTTCTCAACTCTTCTCTACCAGGCGTGCGCTGACCGTCCTGCCTCGCCTTACACGAGCGCTCTTCTCGTCATCCTCCTCACCACCACCACGATGCGCCATCGCCTGACTTTGTTGCTCTTCTAATCCCTTGGGCATACTACTTGGGCTTTTCCCTGCGTTTCGGCCCATCACGTCTCTCTCTCATCGCTATATTTAGATCTGGCGTCTTTCTCGACCCTCGCCGTCCTGGTCTCGCCTGATTCTCGACTACTTGACTCGACGTCCTCTCCCTTCTCATTATTCTAATCAAGACCCCTTCAGCCGCTCGTAGCTGGCTGCTGGAGACGCTCTCCAATTTTCCATTCCTTTTCGTCGTCCTCGACCTCTCTCTCTCCTCGTTAAGCGCGCGCGCTGTTCCTTCAATTCTCCAGATTCACCGCCGCCATTGGTGCTCTGAACACCTTATTAGCCGCCCACCGCTCACTCCTCGTTGCCTAGGTCTCGTGCCTATAGGTGCGCTTGGAGGAGACATAACAATTCAGTCCTTCGTTTGCGACACCTGTTCGCCCTTGGCCATCTAAACATCTGGCGACCGGTCCCGTCGTTTCTTGCACGGTCAGGATGGCCACCATCACAGCCTCACCACCTGCGATGTCTCCCCCGTTGGCCGCGGCGACCACCTCTCCTCCTAGCCTACCTCCTTTAATCACTACCACCCCGACTGCGCGGAGGACCAGTTCGCAAAGACCAACATCCTATGCTGAGAGACGGATGTCGTCCTTTTCCACGCATTCAAAAGGTTCCTACCTTCCGCAATCCCGGCCAACGTCCTATGTCTTTCCTGCCTTCCACTCGAGCCTACCATATACCCTCGTCCGAGACTTTGCGTATCTGACGACGCATCCCTTACACTACGGTCCTCCTCCCAATCAATCGGGTCTCTCTACGCCGGCGAGCGAGTCACGAAGACTGTCGGATCCTGCTGTCTCGTCATGGGACGACTCCAGAGGCCAATGGTCCGCAACCCCGCCCTGGATATCAGAAACAAACGCCAGCGGTCTTAGTCGAGATCGGTTACCCGCAATGACGTTCAAAGACGACGGCCCACCGTATAGCGAAGATGAAGATATTCAATCCCCCATTGTCACCACTAGCAGGCACAAGAAGCATAAATCCAATGAGCGAGGGAGATCGCCCGGGGCAGCTGGCCCCAATCGCGGCGTTGTGGTGAGCGCAGCTGGTCATCCAGAGGAAGCAGACGGGCCCGGCGAAGCAGTCGAGACCTATGACACCAACGTGCTGAGATTCCCGCACGAACCCCAACACCGAGATTCCAACTTTGCGAAACCGATACAGCGCAATCTTTCCCCTTATGGCGACGATGGCCCCGGGTCCGAAGACGAATACTCGGATGCGGAAGACGATGCCCGGTTCTCAAAAGACTACTCATTCACCATTGCCAGCCCGGACGAGGAAATGCATGGCAAGGCTGTCGCACTCTTTGATTTCGAAAGCGAGCATCAAAACGAATTGCCCTTGAAGGAAGGGCAGATCATTCTGGTATCATATCGACACGGTCAGGGCTGGTTGGTGGCTGAAGACCCTAGGACAGGCGAGAGTGGTCTAGTGCCCGAAGAGTTCGTACGCCTGGTTAGGGACATTGAGGGCGGGCTACGCGGGCTGAATGCTGTGACTCTGGAGGGTGATGGCAACATGGACAGTATCGTCAGTCCCGTGTCAACGGATCCCAGCTCAATCAATACGCCAGTACCGAACAACCATGACTTTCCTCCGCAGCAGCAACAGGGCCCACACAAATCCAGCAGTAATGGTGGCACCTACGGCGAGAAGCATCCTCCGATCCAGTCGAACTTTAGTACCAGCAGTCGCGATTTTAGCCCGTATCCCTTGCCCACCAAAGGCGATGATGCCTCGGCGAAGGAGAGGGACAAGGAACGAGAAAAGGCGACCGACGTAAGCTAGTACCCTATTCCGGTCGTTCCCTTGTAACGGCCCTACAACTCAATGAAGAGGCGAATGGCCACGGATCGGCGAAAAGAATATGGCCACGACCAGCAATCAGCGACACGCGTTAGACCGGGCCTGCGCTTCATGGGTGAGGGCATGATAAATTTTTATTCTCTAATGTGTTGTATGATATGATATCCCATGGATTATGCCACAAGGCAAACTCTCAAACGGCCATGCATGTTACACGACTGCGGGCAGGTTGGAATGAGCCACCACAATGTGACGGACGAAAGATGAGGCTATGGTACACATGAATCTGCGAAGCGTACCAGCGCACCAAAGAGAGATATCCCCTCTTGATAGCGGGTGGAACTGAAGTTGTCCGAAAGGAGCCAACCCTGGATTCTAGATCTTCTCTAGCATCGCAAATGAGACCATCTCACAGGGATATAGATACTAAGACATGACAATAGAGGGAGAATAAACACAAACATTCCAATCGGTATGAAGCCAGTGGGATTGAGCAATGAATCCGAATGAGTCTTGATGTGCCCTGTTTTTCACCCTGTATAGTCTAGGTAACGAACACACGTCCGTCGGCACGGTCCAAAGGCCGTTTGTTGATGGTCTCTCAGCAGTCCATCTCAAAAGAAAGGATCCCTTTGGTTTCCGCTAAAGCCATGAGACAATTGACTGCTTCCATACCCCCCATTGACTCGCCTCTCCATGTGAATGCACACCCATGCCAATCGTCGGCCGTTCAAGCGAACCGTTGCTCAGATCCCCCCTCCCTGGGACCGCGGTCCGTCATTGGCATGGAAAAGGAGTCGTCAGCGACCATTTCTCACACCTATAGCAACCGCTGCCACAGGGGTTCCATCTGCGCTCATTAGTCCGAGTCGTGGTGGTAGTTTCTGCAGCTTCTGTGTCTCCCAGCCCGGCTATTTTGCGGACTCAGTGCATATTCCTTGTACCCGTCGTCCCAGTCCTCGACTCGTCTGCGGGAGCCAGAACGGCCCGAGGAGCCTGTCACTCTCCGGCCGATTCGTCGGCCAGGCTTTCCCTGTTCCTTTTCGCACCTCAGTCTCTCCATTTCCCTTCTCGTCGCACCCCCGTTGTTGACTCGGTCGCTCCAGATCAAGTGCTTGGGTTTCCCCGGGTATACGCCCTTGCGTACTTTCCTCTTGCGGTTAAAGTAGGTGAGAGAGACGTAGAAGCCGTGGATGTGCGAGGGGATGATGGCTAGGATGAACATGACGCAGTTGAAGACGAAGTCTTCGTTCGGCCCCGTGATCAGCATGACCGCCAGCGGCGGGAACAGAATGTTCAAGGCCGTGATGACCAGCCGCTTGAAGAGTGGGATCCTCATTGTAACATCTGATTATGTCACATAGATGTGATCTGAGCGATAACCCCTTGCAACGCTTGCTGCGTGTCTGGCGTTACAGAATGGAGGGGGTTTCGATACCGTTTCGTGGAAATGCAAGACGGTGGTCGGGCTCGGACACTCAACAGCGTCAATACCAACAATGTGATGTCGAGGCAGTTTCAGCAGTTTACCTTCTGAGCTCGCTGTGGGCCTGAAGAACAGCTGCCATAGAGGACAGGCGAAGAATCCTCGCACCCTCGAAGGGCAGCGGCACCGTCATATGTACTCTGGCTCCTTGCTCTTCCAACTGTGGCGGTGCGCATTCTCACCCGTCCCTCTAACGCAGGGACCTTTGCAGCCATTTGCCCAGCTAGGAAATGCATCGTCGCCCGAGTCCACGCCGTACAAGAAAAATCATGGCACGAAGAAGTCTCCGAAGTTTTGATCGCTAGGATCGTCGACGGCGGAATCAGATAAGACGTCATTTTCCCCCGATGCTGTGGCTGAAGGTCGCTAATCGGGCCGGGCCACAACCAACGTCGACTCAACGGGCAGAGTGGCGTTCCACACCCCGGGGTCTTGTTTTGTAGGATGGACGGCCGCACAGGGTAGCTAATGGTCGACTCTGCAGATGGTGCAGATAGGGCAAGACGATAGTGAAGCAATGCTGACCATTCAGCGAGGTGGGATTGTTCTGATACATAAAATATAGGGGAATTTACGTGACAGTGCGGGTAAGAAGGAATCAAACCCTCCTCTTGTATTTTTTTTCTCGGTACTTTTACAAGCTGCTCCATCTCAGACCTGTTTTTCTCAGACACATTTCGAAACCTTCACATTCCACTGCTGGCGATTGGCAACGCAAACATGCATACTCCCTATCACATCCAACCGACAGACTATCGGCTTCCGCTCACAAGCAAAACGGCACTTCCCAGCTGGCGTCTGATATCTTCGTTTTCCACATCGTGGGTGTCTTCGACCTCGCCCCACATCCCTGTTTGCCATCTTACCTCGAGGCTGGAAGCTTCGGCAGCCTCCTCTATGCCAAATCGCTTCTCACTGCCGCTGTGTTGCATATCCCGGAATTCTTCGCTCCACTCGATCAACAATCTCGTACCGACGAGGAGACTCTTTCCCGCCAGCACTGCCCGCTCAAGAGCTGCGAGTTCATATGCCGGCAGCCCAGCAATCCAACCGCGTATCACGCTTCTCGTCATTTCGTCTTGCTGCGTAGGCATGATGCTGTTTTCGTCTAGCACGGGCTTGATTTCAACACCAGGCCACACGGATGTGCTGAGGTAGCTGATGATGGGTTTGGCCGTTCGAATCTGAATCTCGCGTAGTGACTCTGTCCGCTCGGCCTGCATCTCTAACGGCGATTCCGGTTTGCGTTCTGGTGCCCAACATAGTAATGTGTCTGTGTCTAGATAACGCATCATGGTTGTAATGATTTCATCCCGGATCTTGCCATTCCCCTGCGCTTCTGATTCGATGATATCCTGTGCTCGGGCCGCTGTTGAAGTCATCGGGATGTTGTGGTTTTTCAATGCTTGTTGTGCGGATTCGAGTAGATCCCATTCGATCGCGATAGCATGCGCCAGGTGCGGCTTGGAGCGTGGGACTGTGAGGATCGTTTTGCTCGGAGTTCGCACGGGCCTTTTGTCCAAATAGACTTGATATCCTTCCGGGACCTCTTTTACATGGACCTCTTTCCAAAACCTTTTCTTCAACGGGCTTGTCTTTCCTCCAGGCTGGTTTGCCGCGCGGAGCTCCTTGCCTTGTTTGAGCAACTCTGCTTTTCTTCTTCGTTCTTCAATCCGGTCGCCATATTGAGGCGATGTAGGAACAGGAGCTCTAGGAGGTGGCCCAGTCGCGGTGATGGGGAGGGGAGTGGCGGACAATGAGCTGGTCGAGGAAATTCCGCGGACTGTTGGCGTCGCGAGCCAACCTACCGAGGGATGGCTTTTCCAACAGCGGACGGCAGTTGATGATACCCTGAGCATGTTTGACCGCATGTTGTCCTCGAGATACTGGATGGGGAGACGAAATGAAATAGGAGAGCAAAGTCAATTGCTTGACAGCATCAACAATGTCTCGGACTTTACGATGCCAAGCTGCCTCGTATCTCCGGTCTACTTCAAGTTCAACATCATCAACGTAGAATCCCCATGGCAAATCCGACCAAGCTCGCAGTTGAGGTCAATGCCCTACAAATTTAGGTTCGGGTTCGACGTAAGCCTGTGTCGAGGTATGACCAGGGACCGTCCCGCCAAATGGGTAAGTTTAAGATGTTCTCTCTCCGATTAGATCGAAAATCAAGGGCGTATCGCGCCCTTCGCGATATTACTCTCGAACTGGCTCCCACTGTCATTGGCCCAGCTTGTTGATGGTGACAAACCTCTGCTTCGACCTTCATGGTGTATAAGAAAGGATGCCGCGCCTCCTCCACACGTCGTTGACATTTCCCTATCCATCCAAGTCGTTAGCAATACTTCTAAAGTCGACGTGTCGCCCCGGACGAGATCGACAACTATCATGGCGATGCCATCGCGTGCTATCAGAATCATCAAGGTGCCCTCAGACATTGGTTCCGTGTATTCTGGCAAATCGCGGGCTCCCACAGCCTTCAGACGTGCTGGTCTGCACGAGAAACTTGGAGCCGCGGGCTGGCAAATCGCAGAATCAACCGCCCTGCCCAATGGTCCTGTTGGATGGTCGCCGAGCGGACGGGACCCAAATGGAGCGCGGAATGAAGCGGCCACTGTCGCCGCTTGCGAGCAAGTTCGACAAGCGATCGGAAATGATTTAACTGTCGACAACGATGAGAAAGGCCAAGCATGTCGTTTCCAATTGATCCTTGGTGGCGAATGTCTCTATTGTCCAGCAATCATGTCAGCATATTGGCACCATCTGGAAGGGACGGGGAAACGTATAGGCATCGTTTATATGGACGCTGATTGCGACTTATACACCCCGATGGAATCCAACTCATCGGGCAACATCGCCGGAATGACACTGACGCATCTGACGTTACGCGAAGGAGCACTCGAGAGCATGCAGAAATTTTCTCGTGCTGACGGCTCTGCTGTCGTCGATAACACCAATATCGTCCTCTTCGGCCTGAATATTGACTCGGTCGCCAACAAACGAGAGCACTTGGGCTACCTGTTTGACAACAGTTTCCGCGTCTCTACCTCTCGAGTAGTCGAGGCTGCGCCACGCGAACAAGCACAGGCAGCATTGAAATGGCTGGAAGATAGTGTAGACTTTGTCATCCTCCACCTAGACGTGGATGTGATAGATCCCGGAGTCTTCCCTTTGGGCAATGTTCCAAGCTGGACGGGTCTCAGATTTGAAGCGGCCATGTCTGCGGTCAAGACGTTCTTGAGCAGTGAGAAGACTGTCGCACTCAGTATTGCCGAGGTGAACCCTGATCATGACCCGGGTCTAAGCATGACGAGCCGACTCATCGACCAGGTCGTTGATGGTATGAACAGTAGGATGCCATCTCGAGCTTGATATCCATACATGCAGCGGTCCAACGCCAGGTGCCCTTCGCATGGATCTTCTCGATATCTCTGGACCAAGAGTTGATGCTCACCATAAACCTATCATTTGATCTACTTACCATGTTGCCGCAGACTTCAGGAAGCAAGATTGCGTTGGTTCTGCCTCGCTCTGGGATGAGTCTTGAAGAGGTCGATTGTTAGCTATACACAGATATCTGAACATGGCGATAGGCACTGCGTGATGTGGGGAAGCTATTTTACGCATATTTTCAAACTTCTTATTGGGATCGTTGCTGATAGGAGAGCGAACAATAAGAACACCTACCGGTCTTTCGGTTGAGGATATGGGCTGGATGGAGATGACGGGAACAGACCACAAGTCAGTGGCATGGCTGTGAACATCATCGGTGGTAGAGACAGCTATATTAGCGAAGTCAACTATGAAAGGCTGTCCCTTCCTTGAGATAAGGAGCGTGGGTAGCTATGTAAGGGCCAAAAAAAGAGAATGTCAACGTGTGCTGTAGTGCGCGGGTGATCTGGTCATCAGACCCTGAGAAAACTATTTGTTCCACACCACCAGGGTTTCGTGTCAAGTGTCCAACTCTTCTTCCCGCAGTGTATCCGACCCCTCTGTCTGGGCTTTATGGAAGGATGTTTTTTTGTCTTCATCGAGACCTAGACAAATACCAAAGAACTTTTGGACCAAAAAACCCCTACCGAGTCGCGCTTTTCGAGTCGGAACCCACAGGTTAGAAGTCCAATCCGTGGCTTACCAACCAGAACCGTAAGTTGTGGTGGTGTAAGTGGTGTAAGGGGTGTAGACGGGGTAGACGGAGGTGCTGTACGTGGTCGTGTAGACCGGCGTCGTGTAGGTGGAGCTGCTGTACGTAGAACTGCTGTAGGTCGGGGCGCATGAGTACACCACGCTGCTGGTGGTATAGGTCACAGTGGCCGTTGAGGTGACTGTCGCGGTGTATGTCACGGTGGTTGTGGACGTGTATGTCGACGTCGATGTTGCGGTATATGTCGACGTGCTCGTCGCGGTCACGGTTGAGTAGACGGTCTCTGTGCTGGTTACAGCGGCAGGGCAGGTTGAGTACGTGGACGAGTAGACAGCCGGACTGTACGAGGAATAGACGGGAGTAGTGTAGGTCGTTGTGGTATAGACAACGGGAGTTGTATAGGTGCTCGTGGAATAGATTGCTGGAGTGGTATAGGTTGTATAGTAGGTCGAGTAGGTCGAGGAACTGGTGTAAACCGGATAGGTGGCGGTGCTAGTGTATACAGAGGAGTACGTGGATGTGTATACTGGCGAATAGGTTGAAGTGGTCGTATACACTGGGGAGGAGTACGTCGAGCTGGATGTGTACACTGGTGAATAGGTTGAAGTGCTAGTGTATACAGAAGAGTATGTAGAGCTGGATGTGTACACCGGCGAATAGGTTGAAGTGGTCGTATACACTGGGGAGGAGTACGTCGAGCTGGATGTGTACACTGGCGAATAGGTTGAAGTGCTAGTGTATACAGAAGAGTATGTAGAGCTGGATGTGTACACAGGGTAGTAGGTTGAAGTGGTGGTATACACTGGGGAGGAGTAGGTGCTCGTATACACGGGGTAGTAGGTGGAAGTTGTGGTATATACCGGGTAAGTCGTGCTGTAAGTTGGAGTGCTGTATACCGGATAAACGGTATTACCACGCTTCTCTTCATCAGGGTAGGGCAGCGCAAGAGCAGACCCGGCGAGCACCGCGAGCAACAATGAGCACGAAACCAGCATCTTGGAGATTCAGTGAGAGGATCTTTTTCAAATTTTTAATGGAAAGTAGAAGTTGAAATCGCCAGCTGAGAGTCGAGCGGATGTATGGAGTCCAACGGCGAGGCCTTCAATTATAATGCAACGAATGGATGTTTTTTTGATTCTTTGGTTGTTTGTTGATGGATGAGAAGACAAGGGTATGCGAGATGCGAAAACCGAGGTTGACTTATACTCACCTTTCAGTCTCCGCGTAAAGGATGTGAGACATTGCTGACCACTCAATGGCAACATCGCGGAGAGATGGAGTGTGGTAGAGGGCACCTATCCAAAGAAAGAAGCGGTTCATGTGTCGAGGGACGATCCGCAGCAGTCAGACACACCGCAAGGCGCATGAGAGAGCAACGGAAGACGAGGTGGAGAGAGCATGACCGCGATCTGTGCGATGAAAGCTGTGGTTGCCGTCCAAACAACCATCTTCGTAGCTAGGAGCTTCAACAGCCCCCAGCCTTGTCGACATGCTGATTCAGATTCATGATTTCTACTATACTGGCCTGAAGTCTGTCGCTGCTTTGGTGATGGGGGAGTATTCCCGCAGGAAGCGTTGCTCCTGGACAGAGGCTGCAGTGGTAGAAATGAATCTGAAGTCAAGTTTGACGGTTTACAGAAAACGGATTGATGCTTTGGTTGATACCAAGAAGCAGCAGGTGTTTCACTTGAACAATGCCGAGGCGCTAGCGGTGTTCACACCCCAGAAACTGATATTGGCGGCGTGCTAGTACTATCTGCCCGTACTGCACCTCGTAATCTCCTAGTAATTATTTGTTGTTAGAGCAGCATTGCTACTCATCAAGGGAGGTTTAGGCTAGCCTCAGCACACACCACCTTCGCGCAATCCGTGCACACCTCATATGCTAGATACAATTAAGGGGCAGTCGACGTCATTCTCAGCTAATCCCAAAAGTCATCTAGCTTTGTTATTTATAGGGCTGCTATAAGTCCATATCAGAACATTGCCGGCGACTGAGCGAGCTGCTCATCATCTTTCTGACATTTCTACGCCCACAACCACCCTCTCGATCTCTCTTACCTCGGATAGCCATGCCACGTCCTCCAGTTGAGTTTGTTGACACACCATATGGCGTCAGCATCCGCGAATGGTATTAGCTTGCCTCGACCACGTTCGGTTAGGCCTGCATTGTATCAGCCCGTCCATCCCGTGCGAGTACCTGTGCGAGGTCCAGCCAGACACCCTAAGGAAGGTGACGCCTGGGGCAATTGCAAAGATGCTCTTGATTTGGAAATTAACGTAGCAGAAATCAAGTCGACTCCCATGGTGGAATCTACAAGCCTCTCCGTCGTCAAGTGCTTGCAGTCAAGGACAATCAGAATATTCGTTCTACTGAATCGCGTCTGCAACCAGTCTTCCAGCGAACCAATCACGGGGCATTAGCTCTGCGCTGGTGCCCCTGGCGAAAGACCCCGAGTTTCCTCGAAGACAGGCCGTTTTGTGCCGCAGGAGCTATCCGAATTCTTCAATCCTTACTCCAGATGGTGTTATGTCTCACATCTGGGATCTTTGTCCTTTCGCTACTCGCCCTGTCCATGCCAATACCTCCGCGAAAATAGCACGGAATCCAGCCGCGGAAAGAGTGTCTGAGACGACGGAAGGCATTGGATAGGAAGAGCAGGCTGAATGGCCAGTAGGATGTAAGTCTGCCAGATCCACAAAGATGTTTACCCTCCACCAAGCAAATGATGATACCATTCATACCCTTCAGACACAGGAGGCTAGTGTGCAAATAGTCCAAGAAGACTGAGACACCACTTGTTGTTACTGATGGTCTTCCGGACAACGCGCAATCAGCCAAGACGTTGCAGCAGAGCAGTAAAAGTGGTGTGGGAGCGCAATGCTGGTAAAATGGTTCAAGTTGGTTGCCTGTCCATCACTGGCGCTGGTGGTGAGAACGATTGGAAAAAACTGAAGTGTGGACGGTGGAAGTTGCTGGGTTATGGGCTGCATGTCATCCTTTGGAGAGAATAATTTGAGGTTACGGGATACGATCTCTGGTATTGGCGTCGAATCGATCAACTTGGACGAGACGGCAAACGGATAGCTACGTAGGTACTACCTGCAAAAGTAGAGTGCTTGAAGGAACCTGGGAGCGAAGGACGGAGAAGAGATGAGGTCTCTTCAGGCCACGATAGTGTACAGCCGCCAGGAGTCACATATGCAGCCTTATTGTGACGGCTCTGTGAATGTCATTAGTTGTCATTCAAGGCTGTTTCGTCAACCCCACACTGCGCCGGTCTTTCTCCAATTCCCGGACAGAAAAAAAGTTGCATCTGCATTGTACGCTCCATACGCCAATATCCTCGCCATGGTGAGGGAGCCCCGAGAGGTAGGTGATTGTATCGCCTTGCCTTTGTTGCTCCGCGGGACAGGAAGTTTCTCGCGAGAAGCCACCCACTACCTCTACCTGAAACCTCACGACCCTAAAATACCCGACGAGGATGCACCTAGATCTTTGTTCTTGGTGAACATACCTGTATGCGCTACCGAGCAATCACTAAAACACCTATTCATGACCAAACTAGAAGGTGGACGCATGCAGCAAGTATACTTCTCAGAAAATGCACCGGGCAAACAGTCCGCACCAACAACGAAATCAAGTCGAAAGCGCAAGAGGATGAACCCTGAAGAAATCGAGGCCGGACTCGACACACACTCCCTCCCAAATGTCTTCGACGGCGAGATTCAAAAGAGCGGCGCGTCGGCCATAGTCGTCTTTGTGGACAAACCTAGCATGGAACTCACTCTCAAAGCGGCCCAACGAGCTGCAAAAGCCGGTACGCCCGTCGCATGGGAGGACATTACAGACTCAAGAAGCAACGAAATGCCACGCCTTGGGCTGACGAGATATGAACACCACAAATCACTCCAATACCCCTCGCGCAAGCAGCTTCTTCGCTCGGTCAACGCTTATATGTCTGCCTACTCTCAACTTGAAGAGTCTCGGTCTCGGGAAAACGCACGTAAACGCGCAGTTCCCGATGAGGATGGTTTCATTACCGTTACGCGAGGGTCAAGAGGCAGTGCGCGGATGGATGAGGCAAAAGAATCTGCGGAGAAGCAGAAAGAGAAAGCCAAAGCGTTGGAGGACTTCTACAGATTCCAGACGCGAGAGAGAAGGAAACAGGAGCAAGACGAGATGATGAAGCGGTTTGAAGAGGACAAAAAGAAAGTGGAAGAGATGAGGGCCAGGAGAGGAAAGCTGGAAGTCAACGCGGGCTGATCTCTTGTGGGTGGCAGTCAATGTCGCTGACTACACAACCACAGTCCTGCCGCAGACTTCGATCTGCCATTGCCCTGAACAAGTAAGTGCTTAACGCATTCTCTTTGATATATTGTGTTCAATGACGAGGCCGCTGGGGCCAGAGAAGCGTTTCTGCTCCAGTGGTTGAAGGCCATGCTCGCAACCCTGGGCGTTTGGACGCAGTGCCTAAAACAACCAGCCATAATATCTTCTCAAATCTGTCTGATGTACATTTTTGTACCGTTTGATATTCTCATTTTCTGGATCCAAGCTGATGCTGACATCTACCACCAGGGCGCTATGTACAGATTTAACCAACTTTCTGTGAGATGTTCGTATATGTCGATGCCCTACGTATTTACAGAAATTTTCGCAGTATAAATTCCGTCTGTGAAGAGAAGCATCGGAGGAATGTCCGAGTTCAAACCAAAACTGTCTTCACCATGTCCATTTCGAAACGATGTGGATCGCCGTGCATCAGACCATGGACATATGCCTCGCCAACCAAGCGATGGGTTCTCTCACCCAAGTAGTCGCCATCTGCGCTGCATTTGACAGGACGAAGAATGTACGGCACCTTCCCACCTCCCAAAATCCAGACCTCGTCACCCGATCGAAGAGACCGGGAGCCAGTTCCTAGAAGCAACAGATTCTTTGTCCGGAACAGGCGTCGCAATCTTCCGGATCCGTGCTCGATATCATGATGCAACTGGGCCAGGGCAAGCGGCGAGTATGAATCGCTGGACAACATATTCTCCACCAGGGCAGTCAACCGATCTCGATAGAAGGAGAGATTGTACGGAGAATCAGCGGGCTCGGACGCCAACAGGCCATGCCAATCGGGATTGGTAAGAGTAGAGACGGGTGTTTGATGTGGCTGGAAATCGGCATCGTGCGATGACCAAGGGGCCAAACGGTGTCGTATCTGCAGGTTGAGAATATAGTCGATGAACAAGGCTCCACACTCAGAAGGAGCTGGATGTTGCCGAGAGTATGTGTTTGTGGTGAGTGTGCGCCAGAGGACATCGAGGCGTGAGATTGGGGCTCCCCGAATTGATGGCACCGGATAGGGATTTGGGAGTTGGAAAACTAGATCCACAATACTGGCCCATGGCTCTCCAGCATCCGTGGCTTCGTGCGGCATGATGGCTTTTCCGGCGATGGTGTCAATGTGGAAGCCTTGTACTGGCAAGAGGCCTCTGCGCAGAACTGTTTCGTCACGGGGTGGTTTCCATTTCAGATGGCCGCAAGCAGACCAGTTGCACTTCCCTCGGAATTCAAGTGGATAGGGAGAAAGAGGCACAGAGTAGTCCGGGACCCAAGATGGAAGACCTTTGATCTTGGTGAGTGATCGATCCTGCACATGGGACAACAGGGTCAAATTCCGACCGCCCCGGATAAGAGTGCATGCAGCTTCCGTGTACACTTGCCGGACAGGAGTCTGATAGTTTGGCTTGATCTCGTCGGGCTTCTCTGGGGAGGACTTTGCTGCATTCGACAGGCTGAGAAAAGCATATACCTTGTCTCGAGGATCGGTCGCAGCGGTATACCTATGCGTCTCCACCAGCACCCTCAGCGACGGGCCTCCACTGCTCTCTCTCTCAGAGCGTGACTGCAGCGCTCTCCGCGTGTTATTGAGATAGACGGGCTCAAGTCCGAATCTGGTATTGCTTGCCAAAAGCTTCTTGTACGGCCCTGGGCTGCGGCTTAGTCCTCGAATATGCCGCATCTTCTCGATGGACAAGTGATGATACCACTTCGTTGCGCGGATGAATTCAATCGTCTTGGCCAGTTGCTCCCACTGCAGCACTCGACTCCCGCAGATGACGGTGGCCTTCCTCGCCAGCGCCAGCTCCTGGACCACCCAGCATCTCGAAAACCAGGGGCGGTTCATGAATGCGATTAGACCCAGCCAGTTCTGATAGCTCAGTGGCTCAATCCCGAGCTCGTGATAGCAGGAGCCGTCCTCGTCGTAAAAGCCCGTGTACGGGACATGTTGCCACCTCTGGCTCGGAACTGCTGCAATTCTTTCCATCACCGTGCACGCGTCCTGGGTGAACTCATCCTCCTCCCCGAGCCACACAATCACACCTTGCGCCGCCTTGAAGATGTCCGCCATTAGGTTGACCTGCTGATTCCGCTCCGCGAGGGAAGATTGATCGATGCACAGGGCGTCCACCCAGATGTATTTCGTCCCTGAAGCAGGATTGTCCGATCCCAGGAGCTTGCGGCGCGACAACATGGCAAGCGCATCGTACAGGTTCGCCGTCACGCGGATGTTTCGACCCTCGCACTTCACCGGGAAACACGGAGTGTTTTCTGTGATTTTTGTGCGCAGCACCGGCAGACTTTGGAGTTGAGAACTTGGAGGCGACGGTGTCCCTACGGTGGTCCCAAGCCCACCGTGGCCATCCGGATCCAGCAGACGGGGGGTTCTAGCCTGGACGCGCTGCACGAATGCAAGGCGGCGCCAGTTGCTGCTCCGTGATGGCCGTGACTCCGGAATCAACGGATAACCCCATGTGTAAGACAGAGCTTGGAAGGGAGGAGCGTCGTCGACGGGAAACGTGCGTAGAGAGACTGCTATGGTCCCGCTGCTTTCGGGGAATGGGGACGCAGAATGAACTTCGAGCAGTCGGATAGAGTTGGGCGAAGGGAGCGGGCGGTACTGGTACGCCCGCGAGTCTGATGCCAGAGAAGCAAGCAGTTCTCGCGCGTTGAAACCCCGGCGGATTCTCATCGAGGTCCATTCGTGGTGGATGGCTCTCGTTAGAACAACTGTAGTCTCATGACGGCTTCCCCAGGTCAATCGGGCGAGTCCAAAGTGAGCTCAAGAGGTCAACTAGGGCTTCATGGCCGCCATTATTACCCATTTCGCCCAAAAGATCTAGTGTCAGATGAAGGAAATGAGCCCCCCAAACCAGAGGGAGGTGGCCTGACGAGGCTGCGACAATGGTTACTATGGTCGAACGCTAGAAGGACGTCGGCTGCCGCTAACGGATGTATGGGGAAAGCATTTACAACTCCCACCTTCTTGAGCTGAGACATGATTTTGACAGCGTGTGAGCCGTAGACACAGATTAATTCATCTGGTCCCAAGTGAGAGTGAGCAATTCTTCCACAAAGCAAGGCTACACCACCAGAATTTCAAAGTTTATTATCAGGCCATCACCGCATCGATCGGAGCTGGCTGCCTTGCCTAGGATTCTGCCTCGGTGTACGAGTACTTGGGTTTAACACCAGTTCATCCTTACGATAGATATGGAAGTCTTCCTTACAGCATGTAGGTGGCCTAAATCAGTGCGCAGCACTTCAGGCTACACCGTCTTCAATTCCCGTGGCCATTTAGACCATACACAGAATCCACATCCGCCAAAGCCTCGCTGCCAAAGGCAAGAGATCTCCTCTTACACATTGAATCCAATGGTTCCAAGTACGTTTTCACGAAGAACACCCAGTACAGCTGAAATTTCCCCCAAAATCCAGTTTCTGGTGGGTGGTCTCCTGTAACACTGAAAACCTGCGGGCTCGGGTTGCCCTGCGACCCCAAAACGCGATTCAACTCGTATCACCTTCCAATTTCATTGATGTTGTTCCATCGGATAGGAATTCTGCATCCTGCACTTGGATGCAACTCGTGGCGAAAGTGGATTTATGTTTATGTGTTTGAAAAATAGGGTATGAGTGGCACAGTGGCGAGGATAAGTCGGCCAACGCATCGCTGATGTCGAGATCGTGTCCATCGATCCTGCATATTCTAGTGTCCGTTGCGATATGAACACCAGGACGTCCCTTTGTTGATATCGCCCTGTCTCGTGAAAAGATTATCTCCATCGTCGTCATCTGAACCTCATCTGCCCAGTGGACGGATTTTGGGTTTGGGGGAGAGGTCGAGCTCACGCTCACTTCGCTTGACCCGAATAGAGGAGTCTGAAAGGGCACAGTTCGCCTCGATGAGGGTGGCGATTTGGAGAGGGCGGAACGGAGCGGTCTTACAGGACTTCGTATTGGAGTTCGCGGTATCCAAGCTGGTGCAGATAGAACGCTGTTTGATAGAACGCTGTTTGTTGTCGATGTTCGACAGGGTGAGGCATGGATGCTAATCTTTGTTACCGGTATTGAAGTGTTGCGAGAAAGATACCGAGAAATGCGGCTTGGAGTCTGGGATGGCGACGTGTCGTTGTTTCGATGGCCGGACCCATTCATGTGCCTTTCGACTGGGCTCGACTCCTCTTCCTCGTTCTTCCCGTCCTCGAAGACATAGAGCTCTTCATGTCGTTCCCACAACTTCGTATCGTGATGTCTGAGGTAGGCAGCTAATCCACTGAGGGCACCGATGAGAAGGCAGACTAGACATTCCAGTACCAACAGTGAAGTAAGGATGCCTTTGAGAAATCCGACTTCAATGATTCGGTAGAGGGTTGTCTGAACAAGCTCGAGAAAGGAAAGAGGGCCAGGGTCGGGCTCGATTATTTGAGGGACGGGCGATGAGAGGACTTTTTGGCAACAGAAGAGAACGAATACAAACAAAAGAGGCGGAAATGTGATGTTTCTCTGGGGCATGATGATGTGATTGAGAATGGATAACTATGGACATTGCGAACTGCGAGGAACGGTGTTCCTTTTGAGAGGGCAAAGGATCAGCAAGGGGAGGAAATTGAATGACATATTTTGGCCTGGCAGATGATTCGGACTGCGGTGAGCATCTGACTGCAGAGTCGTGTGCTCAGCCCTGCACGTACCGTGGAGGCATGAGGTGTGTTGTTTGTACACATATTTTTGGCCCCCTCTTGTCAGTCAGTGCCCTGGGGCTGAAGCTGAGAGTTCTGGTGTGGGCGGAAGAATGTGGCGAGGGACAGAGCGGAATGCGAGTTGAAATCACGGTTCGGTCCTCCCGACGGATGGAGGTGGGAATGGCAGTAGATAGTCTCGATCGGTGCGCGTCTGTTCCACTTTCTCGTCAATGGCCACCTTCTGGCAGGAGCTGTGAGAATGGGGGTTGATGCACGCCAAAGGGATAATAGGGACCAAAAGGATGAAAAGGAGGGCTGTGGAAGGAATCCAGAGTGACTTCGGCTGGGCTGCCGTCGCCCAGCCCAGCAGTCGCTCGCCCTGATCTGGCTACTAGGCCAGCTGCGATTCGCCCAGTTTCTCTCCCCCAGATCCTTGTCTTCGCCATTTCTCTACTCTTCACGTTTCGCATCGCTGTTCGAGTCCAACATCCGTCCTTCACTACTCCGAGCCTTGATATCCGACGATATTCTACGTATCTAACCCACCGGCGCCGTATTCACAGTGGTCGCTACCCATCTCTCATTTCCCTTCCTTCTCGCTCGACGTCGCCCGTCCCTGTGGTCGGGTCGATCACCGTCAGGCGCTTGTCAATGCTCCCGTCAAAGATCTCGACTGCCTCCCGACAGTACGCCTAGCCTACGACGCTGTGTCTTCGAATCAGACAGTCTCATACCCCTAACAATCTATCCCCTGTCGAGCTGTAGACGATAAATATCGGCATTGGAGCCAGGTTTTGACTAGGAATCCATCCGACCCCCGACGGCAGACTCTATCGAACGACTGCGCACCCCCAGCTGCGGACTGTCTTTGGACTTGCTGCGCTTCGCGTCACATATCAAGCTATTCGCCACGCCTCGCGCGCTCCCAAACCTCGACTTGCCCTCTCTGCTCTATTAACACACCCTTCTTGATCAACGAGACACTTCCTTATGCTCTAAGGCATCGCCTCGAATTTCTCTCAGCTCCCGTGGACAACTGTCGCAATGAAGAGGAGGAGTTATTGAGTCTCTTTCAATGTCATAAATCGGTGCTCCGATGGGGAGGACCACCGAATATACCATAATGGGGCCGGTTAGAGATTCCCCAGGTCAATCTCCTCCTTCGGCCTCCCGATCTCTGCCCTTTCGCAATGGTTCTAAAGCCGGCTCAACTAACCTTCGAACCCTTTATCGCATCTCGGCCCAAGACATTGGTGACCACGGGCCGGAACAGCACTCCTACCACTCTGTGTCTACGGTCTTGCCAACTTCGCCAAATCTCCCACCTACACCCCCCGGGGCGAACAATGAAACCAGCCCGCCTGCTCCGGAAGAAGTTACTCCATCCTCAGATGCCGGGGTGTTTAGATCAAACTTGGTGACGCCCATCAACCAGAACAGCCCGCCAACCCCGGACAACACTCCTCCCCGGGAGCGTTATGGGACACTTCCCCGGCGCCCATTCTTGGGTCCACAGCCGTCCATCGCCTCGACACATGCAGAATCCTTCAAGACCGCCCATGAAGACTTCACGTCAGAAGGTGAATCTGATCGCTACACGCCACGCCCGGACAATGGCTTTAAATGGCCGTTGAGTTCCGTTGACAAATTCGGTGCAGCAGCCCATCGTCTCCGGCACAGCTCTCTGCCGCGACTGCCCCTGATCGAGCTTTACGGAGCACAACCTGTTGTTAGTCAGTCCCCAGAGCCTCTGGTCGATCAATATCACGTAAATGCCAATGAGATCCGTGGGATCTCGGAGGGTTACCCTCAACACCAGACGTCGGGATCGAGTGGCGACGCACTTCTCAACAGCGAAGAAATTCGCATACATCTTGACCCTCCTCAAGTGTCCCTGTCTGAGAGTATCGAACCACCTCATCTTGTCCGCCACAGCACTGGTCAGCATAACTTGAAGCGGGACAAGAGCCTGCGTGAAAGGCTTCTTGAGGCGCAGAGCCAAGACCCATCAGCATCAACCGAGAAATTTGCAAACATTATCGGTTGGAATAACTCTGTGCCAATCGACGATGAAGCAGTCCAGGATCGCCAATTGGAAGTCGAAGATAATCGGCGTTTCTCAGGCATCTCCACCACTTCGACTGTTGAAGCATATGTTATCGAACAACACTCTTTGCCTCGCCGAAAAACGACGTTACGCCATGTCAGCAAGCATCAATCTCTGCGTTCAGTGAGCTCGCCCCTACCAGCTTCGAACAGAGACTCGATGAATTCCGCTTCAGACTCCCCTCATCGTCTCGTTCACAAGAAGGCAAGATTGAGCAATCAAAATCGCTGGAGTTTCGGTTCCGAGGTTTCGAGGTCATATAGCCTGGCCTCAAGCGCCGTTCTCCCCAAGACTGAAGTGATTCGCGTTGCGGTGATCCCAGAGAGAAGCTCCTCCTTGAGCTCCTCGGCTCACAATAGCCAGAGGCAGTCGGTTTCGAACAGTTCTGGACGCTCCCAGTTTCGCAAAACCTCTGACAATCCACCCTCTTCCTGGCAACATAAGAGGGCGTTTTCTGAATCCTCAGATCGTGGCAGGGAGCAATATCAAGCGCCTCTGATACCTCCCAGGAGCTCCTCGCTATCCGCACCCACGTCCAGAAGCACGTCAAGAGCCAACTCCATTACTTCTGAGCATCTGCACGTACGCAGACAACAGGCTGAGAAGGACTTGCGAAAGACCTTGGACAGAATGGAGTCGGAACGACTTGTCCACAGCCTGAGAGACTGGGAGCCTGGAAATGAGATTCTACACTCTGAACGAATGACTGAAAATCGACGATTCAACAGGTCTTCGGGGAGTCCTAATCCGCCGTTCTCTACACTTCCGGGGAGTCTGCTAGGTGTTGCTGCAAATGAAGGTGCGGCGGCATCAAATCCGCTGGGGTTGGTGATGCCTGGAACAAAAGAATGGGCAGCGCTCCGACCACCGTCCATTTTTGATACACCTTTCTCACAACCCTCTTTCCAGTCAGGTTCTCCCGAGATCAATGAAGCAAGGGCGATCAACTATTTCCCCCACAACAACTACTCCGTCCAGCTTATTGAGCCGTTTCCTGTAGCGGAGTCGAAAGCGGTCCAAGAAGTACAGAAGCAGAACCTGCCGGAAATCGAAGTGGAGTCCCCTTTGCGCAACCCTCGACAGCCGCCTGAGCCGCCGCGATTCAAGCTGATTCCCCCTACTCCTGCCGACGAGGAAGTCAAGAAGCAGTTGGGAGCTGATCGGGCCGACTCTCTTAAACGGCCGGGCGGCTCCCGAGGACGGTCAGAATCGTTGATGAGCTCCATTTCCCGCAACTTAAGCCTAAAGAACGCCCGCAATCGCAAGGCTGATCAGGATCTTGACGGTAGCCTGCACCCATTCTGGCGGCCTCGTGCCTTTTGGGACGACATCGACCACACTCGTCCCGAATCGCAACCTCAAGAACGCTCTCTGGATCGAGGAGTTGTGAACAATTCTCTGGGATTGCCTCAGGAGAGGACGATCATAACTGGACCAGTATCCCTGGTCAGACGAATATCGGAACGGCGCAGGCAGAAGAGAGGTGTTGTGAAACAATCTAGCCACTCCAGCCTGGCTAAATTGCAAGCGGGCCGCAAGCTACACAGATTGCCAAGTTCGGCGCTGTGGTTCCACATACCCCTGATAGGGATCAAGGATATTCAGGAAAGGCTGTTACATGCAAAACAACGTAAGGAGGACGAGAAGAGAGAGCGAAGGAGGGCCGTTCTTCGACGCAGCATTGGAACCTACGTCATTTCGCAAGGAGATTCGAGATTCCCAGCCAGCAATACGAGTCTTTCACGGGACGTCTGAAACGGTTTCCGCGCGGAATACCATTCTGGCATCATCAGCTTGGAGCTGGCTGTCCCGCGTCTGGACCGTGTTGATGGGCAAGTATCTCTCTGACCTTTTCAGGTGTGGACGATGTCATGTTCGACTGTAGTATCCCGGCCCTGGTGGCTTTGGATTTTCTTTTCGGTCGGCGCTTGGGAGGATCTTTCTGCAGCGTGTTGATTTATTGCTCGACTGAGGACACCAAAGATTTATGTGCACGACTTGATGTCTTGACGACTAATGATGGGATGAAATGACGAGCTGTACAACTAGATAGCACGGCCGAACCAGATGGATGGCGATTTAGCAATTGATTTCGATACATGATTCATGTCGTCGAGCTGTGCCCGACACTCTTCGGCTCGTTCTCCATCTGCTGCCTCTTCCTCAGATTCTCAAGCACCACTGAATCGAGAAACGGTTCAGACGTTGTGCTCGAGTCGAAAACGGTTACTGTGAGCCGGCTGTTAGCCATACGTTATTCGCTGATTAAATGACTCATATTATCCTTACCGCGCTGGTCATGGGTCTGTGGTTGGGCGAAGTTGATGGTCGTACTGGAAGCCGACGCCTTGGGACATTGCTGCATTTTCTCCAATGGACCCTTTACCAGCTCTCTTTTCTTCCCATCTCCGGCCATTGGATTTCTGGATTGCTCGTCTTCTCGCAGAGTGCGATGAGAAGAAGGTCTGATGGTGCTCTCGGCACGAAGACCTTGGTATGGTGGCCAATAATAACAACAGACGCCCACCCGCCTCATTTGATTATTCCCATTCCCTGCCTGCGCCTCCAACCCCAACTCTCCGCTGGCTCACCACTCAGCACACATCCATCTTATCTTATCTCTTAGCAAAATCGATTGCGATATCGGATGGCGACCGCTGCGTGGACAATCCCAATCCAAACCCTCATCGGCCTTGAAATTGGCGACGATTTCAACCTGGCTTCAACATCCGCCGCGAGTCCAGGCGATGGCCCTGGTACCGCCTACACAAGCCCGACCCAAAGCCACAAAAGGAATGCCTCCGTTGCGGGTTTCGACAGCTCCCCAGCGAGCCTTGAGTCACCAGATCATAATGGTGACGAACACATGCGTGATGGCAGGCGGAGACCGGTGAAAAGAGCTTGCAATGAATGCCGACAGCAGAAGGTGAGCCTTGACGCGATGGAATACATGCACACTGGCGAAAGGATCTGATGGACACCGCCTCGTCGCTGAAGCGGCGCGGCCGTCTTTCCCGCTGCCCCTCATTGACTGTGCGTGGGAGTCACTGTCGTGTCCGCGCTGAATAGTTGCAATCTTGCTCCCGTCCATTGTCGTATCTCTGCTAACTATATTCCTTTGCAGCTGCGATGCGATGTTGTGCAGGAACCTTTTCAGACATGTACGCGCTGCAAGCGACTCAATCTCGAATGCAAAATCGAGGACAATTTCAAGAGGATTGGCAAGAGATCACGAAATGCAGAAATGGAGCGCGAGATCATCGAGCTGCGGAAACAAGTGGCTGCACAGCAGACCACGGGCGTGGCGACTGTCTCTCACACGAACGGCAGCGCAAATCTGCAGGTATCACCTTCAGCAGACGGGACCTTTACTTCGGACGCCGCGGCGGCGGGATTACTGGACTTGCGAGGCGGCGGTTCAGGCAGACCCATCTTCAAGCGGTTAGAAGAGGTGTCCTTGACCATCGATCGGGCACAGGAGCTGTTCCAACGTTTCTTCACCTTTCATCACCCTTTTCTCCCTTTCCTCAACCCCGATAGGACTCCGGATGAATACTACGCTCGATCACCTTTGTTGTTTTGGACCATCATTTCAGTGGGCGCGCGGCACTACACGCCGGAGCCCGATCTATATGGATCTCTGACTGGACCTGTAATGCGGCTTGTCTGGTCCACTGTCGCCGAGGTTCCGCAAAACTATCACATCGTCAAGGCCCTCATCCTGCTGTGTGCTTGGCCTCTACCCACCAGCAGCACTTCGACAGACCCAACCTTTATGCTCTGTGGGATGATGATGCAGATTGCCTTGCAGATCGGTCTACATCGTCCAACTCACGCCCAAGACTTCTCCAAATTTCGGGTAGAACTCAGAGAAGTGGAACTACAAGATCGAGTTGTGGTTTGGAGCGTTTGCAATATTGTTGCTCAAAGAATTTGCACTGCTTATGGCCAGCCACCTCTAAGCATCTACGATTGGACTCTCGGACCAAAGCCGATTGAAACGAACCCCAATTACGAACTGCCCGCTCCCATCTTCAACCGGTTGCTAATCGAGAAGTTTGTCGACAAGGTCTCGAGAACACTGTACATGAATCCACACGACCCTGTCGGGCTTGCAGCCGACACGGAACGGCCTACCTACGTTTCGTTTCTCGCACACGAGCTTGAAGAGCTTGAAGATAGGTTACGCAAGGACACCTCGCCAATCACAAAAGTATACCTCCGGGCGGCTGCTCTGCATATGAGATTGAGTGCCTTTTTCTCACCGCCCACGCTGCCTTCATATCGGACCGATATGTTGAAGCTGTACTATGCCACGACTGATTTCCTTGAGACATGCCTCAGCCTAGAGTCCAATGTCAGCGTCAACCTACCTTCCAGCTACTCACACGGCTTATCGCTATCGCATGCGACGAACTATATCTTCCACATGATGCTTGGTGCTGGCTTTTCCCTTCTCAAACTCATGCATAACTTTCTGGGGGAGCACGAGCTAGATGCAAAAGGAGCATCTGAACTTCTCTCAAGAACGGTGTGGGCCCTGAGAAACATGAGCGTGGTGGAAAACGATCTTGCGGAGCGCCTGTCGGAAGTTCTGGCCCAGGTTTGGAAAAGTGGACGAGTGCGCGCAGAGCCAAATCGGAATAACATTGGCGAGGGCGGGCCCGACGACAGTTTGCAGCTCAAGGTCAAGTGTCGGATGTCCATGTCTGTAGTGTTCGACTCGGTTTGGCAGTGGCGACAGAATTTCCATTTCCGCGGGGGGAAACCATCTGATGGTAAGGATGGCCCCGTTCCGTGCGAGGATGATGCTGACTGCAAGGCAGTGAGGCAGCGAAACCCTACCCTCGAGCAACCCGACAATCAGATCGTCATACCGGCATCAAGCATGGACTCGAAGCCGACAGTAAATGATCCAATGTTGCCCAACTCTACTATCGTGCCTGGCATGGCTGGGATGGCCACAGGGATGGTCGACGATGTCGGCATGGACTTTGGACAAGCGAGCTATGATGTTTTTGATCCGTTAAATTGGATGCTGGATGGGATAGTGGATTTTCCTTACAACTTCAACAATGTGCAGGGTAATGAACTGGCGGGCATGGAATCACTTGGTGGAGGAATATGAGCGGCTAGGGAATTTGCGATGTGTTCATGGCGCTTGTCTGTCTTTGCGGCCACCGCCGACTGGGCGACCAACGTCTTTCTATTTTCCACATATAGATATCCCAGGTGATTTACGGAAAATTTATTGTCTATTGTTAGATCAGAATCTTGAAGGCTTTACAGTACAATATCCTGGCGTGGACGAAATACATCCTACGAGCAAGATGCCATTGTACGATGTACAAGGAGGAATAACGTACAGAGGTTGTGCGGGTTAGCTAAGCTCATGGCGGTCCCCGGCTGCCACATGGCGGCTTCAGCCTCTTCAGCCTTTAATTTGACCTTGATCTGGTCCAATCTCGATGCCGCTGGTGCTGTCTCGCCTGCCTTTACGTCAAATTCATGGCCGGCCGTCACCAGCGTCACCGAACGACATCAGCCACAGGGGACTCAGCTAGCACAGAAGAAAGATCGGACAAGCGATAGATGCGCTCTGGATCCAGCAGATAACCACGGTCAGCGGCGAAGGCCAATCAGGCCTGACCAACATGCATGACTGACGGCCAGACTATTGGACGGCGACCAGAGCGGCCACCGTTGCTTATCTCCCTGTAAGCTACGCCAAGGGAGTCGAGATGCAAGCTTGTTGCCCTCCTTCCAGAAGAAGCTGCTCTCGATCTCTCCCACATCCATCGCTTCAAGCTTCCCCACGCTCGTCGTGCTCAAGAGGGAAAATACACCCGGTCACTGGCCGGTGCAGCAATGGTTGGCTCAAGGTGTAGGCGATCTCCGGCCTTCCACGCGAGTTGGAGAGTGACGCGCCCTGGAAGAAACACCTACTCCCTCTCCCAACGACCACTGACAAGAGCATGGACACTGAAGAAACAAAAGCAAGAAACATCTGCAGTCGATGATAACTTAGGGGTAGCTCGATGGGTCAATCCATGCCCACACCAGGACCTGGCGGCCCCGACCGAATTGGTCGAATCAGGTCGGTGCGACTGCGAACAACTCGAAGCACCAAGACCCTTATCTCGAAGATCGCACAGTGGGGCACCAAAGGTCGATGGATGTCAGAGGGCTAGATGGCGTCTCAGCGCCCAGAGTGACGGCGCCCTCCATTTCAATCAGTCGTGGCAATTGCCGATATGGAATCCTATATTACTTCCATGTTCCCATCGCCTTCTCGAGTGGTCTGATGCTTCGGATCTCCCTTCTTCATCTCATCGCCCATTGAGCGCCTGCTCACTCTCCAATTCTACGGACTTGTGTCTTGTCGACCAACAATCCGCAGGGGCTTAACTCCGGCAAAATGGCTTCCTACGAGAAGAACGGCTATGATGTCGAATACCAGTATCCTGTCACCTCAGGCGAAAAGCACCACTCAGTGGTCCCTCCGGACGCCTCAGGCGCCGTCCACGGAGAGTCATTCGTGATCGGGGACTCCACCTATGCGAAGTTGCAACGCCTTGCTGGACGGTTCCATATTGAACAGCGAGGTATTGAACGAGTTCCTGAAGATGAACGGACGGACAAGAGCACTTTCAAAGTTGGTACCATGGTATGCCAATTCCCCCGCTACTCTTATCCAGGAGCCTCGTGCCTAACTCGAAAACAGTGGCTCGCTGCCAACATGGTCGTGTCTTCTTTCGCCATTGGTGTCCTCGCTATACCCGTCTTTGCACTAGGCTTTGTCGACTCGGTGCTCACCATCTTCTTCATCAACTTACTGGGTATTTTGCCCGTCTGCTTCTTCTCCACATTCGGTCCTCGATTCGGCATGCGCCAGATGATCCTTGGACGATTCTGGTTCGGATACTACGGGGTCAAAATCATCGCTCTTTTCAATTGTCTGGCGTGTCTTGGCTGGTCTTCTGTCAATGTCATCGTGGGCGCTCAGTTCCTCCGCGCAGTTAACGACAACGTACCGCCGGCGGCTGCCATTATCGTTCTTGCAGCAGGAACTTTTATCATTACCATGTTCGGCTACAAGATCGTGCACTTCTACGAGATGGTCTCCTGGATACCTAGCTTCATTATTCTCCTCATCACGTTGGGCGAGTTTGCTCATCGGGGTGACTTCGTCAACATCCCAATGGGTAGTGGCGAAGGCGAGGCTGGGTCTGTCTTGTCTTTTGCTGCGTCAATATTCGGGTTCGCCACAGGCTGGGCTTCTTACGCGAGCGACTACACCTGCTATCAACCTGCCAACACCCGGCGGACCAAGGTCTTCTTCTACGTCTTCTGTGGGCTTATGTTCCCTCTTTGCTTCACCCAGATGCTTGGCGTGGCCATCGCGACCGCGATTCCCACGAATCAGGCATACGCGGATGCCTACGACAAGAACGCTGTTGGAGGTCTTCTGCATGAGGTCCTCGTTCCGCCTTTGGGTGGTTTTGGAGAATTCTGCCTTGTCATTCTGGCTCTTTCAACAATCGCAAACAATGCACCGAACATCTACTCTCTCACGTTCTCTTTGCAGATCCTTACGCACTATGCGCAGCGAGTCCCACGCTTCTGTTGGACGCTGGTCGGAACCGTCGTCTACTGCGCCATTGCAATTCCGGGCTTTTCCCATTTCGAGTCAGTGCTGGAGAACTTCATGTTGGTGATCGGCTACTGGCTCGCCATCTACGAGGGTATCGCTCTACCAGAACACTTCCTCTACAAGCGCGGGTTCTCTGGCTATATCCCAGAGAATTACGATCAGCCGAAAAAGCTGCCTCCTAGCATTGCTGCATTGAGTGCGTTCCTCTTCGGTGTATTGGGTGCTGCGATGGGAATGGCCCAGGTGTGGTACATTGGCCCCATTGGCAAGCTGATCGGGGTTGGATACGGTGGTGATATTGGCTTTGAGCTGGCATTTTCGTTCACCGCCGTGACGTATGTGCCGTTGAGATGGTTGGAGAAGAGATATTTCCACCGGTAGGAGATGGCTCGGGGACCAATGAAGCGTCGTGGGGGGGAGAGGATACAGAGCTTTGAAGAGAAGAGAGCGAAAAGCATTTCATTAGACATTGATATCACAATCCAAGCCTAGGCCTATCCGGGACTAGCCCGGTCAGCACTTCTGCTCACAATACCCCGTTTTCGAATTCTTTCGCTCTTGCTCCTCTCTGTAGTTGCCACCATTTATGCACAATGATTTCAATGCACTGCTCCCAGGCACGACGATGATGAAGAGCATACCCAGAACGACATTTGTGTAGACAATGCGACATGTCGATTCAGGGGATAGCCACGATTACACGTCCCGTCGCGGAAGTGCATGAAAGTTGATTATAAGGCCATCACAGGCTCATACGGCTCTATTCCCGCTTTACGGAGGTATCAAAGGGGCTGCCCAGGTTCTCGCAACGGACCAACCTGCGTTTCGCAGAAGAAAGAGGGAGGAGCCTTTAAGGGCTTTCATTTGTTGTAGCATGCTAGGCCATAGGGAGACTCCCACGGAGCCCATTTCCTCCAACCTTTTACTCCTTCACTTCAATGTGCTCACGCTCAAGGATCTCCACGGCTCCCTTCTTGTCGCCCCGCCCCACGGCGTCCTCGTCACCGGCGTTGATCTCCTGCTTTTGGAGGATGTCGTTCTTCACGGCGTTCTTGCCGTCGAAGATGACGCTGACTTCCTCGAGCGTGATCTTGGAGGTCTCCGGATATGTGAAATATACCACCACCCAGGCGATGAGGATGATGATGTTGATAATGAGGTAGTATTTCCAGCCGATGTTCTTCAAGGCCACAGGGTTCTACGCGACGGATTGTCAGTAAAAGCCTTCAAGGGCGGTGGAGATCCCTGTTTAAGTCAAACGTACCAAGTAATTGAAGCCGGTGATGGTCGCTTGAACAAGCAGGTTCTGTGTGCAGATGAGCTTCGGTCGAATGTCGTAGCTCATCACTTCGACCGTGTAGCCGGTCAGGATACCGTTCCAAGTCGTGGCGTAGAAGGCGTTGAAGACAAAGATGAAGGCAATGACCGCGGGACCGGCATCCTTGACTCCATCCTGGACGTACAGCGCGCTGCAGATCGTCCACGGTAGGAATCCACAAAGCAGCATGCCGGTGAGGGAGGTCAAGAGCATGGGCCGACGGCCGAACTTGTCAATCACGTACGCGCCCCAAAATGCCCACCCCATGTTCCTAACGAGTTGTGTCAGCGCCTTCATTCGATCGCCATTTTCCCAGAAACCTTGAACAAACTTACCACATTGTAAGGCAACCGTTGATGATAGACTGGTGGCGGGGGTTGGTAATGCCAACTCCGGTCAGGATCAAGACGAGGTAATAGCCGATGATGGTCTGTCCGGTGGCCTGACTGAGAATCGAGCAGCTCACAACGATCCATGTACGGTGCCGGTTGCCCGGCGTGCGGACAAGGTCGAGCCAGCTTCTGCTCCCGTTCTCCTTCTCGAAGGCCAGGGTCTGCACAATCTCATTGTACTCGAAGGTGGCCAGTGGATCGGCTTCGTTGCCACCGCAGTGCCAGTCGACCAGAGTCTTGAATGCTTCCTCGTTTCGGCCTCGTGAACAGAGCCATCGCGGGCTCTCCGGAACCCACCACGTAAGAGTGACGGAGATCAGGGACGGGAACATCTGAATTAACGACACACTGCGCCAGCTCCAGTCGCTCTGAATCGAAAGGGTTCCGAGCGTGATCCAGGCTGCAATGGTGGCACCTGGGAACCATGTCAGCAAACGCCACAAGTTTCGTCCGCGAAATCCCCACCAAAGTAATACAAAGTGTTGAGCAGCGTGGACAACTGCGCACGGTGGGTTGGGTGTGCAAGCTCCGAGACAAGCATAGGAGCGGCCGTGTATTCGAAACTGAGTCCGAGGCCAATGACACAGCGCGCCACTGCGAACATGGCGATTCCCCGCGCAAAGGATTGTAGAAAGACACCAATGATGATGATGACCGCTCCAGATATAATGATCAGCTTCCGACCAATCTTCTCGACGAGCCACCACAGAAAGAACTGCGAAATGACACCGCCGAGGCCCTGGGTGCCATTGAAGATACCAAGCTGAGCGCCTGTCGGGTGGTTGAAGTAGGATTGCTGTCCCCATAGTTAACCAGTGCCAGTCTGAAGTCGGGGAGATGGCACATCTGAGAATGACAACCGACGACTCTCGGACGGAACATACCCAGAAGGTCAAGGTCTGCATTCCATTCATGATGGAGCCGTCGAGGCCATTCGTGGCCTGCACGATGAGCACCACGCAGAGCCAGCCATAGAGCTTCCTGAGATGCTTGTACTTGTACCACGGCTTGTCCAACAGTTTCTGCACGTTGATGGTGGTGTCTCCTCGCTTCGTCCCGACGACGATTTGGTTTTCTTGGGGAGCCATGTTTTGCTTCTGTCGGTGCTATTGACGGACTTGCAAGAGGAACTGAAAATTAGAAAACACACATCTGTTCGGAGACTTCTGTCCACGTCCCTCTTGCACACATATGAAGCATTTGTGGCAGCCAGTCGACGATCTCCCCCACATTTCGAACTGCCGCGTCCGGAGAGTCTCCGCAGAAGTACGGGGGTTAATTGCAACAGCCTAGGATGCACTTTCGGACAGTATTTAGCCTAAAGCGCTTGCATGGCATGATAGATGGTGCGTGAGGCAATGCGGAAATGCTGTTAGGCTTTTCAGTCGAGAGGTCTTTGGCCGTCGAGAAATGCTTTGCTCCCAGAGATAGACGAGATGGACCGAATGCGAGAGCAGCCGAGTTGTGCCTTCCAGTAAAGGGCTAGAGAAGCTTGGGTGAAAGCCAGGCGGGCGACAAGTGTCTAAAAGGATCAAAGAGTGGTATGAGGGCCTGTCTGCAATAGATAGAAGGAAAAGTATTAACCATGCGTGGTATGCTGGCTGTCTTTGTGACCTGACGGTCGTACCGGCCGAAGCAAAGCGGCACGTCGACACACGTGAATTGGAACTTGTGCAATCTGGGGAAATGGGGATTTTGCCCGTTCGATGACCCTTCCTAGCCTTGAGCGCTAGCCTCGCTCCACTAAGCTCGTTCCTCCGCGCGGAAATACATGGAGTTGAAAGAGCCTTGGGACCGTGAAGCCCATGGAAACATCGAGGCTGGAATTTAGCCTGAACACAAGGAGCTTGTGTCAAATCTTGTGATGGACAATTTGTTAGTCTTCCAAATGGCAGAAGCCACTTCGGCTATGGCCTTGCATGGGTTCCAGTAGTAGCCTACCGAGGGATTGCCATGTACAACAACCGTCGGGTCGACGCCGCTTGCTGTTTCCTTGGCCAGATAAAGGGGTATCAGCTCGTTTCGAGACAAGGCGACAACCACGTGGCGATGTGCATTTAGCCTTACCTGCGAGTGTCTGGAGACAAATATCCTGCTGATTGTACCCTTCAGCTTGGAGGGCCTCGGTAAGTCATGCCGACTGTATCTTCAGGAGCAAGGATCCATGGCGAAAACTCGGCTCGCGTCCCGCATGCTTTCAAGGGAATTACCCAGGCTGTCGATGCACGAATCCCATCGCCTCCTTGCTCGTGGGCTAATCCGAACTCGCGGTCCGGGTTGGGGGGGAATCAGCGGTATGCTGTAGTCTCAAGCAGTACAGGTGATGTAGTCTGCTTCCGCCTCGCTTGGATAGAAGGTCAGGCGCACCATGTGCTTGAGTGCTTCAACACAATTGCTTGCGTTTCCTCCTCCAGGGTATACTACCAAGCAGGCATCTGTCGCGCATCAGCATGCCGCAGTTAGTGAGCACCAAATTGCAGAGAAGAATCTCAGACCCTCCAGGCCATGCTGCCACCGCTCCCAGAATTCCTGCCACGACACAGCCTGCACAGCAAACCAGATGAACAGGCGACTGTGCCAGAAAGGGATGAAGAAAGCGTCACATTGGATCAGTTTGGCTGCATCTAGTCAGTGTGGTCTCAGAGAGAGCACCGAGATCATATCCATATGAAGACTTCTTACATTAACTCTGTAAGATGAATCGAACTTGTCTCGATATGTAAGTCACTGATCGATGCCTGCAAAAGTCGCTGCACAGCATTTGCAGGGAAGGATGCAGGGCGGATCGCATCGCTGTTCCCTCCTGCTTATCCCATAAACAACATTTTGTTCACCTTTTAGCTATTAGGAACATGTGCTCATGGCATCTCCAGTCATAGAGCAAGCATCAATACAGAGCGCTAGCTTCGCTTCCACGCTCTTCAAGTCTCTTTAGAGCCCGACGGACGGTCCCAAACTCCCTTTTCTCGGATCTTCCTATCGAGGCAGTCCGAATAGAAATGGTGTGCTTTGACAAAATGCATCGGAATGCTTTGAAGTGGGAGGTGTTTGTTGTTGGGATGGAAGTGATCTTCATCCTAGCAGAGTGTCATCATCTTTGGGGGGAGTGACTTCTCGTCTTCCTCAATCAGAGGATTTTGTCTCTCCCGGAAAAGGGCCACTTGGTCGTCGTTCATCACTCTTTCCCCAGTAAGTCTAATAGCTCAACATCACTTCTGTTTTTCACACAAAGCTTCGCTTAGGTGCTCGTTGGGGACCCGCACAGGAATGTCATCATAGACTGTAGTGGAAAATCCAGTGTGTCTGCGCCGGTCTGGTCGGCGTCAAGGTTTCCTGCTGTTTTCTGACCCTCAAGATGGATATTCTAGTACGCGAGCTGATTTTCCTTGCGAGGAAGTCACATGCTAGCGGCACTTGAACTACCACTCTGCAAGGAGTAAATAGTCGTACGAACCAAGCAAGATGGTCTACCTCGAGATGAATCAGACACACAGTTCTCTACTTCAGCGTCGATTTGTCACCGCGCAAAGAATAGTGAGGAAGAACAGAATGCTGATCGAAGTACAAGCACGGAGTCTGTGCTTCAGGAACCTCAAGTCGACGAAGGTTGCGGTCGAGGAGTCCTCGTTCGGGGACGTCGGCTGCGCCATGATTGGCTGAGCCGCCGACCAGCAACTTGAGGCTGCGGACCCTCGCAGATTATCTGGCATCACAACGCAGGGGGAGCAACTCCTACCAGCGATTCTCCCTCTATACTGCGAACCGCTTGGTCCATAAGTTGTTTCATCGAGGCAAGGCCATCATAGCTCTTCTCAATTCTATTCCCCGTCCACGCCACCTTGTCAATCTCACCCACACCGCCAGTAAAGATGGATTTCGAAAGCCTGAAGAACCAGGTTAGCAATCTGACCCTTTACGACATCAAAGCCGGTGTCCGGAAGGTTCAAAATGGTATGTCGATGTCCTAGTTGTTAGGTGAGATGTTGACTTTTCGAAGCCGTCATGAACTTGACCGAGATGGAGGCCAAGGTGAGCCGCTTCTCCCGCTGAACCAGTTCGCAAACATGGTCCTAACTTTCCTATCAGGTCCGAGAAGCTACAAACGGAGATCCATGGGGAGCATCTGCGAGTCTCATGCAGGATATTGCCCAAGGAACACACAACTAGTCAGTCGCGTACCGCTGCAGCTGGGAATCGCAAGCTGACCGCTGCAGCCAACAACTGAACGAAATCATGCCCATGATCTACAAACGGTTTACGGACAAGACTGCGGAAGAGTGGAGGCAGATATACAAGGTACGGGTCTAGAACTCCTCTGAATCCTCATCGTGCTCATATCGGAGCAGGCCTTGCAACTCCTCGAGTTTCTCTGCAAAAACGGGTCGGAGCGAGTCATCGACGATGCGCGATCACACCTATCCCTTCTCCGAATGCTCCGTCAGTTCCATTATATCGATCAAAATGGCAAAGATCAGGGCGTAAATGTCCGAAACAGATCAGCAGAATTGGTTAAACTGTTAAGTGATGTCGATACTATTAGAACAGAGCGAAAGAAAGCGCGCGCAAACCGCCACAAATACGGAGGCGTGGAGGGCGGAATGGGAATGGGCGGCGGTTTCTCCAGTAGCAGTCGATACGGCGGCTTTGGCAGCGAGACTGGTGGCTTTGGAGGCTACCAAGGAGAGGTTTATGGCGATGGCGGCGGCTTTGGTGGTCGCGACACCGACTTCTCGGGCACTCAGCGACGTGGCGAACAGTTTGAGGAATACGACGAGGCCGACGATTTCGAGGCCACAAGACCGACAAGGAGCACCACCACACGAACAGCGGCACCGACAACAACCGCGAAACGAGATCCGCCGAAGCCGAAAGAATCGGAACAAGATCTCTTCGATTTTGGCGACGACCAAACAGCGCTGAAGCAGTCGAATGGCAAAGCACCAGCTCAGTCAAGCGGCCTGGATGACTTTGGCGGCTTACAAGGCAGCACAGCAAACGATGATGATGATTTCGACGACTTTCAATCTGCTACCAGTCCAGCGGTGACACAGCCTGCGTCAAATCCCTTGGCTGGTATTGCTCCTCCACCAGCCACTTCGACTACGACCTCTGCCACGCAGTTTGCGGCTCCAAAGCCAGTGGCTCCTGGACAGGCTGCCGGTTTCAACAACATTTTCACAACTGCATCTCCAGCGCCATCTGCAACTTCTTCAATAATGTCACCGACAACGTCAACGTTTTCACCGCCGCCTGCGCAGAAACCTGCTCAGCCCACGCAACCTAGCGGGTTCAAACCCTCTGGACCGAACTATTTCACATCAGTCCCCATGTCGACAAACTCGCAGCCGACTGCCACATCCAATGCGTCGACGCCTTTGAGCGGAGCCACTCCCTCATACACATCCTCTACTTCTGCAGCATCACTCGGCAAGCCGGCGTCCAAACCAGTCGCGGGCAAGGGCGGCGATGCTTTTGGAGACCTCTGGAGTAGCGCAAGCAGCAAAGCGGGAGTCAAGGGAACCACCGGGCCGCAGAAAGGACCAGATCTAGCGAGCATGGCCAAAGCAAAGAGCCAAGCGGGAATTTGGGGAGCAGCTTCAGCAGCAAGCTCGACAACTCCCAAGCCTGGGGCGATGGCTTCCAACCCTACCACTCCCTCGGGACAAGCCAAACCCAGCGCACCTTTGGGGAACGGCCTTGATGATTTGCTTGGTTAGATGATGTACGAGAGGTACTTGAATTTCCCGCGGACACGAAAAGAAACATTCACAGCTTGATCAGCAGACCCTTGGGAGATTTGCATAGATCGGAAAGTTAATTATTCGCTTGTTTGAAGCAGTCGCTAAGCCTTCCATCATGATTCTGGCAGATTGATAATGCCGTAGACCAAAAATTGGACCCTGCGATCCGGACTCCGGGCCTTCTGCCATAATCGAGGCTGCAGTCTTATGAACGTGGAGTATACGCGAGGCGTGATATTTGCAGGCAGGAAGACCAATGACGATGCTGAGAACCAATGCGAGTGAGACGGGATCGAGGAATCACGGAGTTCCATCCAATCCCTTATCGGGGCTCTCGGTGCGTCTGGGGTGTCGCCTAGCAAGCAAAATGTGGATTGGGAAGTGCGTGTGGTGTAATACAGGGTGGCTGTGGATGGCAAGGTCGAGCCAGAAACGCGCTCTCTACCCAGGCACGAGTATTGTGATTGGGGTGGCTCATGGTTCAGCAAAATGTGTCCGTTTGTTTGGTGCACCGTGTCCCACTCAACTCCCTGTATCAGAACATTGCCGTCTCCATTATCCTTGCCACTGTTGCGTATTCATAAGACTCTGTCCTTCTCATCTTTTGCTGCTCGCTGCTACCTAGTTGCTGCTCGTCTTTGTACAGACCAGAACTCCCCTACAAAACACCTGGTTTACCTTTCTCGGGGAATGGCAGAGGTGCATAAGTAAATGAGCTTGACCCTCGTCCGATCCTTCAGTTGCCCGCCGCTAAAGCTCTGCGGTCGCTCCCTTCGTCATTGTGCATACACTCGACTCTTGGGTTGATCGACCTTGTCGCAATCGATTGCGGCCACAAACTCACCAATCATCTTGAGGAATGGCGGGGTGAAAGATGAAATCGCTCCCCCAGAAACGCAGGGAGCAACCGACTAAGTCGTCTTCGCCCATCCATCTGGCAATGTAAGTGGCTTTCCAACCTTGCATTTAACTTTCTCTCCATTTCCCGTTTCCTCATCATCTTCTCTCCGCCCCGCCATCGATGCTAATATGACAGAAAGACCTGCCCACAAGCGCTCCAAGAGCGCCAGAGTCCTCAACCTTCTCCGCAGCGACAACCTCCCTCGAGAAAACGGATCAGACACGGAGTCGCCGGTGACCACCACCACCTCCACTACCGGACCTTTCTCCTCGACGTCCCCTTTGACTCCGGGCGATGGTCCGCGATTGAGTCCGTTGTCCCCTACCACCACCAGAAACTCTCAGTTGGCCATGGACTCGAACGAATATACCAGGGAGCAAGACTCCGCCCAACACATGAACCCAGTCCCGTCAGGCATCTCTTCCGGCCAGGGAGCCTCCATCGAGGACTCTGTTCGTACCTTTCGGGTCTTTGAAGTTCTCCGAGGCAAGGACACTGCCGCAATCTCTAAAGCTATCAGTGAATCGATACCCTCCTCCTCTAACCCTCAGCCCATTCCCGGCACTACAATACTCCACCTAGCAATCCAATGCGCAGAACCTCAGGTGGTTGAGCAGGTTTTAAGAGAAGGCAAAGGCCTCGATGTCAATGCACAAGACAAGGAGGGAAATACCGCTTTGCATCTGGCTGCTCAGCTTGGACGAGCACCTGTTGTCCGAGACCTGCTGGAGGTCCCCAACATAAATGATGCCATCTCGAACAGGCAAGGAAAACTACCCATTGATCTCGCGAGAACTCCGGAAATCTTTCAACAGCTCCAGTTAGCGCGTTCAATCTTTCTGGATGACAAGATCAAGGAGATACATGCCGCATTGGCCCAAACAGACTACAAGAAGTTCGAAGCCATCTTGACTGAGCCTCGAGTCGAGGGTACTCTTGATGTGAATGCGTTGGAGTTACCAACTGAGCCAGCAACAGTCCAGAGCGGCGGAACGCTCCTGCACGAGGCCGCGCGCAAGAAGGATATCCAGTTAGCACAGATCTTACTATTGCATGGGGCAGATCCTTTCCGCCGGGACCGTAAAGGGAGGCTCCCGCAACATGTAACCCAAGACGATCGGACAAAGGCCATCTTGAAGAAGTCGCCCGCAGCCGCCGCTGCGCAGCGAGGAATACAGGAAAAGGCAATTCTGGGCAATAATCCATCGCAAGCGAGGTCTGGAACTGGACCTAGTGATACGAGTAAAGACGCCCGAGAAATGAAGGGATATCTCAAGAAATGGACAAATTATACAAGTGGGTATAAGCTACGATGGTTTGTTCTCGAGGAAGGAGTTCTCAGCTATTACAAGCATCAAGATGATGCTGGCTCGGCCTGTCGAGGAGCTATCAACATGCGCATTGCGAAACTTCACATGGATCCTCAGGACAAGACCAGGTTCGAGATTCACGGCAAGTCCTCGGTCAAGTATCATTTGAAAGCCAATCATGTCGTAGAGGCCAAAAGATGGTTCTGGGCTCTCAACAATGCTATCCAATTCACGAAGGACGAAGCAAAGGAAGAGGAGAAAAGGCGAACGCTTGACGGTGAAAGCTTTCGCCATGCCCGCAGCGATACATCAGAAAACCTCAGTGCGACGGCCAGCAGATCGAAACACCCTGCCCAGACGCTGGGAGTGGCAGGAAGCTCCTCCAAGGTGAGCTTTCGTTCTGATGTGGAAGGTGGATCAGCATACGACTCGTACGACGCGAGTCTTCAAGGCGAGGACCTCCAGAGAGTCCCTACCAATGTTGTGACCAATATCGACGCAGAAGAGGACGCCGACGGCGACGACGCTAGCAGTCGTGAAGTGCACCAACCGGGAAGCAAAGACGCGTTCAATATCACCGCACAATCTGCCAAGCTCCAACTCGATCTTCTGGCACGGGTGTCCGACGCTTTGATTGCCCGGCAATCATCTCAGGCGGATACGAACCTATCCGATCCAGATGTCTCACAAGCTCTTCTTACCTACCAAACGGCCGTGAATAGCCTCAATGGCTTGGTTGCGGATCTGCTGAAGATTGCTCGGGACCGTGACGCTTATTGGCAATATCGTCTAGATCGAGACGCAGATGCTAGGAGAATGTGGGAGGAAAGCATGGCCAAGATTGCTTATGAGCACGAAGATCTCAAGAGGTCAATCGCCGAATCAGAGGACAAGCGCAAGCGGACGAAACGGGCTTTGAAGGAGGCCCTCGAGGGGCAATCGGTACCCGCTAGCCGTCCGGGCTCAATGCTCCAACAAGAATCGCTGGATCACGTCCAATTCGCCGAAGCGGTCGAGAATCAACTAGATATTCGAGCCGAAGCCCAAATCTCAACAAGGTCGCGCCGAAAATCTGTCACCAGAGATGGCAACAGACGCAAATCCATCATCGCCCAACTCACCAATCTCTCCGACTCCGAATCTGGAGATGATGAAGAATTCTTCGACGCCATTGACGAAGGCAAGGTTGAAGTGGTCGAGCCGCTGCTTCTTAGTCCTCCGCCCGTGCATGTTCCATCAGCCTTGGAGGAAGAACAGGAGCCTTTCGTCGATGAAAGAGCCAGAAAACAAATGGAAATCGAGCCCTCATATGCTGGATATGAAGGAGGAGTTCGCGAGCGATTGAAACTGGATGCTGACAATCGTCCCAAGATCTCACTCTGGGGCATTCTGAAGTCTATGATAGGCAAAGATATGACCAAGATGACTCTGCCGGTGTCTTTTAATGAGCCAACTTCTCTTCTCCAGCGTGTTGCTGAAGATATGGAATATGCGGATCTCCTTGACATCGCAGCCGATCGCCCGGACGCTACTGAGCGTCTCGTGTACGTGGCGGCATTCGCGGCCTCGGAATACGCCAGCACAATCGGGCGCGTTGCGAAGCCATTCAACCCTCTTCTGGGCGAGACGTATGAGTATGTCCGTCCCGACAAAGGATATCGATTCTTCATTGAGCAAGTAAGTCACCATCCTCCCATTGGTGCTGCGTACGCGGAATCTGCTCGTTGGGACTACTGGGGCGAGTCGGCCGTCAAATCCAAATTTTATGGCAAGTCATTCGACATCAACCCATTGGGAACCTGGTTCTTGCGCCTCCGCCCTTCAAATGGGGGTCCGCCGGAGCTGTACACATGGAAGAAGGTTACAAGTTCGGTCGTGGGCATTATTACTGGAAACCCCACCGTGGACAATTATGGCACGATGGAGATCAAGAATTGGACCACGAGCGAAGTCTGCGTCCTGGACTTCAAACAACGCGGATGGAAGGCCAGTTCAGCGTACCAAGTCTTTGGCAAAGTCATGGACGTCGATGGTGTCACCAAATGGAGCATTGGTGGGAGGTGGAACGACAAAATCTATGCCCGAGTTACAGAAGGATTCGAGGACGAAGCAGTAGGAGAAAGCCGCTTACACCCCGGCGTAGGAAGAGGGACCCAGTCCGATCGACAGCAGGCCTTCCTCGTCTGGGAAGCACATACACGTCCGCAGGGGATACCTTTCAATCTCACACCATTTGTCGTAACCTTGAACGCCGTGGGCGACTCACTGCGTCCACATCTCCCACCTACCGACACGCGCCTACGGCCCGATCAACGTGCCATGGAAGACGGGGAGTATGATTTCGCGGCGACGGAGAAGAATCGTGTCGAGGAGAAACAGCGTGCGGCACGTCGTCAACGTGAGGCCGCGGGGGAAGAGTGGAAACCCAAATGGTTTGAGAGAAAGGTGGACCACATCACTGGGGAAACCTATTGGGAGCATAACGGACTGTACTGGAGGAAGAGAGCGGAGAGAGATTGGACAATTTGTGATGATATCTTTTAGACGGAGAATGATGGAGAACGGTAGAGAAAAGAGAAGCCCGTGGGAAGGAATTTTTTTGGGAATGAAAAGAAGAGATGAGGACGCAGCGAGCAAGGAAGAGAACAGCAAATGGCGGGAGAAAGCTCTGTGAAACGGCCACATGATGGACCGAAGCGACAACCACCGGATATGCTCCATCTCTATACAGAGGGATGCTAACCTTTGGCCGGTGCGTTCATCCTGGTGGGCTTGACTCGTGTTGGCGAGGACCGCCTTTGGGGCTGTTGGCATCGACGAAGGATTGCAGCTGTCAGTATATTCATATACCAATATGACATTGATTGTATTTATCTACCGGCAATATCAATACCACGTTGGAATATTCTGTTGGGGGCTGAGATAGCAGCTTGGAATGTAGCGAGAACACCATGGCTGCTCAGTACTTGGTCGGACAAATGGGCTGTGACTGCTGCCACAACGAACAGATACAGAATCCACATCCTCCGTCTGGCAGACTCTTTTGTGAGGCCATCATTGTCGAGTGGGATGAAACCTCCCTGCCAATGCAGCGCAAGATCACTGTTCTTGCGAAGATTCCACCAGCTCGACCGCCTCATTATTCCTCATTCAAGCACGGCGACACATCCATCTATGCGCCCTAGCGATCTTCATTGCCGCAAGAATACCTCATCTCCAGACGACAAGGAGATTGGGGCGAGAAGTGTAGAAACAGGCAGCTTTGATGGACTAGGCAACAGTGGAAGGTAGACGGTTGAACTGCGTGGGACTTAGCTGTCACACAGCTTTCAGAGCCTCTGTTTTGCAATCCTCAAACTTCTTGCGTGCATGTTCAACTCAGCCTGAAACCGGCCTGGGCTCAGCTTGTGGCAGGTCAATCTTGCCCCAAGCATATGAGTGTCGTGTTCGGGTTGATGATCGCGGGACAACACAGCAATCCTCTGGCAACCAAAGCTTCCACTTCTTTCCCGTCCATTACGCCCCATCGCAGACGGCCGACACAGATGCCAATGGCTAGGGAGGTGTCGAGCACGTTCCTGGCCCTGGCTGAGACTGCTGCAGTTGCCCACGGTTCAATTCCAGCAGTCTGGGGCGATTCATGCAGCGAGCTTCGTACTGTCTGTCTCGCTCGAAGGACCGTGGTCGTGCCGTAGCTGCAGCAGTCGAGGCGCCGTGGACGCAAAGGAGAGCTCTCGCTCATGAAGGTAGTGTGGGGAACCTCGTGTTCGGCAAGTATCTGAGGGCAGGCAAGCTGAAGCAACGACTTGGAGGTCGGACACCAGAGCTGCGAGAAGGTTGCAGCGCTAGCTTCCCAGCCGGTCGCAGACGAAGAGGGCCGGACGCAAGCAGCCTTATCACCGTCCTTTTCTCCCAGCTCCCAGCTGCATTGTCCGTCCGACAGAGCATGCATCACACCATGGCCCTGCGCGTATCCCGTACAGATGGCAGACACAGCCGGTACCTGCTGCAGGAGGCCTAGGGCTTGCCGACGATATCATCTCCTGCGGGAAGCACGCCAGCAACGCTCTCGTCGCCCTCGTTACCTCCTAACAGCACCTCGTTGTCCTTCTTCTCCCGTCTCGCAGCCGGTTTGAAAGATAGGGGCACGCACCGAAGTCCAGCGGCCGGTGCAGAGGAAACTTGCTTCCGATCGATAGGCGAATCACAGGGTCGGCTGTCCCACTCGCCCAGACTCCTGGTTTATCGTGGTGACCATGTGGCTGCGCACCCATGTTTCGAAAACAATTTTTGGCCCCCAGTGAGCCACCAGCGCGCGCAGCAACATGATTTGTCCAATGCCATGCTTGTTTGACGCTGGCTCTCGGCGCCAGATCGAATCAGAACCGAATCTCAAAAACATACGAAAGTGAGGCTCGCAGGGAGAGCGTCGACGCCGTGTGCTCCCTGGCCACAGCCCGCCCCAGTACAGGGGTGTCTTTGAGACATTTCGAGCCGCTTTTGGCTCTACACCACCATGATCACCTGCGCATCCCGCAAATTGCGAACAAGATACTGGCTCGGCATGCCTCACAGGGGGTGGGCCTGGGGCTTGCCACTCGCTTAAGCGGGCCGTTTGGACGACTACTTACTTCAGCTACTCTGGAACTTGACCGATTTGTGCGAGGTGGACCTCGTCCTCTCTCTACCTACGAACATATTTATACATGGCGATGAATCCACCTACCGTGCAAGATGCCCGCCGCGGAGCCTTACGCCTTTCGTTGGTTTGATAAGCTGTCGTCGCAGCGTCCCCCCTGAAGCTGAGGACAATGGCCTCAAAAACACCCGAGGAAGTCACCTATGAGCTCCTGGGGACTGGAGAGACGTCCAGGGTGAGAAATCCCTGCCCCAATCCCCTCTGATGATGTCGGCACACTTTCTAAGCAGTCTTTCCATCAGGAACCACCGGCCAAGGAGCCTAACCGAAGCATTCGAAGCTTCATATGGCACAACCCCTTGATCCCCATTGTTTTCGCCATCGGCACCGCTTTTGCCGTTGGTTGCTTTGCGTTTACACACTGGTTGGGCACGCAGAAATTCGTCTGCCCAGACTGGGCGCTCGATTGTTCAGTGTCTGAGTTCCTTGCCAAAGTTGTGGCACATCTAGGCCAGGTGCAGGGTATCATCACCGCCGTCTACACCGCGTCGGTAGCCATGATGGCGTACGCGACCTTCCAAGTTGCCGAGACGACGCTGTGGCCCGCTCTGACGAAAAGGACCTTCTCGTTGTGCGACATGGATCAGTATCTGGCCTTGACCCGGGGATCACTGGCGGCGTCGCCGCGGGCCTTGTGGCATGCTCGCGGAGCGCTCGGTCCTGCGGCAGTTCTGCTCACCGTTACGGTCATTGCCCTGCTCCAGCTGGCCAGCTCCATCTTTGTCGGGCATGCTTACTCGACGACGAACGTTACCACGACTTACTACAGCAATCATTCGGATGGCGGGGGCATGGGCCTTCCCTTTGACGGGTTCCAGATGAACCCACCTGGCATGCTTCCCGGCGCAGTGGGGGACGCAGTTTCGATTTATACCTCCTGGGCCAACGGCCTCAGCAGCGAGCCCATGCCCGACCAACGCAACTTCATCATCGACCGCGCCAATCTGTCCGCTGTGGGAGCGTTCTCTGCGTACGCGATCGAATCACACACTACTATCTCGTGCTCTGCCGTGCCCATCAACATCACCTCGGAGTACTCGGACATATTCACGGTCAAGGCGAACATGTCTGCCACCGATCTTTGGATCCGCCAACAGCCGCAGCTGTCACTGTGGGTGGACCGGTGGAGGAATCTCAGCGACACGAGGGCGGTCACGACGATGATGTTTGCCGCCATCAACGGCACCATCGAGGGCGGTCACAAGAACGGACCCACCGAGGTCATGCTGGAACTGGGCTACATCGAGGGTGTCTCGTCCCTGGCATGCGACATCGACGTGGAGCTCAAGGACAGCGTCGTCTGCACCTGGAAGGACCAGTCCAAGTGCCCGCCGCCGAGCATGACGCTCTCGAAGCTGGAAACGCTCGGCCAGCCGTGCAGCGGCTGCATCTCGGTCTGGCTGGCCGCCGCGGTGGAAGTTTACGGCGTGAGCATCTACGGGACGCAGCCCATGTTCTACCCGACCTTCACGGACCCGGGGGTGCTGGCGCCCGCGCAGCTCGGCAACCTGACGGCGACCTTGCCCGTGGCGTGGACCAGCGTGTCGACGAGTCCCACCTCGTACGCGTGGCCGCAGAAGGTGCTGCGCAACTTTGTCGAGGTCGGCTCCGGCGCCATAGCCATGACCATCATGCGCCACTTCCCCAACGAGAGTGGCATTCTTGAGTCCCAGCTGCCCATGCTGCGCCTGCAGGCGCGCCGCAGCTGGCTCCTGTTTCTGCCCCCGGCCCTGGTCCTGGTCAGCGTCCTGCTGGTCGCCGCGCTGAGCGGCGTCATGCACGCCGACGCGAACCTGGCCCACGTCCGCCTCGGCACCACCAGCGAGATCGTCCTCAACAGCCAGACCGAGGACATCAAGTCCGTCGTCAACGACGCGAGGAAGTCCGCCACCACCAGAGACGCCTTGTCGAGGTTGCGCGTGCGCTACGGCATCGTCGCTGAAGGAGGAGCTGGGCTGGCCCGCAGGGACCATGTAACCTCTTTTCAAAATCGGCTCGGCTCGGGCACGTCTTTCAATGGTTCATAGCCAATATGTAATCTAATCTGCTGAAAAGTCGTCAATGATATACTTATGTTATGAAATGCTGGTATCTTTTTCCATGTTGCAACGACACCTAGCAAGACCAGTCTCGAGGGAGCTAGAAACTTAAAATAATACCTTTTCCTCTACCATCCCCCTTCAAGTCGAATAATGAGACTATGTAGCCAGTAGGCACGATTCAAAATGTCACCTTCTGCGAAAAGGCCGCCGGGGTCCCCAGGTTCTCTTCCTCGGCAGCAGCCTCAAAAAAAAGTAATTTCTCCAGACCTTCTCCCTTACCGCGTCCCTCGCACTCAACCACAACGGTAAAACCACTCGAGAAATGCCCCCCACACGTGCTGAAGAACTCAGATCTGATATGGTCGCGCGTTGATGATGTCAGAGGAGCTAGACTAGATAGATATCTACAAGCAGTTCCGGCGGCAAGGGACTGAAGGTACAAGGAACAAGGAACTGGGATTTGTTGGGAGAGGAAGAGAGAGAGAGAGAGGGGGGGGGAACGAATCAATCTTCGTCCGAACCGGCTTGGTCAATAGGCTCGGTTTGACTCCACATGGCCGGTTTTCGACCGCGTTGAGGCATCTTGTTGACTGGAGGGCACAGACGCTTAAAACCTCCAGAATCGAGAAAGAGCTGGCATTCGGGGTCGAAGAAGCTGTCTTCTCAAGATGGGCAAACCACCGACAGGCCTGACTGTTGCTAGAACAATAACGAAGCGCGATGTAACGGGCAGAAGCCTCTGATCAGCCCGCAGGAGCTCCATCAGGCAACCGATGGAGATGACTCGGAGAAAAGTACACATGTCCAGAATGGAGATAGAGAGGATCAACTTTTCATTTGCCTACTACTTAAGTATGCTGGCGCTGTAGCTGCCTGTGGCAAAGCACGTTCTTGCGGACATGTTCTGCTTATGCTTGTTGAATTGGATTCTGGATACTTTTGGCCTCCTGCAAACTGTACTCTTGACTTAGAGTTTGCCCTTCCAAGACCACCGACGTAGTATTCTAGGGGGCGCCGCAGTCGACAATGGTTGGCTTCACCTCGTGCTTCACTTGGCCAGACCCAGAGCCAGTCCCCTCGAGTTTCCTGACGATGTCCATGCTGTTCTCGTCGGCAACCTCACCGAAGACGACGTGCTTGCCATCCAGCCACGAGGTGACCACAGTCGTGATGAAAAATTGAGAACCGTTGCTGTGTGAAGCCGGTCACGTCAGTACCCTATTTCACTGGCAAAGGGAAAGGAAAGACGAAAGGACAACGGGGTTCCTTACGTGTTGGGACCAGCGTTGGCCATGCTCAAGATTCCCGGTTTGGTATGAGCCCTCTTAAAGTTCTCATCCGCGAACTTCTCGCCGTAGATGGACTTGCCGCCAGTGCCCTAGCAATGTGCATCAGTAAAATGTCTGCCATTCCACCATCTTTCGATTGGGAGCTACTGACATTGCCTCGGGTGAAATCACCACCCTGCAACATGAATTGAGGGATGATTCGGTGGAAAGAGCTGCCCTTGTAGCCAAAGCCCTTCTCACCGGTACAGAGGGCACGGAAGTTCTCGGCGGTCTTGGGGACAACATCGTCGTAGAGGTTGAAGTTGATCCTGCCTCGGTGAGCTGTAGGTGAAAGGAAAGTGATTAGCCAAAAGTCCAGACGAGTAAGTAGGCAGTTGAGATAGCAAACGTCCACGGCGGTGATGAGTAGTGGAGAGCACAGCAAGAGAGAAGGCATCAAAGAAAAGGGGTCACTTACGAGGAGGAGGAGAGGTTCCAGCGCGTTTGGCATCAGCTCTGGCTTTGTCGAGCACCGCGTCGGTCCACTCGACATCAAACCAAGCGGTCTGAACCATGGTTGTTGGGGATGAGGAGAAGAGTCTGGCGAAAGAAGTAGGTGAAGATGAAAGACGATGAGAGAGATGCTTTTGAAGACAAAAGGAAGACGAGGATGGCGGGGTTAATAAAGTGTGGTGAAATTTGAAGGAACTGACAGCATGGCGGGGGAGCGACATGGCTGTTTTTTCAATGAGGGGTGATCTGCGCCTGCGTGGTGCTGCTTGGTTTCAGTCACTGCCAGTGGTGCAGCGTTAGATGGTACCCGGAAGGTGGGAGGGTGTCCAAGGTTGAAACGGGGGGCTGCTTCTCGGTAGTGCAGTGGCAGTAAGTGGCAGTGGCAGTGGCGGCCGTGTCAACGCAACCGCGGTGGTGACGGGTGTGGGCGGGTGGTGGTGGAAGCTGCACGTGATTGTGATCGGGGCGAAGGCAAAAAAAAAGCTGCGCAGAAGAGATTCAGTCAGCCCACCCACGCCCACTTCACATGTCCAAGCGAATGCCATCATCTCCCAACCCAGTATCTGCGGTGCAGGACGGTGACGCAAACCAGGCACTCACCAGCTTGTCACCGACGTCCTTGTCTTCCCAACAACAGGTGCTCGTGCAACGACAGCGACAGATTCAACGCTCAAACAAGAGATGGAGATGTTTGCTAGGTACCGAGTACGAGTCACCAGCTTCCACACAAAGAGCTTGAGTGTTGACCTGCCCTATTTTCACTCCGCACGACTGAGAGAAGGAAACGGCTATCTGTCAGCTCGAAATGCTATCCTGCCGGGAATGCCGAAATATTGATACACAAAGTATTGTACAATAAGATCCCGAAAAGACGAGCTTGCACGTCCAGTTGGAGATCGAGCTGAGAGCTTGCTGATGGGAAGACAACAGCTAAAATACCCCTTTACTACTCCCTACTGGGTGCTTAGCCGGCCTCGCTAGATACCCACTGGCAGGAAAATTTATCCTCGCTCCGACCAATCAACGCTGCTACCTTGAAATGAGGAAAAGGGGCATCACGGATCCTTCAAGAGATTATTGTCCTCGGACATCTTGGTCCAGACAATGCATTGCATTACTACACTGGCTCAGTGTCTGATGATGCATCACTATATGTCACCTGCAGGTCAACATCTGCAGCCTGCGTTCCCCTCGCCGCATTACAAGCATGAGCGCTTAGCTAAAGTCATCCTCGCCGCTTTTCGCCGGCCCAGCTTCAATCGCCATAACTCTGGATACCAGTTCCTTGGTCTCGCGTGCGATCTTGAACGAAAGAGGCGGAAGTTGCTGGAGGAATTCCTTGTCTTCCGGAGCTTCGTTGCTAGCCTGCAACATTTGCTCTCGGCAGTCTCGCAGATTGGCAACAATCGGACCGGATTTCTCTCTTAATGTGGCCTGGTATGAGGATGGCTCGTTCCCGGTCCTGTCCACCGAGTTGACAATGTTTTCAATCGTGGCAGAAATCGTGGTCATATGATTTCGGATCGTGGCCATGGCATCGTCCTTGCGGATGGTATCGACTAGAGAGGTGATGGATTGAACCAATCCATCAGTCTGATCTTCGAGGTACATCTGTGCGCTCCACGTCAGCATTGGAACTCACCCCCTTTTGCATTCGGACTTACCTTGAGATCCTCGAGATCAGCCTCCTCCTGAGTGGTCCCATAATCCGATTTAATTCCTAGTCCGGTGCCATTCACGTAAGTCGATCCGTTGCGTTGGACAAGACCTGATCCAGCTCGAGTGTGCGCATTCCTAGTCGCGGACGGCGTGCTGAGAGCGCTGTAGATGCTTTCGACTTCGCTCCGTCTTCTCAAGGTCTCGGCGATATTGAAATATCCGTTGCTCTGCAGTGGTTCTAACGTTGGTTCATCGTCATCTTCCAATTCTCCGGCAGGTGTGGGACGAATCTTGACGGTGTGAAGGAGATCTACAACGGCTGCCGTTAAATGTGAAGCTGCTGCATCTAAGAGACTCAGCGGCGAGAGTCCGCTGGCCGAAGCGAAATTCTTCGAAGCTGTGATCAAGTTGTTCGCTGTAGCCGAGACCTTGGTCTTGAGCTTGGCCCGTCGTTTGCCCATTTCATCGTCCTTTTCTGTTGATGACCCGGCGTCGATGTCTGACGTGATTCCGCGCACCGCCAATACCACCGTTTTCATATGGTCCAGCACAGCTGCGGGATTGTCAGATCTCGCAATTTGGAGGAGCTCATCAATTGCGATCTGGAACTTGGTGACGTGAACGTCCTTGACCAGGCCTTCCCGGTCCTGAAGAGCCAATGCGTGTTGAGTAGCATCGGGTCGGGCAATGCTGAGCCCAAGTGAGCTAGCGCGGACATTGCGAAGTTGTGCTTTGGCCTTCACATAACGGGCTTTCCAGCCCTTAACTTCCTCCTCGAGCTTGTGGACATCAGCTTGCAGCTTCTCTTCTCGTTCAAGGTTGCCTCCGCCAGATTCCGCCATCGCTCTCATCTCTTCAAGGTATACCTGGCCCTGTCTGCTAACTTCCTCTGTCAGCTGCTGTTGCTGCGCCAGCTGCTCTCGCAGGAGCCCATGGTCCTGATCCAATTTTAGGAACTTGGTCTTCCAAAGAACATTTTCCCCACTGTAGTGTGGTGTTTCGGCTCTGAGCTTTTCAATCTCCTCCTTCAATGACTTGTTCAGGTTTTCTGCTTCCTTGAGTTTCCTCTCCAGATCTTGCTTTGTAACAGCCCATTCTTCGTTCTGTGTCTTTATCTGGCGAAGTTCCTCATCCTTTGAGTCCAGGTTTGATTCCAGATCAGAGACCCTTTCTTGTAGCTCGGTTAAACTGGGTAAGTTCGGCTTGGGATAGTTCATGCTGGCGACACTCTGCGACGTTGCCGATGTATCCCTATCGCTCCTTGGGCTTGTCAAAGAGCTTTCGAGCCCAAAAGCGTCGCTGGATCGATCGTATTTCGAATCTGCAGTCTGGGAATCGTCTTCGTCCTCGACCATCATACTCTTATTGGGCGTAATGGTGTTGCTCTGAAATTGCTTCGCCATTGGCCGGCCATAGTCACTCGGTGGGGGAGGGTTGTCGAATTGGGGGAGACTGGACACCGATTCCTGCCTTTGAGAATAGTTTGGTGCGCCAGAGGAACCAAAGGACTGGGTTCTGGGCGGTGCGCCGAAGCCATTGGGAACTGGAGGGCCATCTCTGGACGAGGCCGCTGGACCTCTGGATTGTGAACGAGCGCTGTCTCTTCTTCCCCCATCCGGTCTCGCAAATTGCGGGAATCGGCGTTCCAACTCGCAAAAGACGTCAGTTGACAGGTCGCGAAACCGGGGCGTCTGCAGTGACGAGAGTTTTTGCCTGGCCTGGTTTCTCTTCTCGTGGAAATCGGGTCGTGGTTGGAGAAAAGGGGGAATGTTTTGCTGTCGCGGTGGGCGACCAGGAAGGGGGGCTGAAGCTTGTCTCCTTTGCAACTCGTCAAAGACATCGGTGCTCAATTCGTGGAATTGGACGGGTGACAGTCGTAGGAGCTTATCCCGAGCCTTATTAGGGCGTGGGGGAGCCTGAGCACCACCCTTGAGGAAATTCTTCAAAACTGTATAGTGTTGAAACAACTCTGCCTCCATCCTCCGGTATTTTCTGCTTTGTTCGTCTGAGATGGTGCCATCGCTGGAGCGGGAATTGGCGATTGATCCAGCGCGTGAGGACCCTCGTGAGCCGGATTCGGACGGACGACGTTGTCCCATGGCATCCAATGATGGAGGAGCGAAGTTCATGCCTGCGTTGGGAGGAGGGCGCATGGACGGCTGAGGTTTGGAGGGCCCGAACTCGTCTCCCGGAGGCCTCATAGGTAGACTCGCAAAGGGCCCGTCATTCCGGGGGAGTTGATTGTAAGCGTTGACACCAGACCAGTCGCTCGTCGTGGAGACAGGTGACAGTTCAGGGCCTCGAGAGAGGGGCGGCATCGTGGCTTGCATATTGCGAGTTCATGCACTTCAGACTGTCGGAATGTCAAGGGACGCTCGGAGGGAGGATATGCCTCTTTGTTTCTTTTTGGCCAATCCGCGCCAGTTGGACGGGACAAGGTATGTGAGGCAGGAAACGTCGGAGGATAGGCGGCGGGTGCAGCAGTGCTTGCAGCGGGTCAAGGAGCGGACGAGGGCAAATGGCCAATGCGCAGGCGCGACTGGAATCGATGCACTCTTCGGGGGTTCTGTGGCTTCCAAAAGATGATCCGGACTGTCCAGCAGACGGCCATGCGAATAAGTAAACGAGTGTGGTGGAATTAACGAGCGAGAGGGCGGGAGAGTAGGCAAGACCGAATGACAAGAAGAGGGAGAGAGTTGTGCGCAGGCGTTGAGTTGGTGGTGAAATAGTGTATCGCCGGGTTGGAAAACGCAGTCCCGACCAGGGGGGGGCAGGGAATAATGAGAGGCTCTGACTGGAACAACGCCTGCTTTGACCGCAATTATTGCTGCCACTGGCATTACTCCGTATAATTATTGATGCGCCGCCAGTCATGGCCCTGGCATTTTTCCCAAATCCCATCCTGCGTCTCTGATCTACTGTCTGAGAATCCATGTGACATGGCTGCTGCACCGTTCATTGTACTGCGTGCCTTGACTCAGCCGCCTATGCCATCACTACAAGCATCGTATCACATTTCATTGTCTGTCTCTTCTGCTCCTCCTCATGCAGAACATATCTGCGCCAGGGTCATCGTTCCCTTGCCTATTTTCCCAACCCCCTTACTCCGTATGGATCCCAATGCCGCACATATCCACCGACCTGGTGCACTAGAAGAATCTCCACCATCTAGAAACTCAAAGGCCTGGTGTCTTCTCAGTGGCCGGTCGCCGTTTCCACCCTCCACCTTCTGGATTTTCTTCAGGAACCACAGACGCCATTTCGACCACAAACAACCCGCCTAGGAGCGCCGTCTTGCCGCTGCACGCTGTCAAGGGCGCCACCAGGGCCTGATCGAAAAGCTTAAAAGGTGCTGCACTCGCAGACCTAGACTCTTTGATCGTCGTTGATGGATGGGGGCCGCACTTTTCAAAGTTCTTTGAGTTCGATTACCACGGAATTAACAATGACGATTGCTCTTGCCTGCTCTATTTTGTGTACTCCATATGTTGTACAAGGCTCTCACTGCAACCCGGTTCTTCTCTCTGGTCCCCGTAGTCCCGGTATGCGGCCATTATGCCTCTCCCGTTGTCGTTGATCATTATGAACATCTGGTCTCCCGTCAACGGCAGGCCAGAACCATCACCTCACAACTCCCATAGGTAGAATCACCAATATATACAGTATGGTTCATTTGTACACCGTCTCAACCCAACGAGGCTCATCTTCCATTCGTCATTTTGAGCGAAGAAGGTATGCTCGGTCCGTTTTGAGCTCGGAGAAAAGGCTCAACTGCAGCCGACACTGGCGTCGTTGCCCGTGTGGGTGCCGTGCTGCGATTATGTGCCATGTGTGCCCTGACCAAGTGGCCTGCCGCGAGGGCGCTGCAGAGACTGAGCTCTCCAGCGAGAACCCCAGCAGCAATGATTCTGGCTAGTTTTCGGGCATTGTCGCCTGGGTTGGTCGGATGAGCTCCTCGTACTCCAAGCATTTCAAGCATCGAAGACTGTGCTTCGAGAATGGTTCCTCCACCAATGGTGCCCACCTCAATCGAAGGCATCGACACGCTGATTTGGAGATTTCCGTTGTTGCTGCTCGATGTCAGTAATAGTCCTTTGGTTCTCAGGACTGTCAACTTACTTCTTCATAATGGTGATGCAGTTGGAACTCTCCACATTTTGAGCTGGGTCTTGACCAGTGGCCAGGAACATGGCAGTCACAATGTTCGAAGCATGGGCATTGAAGCCGCCGATACTGCCCGCCATTGCACTGCCGATGAGATTTTTGGACACGTTGAGCTCCACAAGCGCATCCACATCGCTCTTAAGAACACTGCGGACCACATCTCCTGGGATGATGGCCTCTGCAACCACAGCTTTACCTCTTCCGTCAATCCAGTTCACCGCTGCGGGTTTCTTGTCGGTGCAGAAATTCCCAGACACGGATATCGTCGCCATGTCGTCAAACCCGCACTCCGTGGCCATGACTGAAAGGGCCTTTTCAACCCCCTTTGATATCATGTTCATGCCCATTGCGTCACCAGTGGTCGTCTTAAATCTGATGTAGAGATACGTTCCCGCCAAAGCCGTCTTCATCGACTGTAACCGAGCAAATCGGCTAGTAGAATTAAATGCCTCGCGCATTCTTCGCTGGCCTTCGTCTGAGTCAAGCCACACTTTGGCTTCACCAGCTCTAGTCAGGGTTGGGAAGCCAACACACGGACCTCGAGTCATGCCATCGCCAGTGACGACGGTGACGGCGCCGCCACCAGCATTGATGGCTTTACACCCGCGACTGGTGCTTGCCACGAGCACACCTTCGGTAGTGGCCATTGGCAAAAAGTAGCTCTCTCCATCAATGACCAATGGACCGGCAACTCCCAGAGGGAGAGGCAAGTATCCGATGACATTTTCACAGCATGCCCCATGGACGAGCTCGTAGTTGTAGTCCCGGTACGGAGTCTTGGAGGCCTCCAGCGCAGACGCAAAATTCTTTGTCGCCGGTGTCCTTGACACAACTGCTCTGCGGACCTTAACTGCCCGAACGAATGCTTCCCCTCTGGTCATAACCTCGGGGTTTTCCAGCGTCTTCTCGATGGCATAGCCTGGAATCTTGCCTCTCAGAGACAAGTCAATCAACTCCTCATCCGTGAGGAAGGCGGCTTTTTTGTCCTTAAGCATCTGCTCACACTCCACTCGCGACCTTCCCGAGTTCCGGGAGATATCCAGGCTGACTTTTCGAGGCCTGGGCGTCGTGGGCAGCTCCAATTGCGGCGGTTTGGACGCAGCAGGTGAACTTGTCGCAGATTGCGGTTCTTTGAGACTCCAACGGGCAGCATTGAACAGATAGCCATTCAGAATCAAACTCAGAGTGAGCGCGATCAAGACCCATTTGCTTAGTACGGGATCTTCGAGACTGCTCAGGAGGCCCTCAATCACCCTTCCGCCGACCACGTTGAGGAACTGATCCGTGTACTCAGAATCAAAGAAACCAAGATCATCTGGCGATTCGGAGTGGTCCATAGAAGGGTAGTCTAGCTCATATTTGATGGGTGGGAGAACGGTGACATAGGTATCGAGCTTCTGACTCTTCGCAGCCACGTATATGGCGTCCAAGCCGTTTTCCGCCACTTTGAAAGGGTCGATAGGGGCTGGTGTCAGAACACTTGGAATAGCAGCCCCAGGCGCTTTAATGCTTCGGGCGGTCCGGAAAGGTATTGTGCACAGGTTGATCACGTTGATGATGACGAAGCCCGTAACCATCCAGATCTTAAACTTGGGCACACTGCTGGCCTTGATCTTCTGCCCGAAAATGTTGAAGGCACCAGCTTGATTTGGCTGCCCACTGGGCCAGTCATTGTTCGTCGCAACGTCTTCAGCAACACGTTGGTTTATTCCGTCTTCCTCAAGCGCTTTGCGAAGGGCAACGTGTCGTTTGATACGATTGATCTCCAGTTTGATGCAGAGGATTGTCGTATAGAAAGTAAAAAGCAGAAGGCAGTCAAAAACCAGGATCCAGGCAGCCAAGAAGCAGAACTGTCTGAGCCCGCCCTGAATGCCCGAAGCCGCACCCAAAATGAGGATTGCAATTTCGATGGCATAGTCCCGGACGATCTCGAAACCTGTTTCCTTAACAGCGATCTGAATGGCATCTTGAATGGAGTTCGGGGCGGCAGGGGCGGCCGCTGGGCCGCTGGCACTGCCATTCGCCGACCCATTTTCCAGGCCTCGCCGGTTCTTGTCATAAGACGCAGACAAGACAGCCTTTGTGAGGATGATAGACTTTTCAAACCCGATCGTGACCACCAGAAAAGGCAGACCTTCCGACAATAGGACCATGTTGATTGGCACTCCAAGCTTGGTTGTCGTCACCAATCCGAATAGGAACGCGAAAAGGCTGGAAAACAGGACCGATACTGCTAACCACGCATTCGAGCCCAAACGTTTCATGGAGAGGAAAAGCGAAATAAAGGTGAGGTGCATGGACAGATAACCAAGCGACATGATGATGATATCCAATGTTTCGGCATGTTTGAGCAGATCGACAAATGAGGACCATCCTTCACTCAGCCAAGTTCGATAGGCACCACGAGGACCATTTCCATTCAGGCGGACAGCTTTCATGGTCCAAGATGGGCGCCTTTGGTCGTCTGATTCATGTTGGGCAGGAAGCTCCTGGACAGCCCGCAGGAAATCAGGAAGCTCTAAGAAGGAGGTGTAAAAGGCCAAGGAAGTGTCGTGCGATATAGGTGAGAGCAAGTTTGAAGTGGTCGGGATGCTGTTAGCCGTGACATTCGCCGGTACCGGAACAGCATTGGCTTCGGGAGCCAGCTGAGACGACGAAGAATCCGGGAACACGAAGGTTGTCAAAGCGTAATGGTTTGAGCCCTGTCGCGCAAAATGTCAGCATTACCAGCATCTTCATGTCATGTATGATCCGAGTTGGCATACCAAAGGCGCAAGGGGGATGCTGGAATCGTCGGGGAATTGCCATTTCCAAGCCGTTCTCTCAGATAATTCCAATGTTCTGCTTCCTTGTAACAATGCTTCCACGTCTACTCTTCCATTGTGCTGCAAAGATTTGATGCCACTGTCAAACAAGCTCTCTTGCAGCAGACCGACATAAGAGGTACTGGCGAACAACGCGATTGCGACAACGGTGTGGATTGGGTGTTGACAGGCAAGGTTGGAGATAGCAAGGAGGTTGGAAGTGACAGTGCGATTAAGCCAGCTATCGGTCTTGCCCAGGGAGCGAAGTTGTTTAGGGAGGAGATGGGAGCCTCGCATTTTGAGGAAGTGCGCAGTGGTGGTCGGGGACGGCAACAAGGACGGTGGGAGGTGGGACGAGGGAGAAATGTTGACGTCTATCTTTCCATGCTCGGAAGGGCCGCACAAATCCTGGATGTCACTTTGTGAGTTGCACGAAACAAAGACAAAGGCCAAAGAAAGGTCGAACCTCAAGTGGCGGTCAAGGAGGGCAATATCAAGGAGGCGGCCACATACCAATGTAGTTGGAGAAGTAGAGACTGCGGTTTTGTGTGTTTTCAAGTGTGCAAGCGAGGGTAACAACAGGTCACTCGGCAACGAATGAAGGCTCAACAGAAAGATATCATGCGGGATGAGGAGGGAGGAAGAGGGAAGTAGTAGCAGGAGAGAAGTATAGGTAGATACGAGGCGGTCATGGGGATTGAAGCCGTGAAGTCTGCCAGACCATGGATCCTCTGGTGCCTTGCTCATAAAATTTCCAGCAGGTTTGTTCGGGGGGGTGTCCACGGCCCACTGGCGACTACTTCCCGCCTGCCAGTCTGGGCTGGGGGCTTCTTTGGTATCTTTGGGGGGCTGTTGGGGCCCACACCCTGAAGGACGTCAACTCGCCTGATTGGGCCGCTTCATCAGTTTTCACTGCCACAGCTACCAGGCCGGTGGCTCTGATTAGGGGGCGAGACGACGCTGAAGATCAATCAAACGCAAGCTTGCACTTGTGGGCCGATTCGGCATCTCAGATTTCTCCTGGTCGTCCCCCAAAGACCAAGTCGCCATGACGTGTGGCAGAGAAGGCTGGTGGTTCTGAACGAAATCCGTACCTGCATGAGATGCTCACTTCTGTGCCACTGATCTGTCGTCACGCATATGTGACTGGCAATCACTGCCCACTGCCACGCGTTTGGTTGCGTCGCTCATCTATCGACCTGCACCGGACTCTGGATCCGCGGGATGTTGACTCCTCCTCGTGACCCTTGTTCGCAAATTGCCTGCAGAATTTCACCCCTTCTTCCAAACCGCACCATTATGCTGTCCAGCTGCTCATGGCTGGAGCTCCTCGATCAATTTCACCTTGATAGAAGAACAACTACGGAGTATGTGACCAATAGAAGAAGTGTTCATAGCCCCTATCCTTCTAAATCAGATGTAACTCCGACTGACACAGCAAATAAACAAAGGCTTGGGGGGATTCGTTGCTCATGTCCACCTGCTATGCTATTGGTGGTTGATGGAAGTTGATTGTCTCTTTATCCTTGACAGATAACAATTTCTTCGAATGTTCAGGATGGATGGAGGTCGCATCAAGACTCAAAATGACCTTCTTGTTGCTCGCGGTGCGATTTCTCTTTCCTTTCTTCAATGCAAAGCCGCGAAGAAGAGTTGGTGGAAAGTACGTGGCACGAGCCAAAGTCCTCTTCTTTTGTGGGCAATAAGATGTGTATAAATAACACTTCTTTCTCCCATCAATCGGCTTCACTTGTCCTCGCTCTTCTTGTCATACGCCGGCGGAGTCGAGTCGACCTGCCACATTCCGCTATTCTGAAAGCGCCACCTCAGCGTGCTGAATTCATCCCATGGGGCAATATCGATTCGTATTGTTCAGGGACGCCCAATGTACTCATGAACAGGGCATGCCAGTAGTGATATGATCCTAGCGCTGAGCAGAGTGAACAGACGATTGCAGTATTGTCATCGCCTGACCTGCGTTGAGGCATGCGAAGTTCTGTCCAGTAGTGGCGTGGTTAGCTATTCTTCTCAACTGCTGTCCTTTCCAGATATATATAAATCCGAGCACTTCGTATTGGTGGTAGTTCCGGTTCCATAATCGCAAGACACGAGCTCCAGCGGCAGCCAGCACTCAAGATAATCCCCAGCATGGCTCTTTAGACGCAAGCGGCGCAGTATGCGCAAATCCGCCGCGACGAAGAGAATAATGCGAGGGATGAAATGTGTAAGCTTATCCCAGGACGTTATTTCGATAGTTTGCCAGAGGGCCAGACCAAAGACAGCCCTTTAGCAAAGACGCTCAAGGGTGCCATCGCCTACCTCAAGGACACCGGCCACAGCAGTGCGAATGGAAAGAGCCAGGCTAATGCTTCAAAAGTAAGTACTGCCACCAGGAAGATACCACAGCCAGTATCTGCGTTGCCTGAGTTTTATTGCCTCCATGATGACTGACATCCTCATAAACCAGCCAGGATTTTAGGCCCCTTCGATCACGGACGCCCCCATGGCTTCGCAACCGCACGGAACTGCGTGCCTTGCAACAGACAATGACCATGCTGACACAAGTCATACAGAGTCGTGCGATCGAGCAGGGAGCGCTGTCGGAAGAACTGAAGAAGTCGATTGGTGAGGAGAATGATGCTTTGATAGACATCATGTAGAAGGTTGAGGGAAGGCCAGAGGAGATAATCGGCTCATTTTGTTCCAAGTGTCCAAGGCAGTGGTTTGAATCGATAATTTGAAAAGCGTTTTCGCGTTTGCCTTCCGTCTGGTCCTCCAGTCGCTGGCCCTCAGCGATCCAACACTCAGCCCAAAGTGTCTCTGCAGACACTATCCATACGCCCTTTCGTGTCCATCGTACTCATGCGACCGCAATCTTCAACAGCGAATTCTCTAGGGCCAATCATCTCGTGCTCAGCGTGCAGATGGTCGAATCTTGAATCCTCATAAATCGTAGGCCTCCGGTCAGTGTGTAGAATGATTCAGTTCCTGATACCGAATCGAGTACGGCGAGTTGATGTTCCCTGTATCGACAGACGAGGGCCCAAGGTCCATGTCATCAATCGTGGCGTGCATCATCTTATCATCCCAAAATCACCTCCGACTCATCATGACTTTGGCGCCATGCTTCCGGACCACATCCTCCATCTTCCTCCTCACCTCTTTACAGCCATCCACGCCGGTGGCCAGCATGGCTTCCACCTTCTCGCTACCAGCTGCGATCTCGACTCGTGACTCCATCATCAGCACCGACACTTTATCCTCCTGCTTCTCGCCCCCGGAGACCGTAGCTATTGTGAGAAATGCCAACTCTTGCTCTTCTGTGTTGTTCAAATCGAGCATTGGCTCTGCCTTTGCCTTGGAATCGTCCGTAGGAATAATAACCCCGCAGCTCACGGCGGCGAGGATGCTCGGCATGGGCACCCCGGCATCGACCAATGCTAGGCTTGCGGCATTCAAGCACGCGACGAGCAGCCCTCCATCAAGGCTCAAGACGTGCAAGGAGATGGTGATCAGAGAGCGCGGATACAAGTGCGTGAACAGGTGGGATTGAAATGACGAGGAGATTGTGGACTGGAGTTCTTGGATTTGCTTGTCGGTGCGGGTTCGCCGGCGTCGGTCCATTGATGCAAACGGCGCGACGTTCAAGTCGGTTTCGACGAGCGCGTTGTTATTGTCGCGTTGGCCTCGTCTGTGAGCACGTAGATGTTAGCCCTTCCACACTCTTCGGTGAGGAATGTTCTCTGCAGGGGAAGGTTCAATCGCACCCTTCTCTTGGTCCAGTCACGGTGCAGAGAACTACCGTGTTACCCATAGTAAGCATACTAGACCCATCACTGGAAGGCTGAGTTGAAATTGAGGCAAAGATGCGCCGCAGCTCATTCCACCGTCGGCCGTCCTGTCTGAGCAGGGTTTGCGAGTAAGTGGAGATTGTGTCGAGAGGCATTTTGCTCGAGAGGCATAGATGATAAAGCCAAGGTGCAGAAGAGAGACAGGACAGCCGTATTGCCTGGGGTCAATAGCACTGTATCTGATGAAATATTTGGTTACATAGCTCGGCGAATTCAGTAGCGGCGCAGCACAGTGCAAGAATTGCGGTCAAATTTGAAGGGCACAAGAAATGATTGGCGGAAGCTTAAGTTTCCCCGCAGCGGGTTACCGTGCGGGGGGTCGGCGACTTCAACGCACCGAGCCGACGTCAGGCTTTTGAGAAAGGGGTACTATAGCAGCAAACAGACCTGGTTCACCAGTAGCTATGAGGTCTTCCTCTGGGATAGCAGTATTGAATCTGCTCTTCGGTATAGCGGGAGCCCCATCCTTATGAATAGTATAAGCTGTCTTTGGTGTGGCGGCCACCTCGGCCTGATGGAGGACTCACATCAGGAATCTTGCGCATGCTGATCACGGCCGATTCTCTCGCAACTCCTCTACATGTGTTATCTGCCCAATATGCTTGGTCTCGGCCAAGTCCTTGCCCATTGCCTCTGCAGCATAGCTTTCCACACCGGTGCAGACATAGCCCTTGAATTTCCGTGCCGGCAGCCTCGCCTCGAACATCTCGTGGATCTCCTCCAGGGTACGATCTCGTGTCTCGGGTAAGAAGAAATAGGTGAAGATGACACAGACCATGTTGCTTCCGAACCAGATGTAGCCGTACTTGGCGCTCCAGCCGAATTTGGCCGGGTTTATGAAGTAGGGAGCAGAGAAAGTCCCTGCCCAGTTTCCCAGAAAGTTCATTGCCGTGGCCAGGCCGAACGTGAATGCGCGGAGCTGATTGTTGACGTATTCGCCACCGAGGAGCCAGGCGTAGGGAGCTATATTGCTGTCAGTTTTGCTCTAATCCATCTTCGTTGGCGAGAGACAAACCGTAGGCAACATAGAAGAACGTGAAGAGGGAGATAAAGGCAACAACCACTTTTCCCGTGGACTCGGTTCCCGGGCTTGCGCTCCATGCGATTGCCGGGATTAATTGGCAAATGGCACAAGCTGTGATGCCAATTAACAACACCAGGCGTCGATCGATCAGTCGCACGAAGAAGAAACTGAACAGCACACCGATCAAGCCGGTACAGGTGACCATGACAGAGTACCCAAAAGGGTTCTTGACGCCTGCCATTTGCAAGTAGTAAGTGGTGTAGATATTAATCTTGTGTCTAAATCAGCATTGTGCATCAGAAAAAAGCATCTGAGAGATATAGAGACATACCCAGCTTGACCTGTTTACATATCAGCCTTGCCCAGAGCAGCAAGAGAGGGAGCACTTACCCGTTGGCCGAATGGAAACACACGACGGCAATGGAGAGGAGAGTCCTGCGTAGATTCGTGCCTCGCCACATCTCCAAGAACAGGGCTTTCTTGTTCTGTTCCAGTTGTTCCCTAGTCGACTGTCGGATCTCGTTCAATTCCGCCTGGAGCTCGAGTTCATCGATATTCGAGTTTCGAAGTTTCCGCAACGCGGCCTCTGCAGCTTCCTCTTTGCGCTGGACCATCAGCCACCTTGGAGACTCGGGTGCGAAGAGGAACAGAAGAATGGCTTGGAGAGTCGGGGCCACAAAGAAAATTGCCAAGGGAATCTGATATGCATTCCGGCCGGTCTTGGTATGCGTCCCAAAGTCGACAGCTGCACCCACAATGGAGCCAATGGAAAGCATGACTTGATACAACCCGAACGAAATGCCTCGCAAGTGGGCGGGTGCTGCTTCATGGACGTAGAGTTGGGCGAATGTTAAGAACCAGCCCACGGAGATACCTCGGAGATAAGTCAGCAGGCAAGACACGGGAATACTTGTTAAAGGAGCGCACCCAAGATGAGACGGGCAACATAGAGAGCTGCCTTGCTCTTTGTTCCCATCTGGATGCTGGTAGCCACGAAGTTGAGCAGCGTGGCGGCCCAAAGACCCTGCCTTCTCCCGAATTTCGCGCTGAAGGGTCCGACCAGTAGCGACGAAACAAAAGTACCTATCGTCATCAAGGAGGATATCAACTGCTGGACTGTCGGATCAATGTTCCATTTGCCCAGCTCCTCTGAGTAATAGCCGAAGACCTTGAGGAAGCCGGGCATTGAGAGAAATCCGCCCACGAGTGCGTAGTCAAGACCGTACTGGAACGTAGCCATAGTCGCCACGGCACATATGGCGAGACATTTGGCGTGACTTCGCACATCGAGCTTGAGCGGGTTGGCAGAAACAGGAGCACCGCCAACCATATTGGAAACAGACCGTCTCAAATCGTGTTATTAGTCTGGTTCGATGGTCGAGGTATCCGCCAACAAAGCTGAATATTGGTTTGGTTGTCGGCCAAGTCAGCTGAAGCAGCAGACCAGGAACAGCATACACCTTTTCTTGGGAGCGAGAGCCACAGTAGATATATGGCGGGATTACCCATCGCATCCACAGGAAGCGTTGCCGGAACCCCTGCCACCTTTTGGAGTAGGGAGCACGTTGGTGGATGCCCGAATATGGAGTAACATGGGGAAATTATTGCGGAGGAGGCCCGGTCAACAAATCATCAACTAAGACATCGCGTTCAACATAAAGCTCACGGGGAATGACCGGGCTAGCTCCTTGGTATATCCATCAAAGCCTTGTGGTATCTCAGAGGACCCCCAGACCTTGAAGGACGATCACCAACTGCCGAAAAGTGTGGCGTTCAATGTCTGATCAATCCCACATTTGACGCTTGTTGAGCGCGTCCTCCCTGGTGCCAGCAACGCAGACTCGAGACTCCTATATTCGCGAACGGCATACATCAGCTCCACAAGACGGAGCGCATGCTACTTGGTCGCAGACATGGTGGTCTGGCCCCTTTCCGTCTCGGTGTCCGTATCCGAGGTGGTCGACTCTCGTCCGCTGCAGCAATAGAGAGCCTAAGGTCGCGAAGCCCACGTGGTCGACGAAGCGGTCACGCTCGAAACGCTCGAAACGCTCGAAACGCTCGAAACCCACTGGTCGGGCTCTGGGAAATCATATCCAAGAGGCAATACCCATGGGTGTTTTAGGTGGAAGAGGTTTGGACGTCTCTGACGCCGCAAACCTTCATGGAAGACATTCTCAGCCAACACTTGCGATATGGGCGAAATATCGAAACAGTCTTGTTTGAGCTCTACACTTACCTCCTCTCTGTTCATGGGACTCTGTTAGTCAACTAAAACGCACAATTAGGCTACGGGTAAGGCCCGGTAAGAACCAGGAAGGATTCGCTTTCTCTTGACCCTCAGACTCGCTGTCACACCTTCTATAGAGTGTTGATCTCAATATAAGGAGAGTATCCAAATTGAAGTGTGACTGGCTTATCTCAGAGCTCAACGTCGCAGAGGTGAATGGGGTGATGGGAGGCCTTTCACCATGGGCGATGATTCTCTCCGCCCATGGTGGTCACTACAGCATGTCTGCCAAACAGTGAAGTCCCTTGAACGACTGCCCACCATATCTGGGGAGTCATTCGAGTAACACTGTCCTTGATGCTATTCACGTCAAAACCAGATTTCTCTCATACTTGGCAAGAGCTGTTTATTCACAACATGTGACTCACGAAGGTCGAGAATCACTTCTCAGATTCGCATGCTCAACTCCAATTCGCTCTCACTTTCCTTTCAATTCGCTGATTTCTCTTCCCTCAAAGATTTAATTGTTCCCTCAGACTATCATCAAAGGCATTGATTTACAACACAACTACTTGCAGCTCCTTATCCAGGACCCTTGGTCGCCAAAATGTCTGCTTGCGGTGCTAACGAGTCTCCTGGGCAGGAAGACACTCAGTCGTCTCGCCCGCGTGCGAATACCGAGCCAACACCGCAACCCCAAACTTCCGTCCGGAATAAACCAGCTCAAGGCAATGTTCGATCCCCTGAAGACTCTTTCAGACAAGGTTCTCAACTGGCCAGTCCTCAGTCAGCAGTATCATCCCCTACGGGCGGGCCGGGTCTTCACCAAAGAATGGCAGACCTGCTTCAAAATTTTCCTATTGGTTTGACCTATCAATGCAAGACTTCATGGAAATTTTCCTTTCCAAACGCTTCAGATTTCACGCTTGAGCGTGGCGTGAGAGGGAAAGTGCTCGGCAGAAAAAAGACGCCTGATGCCCAGAACCAAACCCTTCCTTGTTTGCTTCAGATCGAGCTCCCCACCACAGACGGCATGCGAACTGGGAATATACCTGAGGACAAGGTCACAGTATGGCCAGAGGGGTTCCCGTTTGTGTGTATATTGGATCATCCTGCAAGCCACCCAGGGTTGTTGGCACTCCAGAAAGGCGATCAAGGACAAGTTCTCCGACTGCATTGGGGCAAGGGTGACAAAGGCAATACTCTCCAGGGGCAGCCAAACCATGTTCCCTGGTTTCATGTTTACTGCAAGGGGCGGCAAGGCTACGTCAACTTCTGGGCACTGGAGATTGGCCGAGTCAATGCTATTGGGATCGTAACCATCGTTCACGATCCGTCTGCCTCTGTTACTGCTCCCTTCTTCGGGCCCTCTGATGGTCTCAATAGGACACTACCTATGAATGAGGAGTTCGCTGGCGCTAACGAAAGCGTCGAAGTGATGACCTTCACGAAGTCAACCCTGCCAGGTCGTGTCAGTGTGTATAGCCGTGCGCCTTACAAAGCTATGCAATCCATTACCACCGACAAGATTGTCCTGTATGGTTGGGACGCAATTCATTCATCAGACCATCGACATCATTTTACTATTGCGGTCTCACATGCCAGCAAACACAAATCTTTGGCCCGGATTCAACCTGGAACCGTGATTTATCCTTCATTTGAGATTTCCGAGGCTGGGCCTCATCCAATGCAGTGGGCACGATTGCCTGAGTTTGGCCCCATATCGAATTGGCAGGAAGCCAGGCGTTTGGCATTTTGTGTCAAATTCCAGCGCCCCGATCAAGAATGGGAAAAAGTCTACATACAAGCGTCGAAGGTTTTCGAGTTCGCTCCGGGCAGTGGCTCGACTGGATTCGAAACAACTGCCAGCACCAGGGCTCCAGAGGGTGTTGTTCAAGCACCAGACAAGCTGACTGGAGCGCTGATGAACTATATACAAGCTGTTGGGCTCATTCGGTCCCTTGAACAGCAATACGTTTCGAATGACTACGATTGGATGATCGACTTCGGAATGCCCTCGATCTTGGAGGTGACTCGCAGTTTCCTTAATCAAGAGATCAAGATCAAGCCTATGACTGCATCCAATGTACCGGTTCAGCGAGCGACAGCGGTACCTTTCGCACAAATGAAGATACGGCTCATCAGTGCTGGTGCGAGTTGTGTTAATACTTGGGTAGGCCAAGTACCTTCGAAGCGAGACCAACCGCGTGGGAAATGCGATGCTTGTTACATTAGCAGCGAGGATGCAAGCACTGAAGAATCAATCTGGAAATGTACAAAACATTCGAACAACGGATGCACGAATTGTTTCCAGAGAGGAATCCCTTGCTCCTGGACAAACCTTGAGGATGCCCCAAACCTTTGGACTTTACTTGGACCGGTCCCGGAGAACCCAGACAATGTAATTCAGGGTGAGGCTCCAGAGTTGATGGAGCTATATTATGGCAGGGGATAATCTGGAGATCAGGTATCGCGGGTCAGAGCGAAGTCTTTACAGCGGCAGCGAGCGATGATGGAAGGAAATGGAGCCGATGCAGCGCTGCCATCGCAAGGAGAACAAGCAAGCTGTTATGCCAAAGCAGAAAAAAAGGCCCCGGAAAAGCCAAAAAGCCAAAACAAAAGGACAAGCCTGTAGATAGCAATTGGCTCTGGTGATGTTCACAGCCTAAAGCTGTTGAGGTAGATAGAGAACAACCTAAAAGGGATGTCTGATTAGCCCTGCACAGCTGTGGATTGGGACAAGGCAAGTTTAGAGCTCGAATGAAACATTGACACAGTATATGGGCCAAGATTGGACAGTATAACTGTGTTGAACATACTTTTATTCCGCGTGATTTTCATAGAGCTCTGCTTTTCACCAGGGCTCTGGCATTCATCCGAAGAAAACACACAATTGTCCAAACATCCCGTGACACAACATATTACAGCGGGGAGCATACATGTCGCCAACCGATACCAAACCGGGCACCTGCAGATTGTGCACAATCGTCCAAGCTTGAGAGAACAACGGCTCTTTCTTCACCACCACGATCGACCATCGTCCTAGGCTCTACCTCGAGCCGCTGATGCAAGAGCTCCGACCCAGACCAACTGTGGGTTCATGTTCCTAGCGATACACAGGAGGAGCCTGGTTGTTCGCATAGCTCTCCAGGGGGATGCCGCCTTGGCTGTATAACGGCAATGGAGCCTCTCCCGTATAGTGAGGCATCTCGGATCGGCCCTCACGGAAGTTAGCCGCAGCTTGTGTATTCATTGGCGCCTTTCGTTGTTGCTGGCGGCGCTTGAAAAACGTCACGGTTCCGACGAAAATGAACATCAACACCATCGCAACGGCAAAGACGATGGCTGCACGGGTGTTGTCGGCGAACCGGAATCCAACGATACAGTTGGCCAAACCCAACGTTATCGTGGCGGGACCCAGCACACGATGTCCTTTCATGATCTTGGCGGGCTGCTTCGTCCTCTTGTAGATGCGATGCCCCACGAATCCGACGACCCAGGTGACAAGACCGAGAGCGACAACGACGAAGCCGAGAATTTGATGACCGGCAGTCAAATTAGGAGACTAGACATGTCAGTTTCCGCTAGGAGCCAAGGAAAACGGGTTCTATTGCTCACAATGTTGTTTCTTTTGCTGATGGCGATTCCAACACCCATACCCAAGACGGTCATGAGCAGAGCCAAGGACTGGACGCCCCAGTGAAGCCACACCTTCTCAAACACACGGAGGAACAAATATCCTCCAGGAAAGACGATCAAGAAGGCCGCGACCATGAGGAATGCGTGGAAACCAGTGGCGCCCCGGAAGTGATCACCACCAATCGGACCGCCACCAACCACTGTGTCCGAGGACGAACTCACGACCGGGACGCCGCCGGTACCGGTTGCTGCTTGGAGGTTCAAATCGAAGAAGTTATACCCCTCATGTTGTTTAATTTGAGCGTTGGCATCGTTGGAAGATAGAGAGCCTGTGGGACCGGCGGCCCAGATCATGGGCTGTTTTGTGCTGTCGACATTGATGTTCCCACCATCCCAGCTTCGGCAATTGGAGCATTTGGCGTTGACAACGAAAGATCCGTCAATGATACCGCTGCCGCTCAGCACGTCCACTTGGACATCCGAGGTATGTTGGGGCATGACATGGCCCTTTCCGAGACGAGGACTGACAGTGACGTTGTTCCCGCTCTCCGATGCATATGTGACAAAGATCAAAGCCCCCGCCATCTGAGTGCCAAAGCCAAAGGCACCCCATGTCTGGCCGGCAGGTGCAGAGAAATGGAAGAAGAGAGAGTTCGAGTTGTCGTTGGGCACATTGATAGAAACAGTGATATTATCATTGGGATCCGGCGAGGTGCCCTGCCCGACATACGTGGACGAGGGAACAGCGGCCTGCGCTGAAAGGAAGAAGGCTGCAAAACGACGGGATGGTCAGCGAAGGCGGCTCATCTTTCAATGCCAGGGTGAGCAAGGGGATTGCAACTCACTCGTCAGGAACAAGCTGATCAGTATCCTGACCTTGGGTTGAGATTGAAATGGCATGCTCGCGGTTGTGTTCTGAGATTACTATACGTATATTCGGGAGGAATGGGACTGGAACGGCGCAACGAAGGACGGATCAACGCTGAGCAGGTAGCGAAGGAAGACAACGAAATGGCCTCAGACTCGGTGCAGACACGGACAAGGAAAGAACGCAGGTCAGAGAGGGAGAGTGTGAGAAGGAGGGAAAAAGAGACTCGAAGTCAGCAGGCGCCTGGGGGTTATCACCAAAAAAAAGGGCAAAGAGATCTACACCACGAGTGGCCAGGCGACGGGCGTCTGGTTTGAGCAGAAGCGGGTTTCAGATGTTGTTTTGAGCTGAAAAGAGACGCATGGGGAACGATGGATCCCCTGGATCCTCGCAACAGGTTGATGGCGGAGGTCCGTGCGGTTCGTGCAGGGACAGCGGCCAGTATGGAGCCTGAGTGGCTTCAAGGGCTCAGCACATCCAGTCGATTGGCAGAGCGACAGGGGCAGCTGGAGCATCACCCAGCCAGTGCCTGGGAGCCCAAATCCACCCCCAACGAGTCGATCAGATTCGAGCCTAGTGAGCCTACCAGAGCCCGCCTAAGCCATGGCCCTGACGGGCTCCGAGAAGCTTAGCACAGTAAAGTGAGAATCTAAGCAATTCAGCATCTGAGCCTCAGAGGGCCCCCAGAGAAATCGTTCGGGCTTGAACCAATCGTGCAAGAGGAGTTGGTCAACCGGCGCTTACTTTCTTACAAGCCACAACCAACACCAGCATCTAGAATTCCCTCCAAGCCCCTCGTCCCCGAAATAGATCTCGTCAATAAGCCATCCCATGCCCCATTTGGCATCTAGTGTCGAACCGATGTCCAGCCCATCCGTCTTACCTGCAGATGGCTCTTGCACTTGAACAGATACTCGTTGGAGCGGCGGTCGCGAATGGGCGAAACAGAGGCAATGTCTCTTGATATCCTGGCGTATAATAATGGTACATACATACATTCATATGACCCATCAGAACCAATTTTCTTGCAGAGTCACAAAAAATCGCTGAAAAGGCTCCCCTCGCACCGTAAAGTCGCCCACAGATGGCGACCATCCGAAATCCAAGATGTCGTTGCTCCCTATCGGCATGTGCTCCGGCGTCCAGTTCACTCCCGCACTGCTGGAACTGTCCTGCGTGATGGTATTGCCACTCTCCGCCGTCACACTGCCACTTGCTGCTTGGAAAGATTCTTGCATTCGCGGATCCAGGGCCATTCCTGCATGGTAGGGCTGCTCGCTCGCTATGCCGAATGCCTCCATAGCGTTGGTGCTGGTGGTGGGTGGGTAGTCTTGCATAAATCGTTCCATCGGCGTTGGGTTGGCCATATCAGCGAACATGATTTCTGGCTTCTGCTGCGCCTGATTTGACTCGGCTTGCTGTGCTGCTCTTCGGGCCTTGGCTTTGGCCATGAGGTGTCGTAAGGGCTTCCACAGCATTCCTTTCTGATACTTGGAATTCATCATTCGTTCCCCGTAAACCGATTCAACCGCTCGCCATGCTCGGTCCACATCAGGTCCAGGTGGTCTGGCGCATATCTCTGACAATGCAAAGGCCACCGATTGCCATTGCATGTAGGTCCTGAACAGCCAACCCCATTTCGCCGTGTTTTCGTTCTTTTCTAGGAGATGAGAGAACTCTATCACTTCCACCGAGGTGATGAAGACACGATCACGGATCTCTGGCGGCATAGGTGTTCCCCCGCTGTTGGAGTATGCTCGTGGATGGTGCACCATCAACCACATCTTGGCCAGGATGAGACGAGCGACGGTCGCGGCCACCCAATATATAGGCATATTCATGTCGCAGTGTCGCAAGTATTTCTCTTCGAGCTTCCGGTGACACTCGTCGATCAGTTTCTCCTTTTCTTCCAAGGACAACTCGGGAACTTGCGATGGGCCATATCCGGGAGCGGTGAAGTTGAATCGCCGCGAAAAGACGCCGATTTCGTAGCGAATCAAGCAGAATGTCATTTCGGTCGCTCCGACTCTTTCTTTGGGCCACTCCTTCATTCCGGGATAGATGTCGTCGTCGTTCAAGTTCGCGGGGACCTTGGTATCATAGAATTCTTCGGTAAAACTAGGGTCGACACCATGATCTTCGGCTGCCCGATTGTCGAGCAGAGAAATTTGCCACCACAGTCGGCGTCGCATTTCTGTGTCAAATGGATTCAGTCCGAAATGAGTTCCATCGCGATGGATGCCCAGCGATTGTGCCAGATGGATAGCTAGCCCTCCCAATGCCCACACCAATCTCGAATCATCACAATGCCGCACAAATATAAGGAAAAACGACAGTGCCTGCAAGCACATGAGACTCGAGCTGTTCAGAAAATCTGCACGGGCCAGGGCTTGTTCTGTGGCAAATCGGTATTTCTTCAGGAGAGACTGCTTGTCCTCGTCCAACAGTTGCTGGCATTGCTCCGGAGTCAGGCTGACGACCGCCCCAAAGTAGATGGAAAATAACAAGGCTTCTGCTGGTTTCGAGACGCGATCGATACTGCTCGCAGCATTCATGAGAATCGTTTTGGCTGTAGGCCGATGCAGGATGCGAACCACAGGATCGACATTCTCCTTAAACACTTCCCAAAGAATGAAAATCTGACTGGGACTGGGATGTAGCTCCCTCAGGTCTTGCATGACGGAGGAGTAACCAAAGAGGAAGGCTTGGTGGTTGGATTGGCGGTCGGTCTCAGGCGAGTGAACTTCATCTTCATCATCAGTGCTTGACGGATCGAGCAAGTCCCGCATCTCGGCAATCTGTCAAAACGGTCAGCCAGGATCCTCTCGCACAAGTCACGGTAGAGAAGTACCTCATCGCTCATGCCTGTCCAGAACGCGTTGTTCACATAGCGACTGCGATCTTCATTAATCACCAGGCGCCCAAGATGTTTGTCAATAGATTGTCTTTTCGGGTCTGTGCGATCAGAGACCGGTGAATCGCTTGACTGTGCTTCACCGAAGCGCGCCCGTATGTCCGTTGATCCTGTGAGAGTGGGCGACACGATTCCATTCTCATCCACTTGGGCGCCGAGGCTGTGGACAACGCCTTCCAACCTGCGCAGTCTCGCCAACAACTCTGCATCAGGTGGCTTCCTCGGTTTTCTCGGTGCTCTGCCAGGACCCGGAAATACACATTCAATCCCCGCTCTTACGCAGTTGGCGCATGGGTTTTCTTTATTGCAACGAACTTTTCTGCGACGACATGTGACGCAACTCCGCGGGTTCAGGCGAGGCGCAGAGGGATTGGAGGCCGGGCCATTCTCTGTAGCAGCTTGCGCACCGACAGGCCCATGCTCGGTCACGGCAGGTTCGGCGCCGGACTGAGCGCCGTCGTCGACGGACTGTGCCATATTCGGGTGCAGAGAGAGCGCTGGTGCTCATACACGAGTCATGGCGGAGACGTATGCGAATAGTCTGACCGACGCACAAACGAGGGGAGTGGAGGATGCTCGGAATGCGTTCGAATAAAAGCCAGTACTCGACAAGGGGGGGGATATCTTCCAGGGCGGCGAGTGAATCGGCAGCGCAAGGGGGATGGGAAAGATTGAGTGAAATCATATAATATTGCGGATGCGTCACGAAATCTGCATGTCGATGGAAGGTTGTCGCCGCAGCTGATTCGCCCCTCTCTTCGTACAAACCTGTCCCCACCAGGACAACGACACCGACATTTCCGTTCAACCTGGCACCTGGCTTTCTGGCTGCTCCAATTCCCTGATGGCTTGCAATTCGGAAATCCGGGGTCCCTCTTGTCTCCGGAAAGGCTGGGGATTCTCGACGGTCTCGTCGGCCCTCTCCTCTCCTCGCCAGGTCACCGCTACATCACGACGCAGGCGGCCTCCACTACGGTCAAACCGATTGGAACAGGAACATGAGGGACAGGACCCCAATTATCCATAACTGCCGTTACCTGCGCACAAGCACTCTTATGAACAAGATCAATTTCTTTCCATGAAGCTTCGAGATGAAATATATGAGCGATTTATGGACTCGCTTCGGCTCCGTTAATAGGTTCTCTGCCCCCGACCGAGTCCCGTACCCAATGTCCCGGCCATGCCTTGGTCTGTCTTGTCCTACAAGCAATCAACTTCTCATGAACGTCTCCAACCAATATCATGGGGAGACTGCACCGGCTGAATGGCCTTTGCATAACCCTCGTCATCCCGCATCAACCATGGAAGATCCGCAAAATCAAAAATAGAAAGTCACATCGCAATGCACACATCCAAGAGCCAAAACCCGAATTACTCCACGCTGCCAACAAGATGGAATGCCCAAAACATAATCTCATCAATTGATGCAATGGGAGAAGCGCAGAGGTCCAGCAACCATCAGATTAACATCCTCATTGACTGTGAGCCCTCAAAAGAACCTGATCACGCCGATTAGCTCTGACTTGTCTTCAGCCCGACCATGACATCGAACGTACACTGCTGTTAGCTGCCGAAATCGGATCGGGCTCGCCGTCTTTGCCCAATGAGGGACTCTCCACACTGCCATGATTTACCGGCCCTGACGATGTCACTGACCTCTCACTGAAGGGAGGTCTCAAACTCGATATCACTCGAGTATCTCCGGCGTTAGCTGGCGACGACGCCTCCTTTCCATCCATGCCGCCGCCATGGCCATTCCTGGCTCCATTAGACTTTGAGCGAGCCTGCTTGTTGAAAATATCTGTCACTCTGTCGGAAGCCACTCGCAAAATCGTTTGCATTAGTAGGTTCTGTTTCAGCGGTTTCGACAGGTATTCGTCCATTTGTGCCTGGATGCATTTCTCGCGATCTCCCAGCATAGCGTGGGCGGTCAGCGCAACGATGGGCGTTCTCGGTAACGCCTTTTCCTTTTCATACTGCCGAATCTCGCGCGTGGCCTCAAAACCACCCATCACTGGCATTTGCACATCCATAAGCACAATATCGAATCGGTTGTGCTTTATAGCGTTGACAGCTTCCAATCCGTTGCCCACCACAGTGACCACATGGTTGTATTTTTCCAGGATTTTAATGGCCACCTTTTGATTAACCTCGTTGTCCTCGGCCAACAAAACATTGAGTGACTTCTTGTAGTCTTTAATGACGGGCGTAGACCGGCCTTCCAAAGCAGGGATCATGCAGTTACCCAGATCAATCAGCTGACAGGGCGTGGTCATATATGAAGCTATCCCAAGGTCAAGCACAGTCTTGAGGCTGATAGACACAGTTGCATTCAGCAGGACCATGGGTATGTACTTGAACTTGTCGAGTTCTCGCAGTTTTTGCGCCGTCTGAAGTTCATCAATGACAATAACATCATAGCCCCCATCGGTGCCTTTGCGATTCCGCTCGACAGTGACAGTGACAGGATCAGGGACCTCTGTTTCGTCATTCACGACCTTGACCTGGAGCCCAAGCTCCTCGATCATTGCGGGGACGCGTTCGAAGAACTTCGAAACGCCCTTGTCTACCAAGAGCACTTTATGCTTTCGGAAAGGATAGAGCTGGGAACTGATCACACTGATGTCGTCCGTTGCGAATTTGACAATGCACGAGAAGTGAAACTCGCTCCCGTGACCAAAATCGGAGGTCACCCAGACTTGGCCACCCATGAGATTGACCAGCCGCTTAGAGATGGACAGTCCTAGACCGGTACCACCGAATTTCCGTGTCGTTGAGCCGTCCGCCTGCTGGAAAGTGTCGAAGATGAGGTCAAGCTTATCCGACTGTATGCCAATCCCAGTATCGGAAACCACGAACTCGAACGGAAATTCGTCAGGCGCGCAGTTTGACAGTAGATCTTTGGATTTTTTGATGGTCACTTTGACCTCGCCCTGGTCAGTAAACTTGATCGCATTGCCGACCAAATTGAGGATAATCTGTCTCAGCCGGAATGGATCGCCGACGACATAGTCCGGGACTGAGTTGTCCACATCAAATGCCAGACATAGCGACTTCTCGTTCGCCTTGACGGCCAAGGACTTCAGAGCATTGAAGACAGTACCACGGATTGTGTACGGGATGGCCTCAATGGCCATGCGGTTGGCTTCAATCTTCGAAATATCCAGGATGTCGTCAATTATAGTCAGTAAGCTGTTGGCGAGGTTGTGGACCGTATTGAGCATCTCTCGCGAGTGCGGCTTCAAATCATCAGTATCCAGCGTCAGCTGTGTCATGCCGATGATGCCGTTCATAGGGGTCCTGATCTCGTGTGACATGTTGGCCAAAAATTCGGATTTTGTCCTGTTGGCCAATTCGGCTGCTTCGCGTGCCGCCGTGTTCCTCTGAATGCTGTCTCTGAGGTTCGAAATCATCTGGTTGATCTTCCTCTTCAATTCATCCATTTCGCCGGATGCATTGACACTGATCAACTTGGAGAAGTCTCCTTCTGTTGCCGCGTCTGTGATCTCGCCGAACGCACGAACCTGAGCGGTCAGATTCTCAGCCATAGTGTTGACGTCCTCGGTAATCTCTTTCCAGCGGCCACTGACGTCGTGAACATTGGCCTGACCACCCATTTTGCCATTGACACCCACATCGCGAGCGACTCGTCGCACCTCATGGGCGAAGGTCGCCAAACGGTCTACCATGTTGTTGATAGTGACTTTCAGGGTCAGGATTTCGCCTTGTGCCTGTACCTCGATTTTCTTGTCTAGATTTCCCGCAGCGATGGCTTGTGTGACGTCCGAGATACTTCGTACCTGATCTGTCAGGTTGGAAGCCATCGTATTCACATTGTCGGTCAGATCTCGCCACTTGCCCTGGACGTTGTCGACCTTCGCCTGCCCTCCGAGTGTTCCGTCTGTGCCGACTTCTCTCGCCACTTTGCTAACTTCGAACGCGAAAGTGTTCAATCTATCAACCATGGAATTGATTGTCACCTTCAGGTCGAGGATTTCGCCTTGGACATCTGCGGTAACCTTCTTTGACAAGTCGCCATTGGCGACGGCGGTGGTGACTGCGGCAATTTCTCGTACTTGGGTCGTCAAGTTCATCGCCATGCCATTGACGTTTTCAGTAAGATCTTTCCAAGTACCTTCGACGTCGTGCACCGTCGCTTGGCCTCCCAACACACCATTGGTTCCAACCTCCTTGGCCAAAATGGTGACCTCCTGGGCAAACTGCTGCAATTGATCAACCATATTGTTGATGGTAATCTTGAGTCGGAGAATCTCCCCCTTACAGCTCGCTGTGACTTTTCGCGTCAAATCGCCTTTTGCTACAGCTGTGGTGACCATTGCGATGTCTCGAACTTGTGTCGTGAGGTTGTCTGCCATTGCGTTCACACTTTTCGTCAATTCATTCCAGGTGCCTTGGACTCCTTCGATTTGGGCTTGTCCACCCAACACACCCTCAGTCCCAACATCTGTTGCGACTCGGGTGACTTCGGTGGCAAATGTTCGAAGTTGGTCGACCATAGTGTTGATGGTATGCTGTAGTTCGAAAATCTCGCCCTTTGCGCGACTTTGTACTTTTTGACTGAGATCACCACGTGCGACGGCCTTGGTCACGGTCGCAATCTCTCTGACCTGGTCGGTCAAATTTGCTGCCATTATATTGACTGCTCTAGAGTTAGTTCGAATCCTCACAACGCACCGGATGGGAGGACATACCGTTATCCGTCAACTCCTTCCATATGCCATGTACTCCGCTAATTTGTGCTTGACCCCCCAAAATGCCTTCGGTGCCAACCTCGCGAGCGACACGAGTAACCTCGCTGCCAAAGATCTCGAGCTGGTCCATCATAGTGTTTATGGTGACTTTAAAGGCGGCAATTTCATCGTCCATTTCTGTTGCCTGAATCTGAACTCGCTTGGACAAATCACCATTGGCAACTTGGGTAATGATGCCACCGATCTCACGCAGCGCCTTCTGGAATGCCTCGTTAGCTTGCTGATGTTTCCGCAGCTCTCTTTCCAAGATCGAAACGTCTTCATTTTCTACCCGCATGAAAGCTTGTTTGGCTTGCTCCTCGGAATTTCGTAGACCGCGGCTGATTTCTGCAATTGTATCTCGCTGGCTCTTTATTTGCTCCGCCTGCCTTTCGACATGTTCTCGCAATATGCTGATATCATCTTCGCTGACTGCACGGTCCGGTTCCGAAGGTCGGAATGAGTCTCGGGCAGCGAGAAGGTTGTTGACACGCCTCGAATGATTGGAGTTCGTAGGTGTTCTCTCAGCAGAGTCTGCCGCGAAATCGGCGCCCGGGTCGCCCAGAGAACCCCGAGGTTCGACTGGGCGAGACAACGGAGAGGCAGGACTCTGGAATTCACCGGGCGTATCAGGCAGCGAGCGGCCAACGACATCTGCCCGTGATTCCAAATAGTGTATTCGTCTTGCAAGAGCGGCTATTTCAGCTTCGAAGTCCTCTTTTCCCGGTGTGTCCTCACCGGGAAGTTTGTATGGTGGAAGCTTCAAGCCATTGGTGTAGGTGGAGGACGTCGAGCCCTTGGCCAGTCCACGCAGAATTGCCGCAGCGGCTGCCAGTGTCTCGTCCGGGCGAGACATGGACGATGCGAAATCCTCTATAGAGTGTTCCTCCTCATGAGGCGCGGTCGAGATGGGATGGCGGCAGGTGGTTTGGGTATGCCAGAGGGCCCTGGTTCTGGGCTGCGTCCAGCAGCGTACACAAAATGGCCGGAGAGCCACTTTGTTTACCGGAGGCGATCCACGGACAAGTGATTGGTGACGGAGACGTCTTTGTAGATTCGATAAAGGATATAGGCACGAGCAATTAGGTGGTTGCAGAGTTGCAGATGTTGGGTGAGCTGGTAACTCGATCGATTCTGAGAGCAGAAGCAGGACGGTTGGGCTGGGCGACTGGTGGCATGGATCTGGGCATGCCAAAAGGACGCTAAGAGTGAAGCGGATAAACGGGAAAACGTGTCGCCCAGGTCAAATGAAGCAACAGGGTCTGAAGGCGACAGCTGGAGGGCCCTTTGGGGGCAGAGCGTAGAGAGTACGGTGAGGACGCAGGGCGGGAGGATGAGAATAGGAGTAACGATAGGGAAAAATGTAGGGTGGTTCTCGATCCAGAGGGAAGGGAGGAAGGTTTGTTAGTGGGAAAGGGATGGTGGTGGACGGCCACCGCAACAAAGGTGCAACTACTGTGAACCTCCTGAGGCGAGATCGCCGCTGCAGATGCCCAAATGGCATCAGCGGGCACAGAGAAGAGCACTGGGCAAGGTGGGAAAATGTACAAGAGACGCCTGGGGCCGCCACGAGCCACAACCAACGGGCACCGCCCAAGATTGAGGCTGCATGGAGATGGTGCCCCAAAGCGACCCGAGGTGTCCCTGGGATGGCGCGCATTGGTTCCCTTGGTCCCAGGCGCGGGGACCTTGAGGAGCGGTTTAACCCAATTCTTGGCTAGTCACTCCGCGAGCCGAATCCAAGCCTCTCGTCGACTCGAGACAACCCTTCGCTTTCAGAGGCATGTGGGTGCCTTGCGATAATGCGAGGTCGATCTGCGCTTTTTGCCATATCTACAGACACGACGGGCAGGGGTGTAGTCGTGGAGTTGAAGAGAGCCCATTCTCATGTTCATGGTCGCGGGGATACAAGTGTCGACAGACTGTCGAGAGAGGCTGCCACCACATTCACAGGAGATGCACAATTTGAGTTCAAGCTGAGACGGTGTGTCCAAACCTACGCAGGTCGCTTTCCTCTCTAGACATGGACGATCAGTCATCTGGCGGTATGGCTCCAGGTAGTCACTGTTCTCGCTGCTATCAACATCATCGCTTCCTCCTCCCCCACCAGACCTACTGCCGAATGGGCTGCTTCCAGCTCTACCAGTATTACTATCTGCTCTGCGACAATAGATGCCCTAAAGGCACCTTCGTAGCTGTTGTTCTCGATCACGACACTGCTGATGGACAGGAGTTGCGCCTACAGGGGCACCAACCACGCTATAGCAACCGCCAACGGGAACAAGGACCTCATCGTGTCTGAGTCACCTGCGTCCATGAATGCCATCTGTCAGGCCCTAGCTGGTTGCAGGGTAGGAGGATGGGAAAGGCTACATTATTCGTCAAGACTTCGTTGAACAGCAAGTAAAGTGGTCTATTCGGCCAGCAACGGCATTCTCATCCGTGACGAGCATTCGCTGCAGTCACGCTCTCACAATGACGTCTTTGTCACACCTGTTGTCGGCAGGCTGCTCCGAGGAGAGCAGATCCATGTTTGGATCCGTCCTGGGGAGATTAGGCGATTTATGGGATTACATTGCACACGGACCAGGCTGAAAGTTGATCGCGTCCTAGGGCCATTACGTACAGAGGGTCCATGTATAAGAAAGCTCTCATAGATTGAGTGGGCAATGTTGTCTCGGTCCCGCTGACCAACATGAGTATTTTGGCCTGTTTCGCTCACCTTTCGTGTCTATCAAACGGTAGATCTCTTGACAGAAGCCACCCGCGTGGGCCTCTATGGAGACATGTACACACATGCGCGCCATACCCTTGTTGAGTATGAAACATTCCTCCTCTCGTGGTTCGTTGTCCCAATGGTACGAGGGCCAAACGTTTCAGGCGGTGTACACGCTCCACTTGCTTGGTGGACCGAACACATGGGGAAGTCTCATCTATGACACCATCCTCTCACAAGTTCGAATTGAAGCAGGATGACCTGTGCAAACATTCACTTTTCCCTGTCGGATCTATGCGAGGGATTAACCCATGTCGAGGTTGATACCAATGGGACAGATCTCTGCCGAACGAAGCAGAATTCAAGGGAGGAAAAATCGATGCAATCAAAATCTAGAATCGGAAGATATTATATTCGCACATACCTCCAGATTCGCACAAGCTATAAAGCTCCCCAGAGATCTTGGAATCAAATGATAATACAGGCACGGAAATCTTGCCTAAGGTCCCTGATGCCTCTCATCCAAACCTGCGGAAGTGAACGACACCTGTTACTAGAGGCTCAAACCCTCCAATGCTTCTAGAAACCCTGCAATGGCTCCAGCTCCCAAGAGCCCCTTAGTGGCACTTTCGCGGATATTTTGCTTCGTCGATTTCTCCCTCGAGTGTCTCTTCTCATCATGGTTGCGCACAGGGGTGCCGTGCTGGGATAATCTGGACGGTGACCTTGCGGATTTACCATCCTGAGATACTGGTCGTGGTGCAAGCCCCATCCGAGGTGAAGATTGGGGAACATATCGGGTCTGAGCAGAAGGCGGTGCGTATGTGTTGAGTTGTGAGTATCCATGTTGCTGTACCTGTGGATATCCTTGTGGATGTCCCTGTGGATGCACCTGGCCGCCGAAACGAGGGAAGGAGACAGCCTGCGGAGGCACAAATGGGTTGGGAGCGCTGGGAATGTGCGCCGGCATTAGGGGTGTTGAGACACTATGATGTATTGGATTCTGATCGGGTGTTGCCCAAGGACGATGGCCTGGCGGGTGGTACGCTGGAGATGACAATCTGGATGCTGTCGACTGAGCCGACGTTACGGAGGGCTGAGTAGACGGTGGACGATTGGCACCACCAGGGGCATTTGTAGTGATCCATGACGGTGGCTGAACGGGCGCAGTGAAATGGTGTGCCGCTGGGACGTCTCCCCCAGGAACTTGTATCTTCCGTTCAGCGGTTGGGCTGCCGCTACTTCGGCGCCGAGGTTTGGGCTGGGCCATTTCAGATTCAGAGGCAGATGATTCTGAACCCGAGTCTAGGACGTATCGGCGCGAGGATCGCTTTTTGGAGCTAGTGCTCCCTCCTGGGGAATCCTCCACATCGCTGCTTGCCGCACTGACGCTTGGCTGATAGCCCGAGTACTGCTTCCGTCTCCTGAATGCTTCGTGCCGTGCAGAAGCAGAATTTGGCTTCCTCCAGTCGGTTGTTGTGCCTTCCAGGTAATACCCACGAGGGCTGCCTTCCCTCTCTCGGTATCTTTCATGGAAAGGGGTCTCCTCATCGTCTTCATCAAGATTGTGCACCGAGGGAGCGTATCTTGAGCCAGAGTCGCGGTTGTGGCGCCTTTCTCGGACTTCACGCCAAACGGTCCATCTCTCGAGGAGGGGGTCGATTGCGCGGTCTGAGACTTGAACCATATCTCGGGGAGAGTCCCTGATTTGGTGTAACATGTGATCAAGCTCGCCGAGAGAAAAGACGGGAAGTCTCACCAAAGCTCTCGAGGTGGCGTTCTCAGGAGCAACGTTGGTGTCATTCTGTTGAGTGTTGTCTGAGGACATCGGTGACGATTGATTGTCCTGCATGGCCCCGTCGTCGATGCATGGTTTGCAGTCTTCCTGTTCTTCCCGCAATGAGGCTTCAAACAACACATCCACATTGCTCATTTGCCAGTAACGAACAATAAGAGCGTTCTGAGCCTCGGCGCGCTCTTGGCTGATGGCTTCTTTCTTCAAGGAGACCTCTTCCGGAGAATCACTATGATTAATATTTGTTAGCCGTTGTCTCCGACACACTTTGCAGTTCGTCTAACCTTCTTGAGGTGGACGCCATCACCTTTCCCAGCTGGACTATCTGCAGCATGACCGAGAGGCTTAGTTGAAGACTCTCGAGTTGTGCGAGCAGATATGTGACCCTGTGTTTCCTGAAAGTCCGCCTGAATCTCTGTTGAGGGGTGGAGGTAGTGGTGTTGTCTGCACCATGCCCACTTGCACGCACCCACATGTCCTTGATCTCGTCAAAGACCCTTGTGCTTTCGTCTGCTATTGACTGCGCCGTCTCAACAGCTTCCTGGGAGTGGACTGAGTCTGTTGTCTGAAGGACTTGACCCGTGTGCTTCAACATCATCGAGAACATTGTGACACCCTTTGAGATGCTCTTGACCTCGAGACCGGCATTTGAGACCTCGGAACTGATGGCATTGAGGAGTAGCGAGAGTCTGAAGCCCGCACCGGCGACGTCGAGGACGGGCGCGATATTGCCTGCGCAGGAGTCAAAGTCAGTTTCATCGTTCCTTGCGCCGACCGTTCTTGATATGACGTACGTATGTTGGCCATTCTGCATGCGCCTGGGGAGAGGAGTCCAACTGCTCATGGGATCGGATGCAACGGCTCAGGGAGCAGAAAATTAGCAATGTTAGACCAAAGCCATCGACAGACTTAAGATGTTATAGCCTGAGCGAGCCAGCAGGCATACAAACAGTGACTGTGAATACGAGGCTGCATGTTGGCTGGCAAGACACGAACGTCGGTTTGGCGGGGAGGAGGCGCCAAAGCTCAGCATGCCAAAGCCAGAAATCACTTTGGCACCCACAAATCACTGTGGTGATGCTGATGGGGCACTTGATCGTTGGGCGACTCGCCTGGGGTCTCGATGCAAAGTCCCAATGGCGCTGGGGCTTTGGAGGTGCAAACTGGGTTGTAACTGGCCAGCTGGCAAACTCTGTTCCGCATCAGAAATCGCCTCATCCCCCCCCAAAACTTGACACCTTGCGCAGTGTGGCAGTGAGGGGGAATTCTGTAGTGTCCAGACCAAAGGCCCACTATTTCTGGCCCAAAGGTCCCCTCAAAGAAATATTGGAAGAGACGAGGGGACAAGGGCAGGCAGGTGAGGAGGTCGGGGAAACGTTCGTTGTGAACCCTGACTTTATACTCGGTACCCGATCTTCATATTCTACTAGGTAACCTGTCTTGATCTCAAACCGCAGTAAATTTGCCATTTTTGACCACGGAAGCGAATCCTTCATCCCACAATAGAATAGCACGTCGCGCTTTAGAGCCAGGAACTAGGGTTGTTTGCAACGTACCCTATGCACTCGGTACGAGGTCGGCGGAAGTGGATTCCAGCTTGGCTTTCTGGGGAGCATGACCCTCGCAACGCAGAAGGTTTTGCAGTCAACGCAGGTGTTCCTAATCATTGTTTAGGAGCAGTCCTCCGAAGTAGTAGCAGGTGGCTCAACAGGATAAACATTGGCGGAAGTGGGCTCTCATCACGTTACCAGATGAATATATCTCCCGGTTGACGCAAGCACAAAGGCTTTACTTTATCTATCCTCCTGCCTCCGATGCCTTCTAGGAGCTAGTATCACCGACGTGCTGATGCCGACTTTGCCATCCTCCTCTGAACTGTCACCACCTCACGCCCGAATAACCACCAACTCAAAGAGGAAAACAACGCATGATCGGGAGAGAATCAGGGTGGAGCTTCGACGGCTGGCTCCCCTGGTTTTTCCTTGAGCCTCCTCGCCTCTTTTCTCTTCCAGTTGGCATGCAGTCTGCCTGATAACGGTGCCGTCCTGCTGCATCGCGTCTACGTTGATACTCGGTCAGTGATTTGCGTGGACCAACATACTTTGGTAGATTTATCCTTGTACTCGTATGTACGAAGGACTGGGAGCATTCAGTGTCCCGCTTTGCAATCCCACGTATGCGCCTCGCAGTCCTTGCATTTGACGGACGTGCTAATAGGCCAGAATCGAGACATGGAATGCTCAAGGGTGGATAGGTGGGCAGGCATAGGTGGACTGCCCCTTTGGAGCTTCCTGTTCTCGCTTAGATGTGCCCAGGTGGCGTTTCCACGAACTTTTCGGTCTTGGTGGTGTCGGCTTTCCCAAGCTCCATACACAGCCCATCGAGCCTATGCGTGGGCCTTGGCCGTCTTGGGCAACGCCGCCTTTTAAGCTCCTCAGAGTTGTAGGCTAATTTTGCCGGCTCTGGCACCCGCTAGGGTTTGAGGGTGGGCACGCCGCTCGCACCTGTTGATCGTTTCTCTTTTGCCCTTCCCCCTTCGCCTTTCGCCATCTCTCACGCTCTACCCGCACCTGGACCCCCAGCCTTGGGTCTGGTCAATCTTTCTCCTCTGCGACTCTGAGTAAAGATTGCCGTTGCTGTTAAGTCTAGGTATCATTTGTGTGAACTTTTTTCACTCTCCGCCGAACATCCCGGCCCTATTCTGGGTCTCGAACACAAGCGACTCCAATCCCCTCCATCCGTCGATCCCATTGCCTACAACCTTTTACCGACTGTCCTCGCGTTTTCACTCTCGCAACCTGCCTTGGGGTTCACTTCAGTTCATTGACCCTTCAGTCCCCGATTGTGGTCCAAGACTTTACAGAGAACCGGTCTGTCGGCTTGTTTATCTGCAACTGGAATCAATCAACGAGTGCTCAGAATCTCCCTTCGCGTCTCTCGACAATCTCGCTCAGCATAGAATGCTGACCATGCGGCGCTCACCATGAACCGACCGCGAAGCTGAGGATAGGCCGAGCACTACGCGTGGTGCAGTTAATATTGAGATGCAAAGAGCAAGGAGGGGGAATAAGCCGCGGCCATGCGGATTTCAATACGGGAGCAGCTCGGGCTGCTCGTCCTCTTTTGCTCCCTCACGTCTCTTATGGTGCTTGCACTTGCAGTGGTACGTCTCGTCGAAGGCAATGAATGGCGGATAATACTGAATCAGTTGTGGCTACTAGTGGTTCCAAAACTACAATTTCATCACCAGCATCAGGTCAGGAAATATACCCGTTCCTCTGCAGACGCTCTCCAATGCTGATTGAGATTTGCAGATTATCCGGTCTGTCCTTGACGGCATCGCTCAAGGCGGCCCAGTTCACAAGTGCACTGTTGTTGTATGATTCACAGGCTAGGTTGATCAGCACGCGGCTGCTGATTCAGAGTGCCCTGGGAAGATATAATTCAGGTAATCCTTCCAAGGACTGTTTTGCAATGTGCTTCTGCTAACCGTGACCATCGAGAAGGAAACACATCAAATGAGAATTGGCAGCGATCTGTGAGTGACTTTCAAGGCGCTCTCGCCAATGGCAGCGTCCTTGTTCAGGCGATCTTATATCCCAATGCATTCAATGGCAATGAGACCGCAGTCAATGGGCTACTCAACGTCACCGCGCTTGGATTGAACGGCACAATCAAACTACCATACAACTACACGAATGGCTCTGCGGTTTACTTGGGAGACCCCGGCTTGGGTTACCCACCCTCATTGTATCCGAATTTGACTTATGGCCCTCCACAACCAGGAACCAATTTTTCAACGATATTCTATGAAGGCAAAATCATACGGCCTGACGATACGCTATTCCTAGGACCGTTGGTCGTGAACGAGACTTATTCACTTCTGTCGCTCACGGTTCCGCTGATCAATAACACTTCTCGGTCAGATGTCCTTGGCTGGATGACCGTTCTAGCCAATACCGATATGCTTTCCGAAATCCAGAAGTCCCCCGAAGGCCTCGACAGAACCGGGGAGACTCTCCTCATCGGTCCAGCGACGTCAAATAACCATTTTGAGCGCCAGATTCGGGGATCTAGCAAATCCTACGCAGAGTCTCAACTACTCCGGTTTGTACTGCCGCCCGCAAGCAACGCTACGCTGGGATATCGGCATCAGGCTCGGAGCAGCGTCAACAATGCCACCGAGCCTTTCCTTGCTTCAGATTATCCGGCAGTCGTTTCGGCATGGACCAAGGACAACAAGGCCATCAATAATGCTGGTGCCTATATCTCAACGCGCAATGAAGATGGAACAAGAGTTTCAGCCGGTTATGCCACCCTCTCCACGAAGTTTGTCGATTGGGTGGTGGTCGTGGAGCAGTCACACCATGAAGTGGTTGCACCCATCGATCATCTGCGCGACGTTGTCCTTATCTGTGTCTTCTCTGTAACTGGCTTGCTCCTTGCCATTATGTTTCCCATGGCGCACTATTCGATCACCCCAATCCGACATCTTGCAGCTGCGACCGCTCGAACGGTGGAGCCTTATCAACCTGACGACAACAGCGAGTATTCCAGCACCCTAGGTCAGCAAGGAGCAGAAGTGGAGGAAATCTTAGATGCTGATGAACGTGATGCGGCTCGAAAGGAGGGCTTTTTTGGCGTTCTGACGAGAATCACCAGGCCGAAACAGCCAGAACGATCGACGACTCCTCGTCACCTGCGACACAGAACGTTTAGAATACCTCGAAAGGTGCCAGAGCGAAAACACCTAATTACTGATGAGGTTACTGAGTTAACACGCACGTTCAACGAGATGTCCGACGAGCTGACAATGCAGTACGAGCGTCTTGAGGAAAGGGTAAAGGAACGAACAGCGGAGCTCGAGAAGAGTAAGAAGGCAGCCGAAGCAGCGAACCAGAGCAAGACGCTCTTCATTGCCAACATTTCCCACGAATTGAAAACACCTCTTAATGGTATTCTTGGTCTGACAACCGTCTGTATGAATGAGGATGACCTTGGCCGAATACGATCAACCCTCAATACCATCTACAAATCCGGAGATTTGCTGCTTCACTTGTTGACTGATCTCCTCACCTTCAGCAAGAATGAGGTTGGGCAGCAGCTGTCGATAGACGAAGCGGAATTCAGACTCAGCGATCTGAGCACCCAACTCATGCCCACTTTTGAGAAACAAGCCCGGGAGGCGCAGGTGGACCTCAAAGTACTTTTCCTCGGGACAAACGACGCTTTTGGTGATTCTTCTGAGTTATCTGGCGAGAAACTGTATGGTCCTGTTGGCACAGGCCGGGTGAGGGATATGTGTCTATGGGGTGACAAGAACAGGATTCTGCAGGTGTGTTTTGTCTCGACAACAAGATTTGGTCTACTAACATTCTCTAGGTCCTTATGAACTTTGTCAGCAACAGTCTCAAATTCACTCCTGCGCATGGCTCTGTTACAGTTCGTGTTCGATGCACAGGTCTTGTTGAGAACTTTCCCAGTCGAACAGGAAGCGCGCGGAAGTCGTCCTTGAACTCGAGAAAGTCAAAGTCGTCAAGTAACAAGCGAGTACGAATGTCAGATGGTTCGCTGGTATCACCAGAAAGCGCAGACCATGACAAGAACCATTCAAATTCTGGTGGAACTGAAGATTCGAAGCTCAGCATAAACGTCGCTGGAGGTACAACCCACATACCGAAAATCGCAGAAAGGCAGCGTTCCATGTCACCGCCGCCAGTGAACACGAAAGACTTGAGCTTTGAATTCGAGGTTGAGGACACGGGCCCCGGGATTCCACCTGAACAGCAGAAGATGATATTTGAACCCTTTGTTCAAGGCGACCTCGGCCTGAGCAAGAAGTACGGAGGTACTGGACTTGGCCTAAGCATATGCGCTCAACTAGCCGCCTTGATGGGTGGTGATATTTCTCTCGACAGTAAAGTCGGGGCTGGCAGCAAGTTTACTATGCGGATTCCGCTTCGTTACGTATCGGAGCGCACTCCCTCCATGGCGTCCTCAACCCACAAGACAGCCTCCAAAGCCAGCAGTCTTGTTGGGCAAACATTGCACGATCAACCTGACGCAGCGCTGCACAACCACAGTGGTTCCACAGCATCCTTGTCCTCGGCACGGGACGACCAACTGAAATTAGCCGATGTACCAAGGATAGTCGGTTTCACTCAACCGTATGTGGCCAAAGAGACCACGAGTAGCGACTCATCCCAGGCAAAACTCAATGAGATAAAGAAAGTGGAAAATGAAGCAGTGCAGAAGGGTCGGAAGGTGCGCGTGCTCGTGGCAGAAGACAACCAAGTGAACCAAGAAGTGGTCCTTCGCATGTTGAGGCTGGAAGATGTCTATGGTAAGTTTTTGAACTAGTGAAATGCCAGGTTGCTGACCGCGAGATAGATGTCACTATTGCGAAGGACGGACAAGAAGCATTTGAAAAGGTTCGAGAATCTATGGTGAGTGGACAGAGATTCGATCTGGTCTTCATGGACGTTCAAATGCCCAATCTCGACGGGATCCAGTCGACGAAACTCATTCGGGAAATGGGGTTCAAGTCACCTATTGTTGCCCTCACTGCATTCGCCGAGAAATCCAACGAGGACGAATGTATGGCTTCCGGGATGGACTATTTTCTGGCCAAGCCAATACGAAGACCTGCGCTCAAACAGGTCTTGAAGAAATACTGTGCAACTATACCAGAAGAGGAAAATGAGGGAGGTTCAACTGCGATCCCCCAGGCCGATGGGAACGCAGCGTCACAATCAACAAGCTGCCAAACGGCAGTTAAAGAGCCTAATATCGACGTGTTGGACTCGAACGACGTCTCACCCCTCTCGTGATTGCTCCAACAGCGCGCCCGGTGGCATCCGGCCGATGCGGCCGAAGCATGCGGGAAAACCCACGTCAGATGTATAACAATATTCCTTTTCGTCTTGGGCATAAGGAAGATTTGCAAAATCTAGGAATATTCATGCCGGGATGGTTCACCACTGGCGGGCTGTTGTTTGACTGAGCATCTAAAATCCCATATTTATTCCAGGTTCTTATGGATAGCGATGGCGTGAGGAGTTCAGCTCTATATATTGATGGATATGGTCGCATTAAGGCGGGTTTGAGAGTACCACGGTCTGGAAAAGAGTACATGGTATTTGGAAAATGGGAAATCACTTGGATAACGGTATTACGGTTCACGCATGGTATACAAGGACTGCATGTCGTTCCTCGCTCGAAAAGAGGACGAATGCCGAAAATTTCCATCTTGCATTGATCTGCGCTGTCTACTACTATATCCTTGGGTGACTGTTTGGCTGCGTCTCGCGCGCAGCAGCGCCGGAAACGCGGTTTGTCGAGGGCGAATACGGATCACAGAGCACGAATGCCTTGAGTGAATAATATGGATGTGTAAGGTCGCAGATTGTGGCCCGCATCTAGGGGGTTTGAAACCGAAGTTGTCTACGAGAAGCAGCTCCTTGGATGAACCGGTGGCTCCCAACAGCACCGTAATCTGACAGGATTCCGACCCAGATTGCGGAGCCCAGGCTGCATCGGGTTACTCCAGGTATGTAGACCAGATTGACCCACAGTGCAATGAGATCGATCTCGCTTGTAAATCCGATCCTCGCCCTTACATCACCATTCATATTACTAGTGCATGATCATTCGAAGAAGGCTAATTCTTTGGCCTCTGCTCCTTCTCGCGAGTCGAAATCTTCGCGCCACTCCAGGTTTCGAGTGCATGTCTCAAATCAAGCATTCCGACCATGCGTCCCTTCAAGCGGAAAGCAGATGAAGTGACAGCTTCTGTCGATCCCGAGCACAGGAAAATACGCTCTCCCAAAGTCTCCTCGAATCAATACAAAGACTCAACAAATGAGATCAAGTACGGCATTGTCCTTCGCAAGTATTATCCTCCTGAAATGACCAACGAGCGAGCCGAGGCATACAATACTGGGATGATCGAGCGGCCCATAGAGACACTTGAGAAGGCCGTCCAAGAGACACAGGGAGATCGAGACCGAATACAGCCAGGTGATTGCGTCGTCCACTGGTTCAAGTGCGATTTGCGTATCACGGATAACAAGGGGCTGCATCTAGCAAGCAAGACGGCCAAGATGCTCGATGTGCCCCTTATTTGTCTTTATTTGATATCACCGCAGGACTACGAAGCTCACTTGACAGCCCCTGTGCGCGTTGATTTCATTCTTCGCAACCTTCTCACTTTGAAAAAGGATCTGGACGATTTGGATATACCATTGTACGTCGAGACAGTTGAGAAGAGAAAGAATGTTTCATCCAAGCTCATCGAGTTGTGCACAATATGGGGCGCTCGCCATGTGTTCTGCAACGCCGAGTACGAGGTGGATGAACTCAGGAGAGAAGCTGCTTTGATTAAGTCCTGCTTGGAGAGGCGAATATCGTTCAGCGTCGTCCATGACACTTGCGTTGTGGAGCCTGGCAAGCTGAAGAGCAACTCCGGCGGTCCAATATCAGTCTACAGTCCCTGGCATCGAAAGTGGTGCGCCTACCTCAATCAAAATCCCAAAGAACTGGACTGTTTTCCTCCACCAGCCCAAAATTCTCGAGTTGTTAGGGACAATTTTTCAACACTATTCAACACTGAAATTCCAGACGCACCCCCATCGAAGCAGTTGACTGAGGAGGAAAGGAAGAGAATGCATAGGATTTGGCCTGCCGGAGAACGCGAAGCTCAAGATCGGCTACGCAAGTTCGTGCTGGAAAAAATCGCCAAATACCATGATACTAGGAACTTCCCGAGTGGCAATGGGACGTCTGTTCTGAGCCCACATCTTGCGGCCGGCACCATCGCCGCGCGAACTGTTGTCAGGGAAGCACGAGAAGCTGCTCCCCTGAAAAAATTGACTGATGACCGGAAACAAGGACATTCGATGTGGATCGCGGAGGTGGCGTGGAGAGACGTGAGCGACCTCTTTCCGTGGAATATTGCAGTACGAAGCCGGGGCTAACATCGGTCTGAAGTTTTACAAACATGTCTTATGCCACTGGCCCTATGTTTGGTGAGTCCGCTGTGTTCATTTTTGGAAGCAGTCATGGCTGAAGTCTTCTCGCAGCATGAACAAATCATTCAAACCAGAATACAGCAATATCGAGTGGGAATACGACTCGGACCAGTTTAACAGATGGGCCGAAGGAAAGACAGGTTTCCCAATCGTTGATGCTGCAATGCGCCAAGCAGCATATACAGGATACATGCCCAATCGTTGTCGTATGATCGTGGCGTCCTTCTTAGCCAAAGATCTTTTAATCGACTGGCGCATGGGCGAGAAATGGTTCATGGAGCACCTCATTGACGGTGACTTCGCATCAAACAATGGCGGTTGGGGTTTCAGTGCTAGCTGTGGTGTTGACCCACAGCCATATTTTCGCATTTTCAATCCCCTGCTCCAAAGCGAGAAGTTTGACCCGAAAGGAGATTATATTCGCAGGTGGGTGCCAGAGCTCGCGGAGATCAAAGACAGCAGGGGAATCCACGATCCGTACAACCGCGGCTTTGGGAAAGTGGCTGAAACGAACGGATATCCAGGGCCGATGGTCGATCACAAAGAGTCTCGAGAAAAGGCCCTGGCACGATATAAAGCGGGCATCGGAAGGAACACTGCATGAAGACATCCTGACTCAAATTGATTCTCCTGGGCTGGGACTGGGCTTGAACAAACAGTTGAAACGCATGACTAGTGAAAAACGGCCTTGGGAGTCCTGAATATCTTGCTTGGAATCACAAAATGTGACATTGGCTTCGCTTGAGCTTTCGGCGGTACTCAAGAGGGCCATTCGACCACGACAGCAGGTCTTCCAGGTGCAACATCCATCTTATTGGAGTTTCTTCTTCCAACGCTACCTCCACATATTCTGACGGCAAGATGCTCTTCTTCCCCGTCTGCGCCAGGCACAAACACAAACACCCTTCTTTTGAATACGCTACTGAGAGTAGCGGACATGTCCTCTTCTGCCGTATGAATGAAGTTTTCGAAGCTGGGTTCACAGGGTGACAGTGGTGCCATGCAGCTGATAAGTCAGAGGAAAGCATTCGATGTTGGCGGCAAACGAAAGGATTCCCTCGTTGCAATGAGAGCTCGGGAACTGCATCGCCAAACGTAGGAGCAACCGAGATTGCTTGATAACGGTACCGTTCAAGGTGACAGCGCCTGCTTCAGCCTGGTGTGATTGTCAGTAGAAACAGGTATCATCCGTCAGAGTATTCTCTGCGTCGCCTTTTTCCCACATGATGTGGTCTCGGGCGGAAGAAATTCGCCAGACATTCACAACACTTGATGTACACAAGCGCCGAGCCATGGGCACGACTTGCTATCCACGATATGGTCGAGGAGATACTTGGGTAGTTGGAGAGGTACGTACAAATAGGTGGTCATATTTGTACCGAGTAGGTTCGGAGTAACTGGCTTGCTGGGAGGTGGAAGAGCGGCAATCGGCACCCGGCTCCAACCCGGCCACGCTCTCCTTCCAACCAGCCACCGAGATGGCCTCCTAGCACTGGGACCAGCGGGGGTTCAGTATGCCTCTTTCCCCCTCGTTTGGCCTAGTAACGTGTTTCCTGCCGCCCACCTCCAACGCCTTTCTCATCACAAGAGCAAGGATTGGGTGAATTTTGGTCATCCTCCCACCGCCCACAATGACCCCGGCAGCAGCAGTGGCGGAACTCGGCCAGACTGCGCCTTCTGACGCTGTGCCCATGTTCTTTCTCTTCTGCGATGGGCGCCTGGGAATTTCTTCCTCTTCCTTCACCGTGCAACCACCATCGACCTATATCCCACAGCGTCTCATGGTTGAGAGTGAGGTCCATGGCTCTTCCCGCACGATCACCCTACTCAAGCCATGGCCAAAGGAGCGAAACGGGCACTTCAGTTGCCCAAGCAGCAACTGCTCATTCTGGCAGTATGCCGCTTCGCGGAGCCAGTCGCGATGACTTCGGTCTACCCATATATCGTGAGCCTCCCAATCCCTCCAGCGTGCTCAATCGCTCTCACTGACCTGGTCCAGCCGGAAATGATTCAATCCTTCAACGTCCGCGATGATAAGGTGGCCAAATGGGCCGGTCTCATGTCTGCGACTTTCTCGCTCTCTCAATGCTTGACTGGAATTGCTTGGGGACGGGCCTCAGACCGCTTTGGCCGCAAACCCATCATCCTCCTCGCCCTGACCTGTACCATGGTATCTTCAATACTCTTTGGCTTTTCCAAAAACCTCCTCTGGGCCTTCATCACGCGGTCTTTGCAAGGCCTGTCGAACGGGAATGTCGGGATCATTCGAACAGCCGTGGCAGAACTGGTCCCCCAAAAGGAATTACAACCGCGTGCGTTCAGCATCATGCCGCTCGTTTGGAACATCGGCAGTATATTTGGGCCGTCCTTCGGTGGATCTCTGGTACATCCTGTGGAACGATATCCCGAAGTCTTTGGAAGGTTGAAACTGCTCAAGGAATATCCTTTTGCGCTGCCCAACCTCCTGATCAGTATTCTTTTTTTGTGCGGAATCACTGCCGGCTTCCTCTTCTTGCACGAAACCCTGGAGGAAAAGAAATCCAACAGAGACTGTGGGTTGATACTGGGCAAACTTCTGACCAATTCCTGCACCCGAAAGCCGCAACGCAGGCCATGGTCAAACACTGAAGAATCAGATCCATTTCTCTCTGGGATGTCGAGCGAACTGTCCACGCCGATATCCGGTTCCATTTCCGCGGCCAAGATCCCCAAACAGAGTCCAGGCTGGGCAGAGGTCTTCTCTGGACAGTCGAACATCAACCTCGTGGTGTACACATTTCTGGCCATGCATTCGGTGGCCTATGACCAACTACTGCCGATATTCATGCATTATCCGGTGCAATCTATTCAAGACCCCCGGGTTCATTTACCATGGAAGTTTGCTGGGGGATTCGGGATTGATTCAAACAGAATTGGCTTGCTTTTTACCATCTACGGTGTTTTCGGCATGCTCATCCAGTTCTTTGTCTTTCCCCCTTTTGCGAGGAGGTTTGGCGTTTTAAACTGTCTCAAGGCTTGTTGTCTAGCATTTCCCTTGGTCTATGTTGCAACGCCCTTCACGGCGCTATTACCATCTGACTCGTCAAAACAAGGCATTATGATGTTGCTGATGCTGATCAAAGGATTTTGTGGTATCTTCGCGTTCCCTTGTTCCACCATTCTTCTTACCAATAGCGCTGCTAGCTTGAAGATATTAGGTACGCTGAATGGGGTAGCAACCAGTATCTCTGCCATTGGAAGAGCTGCCGGACCAGCTTTAGCAGGCGCCACGTTCACCAAAGGAGTCGATATCGGATATGTCGTGATATCTTGGTGGACATTGGCATTGATCGCCATTGTTGGCGCAGTTCCAGTCTGGTTTCTCGTGGAGATGGAAGGCTTTGGAGGTGACCAGGACGAAGACGAAAGTGACGAAGATGATGACGAAGACGATGATGATGACGCTAAAGCATCTGCGATTCCCGCCGCTGGAGCACATTCCAGGAAATCTAGTGCTCCATCTATAGACGAAGAAGCAGTGGAAGACGACGAAGACCTGTCAGAGTCTCGCCTCTTACCACATGGTACTCCGAGGACCTCACAACCTTCTTCTCGACGTCACAGCCTCCAGCTTCGACGAGTTTCCAGCCCCATCGGACTTGGCCCTGGCATTATCCCTACCGGAGCCCGCAGATATAGCAGTGACCTTGGAGCTACGAGGAGTGGATTAGGTGTCGGCGGGACGAGTTATTATTGAGCATTTTCAGAGTGCAGAGACCATTGAAAGTCCCAATAGGCTTTGATGGAAAATACACATACGGCGTACGGAATAGATCCCAACAACCTGAGATGACTTTGAATCATAACCGTGCTATCGTACCTTCTAGGATCTTGCTGATCCCATTTCGCACCTCTTCCACAATATCAGCCGCGTTCTGCATCTTGTTCACTAGTCCTACTCCAGTACCAGCCCAGACATTTGCTCGGTTGGATTTCCCGAAGCCGCCATCCTCTTGGGTCACCGCTTCATTGTGTTTCTCTCGAATCTCCTTAATGTCGATGCCTCGAACATGATCTGCGTAGCTCTCCGTGACGAGGCTTCTTCCGTCATAGGCGGCTGGCCAGATATTGGGACCCGCGACGCTGTCGAACAATTTGCTGCGGATGGTGCTTTGTGCTCCATCTTTTGCTGCCAGCACCAGCTCCCGATATCCAGGTGGCACCTTTGTCTCTTTCGCCGCGAGGAACCTCGTCCCAATCACGACCCCAGATGCCCCCAGCGCGAGTGCAGCCGCTGCACCGCGGGCGTCGGCGATTCCTCCCGACGCCAGCAACGGAATGTTACCAAGGCCCTTTGCCTGAAGAGCATCAGCCACCTCTGGTAGCACCGACACGATGCTGGCGCCTCTTTCGAACCCATGACCACCAGCATCAGCGCCCTGCATGACCAAAGCATCAGGCTTAGCCGTCTGTGCGATCTCGACCGCGGCGCTTACACTGCCAACTTGGATCCAGACCCTGGAATTTGGGCAGCTTTCTCGAATCCCTGCAGACCAAGTGGCGTAGTCGTCGAGTTCTTTTGCAGCAAATAGCCAGACCACGGCCGGTTGATATCTCTTGAGAATGGGCAGCACAGACTCGGCCTTGACAATGAAGGGTAACAGGCCTACGCCGATGGGGAGCGTATGACTCGCCTCAGCAGTGGCCTTCAGTTCGTCTGCTGCAATGCCCAATTCCTTCTCTAAGTCGTCAGACATGATGGCACCGATCATCCCGAGACCGCCTGATTTCGTGACGGCGCTTGCTAGATGTCCGCCGGCAAAGCCACCCATGGGGGCACTGACGACGAGGGGAGATGATGTCCATGGGAGTTGGAATCCGAGCGAGTTCGCCATGTTTGAATCGAATTCGTGAAGGAACGATCGACGCGCTTTGTTTCAAACGATTTTGCAGTCGCAGAACGGTGAGAGCTGTGGTGTGCGAAGGTTTTAATGGCAATAAACAAAGTCAGCATTGCCCTTCGATCACCTTGTTCACTAGACGGTGCATTCGTTTGACCTCCTTCAGTCTTTGCGCTTATGCTGGGCCTCGATCCTTCACGACGGACAGTACATCCATCATCTCCGCGGAGAAGAGTTGAATCCTTCTCGCCTTATGATATTCCGATTGTTGTTCTGGCGCCTGATGCTTACGGCTTTCTCGCACCATGAGCCTTTGACTGGTGGCTAAATAGTTAATAATCAATGAATGTGGTCAGATCGTACATTTCAAAGTAGCATTGCCCTATACAATCTTTGCATTAATACTACCTAGGTAAGCTCAATACGGATAGAGAACGGAAAGATTGGCTCGCTTGACCCGACACGAGGCAAGGCAGCGTTCCACTCTGCTTGCCATTTCTACCACTCTCTGTCAGTGAAGTACTAGAGCTGACTGTTGTCCGCGCGATACTACTCCAAAAGCCTTGTGGCCGCTCCCAGCCTTTCTTCAATGATCGCACTCCATCTCCTAGCATTGGTAATGTTCTTGTCTTCGAAGCTCTCGACGAGGCCTGGATAGGTGGCACCCGCGTAACCAGTCCACCGGCCAGGAGCGAAGACAACGTGCTTGAACCAAGTCCGGTGGTCTAGGCCGCCAGGAAATAGAAACTGACGCTCCAGTGTTTTGTACTTCTCATTCGCATTCCGTATTTCGTAGAACAGCCTCACTTTCTTCCACCATTCCCACCATGGCACGTCTTCTGCGAGCTTTTTCGTCAAGTCGGCGGTATATTCGTCGAATTTAGTGGCAGCGTTGCGGAATTCTGCGGTAGCATTGTCAAGTGCCTGGAAGCTGAAGCTCGACCCTGCCAAATGCGTTTTGGATCTCTCCTTGACATCGTCTAAATAGACACTGAGACCTTCGGCATAGTCTTGAGCGCTCAAGAACAAGACGGGAGTCTCGCTCAGCTGCGCGGTGACCAGTGCTAATATTTTGGCCACAGTCACATGGTAGTGCCACCCATTGTCCCCATAAGCGTCCATCCAATGGAAAGAGTCATAGTTAGAGTGGTAATGGTAAACGGCGTCTTTCGGTCCGGTCCCAAAACCGAAATCAAGTGATGGAATGCCGGCAAAGTCCTGGAAGGCGGTAAAATCGCTGCCAGATCCCATGGTGCGTATGTGGCCATCCCAAACGTCGCCGACTGACTGCCCTTTGGTGGTCTGGTTTGGCGAGGGCACCGAATTTGTCGCGGCGTACAAGAGCTTGTTCAACAATGGAGATGCAGCAGCGTCAAAGTGCTTTCCGCGCGCGCCAACGTCCACATTGAGGTAGGCGATGGTGCTGCTAGAGAGCCACGGGAGGTATTCCTCGACCCATTCGGTCGAGCCGATAAGACCATACTCTTCGCCATCCCAGCTCGCGAAGACAATTGTTCGAAGTGGCTTCCATCCGGCCTTGAGAGCTTCTCCGAAAGACCGGATAACTTCATTCAATGCTGCCGAGCCGGAATTGGGATCTCCTGCACCTCCGGCAATCCAGGCATCTCGATGATTTCCGACAACAATTACCTCATCCTTTGCTGTGCCATTGATTATACCGATAACGTTCCACAGAGGCGTTGTGACATATTCCTGCTCATTCATCAAGTTGAGGACTACGGTGTCTGGTGATGGACCGATATTGTATTCAACACCCTTGTAAGCCAGACCTCCGCCATGCCAGGACTTGTCAAATGAACTTGCGTTGGGCCCATGTCCGTTCAGAGCTTTGAGGAGAGGGAGGGCATCGGCATAAGAAATGGGCAACGACGGGATGCGAGGGGTGGAGCCATGCGGATCGACACGAGGTACACCTGGCTTCGAAGGATAACCAGGAGTTGTCGGATCTCCGGGAAGTGTGCCTGCGCCTGTCAGCACGTGTCAGTTATGGAGGCCCGAGGGACACACTGATATATTGCGTACTGCCTCTTTGCACGCTGCTTGGATTTCTAGCCGGTCCATCTGGGTACGTTTTGTATCCATTCTCTTCTGTAATGTCGCCGTCCTCTTGCGGATCAGAGTACATGACTACTCCGACCATACCCAACTCTTGAGCCCTTTTCACCTTGAGCCCACGGAATATTCGACCATATTTGGTTAGGGCAATCTTGCCTTCCAAGGTGATGTTTGCGGCTTGTAGATCCTCAAAATCTTGGTAAGTACCGAAATTGACATACACATATGGGGCGGTAACATTGCCACTGGCCGAGTACCCATGGAATGTTGGAATGCGATCTTTCAATGAAGTTGTTGGATCGTCGTCAATGATGTCTTCTTCCAGGCTGCATTCATACTTGACCTTGTGCCCATCTAACAAGGCTAGTCGATGATCACTCGGGTAGTTGATGAACACATCATAGGCAACAATATCCGATTTGACACCGAACTCTTCCCATCGCTCTCTTGTCCACAGAGCTTGACTCAAATTCTTGCCCGCAAGATGGGGGCCCGACGTATAATACTCGCTCCATGAACGTGCCTTATCCTCATCGGGAGTCTCTAGAAGCAGCTCAATAAGTTCTTCGAAAGTGATGCCTGCGCTCTGCGGCCATGAGGGAGGATAAGGACGGGACCATGGAAGGTAGGAAGAGACGGAATCGTGACCGCGAGGTAGTATGGCGACCGGAAGAAGAAAGCAGACAATAATGGCTATCAGACTGCTCGCGAGGGCGACGGAACAGAAGCGTTTCAGTGTCGTGTGCGGATATCTTGGTCGACGCCGAGTTACGTAGACGGTCGTAATGAGGGGCGTACGCTCATCCATGATGATCGCATCCTTGGGTATCAAAGCGGCAAAGGGACTTTTCGAGTGGAATAGATCGCCGTGTTGTCTCCTTACACGGCTCAACAAGACTCTACTGAAGCTCGCAGAGACGAGGTCACTTCCCCAATGACGGCAACTGCAACCCCGTTGTCCCTCTTCGCACCAATCTAGGTAGGTTTGCCGAAATGTCTCTGCACACCCTTATGGTCTCGTCAAGCAAACTCTTGCAATTGTCCTTTGCCATCAAGTGCTGGAAGCCACGAGGCCCGCCTGCTAACATAGAACTCCACGCCAGGCTCTGCTGTCTCCACCCCGGAGGCATCATCAAGAGATCCAGCCACGATGAGAACCACACCGCGGAAACCCTCAGCGTCTCCGACCTTGTTGATGACACACCCACAATTGGCGCAGAAAGAATATGTCAACGTCATTCCGCTATCCTGAGTCGTTGCATATGTCTTGGGCGTCCCGGTTGTAATCTTGAAATTCCCTTCTGGGACGACGATATTGGTCGTGAACACACTGCCACTGACATGTCGACAAGTTATGCAGTGGCATATCGCCTGGTTGCTTAGCCTCATATTCCAAGGGACTGCGGCAAGGACTCTTACCTTCATGATAGGCTCGCCTGTGTACTCATATTTGAGTTGACCGCAAAGGCAACCTCCGGAGGGCATGGCGAAATGTTTCAAAGAGCAAGATCAAGGTCTACAAAACAATCGACAACCTTTGATTGTTTGCCGGATCTCGACGATGAGTAGAGATGTACTTATACTTTGTGTACCAAGTAACCCGGCCGTCTTGAAGCATTCACTTAATACAAGCAGAGCCCACAATTGGTTAACATGCTGCAGACAGAAGGGCGCATGCCGGCTGTCGGTGCTCTCATCTGTTGACACAGCCTCCTGAATCTATCCCGTCAGTCTGGAATTCTCCCATACTGCACATTTGTTTGCATGCTCAGCATGGCCTACCATTGCCCGGTACCCTGGCCGCATTCGCACTGGAATCAACTTTAGGTCGAACACTTTGACCGACGTTGCCAAAAGCTGTCAGCATGTCAATCTAGGGCGCAGAAATGGACATGGATCTTGCGTTTGTGTTGACAGCTGACCCGTGTTTACGAAACCTTATTCCACCTGGGTCAAGCCTGATGGGTTTACTCTCCCTTTCCATCCGTTTGTGATTGACCGAAAGCGAACTGTCCTGCGGTCCTGCTTGAGTCACATGGCAAGCAACGTCATTATACCTTCTCAGACTGAGATGGGAGGGCATTTAGGTTGCTATAGGCTATCTAGACTTGCCTAAACTGATCTGTGCTGGAGATATCTCGGGTTTCCTGTATGCGGCAGTGGGTACCGCCCCAACTGACCCAATGGCGGTTCACTACGAAATTCTTCCACTGCCTACTTGGATACTTGGGTGTAGTCTTGTGGAATTTTTGCTTCTATCATGGTGGTTATGAACATAATTAGGACTTGGGCGCGGGTGAACATACTTACAAGTTTACGTTGGCGGCTAACACGACAGAAGTGCAACTCTGAAACTCGCTCATGCGATCAAGGGCACTACGTTCGCTACGGGGGATATATTTGCACCGGCGCACAGTGAGACTGGAGATTTGTTCGAGTTGCGCTGAAACTGTGGTTGGCAATTGCCGTCATTTTCTCCAGAAGCTGCAAACATCAAAACAACTTGGTACCAACATGAAGAGCCCGATTGACGGCACCACACAATGTTGTGCTTGAAGTCGTCAAGGCAGTTCTCTCGTCTATGCCTATGCTTTACTTTGGACATGATGCCGAGCAAAGATCTCTCTGCGAAACGCGACCGCAAGATTCATTGACTCTGCATCGCCGGGAGGAATAATTTGGGATGCGTACATGCCGCAATTCCCGGCAGCGGGATCGATCCACTATATCGCGGTCAGCTTCGGAAAACAACATATACAGGACTAGGACGGACCCAGAAAAGGTTTGGAAGGCCGCCCCATGACATGGTTCCTTTTTTGCAAAGATTTTTCACGTCTTCCATATTCAGAATGCCTCCCAGGCCGAAATTCCACGCCGGACTGTCAATCCCTCCTCGAAACATAGGCCCTGCCCCTGGTGTAGTCACTGTTGCAACCAAACTAGCCTCGTCCGAAAGTTGTGGTGTGAACATCATATTCACGGTCTCTGATTTGAGGAGAATACCATCATTTTTGAGTAATGATATGAGCACTTTGATATAGTCTTGGGCAGATGAATACAGCCCTCCGCCACCAAGGTCGTCCTTCGGATTTGGATTGGGGTATGGGTCGGCCGATACAAGGTCTCCTTCCGGTGTTCTGGCAGTCGTGGCACACAGATGACTGCGCACCCTTTCGTTCTCTCCAGGGCGGAAGCTCGTGGACGCCATTCCCAAAGGTTCCCAAATATTCTTCTTCATGTACTGCCCAAGCGTCATGCCTCCATTCACCTGCTCCACCATTTTGCCAGCCCAGTCAATGCTGCAGCTATAGCTCCAGCCTTCGCCTGGCTCAAACAAAAGGGGCATAAGGTATTGTTTCCGCTAATGTCGACTACGTCAGAATTCAAGAATAGTCAAATATCAAGGACCTGATCTTACAATTTCGCCATTACCCGGACGGGTTGTCTCGCCGCGCCACTGTCGCCACTTCATAAGGTCTGGTGAAAGGAAATCATACCCCATACCACTAGAATGTGTCAGCAACTGGCGCAACGTAATCTTCTTCGTTGCCTTTTTAAACTCTGGTTCTCCCGTGTCTTCCTTCCACCCCGTCAAGATGTCTGGTGACTTCCACTCATCGAAGATTAAGGAGACGTCCTCATCAAGGTTCAATTTGCCCTGCTCGACACATTGCATGACTGAAATGGTGGTCAGAAGCTTTGTGCATGAAGCGATCCAGAAAGTAGTATCTTCTGTCATCGGTTTGGCGGCCTCTGAATCAACAGAAGTGAATCCTTTAGCACCATGGTATATGATATCGCCTAGATTGCTGTTAAACAATTTTCGCTGATAGGGACAAATGGACTGGTTAACCGGAAGCGTCAGCTGCTATCACGACAGCTCCAACGATTTTTCGAATTGGACTAGGTTTGGTGGCAGATTCAAACTGCTCATCGAACGACATCTTGAAGGAGAGATGTAGAAGATTGCTGGTTCAGAATCCTACGGAACTGTGGTTGCTCCTAAAAGGGATGGCGAAGACTTTTTAAAACCCACTGGGATGAAGACAAGACACCGGAAACAAGAGCAATTTAACGGCGCTGTTACGAGCCTTCTGATATTCTTGTTAAGGCTTTGAAGACGTATATATTCAGTAAATGCAGAAACTCGACCTCTCAATGTCTTCGAAGTTTGAAATAACCTAACCCCTCCATTGTCGGTAGTTGTGCGCAACCCCACATTTGAGAAACAATTCCCTCGGTGCCGGGCATAAGCCGAGACTGAGCAGTCTTTTCGTCCGCAACATCTGGTATAATGCAAATCTTTCAAATGTTATGTTAGTAATGTCCGGAGATCTCGTAAGCTTTCCTTTCCCCAGAGGCGGTGGGTACCAGCCACAGTTGTCGCGCAGGTCTGTGGCCCAGCTGTTCCCAATCCTCCACCAATGTAAATACACAATGGCATCCAAGATCGATCATCCTTGTCTCCAACAGGCCAAAACCTAGACACGATCCTTCGCATACGTATCTTAACATACAACAGACACCACAGTGACGGTAAATAATGTTCAAATTGCCTCTTGGAAACCTGAGTCGATGTCGATGGTTTGTGAAAACAATACGCATCACAAGCCTGGTCGGCTGGTGCTAGCCAACAACTGAAGCCGACGGACCTCATGAGTCGGAAGAGCTTTAAAACCAATTAAAAACTCTGAGTCGTTAACACTGCCTGCAGGCACCATCTGCCAGGTGTTACTGAGTAAAGCGAACCGTCGAGAAAAACCCTGAGATTGTATAGACATTGCGTACAATGTGAAGTTATAGAGTGGCACCTGAGTTTATTTCACGAGTCCAGGGAATGAAGCTTCATCCACGCTTCCTCTTGCTTAGATTCCAGATACACCGGTGCGTTTGGCCCACCTTGACCGGTTCGTTTCTTCACGGATCCTAGCTTGTTGCTTTGTTTTGGGGTTGGTGATCCTGTCAATGATATGATCGGCCTTCCGCCTTCTCTCAATCTCTTGCCAGATCTGGGGTTGGAAGTCATCATGCCCTTCATGTTGACTGCGCGACAGCTGGATTATGGTGTCATTCGAATTCGATATTCGTCCATTACTCTGTGAGTGTTGTAGGTAAAGATGACCATATGGAAAGGACGGTGGTGCCGACAAGGACCCGTGGTGGGATGAATTTGCTGATGAGACTGCGGAGCTTGGGCCCCCCTTGATCGCACCAGAATGCTGGGTTTCCGTATAGAAATGATTTTCAGCCACAATCTCCGGTAAGTCAGCTGCCACTGTATATCGCATGTAGCCTTTCATCTTCTCAATGAAGACGATGATGTCGGTTTGCATAGTACTGAGTCAAGGCTTTCGTTCCGCGTTGAGGTTGATATATATACTCAAGGTGATTCACAAGTCTCAGAACATGTTCACTTATGTCGAATGTGCCAATGTATACTAGCATACCAACTTAAGGATTTAGCGAAGGTTAATATAGACTGAATATTTCAAAAATTAAACCCTTACCACCATATCTGACCCTGCGCCTATTAAGCGAAGTGAGGTAACACCGTTTTCAATGCGGAAAGGCTGAAAAGTTAGAGAACATTGGATCTGGTGAGCAAAATGTTCCGAAGTCGCATAGAAATATGAGTGGAAAGATCGATTTACCAACAAAGTACTCCCAAATTACAAAGCCCTATACAATTGAAAAGAGTCTCATGACATTGGCTTGATGGTTGCTTCCCAGCTCCAGGCCACAATAAGCTTTACTTCCGAGAGATGGATCGCGCGCCACTGTTGACCCCGACGGTCCAGTAGGGATCCCCCAAAATCCGGAGATAATCGCCTAAAACGAGGGATCGAATCACTTTGCTTCTAATCAATTCCAGTCTCAGCGGAGCATACTTGTATCCTTTCCTTAGGATTGCAGTATCGCATAAGTTGTTTTGGGATAATGCTGTACAGCCCTAATAGATACATTCTCAGTATTACTATTCTGGTACAATGAAGAAGGAAAGTACCTGTGAAGGGTGCTTCGAGACAACTTCTATGAGGACCTCATCTCAGGGCTTTATATGAGACCTCTCCATACAGAATCTTCATATTGGATAGTCCATCGTACTTCATTATTCGATATAGTACACCGCAGTTCAGATCCGGCGCTCGATTTCGCTATAATCATCTTCAAAGCGGTATTCAAGAAGCGCCCCAACAATGGAACTATTACTCGTCAAAAAAGGGAAGAGAGAAACAAGAAAGAGTTCCGATTGAGTTGATTATGTACCGATATACAAAGGTTCTTTCCAAGTCCTTGTCTCTTGCAACTGCCACTGGGCAAGAACTGGAAAGTGATTAACAGATCCAATGCGATTGCCCATACCACTAAACCCCAGATTCAAAGACGAGGAACATAACATCTGAAAACCCTCTAAACCGGAGCCTCGAACATCGAACGAAACTAGCTCATGAATTCTCCTCCCCTCCTCCTCTATGTGCAGTATCAAGAATGCTATTTGTCGTACTGGTGAAGTTTGAACCACAATCGTGTACCGCGAAGGCCCCAGAAGCTTGTTCGTTCTTCAATGACCTCAATCGTCAACCTAAGCGTAGCAAAATCACAGTATATTGGTATGTCGTTTGACTTTTTTCAAGTTGAGTATAGAAGAAGTTACAACCTAGCGTTGATTCATATTCCACATTCTACTCTTGCCCAGTACGCTTCCAGTAGAAGGTCATATGGCTTTCGTCCGAACATATCTCAGGATCTCCGATCTCGTGGCAGGAATAGTTCATCTCTTACCAGAGGTCAATGTCTAGTACAGCTAGAATGCCGCGAATATGCTAGTGACTGATATATTCTGAAAGTTGCCCTCAACTTCTATGTCCTATCGCGCCTCTCACCATTACCTGGATGTTTTTAATTGCGCACAACAACTCATAAGAAGGCGTAGCTAATTAAATATAACGATATACTTCCAATATTCTGACGGATTGAGGATATCGCAAGTACGCTGGTCTGCTCGGCACAGTGATCGCCAACAACCAATTTCAAAGCTCCCTGTACGCCTAGATAAGGACAATAAGGGTATTGAAGGAATTTCACAATTTTCCATGACTTCACCTTGAGCGGAAGAGTAGTTTCATCTACTCTAGATACTGATATTCTAGAATTCCCAGCTTGACAAAATAATGGTACAGACCAGCCTTCAAATGGCGCTAGTCATATTTGGTAGTGTGGAATCATACAGCCAATAATCAGAATGCGGTATACCTGAAAAGTGTTAGCGCAAACAATACTTTATTAGATCACACGAGATGACGACGCTCGTGACCAGGAGTTTCTTTTGGAATCATGCGATTATATAGCTTGTATGGGCGACATCATTCGATCGAAAAGGTCAGCCTCTGCTTGATACAAGTACTTGTTAGGTATTGTCGAATTAATTCTCTTGTTGTGGCGCATCTCGCCATATGCTTTTCTAGCTTTGCCAAACGGCCGAAGATAGCCCTTGCACTTCTTGGAGACATTGTGGCGGACTCCATGCCCACAAATTACGTTTGTCTCTGCACAACCCAAAGGACGCTAGCTTCGAGCTCAACGAAGTGCGGAACCAGTTACATCATCACAGTAATTCCCAGTGTTCGCCGATAGTATGTGGTGTGATTTGGAGTAGATTCGTGTTGGGAACGAGAAATGGTGCGCTTTTTCACGCTGCTGCCCTTCCACGTGCCCTCTCCGTTGTCTTCTGTTGAACACCACGCGAAAAGCTCGTGCACATTTCAGATTGTGCAGAGTAAGAGACTGCTATATGAAGAGTATTGGCCGAAGCGTTTATCTAGTTGAATATGAGATGACGAGATCATTTATATTGCTGGTATACCTTCGCCCGCCTACCCACTCCACCTTGAACTAGCTCAATCACTCACTCTATACTACAATTTCACTATGGAAACAATAAAGATGAGCGGCCATACTTTGGTGAATGTCCACAATATTGCTCGCACAACATCTACTCCAGTTTCAGTATCTTCGGTCCCGACCGATGGGGGAGGTTCCACCAAGAACTCCATACCGATAGCTGCTTTTGCCCTCTTGTTCACCATCCCGGCTCTTATAATACTAGCAATTATCATTGCATTCTGGTACGTTTGGATGTAGTTTCTTTAGTTCTGACAGAACCAAATATGTATTTGACTACTAACCGTTTTCTTCTTCCTCAGGTACGGTGCACGCTCGAGTTCGAGAAGCCGTATTGCTATAAGTAAAACGAAAGAAGAGCAAAAGAAATTCGTCTTCAAATCCCTCCCTGTCTCAACGACGTGGGGTGACGTACTGAAGATGAGGGAGGCTGCTTCATCCTCCCACCAACAAAATTGTACACCTATTGTACAAGGAGACGACGTTTGGTAAATATGCTATGCTCGCAAAATCGCTGAATTCTAGCTAATACATTTTGTTTCGCAATTAGTGCAGTGTGTCTGGAAGAACTCGAAGATGCCGACATTGTCCAGCGGCTTCCTCACTGTCACCATGTCTTTCACAGAGAGTGTTGTGAAAGGTGGATAGACAGTGAGCTTCAGCACAGAGCAGTCACCCTGACCTTTTACGGTACTAGCAATCTTGATTCAGATCCGGAACTTCTTACAAAGTATCAACTCAAATGTCCTCTTTGCCGCACTAGGTTAAGCGAGGAGTCGTCAGCGGAACTTTCTAAAATGGAGCCTGCTCACATATCAGACGCAGCAAATATGGTCTAGTAGATTACTTGATCCTATGTATTCGTTCATGATATCGATAAAAAGCGGGATGACCCTCAGCTTTTGAGTCGTACTTGATATACAGAAATTATCTAAGCCCGCACTTGAAATTCGTTTGGATCATATTAAGTGATTCGAGTTCGGAAGAAGAGAGAGGCCTCAAAATTATGCTTAAACTCTGTAGTACAAATAGGTAGGTGGGAATCAATCTGGCAGTCAGGCTTTTACGATACCTTTCCTCTGAGTAGAGGAGCCGCTCGCGAATCCACTCAAGGCTTGACAAGGCTGGCTCGAAATAGGGTAATCAGCTGTCACTAGAGAGTGCCAAGCTTTCGCCAGTCCGAACTGTATCACTGGATTTCGACTCATGCTGCTCCACGGTACAACTTCTTCCAGGAACGCCTGCATCGATGTCACTGCACTCGATCCGATTACGTACCTCGATCGGATATCCGCTCCTGGTGGTAGCACCCTTGAGTGTCAGAGATACCCAGCGGCTTACGATAGTGGTGTGAGGCGAAGAATTCCAATTGGCAGTCTTGAAAACTTCTGACATCAGATGGAACAGTTCCGATTCGTTTTGTCGCTCCTCACACCACTCTCACCAGTAAATTGACAGAGATAGACGGTCCAAGGATCAAGAGAATCCCATGACTGAGTAGACTTGTTATTGTTTTAAATAACGTGCCCTACTAGCTGGTCTGATCGGAAGCTATATCAATTTCGAAGTTGCTTGCTGATACAGCACAAAACTCCATATGATTCTGTTAACTTGTTACATATCGTGTTAATCAGGCTCGGACCTCTCACCCAGTGTACTACAAGATGGCTTCAGACTCGAAAGAAGAAGCATCAGTCCCAATGCCCCTATCTCAACTCCCAACCTGTGCTTTGGAGATGGGGAAGAATCTGTATCCTGATGTGTTACACTTCAAAACCGCAGACCATTTGTTGAAGTTTCGGAGAGCTGCAGACTACATTTCCGCTGGCAAGTAAGGGCCATGAACCAAATTGTGTAACTCTGACAAGGCTATAGCAATGATTTTTCTTCGGGATAATGCCCTTCTCGAGCGCGACCTCGCTCACGACGATATCAAACACACGATCGGTGAGATTCCTACGTAATACTCTCTACAACAACTAATGTTTGTGTGAAAGGCTACTGGGGCATCTCCCCTGGAATCACTCTGATATTTGCCCACTTAAACCTCATCATTCAGAAGTACGACCAGCAACTGATTTTGCTCGTCGACCCTAATTACGCTGTTCCTGCAATACTCGCTTGCCTATGGCTGGAACGGTCTCTGGAGCGCTTTTATCCGTGCTATAGCAGAGACAAGAAAGGCCTGAAAAACCTAGTGACCAGTTTCAGCGTTCCTGGAGGTTTCCCAAGGTAAGGGTAGCCCAAGCTAAGTTATGTGAGCCGAGGGGGCTAACGGGTAAATAGCTATATCAATGCTGGAGTCCCAGGCTGTATCCATGAAGGTGGCGAGATGGGTCACGCTCTGGGAACGGCGTTCGGATGTGTCATGGACAACCCGGATCTGATCAGCGTGGTAGTGGTAGGTGACGATGAAGCCGAAAGCGGACCTACAGCGACGTAAGTCTTCCGTTAAGTACAAGTTTCAGGGCTAACGGCACAAGCGCATGGCATATGTGTCGTTATATTGATCCAAAGAAGTCAGGTGCAGTCTTGCCTATCTTGTATCTGAAAAGTTCCAAGACAGGTGGAAGGACAATTTTTGGATCTATGGACAACTCCGAGCTCTGCTGCCTCTTTGCGGGTTACGGTTATGAGCCGTGCATTGTGGATGATATCAATGACATTGACCGTGAGCTGCATACAGCTTTGTCATGGGCTATAGAGTCAATCCAAAACATCCAGGTTGATGCCCAGGCCGGCCCGTCGAACGACAAACCCCGCTGGCCGATGATTATCCTGAGGATCCCAGATGGTTGGGGATACCCACACTTAGCTCCTGGTGAGCACTTTGCAGGTTCGTTCCATGGCCACGAGGTCCTCTTGCCTCGTGCCAAGATTCATCAAGGGGAGCTGCAACACCTCCAGGAGTGGCTGAAATCCTACGAGCCAGAGGGGGTTCTCCCGGCCGGGTCAATCTGTCAAGAAATCGAAAATATTCTACCACCGAATGAGAAGCTACGATTGGGGCAAAACCGCTTTACATGGGATGTCCATCATCGCCTGGACGTGCCTGAATGGAGACATTTTGCTGCCGCAAAAGGTAACCATCATAGCTATCTCAAAGCCGCAGCCGTTTATCTCGACGAAACCCTCTCTCGAAACAGGACCTCCTTGCGCATCTTTTCTCCGGATAATGTTGTAAGCCAGAGACTCGACAGAATATCAAACCGGACGTTTCACAGTTTCCAATGTGACGGTGGAAGAATCGACAAGAGCGGACAGGTGATAGAGTTCGCGTCCGAACACACCTGCCAAGGTACGTACCTCCCTTATATGTGGAACATCATTTAGTCACTGACGCCGACTCATTTAGCTCTGATACAAGGCTACACTATGACAGGACGAACTGGGATCATGGCAGCCGACGAGAGCCGTTTCCCAATTATCGCTACCATGATGACTCAATATAGTAAGTTTCTGAGAATGTCCAGGAACATTCCCTGGCGCAGAGATGTCAGCAGCTTAAACTATATTACTACGAGTACTTGGACTCGGCCGGAGCCAAATGGCCTGTCACACCAGAATCCAAGCTTCATCGGTTCGGTACTGAACCTGAGACCGACTATTGGAAGGGTATATCTCCCGCCTGACGCCAACGTCTTCCTCTCCACTCTTGCTCATTGTCTGAGATCACGGAACTACGTCAATCTTATTGTGGCTTCGGAACACGCAGGCCCTGTTTGGCTGAGTGCAGAGGAAGCAGAAATTCATAGCAGGGCTGGAGGAGGGGTCTTCAAATTTGCCAGCACCGATGATGGCATTGATCCAGATGTGGTGCTCGTTGGGATAGGAGCAGATACAACTTTTGAAGTTGTTGCAGCTGCGGCGTACCTCCGAAGAGTGGCACCGTCTCTCTCTCTCCGCGTGGTCAACGTTACCGATCTGATGATCTTAGGCCGCGAAGGTTCTCACCCACATGCTTTGAGCGACCGCGACTTCGACACACTTTTCACCCCTCACAGAGACATCCACTTCACCTATCACGGCTATGCCAATGAACTCCAGGGACTGCTTTTTGGAAGGCCAAAACTGGACCGGGTATCCATCGCGTCCTTCCAGAACGAGTTCGGGGCGACCACTCCATTTCACACTCTCCTCCGAAACAAGTGCAGCCGTTATCATATTGCCGAGGCCGCCCTTCGTGGCGCTGCGAAATGCAATCCCCACATTGCAGTAGACTTACAAAAGCTCGTCGCACATGTTCAGCATGAAAGAGCAAAGGTTGACCAGTTCATTATCAAACATGGCACCGAGCCCGGCGGAATGTACGACACACCCAAGTTCGCCAAACCTCATAGTCGTCATCCACCGGATGGAGGACAGACATGGGAGGCGCATGATCGCACATACCACCTGCCTGAGGAAGATTTCAGCCCATTTGAAGATTTATCTGGAGCAGTCTAGCAGGGCAGGTCGGTTGGCGTGAGGAGGTGGTGTTTGAATGGGTTGGAATACTCGCGTATGACATTATTGTACCTGTACTTTCGATATAGCGGCGCTCTCTGAATTATTACCTGAGGAAGGCGGAAATTGGTACTTGTGTGGAGGGTGTTGGCTTGTCAAGGTTCCGGGAAACTTTCTACGTTACATGATATTTATCAGCGAAGAACTCCAAGGCTGTACAAATGTACCACTTTAGGAGTGAATACATTCACTGATACTAAGTGTGTTGATAAAAGGTCAAGATCGTGAAATAGCTAGTCCAGATTGAAGTATATGCAACCGTTTACAACTATCACGGACATCACAACATTAAATGGACAAAGTTGAGCCCTTTATTGGGTCGTTCCTCCCTTTCTGGTCATGCTATCCTATCGCATAGGCAGTCTTCCAGAATCTCGTCGGAACAGTTCGATAGTGTAGCCCCTAGTGTAGGCGAGCACTCAAGAATCTTTTGGGCTTCTCCGCCCAGGTCGCATGCTGATGTTTTCTTCGTTCGTGTCAGTCCTGTTCCCAGCAATGTCCAGCCGACTACAACGAGAGGATACTAACAGGGGACCATCCTGGGTGCTCAGAAGCAGAATTTTGCCCACAATTCGCCAGCAAACTGACTGGAGCTGAAGGTGCAGGGAAGTCACGACCACTCTTCTGGCCAGGGCTGTCTGATTTGGTCTCCTTTTAGTATGCGGGGGCATTATTGTTAGTATGATGCGTCTCATTTTGATCTCCAGCTACCAGGCACTCACTAAAGGAGGTGTCATATTTCTGGAAAAAGATATTTGATATCTCGGAGTCGCATTTGCATTTTCGGGATGCCAGATACTCGTCAGTGGAACTGGAGGTGGCCGTTTTATAAATACTGGGGTAGCTATTGTCGCGAGGAATCGAATAGTTCAGGGTGTGGACAAGTGTATACTTGGTAGGGCCAGTCGCTGGCGAGACTGTAAGCCGGAATCTAGACCAGTGCAGCTAATGACGTCTTACCTTTCCAAAAAGGTAAAGTAACCACACCATTTATTTCTGGACGGAAGTCTCGTGGCACCAGTGCCTTCGTTGTCACGCTACGGTGTTCCGACATTCAGCATCACACCACGCTCTGACGACACCACCTGATGAACTCGTATTTGCATGTCATGTGAATCTTGACAGCTCTGGCTGGGAGAGTACGTGGTTTTCTGGAATAGCCATTCACGTGGGATAAATAGAATGCGAGGTTGAAGATGAAGTCCGCTGTGTCATCAATTGTCCATTCTTACTCCACACCATAAAGGAACACATCTTCCTCCATATCAACTGCAATTAGGAGGATGTCTGTTTTGATTGCCTACGCTTCAGCAAAAGGCTCGACTGGCGAGATTGCCGAGCGCATTGCCGAAAAACTGCGGGAATCTTGTCCCGCTTCGACTGTGAAATGTTCGCCAATCAGTGCGATCGATGTCACATCGTTGCCGTCCTACACCGCGGTCATAGTGGGCAGCGCGATCCACGCAGGCTCATGGCTAAGTCCTGCCCGCCGCTTCATCCACAATAACGCCATTGTTTTGAAAGAGAAACCGATGTGGGCTTTCAGCGTTGGCATGCCGCCAAAAGAAGAAGACCGACGGAAGGAAGAGCAAATGATCGAAGAAAAGATTCGAAAGACTTTGCCAAACTTACGTCGTCACGAATTGTTCGAAGGTCGCTTCAACAAGCAGGACCTGCCATGGTTTGGACGCATTATCATTTCATGCTGCATACCCAAAGATAAAGCCAAATTTGGGGATGCAAGGGATTGGGTCGAAATCAATGCGTGGGCGGAAGTCATTGGGAAGGAAATTACTGCACTTTCTGCTGGAGGGACCCAATAAAAGATTATGTGGCGCCGTCTGAAAAAGTCGACATGACTCGGCAAGGAACGAATAATTGATTCTCTGGCTAGTTTGAAATTATATCAAATTCATTATTTGAGAATTTGACGGAGAACAAACTGTCAGCTTTGCTTCGTGCCAAACATGATATGTCGAAGAAAGTTATCTTTAATATGGTACCGCACAGTCCAACCTCGTGTGTCTCTCAGGAACACATCCTGCTTAATCCAAGCTGCCTCCTTCTGCCGGCACATCGGGAGTTTCATCGACAATATTGTTTCAGATTCTCCTGTAGGCTTGATCTCTGCTCCTTTACATGCCCGGCTGGTAGAAGTCCGGCAAATTCGGCCAGTTGCCCAGCTCGGCAGGATCACCTCCGATTCGTACCCATTGGGAAATGCTTGGTGTGCCATTGTCAAGAACGTACAGCATGTACCAACCTGCAGGACAGACATGGGCGTTTGGTGGAGCAGTAACTGTGCAAGTCGATCCAGAACAACTCACAGCAGGAAATATTGTTCGCTGACCCATGCTGTTGCCATGCGTGCTTGAAACGGCTCCGAGGAGAGAAACCTTGATATCCGCTGAAGCGGCAGTGATTTCCAAGGTCACTTCCTGGCTGTAGGTCCAGTCGGTCGCATTGCTCACTATAGTGAACTTGGGTTGTGGAACTCCGTTCAAGAGGTATGGAGGAATGAAGACTTCGTTGCGGTACTCTTGCACGAAACGAACATCCTCGGGATCGGAGCCGGATACCAAAATGCGTCCGTCAGGCAGCAGGATAGCTTCAGAGTGGTAGAGGCGATCGATCGTGGTGTTTGCCATCACTGTCATTCGGTTGTGGAAAGGTTTCGTCGGGTCGTACAAGACAGCATTATGATTTGGTTCTGTTGCCAGACCAAAACCTGCGAACCCTTGTTGGCCTCCATTGAGAATAAGGTAGGTACCGTCAGGCAACGCCACCATACTGGAGATTACGCGTTTCGATGGCATCCGTTCAATAGTCCAGTTGGCATTTGGCACTTCTGGCTCAATTGAGACACAGTTGTCTAGAGCGATTTCAGGCCCAATCGTCGAGCCGCCACAGATAATGATTCCGAGGGGATCCGTATAGGGGGCGTGTTGGGGAAGAAGCATAGCTGTGCCCTCCATGGGGTAGGAACGACCAGCCAGGAAGGTGTTAACAGCACCCGGAATCTATGATTCGAGTTAGTCGGTCCAATTGTTGCTTAAATACCAAACGTAGACCAAGACAGCCAAAGACTGTTATCGTGGAAAGGGACGGACTTACATTGGGGAGTACCTGGGAAGTTTGCAGTGTGGTCTCGTCCAAGATCCGCGCCTCATTATAGTATGCGATGAAGACACCACCAGAAGGGAGAACTGCCAGATATGGGTACAAGTTATATGGATCCGTGCGATTGAGGTAGTCACAATACAGTGGCTCGGTAACGCCCACAGGACGGGGCAATATCTCCAGGGACGGTACAGGCGGACCATTGGACCCAGTCTCACCACCAACGACGAGAATAGAACCGTTTGCCATGATCATTGCCGTGGGATACCATCGACCGGCCATGAGCGAAAGCTCATTGACATTCTCTTGCCAATCATTAACGCCCCATACACCAGCAGAACCGTCGGGGGTGTAGAGACGGATACCATAGGTAGCGTCATTTGCCCACCCACCGATGTTGACCTGTCGGCCAGCTTTATCTGGAAGGGTCAAGCCAGCCGAGCAGAAGATATCGCTCTTCACGTGCATGGGCCTCCAGGCCGCCGTGTAATTGTCCAGTAGCGTCAAATCAAGCTCGTATGTTCCAGTTGAGTTGTTCGCAGGTTCCGTTCCGAACTTCTCCATGTAGACTATCTTGTTGTTGAGGCCAACCGTGGTGATAAGTGGAATGAGCGGACCGCCAATGAGAAACTCGTACTGACCAGCGGCTGGTCCGGTTGCAAAGCTCCAGGATTCCAGGGGCGCGCCTGTCCAATTGTAAAACGAGATCCGATTGCCTTGGCCGCAGATCTGCGATGCGTTACCAGAACATGGCATATTGCAGTCAGTTTCCGGCATGAATTGATTTCCCATTGCGATGACATTTGCCTGATCACCACAGAAGCATTGTTCCCCATATTCCATTCCACCTGCACCGTACCCAAACTCTGCGCACAAATTGAGGCAGTTGGCCGCCGTATTGTTTTCTTGGAACTCGATCTGGTAAGGAAAAGTTCTGTTCACCGCATCGTCGTATAGACAACCCTGGTAGGTCCAGTTACCAGGGAGCCCAGACGTCTGTGCGGCTGGTGGTTGGTATATCTGCAGTGTTGCATTGGAGTATATGTTGATTCTGTTTCCAGCACCGCAGTTCTCTGAGATGTCTCCTGCGCAAACCATGTTGCAATCCGACTCACTCGCCAAACTGGCATTGTATCGGGTGAAGTCATCGCAGAAACATTGAACACCGTACTCTACACCGGCAATTCCATATCCCAGTCCACGGCAATTCGAGACGCAAGACTGGACGGTGAGCTCCGAATTGTCCGGCTGTTGAATATCGAGGATACGGCCATTTGTGCCATCGATGTAGCAGCCATAGTATTGCCAGGGAGTGGGAAGTGCAGCAGTAGGCGTGCTGCTTGATGTTACCGATGCTGACGTAGATGTAGATATTGAAGTGGATGTGGACGTGGTCGAAGATGTGGAGCCTCGATAGAACATGGTCAATCTGTTGGGTCCACCGCATATCTCGGACGCATTGCCGTTACAAGGCATATTGCACCCCGTGTTACCATCCGGTGCTGGTGCACCAGGGGCAAGAATAGTGTTTCCACAATAACATTCTCCAGCATATTCGAGCCCTGAGTATAGGTAGCCTCCGGAAATGCAAGCAGTAACGCATGCTTCCCAAGTCATAGGAACGTTAAGATACTGAGTCTGCGGTAGCGTGCGAGAGGCTACAGTGTCAGTATAGCATCCCAAGGCAGTCCAGCCCGCAGGTGCTGAACCTGGTATCGACGAAGGAGTTGCTGATGCGGAAGAAGTCGCAATTGTCGAGGTTTCCGACCCAGAAGATGCAGAATACACGTTCAAACGGTTTGGGCCCCCACAAAGCTCTGTAGAGTTGCCGTTACAAACCATATTACAACCGGTGGAGTCGGAAGCTGGACCTCCTCCATTACTGAAAGAGTTCCCACAGTAACATTCTCCGCCGTACTCGGCTCCTGCCAGAATGTATCCAGATTTCTCACAAGCGCTCGTACAAAGGGCAATAGTCATGGCTGAACCTCCTCCAGTCGTTGCGATGCTGTTCATAAGCGTCCTTGCGTTCACCGAGTCGGTGTAACAGCTGAGAGACTTCCAGCCTGGCGGCCCCGGATTCGTGAGAGGCCCAGTCATTGTGCCGGTGGTATGAAAGATAGTCAACCTGTTTCCGGCACCGCAGGGCTGACTGGCGTTGCCCGTGCATGCCATGCTGCAGTCGGAGTCTGTCACTAAGGCGCCGGTGGAGGCAAGCTCAGTACCACAGTAACATTGGCCCGCGTATTCGGTCCCGGCATATGGGTACCCTTGATTTGTGCAGAAGGAAATGCATGATTCGCAAGTCATGTCATTCCCATTGTATGTTGAAGCAGAGAGCGTGCGCACCTCCACACTGTCCGTGTAGCATCCTAGATATGACCAGCCTCCAGCTAGGTCATCCGGAACCTGAAGGTCACGTTTTCTCTGAAGTACTGAAGCACCACATAATCCCAAAGGAACGGCTGCAAGAATGTAAAGTGATGCAAGTGAGCGACTGAGCAACGAAGCCATATTGAAAGTAAAACCAGGGTAAATGAGCGGACGGCTTGGATTGCCAAGTAGCGACTTGGAAGGAGCAGAGACAATCCGAAGCGTAAGCGCAAAAGGAGAATATAAGACGGTTGAAAAGTGATAAACCCCATGGTCACATACACCCCTCCCTCCTCGAGTGTCCACCACAACAGAGATATGAGAATCCCAAATGTCTCACCGGAGGCGTCATAAGTTACCAAAGTCAATGACGCTAGAGCGCCCCTGCCCTAACCAGAGAGCTGGATGTTGTTGGATCACGGTATCAGTTGATGGACTGTGGCGCTACATTCGAAATTACCATGTGGAGGTTTAGAAACAAGGAATAACACGTGGCTTGTCATGCACGGTCCAGATTTAGTGTAGGCGATGAGGCAAAGACTTTTGAGAGGGAAGAAAGAAATCACCTCGCTCTTCCCGTAACACCCCTGGATTGTGGTGGGAATTACCTTCTCTGTGCCTGGGCATGCAGGGCCAGCATCTCCTTCAGCCGCATGCGAATCTGTGGCGGTAATTATATCGGCCCGGGCAAAACCAATGGTGGCCCATGAAGTTTCCACCACGAGTTGAAGCCTTATGAGACGCCTTCACAGGAAGACTTCGCTTGAGCTCGTGAACAACATTTAAAAGCTTTGGCACAAGTGGAACTGTAATCATTCGATCTGAACACTTATGCAAGCCGAACAGAGCATTCCCGGCTTGAGGCGGGGGAGGGGAAGGGGAAAGGGGAAAGGAGAGCTTGTTCGAGTGCTCTGATTTGCACATGTCGTCAAAGGTAGCATCACTCCTAACGTAGACGAAACTTCCTTATTGAGTGGGTTGAACTGGGCTGAACTGTGGGTATTATGGAGCCGAGAAGAATTTACAACCCCCCCCGCAGCTTCCCCCAGAGGGGCAGTGTTAGTAATTTTAGCCGGGAACCTAACCGGTTTTTGTTGTCGAAAAGTGTAGATTTAGCCTGTCTCATTGATTGGGCTCAACGGTGACCCATCCCTCTACCCTGCAAGTTTCAAGCCACAGGGCCTGGGGTCTTGCCCCGACCGAGTCAAAGTGGACGACGACTGGCTGTCACCCCTAGGTCAAGATTGGAGAATTGCTGCGTCTCCCTGGCAAGGGGGGTGCATATACGAACAGAGTGTGGCCACGATTGAGCCTTTCATATCGCTTGTCGGAGCAAATTAGTTGTAAGGTGCATTACGCTCCAGGGTAGGTCACTGGGTTAGTCCACTGAACCTCACAGTGGAAATCACGTTGCGGCGGTATTTTCGGACCACCACATATCTTGGAAGCCGATGCTGGTGCTGAGCAGCCTAGGCACTGCGCGCCAACCCATATAGACATAGGACCATTTTCCATCTCCATGCCGCCCCTTTTGGGCGAG